AGGGACCGGACACAAACGACCGGCTGGCGATGGCGTACCTGGAGGGCGTGAACGCGTCGGAGGTGCTGGCGACGGGGGCGCTGGACGTGACGTTTGACGTGCAGGTGGACTTCACGGGGGCGTCGTGGGAGGGGTACGTGTTTGTGGACGTGGGCGTGGAGAGCGCCGCGGAGGTGGAGGGCGACTCGTACTCGACGCTTGACAGCCCGGGCGACAGGGTGGGCGGGGCGGCGCGCGTGATGCTGCGCAACAGGTACGGGCAATGGTCAGCGCTGCTGCGCACACCTGGGGACACGAATGCGGCGATGGAGGTGGAGCAGGAGGTGGTGTCGGGGGAGACGTACAGGGTGCGGGTGCGGTACGACTTTACGACGCGGGCTTCACGGCTGGAGGTGGGCAGTGAGCAGCAGTACAGCGGCACGGATAACTTCCACCAGTTGGACGCACTCGTGTACGAGGGTGAGGGGGTGCGCGTGGGCGTGTACGTTTCGAACAGCGCGTCGGAGGTGCAGGAGGTGCGCGTGGGCAACATGAGCTTCTGCGGGGGCAATCACGCGGCGGTGGCAGGCGAGGGCCCGGTGCGCGGGCGGGACCTGCCGCCGGTGTGGCGGACGGTTGAGGCCGACCGGAACAGCGCTGTGCTGCTGGGCGAGGCCGGGATCGTGAACACGAGCACAGCGAGCGACATGGTGGTCGTGGGGTCGGACGGGCGAACGCTGGTGGCGACGAACACGTCTGCGTACAACGCGACGACGGGCGCGGTGACGGTGGTGCCGTCACCGAGAGCAGGGTCCACAGCTGTCGGGGTGGCTGTATTGCAGGGCGTGGCGCTATCGCGTCTGCTGGGTCAGGGCGGCAAGGTGCTGGATGTCGCGTTCGACCTAATGATGGAGTTTGACGGGACGGAAAATTTCTCAAACCAGGACTATGTGTTTGTGGATGTTGGCGCGGAGGGACTGGAGGGCCTGGTGGGCGAAAACCAGTTCACCAGGCTGCAGTCGGCTACGTCGAAGATGCGGATCACTCTCTTCAGGCGCAGCGGGTCCACGCCATACTGGGAAGTGTATGTGCAGAGCGCTGGGACTACACTGCTCTACGAGCCATCCGTGACGCTGCGGTCCGGCACGACGTACCGCGTGCGCTTCACGGTGGATCTGGTGAGCAACGTGGCGGAGCTCTACCTGGACGGCAGCTTGCTCGAACGGAGCTCGAACTCTGGTGGTTTCAATCTCGGCATCTTCTACCTGGAGCGCTCGCTGGAGGAGAACGGCGACCTTGCGGGCGTGAACGTCGGCGCTGTCGACACAGCTAGCGGGTCCCATACACTGTATGCGGCGCACGTGAGCAACATCAAGTTCGCGGAGTACGGCATCGCGGAGGTGCCGGACCACGGGGCGGCGGAGGTGGAGACGCGCGTGTCGCGGTCGGCGCTGTCGAGCGTCGGCGTCTGCACGGTGGCGGACGTCCGGGTGCGTGTCGAGGTGGCGCACGAGTCGGCGTGGGACCTGGAGCTGCGGGTGAAGTCGCCGAGCCAGCGCGAGGTGCTGCTGTGGGGCGGCGACGGTGTGGCGCGGGCGGCGGGCGCGGGCGCGGGGCGGGCGGGCGTGGCGGCGATGTTTTGGGACAACGCGACGGTGGCGGCCGGGAGCGACGCGGCGCTGCCGCTGACGGGCGTGGTGCGGCCGCAGGGGAGGCTGCGGGACTTTTTCGGCGAGGACGCTGAGGGCACGTGGGTGGTGAAGGTGTCGGACGGGCGCGCGAGCGACGCGGCGGAGCTGGCGGAGCGCGCGCAGGCGGTGCGGGATGTGGAGCTGGAGTTTGTGTGCGACGGGCCGCGGCGCGGGTACGTGGCTGACGTGGGCGAGGCGGTGCCGGACGGGGGCGTGCTGGTGTCGACGCTGGAGGTGGCGGCGGAGGACAGCTGTCCGCTGCGGTACGTTGACGTAAGCGTGGACATTCCGCACCGGCACGTGAAGGACGTGTACGTGTACCTGACGGCGCCGAACCGGGACGCGCGGCGGCTGTATTTTGGCGACAGCGAAGGGCGCGACGGCGAGGCGAACGTGACGCGGTCGCTGCTGCAGCAGTCGACGGCGTACCTCGGGGACGAGAGCGCGGGCGTGTGGGAGCTGCGGGTGTACGACGACTTTGGGTCGGACCTGGGGTCGCTGGCGTCGTGGAACATGACGCTGACGTGCGAGCCGGAGGTGCTTGGTGTGGTGGAGCAGGTGTGCGAGGGCGAGGGCACGCTGGCGGTTGAGGCGGCGAGCGCAGGGAGCGCGCTGGTGCTGGACGGGTCCAGTCGTGTGGCCCGCACCAACACGAGCACGTACAACGCGACTGTGGGCGACGTCATCACGCTGCGGCCGGAGGGCCCGGGCACGGGCCGGCGGCTGGCGATGACGTACCTGGAGGGCGTGAACGCGTCGGAGGTGCTGGCGACGGGGGCGCTGGACGTGACGTTTGACGTACAGGTGGACTTCACGGGGGCGTCGTGGGAGGGGTACGTGTTTGTGGACGTGGGCGTGGAGAGCGCGGCGGAGGTGGAGGGCGACTCGTACACGACGCTTGACAGCCCGGGCGACAGGGTGGGCGGGGCGGCGCGCGTGATAATGTTTCGCAGCAGGTACGGGTATTGGTCAGCGCGGCTGTGGCGCAGTCGTGGCAGCACTTTTGCGGAGATGGGGGTGGAGGTGGTGTCGGGGGAGACGTACAGGCTGCGGGCACGGAACGACTTTACGACGCGGGCTCTTCTGCTGGAGGTGGGCAGCAAGGAGCTGTACAGCGGCATGGACAACTTCCACCAGTTGGATGCGCCGGTGCACGAGGGGGTGCGCGTGGGCGTGTACGTTTCGAAGAGCGCGTCGGAGGTGCAGGAGGTGCGCGTGGGCAACATGAGCTTCTGCGGAGGCAAGCACGCGGCGGTGGCAGGCGAGGGCCCGGTGCGCGGGCAGGACCTGCCGCCGGTGTGGCGGACGGTTGAGGCCGACCGGAACGCTCTCTTAGCTGTGGAGGCCAAGAGCGTGGACGCGAGTGCGGCGAGTAACCTGGTCGTGCCAGGCAGTGGTGGGTTGGTGGCGACGAACACGTCTGCGTACAACGCGACGACGGGCGCGGTGACGGTGGTGCCGGAGAGTGCAGGGTCCACAGCTGTTGGTGTGGCTGTATTGCAGGGCGTTGCACCGTCGCAGCTGCTTTTGAACGGTGGCAAGGTGCTGGATGTCGCGTTCGACCTGATGATCGACTACGACGGGACGAGCTCGTCTTCCTTCGTGTTTGTTGACGTTGGGACGGAGGGGCTGGAGGGACTTGTGGGCGAGAGCCCTGAAATTTTCGCGCAGTCGTCTTTTCCGTGGGCAGTCGTGCGACTTGGGTTCACCCGCAGTGGGTCTGAGCGCTGGAGGGCTGCGATCGAGGTCCCGAACCGCTTCCTCATGACCGATTTCTTCACGCTGCGGTCCGGCACGGTGCGCCGCGTGCGCTTCACGGGGGACGTCAGCAACAGGAGGATGGAGTTTTACCTGGACGGCATCTTGGCCAGACGAGAGGGCATGAGCTCGACTGATATCTTCTACCTGGAGCGGTCGCTGGAGGAGAGCGGGCATCTGACGGGCGTGAACGTCGGGGCGTTCGACCGCAGTAGGTCCAGGCTAGGTGCCCTGCATGTGGGCAACTTGGAGTTTGGCACCGAGTTTGCCATCGCGGAGGTGCCGGACCACGGGGCGGTGGAGGTGGAGACGCGCGTGTCGCGGTCGGCGCTGTCGAGCTTCGCGGGCTGCACGGTGCAGGACATGCAGGTGCGTGTCGAGGTGGCGCACGAGTCGGCATGGGACCTTGAGCTGCGGGTGAAGTCGCCGAGCCAGCGCGAGGTGCTGCTGTGGGGCGGCGACGGTGTGGCGCGGGCGGCGGGCGCGGGCGCGGGGCGGGCGGGCGTGGCGGCGGTGTTTTGGGACGACGCGACGGTGGCGGCCGGGAGCGACGCGGCGCTGCCGCTGACGGGCGTGGTGCGGCCGCAGGGGCGGCTGCGGGACTTTTTCGGCGAGGACCCGGAGGGCACGTGGGTGGTGAAGGTGTCGGACGGGCGGGCGAGCGACGCGGCGGAGCTGGCGGAGCGCGCGCAGGCGGTGCGGGATGTGGAGCTGGAGTTTGCGTGCGACGGGCCGCGGCGCGGGTACGTGGCTGACGTGGGCGAGGCGGTGCCGGACGGGGGCGTGCTGGTGTCGACGCTGGAGGTGGCGGCGGAGGACAGCTGTCCGCTGCGGTACGTTGACGTAAGCGTGGACATTCCGCACCGGCACGTGAAGGACGTGTACGTGTACCTGACGGCGCCGAACCGGGACGCGCGGCGGCTGTATTTTGGCGACAGCGAAGGGCGCGACGGCGAGGCGAACGTGACGCGGTCGCTGCTGCAGCAGTCGACGGCGTACCTCGGGGACGAGAGCGCGGGCGTGTGGGAGCTGCGGGTGTACGACGACTTTGGGTCGGACCTGGGGTCGCTGGCGTCGTGGAACATGACGCTGACGTGCGAGCCGGAGGTGCTTGGTGTGGTGGAGCAGGTGTGCGAGGGCGAGGGCACGCTGGCGGTTGAGGCGGCGAGCGCGGGGAGCGCGCTGGTGCTGGACGGGTCCAGTCGTGTGGCCCGCACCAACACGAGCACGTACAACGCGACCGAGGGCGGCGTCATCACGCTGCGGCCCGAGGGGCCGTTCACGAGCCGGCGGCTGGCGATGGCGTACCTGGAGGGCGTGAACGCGTCGGAGGTGCTGGCGACGGGGCTGCTGGACGTGACGTTTGACGTACAGGTGGACTTCACGGGGGCGTCGTGGGAGGGGTACGTGTTTGTGGACGTGGGCGTGGAGAGCGCCGCGGAGGTGGAGGGCGACGCGTACTGGACGCTGGACAGCCCGAACGAGTCGGTGGGCGGGGCGGCGCGCGTGATGCTGCGCAACTCGTACGGGAGGTGGTACGCGCTGCTGCGCACTCCCGACAGTTATGCCGAGATGGAGGTGGAGCAGGAGGTGGTGTCGGGGGAGACGTACAGGCTGCGGGTGTGGTACGACATCATTACGCGGGCTTCACGACTGGAGGTGGGCAGCGAGGAGCGGTACTACGGCTTGGATCCCTCCCACCGGGTGGACGCGCCGGTGCACGAGGGGGTGCGCGTGGGCGTCTACGCGGGGAACAGCGCGTCGAGGTTGCAGGAGGTGCGCGTGGGCAACATGAGCTTCTGCGGAGGCAACGTTGCCACCGTCAATCCCGACACGGCGGAGACGGTGTTCTCAAGCTCGACGGAGTCCATCTTCTCAAGCAGCCAGCCCCAGTGGATTCCAGGCGGGGGCAGCACCGAGGTGCCCCTCAGCCGGACCTTGAGCTCGTCGGGTTTGGACTGCGATGTCACTGACGGCGCCGTTGACATCGACGTCGCCCACGCGAATCCCGAGACTCTGCAGTTCTACCTGCAGGCGCAGTCCGGATACGGCATCGCGCTGCGCGTTCCTCCTGCCAACACGACTGTCGAGCCCTCACACACCGAGTCTCTTGTTGCACCGCGCAACGTGTCGAGCATCGTGAACGGGGGGGCGATGGCCGCAAGTGCGGATGTCTTCGTGGTCACGGGCGGCGCAGGGTTCGACGTGTTCGAGCGCGACGCCCAGGGAGCCTGGTCTGCGGTTGACGTGCTGCCACCTCCCGTGAACGCGTCTTCGAACTTCGGTGCGCGGGCACGCACTCTGGCGGTGATTGGGGACAACCGCATCATTGTCTCCGACCCGGGTTCTGGCGGTTCGGGTGGGACAGTCTTCTCGTACGTCCGTGCCGCCGGCGGCTCTTGGGTGCTCAGTCAGACGCTTGTGTCGCCGGGTGACGCTCATTTTGGTGCGGCTGTGGACGTCGCCGGGGACGACACGCTCGTCGTGATGTCGGAGAAGAGCCTGCACGTGTACGCTTCGAATGACTCGTCGACCTGGAAGTTGAACCAGACGCTGGAGCTCAATTACGTGGCGCCGAATGGAGAGCCTGAGGCGCTCGCGGTGTCACCCGGCTTCATTGCCGTCGCGGACGTGCCGAGCCTGTTCCAGTCCACGACGTCGTTTGTCATGTTCGAGAAGGGCGCAGATGGGCGCTGGACACTCCTGCAGCGAGTCGACCGCTCTGGCACAACTAGCCTAGCCTTCAGTGACAACGAGCTGCTCGTCGGCGACGCATCCGTCAGCTTCGGGCGCGTCGCAGTCTACGCGATCACGGACACGTTGACGGAAAGCAGTTACATCCAGCCAGTCGATAGGCGCACGGGAGACAAGTTCGGGTCTTCCATCACAGTGCAGGGTGGAACAGCCGTCCTGACGGCTCCCGGCTACGTCGGCAACTGCAGTGACGGTCAGATCAGCACTCTCGGTGCGCTGTACGTCATGAACCGCGCGCAGGACGGTGCGTGGCTCCTTGACGAGCAGCCACTGCTGCGGCCGTGCTCTGATGACGTTGTGCTCCCGGAGACCTACGGGCAGGTCGCTCTCTCGCGTGACAACGTGCTAGCGGCATTCGATCGCACCAGGCTCAACATTCAGACCACGGAATCGGGCCCGGGTGCGGTGTTCGAGACGCAGCTGCCGACGGCCATAGTTGGCACAGCTCGCATCACCATCGGCGGGAAGGCGACTGACGCGACGGACGGCAGGACATTCTACGAGTCGCTCGAGCCCTTCACCGCCCTGGCGGGGATCGACGGGCGCGAGGGAACCTGGACGCTGAAGGTCACAGACAGCCGCAAGGATCGGCACGCTGCTATCCAGCACATCGTGAGTGCGAAGCTGCGCCTGATGTGCTCAGGAGGGAACGTGTCGCGCGCGCTCGATGCCGCTGTCCCCGACAACGGCAAGCTGATTGACACGATCGAGATCAGCAACAGCCGGGGCTGTTTGGTGGACGGAGTTCAGGCCAACCTCGACATCAAACACCGGCACGTCAAGGACCTCGTCGTGTACTTGGGCAGGCCGGACGGCGTCGTCGAGCGGCAGTACTACGGGGACACTCAGGGCCTGGACGGCGTTGCAGACCTTGAACGCTCCATCTCCCTGGGGAGCCAGTTCAGCGGCCAGGACGTGTCGGGCAAGTGGACGCTCCATGTCTACGACGACTTCGGGTCTGATTTGGGGTCGCTCTGGTCCTGGAGCTTGACATTCACCTGCCGGGGCAAGCTACCTGCATCGTGCTACAACGCCGAAGCTGTGGCGCACCCTCTCTCCGACATCGTGTCCTCCAGCGTGCCGCGGTACAGCTCGGCGAGTGCAGGGACCTTCGTTTCCACGGGCGAGGGTGCAAGCGTTGTGCTCTCCTCGGACACGGAGGCCTCGCACATTGCGCGTCTCCCAGTGCCGCTCGCTTTGACTGGGACGACGTTCAAGTTTTGGTCCGAGTTCCGGCGGCAAGGGTTGCGATTCACCCGCAGCAACCACCTGTGGTTCAGCTTCGGGCGAGAGACGCCTGCGCAGGCGTGGCAGTCGCGGTTCTACTTCTCGACGGACGACATCACGGACGGCCTGGACCAGCACGAGTTCCGCATCGGCATCGAGTGGCTCAGCGAGCAGAGCTGCCGCATCATTCTCGCAGACGGGTCGTCGTACTTCAGCAGCATCGTGTCCGACAACGACTACAGCCTGCCTTCGGAGATCTGCACTAGTGACGAGTGGCACCTGTTCGTCGTGGAGATCGAGCCGTCGGATTTCTCCGTCGTGAAGGTCAACGTCGGCTTCGATGCGCACCGCACAGAAGCATTCTTCTCCGTGTCCTCCTCCACCCAGCAGGTCCAGGAGCGTCTCCCTGGTCACATGCTGATGAAGGCTCGTGGCACGTCGGTGTCGGTGGGGGCGCGCGTGATCGGCACGTCATCCCGGAACGCCACCGTCGAGGTGCGCGGCCTCACGACGTGCCGCTCCCCGGGCTCCGACGTCCAGCCGCTGGCCCTGGCACCTGTCAAGGGCGACTGTGCACCTGATGTCGCCCTCGCTGAGGCTGCGCAGACGGCCCCGACCACCCAACTCAGCGACGCGACTGCGATCTGCGTCTACGCTGACGAGAGGCCTGCGTCGAACCAACCGGTTGACCGGATGAGCGTGCCCCGCGACGCCAGGGTGACGGGCATCAACATCACCGTCGACCTGGAGCACACCGACTTGAGCCGCCTCTCGCTGGACCTCGTCTCGCCGATCGGCACGGCCGTCCCTCTCGTGCGGTCGAACTCGACCTACGGAATGCGGCTGGCGCGCACGCGCTTCTCCGACGCGGCTGCCGACACGGCTGCAGCGGGCGACATGCCCTACAGGGGGGCGTACAGGCCCGTGGAGGCGTTCGCCGCCCTCATTGACGAGCCTGCGATCGGACGATGGTGTCTTCAGGTACGGAACGAGCCGTCTACTGCTCTGGTGCGGTACATTTTCAAGAGCTTCCAAGTGCAGCTGGCCACGCGGGATGGCAACCACCAGAGCCTGCGCGAGCACGCAGCCGTCACGCAGCGCATCCCCGACGCCGCACTGCTGGAGCAGACGCTCAGCATCACGGCGGAGCGCAGCTGCACTCTCGAGGGCGCGCGCGTCGTCACGGACGTGCACCACACGCACCACGCGGACATCAGTGCATGGTTCCAGGCGCCGACCGGGGCGTTCGGCGTGATCACGGACGAGTACGGCTTCAAGGAGGGCATCGACGGCGTGGTTTCGAGGTCGTACGGGTACGGCGGGAGCCAGGAGCCGGGGTACGGCTCGGGCTCGCTGTCGAACATGCTGCGAGGCACGAACAACACGGGGCTGTGGAAGGTGTGGGTGCAGGACGACTTCGCTGGTGACGTCGGTAGCGTCAGCACGGAGATGTGCTTCACCTGCCGCTACAGCGCGGAGCCGACGTGCCCTATCGCCGGCCGCGCCGACAGCACACAGGTTCCTGAGGGCTTGCAGCTCAAGGACATCGACGCAGCAGGCAACGCGTACGTCGTCGGCCGGGACTCGCGCCGTCGGGTGATGAGGATCCTCCGCAACAGGAGGACGGAGGTGCTGGCCTCGAACTTCGCGTCCACCCCAGAGGACATCGCCGTGTCGCCGAGCGGCGTCGTGTACGTGGCGGTCGGCAACCAGGTCGTGCGCATCCAAGGCCGGACTCAGAGCACCTTCGCGACGATGACCCGCCGCCCACTGAGGCTGGCGGTTGCCGAGGAGGACGTGCTGTTCGTCGCAACTAACCAGGGCAGTGTCCTGTTGGTGAACAGCACCTCCAGCTCGGTCTTCCACCCCATCTCCTCGAGCGGCATCCGTGCGCTCACAGTCGAGCCGGGGCAGCCGCGCAGTGTGCTTGCGGCGTTCTCGAACGGGTGCGTCCAGCGTCTGCGCGGCAACGGCGTATCTTCAATTGTCCTCGGCGTCTGCGGCAGGTTTGGGAGGCCCATCGACGGCGACGTGGCGACGAAGACGGCGATCTACTCCCCTGACGGCGTCGCTGTCGACAGGACTACCGGCGACATCTACGTCTCGGACTACACCCTTGACGTGGTGCTGCGGGTGCGCGACGGCAGGGTGAAGATCGTCGCGGGCCAGACCTTCTCGGAAGCACGGCCGCGCCTGGGAGAGGCTGCGAACCTGCAGCCGATCCGCCGGCCTGGAAAGATCTTCGTGGACAATGCTGCGAGGGAGCTCGTGTTTGAGGAGGGCAAGGGGTCCTCAGATGCAACGATCGTCTCCGTGCCGATCACCGCGGACTGTGTGCCCACCCTCACGAGCCCGCCGGGCGGCTTCCTGCTGCCCACGAGCCCCCCTGCGACGACTGTGGGGCCGACCCAGCCTGGCACCAGGCCGCCCAGCGCGGCCACCACCAGGCCGCCCAGGAAGCAGTTCAAGGTCACCACCGCCATCAAGGTAAGATGAATCATGCGAAGAATGCGCGTCACAATTTAGCACAACCAGCCTGTGTTGTGCATTATTGCATGTGTGTCTTTTCACATGTGTTTGTACCTTCACTCGAGCAATCGCAGGTCACTTTGGGCCGGACAATCACTCCACAGCAGGAGCAGGGTCTCAAGACTCTTGCCCTGCGCCTCCTTCAGCTGCCTCTGTCGCTGCTGAATGCCCCTGGCGTCAACGTTGTGGTTGAGCGCGTAACGTCGGGGCGCCGCCTGCTCCAGGGCTTCGAGTACCGGGTGCGGATCGAGTACGTCACCGAGAGCCAGGAAGAGGCGCAGAGGGCTGCCACATCTGCGCAGCAGCTCACACAGGACACGGCTGAGTCGCAGACCGAGCTGCTGACACTCATCCAGACGAGCATTGCAGAAGCAGGTGGAGACGCCACTGCGGTGCAGAGCGTGGCGGTGGAGCAGCCAGCACAGGTACGAATCGCGGCGGGCGTGCCACGGGATGATGATGCTGCTTTGGTCCACGTTGGCAGCACCAAAGTGACCTCTGCTTATTGGTCCGTGCCGTCGCTGCAGGTCGAGGAGACGGTGATCGAGGACACCCCGGCGCCGGTCACGACAGCTGCGCCTAGCACACCGCCCGGGGCCACGACTGCCCCTGCGGCATCAACCGCTGCCCCTGACACCACCGCACCGCCGACGTCACCTGCTGCCTCCACGGTTGTCGCGACGTCTCCAGCGGCAACCACGGCCGCAGCGACGACCACGGCCGCGGCAACCACCACAGCTGCTCCAACCTCTACGGCTGCGGTCACGACTGCGGCTGCAGCCACCACGACTGCGGCTGCAGCCACCACGGCTGCAGCGACAACACCCGTCCCGGAGACGACCGGCGCTCCTGCGACGACGGCCGCTGCCACTACCGGCGCGCCAGCATCCACGTCGGCGGCCACCACCCCTGCGTCAACGTCGGCGGCTGCCACCACTCCTGCCGCGACCACGGTCGGATCGACAACGGCCGTGGCAGCAAGTACCACGCCGCCGCGGACCACGCCTGCGATCTTCGGCGACACGGTCGAGGTGGTGCTCACTCTCACCATCCCAGGCGACATCACCACGCTGACGGACGGGGAACGCGTCGCGATCCAGAACGCCTTCGCGGACGCCCTGCGGACCACGTACCCGGGCATCGAACCTTCGATGATCGAGGTCCGCATCGTATCGGTGGCGCGCAGGCGCCTGATGGCGCTCACGCTCGAGGTCGTCGCCAGCGTCCCAGAATCCGTGTCCGCGGAATCTGCCGCTTCTCTGCGCCGACAGTCCATCAACGGCAACCTCGACGCGTACCTCCGTTCGCGGGGCTTCACGGCAGCTGTTGAGTACGGCGACGTAACGGTGCGGCAGCCCACGGCAGGGAACATCGTCGAGGCAACGACGCCACCGGCCAGCACGCCAGTTCCTGCCGAGCCGTCGAGCGACAGCACCGACGCGATCCTCATCGGCTCGCTGCTGGGCGCGGCCGGCGTGGTCGCTATCGTCGTTGGTGCGGTGTTGGTCATCCGCCACAAGCGGCGCGCGGGGCTGCGCATCGGCGACAGTTCCCAGATCTCAGGTGCCGGGGACCTCGAGTCTCCGAGGTCGACGTCGAACGAACCGGTGCCTGCAAACGGCGAGACTGCGGGCGTTCCCGTTGACAGGCCTGCAGCGCCTATCGTCCCAGCGACCTCGGATGACAAGGCATTCGATGCGCTCAGCAACGAGATGGGCGATCGGCGTTACGTGGCTCCCCGCAGCGGGTCCGCGTCGCCGAGGGCGATCGTTTGATTCACAGGGGATCATGCGAGACGCCCGGTTCGCGGCGTGAGGGGCACGCTGGCAGCGGCATAGGTCGCTGTTCACGCAGCTCCACGTGATGCTCTGTTGAGAGATCCAACAGGGCCGCACGCGCGTCGCGGACCACGCTCGAACCGCACACTTTCCCCTTCTTGTGCTTAGCTGCTTCGCGCAAAAGATGCGCAAACGATACGCAATGAGGACCGGGGCATTTCGTCAACCTCTGGCAGTGTGACCTCGTTCCATCAACGCCCATCTGCCACGTCTCACTCTTTGCCCCGCACGGCAGAGGATCAGCCCTGGAGGCTGATGCCAGTTGCTAGTACCAGGTTGGCACTTGAGTGTGATCCGAACCACCGCGTCGCCTTGCATGTCATATTTGACGTGCATGTCCGCTCTTTGGGCTTGCGTGGCGACCGCGGCCCGATCGTGCCCCGCGCGGACACCCCCCTGTCTCCGCGGCGATGGAGGCATTTACGGGCGCGGACTTCGAGGGCTTCGGCGGCGGTGCAAGCCAAGGAGGCCGGGCGGGCGGGAGGGGAGGGGAGGGCGGGGACGCGGCGGGGGCGGTGACACGGCAGCACCTGGACGCGGCGCTGCACGACGCGCGGCCGTCGCTGGCGGCGCGCGAGCGGGCGCTGGCGGCGGAGCGCATGCGGCAGTTCGTCGAGGCGCGCACTGCGGGCGCGGGGACGGACCGGAGCGCGATGGTGCGGGTCATTGGGACGCGGGCGACGCTAGCTTAGGTGCCCGTGCGACTATGAGGGCGGGTGGAGCGTCAGCGCGGTGCGCCGTGCTCTTCTTCTCCGTGTGTCGATAGCCTCCTTGCGAACGGTGTCGGGCCTGGCGTACCTCGCCCGCCCGGCAGCGAAATGACAGATGAATTTCTCGGCGTGGAGCGGGCGCAGGGACGCTGTGTAAGTCGCTGAGCGAACCGAGCGTGGAGGACCTGCGACTGCCCATTGCAGGCGGGAGGCGCAGGCGTGCGGGCCTTTGCGGCCGAGGTCGATCCGCGGTGCCCTCCTGGTTCTACCGATGCGGTGGATGGTGGGGATGAGCGACGCAGGTCATCGTTGGATATGCGGCGCGCAGGCAATGTTGGATTTGCTAGCAGGCAGGGCGCACTGCGGATTGTGCGAAGCATCACGACGAGCCGCGGTCTTCCACTCAATACCCATGAACATGCTGCTCGAGCCATGAAACCCCCGTTGTGCGCCCCTGAGCCCCGCACGATGCGCTCAAGGCGAGCGCTGCCCCTCTGCGTCCCGCGCGCGCCCGGACCTCGCGAGTCGACTCTGTCCAGGGCCCCTTTCGCGATCTCATGACTATACACTACAAGGAGGTCCATCGATCGGCGCGCCGGGGGTCCCTGACCGTGCCTGTGCCGCATACGTGCCCTACCGATCACCGAGCAGGCAGTGCGCTCCGGGCACGAGGCGCGCGATTCCGACTGTATCTCACACCGCTGGAGCTCAACTCTCTACATGCACGTGGCATCTCGCTCATCTACGGGCCGCGGGACGCGCCACGGGCCCCGCACAACGGCCAATCGCTGCAGGGGCCACGTAGTCAGGCTCGGAGCCCAGTGCATCACACCGCAGCTCATGGCCCGCGCGGCGCGCGGGCTGCATCGACTGTCCTGTACCGGGGGAATCATCTCGGTGCGCCGAACGTCGACGCTTCCCACCGGGGGGCCGTGAGTCTGCGGCTCTGGTGCGTGCTGTGGGAGGGCCGGCTAGCGGGATTCAGCACAGTGGCGAATCGACACATTTGCGCTACAGCGACACAGGCACGCCCCCTCCCGCTGGCCTCGGCCTCTCGCTCCGATGGTGCGGCGAGACCCGCATCCGTCCGCGGGCGCCCAAGCTACCATGTACCTCCTAGAAGCCACACATCTGCGCGGCCCAATGCGCCATCGGTGCGACTTGAGTCTCCGGCGCCTGCCGCTCAACATTTGTGCCAGGCTGTCTGGTGGACCGCCGATAGCGAGATGCTGCCCCGCGGCTGCGATCGACGGCACACAACGTGAAGGATCACGGCGCCCCATCTCGGGTGATCATGCCCGAGTTTGCCGCCCAATATTGCGCGACTGGCATCTGAATCTCCGATACATTCCCCTCGCGCATCGTTACACGCCTCGATTGCTTCGGGTACGGCGCTTCGAGCGTGCCCGGGATTTCTAATCGCCTCGTTCGACCGCGAATGGCCCTCGCGCGCCGCCTGGGAGCGCACGAGAGCCTTTTTGATGATTCAAGCCGCGCACGTTGGCGCACCGGAGTCGATCGTCGCCGCATTCCCCAGCGCGCCGCCGCAGCACTCCTCGTCGCCGCAGTCGCTGCCGCCCCCTCCACCCCGTCGCGAGCACCTCGACGGCACATCTCACTTTTTTCGGCATGTAGCGGCCGTCCGTGGGGGTCGAACCACTGCCCGGCGATCCTCACGCGCCAGGACCGCGACAGACACGGCAGAAGCTCCGTCAACCACAGGCCGTGGTCCCGGACGATTCGATGCCGCTGCGGCGCCCTCGCTGCGCGCACTGCATTCTCCGTGATACGAACGCGAGCCCGAGCAACATGTTCGGCCGCACACCCTCCCCGTCCCGGCGGGAGCGCAGCGGGCCTGCTGAGCGCTGCCGGTGCCCCCTGGGCAGGGCGCGACGGCACCGGCCTCGCGCGCGGGCGCCTCGTCGGGCATGTTCATGTTTCACTCGACCGGTTCGGCCGCAAATCGAGCGGTGTTCGGCGCCTTTGAACGCAGGCTGCCCATCTGCTCGTGCTTCCACGTTGCACGACCAACATGGGCGTCGGGGCGCCGCTCACGACGGCGCTGCTCTGCGTCCTCGCGCTTCTCGTGGGCGCGCTGGGCGTTTCCTCGGGCGTGAGCGCTGACACTCCCGTCCAGGACATCCTGCGCGCCGGCCTGAAAGCGCGCGACGCCCGCCTGCTCTCGGAGACGGAGCCCCAGGGCGAGCTCGGCTTCCTGACGCCGGGTCAGACCGTGGAGGCGCCGTTCAGGCGGAAGGAAGCCGGTTTCTTGCCGCGCGCCATCCCGGACGCGGGCGCTCTTGAGACCTCCATCTCCATCTCGGGGAGCGACTCTCTGGTGGCGACCGGCTGTATCATCGACAGAATCGGCGTCGAAATCAACATCACCCACCCGAGGGTCCAGGATCTGGACATCTTTCTGCAGGTGCGGCCGCTGCCAGGGCAAACATCACTTGCCGCAATGAGCAACAGAATCGACCGCCCCCGCTGACTGCGACCACGCGTGGCCGGCCGCGGCCCTCACACGGCAACACCCGCGATGCCCTCGGAGCTCCAGGTCGGCAGCGATCGAAGCGGCCGCTGCCCGTCGCCACCGTGTGCATGTACGCAACACGGTGGCTCCTGGCTCGCCGCTATGGCGCTCACGACCCGCGCCCATTGTCGTCCAACGTGCAGGGACCTGCGAAGACCGAGGTCGAGCTCGCCACCGACGTCCGCGGCGGGTCGGCGAACGCGACCCTGCGGCTGTTCGACGCTGGCGATGTCGACAGCACCGGCAGGCGCCCCGTGCTCGTGCGCGTCGACGAAGCGTCCGGTCCGCTCGTGGGGGACTTCGCTCCCGAGGAGGGCCTGACGCCCATGTTCCGCGGCAAGTCGCCGGCGGGCACGTGGACGCTCAAGGTGTCGGATGACACGCCGTCGCCCTCCGGCGCCACGCAGGTGCGCGACCCCCCCGCATGTCCGCAACGCCGTGTCGGCAGCGCAGTGCCCGCGCGCTGGAGGCACCCGATTGGTGTCTGAGGCTTGCTCCGCGCGGCCCACACCATTGCAGGAGCTGCTGGGCTTCGCGCTGCTGTTCCAGTGCCGCGGCGAGGAGCGCGTCAAGTTCGAGAAGGAGCCGCGCGATTTGAACGGCGACCCGGTCGCTCTTGACGCGCTGATCGTCATCGACAGCCTGGAGGTGGCGGCCGAGGACAGCTGCACTGTCGACGCCGTTGACCTTGACTTCTCGCTGCGGCTCAACTACACGAGCGCGGGGGCGAAGGTGTTGCCTTACATCGTCAAGATCCCCCCGGGCGTTCCGCTGCTGAACGCGACCGCGTTTTTGGACGGCGTCGGCGACGGGACGCTGCCTGGCATCAACATCAACTTTGCAGGGCCGACTTCGCCGGGAGTGCAGACCGTGAACGTCGCCGCGAGCGGTATCTCGACGTTCGACGGTGCACCCTCTGAGGGCAACTGGTTCTTCGTACTGGTCAATTTCGACGTTGCGGCTGAGGACGCGCTGCTGTCCTGGTCGGTGTCGGTGTCCTGCCGGCCGACGCGGGTCTTCCCGCCGACGTGCCCCGCGGGGTACAACGACGCCGTGCCTGCGTCGCTGCAGCGGGAGCGGCGGCTGCTCGCCTCTGAGGCCAGGAGGATGATGGCGGGCAACTCCACCAGCAACGCGACGGTCGTCCCTGACGCCACCGTCGCGCCCACGGTGCCGCTCAACATCTCGGGCGCGTTCCAGTACGCGCTGGACCTGTCGACCACCGCGGGCCTCACGGCGCTCGAGTGGTCCTCGCGGTTCTCGAGTGTATACCGTGTGGCGATCAACACAACTGTCGACACAGACGCCGAGGTCGTCCGCTTTAACGGACCCAGCACCAGCGATGCCGGCGCGCTCGTCTTCATGCCCTTCACCGCGGAGGAGCTCGGCGCGGCCGTCAACGTCTGGGCCGATGTGCGTGTGGGCGATGCCATCGCTGCCACGTCTGGCGAGTTCTGGCTTACCATCAGCGGAGCCGACGAGGACACGACCAGGAGTGCGCAGGGATACGATGTGTACGAGTCGCGCAACGAGATGGGTCGCAACATTCGGGCTGGCGTCGCCCACGACCGCGCGAAGGACCAGTACTACCTCTACGTCCGCGTCGGAAACTACGTGGCGCTCAGCCAGAAGATGTCTGCGTTCGATGACGGCATGTGGCGCACGCTCCATCTGCAGCTGGATCGCGACACCGGCGTCGGACTGATCCAGGCAAGTCACCCTCACTGCTCCTTGACGCTGGGGCCCGTCCCGGGGCCAGCCCACGGTCACACTGCTCGGGGGCAGATATCGCCTGCATGTCCACGCCATGTTGACTTTGCTCACGCCGTCTTCGAGGACGGCATCTCCGTACTGCTGTGCATGTGCACCGGGTTTTGCAGCGCCTTGCCCGCTGCGCTCCCTACGTGCTCGTTCCGGAACCGCAATGGTCCGACTCCTGACCATCTGTTATGCAGTTCGGCGAGGTTTCGTACGACTTCGTGGTCCCGAAGAACCTGCTCTGGGTCCCGGACCTGCGGCACAACGGCACCGTGCTGGCCGCCGCCCGGAGCCTGTCCAACTCAGACGTGCCAGCGGCCACTTACGAGCTGCGCAACATCTTCTTCTGCGGCAACCCGCTCGGCGCCCCCCGCACGGCGCCCGAGAACCCCACTCCTGGGGTTGACGTCGGGCTCGCTGTTGCCTGGCGCCAGAGCGGCCTGGGCTCGGGTGTGTCGATCCCGGCGCGCGGTGCTCGCGAGATCTCCATGTCAGTCTCGTCTTCGGACGAAGTGGCGCGTAGATGCGTCCTCGAGCAGCTTCTGGTGGCCGTGGAGGTGGAGCACCCCCGCGTTGGCGACCTCGACATCGCCGTGCGGGCGCCAGACGGCACGCAGGCGCTCCTGTGGGCGGGCGACGCTCAACAGACCGGCAGCGACCTCCGCGCGGTGTTCTGGGACGGCTCCTCGGTCCCCCCAGGCAGCGTGGACGGTCCATACATAAGCGGGGCGATCGACCTCGAGGCGGGCCGCGACGGGCAGAGCGTGCGTCCGGCGCATGCGCTTGGAGTCATGCGCCGGCACGAGATTGAAGGCACCTGGACGCTCAAGGTCTCCGACCGCACTCCGAGCGCTGCTGGCAGCGCGACAGCACCCCCCGACGACACGCGCAGCATCAAGAGCTGGGCGCTGGGCTTCGTGTGCGGCGACCCCGTGCGGAACTTCACGCGGGAGCCGGAGCTGCCCCTCGGGGACCGGCAGTGGACGGTGGACACCCTGACCATCGCCCCGGAGGACTCGTGCATCGTCGAGGACGTCGACATCACGCTCAACATCTCACACCCGCACGCTCAGGACCTCGGAGTGTACCTGACCCGGCAGTTCAAGTCCATCGAGATGTACCAGCAGCTTGGCGTTGGGGGGCTCGACGGCGCAGTCATCACCTACGGTGACAACGTCTACGGGGAGGACGGATCGATCCCGCTGACGCCCAGCATCTGGCGGCGCAACATGCTTTACGTGCCGTCGTACGCGAGGTTCACGTCGACCGATTACACTACTTTCAGGGCCAGCGCTTTCGAGAGCGGCTCGAGCGAGGGGACGTGGACGCTGCGCATCAAGGACGACTTCAGCGGCGACAACAACGGGACCGTGCTGCACAACTGGAGCCTGAGGGTCATGTGCCGCAGCGAGATTCCGCGCATCGAGGAGCTGGAGTGCGAAGGCGGGCCGCGGCGCCAGGTGAACGCAACTGATCTGTCTCGGGGCGAGAAGTTCTACTGGCTGAACGGCGGCTCAACGACATCACTCGCAGCGCGCGAGCTGGTGGTCGACACGGCGTCTGGCGTGACCACTCTCGCGTCTGGAGCCGATGAGGACCTGGCGGGCTTCCTGTTCCTTCCCAAGGACGTCGCAAACACGTCCGCCCTCGGCAGCATGATCGACATCTCGGCGGAGCTCTCGCTGTACGGCGACGTGTCTCGGCAAGACGGCGCAGTGTGGATCGAAGTCGGTCAGGAGGATCCCTCAATCGAGCGGCCCCCTTCCTACATCGGATTCAGCCCGCACAGGAGTGACCGTATGAGCATTCGCGCCGGCCTGGAGTGGGGCGAGTTCCGCAATGCACCGACCGTCTTCGTGCAGGCCGGGTCGCACCGCTTCACGGCGCAGCTGTCGGACAGTGTCTACTACAACAGCGACTGGAGAACGTTCAGGCTGGTGCTCAACATGACGTCTCTGACGGGGCGCGTGAGGTTCGGGTCCGAGTCCGTGTCGTTCTACCTGCCGGCGTCCGTCGTCCTCGAGATCGGCGAGGGTTCCCGGGTGTTCCTCGGAACGTGGACTGACCCTACGCGGTCCTGGTCGGTTGTGCAGCAGCGCGTGCGAAACGTCAGCTTCTGCCCCTCGGCACGTTCCGCCGCATACGACGCTGTGCAGTCGCCGGCGGTGCCGCGCCCGAGCGTGTCGTACACGTTCGGCACGTTTGACAGGAACAATGCCATCCCTGATCACGGCGCGACGGAGGCGCGCACCTCAGTGTCGTCTTCGTACGGATCGGGTAGCTCTTTCTACGCTTGTCCGATACTCAGCGTGAAGGTCACCGCCACCATCGTGCACCCGCGGCCCGAGGATCTCCAGTTGCGCCTCAAGTCCCCCGCTGGGAAGGAAGTCCTGCTCTCCGGCGCAGGGGCGAACGGCACGGTGGTGTTCAGCGACGGCGCGGCGCAGACCATCTCCGAGATGGGCGCCCTCACCCCCGGTATGTCGACAGAAGCCCGGCCCGACGAGCCCTTGTCAGCTTTCACTGGCTTCTACCCAGACGGCACCTGGACCCTGAAGGCATCGGACGGGGTGCCAGGCGGCGTCGGTGAGCAGGTTTTGCGAGACTGGGAGCTCGAGCTGGAGTGTCACGAGGTGTTCGCCTTCACAACGGGCCGAGAAATGGCGATCCCTGACGGCTCGTATGCGACAGACACCGTGACCATTGCCGAGGAGGACGGCTGCGAGATCTTCCAGATCCGCGTCCGCCTGGACCTGACGCACCCGCACACCGACGACCTGCGCGTCTTCCTGCGCAGCCCCCAGGGGCGACTTCAGACTTTGTACAACGAGCCGGGCGTCAGTGGCTCCCCATACAACTTCTCCTCGAACGCGTACACCTCAACGTCCTTCCGGTCGACGTCCAGTGCTGGCAACTGGACGTTGCTGGTTCAGGATGACTTCAAGGCAGACGTTGGCACCCTGGCGTCATGGTCGCTGGAGACCATTTGCTATGGCGAGCCCCTGGCAGTGTTGGAGCAGGTGTGCGAGGGCGAGGGCGCGCTGGCGGTTGAGGCGGCGGCCGTGGGCAGCGCGCTGGTGCTGGACGGGTCCAGTCGTGTGGCCCGCACCAACACGAGCACGTACAACGCGACCGAGGGCGGCGTCATCACGCTGCGGCCGGAGGGCCCGTTGACGAGCCGGCGGCTGGCGATGGCGTACCTGGAGGGCGTGAACGCGTCGGCGGTGCTGGCGAGCGGGACGCTGGACGTGACGTTTGACGTGCAGTGGGACTTCACGGGGGCGTCGTGGGAGGGGTACGTGTTTGTGGACGTGGGCGTGGAGAGCGCCGCGGAGGTGGAGGGCGACTCGTACACGGCGCTGGACAGCCCGAACGACTCGGTGGGCGGGGCGGCGCGCGTGATGCTGCGCAACTCGTACGGGAGGTGGTACGCGCTGCTGCGCACGCCCGACAGGAGCGTGGAGATGGAGGTGGAGCAGGAGGTGGTGTCGGGGGAGACGTACAGGGTGCGGGTGCGGTACGACCTGACCACGCTGGAGACGCGCGTTGAGGTGGGCAGCGAGGAGCGGTACTACGGCATGGTCTCCAGCAACGTCCTTGACGCGCCGGTGCACGAGGGGGTGCGCGTGGGCGTGTTTGCGGGTGCCAGCGCGTCGGAGGTGCAGGAGGTGCGCGTGGGCAGCATGAGCTTCTGCGGGGGCAAGCACGCGGCGGTGGCAGGCGAGGGCCCAGTGCGCGGACGGGACCTGCCACGGCAGTGGCGGAGGGTCGAGGCCGACGGGCAGACGACGGTGCTGATCGGCGTGGCCGGGAGCGTGGACGCGAGCACGGCGAGCGACGTGCTGGTCGTGGGGTCGGACGGGCAGACGCTGGTGGCGACGAACACGTCTGCGTACAACGCGACGACGGGCGCGGTGACGGTGGTGCCGCAGGGCAGCGGGTCGGTGGCGCTGGCTGTCGCAGCGGCGGAGGGCGTGGCGCCGTCGCGGTTGACTGGGCAGGGCGGCAAGCTGGACGTGTCGTTCGACGTGATGATGGAGTTCAACGAGACGATGACCTCTGGCGGGGACTACGTGTTTGTGGACGTGGGCGCGGAGGGGCTGGAGGGCCTGGCGGGCGAGGACCGCGGTCAAGTGCTGTCGCAGCTGCGGGGGTCATCAGTGCGCATCGCGTTTGACAGGCAGTACTCGTCGATCTGGGAGGTCAGAGTGGAGATTTCGGGTGTTGCTGTTGCTGCTCTGCGCGAAAGCTCGGCGACGCTGCAGTCCGGCACAACATACCGCGTGCGCCTCACGGCGGACCCGACAGACGGGAGGCTCGAGCTCTTCCTGGACGGCAGCTTGGGAGACGGGCTGCCGAGCTCTTCCTGGACGGCAGCTTGGTTGAGACGGGCGATGCCGACTTGGTTGCCGTGTCTGTCCGGCTTCTCGGTCTGCCGGGCTCGGTGGAGGGCTGGTTGGACAGCGACCTGACGGGCGTGAGGGTTGGGGCGTTCGACCAGCCCGGTGGGTCCTCGCCCCTGACGCTGCGCGCGGCGCACGTGAGCAACATCAAGTTCGCGGAGTACGGCATCGCGGAGGTGCCGGACCACGGGGCGGCGGAGGTGGAGACGCGCGTGTCGCGGTCGGCGCTGTCGAGCTTCGCGGGCTGCACGGTGCAGGACATGCAGGTGCGTGTGGAGGTCGCGCACGAGTCGGCATGGGACCTGGAGCTGCGGGTGAAGTCGCCGAGCCAGCGCGAGGTGCTGCTGTGGGGCGGCGACGGTGTGGCGCGGGCGGCGGGCGCGGGCGCGGGCGCGGGGCGGGCGGGCGTGGCGGCGGTGTTTTGGGACAACGCGACGGTGGCGGCCGGGAGCGACGCGGCGCTGCCGCTGACGGGCGTGGTGCGGCCGCAGGGGCGGCTGCGGGACTTTTTCGGCGAGGACCCGGAGGGCACGTGGGTGGTGAAGGTGTCGGACGGGCGGGCGAGCGACGCGGCGGAGCTGGCGGAGCGCGCGCAGGGGGTGCGGGCGGTGGAGCTGTTGTTTGCGTGCGACGGGCCGCGGCGCGGGTACGTGGCTGACGTGGGCGAGGCGGTGCCGGACGGGGGCGTGCTGGTGTCGACGCTGGAGGTGGCGGCGGAGGACAGCTGTCCGCTGCGGTACGTGGACGTAAGCGTGGACATACCGCACCGGCACGTGAAGGACGTGTACGTGTACCTGACGGCGCCGAACAGGGAGGCGCGGCGGCTGTACTTCGGTGACATCCAGGGGCGCGACGGCGAGGCGAACGTGACGGGGGCGCTGCTGCCACAAACGACGGCGTACCGGCTGGACGAGAGCGCGGGCGCGTGGGAGCTGCGTGTGTACGACGACTTTGGGTCGGACCTGGGGTCGCTGGCGTCGTGGAACATGACGCTGACGTGCGAGCCGGAGGTGCTTGGTGTGGTGGAACAGGTGTGCGAGGGCGAGGGCGCGCTGGCGGTTGAGGCGGCGGCCGTGGGCAGCGCGCTGGTGCTGGACGGGTCCAGTCGTGTGGCCCGCACCAACACGAGCACGTACAACGCGACCGAGGGCGGCGTCATCACGCTGCGGCCGGAGGGCCCGTTGACGAGCCGGCGGCTGGCGATGGCGTACCTGGAGGGCGTGAACGCGTCGGCGGTGCTGGCGAGCGGGACGCTGGACGTGACGTTTGACGTGCAGTGGGACTTCACGGGGGCGTCGTGGGAGGGGTACGTGTTTGTGGACGTGGGCGTGGAGAGCGCGGCGGAGGTGGAGGGCGACTCGTACACGACGCTTGACAGCCCGGAACGACTCGGTGGGCGGGGCGGCGCGCGTGATGCTGCGCAACTCACGGGAGGTGGTACGCGCTGCTGCGCACGCCCGACAGGAGCGTGGAGATGGAGGTGGAGCAGGAGGTGGTGTCGGGGGAGACGTACAGGGTGCGGGTGCGGTACGACCTGACCACGCTGGAGACGCGCGTTGAGGTGGGCAGCGAGGAGCGGTACTACGGCATGGTCTCCAGCAACGTCCTTGACGCGCCGGTGCACGAGGGGGTGCGCGTGGGCGTGTTTGCGGGTGCCAGCGTCGGAGGTGCAGGAGGTGCGCGGGCAGCATGAGCTTCTGCGGGGGCAAGCACGCGGCGGTGGCAGGCGAGGGCCCAGTGCGCGGACGGGACCTGCCACCGGTGAGGGTCGAGGTTGACGGGCAGACGACGGTGCTGATCGGCGTGGCCGGAGCGTGACGAGCACAGCGAGCGACATGGTGGTCGTGGGGTCGGACGGGCGAACGCTGGTGGCGACGAACACGTCTGCGTACAACGCGACGACGGGCGCGGTGACGGTGGTGCCGCAGGGCAGCGGGTCGGTGGCGCTGGCTGTCGCAGCGGCGGAGGGCGTGGCGCCGTCGCGGTTGACTGGGCAGGGCGGCAAGCTGGACGTGTCGTTCGACGTGATGATGGAGTTCAACGAGACGATGACCTCTGGCGGGGACTACGTGTTTGTGGACGTGGGCGCGGAGGGGCTGGAGGGCCTGGCGGGCGAGGACCGCGGTCAAGTGCTGTCGCAGCTGCGGGGGTCATCAGTGCGCATCGCGTTTGACAGGCAGTACTCGTCGATCTGGGAGGTCAGAGTGGAGATTTCGGGTGTTGCTGTTGCTGCTCTGCGCGAAAGCTCGGCGACGCTGCAGTCCGGCACAACATACCGCGTGCGCCTCACGGCGGACCCGACAGACGGGAGGCTCGAGCTCTTCCTGGACGGCAGCTTGGTTGAGACGGGCGATGCCGACTTGGTTGCCGTGTCTGTCCGGCTTCTCGGTCTGCCGGGCTCGGTGGAGGGCTGGTTGGACAGCGACCTGACGGGCGTGAGGGTTGGGGCGTTCGACCAGCCCGGTGGGTCCTCGCCCCTGACGCTGCGCGCGGCGCACGTGAGCAACATCAAGTTCGCGGAGTACGGCATCGCGGAGGTGCCGGACCACGGGGCGGCGGAGGTGGAGACGCGCGTGTCGCGGTCGGCGCTGTCGAGCTTCGCGGGCTGCACGGTGCAGGACATGCAGGTGCGTGTGGAGGGCGCGCACGAGTCGGCATGGGACCTGGAGCTGCGGGTGAAGTCGCCGAGCCAGCGCGAGGTGCTGCTGTGGGGCGGCGACGGTGTGGCGCGGGCGGCGGGCGCGGGCGCGGGGCGGGCGGGTGTGGCGGCGGTGTTTTGGGACAACGCGACGGTGGCGGCCGGGAGCGACGCGGCGCTGCCGCTGACGGGCGTGGTGCGGCCGCAGGGGCGGCTGCGGGACTTTTTCGGCGAGGACCCGGAGGGCACGTGGGTGGTGAAGGTGTCGGACGGGCGGGCGAGCGACGCGGCGGAGCTGGCGGAGCGCGCGCAGGGGGTGCGGGCGGTGGAGCTGTCGTTTGCGTGCGACGGGCCGCGGCGCGGGTACGTGGCTGACGTGGGCGAGGCGGTGCCGGACGGGGGCGTGCTGGTGTCGACGCTGGAGGTGGCGGCGGAGGACAGCTGTCCGCTGCGGTACGTGGACGTAAGCGTGGACATTCCGCACCGGCACGTGAAGGACGTGTACGTGTACCTGACGGCGCCGAACAGGGAGGCGCGGCGGCTGTACTTCGGTGACATCCAGGGGCGCGACGGCGAGGCGAACGTGACGGGGGCGCTGCTGCCACAAACGACGGCGTACCGGCTGGACGAGAGCGCGGGCGCGTGGGAGCTGCGTGTGTACGACGACTTTGGGTCGGACCTGGGGTCGCTGGCGTCGTGGAACATGACGCTGACGTGCGAGCCGGAGGTGCTTGGTGTGGTGGAACAGGTGTGCGAGGGCGAGGGCGCGCTGGCGGTTGAGGCGGCGGCCGTGGGCAGCGCGCTGGTGCTGGACGGGTCCAGTCGTGTGGCCCGCACCAACACGAGCACGTACAACGCGACCGAGGGCGGCGTCATCACGCTGCGGCCGGAGGGCCCGTTGACGAGCCGGCGGCTGGCGATGGCGTACCTGGAGGGCGTGAACGCGTCGGCGGTGCTGGCGAGCGGGACGCTGGACGTGACGTTTGACGTGCAGTGGGACTTCACGGGGGCGTCGTGGGAGGGGTACGTGTTTGTGGACGTGGGCGTGGAGAGCGCGGCGGAGGTGGAGGGCGACTCGTACACGACGCTTGACAGCCCGAACGACTCGGTGGGCGGGGCGGCGCGCGTGATGCTGCGCAACTCGTACGGGAGGTGGTACGCGCTGCTGCGCACGCCCGACAGGAGCGTGGAGATGGAGGTGGAGCAGGAGGTGGTGTCGGGGGAGACGTACAGGGTGCGGGTGCGGTACGACCTGACCACGCTGGAGACGCGCGTTGAGGTGGGCAGCGAGGAGCGGTACTACGGCATGGTCTCCAGCAACGTCCTTGACGCGCCGGTGCACGAGGGGGTGCGCGTGGGCGTGTTTGCGGGTGCCAGCGCGTCGGAGGTGCAGGAGGTGCGCGTGGGCAACATGAGCTTCTGCAGAGGCAACGTTGCCACCGTCTATCCTGACATGGCGGAGACGGTGTTTTCAAGCTCGACGGAGTACGTCACCTCGAGCGGCCAGCCGCATTGGATTCCAGGCGGGGGCAGCACCGAAATCTCACTCGCCCGAATCCTGAGTTCGACAGGTTTCGACTGCGACGTCACTGACGGTGCCATTGACATCGACGTCGCCCACGCGAATCCCGAGAATCTGCAGTTCTATCTGCAGGCGCCATCTGGGCACGGGATCGCGCTGCGGGTTCCCGCGACCAATTTGAGTGTCGAGCCCCTGAGCACTGAAACTCCCGTCGCACCGAGCATCGTGTCCAGCGCCTTGAACGGGGGTGCGATGGCCGCAAGCGCGGATGTCCTCGTGGTCACGGGCGGCGCAGGGGTCGACGTGTTCGAGCGCGACGCCCAGGGAGCCTGGTCTGCGGTGGACGTGCTGCCACCCCCCGTGAACGCATCTACGAACTTCGGTGCGCGCGCACGCACCTTGGCGGTGATCGGGGACAACCGCGTCTTCGTCTCCGACCCGGGCGTTGGGGGATCGGGCGGGGCAGTCTTCTCGTACGTCCGTGCCGCCGGCGGCTCATGGGTGCTCAGTCAAAAGCTGGCGTCGCCAGACGCTCATTTTGGTGCGGCTGTGGACGTCGCCGGGGACGACATGCTCGTCGTAATGTCGGAGAAGAGCCTGCACGTGTACGCTTCGAACGACTCGTCGACCTGGAAGTTGAACCAGACGCTGGAGCTCAATTACGTGGCGCCGAATGGAGAGCCCGAGGCGCTCGCGGTGTCGCCCGGCTTCATCGCCGTCGCGGACGTGTCGAGTCTGTCTTCCGGGTACTCGTCGTCATTCTTCGTCTACGAGAAGAGCGCAGATGGGCGCTGGACACTGATGCAGCGTGTGTACCGCCCAGACACGACTGCCCTTGCCTTCAGCGACAACGAGCTGCTCGTCGGCAAAGAACAATTCGGCGTCGGGAGCGTCACCGTCTTCCCGCTCACGGACGGCTTTACGCGCTTCAGCGTCATCCAGCCAGTCGATAATCGCAGGGGAGGAAATTTTGGTGCATCCATCGTGGTGCGAGATGGCACAGCCGTCCTGGCGGCCCCCGGCTACGCGAGCAACTGCAGCGATGGTCAGATCGGCACCCTCGGTGCGCTGTACGTCATGAACCGCGCGCAGGACGGTGCGTGGCTCCTCGACGAGCAGCCACTGCTGCAGCCGTGTTCTGATGACTTTGTGCTCCCAGAGACCAACGGGCAGGTCGCCCTCTCGCGCGGTCACGTGCTGACGGCATTCAACCGCACCAGGCTCAGCATTCAGACCACGGAATCGGGCCCGGGTGCGGTGTTCGAGACGCAGCTGCCGACGGCCATAGTTGGCACATCTCGCATCACCATCGGCGGGCTCTCCATGAACACAACGGACGCGACGGACGGCAGGATATTCGTCGAGTCGCTCGAGCCCTTCACTGCCCTTGCTGGCATCAACGGCCGCAGGGGAACCTGGACGCTGAAGGTTCATGACTCGGGAATGCACCAGCACGCCGCTGTCCGACACATCGTGAATGCGAAGCTGCGCCTGTCCTGCTCAGGAGGGAACGTGTCGCGCTCGCTCGACGCCGCTGTCCCCGACAACGGCAAGCTGGTTGACACGATCGAGATCAGCAACAGCCGGGGCTGCTTGGTGGACGGAGTCCGCGCCAACCTCGACATCAAGCACCGGCACGTCAAGGACCTCGTCGTGTACTTGGGCAGGCCGGACGGCGTCGTTGAGCGGCAGTATTACGGGGACACCCAGGGCCTGGACGGCGTTGCAGACCTGGAGCGCTCTATCCACCTGGGCAACCAGTTCAGCGGCCGGGACGTGTCGGGCAAGTGGACGCTCCATGTCTACGACGACTTCGGGTCCGATCTAGGGTCGCTTTTATCCTGGAGCTTGACATTCGCCTGCCGGGGCAAGCTGCCTGCATCGTGCTACAACGCTGAGACTGTGGCGCACCCTCTCTCCGACATCGTGTCCTCCAGCGTGCCACGGTACAGCTCGGCGAGTGCAGGGACCTTCGTTTCCACGGGCGAGGGTGCAAGCGTTGTGCTCTCCTCGGACACGGAGGTCTCGCACATTGCGCGCCTCCCAGTGCCGCTCTCTTTGACTGGGACGACGTTCAAGTTCTGGTCCGAGTTCCGGCGCCAAGGCATGTCCTTCTCGCGTGACAACCAACTGTGGTTCAGCTTTGGGCGGGAGACGCCTGCGCAGGCGTGGCAGTCGCGGTCCTATTTCTCAACTGACGACATCACGGACGGCCTAGACGAGCACGAGTTCCGCATCGGCGTCGAGTGGCGCAGCGAACAGAGGTGCGTCATCATTCTCGCAGACGGGCCATACTACTGGGGCAGTTCCGTGTTCGAAAACAACTACGACCTGCCGTCAGAGATCTGCACTAGTGACGAGTGGCACACTTTCGTCGTGGAGATTGGCCCGATCCGGGCAAGCAGCATAGACGTTAACATCGGCTTCGATGCGTACCGCACAGAAGCGCGCTTCAACGTGGACTTCTCTACTTCTCAGTTCGAGCAGCGCCTCCCGGGGCACATGCTGATTGAGGCTCGTGGCACCTCGGTGTCGGTGGGGGCGCGCTTGATCGGCACGTCATCCCGGAACGCCACCGTCGAGGTACGCGGCCTCACGACGTGCCGCTCCCCGGGATCCGGCGTCCAGCCGCTGGCCCTGGCACCGGTCAAGGGCGACTGTGCACCTGACGTTGCGCGCGCTGAGGCTGCGCAGACCGCGCCGAGCACCCAACTCAGCGACGCGACTGCGATCTGCGTCTACGCTGACGAGAGGCCTGCGTCGAACCGACCGGTCGACCGGATGAGCGTGCCCCGCGACGCCAGGGTGACGGGCATCAACATCACCGTCGACCTGGAGCACACCGACTTGAGCCGCCTCTCGCTGGACCTCGTCTCGCCGATCGGCACGGCCGTCCCTCTCGTGCGGTCGAACTCGACCTACGGAATGCGGCTGGCGCGCACGCGCTTCTCCGACGCGGCTGCCGACACTGCTGCCGAGGGCGACATGCCCTACAGGGGGGCGTACAGGCCCATGGAGGCGTTCGCCGGCCTCGTCGACGAGCCTGCGACCGGATCGTGGTGTCTCCAGGTTCGGAACGAGCCGTCTACCGCTCCGGTGAGGTACATTTTCAAGAGCTTCCAAGTGCAGCTGGCCACGCGGGATGGCAACCACCAGAGCCTGCGCGAGCACGCAGCCGTCACGAAGCGCATCCCCGACGCCGCACTGCTCGAGCAGACGCTCAACATCACGGCAGAGCGCAGCTGCACGCTCGAGGGCGCGCGCTTCGTCACGGACGTGCACCACACGCACCACACCGACATCAGTGCATGGTTCCAGGCGCCGACCGGGGCGTTCGGCGTGATCACGGACGAGCACGGCTTCAAGGAGGGCATCGACGGCGTGGTTTCGAGGTCGTACGGGTACGGCGGGAGCCAGGAGCCGGGGTACGGCTCGGGCTCGCTGTCGAACATGCTGCGAGGCACGAACAACACGGGGCTGTGGAAGGTGTGGGTGCAGGACGACTTCGCTGGTGACGTCGGTAGCGTCAGCACGGAGATGTGCTTCACCTGCCGCTACAGCGCGGAGCCGACGTGCCCTATCGCCGGTCGTGCCGACAGCACACAGGTTCCTGAGGGTTTGCAGCTCAAGGACATCGACGCAGCAGGCAACGCGTACGTCGTCGGCCAGGACTCGCGCCGCCGGGTGCTGAGGATCCTGCGCAACAAGAGGACGGAGGTGCTGGCCTCGAACTTCGCGTCCACCCCAGAGGACATTGCTGTGTCGCCGAGCGGCGTTGTGTACGTGGCGGTCGGCAACCAGGTCGTGCGCATCCAAGGCCGGACTCAGAGCACCTTCGCGACGATGACCCGCCGCCCAATGAGGCTCGCGGTTGCCGATGATGACGTGCTGTTCGTCGCAACCGACCAGGACAGCGTCCTGTTGGTAACCAGCACCTCCAGCTCGGTCTTCCACCCTGCATCTTTCTCCTCGAGCGCCATCCGTGCGCTCACAGTCGAGCCGGGGCAGCCGCGCAGTGTGCTTGCGGCGTTCTCGAACGGGTGCGTCCAGCGTCTGCATGGCGATGGCACGTCAACGCCAGTCCTCGGCGTCTGCGGGAGGGTCGGGAGGCCTATCGACGGCGACGTGGCGACGAAGACAGCGATCTACTCCCCTGAGGGCGTCGCTGTCGACAGGACTACTGGCGACATCTACGTCTCGGACTATACCCTTGACGTGGTGCTGCGGGTGCGTGACGGCAGGGTGAAGATCGTCGCGGGCCAGACCTTCGCGGAAGCACGGCCGCGCCTGGGAGAGGCTGCGAACCTGCAGCCGATCCGCCGGCCTGGAAAGATCTTCGTGGACACTGCAGCGAGGGAGCTCGTGTTTGAGGAGGGCAAGGGGTCCTCAGATGCAACGATCGTCTCCGTGCCGATCACCGCGGACTGTGTGCCCACCCTCACGAGCCCGCCGGGTGGCTTCCTGCTGCCCACGAGCCCCCCTGCGACGACTGTGGGGCCGACCCAGCCTGGCACCAGGCCGCCCAGCGCGGCCACCACCAGGCCGCCCAGCGCGGCCACCACCAGGCCGCCCAGGAAGCAGTTCAAGGTCACCACCGCCATCAAGGTAAGATGAATGATGCGATGTACACCTGCCAGGAACGATCTGGTATTCGTTCATCTCGCAGGGCGACATTCGCGACGTGCATTATTTTCTTTTTCATAATCGCAGATTACGGTGAACAGGGCGCTAAATGAGCGAGAAGTGGGCGAGCTGACGAAAAGCGCTGTGTTCATCGTCGCTCGAGACAAAGCTGACTACGACAAGCTCCTGCAGCTGCTGGAGTCGAACGACCCGAGTTTCAAAGTACGAGTCGAGCGCGTGACGTCGGGGCGCCGCCTGCTCCAGGGCTTCGAATACAGGGTGCGGATCGAGTACGTCACTGAAGTTCAGGAGGAGGCCCAGAGGGCTGCCACATCTGCGCAGCAGCTCACACAGGACACGGCGGAGTCGCAGGCCCAGCTGCTGACGCTCATCCAGACGAGCATTGCAGAAGCAGGCGGAGATCCCACTGTGGTGCAGAGCGTGGCGGTGGAGCAGCCAGCACAGGTGCGAGTCGCGGCGGGCGTGCCACGGGATGTTGACGCTGCTTCGCTCCTGATTGGCAGCACCGAGTGACCAGTGCTCGTTCGTCCGTACCGCCGCTGCAGGTCGAGGAGACGGTGATCGAGGACACCCCGGCGCCGGTCACGACGGCTGCGCCGAGCACACCGCCCGGGACCACGACTGCCCCTGCGGCATCAACCGCTGCCCCTGACACCACCGTACCGCCGACGTCACCTGCTGCCTCCACTGTTGTCGCGTCGTCTCCAGCGGCAACCACGGCCGCAGCGACAGCCACGGCTCCAGCGACGACCACGGCTGCAGCGGCAACCTCGGCCGTCGAGGCCACCACAGCTGCTCCTACCTCTACAGGTGCGGCCACGACTGCGGCTGCAGTGACCACGGCCGCAGCGACGACATCCGTCCTGGGGACGACCAGCGCTCCTGCGACGACCGCCGCTGCTACTACCGGCGCGCCAGCATCCACGTCAGCGGCCACCACCCCTGCGTCAACGTCGGCGGCTGCCACCACTCCTGCCGCGACCACGGTCGGATCGGCGACGGCCGTGGCAGGAAGCGCCACCTCGCCGCGGACCACGCCTGCGATCTTCGGCGACACGGTCGAGGTGGTGCTCACTCTCACCATCCCAGGCGACATCACCACGCTGACGGACGGGGAACGCGTCGCGATCCAGAACGCCTTCGCGGACGCCCTGCGGACCACGTACCCGGGCGTCGCACCTTCGATGATCGAGGTCCGCATCGTATCGGTCGCGCGCAGGCGCCTGATGGCGCTCACGCTCGAGGTCGTCGCCAGCGTCCCAGAATCTGTTTCCGCGGAATCTGCCGCTTCTCTGCGCCGACAGTCCATCAACGGTGTTCTCAACGCGTACCTTCGTGCGCGGGGCTTCACGGCAGCTGTTGAGTACGGCGACGTCACGGTGCGGCAGCCCACGGCAGGGAACGTCGTCGAGGCGACGACGCCACCGGCCAGCACGCCAGCCCCTGTGTTTGCGGTGGAGCCGTCGAGCGGCGGTAACGCTGGGATCATCATCGGGCCGGTACTGGGTGCAGTTGGCGTGGTCGCGCTCACAGCTGTCGTGGTGCTGGTCATTCGCTACAAGCGGCGATCTGGGCCGCGAGTCGGACATACCTCCCATGGCTCCGCTGCTGGGGACCTCGAGTCTCCGAGGTCGACGTCGAACGACGCGATGCCTGCACATAGCGAGACTGTGGGCGTTTCCGCTGGCAGGCCTGCAGCGCCTATCGTCCCAGCCACCTCGGACGACAAGGCATTCGATGCGCTCGGCAATGAGATGGGCGATCGGCGTTACGTGGCTCCCCGCAGCGGGTCCGCGTCGCCGAGGGCGATCGTTTGATTCACAGGGGATCATGCGAGACGCCCGGTTCGCGGCGTGATGCTCTGTTCGGGATTCCATCAGGGCCGCACGTGCGTCGTGGACCACGCTCAAACGCACAATCCCTTCTCTGCGCTCGGCTGCTTTGTGCGACAGATGCGCAAACGACTAGCAATGCGGATCGGGGCATTTCGCCAGCCCTTGGCGCTGTGAACTCGTTCCATCAACGCCCCTCTGTTGCGTCTGCGTGCCTGTTGCAAGCGAGGCTGCGGATGCCACATCAGACTCACTCACGTACTCACCGCTGCTTGCACACTTCGCATTACAGCTGCACTGGCGAATGGCGGGCAAAATGCCGTGTCTGGTCCGCTCTGGTGACGCCGTGAGCTCTCTCGAGCGCCCTGACCCGCCTCGCCGATCAGAACGGCAGAATACCCGCGGCACTCGCACCGGCTGCGATGGTGCCCACCGCTGCTCCGAGGTTCGCGATCGAGCACGCGCCAAACCACGGTGCGCGCTTCCGTGGCTCCCCGGTGCTGTACGCCTCGAAGTAACCGATCCGCGCAACCAAGTAGATCGCGCTCAGGATCGCAGCGGGAACAGGGAACCTGCGGAGGCGGCAGTGCCACGGCCGGAGTGCTGCGCGTGCGGTCGTTGATTTCCTGTTTCATCTACACAGATGTCAAATGCGTCCAGGCCAAGCGAGCGACAGCTCATGCCGCTATGTCGCACCTGAGTCCCATGACGAGCACGCTCGCGATGAACATCGGGTAGCCCTCGAGGGTGTTCTGGTGTCCACGTTGCGTGCAGTTGAACACCTGCATGTGTTCACGCAGCACGCGTCGGATGCATGAGTGGGATGGCGGGTCAAGACGCCTCAGAGCAGCGGTCAAGAAGCGTCGAATCCCGCACGGGAGCGCACGTTGGAAGCCTCGTCGGTGCCATCCGCGTACATGGCAGGATACTCCACACCTGCATGGAGAGCGCGGAGGTGCCAGTTGAGAGCTTCCAACCAGGGAATCAAGCATGAACAAAGCCCTGAGATGCAACGTTTCGTGTCACGGAGCGAGACAAGTAGGTAAGCTTCGTGAACGTGCGCATCGGAGCAGCCGAAGCTCCTGGTTGCACAGCACCTGCTGCGCGCCGCGCCAGCGCGACCTTGACGGCCATGTACTGCAGTGCGATTGCTGCTGCACCGACAGTCGAGACGACATAGCCGTACTCAGGCGTCACCCCAAACGCCTGGGCTCGCTGCGAGCACCGCCCCGCCCGCCTGGGCCGCAAACCCGAGGCGATAGCGCGCGATTGCGGGACTCGAGTAGCGGCGTTCATCTCTCCAAGCAACAGCCCTGGTTCTGGAGTGAGGCCTTCGGTCCCAGACCTGCGCTCTCGAGACCCGCATGCCACCCGCCATCGGGACTGCCCCAGGGCTGTTACACGTCGAGGTCCCCCAAGGCCAGCAGCGAGCACTCGCGGATTGCATGTCCCTCCTCCAGTGATCACACTTCCGAGACCTCACGTTTCGGACCAGGATGACCACCTATCGGCCAGCCCACAACGCCACGACGTCCTCAGACAGTTCCGTTACAATCCTCACCGCCGCCACGCCTCAAGCGCGCGCGCAGCAGCCACCCGCACAGCTCGCCGCCCGTCGTCCCTCGCCGCCTCCAGCGCCCGCACCACATCCCTTCTCCCGGCATGCAGCGCCGTGTACGCCACCCGCTCCGCAGCCCCCCGCAAGCCCCTCGCCGCGGCCTCCCGCACCGCTGCGACCGGCGCGCTCTGCACCAGCCGCGCGAGCGCCTCCACGCCGCGCGGGGCTGCGTCCTGCAGCGCCGCTGACGACACCGGATCGGCCGCGAGTGCACCGAACGCCCGCACCGCACCCACGCACGCCTGCGCGGCGGGGGCCTGCGCGCTCCGTAGAGACGCCGGGTCGTTGGCGCAAGGTGGGTGGCACCCGAGGGCCGGCAGAGCGTCGGGCTCGGACAGGAAGTGCAGGGTGTCGACGACGACGGACACTGCCACGGCAGCGTCCTGCGCTGCCGCGCCCGGAGGGGCCGCGGCGGCCACCGCGGCACCAGCCATCGCGAGGCCCGCGTGCACGGCACGTGGTGCGCCACCTGCGGCGTCGCGAGCCTGACTCAGGAGGCCGAGACAGACCGCAGTGCAGCGGGCCTGCCACAGCGGGTGCTGTCGGCAGTGGGCGTCCGCGGTGAGCAGCGAGCCGTCCCCCGCGTCCTCCGCTCGCCGCAGCGGCGCAGCGACGGCCCATGCCGCGGCAGCCAGCTCGTCTGACAGCCCGCGAGACTCCCCGACGCTGCGCACGTTGTCGACCAGCAGCCCGAGCAGCGCCGCGGATCGCTTGTGCGGCAGCATCGCGAGGGCGCCCGCGAAGGTCCCGACGATCTCAGCCGCCGCGCATCTCCCGTGCTCCATGTCCACGTCCCCCTCGTGGTCCGTCGAACCCAGCATTGCACCCACCATCCGTTCGGCCTCCGCAACGACCGCGTCGACGGCGTCCCGCGCGGCAGCGTCGCGCCCGAGCTTGTTGAGCACGGAACCCGCCGCCTCAGCCGCGCACGTCGCGACCGCGGCGCGCTCGTGCCCTGCGCGGACACCCCCCCGCACCACTGCTGAAACCGTGCCCAGCATGGCTCGCGCGAGGGCGAGCGCGGCCGGGACGTCCGACGCGAGCGCGTCCCCGCGTGCTCCGGCTATCAGACCAGCCGCACGGCACGTGCACAGCGGCGTGGGCTGCCCGTCGTCCGGCACGGAGGCCGTCGCAAGGAGTGGCAGCTGTGCACTGGCGGGGAGCAGCTGCATCGCGCGGCAGCACAGCGCCGCGAGGCTCACGCACGCCGCGGGCGCAGGGGGCTCCGGGGCAGCGTCGGCGTCGCGCGCCGCGCCGGCCAGGCCCTCGAGGAACGCCCCGAGTGCGTCCTGCAATGCGGGACCGTCGGCCGACGTCAGGTGGGGGCCTAAAAGGCGCCTCCGGATGTCGTCAGCGACCCTCGGAACCTCTCCCGCGCCCGGTTCTCGCATGCTCTTCGTCAGCACGGCGTCATGCGCGCGCAGGACCGGCCCCAGCAGGACGGTGCAGTGCCGCGCGAGGGACGCCGTGGCAGCGAGCTGCAGCGGCGTGGGCGCGCCCGCCACCAGGTCCGGGAGGCAGCGTTCCCGCACGGCATGCAGCACGGCGTCGTCGCAGCTGCATCGCTGCGACACGGCCTGCAGCGCGTCGAGCAGTTCGTGTTCGCACCGCTCGTCGGGCGCCGGCAGCGCGCACGTGGCTCTCGTGCCGGCGCGTGCGATGGTGACGGCTGCCTGCACCGCGACGCGCGCGTCCGCCGAGTCGGACGGACACCGCATGATCCAGCTGAGGCCGCGCAGTGCCGTAGCGAGCGCTGCTGTGCGCCCAGACCCCCCGCCTGACAGGTGGTGTAGTCCCCCAGCATCGTCGACGTCGCCGGAGGCGCCTGACAGGGCCTGGACTGCAGCGGCGGCGACGCTTGCGAGCGGGTGTGTCGTCGTGGTCCCGTCTGCGCCCTGGAGCGCACTCGGGGGGAGTTCTGAGAGGCCCCGGAGGACTGCGGCGACTGCCGTCATTCCGTCGCCCAGCGACGACAGCTTCGCGCCGAGCTCGCCGCGCGCGACCGCCTCCCACAGCGAGCTCATCGGCGCCGCGAGCCGCTGCACGACGGGCTCCGCCACGGCCCGCGCGCACTCCGCCGTCGAGCCCGCCAGCGCACGTGCCGCCAACATCGCTGGCCGCAGCCGCTCCTCGGCCTTGCGGTCGTCGTCGTACTGGAACTCCCCTGCGCGCGTCACCACGTCCGTCATCTGCGCGAACAGCCGCGCGTCCGCCGCCGCCGCGCGCCCCAGCGCCGCCCACCCCCGCGCCACGCACTCCCGCAGTGTCACCGCCGCGCCGCGCCGCCGCAGCGTGAGCGCCGGGCCGCCGCCCTGGCCGCCCGCGTCCGCGTCGGGGAGCGACATCTCCGAGCGCAGCGCCGCCCACGCGGCGCCCACGAACGGCTCCATGTCCGCGGGCGGATACGTGGCGGCGCACGCGGCGAGCAGGGAGGCGGCGTCGCGGCGCGCGTTGTCGAGCGGCGCGGTGAGCTTCTCGACGACGAGCGGGAGGACGAACTGCGCGGCCTGCGGCAGGTGCGCGAGGGCGTCCTGCAGCCCGGCGGCGAGGTCCTCGCGCGAGATGCGGAAACGGTCGTCCCGGGGGGGAGTGAAGCTGAGGGGGAAGTAGCACGCGAGGACGTCGAAGAGGTCGCCGAAGGACTCCGACATGCCCTCGTCGAGGTCTGCGGACACGAAACACGTGACAATAGGGGTTTCTCGACCGCGCCGCGCAACGAACAGACATCAGCGCCGCTCACGCAGCCCGTGGGCGACGTCGAGATCGCCGCCAAGCGGCAGCGCCCTGCAGCGTGCGCTGATGCGTGCGGAGCGGGCCGCCGGCCTGTGTGCGTCGCACGGAGCGTTGGCGCGTGCCCTTGCCTTTGGCGGAGCTGGGGTAGAGCGAGCACGTCGCCTTGGAGAGCTGAAACGCCTCCAGAAGACAGCGCGGGTCCTTCTCGCCGTCGATGCAGCCCGAGACGACGTCGACCAGATTGAGCCCCGCGTCCTTGAGCCTCGCGCCGTACCCGCGCACCGCTGCTAGCAGCAGCTGCAGCGCCGCCGTTCGCGCAGCCTGCGCGAGCGCCGGCACGGCGACGTCGGACCCGAGCATCCTGAGGATCCTCTCGATGATCTCGAGCTTCAGCGACGGCGCGCCGGCCCCGCTGGCGCCGCGCTCGACCAGCGTGCAACAGGCGCGCAGTGCTGGCCGGGCCGAAGCAAGGTCCTGCAGCCTGGCGCTCAGAAACTCCCCCAAATGCTCCATCTCGCCCGCTGAGATACGGTCAGGACAGCGGACGATCACCTCGGAGAGCACGTACATCCCGCGCGTGCGCACCGGATCCACCGGCGACGTGAGCGCCTCCCCCGCTGCCTGCACAACCAACCCGCAAAATCGACCGCATCGCGCAACCAACCGAATGCTGGACCACCTCAACATGACGACATGCAACCTAAGCATACATTCATGCTTGAATGTTGACACGTCGTCCCTCCCGCGCCCGGCTCCCGGCAGCACGAGGGGCCCAGTACTGTCGCGCACCTCTACGAGCTCCAGCAGAGACTGCATCTTGCCCTCCCGGTACAGCGTGACGATCTCCTGGACCCCGCCTTCGATCTCCGCCTCCGGGTGGTCCAGGTCGAGGCACCGCGTCACCGCGGCTTTGAGTGCGAACAGCATGGTGAAACTTCGCGCCCCCCGACCCCCGCGCATCAACAACAACCGCGCGTGACCGCCACCCTCCGCACGAGCGACCCCCTCGCCAGCTACCGAAGTGGCGCGCCTCCGTCCTGCGCGGTCGCAACGTAAACGCCGGTTGCACGACAGTAGAAACAAAACCCCCCCTCCCTGACTCAGCAGCCCCACCAGACCGAGCCCAGCGGTCCCTGGGCAGAGCACGTACACCCTCGTCCATTCGCTTTCCACCAGCGCCCCCTCGACCGCCGCGACCCACCCTGCGTTGATACCGGCAGTAGCAGTATCACATCCGCGGCGCTCCCGCTCACCGCCGCTTCGCCCCGCGCGTCTTCCTGCCCTTCTGCGCCCGCTTCGCCGCCGCGGGGGCTTCCTTCGCCGCGGCCGCCTCCGCAGCGCGCACCTGGCGCACTCGCTCCCTCTCCGCCGCCTCCAAGCCCGTCACGTCCCGCAGCGCCTCCCTCACGCTCCGCATGACCTCGCCCGCCTGCTTGTCCAGCCGCGCCCCGCCTGCCTGCGCGTCCGCCACGCTGGCAATGAACTGCAGCGCGCGCGCCCCCACCTCTGGCTTCAGGTCCCTGTCAACGCGGTACCGCCGGTCACCCTGCACGACGAGGAGGACACGGCGAGGCTGAGGAGAGAGCGGAGCAGCGCGCATCGCGCCCCTGGCACGGAACTCGCCAGGGATGGCTGCGGGGGCACAGCGCCACTTTCGGGGCTGCGAGGAGTGGCGGGCGGCGGGGAGGACGGCATGGCGCGGGCGCGGGGCCGTCGGGCGTGCCTGTTTGAAGGCCCCCGGCTGCACGGCCTGGTCCTTGATGCCGAGGAGCTGGCACACGTAAAAGTACCGGTCGGGGTCGGTGCGCCTGAGGTGCTGCAGGATGCGCTTCTGCTTGTTTTTCAGGAGCATGAGGCGGTGCTTGTTGTGCTGGTCCGAGCGGTGCTGCTGCACGTGCTCCTCGAGACGCCTGCGCGGACCGTGCGGAGACTTTGTGGGCCTTAGGCTGGCGGGCACGGGGGGCCAATCCGGACACCCCGCCCGGTGAGGGGGGACTCGGCGCCTCAAGTAGCCCAGAATGCGCCGCGGGGCGAGTCCACACCGTCGAGGCGCGGCACGGTGCGGCGCAGCGGAGACGTCTTGCCCTGGGCGGCAAGGCGCACCTGATGCGGAGGGTGAACCGGGCCGCCTGCGCGGCGCTCCCGCCGACGTCGAAGTCGTGGATGCGCACTTGCCGGACGACGTCCTCGATCTGGCTCTTGAGCACGTCCTTGGCGGAAGTCTTGTATGCGGCTTCATAAAACCTGTCCACCAGGTCCGGGCGCACCGGCGCGCTCCGGTCCGCGGGGGCGGGCGACGCCCCGCTGCCTTCCACGTCGGATCGCAGGCAGGACGCCGAGCTCAGCGCCCGCTGGCCCAGCAGGGCCGCCGGGACACCCTGGTGCGCGAGGCCGGTCGCTCCGGACGCCAGAGCGTCCTGCGCGCACCCGCCGGAAAAGCCCTGCGCTAGACGCGTCAGACCGGAACCGATCGTCCTCCGCAGCATCTTGGGCCCGTCTGTTCCGAGTCGACCAGGAGGCGCGCCACCAATATCACCGCATCAAACCCGGGCCCGAGGACACCGTGTCGCGAAATACCGCTCAGTTCCTATCGACGCACGATGGGATCGCAAGTGGCCAGCCAGCGCGCGGCGCGATGCCGTCGTGCCGTCCGCGCGCGCCCCCACGCGCCAGTCGCACTGCGTCACGACGCAGGAGGGTCGTCAACCGCCGTACCGGCTCGGGGGCGCACGTCCCGGGCCCCTTGGCCCCGCGGCGCACCGCGCACGTCCAGACCAGCTCCGCGTAGTAGGCAGACCTCGTTTCACGTCCAGAACACAGCGCCCGCCTCGTGCCTCTGTTGGGTTCCTGAACCTTCTCCTGCGGGCCGGAGCGAGACGCGACTTCCCCGGCTGGGGCCACACCGTGAGCAGACGATCCACCCCGGCGGCGCTGGGCGCCAGCGCGACCATGACGAACGGTCCTCAGGCTGCTGGCCTCACGTACCATGACCTGTCCCAGCTCCCGCCGAGACAGCCGGGGCCGGTGCGAATGGATCCGGCCGTGATGCCCGTCGCGGGCGCCGTTACCCTGAAGAAGCCGAAGGGCAGCGGCTCCTTCGTGATGTCGTCCAGCTGGGGCATCGACCACGACCCGAACATGACCATGCGCGACCGGCGGAGTGAAACCAAGCTCCAGTACAAGGTGCGGGCCGATACAGCCGGAACCGTGCGTCCGCGAGGCAGAAACCTCGCGTGCGGGCTGGCCGAGGCCCCGGAACGCGCCGCGCGGCCCGTAGAGGCCCCGCGGATGGCACCTGCGCGGGCGTCAGCGCGCGAGGGGGGCGGCCCCCGATCCGCCGTCGATCGCCAGCGCGCCGACAGCTCGTACAGGGCGCCGTGTAGGGTCGCGAAGCTGAATTTCGGCGCGTGGCGTCTGCGCGGCCGGACATCCATGCGCCCCTGCCGCGTGCGTCCGAGGGGGCGGGTTGACGCTCGCGCACGGCTTGTTCTTGGAACGAGCGCGCCCCCCCGTGCGTTCTCCGCATTGGGCGGTCTGCGCGCGCCTCTCTGGGTGCCGGAGGGCCCCGCACGCGACCGCCGCGGGTTTGGTGGTTTTCAGCAGCCACCATTGACCCGCCACCTTGCCCTGCAGCCCCACCCGAAAGTCGAGCGCGAGCAGCCGCGGGTGCGCACGGGGCGCGGCATCCCCCCGGGGCTCGACGGGAACCACTTCAAGTCGGTCACCAAGGAGGATTACACCCCCCCGCCCAGCCGCGGGAACGTCTCCCACGTCAGCAAGCTCATGTTCGAGGAGCAGCTGCGGCACAGGAAGCCCAAGTCGTGGTGGACGGAGACGGGCGGCACGGAGGGCGCGTTCCGTCGCAACAGCGGCGAGGCGGGTGCGAGCCGGCCCGCGACGGCAACGGGGGCCGGCCGGGGCGACGCGGCGGCGATGGACCCCTCGCTGTCCATCACGACGCGGACGCGCGAGGACTTCCGGCCGAAGAAGGGCGAGGGCTTCATCGAGCGCCGCAGCGGGTGCGCGGGGGCCCCGCGTGCGCGGCCGGTCCAGGACGGGTACAACATCATTACGGGGGGGCCTCGGCTGGGCAACTACGCGTTCGAGAACTGGGACCGGACGACGGACTACCGGAAGCACGCGCCGGGCGGGCCGCGCGAGGACTGACGCGCGGACTGACTGACGCGCGCGGGTGGGTGCGTGGCGCAGGCGCTAGGGTCCCGCGCCGCACGAGTGCGTGTGGGCGGGGAGGATGAGGTTGCTGCGCGCGGACGGCGTGCGAGAAGAGGTGCACGGCGCGCGATTGTGTAGATTGATTTGCGGACGCGCGGCCGAAGATAATGTTATGTGGGCACTGAGCACTGGCACGAGGGCAACGGGCGGGCCGTCCCGGCCACTGAGACAACGGCGAGGTCCGCACCACTTGCAACTTCTCAATTTCACATTCGTATGTCGAGTCTGCTGTCAGGGAAATCGATTCCTGACGAAAGCCGTGGCGAGAGCCCCCCCGCCCAGCTGAAAAACAATACCAGCAACGCGTGCACTTCAACAAGTCAATCACTGCACGTTGCCCTCGCGCGCCCCGGGCTCTACATGCATCGCGCTCACGCCGCCTCCCCGCGGCCGCCCGTGTTGGACGACGCCGACACCGCAATGGGCTGCGGCTGCGGCTGTGCCTGCGCCTGCGGCTTGGCCTTCGTGAAGTATCGGTCCGCGCGCGCCTTGTTGTCGAAGAACCCGCCCGTCTCCGCGGGCGGCTCGAACTCCGTCAGCGACGGCGGGTTGTGCTTGGTGTTGGCCCCCGCGCCCATCCCGCGGCGGATCCACTCCACGCCCGAGATCGCGTTGAACGACTTCGCGACGACGTTGTCCAGGGCGCGCTCCGGCAGGTTCGTGCGGCCCATCGCGTCGATCTCCGCGGCCGACAGGAAGCGCTGCGTCGCGGCCTCCCACGTCAGGCGGTAGCGCTCCTCCTCCGTCATCGGCTTGGGCGTGCCGCTGAGCGCGCGCTCGAGGCACACGGAGCACTCCTCGGGCGTCTTGTACGTCAGGCAGTTGGCGAACTGCTTGAAGAAGGCGTTGCAGGGGATGTCCTCCACCACGACGAACTTGCCCATCGCGAGCGCCTCGGCCGTGGTCGTCGCCACGACGTCCGACGTCGACGGGTTCCAGAACACCTTGTACTCGTGGATGGACTCGTCGAGGTGGTCCCGCGCGCCGTGGAACTGCACGTCCAGCCGCGAAGCGTGGCCCCGCTCCTGGATGGCCGGCATGTCGTCGCCGGTGCCGAAGATGTCCACGTGCACGGGGTCGCGCCCGCGCTGCTGGTGCTTCTCGAGCAGGTCCATCAGCTCCGTGTACCCCTTGCCCCACACCGCCTTGCCGATGAAGTACATGCCCTTGGAGAACCGCGACGCCGGGTCCATCTCCGCGCGCTCGGCGCCCACCTTGAGGAACGACGGCGACACGCCGTGCACGTTCTCCGTCAGGTCGCGCGGCATCCGCTGCACCGCGCCGGACAGCTTGATGACCTTGTGGCAGTGCGACCGCGACACCACGTTGTTGATCCCGCGGAGGATGAGGCTCTTGATCTCCCCCATGTCCTCGCGCCGCGCGTAGTCCAGGTAGTTCGTGTGCACGATGCCCACCACGTGGTTGAACCGGTTCGTCCACCGCGGCCCGTGGTGGTACCAGTTGAGGTGCTCGGGCTCCTCCAGAATCGCAATGTCCGACTCCTCCTTGGGGATGTACGACGTGATGTCGCCCACGGCGAGGATCGAGCCCTTCTCCGGCGCGTACCGGCTCGGGTAGAAGCTGACCTTGAAGTCCGACTCGAATCCGACGCGCTTGCTGCACCACTGCTTGATCCACGCCGCCTGCGCCTCGGGCGTGTCGAACGTCAGGCCGTTCGGGAAGACCTGCCGCTGGTCCGACTTCGCGAGCCACGGCACGACGAGCGTGACCTCGCGGTCGCCGTCCCGCGAGAGGTACGCCGCGCGGAGGAGGGGGTTGACCGCCGTGCCCGTCATCCACGGCAGCGCGGCCGTCGTCACCACCGCCATCTTGCGGCCCTTGTCGCGGATGCTGCCGAGCTTGCTCCGGAGCTTCTCGTTCTTCTGCGCGAGCCCGCCGCCCATCTTCGGCAGCGGGAGGCGGAACCGGAACGGTCCGAAGGAGATGATGCCCAGCCCCTTGCCCTCGTCGGCCTCGGTGAGGGCGCGCTCGGTCTCGTCGCCGATGTCGCGCAGGGAGAGCTGGTCGCCGTTGCCGCGGCCGGACGACGACGGGGAGTCGCTCGGGCGCTCGCTCGCCGCGTTGCGCCCGTCGCGCACGGCGACGGTGGTCCCGCTGTCGCCCGGGGCGGCGCCGCGGCTGTTCGAGGACGCGCGGCGGCGCGACGCGCCCGGGATGATGGCCGTCGCGTCGCCGCCGGTCTTGAACGACGGCTTCGCGGCGGCGGCGCCGTCGATCGTCGCGGCGGAGGACACACGCCGGATGCGGTCGCGGGCCGCCGTGATGGCGCGGGACTCGTCCGTCGTCTTCACGAGCTGCTTCGGGCCCTCGAGGACGGACTCCTCCTCCGTGACGCGGAGCGGCGCGGACGTGGACGGCGACCCGGAGGCGGACGTCGCTGCGTCGCCCGCCGACACGCGCTGCCCACGCGCCGGCGGCACCACGCGCGGGACGGCGCCCGGGCGGGACACGAGCGCGCCGCTCTCGGACTGCGCGTCGTCGGCGCCGGCGTCCTCGTCGCCGGCGGGCTTGCTGGCCGGCGTCCCGCGCGGGCCCTTGGACGACGCCGACCGCCCGGGCGGGGGCTTGCGCAGCCAGCCCTCGGAGGGGTTGCGGGGGAGCCCGAGGATGTTCTGGGAGCCACCGGGCTGGAAGGGCCACAGCGACATGCCCGTGTTGGGGCTCGTGGGCCCCGCAACGCCGCCCGCGCCTGCACCGAGCTGCCCCATCGGCCCCGCGCTGTTGAGGCGCTTCGAGAAGCTGTCGACCGTTGACATGGCCTGCGCGGGCGGGGACAGCGACGGGGGGGTCCGTGGTCGGACGGCGGCTCCCGTGGAGCGCGCCAGGCGCGTGCGGGGGCGACCTGGGTAGTTGTTGCGAGGCAACTGCCACGATGGCGGCCCAATGCGGGCGGCTGGGGCGCTAGCCGATGATCGTGAAGGGTCGGCGACGAGGTACTGTGCGGGTGCGCGACGTTCCCGCTCACGCGGGGGCTCGGGGTCGTCGGGCGGCCGCGGAAACGCGCCTCGGAGCGAGTCATGTCACTAGGGGCCGCTCACCTTGCCCTTGATCTCCTCGACGTAGTCCACGAGCTGCTTCATGTCGGGGTTTGAATTCAGGAACGCCTCGGCGCTCTTCTGGGCGTCCTCCAGCGAGCGGTTGAACGACACCGACCACTTCTGCACACACAGCGCCGCACAACAGCACGACCGTCACTCGCCCGGTTTCCGGCCTCCGCGACGCTTCTCCGTCGCGTCGATGCACGTGCGAGCCAAGCGGGCGCTGCCGGCACCTCGCGGCCCGGCGCTCGGGCCAGGAGCGCGGCCGCCCGGGCCCGCGGGCTGGCACTGCCTCGGGCGCCCGGCCCCGGGCATCTTGCGCGTCGCGGGCGATCGCGGGCGCGAGCGGAGCGCACGGGGGCGTGCAGCTGCAGACGGGCGCCGGGAGAGGGTATCGGGCCGGCCGCGGGGGCGCGCACGGTCCCGGCGCGGCGGGCGCGGGCGTGCTTGCCTGCCCGAGGCCCGCAGTGCCATTGCGAGGGTTCTCGAAGGCGCGCAGGGCGCTGAGGGAGACTCTCGCCGGGGCGGGGTGGTCCGAGGAGGTCCTGGGGCGGCTGTCGTCGCCGCCGCCGGAGCTCATTTCGCGTGCGTGGCGCCCAGGGCCGCGACGGAATGAGGAGCCCTAGAGGAGCCTATCAAGCGGCCCGAACGGACTCGCAGGGGCCTCGACGGCTGATTTCGGCGCGCGCGGGGCTTCTGTCGACTTGGTTTGAACGCCTGCGACGTGATTCGCGATCCGAAAGTCCCTGCAGGGCGCGCGGGGGGTAAGGAGGTGGGAATGCGTAGGGAGGTGGCTGCGCCAGCCCGTCCGCGGGGGCTCCGCTCGCGCAGTCACACATTCCTCCGAAACGGCAATGGTGACGGCTTTCGACCGAACGGCCGACGCTCGATCGAAGCCGTTCGAGCGGGTCGGGCCGCACCCTTCACGTACACCAACAGCCGAGGCCGGCCACGGGCTCACCTGCGGTTTCTCCTCTATGGCGCGACGACCACACGGAGAAAGTACGAGCGCGTCGCGCCGTGCGGCTCCATCAGCGCCGCGCGCGGTCCGCCTCGCGGGAAAGGGACGTGATTCGCCCACGCCCGTCTGACAGGCTCACGGCGTGGCGCAGCGTCCGGCTGACGTGATCTGCCATGAGGAGCACGACACTCGCACAGAGGACCCGCTGAAGCACGGGGCCGAGCCAACTCCGCGCTCCCTGCCTCGCAGCCTCGCGAAAAGCACCGGTGGTTTATGTGCACCTGCGCAGCGCAATCCTGCGTTGGTCACCCTCCTGTGGACGCCCCGACGCCCTCTTCCGTCATCTCGAGAGCTCGAAATGCGCGAAACCGCGACCGCGTGCGCTCCGGTCCGACGCAGCCCAACATTCTGTGTCACGCTCCTCATGTCGCGCATCTCACCCTCCAGCGGTCGCAGGGCGCCGCTCCGACGGCCGGGTGCCGCCGTGCCGCGCCCCTGCTGGTCGTGCGCCGCCACAGGTCGCGCGTGAGCACCGTGCGTGACGCGTGCATCGACTGCGTCAGACGCCCAGAGTGCGACTGATGCCGTCGTCAGGTGGTGCGCGCGCCCTCTGGACTCAAGGCGCTCCGTGCCGCGGGGCGACGGGCACTCGCGTCCCGCAGCCTTGGAACGGGCAGGCACGCTGAATGCCCGCCGCGACGCCGCGTCTGGTGCATGGAATTCGTAGGGGGTAACTGAGGTCGCGCAACGGCGCGAAGTGCGCGTCTGCGCTCCGCGCGGATTTGAATAGATCATGACGAAGGACGAGGGCGGGCACGTGGGCCCTGAGCTTGCGGAGGTATGTCAGGGCGCGAGCTCGATGGACTGGCCCTGCAGCGGCCTGCGGCCGAGGTCCACGCGCATGACCGGCGCCCTCTCCCCGATACCAGCAGCACGCGAGCTCTCTCGCGGCGCCGAGCGCCCGCGCGCGCGCGTGCCCTGTGCAGCGAAAGCAGCGCCTCAGTGTCGTGCCGCCAAGCAACGGCGCCCCAGCCCGTGAAGCGCCGCGCAGGATACCACGGAGGCGGACAAGGCACGCTCAGGGAGTGATGGAGATGGTTCGCGGGGCGACGGCAGTCGAAGGTGCGAGACTATCGCGCCGCTGCTGCTCTGCGCCTGGTGCTGCCGCTTGTTGCGCCCACGCCCGTGTCGCGGGGCGGACATTTCACTGGGCATGCCCTCCCGCTTCCTCCTGCAGTCGTTCCTCAGGCGGCTCGTCCCAGCGAGACGATGGCGGAGGCAGCGACGCGGATTCGGAGCCGGCACAGAATGCCGTCACCGCGCTGGCCACCACAGCCGCGTCCGCTACCGAACTCCGCGAATGCGCCGCCAAGGGCCTCTGGGCCGTCGCGCCCGAAGCCGTGCCCGCTCTGCGACGCGCGTGGTCCCGCTGCGGCGACGGCGCGGTCCCCTGCCATCTGGTGCTCACCTCCGCCTCCGACGGCCGCCTGGTCGCCAGCGCGGAGATCCGCGGCGCTCCCGGCACCGGCCCAGACAGCGCCCCGGCCATTCCGGTCGTGTTCAGCGCGATATCGACCGCGGCCATCGGCGACCTCGGCCTGACGCCGAAGCAGCTCGAACAGCTCGTGTCGGCGCTCGGAGCGCGCCCCGAGGGCGGCATCACGCTCCTCGAGGGCGCCGTGGGCGAGGCGGTGCCGTCGGGCCTCGCGGCGGCCGCGCAACGCCTCGGCGCGTCGGCCCCGCCCGCACCGCCGGACCCGCTGCCGGCGCTCGCGCCGCTCTCGGAGGCGGCGGGGCGGAAGCGCGACGCGAACGACATCCTGGAGATGGGGTACGCGCGGTACCTGCGCGTGCACAAGCGCGTGAAGCGCGAGCTGGACAAGCGGGAGGACAAGGAGCGGCGGCGGCGGCAGCGCGAGGCGGAGAAGCAGCAGGAGAAGATGGAGCGGATGCAGATGGCGCTGGCGATGGCGGCGAACATGGGCGGCGCGGGCGGCGTGATGCCGGGGATGGTGCGCCCGGGCATGCCAGGTCCGCGCGCGCCGATGCCGGGCATGATGGGGCGCGGGCGGGGGCCCATGGGCGGCGGGCGGTTCGGACCGGGGCCCGGGACGGGGCAGCCGTTCCGGCGGAGGTGACGCGCTGTGACGCGGCGCGTGAGTTACAGCGATGTTTTGATCAAATGGTCGAACTGAGATGCAACAATGCATCTGACGCAAGCGGTGCGTCACGTGCGTCCCTGGCGTAGAATTGCCTGCTGCGCGAGGCTCCAGATCCGTCCCGCACCGCTGCCGGCACGGACGTGGTCCTGGTCGCCGGCCACTGCAGCGCGTTGCATGGCGCGGTATACTGCGGCCGAGGCGACGTCAACCGCGGTCCAGTGCGCGACGACGACCGAGCACAGGACGGCCACGACGAGTGCCAGGATCAGCACCACGACGGCGCGCAAGCCCGCGAGCTCCGCGGCGTCCCCTCGCTGCTTCGTGCCCCTTGACTCAGGGCCCGACTCACGCACTGCCTGCGCCGCGACAGGCGCAACGTCGCACTGCACCGAGACCGTGCGCTGCGCCGCGGCGTGCTGCACGCCGCAGGCTCGCGTTGCAGCGGCGCACTGGACGCCGGCGGCCCGCGCATGCACCACTGCCTGCGCCGCAGTGCTCGCCCGCGCCCGCTCGCATTGCACGCCGGCCACGGAACGCCGCACCACGTCCTCCGTCCTGGTGGTGCGCACGGTGCGGCACGCAGAGCCCCCATCTTGCGATTTCTCGTCACTGCCACAGTCCGCCAGCACCACGCTCCGACCGTGCCCAGCGCGCTCGCCGCCGCCGTTGCCTCGAAACAGCGACAGCCACGCGTTGAGCGCCGAGTCCGACGCGGAGCTGCGAGCCGTCGTCGGATTCGAGCCGGCAACGTACTCCTCCTCAGACGTGTAGCACTGGGTCCCTGTCTCGCACTTCGCCGGCGGGAGGAAGGACGTGGCGGCCGAGGGCGGCTCGCTGCCCTCCATCAGCGTGCCGACGTCGCGTGTGCCGTGCTCGGACGTGCTCGCCATCTTGTGCGCGACGGACGAGAGGTCAACCTTGCTGTGCGCGTCCGATGCTTCGTTCGCCCCCATGACCGGCTCCGTCGGGGAGGGCGAAGGGCCGTGCGGAAACGCCGAGACGCGGGCGCGCGGCGCGAGCGAATGGAGGATCCGGCCGGCGGTGCGCGGCGCAGTAGGATCCGGGTCATTGACAGCGTCGGGCGCACGCAACCAATGCGGGTCGTCCGCGATCGCGGCAAGGGCGTCGGCAGCCGAGTCGGACTCGTGCGGACGCTCCTCGTCTCCGTGGGGCTCGTCGCTCACGTCGGCGCTGATCGTGCTGTACACCCACGTCGCCGCAAGCGCCGCGAGCGGTGTTGGCGGTCGCTGTGTCTGACTGGCGTGGGCGGCATCCGCGAACGGAGCGGCGCGGTGCTGCTCGTCGGGCTCCTCGAGCTCGACGGGCCTCAGGGGCTGCAGCACCCCCTGCTCCGCGCATGTCGGCGACGGCGGCGGCATCAGAGGTGCATCTGCCAGGGCTTTGCTACGAGGCGGCTCCAGCTCGTGGAAGCCGACGCGGCGACCGGGAGGCTCGCTGCTCTTGACAGGCGTGGATGTTCCGGGGGGGTCGGCGATCTTGATGCGGACCTCCGTCTCGAGCACGGGGCGCAGGGAGTTGACGTACGTGGCCTCCAGTCGCGGGTTCGCGTCCTCGCGGCACGGGGTGCTTTTCACGATCAGGTGGTCGCCGCAGTCGCTGCCAATCATCTTGGCGGCGCCCCTGTAGAGCACGAGGTCGGCAACGTGCCAGAAAGTGACCAAAGGCACCTGTGTGTTAGGGTTCGAGCAACAGGCTGGGTTGCCGTCTAGCGTCGGCTGCTCAGATCCTCGCGCACGACGTTCCAGAATATTGCAACGGTCAGGATGGCACACCTTGCGAGGAGTGAGACCTGGATCTGAAATGTCTCGCGAGGCCCCGCCAGCGTCGCAGTTGGCTCCACGACGTATCTCTCCAGACTGTTGGGCACGACCTTCAGCGCCACGAACTCGTTGCCTCGGTTCGTGATCGTCAGGCTCGCGGACGTGTACCTCTCCCGCCCTGCGCCCTCGCCCAGGGGAGCCGTTGCTGTCAACTGCGACGCGACTCGGCTCGCACGGCGCAGCGCCCCGAAAACACAGCTGCTGGAGCTCGCACGCCAATCAGAGCCGCAACCACACCGCGCATGATGTGATCCTATGCCGCCAGCCCCCCTTCCTGCTCCGGGCCACGCGCGGAGCACCATCTCCCAGCGCAGGGCACCACTTGCCTGTTGGGCGCCGAAGCACCACCTCCCGGGGCGCGATGCGCAGGAAGCCGCCCCCCTTCCTCTTCGTCATCACGCTCGCTGCCCTCAATGCGTGCCTCGGAGCACCGCGCCCCGCATATCGCCGCGGCGCGGGGGTGTGTTGCTTGCCAAGTCTCTGAGACCTATTCGCACGCCTGAGTCAGCGGGCCGCGCCGTGAGTAGACCGAGGCGCGACGCGGGCCACGTGCGCACGGTGCGGGTCGTCGCACGGCCGTGCCACGCCATGCCTCGCGCTGCCGCGCACGTGTGGTGAGCCAGGGGCGCGACAGGGAGGTGGCGCGACAGCCAGGCTTGCATGGATCACAGCGCCGGACGCGCAGCCCGCCGCTGCCTCTGTCGTGCCGAAGTAAACACCGTAGGGAATGAAATGCGCAAGTTAAAGACTGTGTACGTTCACCTGATGCATGCGCGTGCAAGTGAGGGGCGTGCCGCGAGCCGCAACGCGCCGCGCCCCGCCCGGCCGCCGCCCCGCAGGCTCCGCGCGCCTCTACGCGAACCTGTCGTACGCGACCGCCAGCTTGCGGCCGTCCAGCTCGGCGCCGTCGAACTTCTCAATGGCGCTGGCGGCGGCGTCCGTGTCCGCGAACAGGACGGTGCCGTACCCGCGGCTCCGGTCGTCCTTGCCGCGCTTCACGGTCGCGGACACCGGGTTGAGCTCCGCGAAGTGCTCCGCCAGCGCGTCGTCGTCGAACGCCCAGGGGATGTGCTTCACCATGACCGACTTGCCCGTGCACTCCCCCTCGCCGGGGACCGCCGGCGCGCGCGGCTCCTGCGGCGGGCGGGCCGCGCGCGGCGGGCGCGGCGTCGGCTGCAGCCCGTCCGCGCCCTCGAGCCCGTCGCGCGCCCCGTGGCGCCGGCGCGGGCGCTGCGGCGACTCGATGCCGTTGGCCTGGTTGTAGGCCACGAGGTCGCGGTCCTCGCGGTCCTCGCGCACGACGATCGGGCGCCCGTCCAGCTCCGTGCCGTTCAGCTCGGCCACGGCCTTCGCCGCCTCCTCGGGGAGCTCGAACTCGATGATGCCCCACCCCTTGGACCTGCAGCGCGGCGCGGGGCGGCGGCGCGGTCGGACGGGCGCGCGGGGCGGGCGCGGGACGTCGGCGCGAGCGGCTCCGGGCGGAAGCGGGCGGCGCGGCGGCGGCGGGGCGCGACGCGGCGTGCGGGGCCGCGCGTAGGGATGTTGGCCAGTGGTTGGCGGCACGGCGTGGGGGCGCGCGCGGGGGGCTGCGGGCCGCGGCGGCGCGCGAGACGGTCGGGGGCGTCTCGGGAACGCGCCCCGCGGGGGCGCGCTGGGTCGAGGGCGCCGGAGCGCGGTCGACGGTGCGTTGAATTAGGGCAGTTGGTGGGATGGTTGTTGGGGCGCGTGGGGGCGTCGTGGGGGGGAGTGGGGGCCGTGAACGCGCAGGCGGGGGTGGCTCGGGTCCGTATCGCGCCGGCGGGGCGGAGGAGCGGCGCGCGGGCGGGCCGAGGGGCGCGGGGGCGCAGTTTGGGCGGGGAGGGGCCCCCGGCGCGGGGACGGCGCGCGGGCCGCGCCGGGCGCTCCTCCGGGGCCGGCGCCCGGTAACTCGGATCAGCGTGCGTCCGGGCGGGCCGCACCTGGTGCCGCGCTTGGCCACGGCGGAGTATACGACGTTGCCGCAGCCCGAGAAGGCGTCCTTCAGATCCTGCCAGCTCGTCTTCCACGCGAGGTTGCTGACATAGCAGCGCCTGCCGATGCGCATAACATTCTCCTCCGACATCGCTACGACGCACGTCCGCGGCCTCTTGTCACGGCTCGCTCTGCCCCAAGTAACCGCCCCTGGATTCTCGCCGACCCGAGTCGCAAGTGGTGCTCCTGATCAGACGACCGCGTGCAGTGAAAGTGGCGCTTCCCTGCGCGCCGCGCGCCAACGACGCCCGGGGCCACGGCCGCCGCTCTCCGCCGGAGGCGGTTATTCCCTCCCCCGTCAGACGCCCGTTTCTCGCCGCACCCGGCCGCATTAGCGAGCCCGCTGCGCGCCGACGCGCACTCGCGCCGACGCGGAACGCCCGCGGTCCGACGGCCGCCCCCTGCCCCGGACGAGGCCCCAGCGCCGGTGCTCCCCCCCAGACCTCTAGCAGTTCCCGCCGTGGGTCACCGCGCAGACTTGCCGTCCCCTCGACGCGACGGGGCGATTCTTTGGGCGCGGTAGAAGCACGAACGAGGACATTCGGGGCTTCTTCCGGGCTCGAGCGCTGCGGGCGGGTGATCACCAGCGACACACTCGCACGCGGCAGGAGCCTGCGACGCCGCACGCCGCGCCCGGGCAAGTGACTGGCCGTGAGGTACCGGTGCGCGATGGCGTCCCACAGCACCCCGTCGTCGGGGCAGACGCGGTCGACCCCGGAGAGCGCTCTCCTTGCCGGGAGCTCCTCGCGCGGCCACGGCCCGTCGGTGGACTCGTCCGCGGACCTCGCCGACCTGGAGGATGCCGTCAAGCTCATCGAGCACCTCCGCGGCGAGAACAGGTGCGCGCGCGGCCCGGCCGCTGCGACACGCACGATTTCGTGCCCTGCTCCGCCGCCAGGGCAACGCGCGCGTAGCGGCGCGTGCGCACCCGCGACGCGACGATATCGCACCCGGCCGTCGGTCGCGCTCAGATGATCGTGGTCGCGTGCGGGAATCGTGTCGTCACGGCCGGCGCAGCACGCAGCGCCCGGTGAGTGCCTGCGGAGAAGGCTCGTTGCGACGCGGCGCTGCGCCCCGGGCGCGCCTGCACACGCAGGGGACTGGAAGCTGCTCTCACGAGGATGAAGAAGATGCAGACGGAGTTGCAAGAGGTCAACGAGGCCCTGCAGGGGCGCTGCGCAGGTGCGGGAGTGGCAGCAACAACGGGCGGGCTGGCACTGCACGAATTGAATCGCACGGCGCCAGCAGCCCCCGAACACGCCGTCCGCGCACCGTGCGGACAACCTCCAGTCCGTCACCTGCGAATCGAGCCATTCACGCGCCAGGACGCCCTCCCTCCGCGCGGCACGGCGCGACGCGAGCCCCTGCGCCACCTGCTCTGCGGGGCCCGTCCTGACCCGCCCGTCGTCGCCCCGAGCGCCCGCAGCGCTGGAGCGGGACGCCGAGGCGAGCTCCGAGCAGGCCGACGTCGCCCTGCAGCGCCTCCAGCGCGAGCTGCTGCGGCGGGAGGCGGAGTGCGACGAGCTGCGGACGCGCGCCGTGCCCGCGCACGTCCTCGAGACCATTCGCGCGGAGGTCGAGCAGGAGGCGTGGGAGCGGCACCGCGACGCGGCGGAACGCTTCAAGAAGGAGCTCGGGGAGTCTCACGAGCGCTACATGAAGCTCCAGGCGCGCCCCACGCCACGCCGCTTGCGTCGAGTGCATGCGCCGCCCGCCCGCCACGCGCCCCCGCGGCCGCGCTGCCCGCGCACGCGCTGCACCGCGCCCGCTTCCTCGGCCTCGCGCGACCCGACCGGCCCTCATCGCGCGCGCAGGAGCGGGTGGGCTCTGAGGCACGGCGCGACGACGGGTCGCGCGCGGCGCTGCAGCGGCAGCTGGACGTGGCGCAGACCGACGTGCGCGCGCTGCAGGAGGAGCTCTCCGCCGCGCAGGCGCGCCTGCGCACCGCCGAGGCGTCGGCCCGCATGCACGCGGGGCAGGCCATCAACGCCACGTCGCGCTTCGAGGCGCTTCGTGCGGAGATCGTGCAGCTCTCGGACGAGGTCGCGGCGGTGCGCGCGCAGCGCGACGAGGCCGCGGGGCGCGCGAACGAGGCGGAGGCCGCGCTCGAGCAGGCGGAGGGGCGGGCGCGCGCGGACCGCGCCGCGCTGGAGCTGCGTGCGGAGGAGTCGACGGCGCGCGCGCGGCTGATGGAGGCGCGCGTGAAGGAGAAGGACGCGCGGATCGAGCAGCTGGAGGAGGACGCGCTCGCGCTGCGGGAGGACGCGGCGCGGGCGGTGGCGGGGCAGGAGGCGGAGGCGCGGCGGTGGGCGGCGGAGCGACGGGACCTGGCGAAGCGGCTGGCGGAGGCGGACGCGGACCACGAGGAGCGGCTGGAGGCGCTAAAGGCGCGGCTGCGGGACGCGCAGGACGCGCACCAGGCCGCGGAGGACGCGCGGCGGCGGCAGGCGACGCAGGCGGAGCGCGCTGCGCAGGACCGGGTCGCGGAGGCGACGGCGCGGGCGCACGAGCGCGCGAAGGAGCTCGAGGCGCAGGTCGGGGAGCTGAAGGCGCGGTGCGCGGAGCTGGAGGAGGCGCGGAACACGGCGGAGAAGGTGGCGACGGACCGGCACGACGCGGCGAGCGCGGCGCTGCTGGAGGCGCGCGAGGACGCGGCGGCCGCGAAGGCACGGTGCGAGCAGATGCAGCAGGAGGCGATGCGGCAGGACTCGGACCTCGCGGAGGCCCGCGGGCGCGTCGCGACGCTGGCGGCGGAGACGGAGCGCGCGGTGGCCAAGGAGGCCGCGATGGGGAAGGAGCTGCGCGAGGTGAGTGGCGGCAGCGGCGATGCGCGTCCTGCGCGGGCCTGCGTCGGTGCGGCGCGGTTTGTGTGTTTTCTGCATGCCCGTGCAGCTTGCGGGTCGTGCTGATCGTACGTGCGGCGGGTGCCGGTGCGCGGCGTGCAGGCGATGGACAAGCTGGACCAGTCGGAGACGAAGGCCGAGTCGCTGCGCGCGCAGCTGGAGGCGGCGGAGCGCGAGCTGGCCGAGGAGCGGCGGCGGGCGGCAGCCGACCAGGCCACGGGGTCGCAGGCGCTGGACTCGGCGCGGCAGAACTGGCTGCTCGAGCGCCGCGCGCTGGTCAAGCGCATGTCCGAGGGCGTCGCGCGCGTCCGGGACGCCTACCGCCTCAAGGTGCAGCGCCTGCGCGGCAAGTGCGAGGAGATGCGGGCGATGGCGATCGCGGGCGAGGAGGCCAAGGCGGCGCTGCTCATGCAGGTCGACGAGCTCGAGGGCGAGCTGGAGCGCGAGCGGCGGCGCCGGTGGGACGCGCCCGCCGGGGCCGCGGTGGCAGTGGGCGCCGCCAGGGACGAGCGCCTGCGGGACGTGCAGCGCGAGATCGCGCAGCTGCGCGCGCGGCAGGACGAGCGGCTCGGCGGCGGCGGGCGCGGGGTCCCGGTCTCGTGAGAGCCGCGGCCCACCGATGTGAAAAACAGCATTGCTCAGGGGTTGGGTGAGAGTAGGGGGAGTTGTTCCTCGCAGTCAGCCCTGTGGGGACGCGGGTCGCGACGCAGTGCAGCTGCACATGTTCCGTGCCAGCAGTGGAGTCGCGGGCGGGCCCCGGGAGAGGCGTGAGGTGTGGCGGGGAGGACGGTCGGTCGGTCGGCAGTGGGAGGGTCACACGACGCGCCCGGTCACACCCGGACCGCTGGATGTATGCGCGGGGCGCGCCGGGGCCGTCTGCGTGGGTTCAGTCGACCTCGGCCATGGCGCGGACCTCAGCCTCCGAGAGCTTGCCGCGGGCGGCCGCGGCGCCGTTCTTCCGGCGCTCGATCAGCTCCTTCCGGTTCTTGTCCTCCTTCACCTTGGTGATCGTCACCTTGGACGGGCAGATGCCGATGTTGACGGTCTGGCCTGCACGCAGCAGCGCGGGCGGGAGGCAGCGGGGGTCGGCCACTGCTGTTTCGCAGCGGCCGCGCAAGCGGCGCGCCGCCGCGCTCAGCTCCCTGTCCGCCGAGACGGACGCGAGGCGGGTGGGCGTACGGCCGCGCGCGAGCGCACGGCGCGCCGCGCGTCGCCTCGGCGGAGCGCCCTGCCGCCAGTCTGGGCAGTGCAGCGGCCTCACGAGGGCGGCGGGGGGGCGCATGGCGCGTGGAGGGCCGCGGCGAGGACGGTCCTGTGCAGCGGGAGCGGCGTGGCGGGCGTGCCGCCGTCGAGGGGGGTCGTGGGGCGCACCGTTGGACTTCTCCCGAGCCAGGCGCTCAATGTGGATGACCCACTTCTTCCGGTACACCTGCACCACCTTGCCCTGGAGGTCCTGGTCGCCCTTCGCGTGCTTCCCGCGCACCAGCTTCACCTGCGGGGGCGAGCGGACGCGGGGCGAGGGCGGGCTCGGGCGCTGTGCCGCCTGAGGACTCTGGGGTGGCCGAGTGCGCCATGGGGGGCCCGAGGGTGCAGCGCGATCGCGCCGCTGAGCGGCGGGATATGCGTGGCGGCTTGTAGGCTGGCGCGGGCGGGCCGCCGGGGCCCGGCCGGGCTGCAGCGGGGTGGCTGCGAGCGAACGCTGTGGCAGACGGGCTGCGCGCGGGCGTTCCCGCGCCGCCGGAGCGATGCGAGCGGGCGTATGGCAATATGGGCTCGTGCCCGGCGCGGCGCGAGGACCTACCTCGTCGTCCTTGCGGATGGGGAGACGCTTGATGCCATACTTCTCCCGCAGCTCCTTGGACAGCGGCGCCGTCATGATCTTGCGGCGGGTGGCCGAGTCGGCGGTGAAGTGCGCCTGCGACGACGCGGTTTCAGGAGGCCGGGGCGCACACGGTGAGCGCTAGCGAGAGAGGCAGGGCCGAGGTAGCGTGAACTCGCCCGAGGCGGCAAGCGGGGCAGAAATAACACTCCGCGTGCCGTCATCACGCGAACGGCATTCGCCGCGAGCACCTCTCGCCGCGTGAACGGCCCGGGGGCGAGCTGCGGGCGCTCTCACCTTACGGGACTTCCGCCGCGAGGAGCTCACTGAGGGCGAGTACTTCATCCTGCCCTTCCGACCCGTAAAAGAGGGACGAATGATTTCGTGAAAGAGGTGCGAGGAGGCGCGCGCGCGCCCCCTTGCCCCCCAGCGGCGTGCACCGCGGGGTGGGAGCCTCCACTTTCCTGAAGCAGGGCGCAGTCTGGCCCGCTTCTCCGGGGCTCGAGGGGTCGCCGAGCGGCGCGGGTGGGCGCAGAGGGAGCGTGGCGCCGTTCGTCGTCTGTTTGTGTCATCGTGAGGTCGTAGGGAATCTTCGGGCGACAACAAGCGCGCAGGAGCACTGCTCAGGCTCCAGACACCGGCTGCGCGCCCAATACAGCCCGCCTGCCGCAGCGCGACACCTATAGGAGCCGTTGCGTGCGATCGTCGGAGGTCGCTGCGGGCCGCCCTCCGCGCCAGGAGCGGCGCGGGCGTGAGGGCGCAGCTGCGGCGTGGACCAAGGGCGGGGACCTGCCCGCGGACGGTGCGTGCGTGCGCCCCGCCCTCGCGCGTCGAGCCGGGACGTCGCCGTCGCCGCGGGCGCTGCCGCGTCCGCGCCCGGGCGCCCCGCGCTCCAGGCGCCCCGTGCGGCCCCGTTTGCTCTCGAGGTCCCGGTCGCCGGGGGGCGCCCGGGCCGCCGTGAGGCCCTCGCTCGCACGCTTCGCCGCACCGACGGGGTTTTCCTGCTGCTCGCGGCTCGGTCCCGGTCCCGGAAGGGGGCGCGCACGGGCCGTGCGGAGCGCATCACCAGCGCTGCTGCTGTCCAGCTACGTCCGCCGCAGCCGCGCCCCCGCGACGCGCGCTTCCGCTCACACACGCGATCCATTCTTCGGCCCCCACCGCAGCGGCCTGCCCGTCTCGAGCGACGGCGAGCAAGCGACGTGGTGGTGGGCTGGCGGCTCCCGCCGCGCGACGGGGCGTGGCGGTCCCCGCAGAGCCGGCCGGCGGACGCAGAGGGTGCCGCCAGCACTTGTCGGCGCGCGCTCGCCGCCTCGTGCAGCGCCTCGGGCCGTGACCGGCCTGCAGGCACATGTGCGAGAGGTGGGAGACCTGCTGCACCTGCTGTGCGCTCGCGCGGCCGCAGGGCGCCGAGGACGCACCGGGAGCCCGTGGGGGAGCGAGGCGCGGGGGCGCCGCGCCGTCCAAGGTGCCGTCAGACAGGTGCGACGCCCACTCATGATCATGAGTGCAAACCCCGTCGTCCCGCGGGCGCACGCGCTGCGCGCTCCGTATCGCTGCGCTGTCGGATCGCGCTCGCCGCTCGCTCGTGGTCGGCCGCGCTGAGGTGTCGGCGCCGCGCTCATCGCGCATGGGGCGCTCCGACAGCCCCCCGTCTCTCTGGTGCGTGCGCACGACGACACCGACCACTACACTCCCCCATCGCCCGCCGCCCGCGCGTCGCAGAGCATGAGGACCCCGCGGCGCGGGCCGCGCCGTTCGCGAGCGCCGGCCATGTGGACGGCTCCTCGACCGGTCGGCGCGGGGCGGGCCGCTCGCCCGTCTCCTGGGGTCGCGGGGCTGGACGACCTCGTCCCGGACGCAGCAGGTGCGCGCACCGGATCGCCATCGCGCAGCGCCTGGCCGCGAGAGCGGCCGCGCGCACGCCGCGGCAGCACATGTGCCGCGGCAGCATGCTGCTGTGAGGGAACGGGATTGCCGCGCCCATGTATCCGATTCCGGACCCCCGAATACGCACACGCCGCAATACGGTATTTCAGACAGAAATCCGGAATACACTTCGGGGGAAATACGGTTTACAGATCGCATTCGCATCGGCTAATGTGTATTGGGGAGAACATATGTGTTGGCCACATACAAGACCCACGTCCACTATCTCAAAGACCGGGGGCGCCGATTTCTCGCGAATCGTGCGGCGCACGCCCGCGATGGCGGTGCCGCCGGGTCCTTCTACTGCAGGAGTGGCTGTTGGGGGGCGCTCGCGGGGCCGCAGCGCCACCAGGCGGCCGCGCCGAGCGACAGAGGCTGTAAGGCAACACCCGCACAAGGCGGGCGTCGATAAAGCGTCGCCACCTGCTCTTGCCCGTCGTCCGTCCAGGCGGAACAGCGCCTACGACCCCGCGGTGCGCGCCCGCGTGCCGGGGCGTGCGCCCGAACCGGCGCCCCTGTTCGAGTCGACCTGCGCGAGCGCCGGCGCCCGGGCCTTGCGCTTCCCGCGGCGCGGGGGGGGCGGCCCGGCAGCCGCCAGGAGACCCTCCGCAGACGTCTCCACGCGAGGATCCACGCGGCCCTGCGAGCACCAGACTCGGGCCAGGTCAGTGTCAGCGGGGACTGCGTACACGTACGTGTGCATATGCGTGGGAGCTGTCACGTGCGACTGGCCCGCGATGAGCTGAGACCGGACGAGCGGGATCGGCTCGTCCCGTCGCGGGCGAACCCGCCGCGAGCACCCAGCGCGCAGGCGCTGCGGCAAGGCAATGGCAGCACCCTGGGGTTGTGCACGTGCGTACCCGTGTGCAGGTGTCGCCCACTTTCGCCTGCTGCTTGAACTCGCCGGGGACGTCCCCCACGGCTACGTCCGCGCCGTGCCAGCACCACAGGGGGCCCGGATTCTTGCGCTCCTTGATCTGCGGCAGGCCATTCCTCTTTGCGCACGCGCAGAGGGGAGTGTCGCCCTCGAGGACCTCCGTCGGCTCGATCCTGTCCAGCTCGTCGGCCTCCTCCTCCTCCTCCTCCTCGTCGTCCTCCTCCGCCGGCGCTGCCCCCGCAGACGTAGCCGGCCGCGCCTCCTGCGTGCCGGGCACCTCGGGCACCGCATCGTGCCCGTCACGCACCCACGCCTCGCAGGCCCACCACCGCGAAGCGTGGCGCCAGCTGCCGCTGATGTCGTCGCTGCGCCCCGCGTCCAGCGCCCTCAGCCACGCCTTCCACTTCCCCCGGTTGTGGTTCCTGGGCACGGGAAACTTCTGAGCAGACCAGAAGTGCTTCCACTCGTCCCAGAGCGCGAGGAACGCCGCCACGACCTGCGGAAGTTTGTGCCCCGGCGCTCTGTCGGGCCAGTTCTGCCACAGGCGCGGGTCCTCCACCGGGCGCGCCGTGGGGTTGTAACGCGGGCGCTTGCAGACCAGTGCGTCGAGATCCGCGTGAGCGGCCCGCAGGGCTGCGCCGTCGAACCCCCATAGCGCTGCGACCAAGTCCGCCGCCTGCTCCAGCGGGAGCGCAGCCGGCAGGCGGTCCTCAGCGACTTCCACGCCCAGCTTCTTGGCGACATCGAGAACCCCCCCGTGCACGACGGGCCCGTACGGCCACGTCACCTGCGGAACGGGAACGCACGCGGGGCCTGTAATGCAACCGTGGAGCCGGTCCCGCCGCGAGGGTAGCCACGGGGCAGCCGAGCGGGGCGAGGAGAGGGGGTGGCGCACCTCCAACTGAGCGCGCTCCTCGCGCGGCTTGCCCCTGAAGAGGCGCGTGTGGTAGTTGTTCTGGACGCTCTTCAGCAGACCAGAGACCTCACTGACGTGGATGCCCCGCCGGTTGCTCCCGCCCCAGCCAGGTGTCTTGTCCTCCAGCTGCTGCACCGCCACGAACACGCGCACGTACGCGTTCTCCACCAGCGGCTCCGGCTGCATCGCCGTGGGAAGCACCTTCAGGCAATCGCACTTGTCCCAGTCGGGCGTCGCGACGCCCTGGCAGTGCTCGCACTTCCCGACCTCCCTGCGAAAACCAAATTGAGCCGCGGCTCGGTGAGGACATGAAAGCTGACGGCGCGCGCCTCGCAGCACTTCGAACGGCTCCTCGTCGCCACACACGCGCGGAGCCGGGCCGGAACTCACCTCACGAAGCAGTTCTCGACGACGTCCTTGACCGCAGCCTGCGCTACACTGAACACCACCCGGCCGCGGGCCTGAGGAAGCGCGACGCCGTCCGCGCCGAACACACTCCTCGGTCCACTCGATGGCGACCCCCCCGCGGCGCCCGCCTCCTGGGAGCCCGTCCTGGCGCCTCCGTTCCGCTCTGCGTGTTCAATTGTTGAGTTTTCGAGGCGGCGCACGGTGAGAGGCGCTACCGGACGCCACGGCATTCCCCCCTCATAGCATGCGCCGGGTCAGACATCGTGCGCGCGGCAACAGGGCAAAGCGGGTGCGACTCGCCTTTCACGCGCACGAAAATGACGGGCAGTTGGGCCTCGTCCTCCAAGCCAGCCCGATCGTCCTTGTGGCGCGTCCATCCCGCGTATTGCGCCCACAGGTTGGCGTCTGCCTTCTTGTCAGGCTCCTCGTCAAGCACGAACGACGCACAGTAGCTCTTCCACTTCTTCGGGGCCAAGAAGAAGCTCTCTCCCTGCCCAGGCCTGACAGCGGACGGCGCCTTCTGGAACAGCTCGAGGCCCTTCACGTCCGCGCGGAGGCACGCTGCGATCTCGGACAGCACCTTGTCGTACGATACGACGTCGCCGACCTGAACTTTGAGCTGCGGCTCCTCTCCTTCACACTCGCCTCCCTCAACGAACACGTTGACGTCCGCCTCGGCCCCGCAGGGCCGAATCCAGAACGTTCGCAGCGTCCCGTCTGCGACAGTCATGCTCACGGACCTCGAATGCACATCCCGGCGCCCGCCCTGGCCTCTCGTGCGCCGCGCGCTCCTGGGACGCCCCAGGGGCCAGCCGGCAAGCCCCCCCCCCAGTCCGCTGCAGGCGCCGATTTCGGCGCCGCGCGCGCTCAGCAGCGCACTTCCATCCACGCGCGCGTACGTCGCCCGGAGGCGGGGATGGTGCGAAATGAACAGGGCGCGAGGGTGGCACAAGGTTGCAGCGAGCGACCGCGCGCGCCCGAACGGCAGTCCGGCGCGAAGTCGAGACGCGAGCCGGTGTGGGCTCACTGCTTGACGTGCCGCATCTGCGTGTCCAGGCACGAGTGGTACCAGCATTGCTCGAAAGAATCGCCTCCCCATGAGCGCGGCACGAAGTGCGAGGTGCGCCGTCCCGGCCGCCGACCTGCCGAAGCGGAGTGCAGTCCGGCTCCCACAATCGTTCCTGCATGCCGTGGCGCACCCGCGCAGTCCTGACAGTCCGCCCTCTCCGCGTGCTGACTGCCCCCGCCTCCCTGGTGCCTATGCAGGACGTTTGCCAGGAGCACGGAGTGTCAGCCTTCGCGACCCCCGCAGGCTCGGCCTTGTCGGGTCAGTCTGCGCGTGGCGGCGCACATCCTGCCGCGTCGGCGGGCGCGGCTGCGCCGGGGGCCGCCCCTGCCGCGGCGGAGCACGAACCGATCGGCCCCGCGGTGGAGCGCCTGCTCGCCAGCCTGCCTCTCTTAGGCGGGGAGGACGTCATTCTCGACGACTCGGATCCGGTGCGGAGCGTGGCAGACGATGGGCCCCCCGACGTGGACAGTGGCAGCGAGATCAGTGCTGGTGGTGCCGCTGAGGACGAGGACCTCTTGGAGGACTTCCTCGAGGACACCGCCGCGTACCTAGAGGACCAGGAAGCACCGTCTTCGTCATCTCCTGACGCCGGTGGCGGTGACGGGCTGGACCGGCCAATCTACGCGGGCCGGGAGCTCACGGCCCGCACGCTGTGCCGCCTCGTCCTCCGTGCGCGACACGCAGGGCGGTGGAGCGCGGCCAACCTCACGCTCGTGCTGCGACTGCTGAAGCTCGCTCTCCCGCAGCCCAACCACCTGCCCGCCACGGCGCAAGGGGCGTACGAGGCCGTGCAGATGCGCAACACGTGGGTCGTCTACGGAGCGTGTGCGAACGGCTGCACCTCCTGGACCAAGAGCGACATCGAGGCGTCGATGGGACAGGACGATCCTCTGCTGTGCCCGTGCTGCAAGGGCTCGCCGCTGCGACCAAACAGCGACGTGCTTGTGGCACCATTCTGGTACTTTCCGGTGCCTGAGGTGCTCACGTGCATCATGCGGGACCCAGGATACACCACGGCGTTCCTGCGCGACGCCGACACGTGGCGATACCAGCGGGCGCGGGCCGCAGGCGCAGACGCCGGCGTGTCGGAGGACAGCGATGCTTCCTGGGTGGACTGGCGCAACTTCCCGCACTACCAAGCCGTGCGGAGCAAGATCTCGCCAGCGGAGCAGGAGACCTTCGACGATTGGACGACGGTGCACCTCCTCATCGGCGGTGACGGCGCCGCCGTCTTCCAGCACGTCAAGCACACAGCGTTCGTCATCGCGGTGCGTGCCCGCGCCTCCCTCCTGCGCAGCCCCGGCAGCAGCGACGCGCCCCGACAGCCGCGCGAGGCCGTCACTGACTCGTCCCGCGCTCGTCCTTGCCCGCCGCAGGCCAGGATCATGAACGTTCCGCCCGCTGTTTCTGGCGAGCGCTGGTGCACCCTGCCCCTCGTGATCGTTCCGGGCCCGAAGGAGCCTCGGTCGACCCGCGGGTACATGGCGCCGATCGCCAAGGACGTCGCGGCCCTGCGTGGAGGCGTGCCTTGCACCGCGGCGGTGTGGGCGACCGAGGTTGCACGACGGCCGGCGCTCCAAGTGGGTGGTGCGCCTCGGCGGGACGTGCTTGACGTGCCGGTCACGGTGCGCGCGTACATCCACGGCCTGACAGGCGACACGCCGGCGCGCACGTTGTGCACGCACGCCTCCGGGACGGGTAGTCGCTTCGGTGCGTGCCCGTGGTGCGCCATCGTGGGCGACCACCACGCCAACGCCATGCGCTTCTTCGGCTACCACGACCCGACGTACTGGCACGCCCCGTGGCGCGAGGAGGCGGACACGCGTCGGCCGCGCGGGGGCGAGCAGCTGCGGGTGTTCGGCCGCTGGCCAGACGCGGAGAACGGCGAGACCCATCGCGAGTTCCCGCCCGACGCGAAGGTGGGCGACGACGGGACGCGTCTCACAGCTGCTGAGATGGCTGCACGCCACGCTGCCGACGACCCGGAGGCGTGGAAGTTGATTCCGGGCGTGAAGCAGGACCTGCTGGCCAACGGTGCCGTGGACGTCCCCCTCGTGACGTACCTGCCGTACCTGCAGATGTCGACGCTGCAGCTCCTCGGCATCTCTCACACGCTGATCAACTGCATCTGCAAGAAGTTCTGGCAGACCGTCCTGACGGTCGCCAAGAAGGGCCAGGCGGAGAAGTACAGCGGCTGGACCATCGAGCCCAAGAAGCGTCGCGCCATGCAGGAGCGGGCGGCGCACATCGTCCTCCCCCCGGGCGGCCGGGGCTCCCCATGCGTCGTGTCGTACGGCGCGTGGGTGATGGAGGACTGGCTGCTGTTCATCCGCACGACACATTGGTATATAGTGGGGGACGCGCTGGACGGCCTGATGCGCGGCGACGCTCGGGAGATGTGGGAGATAATCGCGACGCTCGCGGTCTTCCACCTGAACGTCCCGAACGCGGGAGCCGTGACGCGGGCGCAGTGGCAGGAGCGTCGACGGGAGATGCGCCGCCTCACGCTCCGTTTCGGGGAGCTGGCGGAGCGGAACGGCCACTACGAGTTCTGTTCGATCTCCTTGCACGTCATCGCGTGCCAGATGTTCGAGCAGGAGACGCAGTTCGGCCCTTCCGGGAGGTCGAACGAGTTCTGGATCGAGCGCTGCATCGCCTGGGTGAAAGAGCAGATCGTGTACCGCATCACGAGCCGGCCGGAGTGGCGCATGGTACACCACGGGGACGAGCGCTACAACCTGCACCGCTGCCACAACGGCGCCAGGACCGACGCAGTAGACGGATGCGCCGTTGCGCTTCCCGCGACAGGCCCTGCGCTCCCCGAGGACGTGCAGCGGAAGGCGTCGACGAGGGCGCGGATGATCGACGTGGGGAAGAAGCTGCACGCGAGGGATCGCAGGGGGCGGGTGAAGGCAGAGTGGACAGCGAGGGCGGACGAGCTGCAGCAGTTCGTGGAGGCGCGACAGGCTGAGGAGGCCGGCCGAGACGGGCAAGAGCTCGCGGCTGCTTGGATGACCTTCCTGCCGGGGCTGCGAGATTCGGGCGACCTCGCGGACTTTGTGGTGTGGAGGCAGCACATGCGTGCAACGCCGGACGGACGCACGAAGATACAGGTTGGGGCCGAAGGTATCAAGCCCCCCCCTGGGCGGGCGTGCCTGCGCGACGCGTCCTGGGTGGGGGTGGAATGGGAGGAGGAGGCCGGCGACCTGGTGTACGCGTGCAGGGTGCGGGAGCTCGCGCAAGTGAGGATACCGCGGTACGAGGTCGGGGATGATCCCCTGCCTCCGCTGCTGCTGGCGCGCGTGGATGTCTGGTGCCCGGGGTACCCGCGGTCCACGAGGATGCGGACGCTGCACGAGGGCTTCAAGGGGGTGAGCCGCACCCATTCGCGCGCGCCCCATGTTGAGTGCCGCGTATACGTAGCGCGCATGTGTTCTCATGTCGAGATGACCTTGCGACCGTCGGCGCAGGAGACGAAATGGATCTGGCTCTGGCAGGTCGACCACGTTTGCGCGATGGCGCACGCGCCCAAGGTGGACAAGGACGGGCGCGCGGACGGCAAGTTGTCACACGCGTTGAAGGTGATGCCGTGCGGCGAGTGGGAGCTGCACGACGTGACCACCCCGCGGCGCGGTCCGGACTGAGAAGCACGAGCGGCGCGCCGCTCGTCCGGCCCCGCACGCCCTCTGTGACACTGATCAGCGTTTTCATGAATGCGCACCACAAGAGCGGTCCGAGCGTGTGCTACACGGGGCCGCGCGGCCATGCTGTCGGGCGCGTCATGCACCAGGGATCCGTGCTCACCGCGCATCTCACACGCACCACGGCCCCCCGCGCGCACCCGCTGCACCACGGTGTGCCGCACCCGGCGCCACCGTGCCCGCGCTCCCGCCGGAAGCCCCCGCTGCAGCCGCGCGCCTCGCGCGGGGGGGCGGTCTACGGCCCGCTGCCCGTCGCAGCGAGGCCAATGCGGCCCCGCTCGCGCGCGCGGCCGCACTGGGAGGTGAATTGCCCACCCCCCCTTGCTTCGCGCGCCCCGCCCTCATCGCCGCGCCCCCACCCGCGCCGCGCGACATCCGTGCTCACTGCACATCTCACATGCACCCCGGCCCGCGGAGGCGGGGCGGGCTGCGAAACAGCGTCGACGGGGGGAGGTTGTGAGACACTCGCACGTCCGCGGCGCGGACAGACCCAAGCGACGGGCGGCAGGCGCTCGGGAACAGCAAATGGAGGTGGTGCACGTGGCAGGAGGCCTGCTGGATGCGGCCGACGGCCCCTCGTGCCGTCAAAAAAGCGATCCGTGGCTGCTAAAGACTGGCCCGCACCTGGGTCCCGTCCACCCGGACTCGCGGAGGCGCACTGGAGGGAGCAGGAGGACCACGTGCGGGACATAGCCGCAAACGGACGACTCTAGCGCGCGGCGCGTCGTGCCTGGACGTCGGGGGCGCGCTGCTCTGCACCGGGAGGCATCGGTACCGGTGCGCGCACGCACGGAGCGCCGCCGGGGCGTCGAGGGTGCTGCCACGGGCACGCGCTGCGTCCACGTCGACTGCCGAGGCGGGCCACGCAGGCCTGGGCCGGCACGTCGACAACGCCGCCTTGTCGACACGCCTCCACCCATGGGGCGGTCGCCCGCGATGTCGCTGGGCGGCGACGACGCGGCGGGCGGCTCCGAGGACGAGGAATCGTAGCGGGCGGCCGGGGGGGGGAGCGTCGGAGCAGCGAGGAGCGGCTGTGTGCTGCGCTGCGATGGGCGTGCCAGCAGTCGAGGATTTGTATCTGTGAGACGGTGATAATGATACCAAGTCAACCATGAGGGGGTTGCTGTCACATGCGGAGGCCGAGCGGCCGTTGCATGCGCGTCCTGCGGTCCACCGCGCTTCGGCCTCTCGGGCAGGCGCGCGAACAACGCGAGGCTCTGCCGCCGAGGGCTGCGACGGGCGCGTCACTGCAGCAGTTCCTCACCGGAGTCGTGCGGCACGGGCTACCCGGCGCGTGCGGGCACGCGGCGCCGCAGACGGCGTCCCTGGACGACGAACGAGCGTCGGGGCCCACAAGATGCTCATGTCACGCGGAAGTGGAGGTGCGTGGGCGACCGTGGGCACGCCAGGCAGCGCGGACTCCCGAGTCGTGGGCGAGCCGATATCAGCGACGGCGTGCGCGATCCCACCGGGCCGGCAGCTTCGCCCGCTTGCACCGTTAGGCCCCGCACCTCCTGCGCACCCGCTTTGGCCCCGCCGATGGGCCGAAGGCAGGGCAGGGGGTGTGCAGGAGGGTTCTCGCGCCACAGGCCCCCCTGGCGGTCGCAGGGCGGAAAGGACGGCCGGCGCGCATTCCACACGTATTGTGGGGCATGACGCGGGCGACAGCCTTGCCGAGTGGAACGCGCGCGTCGCGGGTTTCCACCGCCATGGCAAGGCGCATCGTAGGGATGCGAGCAGTGCCCCACGGCAGAAGGCGTTGCGCGCATCTAGGCTGCGATACAGGAGGACCGCGCCACGGGGCAAACCACTCGCGCTGCGGCGGTGCGTCCCGCGGGGGACGGGATTTTCCAGCTGGACTCTTTGTGGCGCCCCGCCGCGCCCGGGGCGCCTTCGAGGAGACTTGTGTCCCGGAAAGGCAGTGTTACCACGAATGTATCCACGCACGGGTCGGGAGACCACGCCTGTTGGCGTCACGCGGGCGCGCGGAGGGAGGGTGGGCGATGCAGGGCCCGCAGAGCCCTGCGCCACGCGATCCGCAACGCTGAGCCGCGGCGCAGTTGCCTGATGACTTGGTGCCATATCTGCAACCTCATGCGTTGGTCGCGGGGACGCCCCGACTCGCGCTGAGTCGCTTCGCTGGCGCACTGCCTTGTGTGGAGGTTCCTTACAGAACACTTCCGGCTCCCGTGCGGCCCCCCGGGAACGAATCATCCACACGCGGCCACCGACGGTGACGTGGCAGTTTCAGCCGTCACATGGCGTGAGGGGTAAGCGCTTTGCACGCGTATTAGCGCGGGAATCGCGAGGGCGCTGGAACAGTAATAGAAGGGGGCGAAACGCATTTAATACAGAATGCGTTTCGGAACATCCCGTATACGTGGCACATACCAGCTGCGAATACGATATACGCTCATTCACATACGGCCCCCGCGTGGAATCTTGATCCCTGGCAGCTGTACAGCTGCTGCTTCGTTGCCGCACTCCGAGGCTAGTTGCGGCGTCCGCCCCTCCTTCGCCGCCCGCGTCGCTGACCTCGCGGCGCGTGGGTGGTCCGCGCAGGGCTCGCACGTTCGCGGACGCGACGGAGGACCCGATCGCGGACGCAGGTTGCGCCGCGGCGCCTCGGCTGGATGCCGTGCACGCGGGCGACCAGGCTGCGCGGCACGAGCGGCGGGATCCCGATCCGCTGCCAGCCCCGCCGCTGCTCATGCCGGGCGCGAGCCGGCGACCGCCCGGACGACCCCCGGACGTCCCTGCTGTGTTCCAGCTGCTGTTCCAGAGCGGAGACGATGTTCGTCCCGGACGCGGAGACGAACAACACCAAGCAGGACCTCGACCAGGGCGCGTCATGCACGACGAGATGATGGTGCGCGCCCTATCAGTCGTGATGGACTGCATATTGCTTAGCGCAACTCCGTTGCAGCTCGACATCGCGACACGCACGTTCGCACATGGCACGATCCACGCTGGCCCACCATCCGCATGGTCGTGGCCTCCGTCGCGATTCTGCGCAGTGCGTGTACGACCTGGTGGCTCAAGAACGCCCCCGCGGGCGCGAAGATGTCTCAGCAGCGGCTCACTGCCTCTCTGCGCGACTACTTCGGCCACTTCGGGATGGCGACGGAGGCGGCCGGCACTGTAGATGCAGACCGCTTGTGCATTCCGTCCGAGCCAGGTGAGTTCGCGGCCCAGGACGCAGCCACACACACCAGAACGCTTGCGACACGTGCCGTGCGCACGTCGTGTTGTGTCACATGTTGTCTGTGGGTCGCGATGTCGGCGAATGACCAGTTCGACTGCCCCGGGCGCTCTTGCAGGCGTGGGCATCGGCTCCGGACCCGGAGACCGCGCGATTGGAGCCGTCACGCCGCGCAAACACACCCCTGCAGCTCGACAGATGCTCGTTTTGTGTGTGTGTGCGCGGTTCCGCGATGTACCGCGGTTCCGCGATGTACGTGGCTGCCGGCTCGTTCGTGCCCCGGATGGAGGGCAAGGGGCGCTCGGAAACTGCAGTCACGGACGCCACAACTGCGTTCTGCGGACACAACCCCCCACCCTTCTCCCCCGCACCACGCGCCCGTCATGCGCCCGTCGCGCTTCGCCGCAGCGCGACGAGCGTGGAGGCGCAGCCCGGACCGCGCGGTCGCGCCCTGGCCGCGGATCTGCGGCGCACGTTGCCGTCGCAGGTGGCGGCACCGCATGCGGCACCTGACCGACGGCCCCGCGCGGGCTCCTCGACGGCCCAGCGCGCGCGCCCGGCGCGGCTACGCCGCGTGTTCTCGCTCGAGCCCGACCTCCCCCCACGCCGCGCCGTCAGACGACGGCTGCGCAAAGACGCCGCGTTGCTCACAGCGCCGGTCGCGTCCTCGCGCCGCTATCTGCTACCGGCGTGTGAGCCGAGCATGGCTGCTCCCTCTCCTCATCGCCCCACTCCCGCCCACCTCGCGTCGTCCTTCCGCCCCCGTGGGGCGTCACTGCTGTGTCGGTGCAGTCGGCACTGCACGAGCGCCCTGCCCCACGCTTTCTCCACACCGCCTCCGTCTCAGATCCTGCATCCTACTGCAGCGCGTCCAGAACTTCCTGGAGCGACCACGTCTCGTCGCACCCAAACACCAGGCGCTGCAGCGGATCCAGCATCATTTTCCTAAGCTGCTGCGCCCGGCCAGGGCCTGCTTGGTCCTTCAAGGCACGCGCGTTCTCCGAGTCCTCCAAGAACTCTGCGAGGGTGGTCAGGCCGATCCACAGCTTGATCACCCCGCACTCATCGTATTTCCTGCACGGGTGGTGGAAACCAAACCAGCACAGGTTGGCGGCGCATGTCAGTACTGGCCGCTTCCACCGAGCGCGGCGCGCCTCCTGGGCCGCGACTGCGACCAGACCCAGCGGTGCTCGGGGCACCACACGGCGGCTCCGCCAGCGTCAACGTTCCGTCAGGCGCACCTGGCGCCCAGGTCCCGGATTTCGCCGTCCGGCAGGTTGTCGCCACTCGCGAGTCCAGACTCCCGCTGCAGCGCACGCAGGACCCTCCCGGACTCGCCGGCGTCCACGAGCCTTTGGCCCGCGGCTGCTGCGGCCGCCTTGATTTCGTCGCAGGCGTCATTCACGTGCTTCGGCGTGATGACGTCCCCCTGCAGCTTCTTGGTTCCCACGGGGACGAACGCCTCCACGTCCTCGCGGCTGGGTCGGGTCTTGCCCCCGTTCAGCAGCGAGTTCGTCGGAAACTTCACCACCTGCAGGCCCAGTCGTTCCACGACGCCGGGGCATTCGCAGATCACGGGGAACACCTGCACAGGCAGTGGCGCGGCAGCGGATTCACTCGGCACCAGCGCGTGCGGAAGACAGCTCTCCAACAGCGGCCCCGCGTGGGGGAGTTGCTCTGCAGTCGCAGCATCTGACCGACGCCGGCACTGCGTCAGGGACCCCGCGAGGGCAGCCCTAGCGCCGGCGGGCGCGGGGTTGCGTGGTCGCCGGCGTCGTGGGACCCACCAGCCGCCAGAGGCCGTCGTTCAGCTGATAGTGTTTGCGGTTGACGTGTCGGGCGAAGAACGACACCTGGTAGATCCCCAGGTAGTCCCACACGCAGGCGCCGTATTGTTCCCCCTCGAGCGCCTCGACCTCTTCCGTGCTGAGGCCTTCGCCGTCTGCCACCAGGTCCCGCAGGCAGACCATGGTGAGGTAGAACCCGGGCTTGGTCTGCAGCAGCTCGAGCTCACCGGCATCGTATCCCTCCGGGATGACGCAGGCATCTCCTCCCTGCTTCTTCAGAGGGCGCAGGACCTTCGCGCCGGGCCCCGCCGCGTTGACCAGCCACGGAAGCAGGCCCGGGCCGCAGTGCATTGCGTCGAGCCTGGCGCGGCCGTGGTCGCGCGACCCAGGTGCGTCGACCGTCGTCGTCGTCGTCGGCGGACCCCAGAACTCGCAGCCCGTGGCCTCGACGTACTTCGACGCCGTCTGCACCTCTGCAAGAGCCTCCTGCGGTGCGCGCACCCCGGAGCAGGCCCGGCAGTCAGTCGCGCCGCAGGTCGCTCGTCGGCACGGTCGCGAGCGTGGACAGCGCAAGTGGTGAGGCGAGGGTCAGACGCACCGGCGTGACATGCGGCGCGCACGCCTGCGCGGCGACCTGGTCGCAGCGACACGAGAAATCCGCCCCCGCGCTGTTCACGATGGGCGCGTCGGAGGTGCCGGAAGCGACACGTCGTACAGCTCGCGGAATTCCGACACGATGGCCGCCGACGGTGTGGCTCAGCAGCTGCGCCCTATCCATGTAGATGGAGCTCTTCTGCTGCTGTAGCGATTCGGTGTGGGCCATCCCGCGGTGTTTGCCTTCCGCGGCGGCGAGAACGTCGTCGACGTCGTCGTCGCGCGCGGCCTCCAGCGAGTCCCGCATGTCCTCCGGGAGCCACCTCCTGACGTCGGCCAAATAGAGGCGCGACTGGAAGCGCATGGTGACCGTGAATCGAGCGCCCGTGCGCTGGACAGCGATCTCCTCGAGGCTCAGCACCATCATCGTGTCGTGTAGGATGTCGTCGAGCGTGGTGTCCGCGCGCGAGGTGGCGTGACCCTGGCGGAACGCCACGAAGTCAGTGCTCGAGATGCGCGAGGTGCGCGGGTCGCTCTGCCACTTGATGCCCAGCGGTTGCCTCGCTCTCTGCAGCGTCCTCACGCTCACCCCCAGCTCATCCGCGGCGTCCACGTCCAGCATGTCGGAGACCCCGGCGATCTCTTCAGGCGTGAGGTCCTTCGCGCCACGCCGCCACTTGATGCCCAGCCTTCCGCATCTCTTCTTCAGCGCGCCAAGCGTCATCCCCAGCTCATCCGCGGCGTCCTTCTGCGGCATGCCCTGGACCCCGGCGATCTCTTCAGGCGTGAGGACGCGGCGCCACTTGATGCCCAGGTCTCTGCATCTCTGCTTCAGCGTCCACAATTTCACCTCCAGCTTCACCGCGGCGTCCTTCTGCGGCATGCCCTTGACCCGCTCGATGTCCGCCTTCGTCAGCTTGCCTGTGTCTCCGGGGATGAGCTCGACCGGGATCGTGGTGTTGTTCGACCACTGGCGCAGACTCATCCGCGCCGGCGGGATGCCGGGGTCCGCCGCACCGGCCTCGAGCCGCGACCCGCCCGGCTCGCCTCCATCGGCGCCGAGGGGGATCGGGGCGTCGAGCGCGAGATCCGCGTTGACGAGCCCGGTCTCGGCGGCGTCTGCGGGAGGAAGCCCGGTCTCGTACGACGTTGACGCGTCAACGTCGGCTGACGCGGTCCGGAGCTCCTCCGTCGCCGTGTTCGTGCCCGTCCCGCCTGCAGACGAGCATAGAGACGAGACGCGTCGTGCGTCTTCTATCGCGTGATCATGGGGGTACCTGCACGCGCATCGCGCATGAAGGAGCAGATACGCACCTGAGGCAGCAAGACTGGGCCGCGAATCATGCAGCTGGTCCGGAATCCGCTGCCCGGACCGGTTCGGTGACACGGCGCCCAGTGGTGTTGCAGGTGTCCTCCCGCTGTGCTTGCCCCCCGTGCGCGGCTTCTTGCCCCCGGCGCGCTCCTCGTTCGGCTGCGCGTTGCTGTTGGCCACCGTGCGCGCCCGCTGCAGACGAAGCGCAGAGACACGTATCCGTCAGTCCGACGCAAGGACGTCGTGTGACACGTCGGCATCCCTGACGTCGAGTGAGTGGCACGTGACGACTCGAGCCGCGCGCGCGCGAGAGGGCTCGACGAGCGCTCTCGGTGGTGTCTCACCTTCTGGCGCTTCCGCCGCCCCAGCCACGAGGGCAGGGGCGGCGACTGGGCCCTGAGGGGCTGGTCGTGCTGTCTGCCGAGCTCCTCGTTCGGCCGCGCGTGCTCCGCGCCGTTGCTGTTGGCCACCGCGGGCGTACGCTGCAGACGATGCGCAGAGACGCGTGGCCGTCAGTCCGACGCAAGGACGTCGTGTGACACGTCGGCATCCCTGACGTCGAGTGAGTGGCACGTGACGACTCGAGCCGCGCGCGCGCGAGAGGGCTCGACGAGCGCTCTCGGTGGTGTCTCACCTTCTGGCGCTTCCGCCGCCCCAGCCACGAGGGCAGGGGCGGCTGTACCTGCATGATGTGCGGGTGTTGTCAGCGCTCCGCGAGCCCGCGTGCTGCCAGCTCCGCCTCGATAGACGGACGCGTCCGCAGAGGACCGCTGGAGGCGCAGAGAGGACCGCTCGACCACGTTGCGGGAACTCGGCTGTCGCTTGCTGCATCGCAAAGGTCGAGTCGAGACAGGCCGCGTGGGCGTTGCGCTGGCGCGACGGTGCGGCGCGATCGTCAACTAGCAATGTATGAAGCGCAGCGGAAGCCCGCGTGGCGCGTCTCGAGGCGCTGCGAGGACCCGTTGCTGGGGTTCGTGCTCTCCAAGGTGCATCACAGTGCACCGCTGGTGGGCGCAACGGCGTAAAATATACGTGCTGAGCACGCGACGACGCAGTGCGAGTGCGTCGTCGCAGCGCGGGGCGGGACGGCGCCCTGTGCGAGCTCTGCCCCCGCAGCATGCAGCGAGCACATGGCATGGTGCACACATGGGGCTGCCCTGGCCCGAGGGCCCGCGTGCAGAGCCAGCGCTGCACAAGGGTGAAAGCAGTGCGCCATGGGGAGTCGCTGCCGCCAGCCGCGAGCGCGGCATCGCGGCACGAGGATTCACGCACCCGCTCTTGTTCGTGAAGCTGCCTCCTCCCGATTCCGACAGCCCGTGGCCTCCTGATGTCTGGCGTGCCGCCCAGCCTGGCGTCTTCGGCCGGTTTGCTGCCGCCGCGGCGGGCGCTGACGTATGTCGAGCCAGGCGCATCGTGTATGAAGCGGCTGGGTATGATGTGACGGAGCGATTGCAGAGACACACGACCGTCAGCACCGCGGGCGCGGCCGACCTGTGCTCATCAGCGCCGCGACACGAGCGACTGCACAATCGACGTGCGACGTGCAGCGTCAGACGCCGTGCAGCGCGGCCAGAACGCTCGAGCGCGCCGACGATGCAGCGAGCGCGGTGTAGAACACCGTGGCCCGCGAGGGATCCGCGGCGCCGCGCATATGCTCTGGCAACTGACCTCACGCCTTGCTCGAGAAGTGTGGAGCCAGGTGGACCGCTTTTCGGAGCGCTGGGCCGGTGCACGACGCGTCGCGGTCCGCGCGCCCTGTGCAGCTTGCGCGCTGGGCTTCGAACGCATTTTCGCGCCCTGACGACCTCCCCAGCGCCAGCGAGCGGGCCGGCGAGGCCGCTGGACACGTCGATGGCGTCGTGGGATGGCGCTCAGGGCCCTGCTCCCTGCATGAACGGCACACGGAGGACCATCGTTTGTTCCACCATGCTTTGGTCCCGGCCTGCCGCATGCGACGCTGGGCACGACCCTCGTGCTCGCGGAAAGGAGACTGTGTCGAGGTGCGACCCCTGATCTGCTTCCGGGGGCACCGCATGCGACATGGCGCGTGCTGGGTGTGCGCTGATGTGACCCATGGGGCGCTTGCCTGAGGGTGTGCTTCCGCCGCGACAGAAATCTCCCGCACCGAGGGGCTGGCTTGGAGGCCCCGTGCCGACCGCTGCGCGACCCGCGGATCCCGCCGGACGTCCTCCACCCCGCCCCCCTGTGTGCCACTTGCAGGCGGTGGCGCCACGTGCAGCAAGCCCTTCGCGAGCCGTCGAACGACGGCGTGCGACTCTCGCCCGGCCCCGCCGCGACGCGCGGATCTCGACTCGCCAGCGCCGCGAGCTCTGCCGGGCGCGGAGGGCCACGCGCACCCCGCGACGCCTGCAGCCCGCGCGGGCGTCAGACCGCGCTCACGCGGCCACGGCGGGCACGAGCGCTCCCCGGTCGCCGTGCTCGCGCGCCGCCCGCGTCCTGCACGTGCCAGGGCAGCAGGGCGGTCGCGCCGGGGTGTGGCTCTGCGTCCTCGCCACGCAGGGCATGCCCGGCAACGTGTGTCAGAGCGCGGGCTGCTACGGCGCGACCGATGCGCGGGCGCAGCGCACCTGGCCGCTGCACGCGCTGCGCCTTCGACGCCGCGGCGGCTGAAGCGACGCACGCGCTGCCGGCCAACTGCGCCAGCTCAGGAGGGGTGCGCGCCGAGGGACGCCGCTCCCCGCCCGGGGCAGAACGCGGGCCCCGACACCTAACCCGTCATCTCCCGCCCACGGAGCGGCAGCGCATCGGCGTGGGCGGGCGAGGCGCGCGCGGGGAGGCGGCGGCACAGCCCCGGTCGCGCGTGGCGGTCATCCGGGGCCTGCTGCGCGGCTGCGCCGCCCTGCTGCGCAGATCCACACCGTCTGCGGCCAGGAGATGCAGCGTGGGAGGTCGCACGTCGCTGGGGTAGGGAGATTTGCCCTTCGAAACCCACTTTGAGCCGGGCCGCAGGGCGCTCCCGCACGAGCGGGAGCGGCTGCGCCGACAATGGCGGTCGAGCAGCGCCGTCCGCCGTGCCTCATTCGCGCGGGCGGGGCCGACCGCTCACCTGCGAGCACGAGCTCGACGGCGTCGCGCAGGTGCCGATGTGCTTCCCTCTCATGGGGCGGCCGCGCCGCCCTCACGGCAGCTTCGACGGCTGCACGACCGCGCTTCGCCGCTACGTGCGACAGGACGTCCAGACCGCGTCGGCACGGGGGGACTTCTCGCGTCATGCTGCCCGCGCCTCCGCCACAGCTCGGCGACATGCCGCAGGGCCCGGGGCGGCGCCCCCGCAGGCTCCGCGCGGCGGTGGGCGCGGCATGGCGGCGGTGGCAGAGTGCACGTGCGTTGCAGCTCGACGCACCACTCTTCGGGCGCGGACGGGCCCAGACGGGGGCGTGGGGGCTGCGGACACTCACAGTGCCACTTCTACTGGGTCGATTTCCAGGCATCGCCAGTGCCGCAACCGCGGGAACGAGGCGTGTGTGACCGGTTTCCGATGTCCTTCCTCGCGATTCGCGTCAAAAAACCCGATCTGACGCATCCACAGGCGATCCCGGCGGCTCAAAGTTGCCACATGCTCAGAGCCCTCCTCGGGCCGCTGCGCTGCATGGGGCGCCCGGGCGGTGTCGATCGGGCGGCACTTCGGCGTCGGTGGCCGGCACTGAGCGACACCGACTCCACAGCTCGGGGGAGCGGGTGGCGACTTGGGAGTGGTTGCCAAGTTCAACAGGGAAGGAGGCGTGTGTGGGGGGCGGTTCATCGAGGAGGCCGCCGAGCAGACGGTGGAGGGCGGGGCAGAGGCGCGCTATGGGAGGCTGCAGGTGCAGGCCGAGACGCGCAGGGGGCGAACGGACTGGATGACACAGCACAAGATCAGATCAGCACACAGGACGAGTGGTGCGACGGGAGGGCTCCGAGCTCGAACCGAAGTCACATAGACCTGAACTGACGTCATCTCAGCCCCGCGTGGCAACTCCGAGGCAGGTGCCACGCAGCCCCAAAGGCATCAACGGCATGACGTGTGTGCGAGGCCGCGTGTGCTCATCCGGTCTCGGCGCCGACCGCGTGCCACCCTGCACCGCCTCCGTGTCGTCCGTCAGCAGCGGCCGGCCCTGCGCGCCCGTCAGCGCCGCCTCCGCCGTCGACACCTCGTCGTGCTAGCGCCACATCAAACGCCCAGCCTCACCCGGCACTCCCGCAGCCGGCCGAAACGAGCTGCAGTCCCCACTACCACGCTCCTCGCCTCGCCGGATCCCGCGGCGTCCGCGGCACCGCGGTGATCGCGTCGCCAACCCGGACAGTCCAACCCCGTGGCCGCCGTCCCAGCTGCTCGCCCGGGCTCCTCGTCCCACCGCGTCCCCAGCCCAAGTCGCAGGACGATCGCATCCAGCGCGTCCGGCAGCCCTCGTCGCCACGGTGTGCGCCGCACGTGCGGCAGCCCCGCTGCACCCGCCACTGCAGTCCCTCTCCCTTCCGCGGCTGCAGAGTGTTCTCCCTCCTCCTTGCAGCGCCGGCAACGGCCTTCCCACCCGCCAAGCACAGCTACCCGCCGCCACGCCTCTCCGTGCGACGCCTCCGGCTGCGCGTCGCCCGGCGGGACATCCGCCACAACCCACCACCGCCTTGTCACCCATCTCCTCTGCGCACGGCGCCCCCGCCACTCCGATCGCCAGCAGAAGTCCGCCGTGGGCATCCGTCGACCCCACGCGCCCATGCTTCTCGCACGCGTCCGACGCTCACGCCGCCTCGCTCATCACCATCGCGTACCTCTGCACCCTCGCTCCCAGACCCCACCGCCCGCCCCAGCGCCGCCCGCACGCCCCGTGCGCCCCAGCAGCGCCACCTCTTCCCCAGCCCCAGGCGCCCGCGACTCTCGCCGCCCCCGCACCTCCACTGCCGTTGGCAGGAAAGCGGTCCACCGCCACCACGTCCCGCACGTCCGCCAGCCCCTGCGCCACCCGCTCCACGCGTCGCGCTTCCCGATATCTCCTGTGCGTGCGCGGCGCAATGTCGGCTCGCCCGCAGCGGCGCCCGCGGGGCGTATGATGGCTCGCCTGGGCTGTCACAGAGTCAGGCCCGGAGCGGCTCCGCGGGGGTCTACAACGGGCCGCGGCACGTCGAGGCGGGGCACGGAAGCGCCCCTGTCCTCGACGCAACGAAAAAAACAACGCTGCCCCGCCTGTCCCCGCTGTCCCCGGTGCTGTCCCAGGAGCACTGAAAGCACGCCTTCCCGCGCCGTGAGAGCAGAACGAAGTGTGTCATTAGGCCGGACACACGGCGTCAGATCGTCGTAGCAGCGAGGGATGGGTCGCGGGGAGGTGAGCTCCCGTTCCGAGGCGCACGGGGCCACGAGCTGCACCTCTGAACAGTGGCCCCGGCGACCGCCGCGCGTGCCGAGCTTGCGGCCTGCGTGCATCCGTTCCGCTCCGACGGCGAGATGCGGAGCGCGTGCGTCGCCGCGAGCGTCCTTCGGAAACGACGGCATGCGAGGGGCGCGGTGCGTTGGCGGGGCGTTGCATATTCCGTCGCTGAGCCGCGCTGTGCGCCCCGTGTGCAGTCCTCATCGAAGAGGGTGATTGGCAAGGAGGAATGGGAGGCCGCCTTGGAGCAGGAGGGTCCAAAGAAAGAGGTGAGACGACGCCCTGGCCCGTCATCCCCGCGCCTGATTCCCGCCGCGACCGCGCCCTCGCCAGCGCCGCACACGACGCCACCCGTCTTCCCCGCGTGCGACATGCCATCCGGATGCCCGGCGCACTTTCGAACACGCGCGGCGGGCCCTCTGAAGCCCTGCACGCGCCCCTCTGTCCAAACCACCTCCCTGCGGCCCGCTCCCCGCCGCGCAGGACGTCAACCGCCTCATCATGGACTTCCTCGTCTCCGAGGGCTACCTCGACGCCGCCAAGGCCTTCTCCGAGGAGGCCAGCGTCAGGCTGCCCCAGGACCTGGGCGACCTCCCTGCGCGCACCGAGATCCGCAGCGCCGTGCAGAACGGCCGGATCGCCGACGCCATGGAGCGCGTCGCCGAGCTCGACTCCGAGGTCCTCGAGGAGAGCCCCGCCCTGCGGTTCCGCCTCCACCAGCAGGCCTTCGTTGAGCTCATACGCTCCGGCGACGCCGACGCGGCCCTCGAGTACGCGCAGGAGTTCCTCGCGCCGCAGGGGGAGGAGAACGAAGCGTTCCTCGAGGTGCGCGCGCGCGCCTGCGTCGCCCCGGCGTCGGGACGGCATGTGTCCGCGAGGTGGGCTGTTTGGTGAACGACACCCCGGGGTGCGTGGCGGCTTGCAGGAGCTGGAGCGGACGGTGGCGCTGCTGGCGTTCGAGGACCGCGACGCGTGTCCGCTCGGGAGCCTCCTGGACGTCGGGCAGCGGCAGGAGTCGGCGCGCGCTCTGAACAGCGCACTGCTGACCAAGCAGAGCCTCCCGGGGGAGCCGCGGCTGGTGCTGCTGCTCAAGATGATGCTGTGGGCGCAGAAGCAGCTCGAGGAGAAGGCGACGTTCCCGCAGATCAAGGACCTCGCCACCGCGCAGCTCGACGGCGAAGAAAACGTGTAAATGGCCTCGCGCGCAGAGCGGGCGACGAGCAGCACACGGCCGCAGAACCGCGGCGGCAGGCGCGAGAGCGGCGGCGTAGAGCAGCGAGAGGGGGTCCCGTACATCGCAGTGCACTGCCCTCACAAATCAAGGTCACGTTGCTCGGCTGCGGCGGACCCGCTTATGTAGGTGCGAGTTCAAGCGCGGCGCCGTCAGCGCCGCGGGTCACGCGCCGCGCGCCGCCCTCGCCTCGGGTTCGCGCGCCCGCCAGTACATGGGCGTTTGCATCTCGTACAGCCGCGACACCGCGCGCGCAAAGGCGAAGGCCTCCTCCGCGCCACCGAGCCGCCGCCGCGCCTCCTCCACGGCGCTCCGCCCCGACACCACGGGCGCCACGCCCCCGTCCGCCATCACGTCCCGCCGCAGCCGCCGCCCCTCCGCCTCGCCCTCGAACTGCAGCCCCTCGAGGTCCAAGATGGGCTCCGCGTCGCCGTCGACGAGCGAGCCCCCGGCCCCGCCCTTCCCGCGGAAGAGCTCGTCCGGCGGCGCCTCCGCGACGCACACCAGGCGCGTTCGCGCGTTGTACAGCTCGTCGACGAGCGTGATGAAGCGGCGCGCCTGGTCCCGCTTCCCCATGCCCATGCGCGGGACGCCCGTGAGGAGCAGCGTGTGGCAGTGCCGGGCGAGCGCGAGGAAGTCCGCGGGCCCGAGAGGCCCCAGGGGGGGTTTCCCTGAACACAGGTCGGCGAAGTCGACCCACGCCGCGCCGTGCGCGACCCGCTGCAGCGTCAGCGTGCGGTTGAACATCACGGGGAGCGACAGCGGCGCACCGGCCGACGCAGCCGGTACACCCGCGAGCTGCGACCACAGCTGCAACGCGACCGCAGACTCCATCACCGCGTCCGACGGTCCGCCCGCATCCAACAAGAAGTACCCGGCGCCCGGGCCGCACTCCACCGCGGCCACCTCCTCGCTACCGCTGCTGGGCGCGGGGCGTTCGTCCGGAGCGGCGGCCGCGGCAGCGTAGTGCGCGGTCAGTGCGTCGACGAGGGCGGCCTTCCGACGCAGGTGGCCGCGGCCTGGGAGGTTGATGGCCGTAGCTTCAGCGTGCAGCTTCTTGACCGTGAGCGCGGCGAGGCGCGCGCGGATCGCCTCGACCTCCGCGTCGTCCGCGGCGCGGGCGGCCGATGCTGCGGGGGCCTGGCGGGCGGGCGCGGGGCAGACCCACGCCCGGCAGACGCCGTCGGGCGACGACGCCTCGGCTGCGTCCCGGCGGTGGTCGGACCCCGAGAGCGCGAACTCGTGGCAGCTGCGGTGCAGCTCCGCTGTGAAGTGCTCGAACAGGGCCTGCAAACGACAACGAACGACAACGCGCAGCGAGCTCACGGTGCCGCTCCCTGTGCACCAACCAACCCCACCATCCGCCTCCGACGCACGTGGCTGGCAGCGGGTCACTGCTCCTCACCTCGTGCAGGCCCTGGCGCGGCATCTCGTCGATCGCCCGGTTCGCCGTCGCCACCACCATCGCTCCCTCGCCCAGCAGCGGCTCCAGGAGGCCCTTCAGCGCCGCGGCGGTGAACGGATCCGTGACCTGCAGCTCGTCCAGACACAGCACCGCCGGGCCCAGCCCCCCCGGCAGCTCCGGCTCCACGACACTCCCCCAGTCCACGTCCAGGGCCCGCTGCGCCCTGGCGCTCTCCCGAGCGTCCCACGCGGCCTGCGCCGCCCGCTCGCCCGCCCGCCGCGCGACCTCCGGCGGGGAGCGCCGCGAGCCGTACAGCAGCTGGTGCGCGACGGGCGCGAAGATCGCGGAGTTGGATGCAGCGAGCTGCGCCACGTCCCCCGCGCGCCGGTGCTCCTCGCGCGTGCGCCGCCGGGCCGCGAGGACGGCCGCGCGGTGGCTCTTCGTCGTGGGCACCTCCGCAGCGCGCGTCTCCTCCAGGTGCATCAGGTAGTTCACTTCCAGCATCATGGCGTTGAAGTGGGTCCGCAGCACGTGCAGGTGCGCGCCGGAGGCCTCGCGGGCCTCGGCTGCGGCCGCGTGGAACAGGTCCATGCACATGGTCTTGCCGCTCCCGACGCTGCCGTGAATGAGAATGCCGCGGGGCGGCGCCGGCATGGTCGGTGCGGCGCCGGCCGCGGCGTCAGCGTTCGCGCGGGCCTGGCGCCACGCCGCCGCGCGCCGCTTCTCCGGCGTGTCCGCGGCGGCCGGCGAGCTCTGCAACGCGCGGACCTGCGCCTCGGCCCAGGCGGCTACGTCGGGGAAGCCGTACCGTTGCGCTGTGTCTGCAACCCATGTGGCCAAGGTTGCGAGCACGGTCGGCTCTGGGGGGCGCGCGGCTGCGGCCTGCTCGCCCGGCGTCTCCAAGGGGTGCTCGGCGTCGACGCGCGCATCGGCGTGCATGCGCAGGAGCGCGGTGTTGCGCGTGTGCACTGCTAGGTCGTGCAACCAGCGGCGGTAGCGGGCGTCGTAGTCGATCGCGGCGGCGAGGAGGGCGTCGAGGGAGTGCACGAGATCCTCTTGTGCGGCTTCGGGCCTGCGTTCCGGCGTGGACGGCCGCACAGAAGGGTGAGCTGGAGGCTGCGGAAGCTCAGCATGCACGCCACGCGCGGGCGTGTGCCGTGCAGCGGCGCTGTGCGGCTTCCGTGGCGCAGGAGAGGGGCCGGGGCGCACCTGATGTGTTTCGATGCTGCGAGGCCGTTGTACCGCTCAGACACCGCGGGAACGGGCTGCGCTGCGCTCTGCGGCGCTGGGTGCGTTGTCGCTGGGGCACGAGTCGCGGCGCTGACGTACGCAACCTCCTCGTCGACATCCGCCGCCACCGCGTTCGGGTTCGAGTAGAGGCGGACGCGTGCCGCGGGGGCGCTGTGCGCGCCGGCCGCGCTGCGCGCACACCGGAGCGTGTGGGCCTCGGTGCAGAGGCCGAAGGGCAGCGGGCCCGACTCCCTGATCGGGCCCGACAGAACGCCACGGCCGTAGGTCGCCGTGCCATCCAGGAGGCGCGCGCAGCTCCGCGCGAGCGTGCGCAGGCCCGCCGCGCCGTGCCTCGAGCGCCCCATTGCTCCCAGCGCCCGCACCGATGCAATGCAGCACGGAAACCGGGCGTCTCCCGCCGCTTCTGGCCCCGAGCGACGCGACAAGTGCACCGCACAGGCCTGCGCTGCCGCCCAACTGCTCGAGCGGCCCGTGGATCGCGCAGTGTCGTGCGTCGGACACTGTGCGCCTGATGCATGCTCGACACGTGCGCTGCTGAAAGGGCCGCACGCACTGGAGACCGGACGCAGCGCGGCAGGCGTGCAGCCCCACGCGCGAGTCGCGAAGTGACCTCCGCGGAACATGCGAACGAGCTGTCATGTAGGCAATGGATTGGCTCACAGCTTCGACGCCTGCCGTTCACTGCGGTGCACCGTCCAGGAGCCCAGCGCGCGCCGGGAGGTCGACAGAGCACGCGCCTCCTGCGCGTGCGGTGTGTTCGGTCAACGCCCACGCAACGTCGTCGTGGCACTCGACCAGTAATGGTGTATGTCGTAATGTGTCACGTGGTGCGGGTCACTTGATCGCCTCCATCGCGATGACCGGCGCGGCGCAGAGGAAGTCGTGGAACTCGTCCGCGTGCGCTGGGTCCGCCTGCAACGCACGCGGCGACAGGTCCGCGTTGCCAGGGCAGCGGAGCGCAAGCGCGCGTACAGGGGGGCTCGGCGGGGGCGGGGCGTGCCTCGAGCGGTATGAACCGGAACGACGCGAAGCCGGCCTTTTGGAAGGCGCGCTGGATGTCCCAGGGGGGGATGTAGTAGTTGTCGAAGGTGAACACCTCCCCCGTCGCGCGGTCCTTGAAGGTGTACCTGATCGCGCACCCGAGCGGCCGCCCCTCCGGACAGGACTTGACGAAGCCGTACGGCGCGGTGTCCGCGTACGACGCGCTGGCCTGCCCCGTGTTGTCGGACACGGACACGAAGCGGCCGCCGGGCTTGAGGGCTGCAAAGATGGACTGCGCCATGAGCAGGAGGTGCTCGTAGTCCTGGGCGTAGCAGAGGAGGTAGCTCGCGAACACCAGGTCGTGCTTCCCGTGCAGGTCCGCAGACAGGTGCGTCGCGTCGCCCACCTCGTACGTCACGCCCTGCGCCTGGGGGGCAGCGGGCCAGGAGGCGATCAACGGGCCTGGGATGCGCGAACCTCTGTTGCGGAGCAGCCCGCCGGTCCCGCGGGCTGGCGTCGGCGCGCACCTGGTCGGTCTCGCATTGCTTCGCGAGCGCAATCATCTCCTGCGAGATATCAACGCCCTTCACCGCCGCGGCGCCACGCGCCTTCAGCTGCCTCGCGTAGTGCCCGTTGCCGCATGCGAGGTCGAGTACCGACTTGTCCTGCGCGAATCGTGGGGCGCATGTGTGCTAGGCGCGGCGCTTAGCACGAGGCGCATGCACGGAAGCCTGCGAGGGACGATGCGCTCTCACCTTCAGCCAGCTCGACGACGCCTCGTGAGTGGCGTGCTTCTCGATCACTTTCCACAGCGTGAACGCCTCCACGAAGACGCGCCACGGCTCCAACTTGCATCGGGCATAGAGCGCAGATATCGCGTTGTACTGATCCGCCGCAACTGCGCCCGTAGGCGTGATCGGACCTGCTGTGGAACCGGAAGGCAAAGATCGAATAGTGGTGGACATTTGATCGACACGCGCGCCGCGAGGCCACAGCGATCAGTTGCATCTCGGGCTGCTGGAACCTGGCGAGTGCGGCCGCGCGGGCGCCTGGCGGGCTGACGTATCGCGACTTCACTTCAGAGAGGGGGTTGCTGCATTGGGTACTGCGTAACAACACGTCAGACGAACCGCTATGCCAAACGAAGAGAATCCCACCTGAATTTTCGTTCAGAGCAACACTACCGGAGGACATTGCAGGCGACTTGGTTACGACATGACCGGTCAGAATACATGGAACCGCTGGTGCCCGCGGACCAGGCCCGACGAAGACCGGGGAGCCTGCGGTGTAACACCTCAACTACCTCGGTTGCGTCAGGCCCCCGCAACGCCGGGCGACAGGCCGCTTGATGCCGCGAGGTCCGTACTGGCCTGGTGCAGTCCCGAGATGTCCGACGCTGCAAAACCATCGTTGCGGCACCGTCGAGCGAGACGTGCTGCTCCCTCAGGGAGCACCGGGCGCCCCGCGCCGACGAGCCCGCGCGTCGCTCACGCGGACGACCCCGTCAATGAGTCCGGGCACAGGTGCGCATCGAGAATCATGCGCCTTCCAGCACGCCGTGGGGCCGTCCTGAGCTGGCACCTGCTTGCCGCCGCTCTCCGAACGCTCCGCCAAGCAACGCTCAGGAGTGTCGTGCCACGTGCAGAATCGCCACGATGCGCCTTCAGGACCTCCCGGATGCCGTGTTCGCGACAATCACCGGCTTCCTGGACGAGCCGGCCCTGCTCTCGCTGATGGCTACGTCCTCCCAAGTCATGTCCAGCGTGGTGTGCTGCATGCCCGGGAAAGCCGGCGAGCCGCGACGCGCCTACTGGGGCAAGGACGACGTGCTGCGCGAGGGCGTCCGTCTGTCAGTCAACGGCAAGCTCCGCGTTCCCAGCCACAAAGCAACAACGGTGTCGTGCTTCTTCGCCGTTCGCCGGAGCGACGAAAGAAGGTGCCTGCCCCGAAGTACTGTGCGCGCGCCACACGCACCCGCGTACCCCCCTGCCGCCGTAAACGCTCGTTCCGCCTCGTCGCCCTCAACGCAGTCGCTGGAGGCCGAAGATCAACCAGCCGTGCCTCATGGTGCCCCTCGGGACCCCACCGGGCGCCTTCCTGGCCCGCGCGGTGTCGATGACCGGCGGGCTGTTCCTCTTCTCCATCCCGAGCGGCATGTCGAGCCTCACGAGCCTGACCCTCGAGCATCACTCGCTCCCGTTGCTCGAACACGGCTGGCTGCCGGAGGACTCGCGCGCAGTCTCTCACCTCACCGTGGCGGTCGGGTCGATGAGGTGCTCGTGGTCGCAGATGCCGCCGCTGCCGCTGCACCTCTTGCTCTCGCTGCGCAGTCTGATCCTGGCTGGAATGCCTGTCCAGCGGGTGCCCGACGGCCTGCTGCACCTCGAGTACCTCGACGTCAGCAGCTCGGGCGTGGGCGAAGACACCGAGGACTGGCTCCCGCACAGCAGCTCCCTGAGCCTGAAGGAGCTGCGACTGGCCAACAACCACTACATCTCGTGCGTCCCTGACTCGGCGCGCAACCTCGAGGTGCTCGACGTCAGAGGGGCAACGGCCCTGGATCCTGAGGACTGGCTGGCCGCGGACACGGCGAGGAACCTCCGGGTGCTGAAGATCACAGGCGTCAGGCGGAAGGCGGCGCAACTGATCACCACACTGCCGCTGGAGAGCCTGCGCGAGCTCGAGACGACACGCTTGGACGCCGTGCCAGACGTGTCAAGGCTGGAGGCGCTCGTGTTCTCGGGTTCGGGGAGCTTGCCCTCGAGTGCAGCCGTCGCAGCCCTGGCAGCGAATGCGGGCGGGGGACTGTCGAGGCTGACCTTCGAGTGGGCCGTGGCCAGGCAGGACGCTGACAAGCCGGAGGTCCAAGGAACGTGGCTCGCGCGCCCGCTCGTTTCCGCGCTCGTCGAGCTGAACGTTGGTTATACAGACGTTCGAAAGCTTCCCAGGGAGGCTCTGAATCTGAGGAGGCTGGACGTGTCTGGATGCCCACTCGAGGACGACTGGCTGCCGTGCGACGTCGCGAAGGGACTGGAATATCTCGACGTTTCAATGACGGCGATCGCAACCGTTCCGACTAGCCTGATTCGGCTGCAAGACCTGCTTGTCAAGAGCTGCAGGAGCCTGGGCCAGGACTGGCTGTCGGACGACGTGGCATCCGGTCTCAGGACCCTGAACGCGTCCTGGTCAACCGTGACGAAGGTTCCCTCGTCGGCGAGACGGCTCGTGGAGCTGGATTTGTCGGGGTGTGTCATCGCAGGACAGTGGCTTCCGCCATACCTTCCGTACCTGCGGGTCCTGAAAGTGAGGCACACGGACATCGACCGAGTTCCAGCGAGACTGCCCCAGCTCACCAAGCTTGATGTCGTGGGCTGCACTTCCCTCTCTCGAGACTGGCTCGGAGAAGAGGCGATGGCGTCGATCACAGACCTGAAGTTAACACGGTGCTCGCGTGTCCCCGCGGCGTGTACGAACCTCCGGAACCTGGACATCGATTCATGCAATCATCCCTTCTCGAAGCAGTTGCCCTTGGACACGAGGCGCAGCATTCAACAGCTCAGAATCTGGCGGGCAACCAACAACTTGCTGACGAGGGACATGGAGTGCCTTACTTCGTTCAGTGAGACATGTTACGAGGGCCGGGTGGACGCCTTCAAGGCCATGACGTCTCCGCCGCCCGCGCTCACAGAGGCAACGTTGGTGATGCCTGAAGATTTCGAGCGTCTCGTGCGCACCTGTCCCACGTGGCACATTTTTGAGGGACCGGGCTCCAATAGATGCACGTTCATCCCGAGAGACCCGCATGCACTGGACCAGGACATCATCGAGCCAGTGGTGTTCTTTAAAGCCGAGCTCGACGAGGATGACGAGTCTGGTGAATGGTCCGATGACGGGTCTGATGACTCCGATGGCGTTCAGCCCGAGAGTTGGACATCATCACAAGCGCCCTCAGAGGCACCGTCCGAGTAGCGCGACCGACTCGCAGGCTTCTCCTCGCATTGTGACGACAAGGCATGACACAAGAGACGGACTCTAGAGCAGCAGACCTGCCACGATGCGTGAACAGACCGCAGCTGCCTGTGAACGCAACTGGCCCGCAACGATTTACAGCTCCTGCGCCGCAGACTACGCGCCCGCGCTGCATCGAGACGCCAACGCAGACAACAGCTCACCTGCGCAGCCCCTCACTCGCCCTTCCCCTCGCCCTTCGCACCCTCGCCCTGCCCACCTGCGGCCTCCTCGCTGCCGCTGCCCGCGCCGTCCTCCGACACCTCGACCTGCTCCTCGCCGATCACGCTCGGCACCGGCGTCTCCTCCTTCTCACTCCGCGCGCCCTTGTCCTTCGCGCCGTCCTTGTCCTTCTCACTCCGCGCGCCCCTGTCCTTCGCGCCGTCCTTGTCCTGATCGCGTGCCGACGGGCGCCCGCGCGTGATGCGCATGATCGCCCCGCCAACCACGCGCCCGCCGATCTCGCCCGCCGCCAGCGCCGGCCGGAAAAACGGCAGCGGCATCCCGCGGATGTCCGGCCCCTTGGCGCCGTGCGGCCCCGCGCCCAGGGCGGCCTCGCAGGACGCCGGTGCGTCGGTGACGGACGCGGACGCCACGAGGAGGGGGTACAGCGTGCCCGACACCGCGGCGGCCCAGAAGAACGGAAGGAAGAGCGGCGGGAAGGACAGCGGGGCGCAGAAGCCGAGGAAGTATGGCCAGCGCTTCTCGATGAACCTGCGGGCGGCGGCGCCGGGGAGGAGTCTGTGACGCAGAGCACCGGTGCCGCACTCGCAGACAGCGCGGGCTCGCTCGCGCCTCGCCGGCCCGACCACGATATGCGCACGCCTGCCGGCGCTGCAGCAGCGTTGTCGGCACCAAGGAACACACGCTGCCACGAGGGGCAACGGGGCCCGCGTGGCATTGCGCGTGTCGTCGCGGGGCCCCGCGCCGTCACGCAGGCAACGGAGGCCAGCGTTCTCACCAGAGGCGGTTCTCCAGCGGCCAGCCCGCGAGCTGCCAGTGCAGGTCGAAGCACCACAGCGCGTACATCATGGCCATCAGCACCGCGGACAGCAGCGGGCCCACCACGGGCGCGAGGCCCACGAGCATCGCCGTCCCCATGAACACCGCCACGATGATCCCCTTCATGATGTCCTCCTGCGGCACCGCAGCCAGCACTTCCTTCCAGTGCGTTGAAGGGGCCGTGCTGCGCGCGCCAGCCCCCGCCTTGCTCGCGCCCGCCGCGCCGTCGCCCTCCGCGCGCTCGGGGTGACGCGGCGTCGCGGGCACGACGCGCGACACGGGCAGCGCGCCGTGGATCGTCACGGCGGGCTCGTCGTCGCCGTCCGCGTCGTCGCCGGTGCTGTTGGCGCGCGCGTGCGACGCCTTGCTGGCGGCGACGAGGTCCGCCTCGCGCTTCGCGCCCTCGTGCGCGGCGGCCGCGATCTTCCCGAACATCGGGAAGCAGCAGGCGGTCGCGACGAGATACACGGGTCCCAGCCACGCAGCGTGGAAGGCAAAGTGGAGGCCGCTGTCGACGGCGTCGCAGGCCGCCTCGACGTCCGCGTGCGCGAGCTCCTCGAGGGGGGCGAGCCAGACGTGCGCAGCGCGGGCTCCGAGGTGGCAGGAGCGCGACAGGAGGCTGGTGATGGCGGGGCCCACGGCGCCCGCCCAGGCGAGCTGGGAGCCCAGGAAGAGGCCGCCGTTGATCAGGACGACGCGCTTGATGTGGTCGGCGAGCTCAGGGTTGCGGTAGAGCGCGGGGACGATCCGGGACACGTCCGCGGCGTCGCGGGAGCCCGCATACCTGTGCAGTGAGAGAGGAACGTGCGCGGTTTGCCGTGCAGGAGGCGGGGGGGCGCGCCAAGCAACAGGAGCCGTCGCCGTAGATGTCATGCGGCCGTGGCTGGTGCAAAGACGTCGCGGAAAGCCGGCATGCGAAACGCAGCGACGCTGCAAGAAGTTGGAGAAGGAAGCGCGCGTGCGCGCCCGATCGGCGTTCGCGCGGGACTCACCAGAGCCTGTATACAGCCTTCGTGGATGCGACAATGGAACTCTCGCTCATGACTCGATTGCAGGCCCCCGGGGTGGGAGCCGCGTCGCTTTTCCCCGCCCAAGTGCTCCTTGGTTAGTTCGTGGGGGTTCCCGGCTTCGTCGTGCCGCGAAGGAGCGCTTGCAGGCGGCCCACGTGCCCTTGTTGCTCTCGTGGTCGATGCGCTCGATCCACGAGCAGATGGTGCCGTGAAGGTCGCGGCGCGGGCGCCAAACCTCTTGAGCAACGTGTGCGAGACGAACGGGATGCTGTGGGCAGCGCTCGCGCCTTTTCGCGGTGCATGCGCATGCAAAGGCACCGTGTGCTGATCTCGAGCGAACGGCGCAGAGCGCGCCGCTTCGTGGCCGCCACGACGGTCAGGGCAACACCTCCGTGACGTGAATCTTGTTCCCCCCTGACGCAGGCGGACGGGGCGCGGCGAGAGCGTTGTTGCCGCGGCACGATCGCTACTTTCTGTATTCGCGCGCCCGCCAATGTCGCAAGGGACAGCGCGCAGCCGAGAAGATGGCCATCAGGAAGAATGAATGACCCCGTTTGATGGCATGAAGGACTGAGCGAGGCAGCTGCGGATTCGCCGGCTGTGAAACTAGACTGTTGCGCGCGGGACGGACCTGATTGGCTGAGAGGGGCGGCGATAGGCGACGAGCGGGGGAGATGGAGCCACCAGACGCTGATGCCTCCAGGACGCGCGCACCAGACGGAAATGAGTTCGACTGGGCGAAGGGCGGGCTGCCACCGGGACTCAAGAGGCTGCAGTCCACATTCATATTGGCTCTGTTCGCAGGTGCGCGCACGATCTCGCCCGGGTGCCTGGCTGCAGCAGCGGGCCGTCCGCGCCCGTGAGAACGCTTTCCAGCCGCGTGATGCACGGAACCTCGCACCATTCGACTTGGTCTTGACCCGTCATGCGAGAAGCGGACGTATCTCTCGCGCAACTTGCTGCATTCGCACCTGTTGTCAAACTGCGGGGATCTGCGCGGCGGCGTGCGTCCGCAGGGCTGATGGCATGGACCCTGGTGCACGTCCGCACCGTGGAGCGCCCGTCCGCGCGGCAGCTCCAGTCGTGGCAGGCCACCCTCGCGGCCATCGACGCGTCACCGCGCCCACAGTGCAAGATAGCAATGGCGGTGGGGCCGCTCGTGGGCGGGCAGGGGGCGTCGTGGATGGAGTTCATCACCACGTCGGTCAACACCAACATTCGCGAGGTGCGCGGCCCAGCGCCCCCCGCGGCGTGCACATGTGCTCCGACGTCATCATGCACCGCCTCACGTTGCAGGCGCGCGTGCGCCCTGCCTGCTGCAGATCGAAGGCGACCTGATGTGCGAGCCGGAGGTCACGGACCTCGTCGAGCGCTGGGCCGGCAAGGCCCCCCCGACCGGCGGCCTGCAGCACACGCTCGCCATCGAGGTCCTCTCCGACAAGAACCTCGCGGGCACAGGCCTCGATTCCGACACCGTGCGCACCGTCACGGAGCACCTCGCGAGCGCGGACACCTGCACGTCGCACGTCGTGATGGGCCCGCGCCGCACGGCGTACGTGGTGGTCGCTGAGCCCGCCCCCGCGTGCCTGAAGCCAGCGGCGTACGCCCTGCGCCGCGCGCTCACAGTGGCGTTCGGCGCGCGCCTCCCGCACGCCGCGAAGACTCCGAGGAGCGCGGACGGCGCGCCGCGGACGGCCCCGTCCGACGCCGGCGCCGCTCCGCTGCACCTGCCGACGTGGCACGTGTTTCCCACGTTCGCGGCGACCGTCGGGGTGTGCCGCGGTGAGGCGGGCCGCGCGTGGGACTGGCCGGCAGTCCAGGAAGCTGCGCTGGCGGGGATGGCGTCGGCGCTGGAGGGCGTCGTCGATTTTGTGTACCACCCGCGCGAGCTGCATGGGCTCGCGTGGCCGACCGGGGCGGGGAAGTGGGGCGTGGAGCGCGCGCTGCCGGACACGTGGGAGGCCGCATCGGAGCTCCCCGCGGCGCAGAGGGCGGCTGCGCGGTCCAAGGAGCCGCACGTGGCCATCCTGGGCGACATGGCATCAGAGTGGCGCGACCTGCCCGGGCCGCGGGTCCACGCGATCAGACAGGTGGCGATCCTGCCTCCTTGCAAGCACCGCCCAGCGGAGTTCACGAACGGGCGGCCGTCGGCGATGCTGCCGGGCCCGGTGCGCGCAACGATGATAAACGCTGCGACGTCGGGCGCGGCGGCCGAGGAGGGCGGGGCGAACGCGTGGCTGGACTCTGACGACGCCGGGGCGAGTCTCTCGGGGTTCGTGGATGTGCTGGTTGCGGCGGTGCGGGCGGACCTGGGCCTGCACGGGGCGCCGCTGCGGGCGGCGGGGCGCAAGGCGAAGGTGACGGCGGCGCGGGCGGAGGGCTCGGCGCACATGACGGACTGGGAGCTGGACAGGGTGAAGCTGGCAGCGGCGCGGCTGCGCGTCGCGGAGGCCGTGGACGTCATGCAGGCGACGATCCAGGTGAGCGCCGTAGCAGCAAACACTTGTCTCTTGTCTCATTTCACGGCTGAACCGCTCGCTCCGAACCACAAGTCGTGCATGTTCCGACAGCCTGCTGATAGTTCTGCTCCCTTGCAGGCAGCGCGGAGGAACTCGAACCTGCGCGTGCCTGCCTTCGTGCAGCAGCGACTGCCCATGTGCATACAGGTCGCTCGCAGCGCGTCCCGGGAGGCCGCGGCGGCCCCGGCGGGCAACCGGGCGGCGTGGGCGACCGTTCAGGCCACCGCGCGGGCGGCCGTGGAGTGCGCGCACACGCTGAGCTACGGGTCCGGCATCGAGATGGAGCCGTCGCGCGGCGCACAGCATCTGATCTCGCTGTACCAGCCGGTGGGGCTCCCGCTGGTCGTGGTGACGCTCGGGGCGTTCGGGGCGCAGCTGCGCCACTACATGAAGCGCAGGAAGGCGGTGGCGGCGCTGACCGCCCCGCACACGAAGCAGGACTGAAGCCCGTGCGACGCTTGAAGCGGCTTTCAGACGAATAGACTGATGCCCCGCGGACGATGCATCGGCCATGATAGCTAGGCGGAACACAGCGGTCGATCGCCAACGATCACATGGTGACTTGTGATATTGACTGACGTGGTACTTCTCACTCCGCCGCGACCGTGGCGTCTCTGCGCTCGGCATTGCCCCCGCCGCCGCCTCACGCCATCGCGCGCGCGTTCCCCCTGCTCGCGGCCACCAGCGCGCTGTCGAAGTCCAGCGCGCACGCGGCCCACATCTCGCTCAGCCGGCGGTACCGCACCTCGTTCAAAAACAGCGGCCTGCCCCTCCGCATCGATATGTCCTCGTCGCCGTACGAGTCCAGGTACACCCCGGGCGCCACCGCGAACCTGTGGTCCCGCAGCACCACCACCCGCGTCGACTCCAGAAGAATAAACAACCCCGCGCCGCCGCCGCACCGCCGCGCGTGCTGGAAGCACCGCGCCACGCCCCGCGTCGACACCCCTAGCCCCGCGCGCTCCCCCTCCCGCGGCGCCTCGCACGCGTCCCAGTTCGGCTCCACCGCCCCCGCCACCGCCGCTGCCGTCTCGCACGACCGGTACCCGCCGCAGCACATGCACGCGCCGCACGCGAGGCACATCGCGACGTCCACGCCCTCGCGGCGCTTGCAGTGCCCGCACCGCATCTCGCACGTCGCCAGGAAGAAGTCCTGGAACACCGTGGGGAGTGCGCCGAGGCTGGGGGCGCGCGGGAGGAGCCGCGCCGCGGCCTCGACGGCGCCGGACGTGGCGCGCGGGCGGCCGTCGTACGGCGGGAGCGCGGCGGCCCACCGCGCGCGCGGCCGCGGGTGGCGCGCCGGGCTCGTCGAGGCCCGACCACAGGTACTGCATGTCCGACAGGCAGCGCAGGCCGAGCGCGGCGCAGTGGCCGTCCGCGGCCAGGGCCGCCGCGCGGAGCCGCGACGCGTCGTCGGCGTGCGCGGGCGATGCGGCCGCGGGCAGCGACGGCGCCGGGGCGTCCAGCACGAGCCCGGCGACGACCTCCGCTCGCCGCAGGAACGGCAGCGCGATCGCCGCCGTGGCGCAAGACCGGACCTCGACCGAGGCGCTCGGCGGGAGCAGTCGCGCGGCCTCCGCGGCGGCCTGCTCGGCCGCGATCGGCCACGTCAGCCGCAGGATGGACGCGAGCACTGCAGCGGGGTGCGGCGCGTGCTTCGAGGACGCATCGGTGCCGGGTGCGGGAGCGTGGAGGCCGGGCGAGGCGCCCGCGGCCGCGGGGACGAGGATGCCGAAGAGCCGGACGGTCAGCATCCAAGGGTCGCGGAGCAGCGCGTGCCACGCAGCGGGGATGCGGAGCTCCTGCCCTCCGCGCAGCCACGCAACGAGAGGCTCCGCGGACTCGGCGGTCGCGGTGGCGACGGCGACGGCGGCGCCGCCTGGCGCGTGCGAGGCCGTGCGGAGGGCCGGCGGGACGAGCGCCGCGGCGACCCACGCCAAAAACACGCTGCGCATCGCCGTCCACTGTCCGCGCTCGATCGTTCCGACGGGGCGTTCGTCCTCGGGGTCTGGGCCGGCGTGCGGCGGCTCAGCGTCGGCGCGGACCGCCTTGGTCGGGGACAGGCCGTCCGTGGCGGGCTTGTGGAGGCCGCGCATGGTGGACCGCAGCGTGGGCGGCGCGCGGCGACACGCCTCGTAGTGCGCGCACAGGTGCGCGAGGAGCAGGCAGAGGAAGCTCTCGAACCGCGCCGTCGCCCCGCGAGCGCCCAGCTGCGCCATGAACGGCCGCGGGAGCGGCCCCGGCGCAGCGGCGGCCACCGGTGCCGCTAGCACCGCCGGCCCCCCGGGCTGCGCGGGCTCGCCCATGTCCGACCCGTCGCTGAGGTCCGCGCAGTCGTGCGAGACGATCGCCGCCGCGCTGTCCTTCGGCGGGGACTCTCCGTCGCCGTCCGCGGGCCCGAAGTTCATTCTGTGCATGCGCTTGATCACGTGCGCCTCCGGGACGTCCACGCAGCTGGTGGAGCCGCGGCGGATGCGGTCCGGCGGGTGCCCCGGCTGCTGAGGCGACTCCTCGCCCGCCGAGAGCTCCATGCTCGCCGACCGCGGCCGGACGCGCCCCTGCCCCGCGTGGGAGCCGGGCGCAGACAGCGCGGGGGTGTGGGGGACGCTCGCGCGGCCGAGGACCGACGCGCGCTCGCTCGCGGACGACAGCGGCGCGTGGCTGTTGCTCGCGCCGCCCGCGGGGTCGTGCGGGGGGCCCGTCGGCGGGTAGCAAGCCAGCAGCATCTTCGGGGCAGACATGTCGCCGGCGGCGCGGAGCATGTCCGGAAATATCTTGTCGCTGCCGGGGAGCTTGCCGACGATCCAGCGGCCCGCCGGGAGCCCGATGTTCTCGCCGTGGAGCGCGCCGAGCGCCCGCGGGACCAGCTCGGCGATGGCGCCAGCGCGCTGGTCCATGCCAGGGAGGAAGTGGGAGAGGTGTTGCCGCATGTGAGTGCGGGGATCGTCGGACATCGGGGCCAGGCGGGGGCTGCCGGACAGAGCGAGCACGGCGGCCACGCGCCCACGCGCGACGGCGAGCCGCGCTGCGTCTGCCACGTCAGGCAACACACCCCCGCGTGCACAGAGTGCGGCGAGGGTGCCGGCGTCCGGGACGGCGGCGGCGGCGTCGACGCCGGATGTCGTCATGTCGAGCGGCTCGTCCGAGGCCATCATCGGGAGCAGCGCGTTCGCCATGCGCCGGCAAATCGGGCACAGGAACTCCCCCTGCTCGGCACTGCACGGCGGAGGGACCGCGTGCACCGCCGCCGACTCCTGCTGCGCGGTCAGGAACGAGTTCAGGCAGCCCCGGTGCGCGGCATGCCCGCAGGTCCGCACGTGTGGCATCAGTAGCCCGTCCACGATGCTCCGCGACGCCCCGCACCACACCGCACCGTCCGCAAGCGGGGCGTGGCCGAAGCGCTGCAGAATGTCGCAGGGCGCCGCGCCCCCGAGCCCGCCGCGCGCTACGTGCTGCGCGTACCCGCTGGGCGAGACCGCCGGGTCGCACGGCATCCGTCCCGGCGCACCGTGGTCTAGCGCAGGGCCGCCCCCGCACCGCCGCAGCACCGTCGACCGCTGTAGGAACGCGATCAGGCACAGTGGCTCGTCGTCGTAGTCCTCTGGAGACATGTGACAGAAGACGCACGAGTGCTCCAGCTCCTTCCAACTGTCCGGTTCGAATCGCGCGAAGAACGCACGGCGCGACTCCTCCACCGCGCCGAGCCGGTCCGGCTCCGCCATGTCCGCGTCGTCCGGGCGCACCCTCCCAACGACTTCGACGTCGTCCACCGAGCTCGACGTGCTGTCGCGGATCCGCCCGGGTTCGTCCGCGCCCTGTGTCTGCGCCATCGCAAGCTGCTGCGCCACCGCTTTCTGCTGCGCGCGCAGCCGCTCCATCAGCGCCGCTTGCACCGCACGGCCCTGATTCTGCGTCGCGCCGCCCTCGCTCGCGGCGGGGGCGTCCGACGTCGTCGCGGAGGCCTCCCGCGAGGTCATGCGCCCCACGTCGCCGCCGTTCGCGGCAATGAAGCGCTCCATGCGGCTCGCCGCGGCTGCCGCGAGGCCAGGAAGGTTCTTGTCGACAACCTCCGTCGCGGACGCGAGCAGGCGCAGCACCGCGAGCGCCCCGGTCTTGCACGGCGCCACACCGTCCGCCGCAACCGCAAGCAGACGCTGCGCGTCTTCCGCGGACGCTCCTGCCCGGGATGCGAAGTTTGTGGCCAGCGCGAGCATGTGCACGCCCAGCGCGGCGACCTCGCAGCCCATCGCGCCCTGCCCGGCGCTCCCCGCGCACAGCGGGGTGGCTGCGGCGGCGATGGCCATGCCCAGCGCCGGCGAGGTGAGGAACGCGCGGCCGAGGGCGTCGACGAACCAAGCCAGACCCGGACCGGCGTCGTGCCACGGCTGCAGCGCGTGCGCGGGCGTCCACCCCGGCGCGGCGGCCGCACGGCGCGTCGCGGCGTCCAGCTTCTCCCGCGGCAGGCGCGGCGTGGTGGGGTCGAACCGCAGGAGCGTCTCCGGGCGCGGGGCGAACTTCCCGTCGTCGTACAGCGTGGGCTCGCGGTACACGGCCAGCCGCGCGAGCACCGCGTCCACGTCCGGGAGGCCCCCGACCAGCGGGCCGATCCGGGAGTCCGTCAGGGTGGAGTGTTTTGCGTCCTCGGCGCACAGCCACTGAGTCAGGTCGTCCTCGAGCTTCTCGTCGAGCCCGCGGCCCCACGCGCCGCGGTCCGTGCCGGCCGCCAGCAGCGCCCGCATCCCGGCCGCCACGCACGCCGCGCGCTGAGAGTCCCCCCCGGGGCCTCTGGCGAGCACCGCCGCCGCCGCGCACAGCTCCGCGTCGCCCCGCAGCGGCCCGCCGTCGCCCGTGGCGTCCTCCCCGGCTCCATCCATGTCCCGCGTGGCCTCGAGGAAGCTCCCCGGCGCGTCCCCGCGCACCTCGGCGCCCGCGACAAGAAACGGCGCCGCAAGCGGCGCGGCGCCGAACGCCGCCGCCACGGACGCCCACGCGCGGCCCTGGTCCGGGTACAGCGCGAGGTACATCTGCAGTCCGAGCAGGTCGTGCTCCTGGACCATCTCCGCCATCTGCGACGACCCGTACATGCTCGCCATGAGCGCCACCGAGCGCCCGTTGCGCACCCACAGCCCCGCGCGGACCTGCGCGACCCACGCCATCACGCGGAGCGGATCGAGGACGACGTGGCCGAGGGGCATCTGCAGCAGCTGCTCGCGGACGGCCTCGGGCCCGCAGTCCGCGCCGGACGCGTCGCCGCGGCAGCTTGCCAGCGCCAGCGCGACCAGCGCAATGTTGCCGCGCTGCAGCGGCACGTGCAGCGACGCGGCGGCGCCCTGCGCGCGCGTCAGCTCGTCCCAGCTCGACGCCACGTCGTCCGCGACGTCGATCCCGCGGGGGCCGGCCCACGTCGCCGCCGTCGCGGCCGTGACGCCGTCGCTGCGCGCGGGCAGCCACACCGCGGGCAGGGGCGCCGTGACGGGCACTTCGCGGTCGCTGTCGTCGCCAGCTTCCTCGTCGCCCCATCCCGTAAGGCGCAGCGGGTACGCTTCGGACCACTCGCGCGCGGCGTGCGCAAACGCATGCGCCGCCCGCACGAGGTGGCTGGCGCGCAGCCCGAGCGCGTTCGGCGGCGCGGCAGCGCCGTGCGGGCCCGCGGTGAGGTGCGTTGCCTGTATCGACATGAGCAGGAAGTAGAACATCTGTATCTCGACCGACGCCGCCACGTGCCACTCCTCGACCTCCCACTCCACGTGCGCGTCGACCTTCCGGCGGCTCCAGCACATGTACTGGCAGCACCGGTACGCCTGCACGAGCATCGCCATCTCGCCGCCGTCGCGCGCCGCCGGCCGGGCGCCCCCCTCGCCGCAGCTGCTGAACAGGAACCGCTCCACGACGTGCGGGAACCCCAGAAACATCTTCAGGTCCGCCAGGATGCGCGTGAGGGCCTGGCGGCCGAGGCCCGTGACGTCCGTGGGGTGGTGGCGCGTCCCCGGGTCGACGACGCGCTCGGTGCGGCCCGGCCCGGGCGCGCGGTCGGGCACGGAGACCCACCACAGGGCGCGGTGGAGGGCGCGCAGCATGGAGGAGAGGACGCCGCGCTCGGCGACGTCGCTCGCGACGGCCTCGCTGTTGAGGAGCTGGACGGTGAGGCGCCCGAGCGCGGCGCCGAGCTGGTCGTGGGACCGGTCGGACTGACGCGGGCCCGACAGGGCGGGGTTGGCCCCGCGCAGGCCGAGCCACGCGGCGTACCGCGGCGCGAGCGCGACGGCGAAGCGCTGCTTGAAGGCTATGTCGTACAGCATGCGCAGGAGCATCGAGGTGACGTCGGAGCACGCCCTCGGCGTCAGCTGCAGGAAAAAAGACGGTGACGAGGGTTCGATGGACAGTCAGCGCCTGCGCGGCGAGATCGGTCGTACACGCGCGCGCGAGGATGCACTGTGCGGGGGGCGTACGTGCGGCATCTCGTCGAGTATCTTGTCCAGCAGGCACGCCCCGTTCTGCAAGTGCAGACTACGAGCCATGGCGCTGTCCGTCGCGGCGAGCTGCAGCCGCGGCCACAGCCACGTGTCCGCGCGGCACGACTCCTCTACTGCCCCGAGCTCCACACCCGGCACGCTGTCCGCGCCGCCCCTGCTCGCCGCGACACGGCACAGAATCGCGCGCCCCGCCTCCGAGCCCGCCGCAGCGGTCAGGAGCGCCGCGAAGAGGTCGAACGCGCCCTGCGCGGCCGCGCCATCGTCCTGCGCGCCGTCCCCGCCCGCCCCGCCCGACCTCCGGACCTTCGGCAGCACTTCTAGCGCCAGCTGATGCAGTGCGCACGACAGGCCGACCACAACCGCAGCGCGCGACCGCGGGGACGGAAACGCGTCCGCGACGGCGGGGAGGCCGTCCGGGTCCGCGTCGGCGCCGTCGCGCACGTCGCCGTGGGCGGTGCGTTCGCGCGACGCAGCGGGCTGATGCGCGGGACAGCACCCGCCCGGCGCCCACGACGCAGGGTCGCCGCAGTCGCAGCACCCGCCGGCGTCGCTGCGGTAGAGGATGAAGTCGTGGCCGGCGTGGTCGCTGGCGAGGAAGCACCCGACGCAGATGGCACTGGAGGTCGACCGCTGGCACGTTCGGCAGCGGTAGGCCAGGGCGCCCGCGGTCCACACCTGCGGGGGGCGACGGGGGCCGAGGGGCGGCGTGGGGTGGCGGGGTATATCTGAAGAGCGGGGCGGGGGGCGCCGCGTGGGCGTGCGGTGCCGGCGGGGCCGCTGCGGGCCATGGGTTGCGGTGAACGTGGCCCGGTGCGTTTGCGGGCGTTTCCGCGTCGATGCTGTGCGAATGCGTGGCGTTTCATGCGTCAAGCGAGCCGTACAGGCCCGTCAGGCGGAGCAGCGCGGCCGCGACGCCCCACGGAGGCCCGGGTGCGCGTGTGAAGCCAGCAGGTCCACGGTGCAGGTACCTGGCTGCAAGCGGTGCTGCCGGCCTTGCCCTCGAGCCGCGTGAAGCACTCCCGCGGACTCTGCGCTCCCGTCGCATACTTGAGCAGCGCCAGGACGTTCTGCGACGCAGGGATACGGCCGCGTGGCGCGTTACGGGCGCCCGTATCGACAGTGATGCAATTCCTGCCGCTTCGACGCCGCGCCGCGCATTTCGAGGCGACAAGGAGGCCCGGACGAATCGTCCCGCTGCTGTGCGCGACCCAGGCGCCCCGCGCGCGTGCCCGTGGGCGCTGGTTTCCGCCGCACGGGCCGAGGGCGGGCAGTTGGTGCCCGCGCCAGTGACACCTCGCTCACCTGCGGTGCGTCCCCGACCGCGTGTCCCTCGCCGACGCCCTGCATCTCAGCGCGGCCGCCGCAGCGAGGCCCACCGGCGAGCGGGCTGCGCGGATCGCGCGCCGGTGCTCACTAGTCGTGCGTTTCACCGGTAGTCTCTGTCTGCCGACTTCCGGGTCATCTTCGCTCCCCTATGTCGATCCACTGGTCCTCCGGGGTCGCTGCGCCATCCCGATGGCGTGTGCCCCCCGCGCGCGCCGCGCCGGGCACACGTCGTCCCTCGCCCGTGGACTCGCGCGGACCGACATGAGGTGCGAGGGGCCACACCGGACGTCCCAGAGGCGCGCTGAGCGCCGGAACGCGCGTCTCGAGGTCGCGCGGCGGCCGCAGGTGGCCAGAACACCAAGCCCGACCGCACTCGAGGCCGGAGAGTCAGTGACGCGCATCTGCGGGCCGCTCCGTTTCATAATTGCAGAGAGAGGCAAGTGCGTGAACGGAGCGCGCACGCCGCACCTCGAGCCCACGCTCGAACGTCGTCGTTGCGCATCCACGGCGTCGCTCATCGTCCCGTGCGAGCGCCTCGCTACACGGCCCTGGTGCAGCTGCCTTGAGCGCATGGTCCCTGTCTCTTGAGACGACGACAGGCTCTGTTGGGCTGCTTGCGAGGGCCCGCGCGCTCGTCGACGCGCACTGACGGCAGAATCTTTGTGCCTGTCACGCAGGGGAGCCGCGGAACAACCTCGGGGCGATGGTGGGAGGTGCCAACCTCTCGGGAGGCACCGCGTCCGGCGCGGGGCAGCCTGCAGCGGGGCTCGATTCCCTCGTGGCGCAATTCCGCGCTGCGAGCGTGCAGCTCCGCGAGGAGTGCGACAGCGGAGCCAAGGCGCCGGGCTGCGACGGTGACGCGGCCAAACCCTGTCTGGTGCGCACTGCACGATGGCTCACTCCGCGTTGACGTAGAACTCCCAGATTCCGTCGCAAACGACCCTCACGGCTCGAACGTGCATACAAGAACACTTTTGCGAGCATATCGTGCTCTCAAGGAACCCCGCGCGCCCCGCACTGGTTCTCCTCACCAGACAACTCCGCCAGCCTGCGAGCCCCGGGAGCGGCGCGCGCGCGGGCCGAGTTCCCGACACACGGGCCCACCTGCGCCGTCTGCGCGACGCTGCGTGTCCCGCAGGCCAAGCCCGAGGACGTGGCGATGCTGAGCGACATGTGCGGCCCCGACACGCCGCGCGAGTTCGTCGTCGACCTCCTGGAGCAGTGCGGGGGGCGCCTGCAGGACGCGGCCGCGTGGGTGTGCGAGGCCGGCGACCTCGGCGACGAGGTGCGGCGCCACACACAAACAACACACCCCCCCCCCTTCTCTTCTGCCTCTGCGTCCCCGGCGCGCGCTGACTCCGGCTCGCGCGCGCCCCTGCCTCTACAGGTGCGGCGGTGGAAGGAGTTTCGCGCCGAGGCGGACCGCCGGGCTGCGCAGGAGGCCAAGCTCCTGGAGAAGGACCGCAAGCGCGTCGTGGAGCGGTTCGCGCACAAGGTAGGCCCCGACACCTGCGCGCGTGCTGCCCACGTGGGCGCAGCGGGGGCCGCGCTGCGGGGGCCCGCGCGCTGCGGCGGGGACGCTGCGCGGGCCTGGTAAGGGGGGGGGTGTTGCGCTGACGGTGAGAGCCCGCGCGTCCGTGCGTGTGCGCAGGAGGTGTCCGCGGGCGGCAGCGAGGGCGCGCCGAAGCGGGGATCGAGTCGGAAGGGCGCGGGGCTGCAGCCGTGGCAGACGGCGGGCCACGCTGCGGCGCCGGAGGGCGACAGCAAGGTGCGGTACCGGGACGGGCAGGTGGTGTCGCGGAAGGGCGAGAAGTTCATCGTAGAGAAGGTCACCGACGACTGGGACGGCGGCTCGCGCGGGAAAGTGTTCACCAAGGGCAAGCGCGGGAAGGGGTTCACGTGACGGCGCAGCGGTGCTGCTGCGCGGCGTGTGAGACCGGCGTGATCACCGGCCCCGTCGAAGGACCCTGAGGTCAGTGCGAAGGCGTCCGGGCGGTGCAGCGGCCGGTGCCGAGCGCGAGGCCGGTGCTGCGCAACGTTGCAACGTCAGCTCTGTTGTGTCGCTGCGGCGCGGTGTGATCGCGGTCGCAGAGGCGGCCGGTGCGACGCAGGCGTAGCGCCCACCGAGCCAGCAGTGGTCCGGGGCTCCCGGGCCCGCTTCGCCGCGGCACGTGGCGCGGTCAACGGCTGGAGGGCAACCGCGCTCCGTCAACAGTCGCTGGCTCGCTCGCGGCCCGGCCCGGCGTCGGGGACCGCCGCGCGGCGCCCGCAGGCCGCCCGTCGATAGGGCAACGCGCCGGCCGGCGCGCCGCCATCCCCGGCGGCGTTGCGGGCCGCGGGCCGCGGGTGCTCCAGAACCCTGCCGATTTTGGAACCACTGTGGCGCGGACCCCGAACACGGGCGATCGGCGGCTTCCGGACGCCCCCGCGCCGGCGGCACGGCTAGCAGAGGTGTCTCGCTGCCTTTCGCGACCGGATTCGCGCCGTGAGGCCTCCGCATGACGGCGAAAACGGGCGGCGAAGGAAGCTGCTGGAAGGGAGGGATGTGTTGCTGTGGGTCCCCCCCAGGCGCGTTTGCGGCTCCATTGGCGGCCGCGGCGGTCCACCGCGGCCAGTTCTGCAGCCCTTCGGCGGTGGAGTACCCTTCCGAGCAGCCAGCGACCTTGTTTGGGCCGTGACCGCAGCGCACACTTGCACCATGAGCGACGGCGTGGAAACCTTCGCCTTCCAGGCGGAGATCAACCAGCTGCTCTCGCTGATCATCAACACGTTCTACTCGAACAAGGAGATCTTCCTGCGCGAGCTGATCTCCAACTCGAGCGATGCCCTCGACAAGATCCGCTTCCAGAGCCTCACGGACAAGAGCGCTCTCGACGGCCAGCCTGGTGCGCGCCCGCCGCCCTCCCGATCGCAGGGCGCGCCCTCCGGCGTGCCCGTGGCTTAGGCGACGCTGTGCGACCCGCGGACCGCGCTCGGGAGCGCGCCCGAGCGCGGGACGCCGCCCTGTGCCGCGCCTGGAGCAAACCTGCAGTCGAGGCGCCGGTGGCGCAGCGGCTGGGCGGCGGCATGGGTCACCCTGCCACGTTTCTGGAAGATGTGCGCCATATTTCCGCGAAAATTCATTGCCGCGCGCCTCGCGTCGCGTGTGGTGCCGCCTAGCGCGCCCCCGAGGACGTTCAGTCTAGAAGACACGGCCCGCGCGATCCGTTCCGGCCCCCCTAGGCCGCCCCGCGCGCGCCCCAGAGGCTCCTCGCATGATAAATATTCGAGTTTCCACGCCGCAGCGCCCGCCCGCGCCCGCACCGCCACACGCGGCGCCATGGCGCCAGAAGCAGAGGCGCGGCCCCGCCGCAACGCCCGCGCGACCTCGACGCTCACTATCAACGCCCCCCGCCCCCCGCGCCGCAGAGATGTTCATCCACATCATCCCGGACAAGGCGAACAACACCCTCACCATCATCGACTCGGGCGTGGGCATGACCAAGGCCGACCTGGTGCGCCCCTGCCCCTCCCGCCGCGCCCCCCACGCGCCCCGCGCCCCGCCCCTCCGCCCCGCCGCCCACCCTCACCCCGCCGCGCCGCCCCGCGCCCGCCGCGCCCACGTCACGCCGCACCCCCGCCCGCGCCCCGCTCCATTTCCAGCGCGCGTGCGCTAACTCGCCCCGCCGCGCCCGCGCGCCCCCCGCAGGTCAACAACCTCGGCACGATCGCCCGCTCGGGCACGAAGGCCTTCATGGAGGCGCTCCAGGCCGGCGCGGACGTCTCGCTGATCGGCCAGTTCGGCGTGGGCTTCTACTCGGCCTACCTGGTCGCGGACCGCGTCACGGTGCAGTCGAAGCACAACGACGACGAGCAGTACGTCTGGGAGTCGCAGGCGGGCGGCTCCTTCACGGTGCGCAAGGCCTCGGGCGAGGGCGACGAGGCCCCGCTCGGCCGCGGGACGAAGATCGTGTTGCACATGAAGGACGACCAGCTCGAGTACCTCGAGGAGCGGCGCCTGAAGGACCTGGTGAAGAAGCACTCGGAGTTCATCTCGTACCCGATCTCGCTGTGGGAGACGAAGACGACGACGAAGGAGGTGACGGACGACGAGGCGGAGGAAGAGAAGAAGGAGGGGGAGGAGGCCAAGGAGGGCGAGGTGGAGGAGGCCAAGGAGGACAAGCCGAAGAAGACGAAGAAGGTGGAGGAGACGAGCCACGAGTGGGAGCTGCTGAACAAGCAGAAGCCGATCTGGATGCGCGCGCCGGAGGACATCACGCGCGAGGAGTACGCGGCGTTCTACAAGAGCCTGACGAACGACTGGGAGGACCACCTGTCGGTGAAGCACTTCAGCGTCGAGGGGCAGCTGGAGTTCAAGGCGGTGCTGTTCGCGCCGCGCCGCGCGCCGTTCGACATGTTTGACCAGAAGAAGAAGACGAACAACATCAAGCTCTACGTGCGGCGCGTGTTCATCATGGACAACTGCGAGGACCTCATCCCCGAGTACCTCTCGTTCGTCAAGGGCGTGGTCGACAGCGAGGACCTCCCGCTCAACATCTCGCGCGAGATGCTGCAGCAGAACAAGATCCTCAAGGTCATCCGCAAGAACATCGTGAAGAAGTGCCTGGAGATGTTCAACGAGATCGCGGAGAACAAGGAGGACTTCGACAAGTTCTACGAGGCGTTCGGCAAGAACCTCAAGCTGGGCATCCACGAGGACTCGCAGAACCGCGCCAAGCTGGCCGACCTCCTGCGCTACCACTCGAGCAAGTCGGGCGAGGAGATGACGTCGTTCAAGGACTACGTCACGCGCATGAAGGAGGGCCAGAAGGACATCTACTACATCACGGGCGAGTCGAAGAAGTCGGTCGAGAACTCGCCCTTCGTCGAGAAGCTCCGCAAGAAGGGCTACGAGGTGCTCTACATGTGCGACCCGATCGACGAGTACGCGGTGCAGCAGCTCAAGGAGTACGACGGGCACAAGCTGGTGTGCGTGACGAAGGAGGGCCTCAGCCTCGGCGACGACGAGGACGAGAAGAAGAAGGCCGAGGAGCTCAAGGCGGCCTTTGAGCCCCTGTGCCGCGTGATGAAGGACATCCTCGGCGACAAGGTGGAGAAGGTCGTGGTGTCGGACCGGCTGGTGGACTCGCCGTGCGTGCTGGTGACGGGCGAGTACGGCTGGAGCGCCAACATGGAGCGCATCATGAAGGCGCAGGCGCTGCGGGACTCGAGCATGAGCATGTACATGATGAGCAAGAAGACGCTCGAGGTCAACCCGGAGAACGCCATCATGCGCGAGCTCAAGAACCGCGCGGACGCCGACAAGAGCGACAAGACGGTCAAGGACCTCGTGCTGCTGCTCTTTGAGACGGCGCTGCTCACCTCGGGCTTCTCGCTCGAGGAGCCCGCGACCTTCGCGGGCCGCATCCACCGCATGATCAAGCTCGGGCTGTCGATCGACGAGGACGAGGACCTCGGCGGCGACGAGGACCTCCCGCCGCTCGAGGAGGGCGCCGCCGTCGAGGACGCGTCGCGGATGGAGGAGGTGGACTAAGTGGCCGCCGGACGAGCGGACGGGGCGGAAGCATGCTGAGAGGGAGGGGGCCGGGGCCGGGGAGCGCGTTGCTCTTGTGAAACTCAACCAACTCTCTCGTCGGCTCGAGTCTCACGACGCGTTGCGCAAGTGTGATGGTGTAGCTGCGAGCGACTGTGCGCCTGGCCGCCTCGCGCTGTTGTCACGCGAGTCCGTGCGGCGCGGGCGGCGTCCGCGGTGCGGTTCGGCCCCGAACGCGCTCTGGTGCAGGGCAGTGTGCGTGAGGAAGCAGACAGCTTAGGTGGGGTGCCTTGTGCGAGGAGGGGCCCGGCGATGCTCGGGGCTGCGATGCTCGCCGGTGCGCATGGCGTGGTGTGGTGGCTGCGGCGCTCGGCGGTCGCGCCGCGTGCGTGGAGGGTGGTGATCGCTGGGCGCTGACGCCGACTGTGACAAGTTTGGCCGCGAGATTACGTGTGCTCTGAGAACGTTGCGCGCTAGCATCGCGACGTCCCGTGCGATATTCCGCGCATGCCGCAGCAGTCGTACACGCCGTCGCCGCCGGCCGTCGCGTGGGGGAGTGACTAGGTCAAGGTGGGGGTGTGTGTGTCGGCCACGTGCCAGGTCGCCGTGCGTGTCTCTCTACGTGTGCGCCGCGCCGCAGGCCTCGCGCCCACAACGCTCCCTGCGCGACGGAAGATGGCCGACGCACCGCCCCCGCAGCCCCCCGCCGGGGAGCCCGTGCCGCTCTCGGAGCCGGACGTGGCCCCCCCGGCCGCGGACGGGCAGCAGCCGAAGAAGAGCCCAATCGGGTTCCTGCGCTCGGCGTCGGCGAAGATCGGCGCGAAGGTCGCCGAGGGCGTGCAGAAGGCCAAGACGAACATCTCGGACGAGACGTTTTGGCAGACGAAGAAGGAGTGGGTGGGCAGCACGTACAACAAGGCGCGCACGGGCATCAGCACGTCCATCCAGAATATACGGAGCAAACTGCAGAAGGAGAACACGACCACGCTGGCGGAGCGCGAGCACAAGACACGCCCCGTCCTCCGCGTGGTCCTCATATGCTGCACTGCCCTCGTCTCTCGGGACCCTGCGACCTTCCAGGGGGCCCTGACCGCGCAGCCGGACGAGGAGCAGGTGAGCAGCGTCCCGAGGCAGTGCTCGCGATCCCACGGGAGGCAAGCGACCTCTTGGGGACGCGGCGAGAGCCTCCCTTCCCCGCACTCTCACTCCGAGCGTTGATCGCCCCTGAGCCACGACGCGGGCGGAATTTGCTCGCTGCGATCGCCCAACGCTGTCAGGATGTCCAGATCGTCATGCGGCACGCAATCGACGCCCGCCACAGCGACCCAGGCAGCACGCGGCCGCCCCTGGTTGCGCTCTGCGGTCTCCCACGGCCCCACACCCAGCGGGCGACCGCTCAGTGCCACAGTCAACGCCTCCCCGCGGCTATGCCCCGCACCCCAGCTTGCTACGGAGCGCCCGCGGCCGCGTGCGGCACCAGCCCCGGCACACACGCACCTCGTTCATGTCACGCACAGCCCTCTTCGCGGGGTCACAAGCTCGCAACCCCCCCCGCTCCCACCGCAGGCCTCCTACCTCCTCGCGCACCTGCTCGACTCCTCCGGCACCGTCCTGATCCCCGGCACCACCGCGCCCATCGTCATCTTTGCTGCACTCAAGGGCTACCTCCAGGCGCGCCCCCGCGGCCCCCCGCGTCCCCGCACGCCCCCACGCCCCTGCACACTCACGCCACGTACACCCGTCTCACACGCGATCAAATAACTACACCCCCCCCTAACATCCCCCCCTCTCGTTTGCGCGCGCCTGCAGGGGCTCCAGGACCCCGTGTTGACGTTCGACCTGTACCCGCTGTGGATCGGCCTCGCGGCCGCGCCGCACCAGGCGGTGGACCTCCTCCCGCGGCTCCCGAAGACCTCCCTGCACACCCTGGAGGTGCTGCTGGACATGGGGGCGCGGCTCATCGCGAGCGAGGCGTGCACGGCGGCGGAGCTCGCGGAGTTCCTCGCGCCCGTGCTGCTGTGGCAGCCGCCGACGCTGGCGGCGGAGGCGGACAAGGAGGTGGCGGGGCGGGTGCTCCCTGAGTCGCACGCAAGGGGGGTGTCCGAGGGGCTGAAGTTCATGCTCGAGAACTTCCAGATCCCCGTGTGAGGAAGTGCGGAGGTGGACCGTGGGCGTCGTGGGCGCAGGGAGGGTGGCGGGCCAGGGGGGGGGGGTTTGAAGTGGTAGAAATGGTTGGGCGTGTTGAGCCGCGGAGATGTGCGCGAAATGGCCCGAGTTCGTCGTGGTTCGCGTGCAGTGCTGGGTGGGAGTGTTGAGACACGACAGGTTGGCGTCTTTCGTGCGTGGGATCGGGTCGTGTGCGGTGCCGGCGCGATGCAGTCGTGCCGGAGAGGGCTGGTGGCCGCTCACCGCGGGGCTGTGGCGCGGCCGGCGGCGGTGTGCTCTTGCTGGAGGATTCGTCTGGATTGCCAGTGCTCGATTCGGGCCATTTCGCAGTGCGCGGCGGGCGGTGCACGGAGGGCTGCTGGTAGCAACCGTCGCTTGCGCCCGCACGGCGCCCTGTTCGGTTCGTCATCCACCTCTTTCGCACCCTCTCGGAGTCCTCTACTCTCGAAGGTCAGTGCTGAACCCGACAACGTCCCTGATTCTCCAGCCGTCGAACGTGGAGCAGCCTGAAACACTCATCTTGCTTCTTGACAGAGCACGTCCGCTGCAAGGGAGAGAGCTGGTCGCAGCTCGTTCGCTCCTCCATGCACGGTCCACGCACGGTGCCCCGAACGCCTCATGCGCCCTCTCCGTCGTGCAGGCTGATCAGACCTGGCGAGTCGCTGCCGGTCGAAGGCTCCACGTGGAGGAGAAGAAGCTAGGGAAGCCCTTGCAGGGAATGAAGCTCGTGCGGCACGCGCAAGACTCTGGTGGTGAGGCCCCGCAGCCCCCGTGCCCGGCCGCAGTGCACTCAGAAACGATACGTCCAATTACAGTCGTATTTCCTCGTCTCAGCGCGCGACGCCGCTGGCCCCTCGCTGTTTGGCGCGCGCAGGGACGCTGCCGGCCGTTCCGGGCCTCATCGCGGTCGAGGGTCCGACGGACGCGCGCGCGGTGCTCCGTGCGGTGCGCGCAACAGTCCTAGTGTCCTTCGGGGCGTCTGCGCTGCGGGAGGGCGCCCCGGGGGCGATGGTCGAGATCGGGAAGAAGTTCGGAGGCCTCGTGGTTCTCATGGATCCAGACAACCAGGGGCGGCAGATCAGGTACAGTGCCAACAACAGCACCATGATTGACAAGGCCCTCTCACAGATATGAATCCTTGATCTGTCTTGGCGTTCACGCAACGAGGCTGATTGGTGGCACAAGCCCGATGCGTGCGACATCGGCGTTCACGTGGGTGCGGCCTGGACGTCGAGCTCGGTCGCAGGAACGCGCTGGAGGCGGCGGGTGGCCCGCTGGTGCACGCTTTCGTTGCGGGCGGCGCGAGCATGCTGGACAGCGTGGAGGGCGGCGCCGGTGCGGCGCGCGGGAAGGAGGTCGGCGATATGGGCGTGGAGTGGGCGCCTCCGGACGCCATCCGCAAGGCGATATTCAGCGCACGGGTCGCGACACCTGGGCGTCTGGTGCGCCCTTTGCCTGCGCCCAGCGCACCGGCAAGCGCGATCTGTCCCGTCAGCGCTCTTCAGGCGCCCGTGCTCGGGCGTGTGCTACGGCTGCTGAACCATTGCTTGTGTCTTGATCCGCTCTCTCATCCATTCTCTTTCCTTTGCAGGAGTTCGGCAAGCCCGACTTGCTGGCGTGGGGCGTTGGCGGGCTCGAATTCAACACGGCAGCCTCGGCGGAGGAGCGCAGCGGGGCAGCGGCGCGAAGACGCGCGCTCGGCACCCTCCTGGTGCGATCGCCCCTCGCCCTGCACACAACTCGCACCAACACCGCGCTCGCGCCCACCGCGGCTCACCACCATGGTGTCACTCGTCGGCGTCGCGTGCTGCAGGGCACCGGCGACTGCAACGGGAAGCAGCTGCTGAAGCAGTTGAATGGGTTTGGGTTCACGCGGGAGGAGGTGGAGGCGGCGCTGGAAGAGGTGCCGGCGTGGCTGGAGCGGGAGGAGAGCGTGCGCGCAGGGTAGGCTGCCGGGGAGGCGCGCCGCTGTGTGTGACGACGTGTCGGCCTGAGCTTGAGATCATTGATGCTCCCAACCGCCAGGTGCAAGGCGCGTAGCCGGAATGGGAGCGAAAAATGCAGGCGGAAGCGGATGACGAGCGCGGGTGCCGCGCGTTCACGGGCGTCCTCGCGCGCTGTGCGCGGTAGCAGTGCGCAATGCCGCGTCACGTCCGTGGAGCCATTGGCTCCACGACCGGCTTGACAAGCCGGTCAGTCGCCGTCACAACCCCCTTTCTACCGCCAGGACCAGCCCGGCAGTGCTGATCCGCGCCTACTCGCGCTTCGGGGGCCCAGCCAGCGGCGGCGGCGGCGTCTTCTCCGGCACCTTCTCCTTGGGCTTCTCCCGCTGCTTGTTGCGCCCGTTCCCGTCGCCCCCGCCGCCGCGGCCGTTGCCACCGCGGCCCTCCACGGCCGGCATGGCCTCGAACGCGAGGCTCGCGTCGAGCTCGGGGCTCGTCGGCGTGCCCTTCTTGTCGTGCTGCAGCACCTCCTTCCGCGACAGCTTCATCTTGCCGTTGTCGAGGATCTCCATCAGCATCACGTCCATCTTGTCCCCCTTCTCAAACATCTGCACCGCACAGCCATGACTGAGTGAAAATCAAGGCGCGAACCGCAACCCATTCACGGGCACGCCCGACCACTCGCTGGGCACACGTTTCGGGAGCAAGCAGGGCCTCGCGGGGCGGGGACGTGCTGCCACGGCGCCCGGGCGGCGCGCTCACCTCGCCGGCGTCCGCGACGTGCGACGTGTCGAGCTCCGAGATGTGCACCAGCCCGCTCTTCCCGGGCAGGATCTCCACAAACACTCCGAACGCCGACACGCCGTCCACGCGCGCGTTGCGGTAAATCTGGCCCGGCTGCGGCTCCGCCGTCATGACCTGGATCAGGTTCAGCGCCCTCTCGAGGCTGGCGCGGTCCGGCGCGCAGATCTCGCACGTCTCCAAATCCTGGTCCATTTGGATGCTGGAGACGCCCGCGGCGGCGGTGAGCGCCTTGATGATCTTGCCCTGCGGTCCGATCAGCGCGGGGATCTTCGCGGCGGGCATCGCGAGCCGCGCGAGGCGCGGGGTCCGGTCGGACATCTCGTTCTTGGGGGGGGGGTCTGCTTTGGACATCTCCTCGATGATATGCCGGCGCCCGACGCGCGCCTGCTCGAGCGCCTGGCGCATGATGTCGACCGTGATGCCCTCGACCTTGATGTCCATCTGGAACGCCGTCACCGCGTCCATGGTCCCCGCAACCTTGAAATCCATATCTCCCAGCGCGTCCTCCGAACCAAGGATGTCCGACAGCACCGTGAAGCGCCCGTCCGGCTCCAGCACGAGCCCCATCGCCACGCCCGCCACGGGCGCCTTGATCGGCACGCCCGCGTCCTGCAGCGCGAGGCACCCCCCGCACACCGACGCCATCGACGACGACCCGTTCGACTCCGTGATCGTCGACTCCACGCGCATCACGTACGGAAAGTCGTCCCCGTCCGGCAGCACCGGCACCAGCGCGCGCTCCGCCAGCTTCCCGTGGCCCATCTCGCGCCGCCCCGGCGGCCCGAAGCGCCCCGTCTCGCCCACGCTCGACGGCGGGAAGAAATACTGCAGCATGAACCGCGAGTGCTCCGCCTCCCAGTCCTGCGCGTCGAGCTGCATCGAGTCCAGCCGCTGCGCCGAGCTCTTGTCGCCGAGCGTGCACACGGCGATGCTCTGCGTCTCGCCGCGCGTGAACAGCGCGGAGCCGTGCGTGCGCGGGAGGAGGCCGCAGCGCGCCGCGATGGGGCGGATCGCCGTGATGTCGCGCCCGTCCGCGCGCAGGCCCTCCTCCAGGACGAGGCTGCGCATCACGCTCGACTCGCACTTCTTGAGGGCAATCTTGATGTCGGTCATCGAGTCGATCGAGAAGTCCGGCGGGACGCTCTCCGCGGCCGGCTTCTCCTCGTCGTCGGTCAAAATGTCGTCCTCGTCCATGTCCTCGACCGCGACGTGCTCCTGCAGGCCGGGAACGAGGGCGCGCGAGGGGTTCAAGCCCACTCGCTACGCACGCTGGCACGCGGGGCGCCGCAGTGCTGCGATGCGGCAGCGGTGCACACTCACACGCAGAGCGGTCGGGAAGCGCACCATTGCGAGGAACGCGAGGGCCTCGGGGTCAGACGGGAGGTTCTCTTGCACCACGAACGGAGTCAGCTTCTGCGTGACGGACTCCTTCAGCTGCCGGATGGCCTTCGCGCGGACCTTCTTCTGGTTCGGCCCCTTGTAGATCTTCCGGAACTCCTCCGCCGCCATCTCCTCCACCTTGCGCTGCAGCTCCTCGTTCTGCTTCCACCCGTCCTGGCGCTTCTCCTTGCCCACGCCCGCAGCCCACGCCTCGATCTCCTTCGCGACGCGCGAGATCTCCGCGTGCCCGCTCTCGATCGCCTCCAGCATCTGCGCCTCCGTCAGCAGCTCGCAGTAACCCTCGATCATCAAGATCGCGTCCCGCGTCCCCGCCAGCATCAGATCCAGGGGGGAGTCCCGCATCTGCTCCGTCGTCGGGTTCACGATGAACGCGCCGCTCTCCCGGTCCATCCCCACGCGCACGCCCACCACGGACTTGCGGAACGGGATGCTGCTGATCAGCAGCGACGTCGCCGCCGCCGTGATGGCCATCGGCTCCGGCGCGGCGGTGTCGTCGTACGACAGCACCCACGACAGCACCTGCGTGTCGAACTGCCAGCCCTCGTCGAACAGCGGCCGCAGGGGGCGGTCGATCAGCCGCGACGTCAGCACCTCGGGATCCTTGGCCTTGCCGTCGCGCTTGATGAAGCCGCCCGACGTGCGCCCGGCCGCGGAGAACCGCTCCTGGTACTGGACCTGCAGGCAGGGGAGCTCGCACGCGCCGACGTCGTCGGGACGCGCGAGGATCGACTCGGGGCCGCGCGAACGCGCCGGTCGCGTGCGTCGTACAGCGTGCGTGGTCGGCGTGATTTTGGGGCGCGGGGCGTCGGTGAGGGCGTGGCCGCGGGAGGCGGTACCTGGAAGGGCACGAAGCTGCCGTCGCCCATGGCGTTGCCCGCGCAGGCCGTCGTCAGGATGACGGTCTCCCCCTCGGTGGCCATGATCGAACCATCCGCCTGCCTGCCGACCTCTCCGGTCTCGAGCGTGAGCTGCGCGCACAGCCGGCAACTACATCGTTCGATCGCGGCACGCAGAGCGCGCTTTGAATGGGAATTCGTGGGGCTACGGGGCTGTGTCGCGCTGGAGCGGCAACACGAGGTCGCTTTGGCCGCGTCCCGCAGCGTTCCGAGTCAGACGACGCGGTGTCGCGCAAACGATGGACAGATTAGGGGGTGGAGGATCCGGTTCGATGCGTGGCACGCGGCCTCGCCGTGCGGTTCGGCGCGGGAGCGCGGCAGACGGCGTGGTGAGGACCGCATACCTCGCGGCCCCCGATCGTCACGGTGACGCTTTGCGGGTTGAATTCCGGGCCCTCGGCGCGACAGACGACTGAGGTATCCTCCCGCCTGTCGCGGGACGTCCGCGGGGCGCTCCCCAGGCCCGCGCGGCGCACGGACGGCCCACCCGGTGCGCGGTTGAGCCCGGAGCGCCCCAGGGCGGCGCGCACGGGGGGCGCGGCGAGGCCAGCCAGGGACGACGCCTTCGCAGACACGCTACGCATGCCCGACGCGTGCGCCACGGCGCCGCGGCGCATCGCGGGGCGCATTCGCGGCGGGGTTTCTCCTCAGCTGCTGCTGGGGGCCGACTGGAGAGCGGCCTGCGGAGGAAAACCGTCGATCTGGCTCGCCACAGACACTCTGCGCACGTTGGCGCGCAACGCGACCTGTCGCGTGCCCGCAGGTTGCGTGATGACACCGGCCAGGGGGGGGCCGTATAATGGCATCACGGGTCCGCCGGCCGCCGGTTTCGACGGGCACGCTGGCCGCCCCGCGCCGCGCACTTGCTGGATGTTTGCATCCCACGTGGCGGGCTCTTATCCGCCATGGCGTCCCAGGAGGCGGCCCCGGCGGCGCTGTCGGCGACCATCTGGAATGTGATTGCCAGCGCCAGCGCGGCGCGCGCTCGCGCCCCGTCGCAGGCCCGCGCGTCCCTCCGCCAGTCCCTGAGCAGCCGGCGGCTGCTGGACGGCCGCGCGTCGCAGGTCGACGTCGTCGCGACCGGCGCAGGTGCGTGACGTGGGGAATCTCTCACAGTTGGTTGTTTTGCTCGACGCGCACGATCCAGGACGAAACGACGCATACCCAAGCGCTCACGCGCATACCCACTTCTACCTCCGTGTAGAGCAAGCTCGATGCGCGACTATTGTTCCCCGACTGCGCGCATCCGGGCACCGTCTATCCTCGCACGCTGATCTCCGCCCGCCGAGCCCCCCTGCCCTCGCGCAGACGATGACGCGGCGTCCCCGCCGCAGCCGACCAAGAGCGCGTCGATGACTGCGCTGAACGGGCGTATCTTCCCGGACCTGCTGCTCTGGCGCGGCCAAAACAAGCGGGGTGCCCCGCCCGAGGCGGGCGGGGCGCGGAAACCGTCGCTCTACTGGTTCAGGTGCGCGAACCTGCACGCCGCTCGACGGCCCGTACCTCCTACCGTCGAAAAATCGCAGCCCCCTGGTCATGACACGCCGCGACGTCGCGCCGCTGTCGGCCCTACTGCACCTACCCCTCACGGCCCCCTGCGCTCGGTTTCACGCGATGCAGGGAGGATCTGCGGCTCGACGACCACTTCGCGCTGTCCTGCGCCCTCGAGAACTCCTCATCGGTCGTTCCCGTCCTCTGCCTCGACCCTAGCGACTACGCCCCCCCGGCTGCTGCTGCGGGCGCGAAGCGCGCCGCCCTCGGCCCGACGCGCGCCCGCTTCGTCCTCGCGTCCGCACACGACCTCCGCAAATCTCTCCGCGAGAAGGGCTCGGACCTCGTCGTCCGCGTCGGCAAGCCCGCCGACGTCCTCCCAGAGCTGGCCAAACAGGCCGGCGCCGCTGCCGTGTACTGCCAGCGCGCGGTCTCGGCGTCCGGCGCGCGCGCCGAGCGCGACGTGCGTGCCGCGCTGCAGCGCAACTCGTGCGAGCTCAAGCTCGAGTGGGGGTCGATGCTGCACGCCCCGGACCAGATTCCTTACAAGACGAGTGCCGACGTGCCGGCGACGTTCGCCGCGTTCCACCGCGCCGTCGCGAACGTGCAGCCGCGCGCCGCGCTGCCCGTGCCGAAGGACCTCAAGCCCGGCGTCGTCCGCAACATCGATCCCGGGAGCATTCCGACTGAGCGCGAGCTAGGGATCAGCGCGCAGGCCGGCGGCGGCTCTGGGGCCGACGCGGGGCTTGTCGGGGGCGAGAGCGAGGCGCTGCGGCGGCTGAAGGAGACGCTGGCGGCCGCGGCGGCCGCGATGGCGGGGTCGCGGAGGCAGGGGGCGGTGCGGCGCGAGGTGCCTGCGCCGGCGCTGGCCGACCCGAACAGCCTGGTGTGCAAGCTGTCGCCGTGGCTGACGTCGGGGTGTCTGTCGCCGCGGCGCGTGTACGAGGAGGCGTGCCGCGCGGCCGGCGGCACGCGGAAGGGCGCGGCGGGCGGCAAGGCAAGCACGCCGCTGCTGGAGCTGCTGTGGAGGGACTACTTCACGCACCAGGCGCTCGTGCTGGCGCAGGGGTCCGCGCAGAAGGGCACTGGCGTCGCGGCGACGCAGGGCGCGACCGCGGTGGCGCTTTGACTCGCCTCCTCGTGTTGCGGCCCCCCTCCCCCCCATCTGCCTGATTGTGCATATTTCTGCCGGACGCGCGAGCAATATCACACATAGTGAGTAGCAGTAGTCTTGCTCGGCGCCTGCAACCACGCGGAAGCGCAGGGCTCGAGGAACGTCGACCCTTCGCCGACTTGTAACTTTGCATGTTGAATTGCGTCCCACCGGTCACCACGCGTCGCGCGACGACAGTCCACCGGTGCAGCGCGCTGCCGAGAGTCTCAGGCCTACACCGTCGACTTCTCGTCGCCGGCCTTCACCGGCGCAGCCATGGACGGCCACAGACCTGCACACAGCCCACGCGGTCACTCAATCATCGACGCCGGGCATCCGACGCACGCCGCATCGCAGTGGCGTCGCAGGGGGCGCGCGCACCTGTCAGCGTCAGCTTCTTGACGCGCGTGAACACCTCCGCGACCACGTACGCCAGCACCACCGTCCCAAGCCAACCGAACCACAGCCCAATGGCCCACGTCGGCGCGAGGATGACGAAGACGCCGAGCGAGCAGTTCACGAGCGCGAGCACGAGCGCGAGGCGCCCCGTCCACCAGTGCTGCGCCTCGAACATCCAGCGGCGCTTGCTGTCCTTGTGGGGGCGCGCCGACGCGACCCCGACCTGGATCAGCATGAGCAGGATGACCACGACCCCGATCACCGCGTGCGCCCAGTTCACCGTGATGTTGTTCGCGCCCGCGAACACCAGCGCCACGCCGACCAGCGCCAGCACCGCGCCGCCCCACTGACACACGCGGTGCACGTGGAACCACAGCGGGTCCTTCGTGCGGCAGTACCGCGCGACGAAGTGCCCGATCTGCAGGAAGAAGCCCCAGCTCAGCGCCATGAAGACGCCGTGCAGCGCCGCGAGCGAGAAGCCCTTGTTCTTGCGCACCGTCTCCGCGGAGCACGTGTCGGCGTCGGGGATGGCCCACGTGTCCGGGACGAGCATCATCCAGACGTCGCTCGCGAGGCCCGTGCTCGACGAGCCCCCCGTGACCGCGCCGCCGAACGCGATGACGCCCTTCAGGCCCGCCAGCTGTCCGGAGGGCACGGAGTCGACCGTGGTCATCTCCGCAGAGTTGCGCTTCAGGAGGGAGGTCGAGCCGCCGACGGGGAGCGAGGTGCGCAGCCAGGAGCCCGAGGCGACGTCCAGGAAGTTGGCTTCCGTCGCGGGGCTCTCTTGGAACTGAATCATCACGTTCTTCTCGTTCTCGGCGCCGCCGTAGACGACCGCGGCGTCCGGGAGGCCCGAGGAGATCCGCGGGAGGCGGGCGACGCCGGCCCACGAGCGCGCGGTCGGGCACGCGTCCAGCATCGTCCACGAGCCGTCTGCGGAGCAACACATTGAGACAGCAAGATACAGTGAGACAGAGAAAGGCGCCCCGGACGGGTGCTTGGCGACCGATCGTCGCACGGAGCTGCAGGCGCATGGAGTATCCAGACACATCTTGCAGGTACGAACCAGTGATGTCGAACTTCCACCCGTCCCAGCTCGGACAGGGGCCGCCCGTGCCGCCGCCGCTCAGGCAGCCGCCGTACATGACGTACGTGGTCGGCGACACCATGTCGCCCGCCGTGAGGCAGCGCCCGTGGGGCTTGTCGCGGGTGTAGGGCCGCACGTTGTCAGCCAGCTTGCTCCACGTGCGGCTGACCAGGTCGAACGAGAACGCGTCGGAGAACCTGCGCGCCGGAGCAAGCTTCGCACAAGCCATACTATGAGGGGGGATTGAGATATGATAATGTCGCAGACAAGAAGAAGAATCCATGCAGGATTAGAACCAAGGAATCTCGATAAGAGACGTCCGCAGCGTTGAGGCTGAGCGCCTCGCACTCAGGGCGCACCTGGTCGTCTGATCGAAGCCGTGGGTGGTCACGAGCAGGCTCGACGTAGGGTAGATCCCGCCCCCCCCGCCGTAGCGGCCCGCGGGGGCCCCGTCCGCGCCGTTGGCCGCCAGCTTCGTCCAGTAGGACACCGACGTCTGCCCCTGCCGGACGAGAGCGGTCACGCGGCCGAGGTCCAGCGCCCAGACGTCGTTCACGAACTTCTCGGCGCCGTTGCAGCCCTTTGTGTCCCCCGTGGCGATGACAAACTGCCCCGTGGCTTGCGAGACACCTGACACCATGCTGAAGCGGGGCTCCGGGGCGGTGGAGCCCTCGACGCCCGGGATCTCCACCCAGCGCACCGAGGCCGGGTCGATCACGCCCTCTGCAGCCACGGCCGGCGCTGCGAACGAATCAGCGCAACGGAACTTGGAAATCACTATTTGGGGATGGCGTGGACCTAGAGGTGGTTCTGTGCGGACCTGACGCGAAGGTGAGGGCGAACACGTCCAGCGCCCACGTGTCGCCGAGCACCGTGCACGGTCCCGCGCCCCTGCCGTTGTCGGTGCCGCCGAAGATGAGAAGGAGGCCGTTCGTCGAGTCGTAGCCCACCGCGGACGACCGGCGCGCCGACGGCCCGCCTGCCAGCTCAGTGCCGGCGAGTTGCAGCCATGCTGGGGTCCCAGCGGCCACTGCGGCGCCGTACGTGTCCGGCAGGGGAAATGCGCTCTGAGCTCCTGCAGCGGATTGGCACGCACGGCGGCTCTGTTGGTCGCCGAGGTACACCGCGAGTCACTGGTGCCTCTGAGAGGACCTGTGCAGCCTTCTGGTCCTCATCGGGGCGTTGAGGGAACAGCGCGCGCCACATTCGCTGGCGAGACCAGGCCTCCGAGCTGCCGGGTCGACGCGTGATCATCGAAGAGTGGAACGATGCGCACGGAGGCATGAAGGCTACGACATGTCGCGAGGCGCCAGAGGGCACCGGATGGCGTTCCAAGGACGCAGGGCGGTCGGGACGACGTGCGCGGAGGAGCACAGCTCGCCTCCCGGGCGCCGAGCCCTCAGCAGACCCCGCGGGACTGGATCGGGCATGCCGCTGCGCGAGGTGGTGCCCTGAGAGAGCGATGCCTCGCACAAACCAGCGGATTCCGCGACGCTGGGCAGCACGGCGCCCCCAGGCAACATGGCGGTTGCAAGGTGGCAACAGCAGCGACCCGCTGGGGCTGCGAGGCCCGCCAGCGCGCTCGCGCAGCATACCTGAGAAGGTCACGAGGGAGCAGATGAGGGCGATGAGCAGGATCATGGTCCTCGCGAGGCTCGAGGACATCCTGGTGTTGAGTGCGTCAGAGGCGCGCGCGCTTGTACGAACTGCGTCGACACAGCACGGAGATGCTCGGAAGGGGACGTCCGAGAGCCTGTCCGTACAGCAGGATCCGGCTGAGCCCCTCAGGAAGTTCCGGGGTGTCCCTACTCCCTGGAGGAGCTTTCCAAGCACCGAAAGGAAGAAGCGAGCTTTCGACTTCTGGCAGACGTGTCCGACTCGACTGCCTGCGAGGACCGTATCCGGGGACACCGTGGACCTCGGCGCTTGAGTTCCGGGCGTCCCGGACCGTCCCGAGGGTCCGCGGAGGCATCTTACCTGATGAGAGTTCACGCCTCCCCCACAGCTCGCCAAACGCGCGAAAAGCCCCGCAATCTGTTCTACTTGGCGTGACTCGCTTGCAAGGCCGCGGAAATCGGCAAAAGCGCGCCCCAGACCCCCACACGCGGCGTCGCGGGCCACCGCGCTTGCGGACGATTCGATCTCGCTCTCTGCGCGTCACAGACCCACGCGCACACCTCCACGCAAGCGAACCACCCCAGCGCCGTTGCCGTCGGCCGCCAGCCCCGCCCCGCCCCAACGACAGCACCGGCTCAGCAGAAGTAGGTGCAGGGCGCCGCGAGCGACCGGAACGCGTCCCAGTCGTCCTCGCTGAAGTGCGACCGCAGCTCCGCGATGCCCGTCTCGCGCTCGTGCGTCCGCTGGAACGTGCTGAGCGTCTTGGTGATGACCTCCCGCGCGCGCCGCTCCGCGAACCCGGCCTTGACGAGTGCCGAGATGACGCCGGGCATCCACGTGGGCACGTCGTACGGCGAGCTCAGCACGAACGCGGACAGGCCGTGCACGGGCGCCTGCAGCACGGCGAGCTCCTCGCGCGTCGGGGGCTGCGTGCGCCTCCGCTTCGAGGACGCGCTGACCGCCTGGATCTCGGTCAGGAAGCGCCGCCGGAGCTCCTTGTGCCGCGCGGGGGCGATCGTCTGCGCGGAGGGGGGGCGCGGAGAAAGGAACTGTGAGTGGAGAGGGAACGAAAATTGGAGGTGCACATATGGCGCTCCCAACCCTCATTCCAGGGTGGGTGCAGGGAACACGGCGAGCGCGGGGGCGGCTACGTGCTCCTGTAGCTCGCGCCTCAAGGTGGCGACCCGCACGTCACGCCACGCGCAGGCAAGTGCGTCGGCAGAGCTCTGTAGGGGGCGCGTACCTTCACGACGGCCGCGAGGCACTGCATCGCGGTGTTGCGGACCTCCACGCGGCGGTCCGCGAGCCCCTGCACGAAGAGGTCCTCCGCCGCGGTGCGCACCGACAGCGGCATCGACAGCTGGTGCTTGAAACACAAAAAGTGGCAGTACTGCAGCGCGGTGATCGCCACCTGCCGCTGCGGGCTCTCCGCAGCCGTGCGGATCGCGTCCAGCGCGCGCGCGAACGACGGCTCGTCGCGCACGGGGTGGTGCGCCACGAGCAGCAGCGCCGACCACGCGTCGGACGCCACCTGCGCCAGGCTCTGGTCCTGGATGCCCTGGATCCACAGGACGTGCGGCAGGGCGTCCATCATCGTGTTCCACAGCCGGATGCTCACGCCCACGTGCGTCGCGGTCATGATGAAGGAGATCGAGAGGTGCGCGCGCACGACGGCGGGGTGCTCGTTCAGGCGCGGGGCCGCGTCGTCGCCGCCGGCCATCGCGACGTCGCCGCCGTTGGCATCCGGCGCGGGGTCGCCGGGGCTCTTGCGCTTGCTCCCGCGCTGCGCCGGCCGCGCCGCGACCCCCCCGGGGGCGTTGCCGAGGACCTGCGTCAGCACCGACGTCAGCGCCACGGGGAGGTGCTCCGGGTCGAGCGACGCGAGCTTCGCGGTGACCTCCGCGTCGGACGACACCTTGAGCAGCTTGTACAGCGTCTCCTTCGGCGCGATCTGCGCCACGCGCCGCGCACAGCTCCGCGACACCTGCGCGACGACCTCCGCGTCCCCCGACTGCATCGCCGCGGTCAGGTCGCTCAGCATCGACGCCGCAGCCGCGCCCTCCGGCCCAGGCCCGCCGCCGCCGCCCTCCGTCCCCACGGGCGGCGTGTGGGGGTGCGAGCCCCACGCACTGCCCAGCGCGCCCGTGCCGGTGCCGCCGACGACGGCCAGCCGCTCCCGGAGCAGCTCCGCGCCCGCGACGAGGTCCTGCAGCGCGCGGTCCAGCATCGCCTTCAGCGGCGCCGCGTAGAGGCTGCCTTCCGGGGTCTCCGGGTGCCCGTGCGGGCGTCCCAGCGCCGCCAGCGACGTCATCAGGCACGCCAGCGAGCTCCGGACGTACGGGTTCGACCGCCGCAGCTCGACCTGCTCGAAGCCCACCGCGATGAGTTTCCGCACCGGCGCCGCGTCCACGCTCCCCGTCTGCACAGCCTCCTCGATGCACCACCCAAGCCGCTCGATGTACCGCCGGACCGCCGACCAGCCCGCGGCCTCGTTCGGCGCCTCCTGCATGAGCGCGGCTACCTCCCCCGCCGCCGCGAGCGACTCCTCCCCGGGCGTCTGCGGCGCGGGGTTGCCCTCTGGCGTCCACCGCTCGTGCAGGTTGCCCCCAAGCAGCCGCGCCCACGCGTACCGAAGCGCGGCGGTCCACGCGTCCTGGACCTGGTTCGGGCACCGCCGGAGCGCGTCGAGCGTGCACGCGCGCGCCCACTCGTCCCAGTGTCCGCCTCGGTACGTGTCGAGACACCCCATGAGGGCCGCCATGATCTCCGCGGCGGCCGACCACTGACTCAGGTCCGTGTGGCCGGCCGTCGAGACCAGGCCCGTGACGGCGCGCTTCAGGACGGGGATCGCCTGCCCCGGGCACGCGTCCAGCATGCTCGACAGGTACACGACGTGCGCCAGCTCGAACGTGCCGTCGTACAGCGCGGCGGTGGCGGCGGTGCGGAAGACGGGCCAGCGGCCGGACGCCTGCGCGAGCACGGCCATCCCGGACGCCACCTTGTGCTCCAGCGACGTGCCCTGCCCCGGGGCAAGCATGGCTGCCATGCCCTCCTGCGCGCTCGCCGCCTCCGCGACCAGGCTGCGGTCGTGCACGAGCGCGTCGACGAGCGTGTCCGCGGGGGTCTCGCCGCTCGGCGGCGCGAGCAGCGCCGCGAGGTGCCGCGAGACGGCGCCGGTCTTGCCGCGCGCTTCCTGCCGCAGCATCAGGGTGACGACGGCGCGCCCGAGGACGCTGAACGGCGCGAACCGGTTCATCGACATGCGCCCGAAGTGCGCAGTCAGCGCCGCGAGCATCTCCTCGTCCTGCGCGCACACCGGCAGCGCCACGTACGCAAGCAGCGCCGATCCGAAGACCACCGCGCGCCACCCCACGACCGCCGCCTTCTGCTGCGGCGCCGCGCCGTTGCCGCCATCCGCTGTCGGCGCCGCCCCGCTCGACTTCCCCTCGAGCGACAGCTCTCCGCGGAGGAGCTCGAACACCTTGTCGCGCAGGACGGGCTGCATGCGGTGCCCTGGTTTCGGCACCGCCAGCCCCGTGCGCCGCAGCTGCGCGGAGAACTCCGACATGATAGTGATGGTGCAGTGGATGATCGACGGCGTGTCGCTGGGCGACGTCACCAGCGCGAGCACCGACCCCAGGAAGGCCGCCATCAGCCCCGCGTCCTCGAACACCTGACTCAGGGTCGAAATGACGCCGACCGTCGCGCCGAAGACGCGCGACTCCTCCGTGGCCTGGTCCTGCCCCTCGCCGTCCGGGACCGCCGCGTCGGGGGTCGCCGGCTCCGCCGCGGCGCCCGGCGCGCCGTCGATCGCCATCGGCGCCGGCGATGACAGCGGGCGCTCCGGGTTGGCGAGGATGGAGAGGAAGTGGTACATGGTGCGCTGGGCGAGGCCGGGGTACCGCTGCGAGACGATCGAGAGCGTGGCGGACGCCGAGGACGACACGGCGGAGTACTTGTGCGTGCAGTAGCCCACGAGGGAGTCCAGGAGCCTCAGGTATGCTGGGTTGAGGTCTTCCGGCTTCACGATGAGCACCTCGGACGACTGCCACCCCCACTGCGAGCTCAGCGTGCGCCGCAGCATCGCCTTGGACTCCACGTGCTTCACCACCACCCACCGACAGAAGCGCCACTGGCTGGTGTAGAAGTCGCGCGTGTGCAGCGACGACGTGCCCGGCCGGACCGCGCCGCCCAGGAAGCGCCGGTGTTCGCCGCTGCCCGCGCCTGCCGCCGCCATTGGCGACGCGGTGGCCGTGGGCGTCCGCGGGGGCGCGCTCTCGGCCTCGTCCGCGCCCCCCGCGCCGACCTGCGCGCCCAGGACGTCGTGGAAGAGGAGCGGCGCGAGCGGGGGGTCGCACGCGACCTGCGCGAGGGAGCGCCACTGCTGGTCGAGCGCGGCAACGAGCGTCCCGTTCGAGGACGACACGTTCAGCAGGCGGCTGATGATGGAGAGGAGGAGCTTGAGCGTCTGCGAGTCCTGGCCCATGAGCTGCGGCGCCGCGCGCGACAGCGACTCCGCGCACCGCTCGCGCACGCCCGGCAGCAGCACGTCCAGGCTAGGACGGTCCACGGGGCACAGCGGCACCTCGAGCGCCTCCCACGGCTCCGGTCCCTCCGGCACGACGGGGTCGTGCATCCGGGGGGGAGTCCTGGGGGGTGTCTGGCTTTTCGACGCACTCCCCGGCCCCCCGGGCGTCGACACGCGCTGGAACAGGTGCCGCAGGTCCTGCACGCGCGCCCCGACCGGGTTGCTGTCCCGGACGCGCGCCGCGGCGTCCTGGCTCAGCGTGAAGTCGGCCAGCACGGTGCCGCTGCAGCGGAGGGCGTTCTGCACGCGCGACAGCACTGAGCGCAGCGCAGCGCGGTGCGCGGACTCCGCGGACTCGCCCTTCTCGCGCCGGAGGCGGTAGGCTTCCGGCAGCACGGGCGGGCGCGCCATCAGGGCGTCGAACTGGTCCAGAGGCTCAACCAAGAACCTTTGAAGCAGGTGTTCCAGCACCCACTTCGCGTGGTCCCTGCTGGCCGCGTCCTCGCTGTCCCACGGCATCTGCGAGTCCACCGCGCTGCTCGCGAGCCCGACGGTCTCCTCAAGGTCCGCGCCGCAGCGCCCGCCGCGCGGCGCCCGGTGCGGCGCGTAGCGGTCGCGCATGTGCAGCTGGGACTTGTTGAGCGCGAGGCGCGACAGATTCACGCCGCACGTGAGCTGCACGGCGACGGACGGGAGCTCCCACGCGTCCGCGAGCAGCTCCGAGGCCACGACGAGCTGCTGCCGCGGCACCTCGCGCCCCATGGCCAAGCACATGACCTCCACGAGCCACATCACGGAGCGCTCGACGCCCGGGGAGATCCGCGGGGCGGCGCGGTGGAAGCGCAGTTCCTCGCGGAGCTGCTCCGTCGCGGGCTGGAAGATGTCGCGCGCCGTCTCCTCCGGGCAGAAGCCCTGGCAGACAAAGGCGAGAAACGCGGCGTCCGACATGGCGGTGTTGAAGGACGCCTCGGAGAGGAACTTGGCGACGTGGCGGACCGCGACGACGCGCAGGCGCGGCGACACGCGCGCCAGGAGCAGCTGCAGCATCGGCAGGTAGAGGGAGCTGTTGGACGACAGGAAGGTCTTGCGCGCCTGGTCCTGGCCGGCGGTGAGCGCGGTGTCGGCGCGCGTGGTGCTCCCCGGGGTGTCGAGGTTCGTGATGAGCGCGAACACGCGCTCCAGGAACTCCCCCAGGAACACCTCGGTGTCGAGCGGCACCGTCAGTGCGTCGCCGTGCTTGGCCGTCCACTCCGCGTCCTCGCTGTCCGGCAGCCACGTGACCGTCGACAGCACGCGCACGTAGAACTTCATCGCCTTCTGCGTCTTGCTCGGGTCGTTCGCGTCGAACGCCGCCAGCAGCAGCTCCATCGCGCGCCCGACCATCTCCGCCGCCAGGGGCCGGGAGAACTTCTGCAGACCCACGTCGAGCTGCGTCAGGTCCAGGTGCGCGACGTCGAGGCGGTCCGCGTCCTCGAGGCCCGAGCTGTTCTTCGGCCCGGAGGCGTCCGCGCCGGACCCGCCCCCGGCCGCCCACCCTGCGCCGAAGCCCGCGCCCGCGCCGTCGTCCGCGTCCAGTGCCGCCTCGCTCGGCGCGCCGGCCTCGAGCATCGGCCGCACGACGGACGACATGACGGAGATGGCGCGGTTGAGCTGGTGCACGGCCGAGGCGGCCTGCAGCGCGTCGGAGAACCTCCGGCACGCCAGCGGGAACACCTTGTGCGGGATAATGTACGACAACAGGTACAGCATGTGCCGCGCCTGGGACCCGAGGCTCGTGTCGCGCAGGTCCTTCGCGTACATCGCGCGCGAGGCCAGCCGGAAGAGCTGCAGAGCGACGTGCTTCGCGGTGGGCGCGTCGATCATGACGCGCGTCGACGTCGACAGCATCCGCCGCTGCATCCCGCCGCCGCCCTCCTGCGACCCCATCATCGAGTCGTCGTCGTCCCCGTCGGAGTCCTCGTCCATGTCCTCGTCCTCGTCCTCGTCGCCGTCGTGCATGGCCTCGAGATCCGCAATCATCTCCACGTCGTCGCCAATGTCCATCGTGTACGCGTCGTCGTCGTCGTCCTCCTCCGCCAGCTCGCTCGCCCCGCCTCCGCGGCCCCGCCGCACCGTCGCGTGCGCCCGGAGCGCCCGCAGCCGCGCCTCCTTCGCGAGCCGCGTCATGAACGTGGACGTGAACGTGTCGAGCAGACGGAAGATCGACCGCGACCAGGGACCCTCGTTTCCGGGCTGGCAGTAGTGCTCGAGCTGCGTCGCGATCGCGTCGAGCACGTCGAGCGCCGCGGGGCCGCACCGGCCGAGCATGTGCACCAGCGACGCCGCCACTCCGCGCTCCTCCGACGCGTTCCGGCCGCCGAAGAGCGTGTTCAGGCCGGACGGCACCTGTGCGCCCTGGAGCTGGCCGCCGTCGCTGATCCCGGCGGGGATGTTGAAGGCGTGCAGGAAGTGCGCGGAGAGGCGCCCGCAGAGGTCGGGCCACGGGATGTGCCCGCGGACGTCGTCGCGCAGGACGCGCTGGAAGAGGTCGCACCACCGCGAGGACCAGTACGGACAGGCCGGGAGCGCGTCCCACAGGACCAGCCACTCTGCGGGGGACGCACGGGGTGGGCGCGCGCTTGTGTGAGCACGAGCGCAGTCGCCACTGTCTCGGAGGCATCGGAGTGCGCCATCGGTGTGCGATCGCATGGCGTTTGCCGGGCGGCAGGAGGTCGCGAGGACGCCGGCCGCTCGAACGCGGCTCTCCTTGGCGGCGCGACAACAACGACCCTGTTGCTGGTGCGCAGGTGCCATGAGGTGGGGGCAGGGGTCGCACCGTCGAGCCACTCGGCCCAGGGCGCGCGGTGGGGGTCCCTCGCGAGCTCCGTGGTGGGCAGGAACGCCGAGAGCAGCGAGAGGGACTCGAACGCGTGGGCGCGGTTGGTGTCGAGGAGGTGGGGGCGGAAGTGCGCCCAGATCTCCGCGGCGCTGCCCAGGGGGAAGAAGACGCGGCAGCACGCGACGAGGTGGAGGAGGTCGTCCGTGTTGCTGACCATGGTGGACCGCTGCTGGATCGCTGCGAGCCGAGACGCACCAAGACAAACAGAAAGTTGGTTGGTTGCGGCGGACGTGCGGCGGGATCGATCGCGGACGACGCGGGACGCGGGCCGGGGAGATCTGGGCTCGATGGCGCGGGCGGCGTTGCGCGTGTGCGGGCGCGCACCTGTCGGCAGCGCCATGTGGTTGCTGCAGAAGAGGCTCAGGAGCGGCCGCCACGGGATGCTGACGTCCAGCCGGCGGCGGAAGCTGCGGAGGACATCCTCGAGGAGCCGCGCCGCGATGCCCTGGAGCTTGACGTCCTCGCCCGCCTCGTATACGACGTCCAGGAGGACGTGGACCAGCTTGGACACGTCGTGCGTGCGGAGGTCCGCGCGGCACGCGACGCGCAGGAGGTTGTACACCGCGGAAATAGCGCAGTCGAAGCGCGCCTTGCACCGCATGGCCTCCTGCGGGTCCACGGTGTCGGGCAGGGCGCGGCACCGCTCCCACTCGCGCTTCGCTGCGGCGACCGCGGCCGCGAAACGGACCGGCTCCTCATCCTGCGCGAGAACGAACAGGTCGGAGAGCTCGGGCGGCGCAACGGGGCCGCCGCGGACGATCCCAGCTGGCCGGAGCGGCCGTGGTAAGCGTGTTGTGCAGGCACAGCGCGGCAACCGCCTCGCACGCCGCGCAGCGCGCAAATCCGGCGCTCCCGCGGCGGGCGCGGCCTGCCCGGTGTACGTGCATATCGGGTGCAACGCGGGTTCGATCGTTCGGGGCCGGTACGGCGTTGCGGGCGTCGTTTGGGGGCGCTGCTCGAGCCCTCACCTTGATGCGCTCCTTGGTCTCCTTGGGCAGCCACTCCGTCGCGATAGAGGGCTTCATGCTGCTCGCGACCGCCACGCGCTGCTAACTCGGGCCGCACGTACCGCCACGGCGGCCCGCACAGCCCCTAGGCACTCGCAACAAGCAAAGCGTCCTGCGGCTCGACTCGGCCTCCGCCCGCGCTGCGCCGCGGCCTGGCTCTGCAGACAGCGATACGTTGAGCGGCTGCGGGATCACGCTGCGGCAGATCACGCCGTGCGGGGCGCGAGCTGACCAACCCAAGGTAGTGCCAGCTCGGGATGTTCATGGTGTGAAACGCGAGGCAGCGATACCGCGCGCGCAGGAGTGCGGAGTTGGAGGTGTGCAGACGCGTTGTCGCAGCACGCATTCGCGCGCGAGCCCCGGTGCGACCGCGTGGCCCCAGGAGATGAAAGGGCAGAGCAGGCGGGCCGACGCGCCGAGGCTCGGGCAATGCGCGGGCTCGATCGTCGACAGCATAACCTGAATCAACGCTTCTGCGCGGGCGGCAGGAGCGCTGCGGACGAGCACGGGCGGGCGCGCGCGCGCGTCGTGGTCGCACCTGCTCAGAGCCCCGCTAAGCGATGGTTCAGCGAGATTCAACAGCAAAAATATCCTACACGCAACGACGAGGCCTACAAGGACGACACGTGCCCGCCCTGAACCGCGGGTCGCTGCCCGGTTCGCCGCAACGCCCCGGGTCTCCTCTGCTACCCCAAACACGGCCTAGCCGCGCCACAGGGAGTCCACGCGGCAATCTTCGATACACCGTGCAGTGGGCAACAGCTACTGTCACGCCGCTGCGCGGCGCGATCCAAAGCGCCCTCACAGGCCCCGCGGCGCGTCTGACCACCCCGCCCGACACAGCAACGTCAGCGTCCCCGTGTGCGCGGCGATCCGCGCACGCACGCTCCCGTCCTCCGCACACGCGACGCGGACCCAGCGCGCGCTTCGCGGCGTCGCAGCGCCCACCCCGACCGACCTCCGACGTCCGCGCACACAACCCTGCCACACTCACAGAAAGCGTGCGAGCGCGCGCCGCCGGCCAGGTGAGACGCGGGCGCGCGCACGCGGACCACCTCGCGAGCGCGGCGGCGCAGCGCGGCAAGCTCGATCCGTCTCACAACCCAACCCCGCGCCCGCTGATTGCAAACACACACATGGGCGCCTCGCTAGCGCGGGGAGGCGCCCCGCAGCAGCGCGCTGGCCCCTCACGACGGATCGTCGCCTCTGCAGGGGGGCGGGCTCACTTGCGCGACGCGCGCGTGCTGCCGTCCCCCTGATACACGTTGCCGTTGGGGGCAGTGTAGCGCGAGTAGCCGCTCCCGGAGTTGTAGTACGTCGACCCGTTCGAGTTGCTGCACGAAACGAAACACCAGCAAGTCGGCGTTGGTACCCGCAGCGCGGGAGGGCGCGAGGCTCGTGCTGTGCGGCGAGCCACGGAGGTAGTTGGCTGGGATCTAGGGGCCGCCCTGACGCGGGAGGGCCGCCGGGACGAACGAAGGCGGGTCCCTTCATTCGTCCGGGCGTGCCTGTAGTAGTACGAGCCGTTCGTGTTGGAGTAGTGGTAGCTCGAGGTGTTGGGCTGGGACTTGGCGGGCGCGTTGTACGCGTTGCCCTGCACGGCACATGGGCGGCACACGCCCGTCGTATCTCCGCGTCGGTGCGGCGCGGCGGCGCAATCGCGGAACCGCGCGAACGGCCCCTCGAAGGCCGATCCGAGGCGCCTGCAAGTCACGCACGCGCCTAGCGAGGCGCACCTGTGAGTTGTATCCGTTCGGCATCGTGACGATTCGCGGTGCGGGGACTGCAGGAGCTGACCGAGGCGAACTCGACCTGGATGGATGATGACTCCAGGCGCAGAGCTCCGGCCCTGACGAGCCCGCGGAGCCAGACCTGCCAGCATCCGTGCAAACGGGGGGGTCCTGGGGTCCCGAGTGGTCTGATGCCTCCGGCTCGGCTGCGCGTGAGGGCCGCCGTTGCCGCCGCGAGCCGCATGGCGCGTGCGGTAGCGCAGTTGTTGGTCGATCGATGAGCGGGATCGCTGCGCGCTCAATACACCCCCTGTCGTGGCCGCGGTCGTTCCTGCCGCGCGTGATGAGCTCGCGTCCGTCGAAGAGGCGCGCGGCCGAGGCGCGAGGGGAGGGGGCAGAGGCGCATGAACGGACCCTGTTCTACGTCGCAGGTGCGCCACGATGGCGCCGGATGCGGTGCACCGCGCGGCCGCGCAGCCCGGCTCCCCCTCACTGGCGTGACCGTGCCGCGCGCGCTTGCAGGGTCGATGTTCGCCTGGCGGGTCCTCATCGCCCTCAGAGAGAAGAAGATTCCCTTCACGCCGCGACTGCTGTCGCTGGAAAAAGGTGCGTGTGCGGCAACCTGCATCCCCAGCATTGAAGATGCTTGATCATTCTCGTGCCGTGACGATCCCGCAGACACACCGCCGCGCTGTGCCAGACGCACCAGTCGCTGCGTCGCGCGACCGCCACGCAGCGCCCCAACCACCGCGGCCCTCAGTCACGATGTCACCCCGCGACGTTGCAGGCGAGCTCAAGTCGCAGGAAGTGTTCGAGGTCAACCACCGCATGCAGTCCCCGAGCTTCCGCGACGTCGGCGGGAACTGCGTGAACGAGTCCATGGCCGCGCTGCAGTACCTGGAGGACTCCTACACCCCCCCCACCTACCCTGCACTGCTCCCGCCAACATCCGACCCGGCAGCACGCGGGCACGCCCTGCAGGTCCGCGCCCGCCGCACCCACCGCGCGCTGCTTGCTGCCCGCCACACCGCGAACCGCAGGCGCTGGACCGCACTCGTCTTGTCGCGTCGCTGCACCCGCAGAGGCTGCACGAGGCGGCGGTGTTGACGTTCAAGCAGCGCGCGGTGCGACAGAGCGTGTTCGGGATGCCGCCGTTCGAGGAGATCGACATCACGACGGAGCCTGGCAGGACGCGCCACGCCGAGCTCACCACCGCCCTAATAGACGAAATGCGGTGCGTGGCCGGGGGCGCGGACGGCGCCGCCGACTGCCGCACGGTGCCCGCAGGGCCACGACGCCGCTCCACCCGACCGCGCGCCGACAGCAGCGCGCCGCCCGCGAAACACCCCCCAACTGTCGCACGCAAAATCTCAAGGGCCGTCACGCACGCGGCCGCACTCGACCTCCGCGCACGCGCACCACCCCGAGTCGCCCGCGTGCGAATGCGTGTCGCGATCGCCGTGCCTTGCGCGCAGAATATGGGAGAAGTATCTATCTGAGGGTGCGTACGCGGCGGGGAACGAGGTGACGCTGGCGGACTGCGTGCTGGCGACGGACCTGATCTTCATGCGGCGTCTGGGGTGCGACTTCTCCGTGTTCCCGGCGCTCGAGCGGTACGTGAACGCGATGGAGGCGCGGGAGACGTTGCGCGCGGACTGGCCGCCGCACTGGACGAAGCCGGCGGGCGAGAAGTGGCGATCGGTGTTCTCGAGGGTCGCGGAGCTCGCTGCGTCGCAGGGCGAACCGCCGGGTCCGTGACGGAATCCGCGCGGAGGCTCCCCGCTGCTTGCGCGGGGGAGGGGGGGTAGGGTTGGGGGTGTGCCGCATCACCCGGGCTGCATTTTGACCCGGGGCGCTTCGCGTGTGACGCACTGGGAGCGTTGTCGTTGCCAGAGAGGCTCGAGGAATCGCGAGGTTGCGCGACGGGTGCGCGATAGCTGCGGAGTTGCCTCTGGCCAGCATTGGCCCGCTGGTCCGGGGACCTGGGTGCAGGAGCGCCGACCGTGAATCGGTCGGGCGGAAGGAGGTGGAGTATGTGGCCGTTTTCTAGCAAGAAGGACGGGGGGAGCGGTTCGGGCGGCGCAGAGGGGGCGGCGCAAGCAGCGCCAGCGCCAGAGGCACCGCCCGCGCCACGGAAACCCATCGAGCTCCGCGAGGCCGCAGTGGAGAGCTTGCGCGGGTGAGCACCATCTCATCGCGTGTCCCGCTGTCAGGAGCAGCACGCAGGCGTTCGCAGCACTGCCAAAACCCCTGCACCTCCCACAGTGCACGCTGCCGTTGCGCCTCTGAGGCAGGCTTGAACGATGCCTCCAGCCATCGCGAACGAGAGCACCACCTCCGGCGTCTTTCGCGGTCGATCCGCAGCCGTCTGAACGGCGGCGCGCCCTGCAACGCCTCACCCAGGCACGTTCGCTGCCACGATCGTCCGCGCCGCGCCACCCACCGCTCTGGCAAGCCCCCGCGCAGGAGGATGAAGAACCGCGCGCGCATGAAGTGCGACGAGGTGACGGCGAAGTTCGTCGACTGCAGCAAAGTTCACTTCCTGTCCGTCGCGTGGCAGTGCCGCGCGGAGCTGCACGCCATGAACGAGTGCATGAAGCAGTACACCACCGACGACACCCTCGAGGAGTTCAAGCGGCGCTGGGTCGCCGCGGGCATGCCCTCGGACCCCAAGCACGACCTGTGGCCAGAGGAGAAGCCCGAGTGGGTCGCATACGTGCGCCGGTGCGTCGCCCGGGCCCACGCGGACGCCACGGACGGGCCCGCTGGCTGGCCGCTCGTGCGAGGCCTGGGCTCCCTCTGTGCGTGTTGTTTTCCGCCAGAATGGTGTTGATTTGATGTTTATGATTCGCGTCGTGGTGTGGGCGCAGGCGAGAGGAGCGCGACCCGCCGAAGAAGGACGGCATGAGCGCCCTGAAGAAGCAGTTCTACAACGCGTGAGCAGCGGCGCGCGTGGTGCGCCACGCACCGGCGCAGTTGCACACGCACTGCAATGAGGAGCTGCGCGCGTCTCGCCGCCGTGTGACCCCGACGCATGCACCCACCGCGCCCTCGACGCGTGGTCCGACCGTCGCGGCGGGCCCTCGGCCGCACACGCGCCGCTCCCGACAGCCAGACAGTCATAGCTCACATGAGGGGGGTGGCGCATCACTCCCCCAGCTGCTCGTTGAGGAGCTCGTCCTCGGGGATGATCTGCACCTTGCAGTCCGACGTGGGCGTCGCCACGCACAGCAGCGCGTACCCCTTCGCCTGCGTGTCCTCCGACAACATCCCTGCCGCCTGGTCCACCTGCGCAACACAACAACAACAACTCCCGTCTCCGTCCCCGCACCGGCACGCCGACAGCCGCTAGGACCAGCCTCGGGCTCCGGAAGCCAGCACGGCGCCACCGCGCGGCCCGCGCCCGCGCCCGCGCGTCGCGAGAGGTGGCGCCAGAGTGCCGAGGTGCGCGGGTGGCGGTCTGGGTCTGTCGGGCGCGATGGCGATGCAACCGAGCGCGGAGCGCGAAGCCTGGAATCTGTCGTGCGTCGCCGGGCCGCCCATTGCCGTGGGCTCGGCGCGGCGGCGCGTCGGCGGGCGGGGATGGGCGCACCTCGCCAGCGAGCATCTTGGCGGGGCACGTCATGCAGACGCCCATGTTGCAGTCGTACGAGGTCTCGATGCCGTTCTCCAGGCACGCGTCCAGGATGGTCTGCCCCTCCTCGACCTCGATGTCCTTCTCCGTCCCGTCGAGCTCGACCATGGTGACCTGCGAGTGGATCGAGGGCGCGGCGCGGCGTCGTTGGTGGGTCCCGCGGCGTTTTCTTGCGGCTGAGCGGTGATTTGTGAGCGGAAAGAGCGTGTGGAGGGGTCGAGCGGGGGGGGAGCGGGCGTGCCTTGTACGCGCGGGCAACGCAGGGGGTGCGCTTGGCGCCAGTGCGGGCTGCGCTGGCGGCGTGGGCGGGCCGCGAGACGCAGGCGGCGGGGCGCGAGGCGACGGCCTTGGCGATCATTGTGCTAGGAATGTGAGGGTTCGGGGTGCGCGTGGGCGAATTGCGCGGAGCCGTCACGCCTGAGAGGGAGAGCAATGAGGCGGAGCTGCGGTCCTGGGGACGTCTCGAGAGGGGCCTCAAGGGCGCTGCGGGGACGACGAGCTGCGTGAGGAACCGGCGCGGGGCGGGAGCGGGGCGCTCGCATTCAGGAGCAGCGCTGGGGGTCCGCTGAGAGAGCGCGCAGTAGAACCTATCATGCCTGTGCCGGCCAAGGGGGGCAAGCGGGCGCCGCAGCCCGGCACTACGTTCCTTGAGGCCACGGTGCGCACCCCTGTCCGTACGAAGCCCAACCGTGGAACTTTGGCGGGCCGCAGCAGGGCCGAATCACTCCTTTAGGAACCTCCGGCTGCTCGGTGCCGCGCATCGCCAGCTTCCTACGTGAATGGCGCAGACAAAAGCATCATCGTAGGTCTGGTCCGGCGAGCGAGGCGTTCGTTGCCCGCGGGCTCCGCAAATGGACCCCGCAAGGCAAACCGCCTCCACAGGAGGCGGGGAGGGGACAGCAGCGCCTGCGCCCGGGACCACGGACGGCTCGAAAGGCCAGAAGCCCGCGGATGAGGTGCGCGACCGACGTTTCTGCAAAGACGAGCGGGGAGGGACAGTCCCACGCCAACCGCGCTGGAGGGCCTCTCGTGCCGTTTCTAGCCGGCAGCGACGCGTGAAAATCGTCCCGCAGGACAGGTTTCATTTCGAACCTGCAAGCTGCGGGCACCGCGCCACCTATCAGGCCTAGGCCGGTGCCCGGGCGGGTTAGTTTGCGCGCTGATCCCCGAAATCGCCCGCACAGCCTCGGTGTCGCCGCGACGCGGTCCCAGCTGCCCAGGCTCTTCTCACTTGTACTTTTTCACACCCACTGATGCCCGCGAGCGCCGCTTCCAATGTCTGTGCCGGGCGCTGCCGGCCACACACGTCCCTGCACGTCTAAAACTGTCCACGCGTCGGTGTTACGCAGAGCAAGGCCGCCCAGGGACCCCCCGCGGCAGGAGCGGGCAGCGAGCAAGCCGCCAGGACCGCCGCGGCGCCGTTACCGCCAATCATTGAGCGCAAAAAGTGGATCCAATGCGCCCTGTGCAGCAAGTGGCGGGTCGTCCCGTACACCCTCGAGGACGACCAGATCCCGGAGGACTGGAAATGCTCCGACAACCTCTGGGACAAGTCGCACAACAGCTGCGACGTCGCCGAGGTGCGCCCCGCCCGCCCCGCCCATGCGCGCCGCAGCCCCGCCCTCCCGCGCGGCGTCTCACCGCCCGCGTTCGGCCCCGCGTCCCCGCAGGAAGAGGAGGACATCCACCAGTACGAAATAGGCGCTGACGGGTCCGTCGTCGTCGACGAGAACGGAAAGCTCATCGACACACGCACCCTCCTGGGACCGCTGCCGCCCCACAACGGCGACGGCGCCGCGCCCGCCGCCGGCGAGGCCGACGCCGACGCAGACGACGAGCCCGCCGAGGAGGAGGCCCCCGCGGGCGCCCCCAGCCGCCGCACCGCCCGGCGCACCAAGGCCCGCGCCAGCCGCTTGCAGCGGCCGCGGGCGCGCGCGCCCGCGGCTGCGGCGCCGCCGTCGCGCCGCGGGACCGGCCGCGGCGCCAGCGCGAACGGGCGCGCGCCGGCGAGGCGCGGCGGCAGCCGCGCCGGGCGCGGCGGGGCGGGCGCGGCGGGGCGGAGCGGGCGGGCGCGGCGCGAAGGCGACGCAGGCGACGGACGCGGCCGCGGCGCTGATGGACATCTTCGGCGGGCTCGCGGACGCCGCGGCTGCCGCGGCGCCCCCCGCCGCCGACGACGGCGCCGCGGCGCCCGGCGCCCCCGCGATGACCTCCGAGCTCCGCAACGCCATCCTGCCGGGCCGCGTGGTCATGGCCAAGGTCACGGGGCACGAGTGGTGGCCCGCGAAGACCGTCCGGCGGCGAGCGGTGCCGCGGGAGGTCGGGCCCCCGTCGGGCGGGCCGGCGCAGATCCACCAGTACTACCCCGTGGTGTTTTTCACGCCGAACGGCATCCCGGGCGACCCCGTGTCGCAGCAGGTGGCCGCGGAGCAGAACAGGGCGCCCGGGCGCGCGGAGCTCGAGTACGCGTGGCTCAAGGCCAGCGGGCTGCGTCCGTTCCGCATCGACGACGCCCCGGCGTCGGGCGACCCTTCGCTGCTGGCGAGCGTCGCGGCGGCGCGGGCGCACGTGCGCGCGACGAACACCGCGAACCTGTACACGGGGACCCCGGCGTCGCTCCGCGCGGCGGCGAACGACGACGCGGGGTCGGACTCGGACGGCGGGTGGGCGCCGCGGCGGGACGGCGGGGCCGCGGGCCCGCGCGCGAACGGCGCGCTCGGCGGGCGGTGGCGCCGTGGAGGGCGCGGGAAGGGGCGCGGCGGCCGCGGCCGCCGCCGCGGCGTGCGACGCGGGCGCCGACGCCGCGCCGCGCGTGGAGGCCGTCCTGGGCTGGCGCGTCTGCGTGGCGAAGCGCGGCGACTACGAGGACGCCGCCACGTCGCCCCAGGAGGAGCGCGAGTACCTCCTGAAGTGGCGCGGCCGCAGCCACCTGCGCTCCAAGTGGGTGGCGCACAGCGCCGTGCCCACGGAGGCGCTCCCGCTCGTGCAGCGGTTCGAGGCGCTGCACGGCGCGCGGCCCGTGAGCATCATGGACCCGCAGTGGGTGCTGCCGCGGCGGCTGGTGTCGCGGCGCCCGAGCGGCGCCGGGCCGGGGTGGGATGTATTGATCGAGTGGGAGGGGTTGGGCCCTGAGGGCTGGACGTGGGAGTCGGAGTCGGACCCGGCGGTGCGCGGCGAGCCGTTCTTCGCGCTGCAGGCGGAGCTGTGGGAGGAGCAGGACGAGGCGGTGAAGCGGCACCGCGCGGCGAAGACGGCGAAGGTGGACGTGGCGACGGCGGGGCAGGAGCTCACGCAGACGCCCGCGTACGTGGAGGGCCCGCCGCTGCTGCCGCACCAGCTCGAGGGGCTCAACTGGCTGCGCCGGGCGTACGGCGAGGGCCGCGCGGCGGTGCTGGCGGACGCACCCGGCATGGGGAAGACCGCGGTGGCCTGCAGCTACCTCGCGGCGCTGCGCACCGAGTTCTCCGCGTTCGTGCGGCCGAGCCTGGTGGTGTGCGGCAGCGACGCGGAGGCGCGGCGGTGGGAGGGCGAGGCGCGCCTGTGGTCGGGCGACGTGCGCCCCGGCGCGTGCTTTGGCCCCGCCGCGGCGCGCGCCGTCGCGTGGGCGCACGACATCTGGATGCCCGCCTCCGCGCTCGACGGCAAGGGCCACGCGCGCGACCGCCCGCCCGCGAACGTCCCGCAGCGCGTCCCGCGCGCCGCGGTCGTCGTGGCCACCGCCGCCGCCGTCATCGAGGACGCCGAGCTCCTCGAGGAGCTCTCGTGGGAGTCCATCGTCCTCGCGGACCCCGCCGAGTATCCCGGCTCCACCGCGGACGTCCCCGCCCTCCTCGCCGCGCTCGCCGCGCTCAAGGCGCGCCACCGCGTGCTGCTGCGCTCGCAGCCGTTCCCGCTCGCCGTGGCGCCGCTCGCGGACGCCCTCGCGTTCCTGCGCCCCGAAGACTACCCGGACCTCGCCACGCTCCTCGAGCGCCACCCCGCGATGAAGGACAAGCCCCAGAGCGAGCTCGTGGGCTTCCTGCGCAGCCTCATCCAGCCCAGCGTGCTCCGGCGGACGCCCGAGTCCGCGGGGCTGGCGCGGCCCGTGCTCCGCGAGCTCGCGGTGCCCGCGCCGATGGGGTGGTTCCAGGCGGCGTGCTACGTCGAGCTGGCAGCGCTGCGCGGCGACCTCCTGGCCGACGAGGCCGCGCGCACCACCGGCGCCCCCGCGTTCGCCCGCGCGCTGCGGGAGCTGTCGGACGACGTCCTCGCGGCGTCGACGCACGCGTTCTGCGTCCCGCGCTTCGACGTCGAGCAGCCCGTCGCGTGGCCCGCGGGCGACGAGCACGCCGCGCTGCCCGGCGCGAGCCCCGCCGTCACTGCCGCGACCGGCGCTGGCGGCGCCCCGCTGGCCGACCTCCTGCTCTCTGACGCCGCGTCCGGAAAGATCGGGGCCCTCCTCGCGCTCATCAAGGGCGCGGCGGCCGCGGAGGGCACCGCACCGGGCGCAGCAGGTCCTGGCCGACCCGTCCTCGTGCTCTCTCGGTACCGCCGCGCCCTGCTGGCGGCGCGCAGGGCGCTCGAGAACGCCCTCGGCGACGGCACGTGCGCGATTCTGGAGGGCAGCGACCCCCTCGAGGACGCCGCCGTCGTCGAGGCCATGTCGCCGCGGCCGTCGCGGCCCGGAGCGCCGCCGCCCGAGGCGGCGCCGTGGGTGCTGCTGTGCCCGTGCGAGCTGATCGGGATCGGCGTGAGCGTGCCGGGGCTCGCGTGGGCCGTCCGGCTCGACGCCGACCCCCCCCCTGACACGAGCGCCGCCGCGCACCCCCTGCACTCGTGCCTCCGGCTCCGCGCGGCCGAGGACCCCCCGCTGACGGTGTTCCGGCTCTACACGGAGAACGCGGCCGAGGGATCGCTGCTCGGGCTCAAGCCGAGCACCGGCGCGAAGCTGCGGGAGGTGGCGCTGCGCTCGGGGTTCACCGAGACCGCTGCGCTGGCCGCGAAGGGCCCCGGCGGCGCGCCGCGCGTCGCCGCGCACCTCGAGCCCGCCGCGGTCGCGGAGCTGCTCGCCGGCCGCGGCGCCCTCGCGGCGTCCGCGCGGGACGTTGCGCCGCCGCCAGTGCCGCCCGTGAGCGCGTGGGTCGACCCGCCCGCCGCGCCCGCTGCGCCGCCGAGCGCCGCGGACGCGTACGACGAGGAGGCGGCGCGCATGGCCGCGGCGTTCTGGAAGGACGTGCTCGGTCCAGCCCGGGAGGCACTGCGCGCGGCGGAGGAGGCCGCTGCGGCGGCCGCTGCGGCGCACCTCGAGGCGGCGGCGGCCGCAGCGGTCGGCGCGGACGAGGGGCACGCGGCGGCGGCGGCGGAGACCTCCCCGCACGGCGCGGACGGCGACGGCGACGGCGCCGGCGCGCCCGCGGACGCCGCGGCCGGCACCGGCGAGGTCGGGGACGGTGGCATGCACCTCGACGATCCGCTCGCGGCGGACGAGGGCGCGGAGTTCGTCGGCGGCGGCAGCGACGCGGAGGCCACCGGCGCCGCGTCCGACCACGCCGGCGTCGCCGCCACCGCCATGGAGGTGGAGGAGGACCCGGACGACCCCACGTACCAGGTCGGGCGCAGCTCTGCGCGGCAGGCGAAGGCCGCGGGCCACGCAGGGGGCCGCGGGGGCCGGCGGAAGCGCGGCGCGGAGCACGCGGACGAGGACGCGGTGGGAGGCGGGAAGCGGCGGCGCGCGGCGGGCAGCGCGCGGCAGAAGGCGGTGGAGTCGGCGGTGGCGCGGTTCGCGGAGGAGCGCTCGCACTTCCTCGCGGAGATGGCGCGGCGCGACCGGCAGCTGCAGGGCCTGCGCGACCCCTCCACCGCGGAGGGCGCCGTCGCGGCGCGCGCGTCGGTGCGGCTCGCGGAGCTCGCGGAGGAGCTCGCGCTGTCGGAGCGCGTCCTCACGGTCGCGCAGCAGGCCGCGGAGGTCCTCCTCCTCATGCGCCCCGATCGCGAGACCCCGTCCGACTTCCAGGACTACACGCTCGTCGCCGTCGTCGCCGTCGCCGCGCACATCCTCAGCGTGCCGCTCGGGGAGCGCTTCGGGCTCCCGCGGCTCGGCGCGCGGTACGGCCACGACGCCGGCGCGCTCGAGCAGGTCTTCGGCCACATCCTGCAGGTCCTGGCGCAGTACCGGATCCTGCAGGTGCGCCGCAAGCTCCTGTCGGACGAGGAGGCCCTGAGCCAGGTGCAGGGGTCGGCGACGGCGCTCCTCGACGGCGGCGCGGCGGCGGCCACTGCCGGCGCGCACGGCGGCGGCGAGGTGACGGACCTACAGACGCTGGGGGCGCGCATGGCCGCGATCGCTGCCGGGGACCTGCCTGGGCCGGCGCTCGCGGTTCCGGCGGGGGCGAGCCCCGCGGAGGCGCAGGCGCACTTGACGCAGCAGCTGATGTGGCTGGAGCAGGCGTACCAGGGCAAGCTCGCGCGAATCAATGAGGTGTACACGCGCTTCATGCAGCAGGCGCAGCACAAGTGGAACAGCACGATGCAGCACATCTCCGGGCAGTTCTCGCAGTGCCACGCGCTGCTCAAGGCGCAGTACCAGCGCTACCAGGCCGCGCAGAGCCAGGCCGCGCAGCAGCAGGCGCAGGCGGGCGGCGGCGGCGGTGCGGCGGCTGCGCCCGCGCTGGGCGAGGCGGAGGGCGGCGCGGCGGCGTCCGGGACGCCCGCGGGCGGCGGCGGCGGCGCTGGCGGGGAGCGCATTACGCTGGACCACCTGCAGCAGCAGCAGGCGCAGCTGACGATGATGCAGCATCTGCAGCAGAAGGCGCTGCTGGCGATGCAGCTGCAGGGGCAGTCCGGGGCGGGCGGCGCGGCGTGGCAGCACGCAGCTACGTCCATGGCGCAGTTTGCGTCCCTGCCGGAGCAGCAGCAGCAGCTCCTGCGGCAAATGCAGCAACAGCAGCAACAACAACAGCAGCAGCAGCAGCAGCAGCAGCAGCAGCAGCAGCAGCAGCAGCAGCAGCAGGTGGCGTCCGCACAGGTCGCGAAGCCCCCTGCGGCTGCAGCTGCCGCGAGCAAGCCCGCAGCGCCGCCCGCGGCCCCGCAGCAGGCGGCAACGAAGCCAGCCGCACCGGCAGCCCAGGAGGCGGCGAACGCGGCGCCCGAGCCCAGCAAGCCAGCCGCACCGGCGCCGAAGCCGAGCCCCGCGCCGCCGTCCCCTGCGCCCGCGGAGGCGCCGCGGGCCCCGGCGGCGGCACCCAAGCCGGCACCTGCAAAAGAGACGGCGGCGCAGAAGCCCAGCGAGGCTCCGCCTGCGAAGAAGGCGAAGGCGGAGGCCGCGGAGAAGCCCAAGGCTGCGGCCGCGCAACCTGCCCCGCAGCCCAAAGCCGCTGCGGCGGCACCGGCCGCGGTCAAGACTCCGACGAAGGCTCCGCCAGCGCCCAAGGCTGCGGCGCAGCCTGCGCCGAAGGAGAAGGAGGCCGCTTCTGCGCCCGCGTCCGCGTCCGCGCCCGCGCCCGCGCCCGCGCCCGCTCCGGTGCCCGCACCTGCCGCGGCGAAGCCAGGGGGGGGTGTGCCAAAGTCTCCGGCGAAGCAGCCAGCACCGGCCGCCAAGTCGCCGACGAAGCAGGCGGCTCCGGCCGCGCCCGTGCAGGCCCCGCCGGCGAAGAAGGACGCGCCCGCGAAGCCGAAGCCTGCCGCGGACGCGCCCAGGCCCGCTGCGCCCAAGCCTGCCTCCCCGGCCCCGAAACCAAAGGCGGAGAAGCCCGTGGCCCCGGCTGAGAAGCGCGAGCCTCCCGCAGAGGCGCGCGACGCGCCGCCGCCGACTGCGAGGTCCCCCGTGAAGGCAAAGCAGCCAGAGCCCAAGCCGCCGCCGGCACCGGCAGCGCAGCCGAACACCGCGGCCCCAGCTACGGCGGCCGCGAAACCGGCGCCGCCGCCTGCCCCGAAGCCTGCGCCGGCGCCCACGCCGCCCGCGACCACGCCCGCGGCGGAGCCGAAGCCGTCGGCTCCGGCCCCCGCGACGACGTCGCAACAACCTGCGCCGCCCGCGCCGAAGCCGGCGACGAAGGCGCCCGCGCAGCCGCCGCGGATGGTCGCCGGCACAGCCGCGGCGGCTCCGGCGCCGCAGCCGGCGCAGCCCGCCCCGCCGGCCCCCGCGCCAGCACCGCCGACGACGCAAGCAGCGAAGCCGCCTGCGGTCGCACCGGCGCGTCCGGCGCCCGTGGCGGTCCCCGCGCCAGTCGTGCAGACCGCAGCCGCTGCGCCACAGGAGAAGGCGCCGGAGAAGGCCGCCCCGGTGAAGAGTCCCACGCTGAAGATCAAGCTCGGCGCAGCGCAGCTCGCGGCGGCGCGCGCGCCCGCCCCGGCGAACGCGCCGGCCCCCGCACAGGCCGCGGCGGCGCCACCGCAGGCTGAGGCGAAGCCGGCGGGTGCTCCGGAGAAGGAGGCGGACGCGCGGAAGCCGTGAGCGCACACCCGAGACGGTCAAATGGGCCGCGCGTCGGAGGCCAGGTCGCCTTGCGCGTGTCGGTGCTCTTCGGGCGCGCGCCGGGAGACGTGCGGGCTGCGGCTCCAGCGGGCCGGCGGTCCGCAGTTCGCTTGTTTTGCACATATACGACACTTATGGCTTTATGGCACAGTATGACGAGACACGACGTTTCTGGCACACCTTCTCTCGCATATGTACCTGCCGCCCGACGCTCCGTCCACCAGCGGCCCCGCTCCGTCGGGCCGCCTGCAGCGCGCGTGCCAGCGCCAGACATTGGACCGCCCGTCCTCGCGGTGCCGCACCGGCTCTGCCGCGCACGCGCGAGGACCCTCAACATCGCTGGCGTCTCTGTCAATTCTAGGTCCAGCATTTCGGCTCCGCGGCACAATCCCACACAGCACCGCCCCGCCCCACACAGCACCCCCCCCTCACTGACACGACCGCTTCCAGCGGCCTCTCAACGCCTCCACTCTCGGCATCGAGCGAGCGCTTCGCAGCGGCAGTCTCTGAGCGGACTGCGCTGCATCGCCGGTCGGTTTTGAAACCCACCTGCGCGCAGCTGAGCGCGCCGCCGTCACACCCCCCTGCATATGAGGAACCACCCGCGCGCCCGCACGGCGCCACAGCACCCGCTCTGTTCCACACAGGCACGCTTGTGACACCCACTTAGCGGCGCCCGCGCGCGGGCAGCACTCGTGGTCGGGTGGTTTTCGTTTCGTGCGCGGGTGGTCAATTACTACTCTGTCTGGTCCTGCGGCGGGCGGCTGCGCGGCGGCCGTGGGGTGGCTGCGGACCGGTGTGACCATAAGTTGGCTTGTCCTGTGGGGCTGCTTCCGTGGTTGCGTGACTTCGAGATTTCCCGCCTTGAGCGCTCTGAAATGTTCCGTTCATGCGAAAAATGACGGCGAGGCTCGCGGGGATCCCTGCAAAACGTCGCGGGAGCGACGCTCTCCAGGTGGCAGACAGGAGGTGCGTTGTACGTCCACGCAGCCGCCCAGGAGGTCCCGTCGCCATCGGGGACGCGCGCGGAGGCGCAGCGCAGTAGCACGCCGTCGCAGCGGCTCCAGCGTCCACGTTCGAGCGGCACCTCGCGTCCGCAGCGCAGCTCGCTGCAGCTTCACAGCACCTCGCTTGCTTGCGGCGCGCCTTCCGGCTCCTGGCGCGCTAGTTTCGCGGAAGGAGCGGGTCCGCTGGCTTGAGAGTGTCGACCCCGACAGGGCCAACGGGTTTCTTGCGCACGGAAACGTGCCAGGGCCGCGCTGGGAGGGCTTGGCGAGTGTGTTGTTGAGCAGTCATGGGCTCTCACGAGCGGGAGCTGCAGGCGCAGCTGGAGGTGAGCAGTGCGCGCGCGGCGCCACGCACCTCACGGCGGTACCTCGCGAGCGAGCGCGCTGTCCCGCCAGCAGCGCCCCGCACGCGACAGGGCCCCCTGAAAACAAGCAGCGTCCGAGCGGGGTCGTGCCTATGTGCGCGTTTCCGCGCGAGCGGCCGGCCCCGCTGCGCTCGGCCTGCTTCAGCGCACCGTTGACATGCGTTCGAGACCAGCGCGGAGCCTCTGGGCCGCTGCGCGGCCCCGTGAGAGCGGCACGGTGCAGAGCATGTGTGCCAGAGCTTCTTCGAACCGTGTGGCGGTTTCGTGGGCCGGTTGGCGCGCAGGAGAGTCGGCGGCTGCTCTTCAAGTCGAAGACAGCGATCGAGCAGCTCCAGAGCGAGCTGGACTCCACGCGCCGCGCGGAGGAGGACCTGCAAGCCATCGTGGTGCAGCACCAGCAGGCGGCCGTCGCGTACGACCAGCGCATCCGCGAGCTGGAGGATGAGGTGAGCTTCGCGAGACAGAACAACACGGCCACGACCGCGGAGGTCGCGGACCGCGACCAGGCCCTGCGGCGCAAGGCAGTGGAGATGGACACTGTGAGCAATCAGCTGGCGTCCCTCAAGGGGCAGCACAACGCGCTCCAGAGCGAGAAGGCCGACCTCGAGGACCGCGTCGCCACGCTCGAGGTACGCCGCCGCAACACCCCCCCCCTGCGCGCCGCCACGCCCCCCCCTGGCCGCGTCAACCACCACGGCTCGCACCCGCGCCGCAGATCGACCTCGACACCAAGTCCAAGCACCTCGCGAAGAGCCAGGACGACCTGCGCCTCGCGAAGGAGGAGGAGGCGCAGCTGGACCGGCTGCTGCAGGAGCGCTCTCTCGCGTTGCAGGACGTCACCGGCCGACTCTCCGCGGCAGAGAAACGCATCTCAGGTACGCCGCGATACGCGCGCACCTCGCGCGGCCACGCCGCGCGGGCCTGGCGTCAGCACACCGACACGCATCTACATACAAAGGTTTCCGTCTTTATTTCATATATAAATCAATATAAACGGTGCCCCGGCTTCTGCGTGGCCGCAGAGCTGTCCGCGGACTGCGCGCACCTGCGCACGGAGCTCGACGAGACGCACAAGGCGCGCGCGGCCGAGCAGGAGGCGCACGCGCGAGAGCTAGCGGCGCTGAACGACCGGCACGCAGCGCGGCTCGCCGACGTGGCCGCGCAGCACGGCCGCGAGCTCGACGCCGAGCGCGCGAAGTTCAAGGCGCTGCGCGAGGAGGGCCGCCGCGCCATCAAGGACCTGCAGGAGGCGCACGAGAAGGTCCTGGGGGACGCGCGCGCAGCCCACGAGCGCGCCGCCGCGAAGCTGGAGCGCCAGATCGAGGCCGGGAGGGCCGAGCTGGCCGAGGCGAAGAAGGAGGCCGAGGCCGCGCTGGCTGCGCGGCTGGCGGAGGAGCGGGAGCGGTCTGCGGAGCGGCTGCAAGCGCTGGAGGCGCAAGTGGCGGAGCGGCGCGCGGAGCTCGCGGACGCGAAGGCGGCGCACGCGGCGGCGGCGAAGGCGCAGCGCGAGGAGGCGGCGGAGCGGCTGCGCGAGGTGGAGGCGCGGTGGCAGGAGCGGCTCGACGCGGCGCACGCCGACGCGGCGGCGACGCAGGCCGCGGCCAAGGAGGGCGCGGCGAAGGTCGAGGAGGGCTTCGCGGCGCGGATCGCGCACCTCGAGCGCTCGCACATCATGAAGATCGAGTCGCTCGAGAAGTCGATCGAGGAGATGGCGCGCGCGCACGAGGCGGAGGTTGCGCGGCTGCGCGAGCTCGCGGACCGGCGCGCGGCCGACGAGCGCGAGGCGGCGGCGGAGCGCGCGGCGGGGCTGCAGCACGAGCGCGACGAGCTGGAGGCGGCGCTGGCGGACGCGAAGGACGATGGGCTGTCGCGGCTGCGCGCGGCGGAGGAGATGTTTGGCGCGAAGATCGAGGAGCTGCAGGGGGCGTTCGACAGCACGCAGGCGCAGCTGGAGGAGTCGTGCGTGCGGCGCGTGCAGGAGCAGGAGGCGCAGCACCGGGCCATCGTGCAGGACCTCAACCGGGTGCGTGAAGAAGGCGGGGGACGTTGCGTTGAGCGCGCGGGGGGGTGTCGCGCGTACCTCCGTCTGCGTACCTCGCTCGCAGACCGCGGAATCGCCGGTGGTCTTCTTATTTCGGAGTCTCATGCGGGTTGTTTGTCTGCATGCTATCTGCAACACACAATCACACACACATCATGTCCGCGCGTGCGTTCCCGCTCCCCCTGCGCGCAGAAGCACGACGAGCGGCTCCACGACGTCGAGCGGCGCCACCGCAAGGAGATCAAGGAGGTCTGCAGGGAGGCCGAGGCCAAGTTCGCGTCTGTCGGGCAGTACGTCGACGCCCTGTCGAAGCGGCTCGCGAAGCGGGAGAAGCGGCGGGCGCAGGTCGGCGCGGAGGTGGGTGCGCTGCGGGGCGAGCTGGAGCGCGAGCACGCGCGGCGGACGCAGGTGGAGAAGGCGCTGCGCGAGGCGGCGAGTGCGTTCAAGCAGGAGATGTGGGACAAGAGCCACGAGCTGAGTCAGGTGCAGGTGGAGCTGCGGCAGCTGCGGGAGTGGCAGGCGAAGAGCCTCGAGTCGTTCGTGCACAACATCTACCAGGTAACGCGCCGCCTCGCACACTCACACAACAAATATGAAATCTTGTTCTTTGATGTATCATTATTTATCGTTTCTTCATTCACCCTCACATTCGTTGCGGTGATCGAGGGCGTGCCGTGCTGTGCGTTTGAGGGCTCTGGTGCGCGCTGCGCCGTGCGTGCAGATATCGCGCGAGCACACGCTGACGCGGATGGCCATCGAGGGGCCCGCGGCGGCAATGACGGCGCCCCCCGAGGCGCGCAGCCCCGTCGCGCAGCCGCTGCACGCGATGCGGCCGCCGTCGTCGGTGCGCGCGGGGGGCGCGCACGGGTTCGGGGACTCCATCTCGTACGCGCGGGGGATCAGCAAGGGTCTCGACGAGAGCGGTAGCATGCCCGGACACGTGTGACGCCGGACGCGTGTCGGCTGGACGCAAGGGAGTGGACGAATGAGTGCGCGGGCGGGCAGCGAGGTCGCGTTGTTGCTGCGTCGCGGTGCCTGGGAGCTGGTCGCACAGTGCGCGTCGAGGGGCGCAAGGGTTGGGGTTCCGCGGTGCGGTGCGCTCGCGGCGGTTGAGGCACGCGGGGGCGTTCCTGGCTGTGGGGTGGTGCGGGAGGTGTCGCTGGGGGATTGCGCGGGAGGTGGCTGGGCGGGGGGGGGTCCGGAAAGGAAGGGGGGGGGTTTCCGCGAACGAGGGGCGGCATGTGCGCGGGCCGCGCGGCGCAGGCGGCAGTCGCGAAGTCGCGGGTGCGCCGCGTCGTGGAAGCGCCCGGCGGCGGCGAAAGAGCCTCGGGTCGGCCCCGCACCGCCAAGATGGCTCTACAGCAACAACACGCTGAGATGACCAACATGGAGCTCGCGGACGTGCGTCACTCCCCGACACCACTCTTCATGTACATACCAGTCTGCTGACTTGCTTGTGGCGCAGTTCGAGTCCGTAGGCGACGGCTGTTGCGCGTGCAAGTTGTTTGCGTAGTTCCCGGCGCGTTTTTCGCGCTTTTGGTCGTTTTTGGGTGGCACGGGCTCGCGTGCGACTTCCTCGGCCCACCATGAGGTCGCGTGCGTCGGCGGATCCTCGCTTCGTGGGGCCACGCGGCGCGAAATGCCATCCCTGGGATGTCCCGCCTTTCCGCACGTAAAGGCTGCGCCGCTGTCGGCCACCGTGCGCCTGGACGCCCTGGCTGCCGCTGGCGCTGGCCGCCAGCACAGCCACCCTTTCTGCGGACATTTGCGGCATGCGTTCGCTCCGCGGTGTGGCGCGCCGCGCGCCTCGGGCGCTTCACACGATACAACGGCGGTTCGTGCTCCCCGCAGCCGCTATACTCGGAGGATCCGTACTCCATGGGTCTCGACGTCGAGGAGAGTATCGTCAGGGGCATCGAGAACATCGGCATCGAGGAGAACGGCGCCGAGGACGAGGCGGACCTGGAGCCGCCACTGCCAGGTGCGCCCTGCTGCCGGCCGCGTCGTTGAACGCGAGCACTCGCGCCGCCCAGAGACCCTCGTTTCCTCCCATCGCTCCTCACGCCGCCTCCACGGCCGTTTCACGCACAACACGCGCGGCCAGGGAGCCCGCACAGCGCTGCGTGCAGACCCGCGCATTGCGCGCCCGGCCTGCCGCTTCCCCGCACCGCCCACGTCGCTACCCCCTTGGACCACGATCCACTAGCAAGTTCCGCCCTCGCACGCGGGCCCCGTCGCCTCCCCCGCGCGGCAGCGCCATCAGAGCTCTCACCGCCCGCAAGCAACAAGCCCGCCCCGCCCCGCCGGCGCGCAGAGCACGCGTGCGCGTACTGCGGCGTCCACGACGCCTCGTGCGTCGCGCAGTGCGTCAAGACCGGCAAGTGGTTCTGCAACGGCCGAATCAGCACCGCCGCTTCGTGCCTCGTGTACCACCTCGTGCGCAGCAAGCACAAGGAAGTGCGCCTGCACCGCGACTCCCCCCTGGGGCCCGTGATCCTCGAGTGCTACGTCACGGGGTCGCGCAACGTCTTCAACCTCGGCTTCGTGCCGCTACGGAGCGAAAACACTGTCGTCGTGCTCTCGCGGACGTGCCCGCCGGGGTCGCCCGAGCTCCGGGACCTCGACCTGGACCTCCAAAGCTGGCAGGTGGGCCGGCCGAGCACGCGCGCGCGCAGACAGCCCCTCCGACGCCCCCTAGCACCGCCTACCAGCAACCAAGCCTTTGACATTATTTGTCTCTTGATGTCTCCCGACCGCGCGTGTGCCGGGGCCGCGTGGTGTGCAGCCGCTGATCGAGGACCGGCAGTTCGTGCCGTGGCTCGTGAAGATCCCGTCCCAGGAGGCGGTGATGCGCGCGCGGCACCTGTCGACGGCGCAGCTGCGCGGGCTCGAGGCGGCCTGGAGCAAGAACCCGAGCGCGCGGCTGGAGGACATCGAGCGCGGCGAGGTCGGCACCGGCGAAACGGAGCCCGAGCGGGTGCGTGGCACCCAATTCCTAACGCCACGGCCGAACAACCCCCAAAAGAAGCCCGCGCACGTGTTGCGTGCTGTCCTCCCGTCATCGGCGCGCTGAATGACGTGGACCTGCGCCTCGCAGGTGCTCCTGCGGTATGAGGACGCGTACCACTACCAGAACCTCTGGGCGCCGCTGGTGAAGCTCGAGGGCGACCACGACCGCGAGATAGTGGAGTCGCAGCGCCGCGAGGGCGTGGAGGTCTCCTGGGAAGCCATGGGCAAGAAGATGATCGCCTGCTTCCACTTCCCGGTCGACGACAGCGACATGAAGCTCGGCGTCGGCGACGAGCTGCGCCTCAAGCACGGCGCCTATCCCAACTGGGACGGGATCGGGCGCGTCATCATGCTCGACCACTTCGGCAACGTCGAGCTCCTGATCGCCAACGGCTCCGCCTGCCCCTCGGAGGCGTCCGTCAACTTCACCGTCGAGCGCGTGTGGAACGGCACCTCTTTCACCCGCATGCTGAAAGCACTCTCAAAGTTCGCCGCGGACCAGTCGTCGGTGTCCGGGTACCTCTACATGAAGCTCCTCGGCCACGACGTGCCCGACCCGGTGCTGCCCTTCCCCGTCCCGGACCGCGTCGAGGCGCCGGGGCTGCCGACGCTCAACCCATCGCAGCAGACGGCCGTGCGCTCCGTGATGACCGCGCCGCTCGCGCTCATCCAGGGCCCGCCGGGCACCGGCAAGACGGTCACGTCCGCGACGCTCGTGTACTTCCTGTGCAAGCTCGCGGGCGAGCAGGTCCTCGTGACTGCGCCGTCGAACGTGGCGGTCGACCACCTCGCGGAGCGCATCAGCCAGACGGGGCTCCGCGTCGTGCGCATGTGCGCGCGGTCCCGCGAAGACGGCACCGCGGAGGTGAACCCGGCCGTGCGGCACCTCACGCTGCACGTGCAAGCCCGCAACATGGACCTCCCGGAATCGAAACAGCTGAAGAAGCTCATCCAGACGCGCGAGGCGAACGGGTTCCTCTCCGAGAAGGACGCGAAGGCGCTCTTCAAGGCCCGCAGCCACATGGAGCGCGTCGTCCTCAGCAGCGCGGAGGTCGTCTGCTGCACGTGCGCCGGCGCCGGCGACCCCCGTCTGGGCAAGATGACCTTCCGACGGGTCATCGTGGACGAGGCCACGCAGGCCAGCGAGCCCGAGAGCCTCCTGCCGGTCGTCATGGGCGCGCGGCAGCTCGTCCTGGTCGGGGACCACTGCCAGCTGGGTCCGGTGTGCCTGAACAAGGCGGCGGCGAGGGCGGGTTTGAACGTCAGCCTGTACGAGCGGCTGCTCTTCATGGGCGTGTACCCGCACCGCCTGACCGTGCAGTACCGCATGCACCCCGCGTTGTCCGCGTTCTCGTCGGACGCGTTCTACGAGGGCGCGCTGCAGAACGGAGTGTCGGAGGGAGCGCGTACGCGGCTCGACGTGGACTTCCCGTGGCCCGGCCCGCGTCTCCCGGTCATGTTCATCGTCAACTTGTCGCCCGAGGAGATGGCGGGGTCGGGGACGTCGTTCATCAACCGGGCGGAGGCGTCGGTGGTGGAGCGCGCGGTGACGCGGCTGCTGGGCAGCGGCGTGCGGCCCGAGGAGATCGGCGTGATCACGCCGTACGAGGGGCAGCGCGCGCACGTCGAGCTCGTCATGGAGCGCGCCGGGGGCGTCCGAAAGGACCTGTACGCCCGCGTCGAGGTGCGCGATCGCCGTCGACGTCTTCGCGCATGTCCTGTTTCGCGGGACGCTGGGTGCGCTGCCGCTCGTGTTCACGAGCTGCGCTGTTCGTGACTCCTTTTGCGGCGATTCCGCAAATCCTTCTGTCACACAAAAGGCCCCCACTTTTGTTTCTTCAAAACACCCCCTCTCTTTTATTTCTCATATTTCCGCAGGTGGCGTCGGTCGACGCGTTCCAGGGCCGCGAGAAGGACTACATCATCCTGTCGTGCGTGCGCTCGAACGAGCACCAGGGCATCGGCTTCCTCCGCGAGCCCCGCCGCCTCAACGTCGCGCTCACGCGCGCCCGGTGCGGCCTCGTCGTCATCGGCAACCCTAAGGTTCTGGCCAAGAACGTCATGTGGAGCAGCTTCCTGACGCACCTGCGCGACCAGGGCTGCGTCGTGGACGGCCCGCTCGCGCAGGGCCCGCTCCGGGAGAGCATGGTCCCGTTCCCGCGCCAGCGCGTGCCGTACAAGTACGTCCCCGACAACCACGGCGTGTTTGGGGACCTGGAGGAGGCGTTCGGGGGGCCGTTCGGCGGGTACGACGCCGGGCGGGCTGCCAAGGAGGCGGACGAGCCTCTGCACGCCGCGACGCCGTTCGACCCGTACGGAATTCCTGCGGGCGGCAGCATCGGGTGATGGATCGATGCGCGGCGAGGAGTGAGCGGCGCGCGCGGCGTGCGCGGGGCTGGCGAGGCCGGGGTGCGCCTGGGCCGTGAGCCGGGAGCGGTGTGGCGTCCTGGTCGTGCTCGGCGACCGGCAGAGCGCTCTCGGCGTTTGTTGCGCCCGGAGGGCTGCGCGGCGCGTGCGCTGTGGCTGGAGGCGTGCTGACGTCAGGCGGCTCTGCGAGGAACGGAGCCCGCGCCCAGATGTGGGGCCTTGGCTGGGCCGCGCGTTTCCGGGCGAGGTAGCGCTGGGTGCTGGCGCATGCAGGAGAGACAGGACGTCGGTTCTCGCGAGAGAGAGGCTGCGGTGCGGGGAAGGTCGCGTGCATGTCTGTTGCCTGTGTGGGTGTCCGGGGAGCCTGCCCGCGGCGCTGCAGACACGCCGTCGGCGCTGCGGTGAGACAATTCACTTGGGTGCAGGGCCAGTGTCCCAGCAGGCGCGCCACACGCGGCCTGGCCCGCTGCGTGCGCGCGTGTGAGCGCAAGGCAGCCATCAGCACATTCCGCACGCAAACGCACAGCATGCGCGCCGCAAAAAGAAATAAAACAACACAACAATCATCAAACCGCAATCTCTGCGAACACGCACGTGACCAGCACCCGTCACACGGCCAGGCCGTCGCGCCGCTCACAGCGCGACCCCGCCCCGCCGCGTCACCGCGCCAGCTCCATCGCCTTCGGGCTCGGCAACAGCGCCTCTACATCCTCCCCGCTGAGCTCCTCCTGCTCCATCAGCACCTCCACGCCGCGCTCCAGCGCGTCCTTGTACTGCGTGAGGATCTCGCGGCAGTCTGCCTCGGCCTCGCGCACGATCTCCGCCGCGTGCGCGCGCACCGTGTGCAGGGTCCTGTCGCTCGGAGACCACAGCCCACCCTCGACGCCCCGCCCGAAGAGATCCTCGTCGATGTTGTCCACCGCGACCTCGAACGACCGCTCCATGAACGCGCGCCCGCGGCTCACGGGCGCCCACGTCGTCACCCCGGTCTCAGTCGTCATTCCATAGTTCGCAACAACCTTCATGGCCATCTGGTACGCGTTCTGCACGTTGCTGTGCGCGTACGTCGTCTGCTTGCCCGTCAACACCTCCTGCGCGACGCGCCCCGCCAGCAGCGTCCGGATGCGCTCCAGCAGCTTGGCGCGCGTGGTGAGCACGTAGTCGTCGTCCGCGCCGCGCGCGAACTCCACGCGCGACACCCCCCGCCCGCGCGGCGCGATCGACACGCGCTCCACCGCCTCGAGCCGCCCCGTGCGCCGCCGCAGCACCGTGCACACCAGCGCCGTGCCCAGCTCCTGCGCGGCAATGTTTTTGATGATGGAAATCTTCGGCAGGTCCGGCCGCCGCACGCCGAAGAGGATGCGGTCCACCGCCGCGTCGATGTCCGCCTGCACGATCTCGTCCTTCATCGCCGCGACCTCCGCGTCGGCCTCGCGGCGCGACATCTCCCCGCGCTCCGCCTTGGAGCGCAGGTTCATTTCCGCCTTAATGCGCCGCCGGACCGCCTGCAGCGCGGCCTCGTTCAGCACGTTCGCAAGCTCCGCGCCGGACAGCCCCGGGAGGTCGTTCGCGAGCTGCTTCAGGTCGACCTCGGGCGACACCGGCCGCCCCTTGGCGTGTACGCGCAGAATCGCCTCGCGCGCCTCCCCGTTCGGCTTCTGCACGCGAACCTTCCGGTCGAAGCGCCCCGCGCGCATCAGTGCGCCGTCCAGCAGGTCCGCGCGGTTCGTCGCAGCGATGAACACCACCCCTGACGTCGGGTCGAACCCGTCCATCTCCGTTAGCAGTTGATTGAGGGTCTGTTCGCGCTCCTCGTTGGTCTTCATCCCGACCTCCGCGCGCCGGATGCCCACCGCGTCGATCTCGTCCACGAAGATGATGCACGCGCCGGAGCGCCCCTCCAGTTCCGCCTTGCGCACCTGCGCCTTTGCTTTCTTGAAAAGGTCGCGCACGCGCGCCGCGCCGACGCCCACGATGGCCTCCGTGAACTCCGAGCCGCTCATCTGGTAGAACGGCACGCCGGCCTCGCCCGCGATCGCCTTGGCGATCAGCGTCTTTCCCGTACCGGGCGGCCCCTCCAGCAGCACGCCGCGCGCGGGCTTCGCGCCGATGCCGCGGTAGCGCTTCGGGTCTTTGAGGTACGACACGACCTCGGAGAACTCCGCCTTCACGTCGTCCATCCCGGCGACGTCGTCGAGCGTGACGCTGGTGTTGCCGTCCTTGCGTGCCTTGGCCTTGGACTGCGCAAAGTCCTGGGCCTGCTGGACGTCGCTCGGCATGGCCTTGCGCGGCTTGAAGAGGCCGATGCCGACGCAGATGAAGACGAAGCCGAACGACAGGAACAGGGCCAGGAACGCAGGCCCGCGCCAGTAGAGCCAGTGAAGCGAGAACTGATTCGGGGTCTGATTGAACGACACGCGGAGCTTCTGGTCGCCCGGACACACGTACGCCACCTTGGACGTGTCCACGGAGCCCTGCAGGACCGTGGTGGGCCGGGGCGTCGTGTGCGGCACTCTCGCGTGGGCGGGGGGGTTAAGCGGCCGCGAGCGGCCCGCAGGGCAGCTGGCGCAAGCGTGCTTGCCGCGGGGCGCCCGGCGCGTGAGCCCGCGCGGCCAGAGAACGTTGGCGGCGGACGAGGGCGCCACTTTCTCCCGATATGGTTGTTCCGGGACACATGGAATTAGGAATTGATATGTGTGGGGCGCACCTTGGTGTAGAACTCCTTGCGCGCCTTCTTCGGCAGCTTCTGCTCGTACGCGCAGAAGATCTCCTCGAGCACCTGCCGGTGGCCGTACGTGGCGGGCGTAGCGGGCTTTCCAGAGGTCATCTGGGGCCGCCACACGCCGCCCTCGCCGCCCCCGGCCATGTACTCGTCCAGGAAGTTGTTCTGGCCGGGGCTCGGGAGGTTGCACCACCGCTGGTTGCCCTCGTGGTCCGTCACCACCACCCGGAAGCCAGAGAAGGCGGGGCGCAGGAAACGCCCCGCGCACTCGAAGAATTCCAACTCCCACGGCTGCGCGTCGGGCTTATAGTACTTGGACGTCCAGTTGCGCTCCTTGAGGCCTGCGAGGCGCGGCGAGCGGGGCACGAGGGCGTGAAACTCGCTGCCGCTGGCCCGGGACGCCGCGACGCCGCGCGCCGTTGTGCGACGGCGAGGTGCGTTCCGGCGCGGCGAGAGGCGAGGTGGCGTTCGGAGCTGCTGCGCGCGCACCCTTCATGAGCTCTGTGATGGACATCTGCGGTATGCGCGACCACTTGGGCTCTGGCCGGTAGCGGGTGCCTCCCAGGATCTCTGGCGCGATGAAACGGTACCGCCGCGTCGTGGTCTCCCCCGAGAAGATGTCCTTCGCGGTCGTGATCTCCTCTTGCACGAGATCCTTCGCGGACGGGCCCTGCGGAGTCCGTGCGGGGCGCGACCGGTGCCGTGAGCAGCAGTCGCGCCGCGCGTGCGCCCGCGCGGCCGCACGCGCGATCTCGCGGGCGCAGGAGCGAGCTTGGGCCGCCGGCTGGCACGCAGGCAGGACGCACGGCCGCGCGAACGGCCGCCGGGGCGAGAGATCCCTCGAGAGTGAGGGTCATCCGTTGGCCTGAACGCGCCGGTGCGGGACGTGCGGGCAGGGAGGTCGCGGGGCGCGCACGTTGTGCTTAATACGCTTGAGATCCTTCTTCGTGAAGCGCTCGTTCGGTTGCGGCGGGCCCTCTGGCCGGCGCCCGATGAGTGCTCGAGCTGCACAGCAACGAGACGCGCGCACCCGTCGCGGCATGCGGCGCACGGCCGACAATCGCGCGCCAGCGCGCGGGGGAGCTACTGTGGTGTCGCCGGAGCGGCGTTGCGGAGAGCATGAAACGGTGCAGCGAGCGGGAAGCCCTGCGAGAGCTCAGGTGGCCGCCGGCTCCTCTGACGTCCCAACCGCGCCCCCGTGGCGCGTGGGCAGTTCCGCGACAGGACCGCCACGCACGGAAACCGCTCTGTGCATTGCGTTGCGGCGGGAAACGGCGCGCGCAAGCTCCGCTGTGCGACGCACGACTGCCGTGAGGTGCGCGGTGGCAGGTTCGCACCTGTAGCGGCCCCCTCGCGCAGCGGCAAGGGCGCTCGGATCCCCCGGAGCCCCTGCCCTAGTCCGGCCCGCCGGGTCACGCCCCCCGGGGCCACCTTCATTTTGCCCGCACCCTAATAAGCAATTGATGTTGCGGCGCGACTACTTCCTCCGCGCTCCCGGCCTGGTCCGCCCAGTTCGGCGGCGCGGGACGGCGCGCTGCTCTAGTGTGCGATCTCAGCGGCGCGGCGCGCGGCTTCAGGTGCGCGCCATCGCCCGTTGTGACCGTCGCGCGACGGGTGGGCCTGTGTCGTAGGCAGGGAGGCCACGAGGCGGCGGAAAGAGGCGGACGGCGCGTTCTCGGCCCGCGCGGCTCGTTACCAGTGGTAGCGCAGGCGCGCCGGCGCGGGCCATCGCGGCTCGCGCGGGCGCCGCAGCCCGTGCGTTTGTCGCCAGTTCATACTAGGCATCAGGGGCCGATCGGCACGACACCGCGCTCGGAACGGCTCGCGGGGCGCTCATTTGCGCGTGACCGGGCTGCGTTTGGACAGTCAACGGCGTGACACGGCCGCATTCGTCCCCTCGAGACCCCTGGCACGGGCAGACGAAGACGATGGCGCTCCGAGTTCCGATGGCGGGCCGCACGGCGCCCGCGACGGCGCGTCAGGCCGTTGCTCAGCGCGGCAAGATCGTCGCTCGCGCTGCCCCGAAGCGCGGCGCCGACCAGGCCGAGAAGGCCGTCGCCGCGGCCGCGCTCCTGGGACTGGCCCCTGCTGGTCCTGCCCACGCCGACGCCATCGACGACACCGTCTCCGCGCTCACGACCGCCATCAAGGCGGCCGGGCAGTACGCCAAGGAGGCTGCCGGGTACGCCTCCGAGGCCGGCAAGGCCGCGAAGAAGGTCCGCAGCCCGCTTGAAGCACCGCACCCTAGTCGCTGTCTGCGCGGCGCGCCGCGGGCCGTGCGGTTGCGGAGCGGCCCGCAGACGCTCTGCCCTGGACTCAGGCGTGCGGAAAACGCGCCGCGCGCGCCGCTCGGCGCGCTGGGACGGCCGCCGGGAGGCGCCTGGGGGGCAGCGGTCATCCAATCCCGAGCCAGCGGCCGCGAACGCCCCGCGCGCGCACGGCCCGCAAATTGCCGCGGGCGTGCGCGCGCGCCAGCTACCAGCCCCGCGGGTCCGCGGAAATCCCGCGCGCGGGAATGCACCGTCGCGCCGCGCCGCGCAGCCTTCGTGCGAGCAGCGGAACCTCACACTGGGCTTGTGCGCGGCGGTGCGTTGCAGGCGTCGGAGCTGGCCGCGCCGTACGTCCAGAAGGCCGCTGAGACCGCGAGCCCGTACGTGAGCCAGGCCACGAAGCGCGGCACCGAGGTGGTGTCGACCGCGACCAAGGTGGCTTCCCAGGAGGTGACGTCTGCGGTGCGCAACACCGAGGTTGCGCTCTCGAAGGCCGCGGGCGTCGACGTCAAGGAGGTCGACAACGTCGTCAAGACCACCGAGGGCTTCTTCGTCACCGCCGGCAAGTCGGCGCTGGTACGGCCCTCATCAAACAAAACGAAACACGAAACAAACAATGGAAAACCAGTCTTTGTATCATATTTCACGACTCACTCACCCGCCCCCGCCGCCCAGCGCACCGCCGGTCCTCCCCGCGCCGCTCCGCAGGGCCTCGTCGAGTTCCTGATGAAGCAGGAGCCGCTGATCGCCGCCGAGTACCTGGCCGGGGGGGTCCTGCTGCTCTACCTGACGCCGGCGGTCGTCAAGGGCGTCGCCGGCGCGCTCCGCGGCTACAGCGGCGACCTCACGCCCGCGGTCGCGCTCGACACGTACGCCCACCCCCCGAATTCCGACACCCCCTCCAGCCCCACCTCCCCCCCGCGCCGTTCCTGACAGCCACGGCGTGCGGCGCGTGCAGGCTCGAGAACGACGGCACGGCGCTCCTCGTCGACATCCGCTCCCTCAAGGAGCGCGACACGACGGGCTGTCCCGACATCCCCGCGCGCGCCGCGTCGCGCATGGTCGAGGTGGAGTTCGCCGTGACCGAGGACCGCAAGCTGCGCGGCCTGCTGCGCAACCCGGAGGCGGTCGAGACGGCCATCACGGCGATGCAGGTCGCGGCGCTGAAGAAGGCCCGCAAGAATGGCCCGGTGATCGTGCTCGACCAGAGCGGCTCCACGGCCGTGAACGTCGCGAAGCAGCTCTCGGCGCGCGGGTACGGCAAGGTGTTTGTCGTGCAGGGCGGGTTCAAGGCGTGGGGCGCGTCGAAGCTCGCCGTGAAGGCGCCGAACACCGTGGAGCCGTCGGTGCTGTCGGGGACTGTGTTTGGCGGGTCGACGAAGAAGGTCGTGACCGCGCAGAACGGGACCGCGAAGCGCTCGCTCCCGCAGAACAAGCAGACCGCGCGCGCGCTGCCGGCGGGCCGCCGCGCGTAAGAGGGCGGCTGTTGAACTGCTTGTTGTTTGGCGCGCAACGTGTGAGCCGGTCGCTGCGAGGGCGCTGGAAGAGCGGCGCGGGCGTGCGGCGTCGCGGTGGCGGGTGCTGGCGCGCGGCGGGGCGGGGCGGGGCGGGCCGGGCACGTGGGGACGTGGGGGGGTGTGGTGTGGGGTGTGATAGGGCCGATCGTGCGGGATAGGGAGGGGGCATGTGGGTCCGGCCCCGCGGGATGTGCGCAGTGTGGTTGTAGATAGGTGGAGAGCAGGATCTGAGTTGTGTTGAGCGATCAACAGTCATAGAGCGCTCGTGCAGAGTGCTGCTCACTTGTGCGTTGCGTGGCATCGAGACATCAAGGGTGTACGGGGGGTGGACGCCGCCACGATGAACGCGAGTCTCCGACTCGGGCCCGACGCGGGCGAGTCTGCCGCTGTCCGGCCCGGCACAGCGGCGCGGCGCCGGGTGGACGCGCGCCTCGTGCCCACGGGTCGGCGCGCACCGCGGCTCAGGCCCGCGGCGCGTGTGGGTCGGAACGATGCGGCCCCGCGGCAGCGGAGGGCGGTGATTTCCAACAGGTGAGACGACGGTTCGGCACCTAGTCCAGCGTCCCATGACTGCCAGTGCTGGGCGACCGGCCCCGTCGGCTGTGCGGCGCCCGAGCGACCAGTTTCGATGGCCCTGCGCCGACCCTGTTGTATGAGGAGTGTGGTTAGGGGGTTGTGCGCGGGTGGAGCGCCGCGACAACGCTTCGCCGGGCCGCGGTAGCCCCGTGCCACGGATGCGCGCTTTGGCTCTCCTCGCGGCCTCCGACGGCCACGCAGCTCGTTTTCTTGCGCGAGAGCGTCCCCCCTGACGCCCCCAGCTCCACACGACGGATTGCGTCCGTCCTGTTGCGCCGGCTGCGCTCACGCGGAGGAACCCTGGAGAGTCTCTGTGCAGCGTTGCGGGCGGCAACGAGCGCACGACGTCCGCGGAGACCATGACGGAGAAGTTCCTCAAGGACATGCAGTCCGAGATGGACGAAGATTCCCCGGTCACGTCCGCCGACCTCGAGGTGCGACCACACTCTTGCCCCCCACAGCACCCACTTGCCCGCGCCAGGCTCCGTCCGTGCTCCGAGACCTGTCCCCACGGCGTATTCCGCACCTGTGGCGCTGTAATAGCAAGAGATCCGCCTCGTTTGCGTTTTTCGCAGGACCAGATGGAGTCGCTGCGTTCAGAAGCCCAGACTCTCACCCAGCAGATTGACGGCCTGTTCGCGGACTTCCTCGGCGTCACGCTCCCGGACGACGACGAGGACGCCCCCGGCGAGGTCTTCCAAGGCACGATCCCGCCCCCCCCTCCCGCACAGCCCGCCCCGCGCCAACGACACACAAGTGACGTTTTCACCTCCGCACGCCGCCGCGCCGCGCAGGTTTGACCGAGCCGGCTTTCGTGCAGCTCTCCCGCGAGCGCCCGCGCGTCTCCGCGGCCCTCCTGCGCGCAGCCGAGGCCGAGCGGAAGGCCGACTGGCCGTCGTTCCAACGTCGCACTACGGAACTCAAACAGCGCCGTTCCCGCGTCGAACGCGAGCTGGAGTCCCTCCGCGCCGTCGTCGCGGACGCGAAACGCGCCGCCGCGTCCCGCGCCGCGGCCGAGCTGCGCCGCGCCGAGAGCGACGCCCGAGACGACGCGGCCGGCGGCGCAACAACGACGGGCACGCTGCCGGGCGGGCAGAAGGTCCGCGTGGTGCTGCTGTCCGGGTTCGAGAGCTTCAACGTCGGGCAGTACCGCGACGTCGCGCGGCAGCTCGCGCGGCGCGTGCCGGGCGCGGAGCTGTGCGTGTTCTCAGACCGGGACCTCGACGCGCGGCGCGGCGAGGTGGAGGCCGCGCTGGACGGCGCCGACGTGCTGTTCGCGTCGCTGCTGTTCGACTTCGACCAGGTCGAGTGGCTGCGCGCGCGTGCGGAGAAGATACCGACCCGGCTGGTCTTCGAGTCGGCACTCGAGCTGATGAGCCTGAATCAGGTGGGGTCGTTCAAGATGGGCGGTCAGACGGGGGAGAAGAAGGGCCCGCCGCCCGCGGTGAAGAAGGTGCTGTCGCTCTTCGGGTCGCAGAGGTGCGCGGCTGCCCCACTTGCATCGACGCGGCATGCCGACTGCGACGTCGCGTGAGAGCCGTGTCCGACCGCGCCGCGACAGCGCCCCGGTGCTCCCTGGCCGCAGGGAGGAAGACAAGATGGTCGGCTACCTGTCGTTCCTCAAGGTCGGCCCGAAGCTTCTGAAGTACGTGCCGGGCGACAAGGCAAAGGACTTGCGCGCGTGGCTCACTGCCTACTCGTACTGGAACCAGGGCGGCGCGGAGAACGTGCTGTCGATGCTGCTCTACCTCCTCGCCGACCTCTTCGGCATGCAAGGCGCCGAGCCCGCGCCAGTCCAGGAGACTCCCCCCCTGGGACTCCTCCACCCTGACGCGGGCAAGGGCCGCTACTTCTCGTCCCCGGAGCGCTACCTCGAGTGGTACCGGCGCGAGGGCCCCCTGCGCGGCCAGGACGTCCCCACGGTCGCGGTGCTCCTCTACCGCAAACACGTCATTACGGAGCAGCCCTACATCGACCAGATGATTCGCGCCATGGAGGCGAGCGGCGTCCGGCCGCTGCCGATCTTCATCAACGGCGTCGAGGCGCACACGATCGTGCGGGACATGCTCACGTCCGAGCACGAGCGCAAGGCGGGCGTGCGCAACCCTACGCTGCGGCAGGATGCTGTTGATGTGGACGCCGTCGTCAACACGATTGGGTTCCCGCTCGTGGGCGGGCCCGCGGGCTCGGTGGAGGCCGGGCGGCAGTCGGACGTCGCGAAGGCGATCCTAGAGGCCAAGAACATCCCCTACGTTGTCGCCGCGCCCCTTCTCATCCAGGTGCGCCGACAGACCTTGTTTTTTGTTCCCCGAACTGCTCCACCTGCCAGTCTGGGGACCTGGAACCCAGCTGACGTGCGAACCGGCCCGCCGCGAACGGGCCCCGCGCCCTGTCCGGGTCAAGAAACACGTCCGCACCGCAGCGACCCCTTTCTGTCCCCGCGAGCGTCCAGCGCCGGACGCGCTCACACATCATACGTCTCGGCATGTGGGCCCCTTCGCAGGACATGTCGTCGTGGGTTCGGGACGGAGTCGCTGGGCTGCAGTCCGTCGTGTTATACTCCCTCCCGGAGCTGGACGGCGCGATCGACACGGTCCCGCTCGGCGGCCTCGTCGGCGACGACATCTACCTCGTGCCCGAGCGCGTCATGCGGCTCTCGGAGCGCCTGCGGCGCTGGACGGCGCTGAAGAAGAAGCCCGCAAGCAAGCGCAAGGCCGCGATCGTGCTCTACGGGTTCCCCCCGGGCGTCGGCGCCACGGGGACGGCCGCGCTGCTCAATGTGCCGAAGTCGCTCGAGGCCGTGCTGGAGCGCATGGAGAAGGAGGGGTATGACGTCGGACGCAACCCGGGGGAGTCCTTCGAGGGGGTCGGAGAGCGCCTGGTCAAGGCGCTCGGGGCGCAGCTGGCCGACCAGCGCCGCATCTCGCAAGGTGAGGCCGCGCCGTGCAGAAACATTCAAAATCTTCCTCGCATTGTAGGTTCCGGCCGCGTCGTGCCAAGAGGCGTGTTTTTCTCGACGCTGCGACGCTGCTAGGCAGACCCGAGCCTGGCTTCGCGGCGCGGATCGAGCGTCGCCAAATCACGCACCGCAAGACGGCGCACGCGCCAGTGCCGGCCGACCAGCGCCTCACCGTTCGCGTTCTCTACGTCACTGCGCCGCGCAGGTGCCGAGGCCGTCGACAAGCTCGGTGCCGCCGGCGCCGAGTCGTACGGCTTCCGTCCGGCCACCGCGAGCGTCACCCCGCGCGACCTCAAGGCCATGCTCACGTTCCCGCGTTCTTGGGGCCCCTCCGAGTGGGGGCCTATTCCCTACCTTCCCGACCCCGACATCCTCGTTTCCCGAATGGAAAACCAGTGGGGCTCGCTGGATACCTACCGCGGCATCATGACCTCGGCGCGCGGCGACTGCATCTGCCCGGGCGTCCAGGCGGGCAACGTGTGGATTGGGGTGCAACCTGCGCTTGGGCTTGAAGGCGACCCGATGAGGCTGCTGTTCGAGCGGGACCTCACGCCGCACCCGCAGTACGCGGCGTTCTACAAGTGGCTCCAGGAGGGGTACGACGCGGACGTCGTGCTGCACTTCGGCATGCACGGGACGGTGGAGTGGCTGCCGGGATCGCCGCTGGGCAACACGGGGCTGTCGTGGTCGGACGTGCTGCTCGGGCACATTCCGAACGTCTACATCTACGCGTGCAACAACCCGAGCGAGTCGATCATTGCGAAGCGCCGCGGCTACGGCACGATCGTGTCGCACAACGTGCCGCCGTACGGACGCGCGGGGCTGTACAAGCAGCTCGCTGAGCTCAAGGCGCTCCTGCAGGAGTACCGCGAGGACCCGGAGAACAACGAGGCGCTCCGGGCGCCGATCGCGCAGCAGCTCAACGCCTCGGGCCTCGAGGACGACTGCCCGTACAGGTCAGTCGAACATTATACATTCACCAATCCTGCTTGGTTCGTTGCTGATTCACGGACGATCTTGGATGCGTTTCGCTTGTCTGGTGTCGCGAAGCTCGTCGCGTGTGGTGAGGCAACCGGCGTCCGCCGCGCGCTGTGTCCTCGCAGGCCGTCGGCCGCGTCAGGCCTCGCGTCTGACTTCCGCCTCACGCCTGAGTCAGCCGGCGAGGTCCCCGCGGGGGAGTTCGGCGAGTACGCCGGCGAGCTGTACGCCTACCTCCAGGTCGTCGAGTCCCGCCTGTACTCCGAGGGCCTGCACGTCCTCGGCAGCGCCCCGGGGTCAACGGAACTCGAGCAGTACCTGACCGCGTACTTCGGGGATTCCCTATCTGCCGACCTCGTGGACGAGGTGGTCCGGGCGCGGTCCGTGGAGGCCGCGCGCGTGGCGCTCGAGCGCGCGTTCGCGCAGCCGGACGCCGACGTGGACGACGGCGTCCAGGAAAAGGTGCGCCCGTCGTCGACAGAGAGCTCTTGGATTGGCTCGGACAAGAAACACAAAGCAATGGGTCGAACTCGCGGAAAAAAAATTTGCGCGTGGGAAAGAGCGGCTGGGAATGACGCCTTTCATTCAGGCGCGGTGTCTCAGGCTGGTTCTGTGCGGCTGTTGTTTGTGCAGGTGAAGGAGGCGCTTGAGATCCGGCGGCTCCTGGAGCTCAACAGCGAGGAGCTGAGCTCGGTGTCGCGGGCGCTGCGCGGGGAGTTCGTGCCGCCCGCGGCGGGCGGCGACCTGCTGCGCGACGGGGCGGGCGTGCTCCCGACAGGCCGCAACATCCACGCGCTGGACCCGTACCGCATGCCCTCTGACGCCGCGGAGGCACGCGGGGCTGCGGTGGGCGCGGAGATCATCCGCCTGCACCGCGAGCAGAACGGCGGCGCGTACCCGGAGACGTGCGCGGTGAATCTCTGGGGCCTCGACGCCATCAAGACGAAAGGCGAGTCCGTGGGAATCCTGCTCCACCTGGTCGGGGCGAGGGTCGTGAAGGACCAGACCGGGCGCGTGGTGCGCTTCGAGCCCGTGCCGCTCGACGAGCTCGGCCGCCCGCGCGTCGACGTCTTGTGCAACATGTCGGGTATCTTCCGAGACTCGTTCCAGAACGTCGTCGAGCTCCTGGACGACCTTTTCCAGGTACGCGCGGACCGCGTCTTGATTTCGTCGCGGGTCGCTGCTCTGCGGCGCGATCGGACACGTCCACAGACGTCTTGCGGTCGCCACACACACCTTCGGGCTGAAAGTAAAGTTGCGATTGCAAATCGTCGCGGGATGGCTTAGTCGTACATCTGCTCATCGTTTCCACGCCCTGCAGAGGCTCGCTGCGCTCGAGGAGCCGGAGGACATGAACTTCGTCAAGAAGCACGCGGCCTCGATGTCTGCCAAGGGGCTCGAGAACCCGACCGCGCGTCTCTTCTCGAACCCCGCGGGCGACTACGGCTCCATGGTGAACGAGCGCGTCGGCGCGTCGGACTGGACGGGCGGCGACGAGCTCGGCGACACGTGGGCCTCGCGCAACGCCTTCTCGTACGGGCGCGGCTCCGAGCGCGGCACCGCGCGGCCCGAGGTCTTGGAGTCCCTCCTCGCCACGACGGACCGCGTGGTGCAGGAGATCGACAGCGTCGAGTACGGCCTCACGGATATCCAGGTAGGATGACGAGCTCCCGCGAGAGGCGGTGCAACGCCGCGCGGCACAAGGAAGCGCGCTGGCGGGGACGCGTGCCTCCCGCTCTGCGCGCTGCGCGGTGCTTCACGTGTGTACGCATGACCTGCTGCTGCTTGCTGCTCGGCCGCGCTGTTGACGGGCCACCGCGACCTTGGGGGGGGTTTTTTTTTTTCTACTCCAGGAGTATTACGCGAACACGGGGGGAGTGAAGCGGGCCGCGGAGGTGGCGCGGAAGGGCAAGAAGGTCGGCTGCAGCGTCGTGGAGTCGTTCGGGCGCGACGTCACGCCGCGGGAGCTCGACGAGGTGCTGCGGCTGGAATATCGTAGCAAACTTCTTAATCCCAAGTGGGCGGACGCGATGGTGTCGCAGGGGTCGGGCGGCGCGTACGAGGTGTCGCAGCGGATGACGGCGCTCATGGGCTGGGGCGCGACCGTCGACTTCCAGGAGAACTGGGTATGGGATCAGGCCGCAGGTGCGCGGCGATGCAATGTGTGCGGTGCGGCGGCGCTGCTCACCGCGCGCGCGCCGCAGGCTCCGCGTGCGAGTATGCTTGCGCGCGAGCTGTTGATCGGCGGGGCGGACGCGCCGTGAGCTCCGCGGCGCACAGGAGCTGCGCGGAGCGCAGTGCTGCGAGGGCGCTTGTCAGCGCGCCGGCACGTCTGATTCGTTTGGTTTCCGCGGCCGGATTGCAGAGACGTACGCGCTGGACGAGGAGATGGCCGCCCGGCTGCGCAAGTCGAACCCCGAGGCTTTTCGGAACATCGTCAAGCGTATGCTGGAGGCGTCAGGGCGCGGGATGTGGGACGCGGACGACGGCACGCTCGAGCGGCTGCAGGAGCTGTACCAGGAGATGGACGACCAGCTCGAGGGCGTGATCGCGGCGCCCTAGGGCGCATGCGAGCGCCCTGAGGTGAGGTGTCACATTCTTCGCGTCGTCAGCCATACGGCTCCGGGACCTGAGATCCTGAGCTGGGCGCTGCACCGCGACAAACACGATTCCCTGCTCGAAGCGTTCGACATTCCGCGGGACGGCGGGGATGGATAGGGTACCGTGCGTGCGCTGGGGGGGTGTGACGGGCGGAGAACGTTGTCAGGAATGGGTGCGGTGCCGGGCGGGGGGTGTCTCGCGTTCCGGACGTCTCCCGCTCGCGGCGGCGTCGCGCTTCTTGAAGCGCGCGGCGCGGAGCCGGCATGAAGCTGACTCGATGGTCGATTTATACCACTTCTTTCACCACCTGTCATGTGACGTGGGCCACGTGGGCCGAACGAGGCGGGATCGTTGCTCCGCGGCGCCCGCAGCCAGGCCCAAAGTGCCCCTGTTGTCCAGGAGTAGTCTCAGCGCCAGCACCGGTCACCGCGGTAATGATCTCCGCTGCCAGGCCCACACTTCTCACCTCGCGCGCGTCTCTCTCTCTCCGCGGCTCGCCGCGCCGGAGCCGCGCCGCCCACATGGCTCGCGCAGCTATGGAGGTGTACGTCAAGGGCAAGCCTGAGACGGGCACCTTGCTAGACTGCCCGTTCAGCCACAAGGTGCTTCTTACGATGGCTCTCAAGGGCGTGGAGGCCGAGAGGTGAGTGCTGCGCGGCGGACTCGGGCTCTGTCTCGTGCCCAGCCCCTCAGGTGTCCGAGTGTCGGACAGACGACGGATCGCACCGCCCTGCTACGCGCTGCGCGCCCCGACGATGCTCCACGCGCAGAGTGCTTTTCGGGCGATTCCGCGCAATGTAGGGCCTCACATCGACATCGCGCTTGCGTCGGCATTCATCACTCAATGAAGTGCTCAAATATGCATTGTAAAGCGCAACCAATGCACCTGTGCGTCGCGAGCGGGGCTCTCTTTCACAGCGCCACAACCTCACCCTCAGCTCTCCGTGGATTCGCGTGCGTGGTACGTTCGGCACCGGCACCGCATATTTCACGAGCCAGACTTCCCTTTGGTTGCGCGCAGGAAGTACATCGACCTCTCGGTGCCGCGGCCTGACTGGTACCTGAAGCTCAACCCTGCTGGCTCCGTTCCGGCGCTCGTCGACGGCGACAAGATCATCGGCGACTCAGGTCAGCATGCCGCCTGTACCCTCACCCAGCAGCTCGCCTCCGATCCACCCCGTGACGACCCGGACCACACTAGTGCAACCACCATGACGTGTATGCATGCCACGTCTGTCGCTGCGACGGCACCTCGCACGCATTTCCTGCCCCGAGAGCCCAGATATAATGCTCTCGGTCCACGCGCAGGCGAAATCATCCAGCACCTCGAAGCGAAGAAGCCTGAGCCGTCGCTCAAGTCCGCCAGCGGCCCCGTTGCCCCCGGGTTCCTCAAGGGCATGGCGCAATTCATCATGGCGCCCGACGCCGCCGTGGAGGAGAAGAAGGCCGCCTTCGTCGCCGAGGCGCAGGTCCGGCCGCCCACCGCCTCCGCCCCGCCCCGCAACAACAGCGACTCCGCAGCGCCCGGACCGTTCCCGCGTTGTGCTGCCGTGCCCGCAGGCCGCGAACGACTTCCTGGCCGCGCAGGACGGCCCGTTCTTCGGCGGCAAGGCGCTCAACGAGGTGGACTGCGACCTCGGGCCGAAAATCTACCATGCGGTGACTGCGCTGAAGCACTTCCGTGAGTTCGAGCTGCCGGACTCGATGCCCGCGCTCAAGGCCTACCTGCCCGCGTTCAAGGAGACCGAGGCCTTCAAGGCCACCGACTACGGCGAGGCCGCGATCATCGCCGGCTGGCAGTCGAAGTTCGACGGACGCAACGACCCCAAGTGATGCCCAGGGGACGCAAACGCAGGCCGCGGACGCCCGAGCAGGCTGATGTGAGCGCCGAGACTCACTGCAGCCTGTGCAAGTGGAAATCCGGCCGAATGCGAGCCGTGCGCATTTGCATGCGGGCGAATGTGGTGTCTTGTATATTGTGTGCCGTGGACGCGAGGTTCGCGGTGCGCGTGAGGTGTTGGCTGCACAGCCGCTGCGTCGCTGCGGTGGACCGCGCGCTGCGTCGGTTTTCCCGCACACCTGACTCAGTCGCGCGCCATTACACCTCCGCGCAGCGACAGAGCGCACCTGCGCCCTCATCGCGCGTCGAGGCCGAACAGGCGCGCGATCTCCGGGTTGCCGCGCGACTTCCGCGCCGCGCAGTCGCGCGCGCTCAGTCCCGTGGCGTCCTGGATCTGCCGCTCCGCCCCGTGATGGCACAACACCCCCGCGACATGCGCACTGCCCGCCAGCGCAGCGTAGTGCAACGGCGTGCGCGCGAAGAGGTCCCCGCGGTTCGGGTCCGCCCCACTCTGCACCAGCAGCTCCGCCATCTCCGCGGAGCCCCCCACGGCCGCGCACAGGTGCAGCGGCGTGCAACACGCCGACGCGCCGGGGCTGCCCAGCCGCAGCGACGCGAGGTCGTCGTCCGACTGGCCCGCGCAGCGCGCCGCCTGCGCCGCGATCTCCGCGGCCCTCCTCCCGCTGATCGGACCGTTCACGTCCGCCCTGCAGCCGCAATACACAATCGGAGAGGTGATATATATACCAGCCGGAGAGTCAACTTCGAAGCCCGCCAGTCCACGGGCATCATCGGCAGCGCACACCGCGCGTCTGTGCGAGCGGCGAGCGACTCACCCGTGCGCGATCGCCCGCGTCACCCCGACTAAGTCATCTCCGTCCACGGCAGCAACCAGAGCGTCGCTCGGCGGCTCCTGCCGCCCCCAGGGCCCCAAGAACTCCTTCTTCACGTACTTCCGCTCAATGTGCGCCCGGATCGCCCCCGGGTCCGCGCCCGGGCCCGGGCCGTGGGGCAGGCCGCCTGCCGCCGCCTCCCACACCCCGTTCACGCGCCGGTTGCCCATGCGCAGGAAGAGCCGCCGGACCGTGCCCCGCCAGACGTTGACGTCCAGCGTGAGGCTGCGCACCTTGGACACGTGCACGCCGAGCTGCCGGTGCGCGCCCGAACAGGAAATACAAATGAGGCAGCCGAGGTTCAGCGAGGCCCACTCGGGCGCCGGCGCGCCGCAGTCCGCGCACGCGTCGTTCCCGGGGACTTCGCGCAGCGCGTCCAGGATGTGCCGGCTGTCCCCGGCGCCGGCCGCCGCGTCCGCGACCGCCAGCGCCGCGCCGTCGCTCCTGGCGTCGACGAGGCCCGTCGCGGTGCACCGCTCGAGGCGGTGCCGCACTGGCGGCGTCGCGGCGTCCACGAGCGCCATCGTGTGCACCTGCCCGATCTCTTCCTGCCGCGTCGGAGACATCGGGGACGCAACTGCCTCCTCCATCGACAAATGCCGCGTGTGGCGCGTGCTCTGCCGCAACTCGCCCACCCGGCCCGGCGAAGCAAGCACAGGCGGAACGAAGCCTCCGTGCAGCGCGGCCGGCGCCGGCACGCCGGCGTCGCGCGCCGCCGTCGCTGTCAGCAAGCGTTCGATGGAGGACCGGATCGCGACGACCCACGCAGCCTGGTCCGCCTCGGACTCCGCCTGGAGCGTCACCGTCTTGCTCGGCGACACGATCCGGAAGCACATGCGCAGCTGCGGGTCCTCGGCGCCCAGCTTGATCGTGGACGTGCGCAGGTCCAGCGTCCCCGTGGGCTTCAGTCCCCCCATCGGGGCGGGGGAGTTCCCTGGGAGGCCCGGGAGCTTCGCGATCGCGTGCGCTGCGACGTGCTGCATGTCTGCCGCGATCTTCGTCATCGCCGACTGGTCCTTCGTGCTTCCGTAATAAAAGAGGTGGCCGCTGCGGTCCAGGATGAAGAACCGCCGCTTCCACCCGGAGCGCCCGCCCGTCGACAGCTTCATCATCCAGCCCTGCTTGGCCACCTCCGCGCCGGCGTACGTCGCGGACGCCGAGTCCACGTGGCTGCTCGAGAGCGCGGAGCTCGTCGCGGCCGCCAGCGACGCGCTGCCCTTCTTCGGCGTGCCCGGCCCGCTCGACGCGCCGCCCGACCCCACGCGCTGCGCGGCCGCGATCCCCGCGTCAGGCAGGCGGGCCTCCTTGTAGCTGACGATCCTGTTGTCTAACAGCGCCATTTGTCCTCGCTCGCGGCCCTTGAGGGCGTCGACGGCGCGCATCGAGGCCTGGACGACGTCGCCGAGGCCCGCGAGCTCGCTGGAGCCCTGGCGGAAGAGCCGCAGGTGCGCGTCCGCGCAGGCGGCGACGCTTTCTAGCGCGACGTGGGATCGCTGGAGATGCATGTGCGAGAGGGAGCGCGCGAGGTCGAACCGCGCCTTGTCGTACTCGCTCCGGGCCGCCTCGGTCTCGGCAGCGGCCTGCTGGAGCACGTCGCTCTTCGTGGACGCCTTCAGTTGCATGTGACGCTCTGCGGGGACACAAAGAGCGCGGCCGGGCGCATCTGGGGCCGCGCGGGGTGGCATAAGGGCGCTGTACGTGTACAAAAGTACCGGCAACGGGCAGGAGCGGCGTCGTCGGGCGCGGACGGCGCCAGTCTGACCTGAAGCACGGACGTACTCGGCCTGGTGGCGCTCCATTCTCCGGATCCGAGGCCTGACGTCATCCTGCACGTGCTTGCCCATGCCCTCCATCGCGCCGCTGACGACGATGTCCATCTGCGTCATGAGCAGCTCGTGGTGCGTCGCGATCCTCTTCAGCGCCACGCAGAGCGGCTTGACCAACGCCGGTGGTTGCCCGCCGCCCTCGCTCCCGTTTCCGGACGGCATGGACATTCCGGCGCCGGCGGCGAGCGCGCGGTCGACGCCCACGACCGAGTCGAACGCGAGCAGCGCCTGCGAGAGGCACTGCAGGCCTTCTCGCGCCGCTGCGAGGCCCTCGCGGTATTTCGCACAGCCCTGCAAGGATTGATGCGGAATCACGGCGTTGCACGGGCGGAATTTGGACGAAACGTAGCGGAGCTGGAGCCCTCGTGCCTAGCGGAGGCAGCGGGCGGACGGGGGTAGGAAACGGAGGGCGCGTGTGGGGGTGCGGCGGCACCTTTGCCAGCTGGACGCACGCGGAGGAGTGCAGGTCGATACTCTCTACAAGGCGGTCGGTTGCGCAGCGGAACAGCGGCGAATCGTCCAGATCTGGGTAGACTCCCGGCACGTCCTCGGCTCGCCTGCGTGGGCGCGTGGGCACGCGGGGCGAGCGTGAAGAGTGGAGGGCTGCACCTGGGCGACGACCGCGGACACACGCCGCGTCAACGCTCGAGATCACAGCCGCCGTCTCGCCACGAACTCACCTCATCCACTCGTGCGACATGGCGTCCAGGGACGGCGCCGTCCCGCTGGACTCGAGCGATGTCTGTCGCTGTGCCTTCTCACTGCTGCGGGGCACGCGCACAGGCGGCGGCGACGCGCCCTCCGCGCCGTGCCCGCTTCCCTGGACATGCACGTGCGACCCGCCGGTCGTGGACGGCTGCTTCTTGCGACCTAGCACCCACCCGAGAGGGTTCCTCTGACCGCGGCCGTGCATCGCGGCCGGTGGCCGCCACGAAGGGCTCGAATCGCTCGTGGGCTGGCCCCTCGATCAGCTCTCGGGCTGGTGAACGCTCCCGCGGCCCCCGCGCGGCGTAGCACGCGCCGTTCGGTCCTCTGCTAGGCGCGCAACGACATATATAGGGCACACATATATGAAACGAAGTGCGCTATCCCTAAGTAGCAAAAAGTGAAGCGCGTGCGGGCCTGGAGCAGCCTGCCGAGTGGCAGCAGCGGCCGGCGCGCGGGCGCTTGCTGCAGGTGGCTGTGGGGAGGGTTGGGGGGCCCTCTAAAGTGCCCATCGGGCGCCGCTGCCAGACAGGGGTAGCTGGCCGGACAAGGGCGCGCGACGGCTCGCGTGCGGGTCAGCACGCGTCGTTCGCTCTCGAAACGGCGGAACAAGGGGCATGTGCGTGACGAGGAGCGCGACGGACGCCGCGGCGGGGCGGTGAAGGGCGCAGAGGCGTGCGACGGGAGGTTCGCGGCGTGGGTTGGTCCTCCCGGGGTTTTCCGGGGCGCACAGCGTCCGCGAGGATGGAAGATCTCTCTTGGGAGGACCTGGACGCGGTGGACGCGGCTATCGCGGCGCTGGCGTCGCGGGAGAGGGCTCAGAGTAGACCAGCGGCGACCCGCGCGACGACGGCGCCTGAGGCGGGCCAACATCGCGCTGAACGGGATGTTCACCGTCAGGTACGCGACGGATCAGCGCGAACGAGCGCGTGGCGGCGGAATCGCGCGCGAGGGCGGTCCCAGCTGACAGAAGCCTTCTTGAACGCTGCGCGCCGCGCTGCGCCGCCGGCTGCGCCGAACGAATCGAAATCTGCTGAGCCAGTGTCCCCGCTTGTTCCGCAGCCGACGAGCGCGAAGGAAGCGCAGCTTCGCGGTCCGACCTGGCCGGCAGGCGCCACAGCGTGCGCGTCGCCGCCGACCTTCGAGCGCGCTCCGCAGCGCCATGCCGCTCCCGCGGCCCACCACGGCTCGCTGTCAGATCGCTCCGCTCAAGAGCTAGCCGGGACAGCGTCGGATCCGTCGCCGGGCGCCCCTGCGACCGCCCAAGGCCCCGCGCAATCACCGCGTGTCTTCACGCCGCCGCCATGGGCTGCTCCCGGCGACGCACAGGCGTGGAGGCACCACAAGCGCGTCCGCAGGGACTCCGAGCTGCCCTGGGCCCGGACTCCACCGTCGGCCCCGGCGCCCTCGCACGCCACGCGCACAGCCCCGCCAGCGACAGCGACAACGAGCGAGCCGCGCGGGGCGCCGCCTGCGACGCGCCAAGCTCCCGCCACCGACCGGCGCGCGCCGCTGAGCGACGCGAGGAACGCGGTCAACGCAGGAGACCACGCGAGCGGCCGGCCGCGATCAATTACAGCCGTGGTCAAAGAGGGCGCTGCCGGGCGCCCCCCCGCCCCGACGGCGGCGCCTCCCGACGACCCAGACGACGATATCATCCTGTCCTCGCAGCCGGAGATGGCCGCGGGCTCCCCGCCGGCCCCGCGGCCCGCCGCGCCACCAGCAATGGCGCCCGCGCGACCAGTGCGTCGATTGCCGCCTCGGCTGCTCGCGGAGCAGGATGGGACCGCACTGCCGGCGGCGCAGCCGCATCAGGACGCCAGCGCGCACGCCCCCGCGCCGCGACCTGGCGCCAACGGCGCGCTGGCAGGAGATCTATACCCCCCCCTTACCTTCTTGGGAGAAGTCCAGTACCTGAGTGAGATCCCCCCAAATCTGATCCGACGCACCGCACCCTGCAGCCAGGTCGACCGCGCCGGCCACCGACGCCGGAACCTGCCCCCCGCCTCTCCATGCATGCCAAAATAACCACCAGAAGCCCCCCTGTGCCGCGTTGCAGCTGCAGCGGCTGATGTGGAGCGCTGCTGCCGGCGCATCATCGACGACAAGCCGGACGCCGTCGGTCTCGATATCGAGTGGATCGCCACGTTCCGGCAGGGCGAGCCCCCGCGCCGCACAGCCCTCATACAGCTCTGCTACCAACCCACGTCGCTGCGGGCCCCGAACGCGGCCCCGAGCGCGGGCGACCCGGCCGTGGTCGCGCTGCTCCACGTCGCGCACTCGGGCGTGCCGCCCGCGCTCCGCACGCTGCTGTGCGGCGGGGAGGGCCTGCCTCTCCGCGTGGGAGTGCGTGTGGTGAACGACATGTGCAAACTCAAGCTCGACTTCCGTCTCGGGAAGATCGAGGGGGTCGTGGACAGCGCGCAGGAGGCCAAGCGGCGCTGCGTGCGCGGCCACGAGGTGCGGGGCCGCCCCGCGCGACAGCGCACGTCCTGCGTGCCCCGGCGCGACGGTGTGCGTCTGTGCGTGCACTGCTGACGCCGGACGGCGTGCTTCGTGGACGCAGGGGCTGTCGCTGGACGCGCTGTGCCAGCGGCTGCTGCAGCGGAGGCTCGCGAAGGACCCGCAGGTCAGGGTGTCGGACTGGGAGCAGCTGCCGCTGAGTGCGGTGCAGAAACAGTATGCGGCGGTGGACGCGTACGCGAGCCTGGTGGTGTTCCGGGCGGTCATGGCGTCGCCCGCCGCGCGGGCGAAGCTCGTGGACGCTACGTGGAGGAACGGAGCGGTCCAATCATAGAAAGCAGCGCGACATAGGAAATGATGACTACAGATACACGCGGGAGGATGAGTAGATGTGCACGGAATGATCCCCGCTAGTCGCAGGGTATAGGTAGGGAGGCAGGCGCTTCGCACGAGCGGAGTGCGCCCTCGCGCCCGGTGTTACGCATCAGTTAGGTCCGCAGTATCATCATGACGTTGGCAGCAAGCTGTCAACGCGAGACGAGACGAGACGACTGGTTTGTCACGTTGAAGTGTCACATGGGGCGCGGGGATCCGCACCCACGGCGCGCCTCATCTACGTCGCACCGGCGTGGCGTCCTAATCACCGGGCGACTCTATCACGCACTAGGCTAACGTCTATCATGATTATCAAACAACTAGCAGTCGAGAATTCCAGTCCGTCAGCTCACGCGGCCAGGTAGAACGCCCAGATGCTCCCGGGCGCCGCGGGGCTCGACACGTTCAGCATCGCGCTGCTCGGCGCCCCGCTCTCAGGCTGCGCCTTGTATTGCACGGCGATGTTGATCGCCGCCTTCGACTTGATCACCTCCGACGACTTCACGCTGAACGCTGGGTTGTCCACGGAGAAGTGGAACTCCATGTCGGACAGGAACACATTCTTGAACGGGATCTGCGCCGACCCGCCCTTTACGGGCACGGGGCCGCGCGGCTTGGGTGGGAGGCAGCGCCCGACCAGCGGGCACTCGTACGTGCCGCCCTTGTCGCTCACGAGCTTCAGGACGTCCTTGATGCCCTCCCCGATCGCCGACGGCTCGAACAGCACGTCCACGGACACCTCGGTGCCCTCGGGGGGCGCCGCGGGGGCCGTCACCTTGGGCACGCTGCACGAGAAGCCCGCCTTGCCGCCGGACGCGAACTGGAGCGTGTAGTCGCACGGGGCGTTCAGGAGGTGCGTGAAGCGGAACTTCCGGGGCTCCGACAGCCCGAGCGGGACGTTGAACTCCAGGCTGGGTTCGGGGCCCGTAGGGGAGCCGCCCAGGACGAGATCCCAAACGAACTTGCCGAGCTCGTTGCACTGCAGCGAGAGCTTGCCCTCGGCGCGCGTCTCCACGAGCGGCATGTACGAGACCTCGCACGTGCCGGAGGAGTTGGGGGCGACGTGGAGCGTCTGCGGCGCGATGACGCCGGGGGCCGTGCAGGCCACCGCGAGGTCGACGGGCGCGTCGAGCGGGTTGTGGACGTGCACGACGGCGGTGGCGCGCTGCCGCACGGGGCACTCGAGCTTCAGGAGGCCCTGCGACGGCGGCGGCGCCGCGTCAAACTCCACCGGGAAGAAAATATACTCCCCCGAGGACTCGTTCTTGAACACGACGCGGCCGGCGGTCTTGCCCTCGACGAGCGAGAGGAACGTGAGCTTGTACTCGCGCTTGCTGAGGCCTGGAACGTCGATGTGGCGCTGCCCCATACACTTGGTGGACGCCGCCTTGCCAGGGAGGTCAAACGCGACCACGAACCGCTGCGGGCGCCGGTCCCAGTTCTCGACCACGAGCGTCTCGGTGTGCTCGACCTTGGCCGTGCACTTCGCGCTGACCTTGCCCGCGGGGAGCGGCTCAGAGGCCACGCCCTTGAGGCGGTACAGCAGCCCGGAGCCGTCCGGCATCGGGATGAAGACCGTGCCCTCGTGCGGCGCGCTCTCCGGCGCCATCGTCATCGGGCGGAACAGCAGCGGGTACTTGGCGGTCTGCCCCGGCGGCACGCGCAGCAACTCCGGCCCCGACCAAAAGTCGTGCTGGACGACGGGCCGCAGCACCCACGGCGCCGACGTGGGGTTCTTCACGCTCACGGACGACTCCGCGCTGCCGCGCACGGGCGTGGTGAACGACACGACGTCGCTCACGGCCTGCTGCTGCGTGCACGACCCCGTCAGCGTCAGCTGCTGCGGGTCGACGCCCTCGATGTACAGGTGGACGCGCTCCGCGCGGATGTCCGGGTTGACCTCCGTGGGGTGGAACGTGACGTCGAAGTGCACGTCGTGGCCCGCGGCGACGAAGCCGTCGAGCGGGGAGATTGTGAAGTGGGGCTGCAGGGCGCGGTCGTCCCAGCGGAAGCGCACGGCGGTGTCGCCGGTGTTCTCGAGCTGCACGCGCTTCGTGACGCGCGACCCGATGACGACGCCGCCGAACGGCAGCGAGGAGCTCGCGAGCGCAACCTCGGTGCCCAGACACGCGCCCGTCAGCGTCATGAGCGGCATCTCCACGCCCGAGACCTTGACGCGCACGTCGCGCGAGAACGGCCGGATGCGTGCGCCCGGGCGGAAGAACACGCTCAGCTCGCCCGTCTCGTACCCGCGCAGCGCGAGCTCCGTCGGCATCAGCTCCACGCCCAGGTCCGCCAGGCCCTCCATGGCCTCCGCCAAGTTGACGCGGCAGGCCACCTTGCTGCCGTTCCGGACCTTGACGGTCTTCCCGATCTGCTGCCCCGCGCGCGCGGCGCCGAGCGACACCACGCCGTTCGTCGCCGCCCCCTCTGCGAGGCCCACCTTCATCAGCGCGCCCTCGCCCGAGATCTGCACCGGGATCGTGAACAGCCCGTTGACCTCGAGCGGCACCGACTCCTTGTACGCGCGCGCCTCCCCGGGCGAGAACTTTATAATCATTTCCGCAGACTCCCCCGGCTGCAGCACGGCGGAGCCGTTCTCGACCCACATGTCGGCAGTCGGCGTGTACAGGCTGTCGACCGAGACCTCCTGGTCGTCGCGGTTGGTCATGCGGAGCAGGACCTGCGACGGCGCGATGCCCTCCTCGCGCACGAACTGCGGCCCGAAGTTGTGCCGGTAAAAGCTGAGGTCGAGCTTGGGCTTGTGGCCCTCGCCGTGGAGCGCGAGGCGGTACCGCGGCCCGTTGACGATCTGGCACGTGACGGGGTACTCGGCGAGCTTCTCCTGGCGCTTGGGCGCGTAGGAGAGCTCGCACACCAGGCGCTCGCCCTGCGCGACGCGGCCGCCGTTGGGCTTGACGACGACGGTGGGCTCGCGGCCGCCGAGGTCCTCGCCGCCGCCGACGGCCCACGCGAACTCGTACGGCACGGACCCCGCGTTGACCATCGCGATCTGCTTCACGCAGATGCTGTTGATGATCACCTCTCCAAACTCCACCTGGTTGACGCCCGAGGGCGCCAGGTCGACCATGCGGCTGTCCGCGGTGTCGATCATGAGCTGCTCGTGGATGCGGTACCCCTCGCCCTTGACGTTGAGCGTCAGGCGCATGGGCTTCTTCCGAACGTTGCACACCACGTTGAAGTTGTACGTCTGCTCCGCGGCGGGGTCGAACGAGACCACGACGGGCAGCCGCGACCGCGGCGGGATCGTCGCGGACGGCGGGTCGAACAGCAGCACGCCGGACTCGCCGCGCCCGGACTGCAGCTCGTACGAGGAGCGCACAAACTCGTAGACGAACGGGATCGGCTCCTCGTTGACGATGTGCACCGTCTCGCGCACGCGCCGCCCGACCTGGACCTTCTGGAAGTGCACCGCGCTCCGGTCGAGCAGCACGCGCGGCTCCGAGACGTGCCCGACCACCAGAAAGGGCACCTCGATGTTCTGCTGGGTGATGCGGAAAACCCAGTGGCTCTCCAGGAGCTCCTCGCTGTCGGGGGTGTACTCGAAGATCATCTCGTACTTCCGCCCGCCCGGAATCACGCCGCGCCGCGTGAGGCACTTGAACGTCCCCTCCGCGCCGTCCGCGTCGCGGATCAGCTGCCACGAGAACTCGTACGGCACGCTCGTGGGGTTGAGCACGTCGAACCGCCGCGTGTTGCGCACGCGCGTGCCGAGCGAGGTGAACTCGAGCACGCGCGTCGACGGGTGCAGCGGGCCCAGCGTGCCCGACGGGCCCGGCATTTCCGGGTTGCGTCGCCCCGCCGACACGTAGTCCGACTCGGGGAGGTCGAAGTGGCACCACGGCCGCTTGACCTTCCCGCTCAGCTCCACGCGCAGCGGCTCCTGGTCCTCGGCGAGCGCCGGCACCTCGGCAACGAGCAGCCGGTCGCAGTCCTCGACCTCCATGGGCTTGAAACGCACCGTCACCTCCGTCTCCTGCCCCGCGGCGAGCGTGCCGTCCTCGGGGGTGACCTCGTAGGGCGGGGCCGGGTCCTCGCGGCCGTCGCGGTGCGTGACCACGAAGCGGTACGTCATCGCGGCGGTGGAGGTGTTCTTGAGCGGGAAGGCGTACGTGCGCGCCTGGAACATCATCGTCGGCTTGAACACCACGGGGTCGCGCGGGGCCTCGAAGCGCGCGTCGTCGACCACGCCGCTGACCTTGAGCGACAGCGTGCGCGCCGAGTCCTCCACCACCGTCACCTCCGGCTCGCCGTCAACGCCCTCGTCCTCGTCGGCGCCCAGCGCGGTCGCCGCGCCGCCGCCGCCCTTGCCCTTCGCGTCCTTCTTGCCCTTGTCCTTCGCCTTGTCGTCCTTGCCCTTGCCCTTCTCGGCGCTCTTGCCCTTCGGGGGTGCGTCGCCCTCCACGTCCGGCGTCTGCGTGTTCCTCGACGCCTTCTCGCGGAGGTACTCGGCGTTGTCCCAGTCCTCGACCCTCGCGCCATCGACGCCCGCGATCTCCTCGATCGCGAGCGGGACGTCCACGTCCTCCATGGTGGCGGCCGCTGCGGAGCGCAGCGTCGCCGTGATGGTCGTCGAGCCGCCCGGCGGGATGTGGCCCTTGGACGGCACGAGCGTGAGCGCGCCGGCGAGGACCTCGGCGCCGGCGGACGGCCAGCGGAACCGCAGGGCCTTCTGGCTGAGGTTGCGCACGGTGAACGTGATGGGCGTGTCGGCGTTGATGGGGGTGTCGGGGAAGCGCAGCTCGTGGTCCGCCCCGTCGGGCAGGCCCTGGAAGATCACGTCCTCGGTGAAGCACTCCCCGAGGACCTTGATCCGCGTCTGCTCGAACGGGTTCTGCCGCACGTCGAGCGACACGACGTGCTCGTGCACGTCCACGTCGTTGGCGCGGAACCGCACGACGGCCTCCGTGGACGCGCCGGGCTGCAGCGTGAACACGCCCGACTCGCCCAGCAGCGCGAACGCGCCGTGCGGCGCCATGTCGAGCCGCGCCGTCGCGGGGATGCTGCCGTCGTTGCGGACCTTGATGGGAAGCTCCGCGCGCCGCCCCTTGAGGAGGCGCTTGAACTGCACCACCGGCGCGCCGGACGCCTCGTCGCGCAGCGTGGGCTGCAGCAGCGTCATGTGCGGCAGCACGCCCTCGCCGCGGATGTCGAAGCGACAGGACCGCGTGGCGGGGTCGCCGCCGTTGTCCACGACGGCCTCGAACTCGGCCGAGTAGGTCTGGATGGCGCGCGGGAGGAAGCGGACGGTCACGTAGCGGTACTCGTGCGGCGGGATGTCGACGCGGTCGGGCGTGACGACGAGCGGGAAGCCGCCGGGCGCCGACGCAGCGTCGCCGTGCGGGGTGACCTTGAAGGCGACCGAGCACGGCACCTTGACCGGGTTCACGATGCGGAAGTTCGCCGCGACGCCCGCGGCCTCGTCCAGCGCGCCCTGGCCGTCCGCGCCGGGGCCGTCCATGGACGCGATGACCGGACCAAAGTCGAAGATCCGATCGCGCGTGCCGAACACGTTGTTGAGGTGCTGCGTGGGGTCGATCTCCTGCACGATGCGGTGCTCCTCGAAGATCGAGTGGAGGTCGCTCGCGTTGATCCCCGGGATGCAGCTCTCGCCCGTGATCTCGTACGGGACCCCCCCGGGGCTGTCGGCGAAGTCCCGGTCCGACACGTGGATGCCGAGCTTCTCGCTGCACACCTCCTGTCCGACGGCCTTGAACACGACCTTGATCTGGACCGAGTCCCCCGGCGGCAGCGACCCCATGAAAGGCTCAATGTCAAAGTGCCCGACGGTGAGTGCGCCCTTGGAGGCCGCGACGTTGCCAGCCTTGTCGACGGGGAGCTCCGGGAGGCCCTTGGCGAGCTCGAAGACCGCGTAGTTGAACGGGAACTCGCCCGTGTTCGCGAGCGTGACGATGCGCGGCTGCGAGGTGGTGTTGTACACGATGGGACCGAACGAGAGCCCGCGCGCCGGCGTGACGGTGTACTTGGTGAACAGCGCGCGGATGCGCACGGGGACCGGGACGCGGGCCTCGACGAGCTTCGTGAGCTGCTCGACGACCTCGACGACGATGTCGGTGTTGTCGATGAGCTCGACCTCGTGCTTCAGGCTCTTCTGCTGGTTGAAGTGCACCTTGACCTCCGCCTTGCCGCCGGGCGGCACCTCGCCCGAGTCCGGCGTGATCGCGAAGAGGTCCCGCACGTACGCGGACTTGCACACCAGCCGGTACCCGACAACGTACTTCCCGGTGTTCAGCACCGTCACCGTCATCTCCTTGCTGTCCACGAGGCGCAGGGTGCCGAAGTTGAGGTTCGGCTCGTCGTTCGGCATCTTCACGTCCACGCTGATGCGGTACGCCTCGCCCGTGACCTTCACCGGGACGTCCTGCGCCACCGGGAGCGCCGCCGCCACGTCCTGGATCCGCAGCACCATCTTGTGCTCGATCGGACGCGGCTCCTGCGCGGCCATGCGGACCTTGACCACCGCGGAGGACTGCGCCGGAAGCGTGTCTTCCATCGGCACCACCACCACCTCCGGCGGCAGCTCCGGCCCCTCGAGCCACCACTTGCACGGCAGCTGCGCCGTGTTCGTGATCGTGAACTCCCGCGCGTCCGACTTGCCCTGCAGCAGCCGCTCGAACTGGATCACCGCGCCCTCCTTCCCGTGCACCTCGAGCGACGTCGACACCTCGGGCTTCGACCCCACGCACTGCAAGTCGAACTTCACCTCCCCGGGGTTGTCCTGGACGTGCACGACGACCGCGTCCCGCGCCGGCTCGGTGCCGTCCTTCGGGTTCGGGAACGCCGCGACCTGCAGCTCGCGCGTCTCCCCCACCTCCAGGTCCATCGCCGTTGGGCTGATCGAGAACACGGGGCCCTCGTCCTTGCCCGTCGACGCGAGCGCGAAGGTCGCCGAGAGCGGGAAGAGGCCGTTGTTCGTGATCCGGAGCCCCGCGATGTTGCCCGGGAACTTCTCCGCGATGCCCGCAAAGTCCAGACCCTTCTTGTCGAGCCCCAGCAGCAGCGGCCCGAAGTCGAAGACGTTCTCCGAGACGATGTACTGCTTGGAGATGTGCGCGAGCGCGGGGCGGGCCTTGCTCTTGCGCATGAACACGTTGCGGTAGTCGCTGCTGATCTGCGGGTACGCGCACCGCCCCACGCACGCCAGCTCGAGGTGGTTGCCCCCGCGGCACTCGAAGCCCAGGCTCTCGTGGAACGTCCCGACCTCCTGGCTCAGGAACTGCACCTCGAGCTCCACGCGCCCGCGCGGCGGCAGCACCCACCGCTCCACCTCTACCAGCTGCAGCTCCAGGTTCGGCTCGCCCTCGGGCGGCCGCACCTTGGCCTTGGGGTCGACCGGGACCTCCACCATCTTCGGCTCGCGCAGCTTGAAGTGCGCCTTGATCGGCCGCCGCGCGCGCCCGTGCTGCTTCGGCCGGCGCACGATCTCAAGCGTGTAGGGCGGCGGAACGAGCACCCGGTCGGCCGGGACCGTCGGCAGCGTGGTGTGCAGCTCGCCGAGCACGAACCGCACGCCGACGGCCTCCATGAGCACGTCCTCGGCGGTCCCGACGCCCCGCAGCGCGCGCCAGGCCACCGAGCTCGCGTCGTGGTCGACCTTGCCCAGCGTCGCGCGGACCTGCTCCATCGCCGCGCGCCACTCGGCCATCTCCGCCTCGACGACGTCCCCCGCGGCGTCGTCCCGCGGCGTCGACGCCGCGCCGTCCTCCGCCGCTGCGCCGTCGTCCTCGCGGCCCTCTTCGCCGCTCTCCTCTATCATCGGCATCGCCGTGGCCGAGCCCTCCTCCTTCGGCGGCGCGCCCGACCGCTCGTCGCTCTCGCCGCCGTCCGTGTCGACCCGCGAGCTCCGCAGGCGCTCGGCCTCCGCGGCGGCCGCGCGCCGCCGCACGGCCACCTCCGCCGCGGGCGTCTCCAGCATGAGGAAGGACAGCGGGGAGCCGCCGCGCAGCACGAACGGCGCGCGCTCGCCCTTGGCCACCTTCACGCCCGGGTCCGCCGGGAGCTCGTCCTCCTCCATCCCCGCGGCCGCCGCGAGCGCGAACGCGACGTCGTCCGCCGGCAGCGGGCCGCTGCCCACGCGGTCCAGCACCCACCCCGCCGGCATCGCGCGCTCGGTCAGCACCGCGTCGAACAGCAGCGCGAGCGCGTCCCGCAGCTGCTTCTTCCCGTCCTCCTTCCCCGCGCCCTTTGCCGGAGGCGGCGCCGCCGCCACGGCCTCCGCTGCCGCGTCCGGCACCGCGATCCTCGCCGCGTTGCACATCGCGGCTTGCGCGATCAACACCTTCGCCTCCATCGCCTCGAGCGAGTCCGCGGGGTCCGGCGTGCCGGGCTTGCCCTCGTCGTCCGCGGCCGGCGGCGGCACCTTCGCGGCGAGCTTCGCGGCGTGCGCGGGCACATCGAGCGCCAGCGCCGCCTCCAGGAGGTCGCCCACGCGCAGCAGCGGGACGTCGTAGCGCTCCGCGATCTTGGCCGCGAGCGTCGAGCACCCGCTGCCCACGGGACCGTCCACGACAACCTGCACGCGCGACACGCCCGCCGCGGGGTCCTCCACCTCCCCGACCTGCTCGTCGGCGAACCCCACGCCCTTCGCGCCCTTCCCGTCGTCCTGCGCGTCCGCCTCCGGCGCCTCCGCGGCCGGCGCGTCCTCCCCCGCAGCGGCGGCCTCAGCGGCGAGCCGCTCGCGCTCCGCCTCCTCCTCCTGCTCGCGGATCCGCTGCTCGGCGACGTCGCGCAGGTGCTGCCAGAACGGCTCGCCCGGGGCGCGCGGGGCCGCGTAGAGGAAGTCGTGTTCGCCCCAAACCTCGGCCGGGAGCGCCGCGAGCAGCCTGTCCTCGTCGCGGTACCGCTGGTCGATGTCCAGCGCGTAGACCTCGATCGGGGTGTCGCCGGGGTTGATGAGCTCGAACCGCTGGCGGGCGGGCTCCGGCGGGGGCGGCGCGTTCTTCGCGGTAGGGTCGACCTCGGGCGCGGGCTTGATGGCGCCGAGGTCGAGCGAGGGCTGCGAGAGCTGCAGGTTGAGCCACTGGCCCTTCCCGGTGCACGTGAACCCGAAGAATCTCGAGTTGTGCGTGACCTTTATGGGCACCTTCTGGAAGTAGGCGTCTCCGCGGCCGCGTACGGGCGTGAAGTGCACCTTGACGTTGACCTTCTCGCCCTGCGCGATGGAGCCGGCGTCGGGCACGGCGCGGAAGTACCCCCAGTCGGCGTTGTTGTCGACGGGCTGCTTGATCTGCCAGTCGAGCGCAACCTCGCGCGGGTTGTGCAGCTGCACGGTGATGACCTTAGTGTGGCCGCACTGCACGGCGCCGAAGTCGAGCGCGTCCGTCGAGAGCTGGAGGTCCGGCACGACGACGTTGGCGCGCAGCGTCAGCAGCACCGTCGGGCCCGTCTTCTGCACGATCGGCACCGTCAGCTCGAGTGGCCCCGTTTGCACCTGCGGCAGGCTCGTGTCGAGCGTCATCGCCAGGTTCAGGCTCGCGTACTCGTCCAGCTTGGCGATCTTCTCCGGCTCCAGCCGGAAGCCCGCGGCGGCGAGGATGCGCTTGTCGAGGGAGAGCATCGTGGCCACGGACGACACGTTGTGCAGGCGGAAGCGCCGGCTCTTCACGGTGCCGCGCGTCACGTGCCCCAGGTCGAGCAGGTAGTGCGAGAGCACGACGGCGCTGGTCTTGCTGCGCTTGGTCGCGCCCTGCGACAGCTTGCTGTGGTGCGACTCGGTCGAGAGCTCCGCCGCGACGCCCTGCGCGACCATGCTCTCCATGTCGGCCAGGAGGTTCCGGCACAGCGTCATTCGGTCGGCCTCGATCTCGATCTCCTCCCGGCTCGGGTCGAACGTGCCGTTCGCCAGGTTCCACTGGCCGCGGTACGGCGGGGGCCCGACGCGCGGGAGCGCGTGCCCGCCGGCCATCGAGCGCTTGCTCGCGGCGGTCCCGGGCGGCGCGCCGTGCTCGGACGGCGCGTACTTGCTCGCCGCCGTCCCGGGCTTCATGCTCTGCATCCGCGACTGCGTGCCGATGTGGGCCTCGCCGCCCGGCGCAAGCAGCGGACCGTAGTTGGCGACCGTCGAGCGCGGGCCGTCCGTGAGCGTGCGCTTCGCGTCTCCCCGCAGCAGCGCAAACACGTCTTCGTTGATGCGCGGCAGCGACATCAGCAGGCCCTGGAAGATGCCCTCGCAGTGGATCCGCAGCTCCTCGGGCTCGCAGTGCGCGACCTCGAGCAGCACGACCTCGTTCAGCAGGTCGGGCACCCCCGGCGTGATCCGCAGCTTGATGCCCTCGCGCTGCCCGCCCGCGAGGTGCCCGGTGGTGTTCGCCGCCGACACCACGCCCGGGCGCGACAGCCGCGAGAGGTTGAGGATGTAGTTGAACGGCACGCGCCCCGTGTTCTGCAGCACGACCTCCTGCTCCACGGTGCGGTTGTACGGCTGCCGCCCGACGTCGATCACCGCGCGCTCGAGCGCGTACCGGATGTGGCTCGCCTCCCCGGCGAGCTTGACTTCGTACTCCGGCCCGCCCTGGACCTTGCAGAGCGCCGCGGCCGCGACCTTTGCCCCCGGCTGCGCGAAGAACGAGACCTCGATGCGCTCCTCCTTGCCCGGCTGGATCTCGCAGCGGATCGGCATGACGTCAAAGATGTCCGACGCGACGAGCTGCGGCGTCCCGCGCCGCCGCGCCGCCTTGGCCGTCTCCTGCATCTCGTCCTCGGTCATGAGCAGCGTCCACGTCATCGCCGCGGGGACGCTGCTGACGTTCTTGACGGTGATGAAACGGCGCTCTACGGTGTCGGTGAGCACGGCGCCGAAGTCCAGGACGCTGTGCGAGAGCTCGAGGTTCGGGAACGCGATCACGCCGACCATGTCGAGCGCCTCCTTGTTCGGATTGTCGGAGAACGTGACCTGCAGCTTGCCGTTGATCTTGGAGGACACGCGCTCGCTCCGGTACCCCGGGTCGAAGCTGACCGTGATCGGGACCTCCTCGCCCGGCGCCAGCGCGAGCTCCGACGCGTCCACGCTGAACGGCGCCTGCGTGCGCAGCTGCGGCACCAGCGACAGCTCCGACGCGTTGCGGACCATCAGCCGCTGCTCCATCGGCGCGACCTCGTCCGCGTCGGGCGACCAGATGTACTGGAACGCCAGCTGCGGCTCCGAGAACTCGATCAGCGGCCGCGTCAGGTCCGCGGTGAAGTCCGCCTTGAGAACCTCCTTCGTGATCGACCCAATGGTGCTCTTGAGCGCCAGGCGCTCCGACTTGCCGCCCGGGCGCATCGAGAGCCCCGTCACCGTGAACGTGAAGCTCTGCTTCGCCTCCACGATCGCCCGCGCCGGCTCCACGTTGAACACCACCTCGGGGAGCTCCGCGCGCTTGCGCCCCTCGCCCTCCGCGGCCTCGCGCGCCGCCTCCGTCGCGGACGCCCCGTTCACGGGCGACGGGTTCGTCGGCAGCGAGCTCGAGCTCGGCTCCGCGTCGGCGTCCTCCTTGCGGTTCTTCTGCATCTCCTGGCGGCGCATGGCCTTCCCCGCGGCCTCCTTCGCGAGGGAGTTCCACACGAGCGTCTGCGCGCGGCGGCCGTGGTTCCGCAGCGTGATCTGCATCCCGAACGGCCGCCCGACCAGCTGCTTCCCGAACTCGAGCTGCGGCGCGCCCGGAGCGGCCCCCTTGATCTCGTCGCACACGACGGTCGAGCCGACGCCCGTGGCGGACAGCGGGATCGAGATGTCGTCGCCGTCCGACACCAGCACGTGCAGCACGTCCGTGAACCGGAACGTCTCGTCCATCTTGCACATGACCTTGACGTCGGCGTTCCCGTTGGCCTCGATCGTGCCCGTGCGCGGCTCCACGCGGAAGACCGACTCCGCGCCCTCGACGAACGCGCGGTAGTGCGCCGGGACCGGGCACGGGTTCGACAGCTTCAGCGTCCGGACGTTGTTCAACAGCACCGGCACGGAGCCAAACTGTATCGCCACGGCGCCGATGGTGTTCATGTCGCCCGCGCGCTTCTCCTCGTCCGAGCCCTCGCCGTCCGAGGCCGGCGCGGACGCCCGCGCGGCCGCCGCGGCGTCCTTGGCCACCTTGGCCACGTTGGAGCGGCCCAGCGTCTTCTTGACAGCGTCCTGGAGCTTCTTCGTCGGCGGCTGCTCGACGGCGAGGTTCAGCGACGGCCCGATCGAGCGCGCGGACAGCACGCACTCCAGCGGGGCCTGCCGGCCGCCGTGCACCTGGATGCGCACCGGCAGCTGGATGCGCCCGCGCCGCGTCGTCTGCAGCGTCACGTAGACCTCCGTGGTGCCCATCGCGGGGACGCCGCCGATCTGCGGCTCGCACGTGATGTTGCCCAGGTTCTTCGACTGGTCGTCCTGCGGCAGGACCTCGAACTTCGCCGGTAGCCGCGTCTTGTTCACCAGCGTGATGGGGCGCCTGTACGGGAACTGCAGGAAGCTCTCGCCGAACTCGATGATCGTCTCCCGCAGCGAGATCTCCGGGACGAAGCTCTCCGCGCGCACGGGGATGCTCCGCACGCCCTGCCCGACCCCCGGGACGTCCACCAACAGCTCCGTCTCGTACTTGCGCACCCGCTGCGCGACGAACTCGAGCCGGACCCGCTGCGTGCCGCCGGGCGGCAGCGTCCCGTACGCCGGCTCGATCGAGAACTCCTCCACGCCGTCCTGCGCGCCGTGCTCCGGCGCCATCCGCAGCGCGTAGCGCATGGGGATCTCGCACGTGCTGCGCAGGTCAAACTCCTTCGGGTGCAGAAACCCGAACGACACGCCGCCGAAGTCGATCTTCTCCACGGACGTGTCGAACGTCGGGCCGATCACGCGCCCCTTGAACTCGAGCGTTAGCGGGCGCTGCGAGCCATGCACCTGGAAGGAGAACGTCTCGGCGAAGGCGCCGAGCGTGTCCGAGAGGAACCGCACGGTGATGACCTGCACGCCGCCGGGCTCGACGACGCCGCGCGACGGCTCGAACGTGAACATCTTGCCGAAAAAGGACATGCTCTCCAGTATGTCGTACTGCGCGGCGATGTCGCCGCGGTTGTGCAGCTCGAGCTCGTACTGGTGCACCGTGTAGATGAACGTGTCGCCCACGTCGAGCACGTCGTAGCTGAACACGACCTTCGGGCCCAGGCCCTCCCCGGAGAGCTCGATGGGGATGCGCTCGGCGCGCCCGGTGATGTCGAGGAACATGGTGGCCTCGAACTTGTCCTGGCGGTCGGGGAGGAAGCGGACGGTGACCTCGACTTCCCCGCCGGGCCACACCTGCCCCTGCAGCGGGTGCACGTCGAACGACGGGTGCGAGAAACAGTGGCGGTGCAGCAGAACCTCGCGGCGCTGCCGCTTCATGGCGCGCGTGGACGCCATCGTGGCCGACTCGAGCACCGCGTCCTCGTCCTCGCTCGTCCCGCTGAGCTCCTCCGCGCCCGCGATGGCCGGCGACGTCGCCGCGCCCGCGCCCGGCACGCTGAACAGCGACTCCGAGAGCAGCGCGGACGCGTGCGCGTCGTCGTCGTCCTCCGCGTACTGCTGCAGCCGGAACGTCGCGGTCGTCTCGCTGCGGTTGTGGATCACGAACGTCCGCTGGCTCTGCCGGTCCATGTACGTTGGCAGCAGCGTCACCTCCTGCACCGACGGGCCGACGTCGACCTCCTCCGCGGACCCCACGAGCCGCGTGACGGACGCGAAGCCGCTGTCGTCGTACCGCACCTCGAGCAGCCCGACGATCTCGTCGCCCGCGTGCGTGGGCACGAACGACGCCTCCACCTGGAGGGACTCCCCCACCGCGAGGTGGCCGAGGGCGGGGTGGACGGAGAAGGGCGGCTCCGTGTGGAGCGAGAAGTGCGCGTTGCGCTGCCCGGTGTTGATGATCTGGATCGCGCGCGTCTGCCGCGCCTTGCACGGCGCGCGGTCAAACTCGACCACGTCCGGGATCTCGAGGGCCGGGCGCTGCCCGACGCAGGAGATGGGGACGAGGAACTTCTCGCGCTCCGTGCAGACCACGAGGTCGTAGCTGTAGTCGTCCGCGGACTCTGCGGGCCGGGCGGGGGCGCGGCGGGCGCGGTGGATGGGCGCGAGCGTGGGGTGGTGCGGGCAGGAGCGGGGGCGCGGGGGCCGGGCGGGTTGGTGGGAGGTGGGAGAGCGGCGCTGGGGGCGCGGGGCGGGCGGGCGGCGCGCGTGCGCCGCGTGCGGGCGCGGCAGGTGCTTGGTGCGGCGGTGGGGGCGGGCGTGCGGACCTGGGCGGAACTCGACTTTGTAGCAGACGTCCATGCCGGACGCGACCTTGCCGGAGAGCTCCTGCGCCTTGCTCTGAATGCGCTTCACGGTGAAGTAGGGGCTCTCGGGCGGCACGACCTTGATGCGCCGCGCCACGCGGTCGTTGTTTCGCAGCCGGAGGATGCCCTCGTACGTCTTGAACGCCTCGTACGAGTGGAACACGAACTCCGGCGGGAACGGCTGGAAGATGGGCCGGTCGAGCGGCACCGCGCAGTCCACTTGAGTCGAGTAATCACTGATGTTCAGCAACTCCACGATCTTCGGGCCGCTCCCGGCCACCCTCGGGGCCGTCAGCTCGCCCGGCACGCCTGTCAGCTCGCGCAGCAGCAGGCTCGGGGGCGGCTGCACTCAAAACGGCACGCAGCGGACCGGGTGGGCCGCGAGCAGGTACACGGCGCACGGCGCTGGCCTCTGGCGCGATTGTGCAGCGCTCACGGGGCCGCGGGGGCTCGCGTCCGGGCGCGGGAGCCGGGGGTCGGTGCTCGAGCGGCCCGGCCGGGCGCGGGGCCGGGAGCCGCGCTGGTTACTCGCCAGCGGTCCGGGCCGTGGGCAGGCAGCGGCCGGGCGGGTGGAAGAGGGGCTGGGGGGCCGTGGAAGAGGGCGCGCGCCCATCTCCCCCGCGAGTCCGAATGGAATCGCGCGGGGGGGCGCGGGCAACGCGCGGAACGGACGTCCGCGGGCGCGTCCTCGCGATTGTTTATTCGGGGACATGCGCCCGAGTGCGAGCGCGCGGCGAGCCGGGGCCGCCGCGGGGCGTCGCTCGCGCAGCGGCTCACCTTTCCATTGATTCGAACGTTGTCTTCGTCGGGAAAGACGCGGCCCTTGACGGTCGACGCGAGCGTTGCGAACGTTCGCTTGGCAGTCGTGCGCTTCGTCGACGTCATGGCGAACCCGCCGGGGCTGTCCTGGGGCGGCGCCATCTTCTCCCCGACGCCCCTCGATCGCGCGGCCACTCTAACGCCGCTCTCCCTCACGCGGGGCGCTCCATTGCCTCAAAAAGCAGCGCGGTGTGCCTTTGGTCGCTCTTCGTCCGCGTTCGCGGACCTACGGCGCTATCTTGGGCGGGCGCCTGCACCGCAACGTTCTCTGACTACTGCGCGCGGGTTTGGGCGGCAGCGCGCGGCTGCGGGCCGAAGAAACGCGCGCTGCGAGCCGGGTCTGTCATGCAGGCTCAGGGGGGGCTTTTGCTCTCTGTCGCGGGGCCTTTGCGGGGCGCCGCAGCGGCGGCGGCTCTCGTTTGACTGCCCGGACATCGTGGAAGGCGGAGAGCGCAGTTCGGGTGTCGCGCGGTGACGTGGGGGTGACATGAACGCTGGACAGGTGCTGCGGGCGGCCGCAGGGCGGCATGTTGGGGCCGCAACGCCTGCCAGAGTGGCGGCGGTGGCGCCCTGCCGGGCCATCGGAGGAGCTAGTGGGGCATCGAGGGCGGCGTTCGGGCATGGAGGTGAGCAGATCAGGCGATCGCCGCTAGCGCGCGCGGCACGGGCCGTCCGCACGCGACGCCCGCGCACTCCGCGACGTTAAATCCGAACTGAGGATGCGAGTTCGGCCGGAACGCGTTCCGCCCCCACGACCGCCCAGACGGAAGCCACTTGCTCGTCCTGGTGGGCGGCCGCGTGACGTCCGCCACGTGCATCTTTTGACCGCCAGCGCACCCTGCCTGCACGCACACACGCCTTGACATTGTCGTAGAGCGGCGCGGTCGAGCTTTCGTCCCGTGACGCGCCTCAGGAGCCATCGAAAGAGCCTCATCCTCTCCAGGCCGCTTCGGGGCGCAACCAGCGCCGCGTGCAGCGCGGACAGCGCGGCTGCGCTCTCGCATTGCCGTCCGCAGCGCAAGAAGCGCCGATTCCACGCCTCGAGACCGCTCGCGCGCCCGCACACGGAGCTGGCGGGCGCGGTTAACGCAAGTCATGTCACTCACGTCTCCGCGCTGCCGCCGGAACCACCGCCCTGCAGGAGCGGCGCCGTGCGCGGCGCAGAGGACGTTCGGGGGCGTCCGGTTCGGCAGGATGAGGCGGGACACGAGGACGGACGAGCCCAGCAGGTCCGTCTGCGTTCCCGCGGTGCTGCTCACAGGCCCGCCCGCACGCCCGAGCGGTCGCAGACCGCCCGCTCCGCCCGCGCGCGCCGCAGGGACGAGGTGGTGGCTCGCGCGGTCGGCGACCCGGACGCCTCCGTCGACGAGGACGACGCGGAGAACACGTCGATGCCTGGGATTTGGATGCGCGTCTTCGCGGCGCTCTTCTACTTCATTCCCTGGATCGACATCTGCACGATCGGAGAGCCGATGTACGGCCTCCTGCGCGGCGTCTGGTGGGGCGGCCTCATCGTCCCCCAGTCGCTGATGCCCCTGTATTACGCCAACCCCTTTATGCCGCTGATCATCTTCTTCTGCATCTTCCTCGCGGTCGTGCGCCAGAAACGCATCCCGCACCTCGTCCGCTGGAACGCCTGCCAGGTGAGCGCCCGCGAACGCGCCGCACGCCCCCCCAAAACAAAACAACACCGCGTTATACCCTCCACACACCCCTCCGATCCCGCCCCGCCCCGCCGCGCAGGCGATCATGATGGACATCTGTTCGATGCTGTACGTCCTCGTGCGGATGTACTTCCCCGCGGAGATCCGGCACAGCGCGATCCTTGACTACATGGACCGCTTTGCGTGGGTGGGGTCCTTCACCGCGATCGCCTACTGCATCTACTACGCGCTGCGGGGGCGGTACGCGGAGATCCCGTACGTCTCCGAGGCGTGCTACCAGCAGGTCGACATGGCCGACGCGGTGAGCTTCACACCACCATGCAAACACTATCCACTTCTTATATCTAATTCCTATTTATTTTTGTGCGCTCTGTCTGTGTTTGCCGCTTGTGCTGCCGCCGAGCGGGCGGCCGCGACGTCCGCGCATCGACCTCTCGCTGCCCGACCTCGATCCCTGCAGTGACGACGGTGGCGGACCGCCGACAGCATCGCGCCCGCGCCGTCGCGGCAGCGCTGAACCGCTGCCGCCAAGGACGGACCGAGCCGCCCACCCGAGGCCGCGCACGGGCCTGTCTGTCCGCGCGGCGCCAGGCGGCCATGTGACGCGATTTCGACTGCCATTTACACGCCGCCCTCACCGCCGCCGAGACCCCCCGCGGTCGCTGCCGCCGTCCCGGTCGCGGCTGCGGCCCCGATTCCTACGGTCCCGCTCGCCGTCGCGGTCCCGGCTCCGGCTCCGGCTCCGGCGCCGCCGAGACGACCCTCGATCGCGCTCGCGTTCACGCTCCCTGTCGCGTTCACGCCTGCCGCGGTCCCGGTCGCGGCTGCGGCTCCGCGAGCGGCTGCGCCGTCTGTCCCTCGGCGGCCGGTCGCGGTCGCGGTCGCGGTCGCGGTCGCGCTCCTGCATGCGCCCCGCGGTGCACTCCCGCGCGAGGTGCGGCCCGCCGCACACGTAGCACGCCTTCGGGCCGCCCCCCTGCGGGCAGTCGCGCGCCAGGTGCGGCCCGCCGCACACGAAGCACGCCTTCCCCGCGGCCGCCATCCCCGGCGGCGGCCCGCGCGGCGCGGACCCCGGGGACCGCGACCGCGAACGCGAGCGGCGGCGGCGCCGGCGGTCGCGGCTCCCGCGCTCGTCGCCGGAGCTCTCCGAGTTGTCCATGTTCTGTAGCAGCAGAAAGTTCTGCACCGTGAGCTGCAGCTGGTGCGCGCCCAGCATCGCAGGGTTGACCCCCATTTGAGTCATGCTAGCCCAAACAGAGTCTATCGTCTCCTGGTCCAGCCCCATGGCCTTCAAGATCGACATAGGGTCCTCCGCGGGGTTCCCGGCGCCCGGGGCGCCGCCGTCGAACGCGTCGCCGCGCTCGCCGCGCGGCGGCGGCGGCGGCGGCGCGTCTCGGCAGCGTGGTCGCCGCCGCGGCCCTGCGGGGGCGTGAGCGGGGCCGCCGCGAGGGCGAGCTCGTTGGGCGGCTCCTCGATGGGGTCCTCCGTGGACTTGACGAGGATCGTGCAGACGTACGGCTCCTCGTCGCGCCGCACGAGGTCGTGCGTCCACGGCAGCCACGCTGCGTCGTACCCGCGCCCGACATAGCGCCCCCAGGTGGCGGGGCGCGCGGGCGGGCCGCCGCCGCCGCGGCGCGCCTCGGGCGGCACTTCGCGGTCCCCGGGCGAGATCATCCGGTCCGATTCCATCAGTTTGATGTCGCTCTTCAAATCATATGTTTTGCGGAACATCTGCACCTGCCGCTGGTACTCCTGGAAGGTCTCCTTCGTGAGCCCGTAGTTGAAGAACTCCCCCGGGTCCGCCGCCGCGTCCAGCCAGGGCCCGGCCATCCCCCCTTTCATGACACAACGGTCCAGATCCAAGTCATACAACCGGCCGTATCCGAGCTCGCGAAACTCCGTGTACTCCTCCGGCTCCACGCGCTGGTGCTCGGGGATCAAGATCCAGTCGTCCGGGCCCGCCTTGGACGGGAACTTCGCGTTCATCGGGTCCCCCTGCGCGTGCGCCTCCTCCGTGACGGGCGCGGCGTTGCCAAACTCGTCTGTGCGCACGTACGCGCGCCCGCCGCCGTGGATCGGGCCCATGCCCTCCGGCATCGAGTACGGCGCGATGGCGCCGCGGCCCATGTGGCCGCCCCAGCGGCTGCGGCTCTGCGGGCCTCCGCCGGCGGGGGGCGGGCGGCTGGGGTAGCCGCTCAGGCGGGGGGGGGGTCTTCCGGGCAGGCCGCGGCCGCCGGGGGGGCCGGCGGGGACGACGGCGGTGTTGAGGTGGATCTCGACGTCGTCGTCGTCGTCGTCGGCCGGGGGCGGCGGCGGCGGCGCTGCGGGAGCGGGGGGGAGTGCACATGACTGTGAGGGGGGGGGTAACGACGCCGGGACCGCGCGTCGTGTCCGGGCCCGGCGGTCCTCGGGGATTCCATGCGCGTCGTCCGTGCGAGGTGCGCTCGATGCCAACTGGCCGGGGGAGACGCGCGTTGAGGTGCAGGAAAAGCTAGAGGCCGGAAACGGCGCGGATATCGCGAGACGCGGCGCGTTCGGGCGCGTGCGGGGCTTCTCACCTCCTGATCGTGGATCCTGGCCCGGAGCGGGCGGCGGTGGGAAGCCCCCTGGGGCGCCCGGCGGTCCGGGAGGGAAGGCGGTGCCGGGGGCCGCATGCGGTGGCGCCCCGCCGTGTGGAGAGTATGGCGGCGGCGCTCCGGGAGGGGGACCGGGAGGTGCTTGGTAGGCGCGCTGATCGTGCGCGTGGAAGCCCTGGGGCGGCCCGGGGGGAGGAGGTAGTCCACCTGGGGGCGGACCAGGGGGCGCTCCGGGCTCCTGCTTGATGTTCGCCAGCCCGCTGAGGCCCGGTGGAAGCCCCGGCGGCTGTTCGCGCTCCAGCACGGCGTACGGGTCGGAGCCTGCGACGTGGCACGGTCTTTCGTCATTCGCTCAACAAACCAAAGCCGGCGGGGCTGCAGCGCGACCTCATGAGCGAAGACCAATCCCCCTCGCGTGTCAGAGGAGACTCATCATGCGCCGCAGGTGGCCGGGGACTCACTCGAGGGCGGTGGCGGCGGAGGGGCGCCAGCCTGGGGTGCAGGAGGGGCGGCCCGGGCGGCGCCGCTGCCGCCCCCGTACAGCTCGTCGTACTCGTCCCCCATCACCGCGCTCGATCGCTACGACCAGAAGCCACCGGACCGCCTGCGTGCTCGCACGCTGCCTACCTCGCGGCGCCGAGGCAACCCGCCGCGTGCACGCTCGTGTTTCTGTCGCGCACGTCGGGTCAGCGCAGCATTTTCAACGCGCTCCGGGGCAGTCGCAAAGCTCAAGGCGGTTCCTAGCACCTCGCGCGCAGACTGGCTTGGCTACGCGCCGACACGCGGCCCTGAGAGCTCGAAGCGTTCAAGTCCAGTGACAAGCAGTCAGTCTCGCGCATCACACCCCCCCTCGCCCAAGCGGCCCCGCCTCACTTCGCCAGCGGCACCCAGACCGCGCGCAGCTCCACCTGCGCCCCTCCCGGCCCCACAGACACGCACCCGCTCCCCGTGAAGTACCGCACGTCGCGCACGATGTCCGCAAGCGGTACCGTCGCCGCCCCGCGCGGGCCCGCCGTGATGCTCAGCGCCGCGCCGCCGGACACCGGCACGCCGCAGAACGCCGCGGACAGCTCGAACGTCCCGTCGTCCGCCGACCCCTCCAGCAGTTCCATCTCGCCGCTGCGCAGCTCGCGCGACGTCGCGGCGCCGTTCGCGCCGCCGCTCGTCGCGAGAACAACGGTGGCGTCCTTGCCGAGGTTGCGCCCGCGCGTGACCGCGACCAGGAGCATGCCGACGTCGTCGGCCTTGGCGAAACGCGCGCTCGACGTCGCTGCAAGCATCCCGCTGCGCGGCGTGAAGAACCCGGAACGAGCGCGCGTCGCCGACTTGTCGGCCTTGCGCTTGGTCTTCTTCCCGTGCTTCGGGGCGGGGATGGTGAAGGTCGCGGCCGACAGCGGGCGCGGCGGGACCGTCTCGGCGGGCCAGAGCTCCTCCATGCTGAGCCAGGTGATCTGCGCCGCGATCGTGCCGCGGAGCTTCGCGGTGGCTCCGCCCTCCTCGAGGTCCTCCCACGACATGTCCTTGAGCTCGAGGTCGACCGGCGTGGGCTTCGCGTGCTCCAGGCCCTGCAAACACACAGATATACATATGTTGTATGATATTATTATAATAATATGTGCGAATATGTCCGCGCGACCATCAAGCGAACCCGCGCACCTGCAGCGACACGATCGCCCGCCCGATCAGGTCGTCCTTCGCCACGTCCCGGTCCCACAACGCGAGCTTCAACGGCAGCGCCGTCGTCGTCACCGGCAGCCAGAACGTCTCCTGCCACACGGGGTCTTTCGCGCTCGCGATGATGCTCGACCGCGTGCTGCCCCCGCCGGGCGCCTCGAGCACCACGTACGGGTCGCCTTTCCCGCCCAGGTCGGTCGACGCGATGCCCCAGCCCTCGATGACGTCCACGCGCACCACGCCGGCGTACCCGCCGCCGCGCTGGAACTCCTTGACCGGCATCGGCGCCGGGACCGCGAAGACGGGGTCGTTCGTGGCGGCGGCGGGCGGCGGCAGCGGCGGAGCGTGCGGCTGGAACAAAGCGCCCTGCTGAAACACCGCGCGCAGCGACAGCGTGCCGATCTTCTTGTCCGCGTCGCCGACGTCCCGCAGCGCGATCGTGACGCCTCCCGCGCCCGCGGTCTGGCTCTCGAGCACGAGGTCGGACGCCCGCTTGGAGAAGGCCGCCACCGGCACGCCCAGGGCGAAGCCCTGTTTGCGGTACACCTTGCCTTCGAGCACGTGCTCGCCGATGTCGACGGGCTGCACGAGCAGCTCGCTCCCGCCCCAGACGACCGCGCGCGCGCCGGCAGGGCCCGGGTCCGCGGCCAGCGTCGCGCTCTGCGACATGTAGCGATGCCGTGACTCGGGGGGGTGTATTGGCTCGGAGACCGCCAGGACGGTGCCCGTGAGGTCGAGGTTGTCCGCTGTGGCCTGCGCCCCTGCCGCGAAGATGCGTAGGCAGCCCGTGATGCCCGGCGCGAGGTCGGCGCGCGTGAACGTGCCCTTGGCGGTGCTCGCGCCGCCCGCCGCGGAGATCAGCGCGGCGGACGCGCCGGCGCCGGCGAGCGGGGACCACCCGAAGATGGCGCTCACGACGCCGTTCTTCTTCCCGCTCTTGTCCTTGAGCTCGATATCCTCATACGCTTTAAAGTCCCCCATGCCCGCCAGGTCCCTCACGGCGTACCGCGCCGAGGCGATGACGCTCAGGGCGCTGCCGCCGACGACGTCGATCAGCAGCGCGGCGTCCGGGTCCACGCCGCAGAAGTCCCCCAGCAGCACGAAGTTGGCATTCTTGTTCTGGTTGCGGACGGCGCGCGACTCCAAACGACCCCCCGGGACCTCCTGGCCGTCCGGGCCGACGAGCCGCGCGCGGCAGATCAGGGACGGCGAGGCGTCGAGCGTCGACGAGCCGCCGGAGGACGACGTGTCGATGCCGACGCCACGCAAAAGGCCGACGGTGAGGTATCCTGGGTCGGACTCGGACGCCGGGGCGGGCTCGTCGTAGTCGAAGATCTCGCTGCCGGCCATGGAGCTGCGCAGGCCCTTCTCGCGGCGGAGCAGGAGCTCCTTCGCGGACCAGAAGCGCACGATGAGACGCAGCGACGCGCCCTCGCCGCTCTCCGTTGCCGCCTCGAGCGGGAACGTGCCGTCCATGGACCCCCCCATCGCGACGATGTCCTCGATCGGGATCTCGAGGGACGCCAGGGTCTGCTTGTCGCTCGCCAGGAAGCCCCTGAACGCAGCAGCAGACGTGCTGGACGCGGGCTCGACCGTCGCCTCCAGGAGGGCCGCTCGAGGGTCCGCGCCGACGATGCGCATCCAGTGCACCTCCTCGAACACAGGGTCGGTGCTGCGGACCTTCGCAGGGGCGGTCTTGGCCTCGCCTTCGATGCCCTTGCCGCGCAGGCGTACGATGAGGTCGTTGGTTCGCGCGGGGCCGGGCAGGCGGCGCGCACGCACCACCGCGACCTGCAGAATGCCCGTTAGCGGCGCGCGGGTCGCGAGGAACCGCGCGGCGTCGCCGCCCGTGCCGCCCACGCGGCAGCGCACCGTGAGCGTGCCGGACGGCGCGTTCGCCAGTCGCATCGTCACGTCCCCGCGGCGCTCCGACGCGGTCACGAGCGTGCCCAGGGGCGCGGTGATCGATCCGTGGAACGACGGGCCGTCCTTGCCGCGCGCAAAGACCTCCATCGTGACGACCGACTTGCCCAGCGAACACGGCGGCAGCGCAACCGTGTCGCGCCAGATGGGGTCGCGGACCGACGCGGACTTGAACGTCGACGCCTCGAGCGCGCCCTGCGAGCCGGGCTCCTCGGCCGACACCGCGACGTAGTAGTCGCGCAGCCCGCTTGACGACAGACCTTCCGCCTGCTTCACGTCGACGACCAGGATGCCGATGCGGTTCGCGGGGAAGCGCGACGCGTTGACCTTGACGGCCTTGAGCTCCGGGGGCAGCGCGGCCTTGACGAAGCCGAACGACGACGGCTCGTCCCAGCCTTCGAGCGAGTTGGGAACGAACAGGAGGTCCAAGCGGATTGCGCCGCAGTCGACGGCCGCGCCGTCGTGCTCCCTGGAGAGCGCGAAGGTCTCGCCGGCGAACTCGAGGCCCGGCCGGGACAGGATCTTGCCGACGGGGACCGTGCAGGACCCGAGGGGATCGTCGCGCGAGAACACGTCGCGGTCGAACACGTCGACCTCGACCACGGCGGTCGCCGGGACGTCCTCGAAGTTCAGCACTGCGCGAGGAGCGGGGAGCGCGCGGCGCTGGATACGAGAACGCGTACGCGAATGAATGAATGAATGTACAGCCGCAATCATGTTCCATGCGTTGACACGAACATACGAAAGCAAGAACAACGCGCACCTGTGTTCCACAGCGGCTCGGCCGTGTTCGTCTCGTGGAAGGTCTTCTTCGTCTCGTCTCCGACGCGCACCCTGACGTACGGATCCCTCGCGGACCCGCGGTCGCCCGCCTGCAGCAGGTGCGCACCCACCACGCGCACGTCCAGCGCCCCGCGCATCTGCTGCCCCTGGTAGTACTTGCGCGACGCGGGCTTCGTCACCGCGGGCACGCTCTTCGTCGTCACGGGCAGCCACTCCAGGTCCAGTTGCAGCTGTCCCGGATACGCAGCGCCCCCCGCGGCCTTCGCACCCCTGATGTTGAACACGTCGTGGATGTGGCTCCCCGGCGACCGGGCGAGCTCCGCGATCTGCACCTCCGCCGTTCCGAGCGTCTGGTCCTCGTTCAGCACTTCGACCTTCAGGACCTGGTCCGCGTGCGCGCCGAGGAACGCGGTCGAGTAGTTGAAGTTCACCACGTCCTCGGCGACGAACGCGGGCGACGTGACGCGGTCCGACCCGACGACGAAGTCCACGTGGACTCGCTCCTTGCCGTCTGCGCAGTCAGCGAGGCCGCGCAACGTACGCACGCTGTGAGCCGCGAGCGTAGACGCGGCGCGACGCAACCGAGCCGCCCTAGCGGCACGCGCACACGCGCACAGCACTGCGCGCGCCACACAGGGACTCACCGCCAGCGCCGTCCTTGATCCCGAGCTTGCGTCCGCGCATCGCCTTGATCCCGAGCATGCCGGTCTGCCACTTGGCGTCGACGCCGTTCGCCTGCTCGAGCGACTCCGCGACGGCCTTCTCCTTCGGCGACGCCTCGTCCGCGTTCAGCGCGACCTGCTGCAGCGCGTCGCGCGCGTCGCGCAGCGCGCCGGCGTCCAAGTACGTCAGCTCGAGCTGCACGCGCCCCCGCGGCGCCAAATCGCCCCCCAGCGCCGGGTTCTCGTCGATGCTCCCTTCGAGCCACCCGTCCACGCCGAGCGCGGACGACTTCTTCACCGTCACGTTGTGCTCCAGGTCCGACAGGTCGATCAGGCACCGTCCGATGAGGTCGCGGTTGTCGAGCCGCGCGGACTCGTCGCCGATGAGCTTGAGCAGCGAGAAGTCCTCGTCCCACAGCTCGACGCGCAGCGGGCACGACAGCTCGTCGATGCGGACCCAGATGTCTTGATTCCAGGTAGGGTTGCGCGTGTTCTTCACCGTCCGGGTCGCCTGGACGCGGAACGGGTCCGTGGAGACCTCGACGAAGGGGTCGCTGCCCATCAGGTCGGTCTTCGGGAGGTCCGTCGCCGACAGCACGCGCACGCGCAGCACGCCGCGCCAGCGCAGGTAGAGGTGCGCGATCGACCCGGTGACCTCCGGCGGCTGCTGCGGGAGCACGAGCCGCTGCGGCCAGACCATCATGCGCCCGAGGACCTCCACGAGGAGCCGGTCGACGATCCGCGTGATCATGCGCTCGATGGCTCCGGTGGTGATGTTCAGGTCTAGCTTGTACTTGACGCGGGGCGTCCGCATCATGGTCACGACCATCGCGCCGTAGCACGGAATCTGGTCCGTCAGGCACCGGAAGCACACGCGCGGCTCGGCCTCCAGGAAAATGTCCTTGACACTCGCCACCACCTTTATAAGACCTGATTTCCCGATCTCCGCGCACAGCTTCACGTGGGACTCCCCGCCCCACCGGATCTTGAGGTCGAGCGCCGGCTCGCCCTCCACGAGCACGCTGCGCGCGGCCTGCGGTGCACCGGGGCCACGCGCGGGGCGAGGTCGGCCGCCATGCGTCGCGCACGATGCTTACTCGCGGTGGAGGTGTGTGGGTGGCTGCGTGCCTCGATGCGCAGGGGCTTGTCGCCGAACGTGAGCTCCTGGAAGTAGATGCGTTTGATGGCGCCGGGGATGGACTGGTTCAGGATCGGCTCGACCTGTTGTCGGACCTGGCGACACACGGCCTTGTCGTAGTACGGCCACACCGCGCACAGCGCGCGGTTGAGCCAGTCCGTGTTGGGCTGCCAGTCGCTCGGGAGCGCGGTGTCCACGAACGCGTGGCCCTTCATCCGGAGCAGCGCGGCGGCGATTGGCGCCTCCCCGCTGGCCTTGGACAGCGCAATCGACCGCTCGATCTTCTTCATCTGCGAAAGCAGGGCGCGCTCTGCGGATGAATGCAAAGGGGAGGCTGCGGGGGTGGTTTTGGCGGCGGTGGTGGCGCGCGCGGTCCGGGAGCTCGCCTTGTTTCTGTGGGCGATGCCGGCAAAGACCAGGCCGACCGGAAAGGCGAACGCGGCCGCGGCGAGGCCTTCGGTGGCGAGGACCGTCTCCTTGTTGATGATCACGAGGGCCGCGGCGAGGCACTTCAGCGACCGGCCCACGACCTGCGCGCAGAGGGGCGACGCGGCCGTGGCTGGTCCAGTGCAGCTGCGGCGCGCCGAGGAGCTCTGACGCGTCCGGTAGGCACGCGTGAGCTTCAACGCGCGACACTGGCCGCGGTCCGTATGTCGATGGCACGTGGTCGGCGGCTCAAGCGCCCCAGGACGGAAGATGACAGGGCTAGTTGGTTGTCCTCGCGGGCGCGACAATAGAAGGGCACGTCCTCGCTGCCCCCGCCATCGAGCCGCTAAGCATGGCTCCTGCACGCACCTCGTCCAGCGAAATGTCGGCGCCCAGCAGATTGTCGTCCTGCCCCCCTGCGATGCGTTTTGCTTTGGCGGCGCTTCGGCGCCGCTCGTACGCTTCCTCCTCCGCCTGGCGAAACGGCTCGCTGGCTGCGGCAGCATGTATTGGAAGAGGAGCGCCCTTGGGATCACCAAACTGGTCTTTTCGTGGAATCACATGGCAGTGCGGGCGCAACAAGGAGTTGCGTAGCTGCACCAGGGCTGTGTGCTGCGCTGTGATGCGAACGCGCTCCCAACTCTGGCATGTCCAAGACGATTCGATCGTGAACTCGCGCTGTGGGCCCTGTCCGCCTCAAGCGGCGCATTCATGAGGCAGCAGACGGGACCAACACTCGCCTGTGGTCGTGTCCTTTCCCGCGGCATGAACGCGGAAGTTCAGCGGCCCCCGCGAGCCCAACGATATGCCAATGTGAAGGCGAACCATCGTGCCGCGCCAGGGAGCACGCACTCGCGGGCACGTCCGCCTCCGGGCGCACCACGCGCGTGCCGCGAACAGACGGGCGGTTGGTGGCTCCGGCTCTTGTCAGGCGCAGTGGATGGGGCCTGGGTGATTGTGGCCTCTGCTGTGACGAGCGCGCACGCATGAGCGCTGCGAGCGAACGCCGGACTCAGTCCGGGACTGCCGTCAAACTGTGTCTGACTACGACCGAGTGCCAGGGGGGGGTTTTGCAGCCGGACGCCGGGGCGACGCAGTGCGATATGGCTGCCCCCGGCGGGGTCCCTTCGCGGCGTCAGGTGAGGCGGCAGCCTGGCAACTCCCTGCTCCCTGATGCGATTGAAGCAGACAACTTGTGCCCAGCACAAGGTGCGCAAAGCCTTGCGGACGTTATGGGCGCCGCACGGGAGCCGGCGACGAAGGGCGAGCGCTGCATTGCCGTGCAGGGGCCCGATGGAATCACATTACAGATTCACGCGTTGCGCGGGGACTCACGCGCTGCAGTTGTCGTCGTCATCGAGTGCGTGCCAGGCGCCGAGGGCAATGAAGACGACGCAAATCTGGCACACGAAGACTACCAGCAAGAACATCGCGGAGACTCCACCGCTGTCGTTGCCGTCCGCGTAACCCCTCGCGGTTTTCGAGTGCCGCGGAGCCAGCCGCTCGTTGCGCTGGCGCTTGGTCCACCACCACGTGACGAGGTCGATCCAGAAGAACTGGAGCAGGATCTTCTTCAAATTGAAGCCGCTCATGTCCGCGCCGGAGCCCACCGCCACCTGCGGGGCCTGCGTCAGCCCGTCGCGGCCCTCTCGAAACGGGTTGGGAAAAAAGCGCAGGTCCAGCCGAACCTCCCCGGTCCTGATGGTGCCGTTGCACCTGGTCAGGGCGAACTTCCTGTTGCACAGCTCGTACCCGGGCTGCACGAGCACCTCGCGTATCAGGATCCTGCACGACCCGAGCGTCTCGTCGACCCTGCCCCGGTTCATTGTTTTCATCGGCACCTTCTCTCTCTCCTGCCCCCTGCGTGGCTCCCGAAGCAGCGCGGACGGGCGCTGCATCGTCAGCGCGTCCGCCGTCGCGTCGCGCGTGGTGACCGGGCCCTTGCCCGAGTACACGACGAACTCTACCTCGGCACCCGCCTCCACATTCTTGAACTCAAACACTGCAGAAACAGAAACAGTATTCATAGTATTAACAGTATTAATAGTATTAATAGTTACACTGCTCGGCTTATAGCACGGCGACGGAGCGCGGAGCTGGTCGGGAACGCGGTCCGCGACGCTCGCGCGTGGCGTCGGTCCTATGCGAGGTGAGGTGAGGGAGAGGCTCTGGCGGCGTGCAGGAGGACGACAGGATCGTGCGCGCGCCTTTGTTCCATGCGGGCTTCGTGGTCTTCATTTCGTCGAACGTGTACTGCTCGATGGTCCCGATTCGCAGCTTGGCGAAAGGGTGGACCGCGGAGCCGCGCCGCTGCTGCGTCTGCAGGTCTGCGCTCACCACGTGCACCCTGAGGTCGCCGCCCTGGTAGAACCTAGACAAGGCGGGCCTCGTCACCTCGGGCACGCTCTTCGTCGTCACGGGCAGCCACTCCATTTCGAGCTGCAGCCGGCCGGCGTACGCGTCCCCCGTGGCCATGGTCCCGGCGAATGGAATCACGTCATGAATCTTGTCGCCGGAAAGCCGTGCCAGCTCCGCGATCTGCACCTCCGCCGTCCCGAGCAGTTCGGCGTCGTTGTACACTTCGACAACCAAGTCCTCGTCCGCGCTGGTTCCAAGGAAGGCCGTGAAGTAGTTGAAGTTGACAACCGGCTTGGCTTCCGCCGGCGGCGACGTGGCGCGCTCCGACCCGACCGCGAACTTGACGTGGACGCGCTCCTTGCCGTCTGCGTCGCGAGGTGGAGCGTTGAGCGCAGCGTGGGCATCGCGGACAGCGCCACAGGCACAAACGCGAGCGCGCGTGACACTGATCCCGCATCTGCGCGTTCGTGCAGAAACGCAGCCTGGGCGGCGCCCCGGAATTGTGTGTGCACAAGCCTCGGCCGCCAACTTTGGCATGCCGTCCGCCGTGACAACCGTCGAGGCCGATCGTAGGTGCACGTCTGTCAACAGCAAACTCGCCTGTTCTCACGCCCAGGGCGCGCCCCTCCATCGCTTTAATGCCCAACATGCCCGTCTGCCACTTCGACGCTTTGGCACCTCCTTTCTTCTTCTGCTTCAGCTTCTCCTCGGGCCTGACGGTCGTCTTCGTCACTGCCGCCGCAATGGCGCGGTCCTCCAACGACGCGTTGTCGGGGTCGAGCGTGGCCTTGCGCATGGCAGGCCGCACCTTCCGCAGCTCATCGATCTTCAGATACAGCAGTTCGAGCTGGACGGACCCGAGCTTAGGCTCCACGCAGAGGCCACCATCCTTCTCAGTTTCGTGCCAGCTCTTCTTGCTGAGCACGGCGGTCGCCAGCACCGGCTTGTTGTGCTCGAGGCCCGACAGGTCGATCAAGCTCCGTCCGACGAGGTTGCGGTCGTCGAGCTCGGTGGACTCCTTGAAACTGAGTCTGTCTCTGAAGCTGAGCTCGACGAACGAAAACGCCTTGTCCCACACCTCGATGCGCAGCGAACACGACAGCTCGATGATCCGCAGCCAGATGTCCTCCTCGTCCCAACGCGGGTCCTGCACGCAATGATGCTGTCAGCCATTCAATGAGTGAATGCAGCACTGCCCAGAGGCCGCGCTGGTCGCCACGGACGTGCAGCGCGGGCCACACGTGCACCAGCGGAGTACCCGGTGGATCGACCATTCGATCGTTGATCGAACGTTTGATCGTGGATTGTGTCGAGCGATGTTCAAAACGTGAACGTCGCCGTACCTGGGATCTCTTCGCTGTCCCGGTCTTCTGGACGCGGAACGGGTCCAAGGACAGCTCGACGTACGCGCCCTTGCTCACGCGCTTGGCCTTCGGCAGGCCCGTCCCCGACAGCACGCGCACCCGCAGCACGCCGGTCCAGCGCGGATGCAGATGCGAGAGGCTCCCGAACGAGTTGTTCAGCGGGAACACCAGCCGCTGTGGCCACACCATCATGCGCACCAGGATCTCCGTGAGCAGCCGGTCCAAGAAACGCGTCAGCATCCGCTCCAGAGGCCCTCGCGAGATGTTTAGGTTGAGCTGGTAGTCCACGACGGGCGTTTCCATCAGCGTGACGACCACGGCGCTGAAGCACGGGATCCTGTCCGTGACGCACCGGAAGCACACGCGCACCTTGGCGCGGATCGCGACGTTGGTGATGCTTGCCGTCACTTCGCGGTATCCGGACTTGCCGATCTCCGCGCACATCAGCACCTCGGCGCTGCTGATCCACGAGATCTCGAGGTCGAGCGCCGGGTCCTCGTCCTCGCCCACCGGGACGTACCCGGCAGCCTGCGAGGCACCACGTGCACAACGCACGTCACGACGCGCGGCGGTCGCTGCGCCGCTCGGAGCGCGACGCGCCGCAGCGGCCAGCACGTTCGGATGCGGCTTGTCGCGCTCTCGACGGCAATGCACGACGTAGGGGCGGCGCGCCAGCCACAGCGCAAGTGCACACACGCGATGTTGTGGTGCTCTTTGCCTCTGCACCTACCATGATCTGCGGGGGCTTGTCCCCGAGCTTGATCTTCCGGAAGTAGATTCGCTTGATGCCCATGGGCAGGAACTGCTCCAGGATCGGCTCGACCTGCTTCCTGAGGATGCCGTTGCCGCCGCACACCGCCTCGTCGTAGAAGGGCCACAGCCCCGCGAGCGCGCGGTTGAGCCACGTGGTGTCCGGCGGCGGGCGCTCCACGCCCTGATGCCGCCGGGGGACGCGCACGCCCAGCTTCCTCAGCCACGCTTCCGCAAGCTCCTCCGGCATATGTCTTGTCAGATGGAACGGGTCTGTCGTCATTGCGAGGTTCCGCTCGTGCTTTCGCGCCTGCACGGAACGGAAACGCGGACACACTCGCGGGACCGCGTTCGCAGCACGAGGAGCCGCGACGGAGGGGGGGTGTGCGAGCGCGGGGCGGTGGTGTTTGGCCCCTGTTTCACGCACCCGGATCTTGTTCACGATACGCGCGAATACGAGGCCGAAAGGGAACGCCGCGGCCGCGGCGGACAGGCCCTCGGACGCCAGCACCCTCCTCTTGTTCGTCAGCACGAGAAACATCGCCAGGAACGTCAGAGAGCGCGCCACTACCTGCAACGCATCACGCGCACGTGCACGCCGGAGGCGGGTAGGTTCCGGCCGCCGCAGCGGCGCCGCACGGCCCCGCACGCCTCTGCTCGCCGATTGCGTGATCAGAGGCCGCTGATACTCGCGTCGCAACGCCGTGCGGCGCCAGGGCCGCGACCCACACTGCGTGTTGCGTTGACCGGGCGCGCGCCAGCCCGCGCAGGGCCGAGCCGCGGCTCGCCGTCCCGCCAGCGAGCCGCTCAGCACAGTTGCTGTGCGCACCTGGGACAGGGAAACGTCGGCCGCGAACAGGTCGTCCTCGTGCCCCTCGGCTTTCCGCTGCGCGCGTCTCGCCCTTCGGCGCACCTCGTACACCTCCTCCTCCGCGTGGCGCAGCGAGTCGCCGGCTGCGGCGGCGTCGATCGGCGCGAGGTCTCCGTTGGGGGCGCCCGAGGGGTCTCGTCACGCAATAAGCGGGCAGAAAACGCGCAACAGAGACCATGGAAGTCTCGAGCAGTGCGGTGCGGGGCGACGTGCACGCGCGGCCGAAACCGCCTGGGCCGATTCGGACATGCCAAACACACGCTGCAGGGCGCACGATCGCGCGCAGGCGCGCTGCATGCGGCATGCAATGGACGGGTTGCACCCACCCAACATCGTCTCTCTGCCCGTTGCCTGGACGCCGACGTCGAGCGGACCCGGGGCGCCCAGCGAGATGCGCACGTGGAGGCCCATCGTGGACGGCCGCCGCGCTGCCCGCCCTCCCGGACGCGCCTGGTCTGGACAACACTCACTAGCGCGCACTCGCTTTCAGGTCGCGCGTGTCATCCGAGCCCGTTTCGCCCAGTTTTTCGGCGGGCCCGGGGTCCCCACGACATATGTATGGGCGGGAGCGCACGCGGCCGCGACGCAGAATCGTGCCGCGTGCGGAATCGGCGCGGGCCGGTCGGACGGAGGCGGAGGGGGAGTGTGACGGGGGAGCAGGGCGCCCGGAGATGTCTGTTCGCGGCGAGGGCATGCCGCTGCACATGCGGCGATCGACCTGGACGCATCGAAGCAGCGTGCGTAACGGTTGAGGTCAGATTCGGCGCAGGAGAGCGGAGGCACTTTCAGCAGCTCTTGAAAAGGCCACTTGCCTGTCCTGTTCGCGTCAGGGACGGAGGCTGGTCAGTTCGGCATGCTCGGTCAGGTGTCACGGGCCGTCGGCGCGGCCCCGGGCCTCGCTGGTGGCCGCAGCGCGCAGCGGACGGCAGGCAGCGGTGCGAGGCCTTGTGGGCGCGGCGCCCCGCGCCACGGCGCGAGCGGTGAGTTCAACCCGCGGCGCGGGTCGAGATCGTTTGTATTTCGCGGCCACGAGCGCGAGGAACGCACGAAAATGCTCGGGACGCGCGCAACGGGCCACGGAACGATTTGGCGGTTGACGAGAGGTCCACATTCGCGACAAGGGACGCGCGTTCGTCCGACGCCCGGAACTTCGCGCCTCACATCAGGCGCGCCCGGTTTCCGCCGCGGTGACCGCAGGAGTCCCGCGTCGAGCGCGCGCGGCGGCCCCTTGGAGGCGCGGCAGGACCACCTGCGCGTACGCGCCGTCCGAGGTCGCCGAGGCGGTCCAGAAGCGTTTCCTGAAGGTCCAGAACGGCAGCGACATCCGCGGAGTGACCGTTGAGGGTGAGTTCGCCTACGGAGCCAGCGCTGCCTGCTTGGGGGCCCACCACCTGGAAGTTGATGCCAGTCAGGACTTCCGCGACTGTCGCGCGACCCGTCAATCAAACGCCCCTCCAGCGCCGCGTGCCTGTGCCCCACCTCACTGCGCGGCTGCCTGCGCGCGGGCCGCCTGCGGCTCGCCGCGGCGCCGCAGCGCGGCGCGTGGAAAGCATTGATGCCGTAGAGGCGGCATCACGGCGCGACGCGCGTTTGCGGCGTTCGTGCCGCCGAATTCGCGCGTGCGCCTCCTCGCACGGTGGCAGGCTACGCCTGGGTCGCGCGTACACGCTCCCAGCGCGACGCATGCGCTCGCGGACCGCCTGGAAGCACTTTGCGCGTGTTCTTTCGCCCGCGCGGCGCCGCTGACGCGCCGCAACCGGCCCCGCCCCGCCCCGCAGGCGTTCCCGGCGAGCCCATCACGCTCTCGGACGACATGGCGTACTACATCGGCCGCGCGTTCGCGCACTGGCTGGCCAAGACCACCAACAAGCCCCCCACCGAGCTCCGCATCGCCATCGGGAAGGACCCGCGGATCTCCGGGCCGAACATCACGATGGCGTTCGGCGCCGGCGTCACCTCCACGGGCGCCTGCATCGACGTCGCCGGCCTCGCGACCACGCCCGCCATGTTTATGTCCACCGTCCTCCCGAGCCTCAAATTCGACGCGGGCGTCATGTGCACGGCCTCGCACCTGCCGTACAACCGCAACGGGCTCAAGTTCTTCACGCCCGCGGGCGGCCTCGACAAGCCGGACATCAAGGCGATCCTCGAGCTCGCCACCGAGGACAACATCCTCGCGGCAAAGTCGGTAACGGAGCACCCAGGAAAGGTGGACGCGGGCGTGGTGGCGCTCGCGGGGCGGCGCGCGCTGCTCGAGGGCGCGATGATGTCGACGCCGTGCCTGATGAGTCAGGACGACGTCGTCTCGCCCTACGTCACCCACCTCCAGGACGTCATTCGGCGCGTGGCGGACAACGGCGAGCGCCCGCTTGAGGGCCTGAAGATCGTGGTGGACGCCGGGAACGGCTCCGGGGGGTTCTACGCGTCGCGCGTGCTGGAGCCGCTCGGCGCGGACGTGGCGGGGTCGCAGTTTTTGGACCCCGACGGGATGTTTCCGAACCACCCCCCTAACCCCGAGGACAGCAGGGCGATGGCGTCGGCGGCGGAGGCGGTGCTGCGCGTGGGCGCGGACCTGGGCATCGTGTTCGACACGGACGTGGACCGCGCGGGCGTGATCGACGAGACGGGGCGCGAGATCAATCGCAACAGACTAATTGCGGTGCTGTCCGCCATCATGCTCGAGAAATCGCCCGGGTCGACGATCGTGACGGACAGCATCACGTCGAACGGCCTCGCGGACTTCATCCGCGCCAAGGGCGGGCGCCACCTGCGCTTCAAGCGCGGCTACAAAAACGTGATTGCCAAGGGCGTCGAGCTCAACAACAGCGGTACGACGTGCGAGCTCATGATCGAGACGTCCGGCCACGGCGCGTGCAAGGAGAACTACTTCCTCGACGACGGCGCGTACCTCGCCACGCTCATCGTCGCGGAGCTCGTCGCCATTCGGAAACACGGCGGCACCTCCATCGCGCAGCTGCTCGAGGGCTTCGTCGACCCCGCCGACGAGGCCGAGTACCGGCTCAAGGTCCAGGCGGACGACTTCAAGCCCGTGGGCGACGAGGCGCTGCGGCGGCTGAAAGAGGCGGTGGATGCAGGTGTCGAGGGCTGGACTATGGAAGAAGAGAACTTCGAGGGTTGGCGGGTCAAGGTGGACGAGGGGGAGGGACGCGAGGGGTGGTTCCTGCTCCGGCAGTCGCTGCACGACCCCGTGATGGTGCTCAACGTGGAGTCGCAGGTCGAGGGCGGGTGCGCCGCCACCGTGGCGCGCGTGCGCGAGCTGATGGAGTCGTTCGACCTGCCGCTGGACCTGTCGGCGCTGCCGTAGGTCGCGGCGAGCTCGTGCTGTGAGACTGACTGACTCGATGACGACGGTCCGCACGCGCCGATGTCGTCGCAGTGACGTGCCTGCTGCGGCGCTCGGGGGTCCGCGACGGCGGGGGCGCCAGCTCGGCGAGCGACAAGCGTCCCGGGAGGGGCCGCGCCCGCAAGAGCATCAGGATGCGAGCCGTCCATGCGCGATTCGCGACGGCCCGTCGTCGTCATTTCGTCCATTACATCTTAGTTTTCCAACGTTCTCTCGATTCTCGCCCAGCTAGGCCAGGAACCCTCCAACTACAATGCTGCATGCAGGTTGAGCGCTCGCCGCGGCGCTCACGCCTTCGCCTTGAGCGCCACGATCCGATCCGCCTTCCCAAGATCCCCGAACTTCAGGAACACTATCAGCATGGCCAAAGCCACGGTGGTCGCGCCGCCGCCCATGAGGAAGCACCCGACGGGCCCCCAGCCGAGGTTCTCCGTGAACGTCGCCGTGCGGCCCGCCATCATGTTGCCCAGGAACAGGGATCCCGCGGCCGTGATGTCAAACAGCGAAAAGGCAGTGCCCTTCAGCTCCTTGGGCACGTACGACTGCAGCGTCGCGCCGATCAGCGCGTGCGTCATGCCCATGTGCAGGGCGATCTGCGAGAGCGACGGGGGAGCCTTCCGCGTCGTCAGAGGCCGCCCGCAACCAGGGAAGCAGCGCACAGCTGCTAAACGCACGCGTCAGCGCGCGAGGGGCAACGTACCAGGAAGTAGCCCACGACCATGCCCGGGACGGACCCGAGGAAGACGAACGCGGCGTTCGCGGCCACGAGCGCGGCGAAGCCCGCCACGAACGACGTGTTCCTCCGTCGCATGTGCTCCTCGACCGTGAACCCCTCCGGCCTCGAGAACTGCCCCTTGATGTCGACCCACGCGCCCATGAGCTTCCCGATGAAGAACTGCGCCAGCAGCGCCGCCGACGCGATCATCGGCAGCAGCGCCTTGGGCGTTCCGACCGAGACCATGCGGATGGAAACGAACGACGCCTCGAAGCGCGCGATGAAGAGGACCGCGAACACCGCCACCGCCTGCCAGTACGCCGGCTGCAGCGCGCCCGACGTCGCGAGCGCGAACATCTTCTTCGCCTTTTCGAGCATCCCGCCGCGCGTGGCAGCGGCGGCGGCGGGTTTGGTCTGGGGGGTGCTGGCCGCGGTCGGAGCCGGGGCCTCGTCGTTCGAGGCGAGCGCTTCCGCGGCGGGGTCGGGGACGGTGTAGCAGAGCACGAGCGCCGCGATGGCGGGGACGACTGCGCGCGGGGAGGGCGCGGGGGGTGTGTGAGGCGGAGAGACCCGGGGGGGGGTGGTCAGGTCGTGTTGGCGCCAGGCGGCGTACCGGCGAGGGTGAAGTTGGTGACGAAGCTCTGGCCCGTGAGCTGGAAGAGAATGCCGGCGAACGTGCCGCCGAGCGCCAGCGCTAGGTTTTGGTACGCCGCCTTCGAGGCGAGCGCGACGGCGGCGTTGCTGCCGGCGCGCTGCACGATCAGCGCCTTGATCGGCGTGTCACGGAACCCTGCGAGCGGCCGGAACGCGCGCCTCGGTACGTTCGCGTCGCTGCAGCCGCGCACAAGCTTTCGCAACGTACGCTCTGTTCAACGCGCCCCGCACCTTTCGTGACGCGGTCGAGCACGCGCGCCGCCGTCAGCCAGTACACGACGCCGACCGCGCCCACCGCGGTGTACACGCTGCCCGTCACCGCGAACATCGGCCGGCCGAGGGCGTACAGAGCCGCCCCGAAGAGCATGATGCCCTTGTGGCCCACCATGTCGCCGACGATGCCGGACGAGAAGTTGCACACCTGCGAAATGGCGCGGAGACGCCCTGGGCGTGAGCGGCGCGGGCCCCGACCGCGGGGGCAGCTCTGGTGGCTGTTTGAGTGCGCCGCAAGACACCGAAGCTTGTTTGCCGTTCCACGCGGGATTCGCGACTCGGGTTGTGCTCGGCGCGCGGCAGGCGGGCGGCCGTGAGGGGACGGGAGGCGGCGGCGCAGTGCGGGCGCGGCGGCCGGCGTTCGCGGCGGTGTGGCGCAGTACCTTCTGCATAAGCAACGAGAGAGCCTCGAGGTCCCCAATTTTCGTGTTTGAGAGCTGCAGAGTCTCCTTGAGGTAGACGGGCAGGTAGGACTGCACCATGATGCCCGAAAGCGTCCACAGGAACTGCACTCCGCACAGCGCCCCGACGAAACGGGACGCCTTGGCATCGCCTGCAGTGGGGCACAACGGGCCGCGGGGCGTCGGCGCGCTCGCGGGGGCCGTCGAGGCGACCTCCCGGGGATCATCGCGGATTCTGCGCAGGTGCAGCGGCCCGGAACGTCGCGCCAGCGCCCCGCAAGAGCGCTGTGCGCCAGTGACCTAGGCACTGGCGCGCTTTGGAGAGGCCGAGGGCGGTTGCGGGCGCGGGAGGTCGCGTTCCGTGGCGCGATGCAGGACGGGCGGACGCGTGGGAGGTTCCTCGAGGGATCGCTGTGCGTCTGCGTGCGGGGCGGGCGACCTACCTGGCACGGGGTCGAGAATGGTGGCAAGGAAAGCCTTGGCGCGCTCCGCAACGTTGCTGGACGGCGCTCCCCTGGTCGAGAAGGACGACGCGTGGCCACGGTGAGGCATGTGCGCGTCGCCTGCCGCGGCCTGGGGCGCGGGCGGCCGCTGCGCTCGCCGGGGCGCCGCGGAGCATGGCCAGCATGGCACACTTTGCCGCGAAAGACGCAGCCGCGCGTCGCTGGCTCGCGGCGCTGCGGCGCGCTGCGCTGCGAGCGAAGTGACGGGGAGCATGGCGGGGCTAGGCGCTGCACAGGAGCGTCGGAGCGGGCCGGCGGGGCCTCGGGAAAAGCGAGCAGCCCGCAATCGAGGGCTGCCGTTTCCGCGCTCGTGGGAACGTATCAAGTGCGTGTTCGCGCGCGACGGGGGTGTGGTGCGCAGCGACAGCCGGTTTCCGGGCGTTGCGGGCCGTGACACGGCCCCGCAGAGCTCCTGGAGGGGCCAAAGGAGGCTGGTGCATCCAGGGGGAGAGCAATTGAGGACTGCCCTCTCAGCAGGCTAGGATAGTCCTAGCATAGGATGGCGCGGGGCAGGCCGTGCCGCGCCGTGCGCTTCCTCGCTCCGTCCCGGCCTCTAGCGTCCTGCCCGGCGACAGCCATCACAGTCGCACCGCAGACTCTCACAGTTCCGTCGCCCGCACACTATAAAACACGACTTGCGCACCACGTCATAACAGCTATCTGTGCATCTCCCCGGCACCCGCGCCGCACGCCCCCGCCCCCCCTCCGCGCCGCCCGCGCCGCCGCCCGCGCCGCCCCTCCGCGCCGCCCGCGCCGCCGCCCGCGCGCGCCGTCACCGCGCGCGGAACGCGTCCGCAGGCGGCGCGGCCATCTTTGGTGCGTCAAGCGACATCGGGCGCACGACCGCCGGCACGTCCGAGACGCACTTCTGCAGCGCCTCGGCGTAGAAGTGCGGGAAGTGGTCCCACAGCATCCGCGGGCTCAGCTGGATGCCCTGCTCCGTCAGCTCCCGCGCCTCGAGCCACCGCGGCACAAACGCATTCCGCTTGCCTCGCTGCCCAGCGCCCGGCGTGTCCGGCTGCTCCGGATCCACGCGGCTGTTCTGCGCGGAGTCCACGGGCCGCATCGGCCCGTCCTGCACCCCGGACGCGCTCTGCCGCACCCCGCCGTGCGTTGACGGCGCGCCACTCCGCGACGGGCGCAGGCTGGCCAGGCTCGACCGCACGCGCGGGAGGATCCCGGGGCGGACGTCCTTGAGCGGCTGCAGGAAGAGCACGCGTCCGCCGGGCACCAGCGGCCGCAGGAGCGTCTCCTCCAGCTGTGCGTCCGACCGCCCAGGGTTGAGCAACACGTCTTCCCGGAACTCCCGCAAGGCCGCGCGGGCCTCCGCGGGGACGTCCTCGTCGCTCCGGAAGGCCTCTGCGTACGGGATGCGCCGGCCTCGGAGCGTCGCGAGCAGGACGCGCGTCTTGTTCATCTTCATGCGTGCACCCGCCTCAACCATGTCGAGCCGGAGGCGCCGCACGGTCGCGACGTTGAGGCGCGGGACGACGTCCTTGCCGGCGACGACGGAGACGACGTGGGAGGCCTGCCCGCGCGACGTCGCGGGGTCGATCGTGGCCGCTGGCGTGCCGTATGCGAAGCACACCATCGTCGGGTGGAGTCTGTGGAGGGTGGTGGAGAGCAGCACGGCGATGCCGGCGCCGAGGGAGTGGCCCGTGACGACGAGGCGCCACCCGTGGGGCTCCCCGACGGCGGCGGGGGCGTTCGGCCCGGCGAACGCGGGGTCGTCGTGGGGGGGGACAAAAGACTGACCCCCCCCGAGGACGTCCTGGAGGACACCGCCCGAGAGCAGCGCGCGGAGGATGTTGCGCGCGACGGCGACGAAGCCCGCGTGGCCGTAGCGCGGCTCGGCCGCGTCGCCCGCCTGACAGACGCAGTTAGACTCCCCCGCGGTGTCGGGCTCGGCGAACCGCGCGCGCCGGCCGGAACGCCCTTCCTCGAGGTCCACGTGGAAGCTCTCAGCAGACCGCCACGACGTGCCGCTAGCGTCCGAGCGCGCCGCAGCCTGCGCTGCGGGCCCGCTGGCTGCGTTTCCGTCGTCGCGCAGGAGGCCAGCGTCTCTCGCCACGTCATCAATGACGTCAAGGGATGTGGTGTCGCACATGATGTCCGTGATGGCGTCGGCGACGGAGCCAGTGCCGCGGATGGCCACGACCACGCTCTTCGTCGGCCAGTCCAGCGCTGCGGGCCACGCAGGAACGAACAAGGCATGCCGTTGAGTGTAATGGCGGCAGGGATCTCGGCACGTCGATTGCGCGTGGTCGCGCTTCGCGGGCGAGCACAGCCGGCGTCTGCGCCGCGGGGGCGCGCTCACCGATGAGGAACGGGACCTGTCCGAGTGCGCTGTTGGCCTGCGACACAAAAAGCAGATCCTGTCGCCTCATGCGCGCCGCCTGCAGGATCGCTTCGATCATGATGCCCCGCTGCGCCGGCTCATCCAGGCCGTCCCTGCACCGCGTTCACGACGACCACGCCCGTCAGCGTCCACACACGGCTGCGCTGCGAGTCTGTGCGTGCAAATCGCCGACTATGCTGCGCACCCGCGGCCCGCGCAGGGGTCTGCGCACACTGCGCGGCAGCACAGATGCGCTGCGACGCCGCAGCACGCGCAGTTCATCACCCCGGCCTTGTACATCTGCAGCGGGGCGCCGTAAATAGCTTCAGCATACGCCATGTATCGTCGCGCCTCCGGGACGACCGCCTCGGGCCGGGTCGACGACAGATCCTTCCCGTCGATGCGCTTGTGTCCCTCGGCGCCGGAGTCTTGCCACGGCTTGGACTTCCGTCGCCATTTCCGCACCACGGCCCCCAGCGCGCCATGCAGCGACCCCCGGGGCGTTTTGCTCGCCCCGCCGTCGCTGGCCAGTCCTGAGACTGACCGCTTCCAGGCTTGCGACTCGTCCGTTCCCCTCCGCTGCCACACCCGCTCCGCCCCCGCCGCCTCCCCCACCTCGGCCACGCGGGACGTGAACGCGCTCCTAGTGTCGGGCAACGCCCCCGGGGTGCTGTCGCCGCAGTCGCTCTTCCAGAGGCTCCTGTTCCACGGCGCGCGCTGCGTATCGGCGTTCTGCTGCACCGCGACCAGTCGGAGCATCGTCACGGCGTCCGACAGCACCAGGTCGCCCCCGCCCAGGACGGCGACGGCGATCGCCGCCAGCCGCTCCAGTGCGCGGTTCGTGGCCGTCGCGGAGGACTCCTCGGCGACCATCGCCGCGGCGGGACCCTCGCGCTCCCACTCCTCGATCGTCGAGTGCGCCTCCGCGAACTCCGCATTCCGGGGCAGCTGCCTGCGCGTCGCACGACGTCGCACAGCGTCGCACTCGAATTTTAGTTCTGGCGGCGACGCGCGGGCCAACGGGGCAAGCGGCCAGTGCGCGGCGTAGGACCGGCGTATCTGCGCGCGGGGGACGCACCAGCCGCAGATGCGCGCGTAGCAGTGGACGCGGCGTCGCCAGCCCTCGTTGCTGTCCGCGTGGTGGCGGAAGGAGTAGGCGAGGAGGAACGTCGCGACCGCGCCGGCTACGAACACCCAGGACCCGATCACCACGACGAGGAACATCACGATCGGGTCCAGCGCGCGGGCCACCGCGCCGTTGCGCTGCAGGCAGGCTTCCAGGTCGATGTCGCCGACGAACGACGCCGTGGCCGCCAGCAGCGTCGCCTGCGAGGTAGCAGGGCGCCCGGTGCGGGGGTTCGGGGCGGCGCCAGACACAGCGGGCCGGCGCACGCGGGCTAGAGCACAATGTGCGGGGGTCTTTTACCATGAGGGTCAGACAGAGGCAGCAGAGGACGTAGATCGCCCAGGGGACGCGCTTGCGTTTGGAGACCTCGAAGACGGTGCCTCGCGAGGACTCGTACGCGAGCCACCCGAGCGCCGCGACGGAGAGCAGGAGTGTGATGGTCATCACGAGAGTGACGCCGAACCAGTCGATCGGGGTCTGGCAGCCCGGCGCGCTCTCCAGCTGCACGCAGCTCGCAGCGGACGCGGTCAGTCGGGCGGCCGGCGAGCCGGACGGCCTTCAGCTGTCGATCTTGGAATCTGTCAAAGGGAGGATCTGATTCGCGGTGGCGGACGGGGAGTGCGGGGCTGCCCGCTGCGGAAACAGCGAGTGAGTGCCGTACCTGTGTTCCTGGGAGGAGAACCAGCAAAACGATGCTCCACGCGAGGCAGAGGAGCATCCCGGAGACGCCCGGAAGCACGAGCTCGTCCGAGGCGATGCGCCACGCGCGACCGAGGCAGCGAAGCGCCGGCATCGTCGTCCTTTGGGACAAGACGCAGCTGGGAAGCCGCTGTCCGGCGGCTTCAAAGCCGCCCACGGGCGCACAGCACCCCCTGATTCATAGAGGTGCAGAAACCGCGCCTCTCGACGCCAATTTCGCTCGGGCCGGCCGTTCTTGGGCGGATTCGCGGGAGTGTTCGCGGCTGCGCCGCGCTGGGCCGCGCCTCGTCGGAATGCGGCGGCGAATTCGGCTTGCTAGAGCGTCGCGGTTCAGGCGTGTTTGGTGGGAAAGGGCGCGCGCGGCGGGCGTTGCGAATGTCGAGTGGGTCGTGCGGGGAATGCCCGGGGCGAGGCGCGCACACGCGCATCGGAGCCGCGGCAGACGGACCCGCTCGTGTTGCGGGCGAACGGCCCGGAGGTGCGACGCCAGCCAGCTCAGGCATGGACGGACCGACGCAGCGCCGGGTCACGCCCCCGTCTCCGTCGGAGCACGAGGGCGCGCCCCTGGGCATCGTGGCGCGAGTACGTTGGCGGGCGCGCGAACTTTCGCACATCGCGGGGACACTGGAGAGAGCTGCAGGCCTCACCGCAGCTGCAAGGTGCGCTCGAAGAGAATGACGCGCGGGCTTGGCGCACCGACGACGGCGACGTGGCTCTACGATCACGGGGGCGCCTCGACAGTCCGTCGCAGTGCCGGAGTGGGGGCAGGGCCTCGTCCCAAGAGCTCGTGCTCTCAAACGAGCCCGTGCGCGCGCTCAGGGGGCTCCACGGCCGCGTCGGCGCGCTTGCTGCCTTCCTTACGCCCGCTCATGTCGATCCTTTGCAAAGTTCCAGCATTTCTGCGCCACATCGTCCGTGCATTTGGCATGTTGTGTGTCTCACATCTCGATCCGCGCCGCGCCGACGGTTCGCTGCAGCCGCCGAGCGCGCGTGTCTCTCCCAGCTGGCCGCAAGCGACCAAGCAGCCATCACCATCCGTCAATTCGTCCTGCAAAGCCCGTCCCGGCGCATCGCCGCCCGCAAGAACCTCCCCCGGCGCTGCTCTGCCGTCGCGCGAGCGGGCCACGGAACGATGGCTTCGTCAATCCCGAGGCGCCCGCTGGGCAGCACCGGCCTCGAGGTCTCCATCCTCGGCTTCGGAGCGTCCCCGCTCGGCGGCGTTTTCCACGCCATTGACGAGTCAGGCAAGCCCGCCATTCCCCCCCCCCTGCGCACATGCAAGCCGTACTCTCATGCTGTGTGCCACGAACGCAGCTCAAGGATCCCGCATCCCGCGCGATTGCCTCGCAGTGGGCGTCCAGGCCGTGCACGAGGCCTTTAAACAGGGGATCAATTTCTTCGACTCCTCCCCCTACTACGGCGCGACCGAGTCCGAGCGCGTGCTCGGCCTGGGCCTCAAGGACCTCCCGCGCGACAAGATCGTCGTCGCGACCAAGGCGCGCGCGACCACCACCACCGGCCACCGGCCATCTGCCCACGAACCATGATGGCGCGCCGCGACAGCCCGCGCCTGGCCCTGACCGCGCGTCCGCGCGCCGTGCGTCGCGCAGGTCGGCCGCTACGGCCCCGAGGAGAAGGATTTTGATTTCTCGGCGGATCGCGTGAAGCGGAGCGTAGCCGAGTCCCTCGCGCGGCTGCAGATCCCGTACATCGACATCATCCAGTGCCACGACATCGAGTTCGGCGACCTGGACCAGGTCCGCGCCCCGTGCGTCCACGCAACGACAACAACACGCACCGCTGCGGGCGCAGTGCCGTTGGCGCGCTGAGACGCCGGCGCCCGCACACCCCGCGCGGCGCCCGGGCTCGGTCGGCGCCGCAGGTGATCAACGAGACGCTGCCGGCGCTGCACGAGCTGAAGCAGCAGGGGCTGGTGCGCCACGTGGGCATCACGGGACTCCCCCTGGGGATCTTCAAGTACGTGCTGGACCGCGTGCCGGCGGGCACGGTCGACACGGTCCTCTCCTACTGCCACAACTCCCTCAACGACACCGCGCTCTCGGACTTCATGCCCTACCTGAAACAAAAGGTGCGCGCATGAACGACCGAATACGCCCCCCCCCCTTCCTACATCGCGGACCGCGGCGGGCGCCACTCGGGGCACGCAGTACTTGAGATTGGCTCGGGCGTCGTCGCGCGCAGGGCGTGGGCGTGATTTCCGCGTCCCCGCTGTCGATGGGGCTTCTAACGCCACAGGGGCCGCCCACGTGGCACCCCGCGCCGGAGGAGGTGCAAGCGGCCGCGAAGCGCGCGGCCAAGGTCGCGGAGGCGGCCGGCGCGAACATCGCGCAGCTCGCGATCCAGGTGCGCCCCCGGGCGGCGCTGCCGCTCTGCAATGTACGCGTACGCTCCCATGCGCGCCGGACTGCCCGGCGTCGCGGCGTGCGGCGCGAGACGGCGCAGACAGGCGGGCGTCGATCTCGGCTGCAGGACACGCTGCTTTGCGAGGGCGTCGCGACGACGCTGGTGGGCATGTCGGACCCGGAGACGTTGAAGAGAAATGTGGACACTGTGCTCGAGGCGGTGGCGGCGGGCGGGGTGCCGGAGGCGCACAGGGCGGCCCTGGCGGCGGTGAAGCAGGAGCTCGCGCCGGTCCACAACGTGACGTGGCCCAGCGGCCGGCCGGCCAACAGCAGCCTCCCCTACTAGGCCGAGTGCGCGCGGCGCGTGTGTGACCCGGCAAATGCTTTGGTAGGGCCAGTTGTGGGATGCGCGAATTCTGACTGAGCTACGCCGGCGGCCGCAGCGGCGGGTTTGCGCGCGCGACGCTGTGCGGGAGCTCCTGCTGGCGCGGGAATGTCGAGCCGTGTCGCCGAGCACGGTCCGTGTCGTCGCCGGCGCGGCGTGATACTCCGTCAGCAATTTCCACGCAAATCCCTCTCGCCACTGCCGCGCCCAGTTCGCGCCGCGGACGCCAGGCCGCCGCGGGGGCCGCGCATCGTGGCGGGGAAACGTGAGTGAGGGTGTACTGGGAGGCCACACGCTGCGGGCGGCAGGCGGGCACTTTGCATCCGCGCGCGCAGCTGCGGCGCGTATCGCGTGTGGTGGAAGGCGTCGTGCCGAGGAGCGTACGCAGCGTCCCTGACGTGGTCCCTCCAGAGCGGTTGCGGAGCCGAAAGCAAGCCTCAGGTGAGAGCGGCTGTCTGCGCCCGACGGCGCGTGTGCTGGACCGCCTGCGCGCGGCACACGCGGATTCGCTTTCACAGACGCGAGTTCGCGGCCCCGCACGGGAGTTCGCCCCGCGCTGCCCCCTCCAGCCCGCTCCGCAGCAGGCCGGCTCCGGAGCGCTGCCTCCCGTCTAGACCGCGCGATTCCGCACCGCGCGCGCTTTTCCGCGACGATTGCGTAGATCTCAGCCCGTTGCGCCCGCACTGCCCCCGTGCCTCCGCAGGGCGCGGCCTCTCCGGGGCCTACGACACGTGTTTGCGACCCTCAGCGCGGCACCTCTCCTGGGCGCCACCGCGGCATCTGAGCGCCGCGCAGCACCCCCGCGACCCCACATCCGTCCAGCGCCGCGGATATCGCCGCCATGCAGGCCTGGGCAGCCGACGAGACCATGAACAAGCCGGCCTCGTATGCCTCCTCGGCGGAGCCCTATTCGGACGCATCGCGGAGCATGCAGGGCTGGACCGGCGGCGACATCACCTCGGCGCCCGCCAGCACCCGCGCGGCGCCGAAAATGCCGCCTGCCGCGGCCGCGACGGTGCACGGAAGGCCAGCGCCGCGCCAGCTACTGGTCCCCTCGGCACCGGCCGGCGCGCCCTTCGCGCGGTCCCCCGCCGCGCCCGGCGTCGGATCCCCCGCGGCTGAGTCCCCCGCGGGCAGCGTGCGCGCGCGGCGGTGCATCCTGCGCGCGTCCACGATCCCAAACCTCAAGGCCAATGTCGATGCTGGGAACGCGGCCCAGGGCAGCAACTGGGCGGGCGAGGTCACGACGGAGCCTGCCGTCATCCGGAAGTGGTCCTCGATGCGCAACCCGTCGCCGATGAACTCGGACGCGGCCTCGGACTCATCGGAGCAGACGCGCGTGGTGCAGGCATCCGCGGCGGGGACCACGCCGGAGCGCTCGCGCAGCCCCGCGGACCAGGCCGGGCAGAACGCGGCCGAGGGGGCCGGCGCGTCGCGCGCGGAGTCGTCCTCGGCCTACCCGCAGCCCCCCGCGACGCCCGCGCACATCCGCGAGATGTGGGCCAACGGCGGGACCGCCCGGAACACGTCCTTCCGGTCCGCGCGGCGCTCGTGCTCGGACTCCGACGGGCCCTCGACCGCGTCGAAGCCGGCGCCGAAGATGTACAAGTCCTTCCGGACGCTCAACCCCGTGAAACAGTTTGAGGGGGAGGCCAAGGCGGCGCACCTGCAGCAGCAAAAGGGCCTGGCGATGGCCGCGGGGAAGCTGACGCAGCGCGTGATGCCGTTCTGAGGCAGGAGGGCGCCGCGCGGGCGCCCGGGCGACGTCCCGGGCGCGCCGCGGCCCGCGTGCCGCCGGCCTGGTGCTGCCGTGGGCGCTGCCGCCCACGCCGCGGCGTTTCTGCCGCGCAGACTTCGGGATAGAGGCACATTCGCAGCACACTTGCGCCTTCTGGCGCAGAAGTTTCTTTGCGCGCCACCTCGTGGCCGCCCCCGCCCCAACATGCCTTCAGTTGTCCATTGGCGAGGCGATCAGGAACACTTGATGACCGCAATCGACATCCTTCCATTATTGCTCTGAACAACCACTCGAGCGCGGCGCCCGTGTGACCCACGTGCGTCATCCAATCAGGCCGCGCCCACCACCGCTCCGAGTCGTCGCAGCGCATCACCATGGCCTGCCGGCTGCACCCGCCCCACCATCCGTCGCGCTCTGAGCCACGCACGCCGGACCAGGCGCGATCGCCGGCGCCGCGCTGCACGCCCCGGCGCCCGGCGCGCAGAGTCCGTTGTCCCGCACACAAGGTGTTTGCGCGCGTGCCGCATGCATACGTGCAACTAGTGCTGTGCGTCTTGCACGTGGCGCGGAGTCGCGGAGGACCACACCCCTGTGCGGCCCCTTCGGTCCCGACCCTCGCTGCGTTCGCTCGTGCGTCACAGCCTGCGCGTCCGCGGCGGCGCTACCCCAAGCGCTGCGCCAAAAAGGCAAAGCGCGGCCCGAGCTGCTCGGCGGCGTCCCGCAGCGGCACGCGGATGTCCACGCGCACGTCGTCGTCGATGCAGTCCGCCACCACGAAGCCCGGCGCCACGTCGTCCACGAGGAACGACGTCATCTGGCTCTTGTTCTGGTTCATGGCGCGCCGCAGCTCCTGCTGCACGGGGCGGCTCAGCGACTCCGTGTTACTGACAGGACAGCGTGTGGAGTCACAGAGAAGGCCGACAAACCGACCCAGAACGGCAGAAAAGAATATATCGTGTCCCCACCAGCCAAAGTCAGCGACTGGGCGTCGCCAGGCCTACCAGCCCTGCGCGAGAATCCGTGCACTGTGCGGAGCGTTCGCGTCCTATCAGTCGCAGCAGCGAGCGCGTCCTGGGAGCACACAATGCCAGGGCGGCTGCTTCATTCGCCCGATCCCACAGGCCATGCAATCCACGTGGCTTCTCCATGCCGTTCATTCGGCGGACGAGTCGGTCGACGTCCTGTGCCTTCAGCCGGTACTGAAAGTCGTCGTCGCGGAGCTTGGTCAGCACGGCGGTCACGCACTGCAGGACAGCGCCGATCGAGTTGGCGACACATGCCACGTCGATCGCCTTTCGCGAAAGGCTGTCGACGCGGTCGCACAGCGCGATCAGTCGTTCGACGACCTGTGCCACGTCCTGGCTCGACGGCGTGCGCGCCCCCCAGGCATTGACGGCCCTGAAGAGTCGCCCACTCTCGGACTGGATGCCATCGGCCATCATGCGGTGACCGTGCGCGAAGCCTTTGACGATCCCGGAGGGCGCCTGCCCACCCTGCTTCGGCAGTCTCTGCCCTATCCCTGGCCCCCACCGCTCCGTCCGGATCGACCCCTCGTTTGGAGCGGCGGCTGCACGCGCTCGGCCCGTGTTGGCGCGAGCGAGCTGCGAACGCGCAGTGTCGACTCCCCCGCGCGCGTCGCGTGCTTCATCTTGTCTCTGTGCGCTTCCGGCCGGGGCTCGTCGCTGCAAGAACACAACGGCCAGTCGTCGACAGCCGATTCCGAAGTTATGAATGTGCCTTTGAAATAGAAGCCGGAATGTTATACCCCCGGGCACGCAAGCGGCTCAACGGGGGCGCGCATGCGCCACGTGATGTAGCGGGCGTTCCCTGCGGAGCCGCACTCCGCGTGACAGCAGTGCCACACTCTGGAGCGCAGTCCTACAGCATGGGGAGACGCACACGCGTTGACAGGGGCGTTTGCGAGCACTGCGCACCTCTGAATGCTTCCGCCGCGCCACCGCCTTCCTCCGCGCCGTCTGCGCCGCCAGCGTCGCCCACTTCACGCGCAGGTACTCCTGCCGCAGCTTGGCCGCGCGCCACGCGGCCTGGATGCGCGTCGCGGCGCGGTCGCGGCGCGTCTCGAGCGCCGTCCGCCGCGCGAGCTCCCCGCGCCACGCCGCCTGGATCCGCACCGCCGCGTTGCGCGCGGTCCGCAGCGTGCCGCGCGCCAGCATCCCGCGCACGCACGCCTGGATGCGCGTCGCCGCTGCCGTGCGGCGCATCCGCCGCACGAGCTCCCGCGCCGCGTGCCCGCGCGCGTACGCCTGGATCCGCACCGCCGCGTTGCGCGCGGTCCGCAGCGTGCCGCGCGCCAGCATCCCGCGCACGCACGCCTGGATGCGCGTCGCCGCTGCCGTGCGGCGCATCCGCCGTGCGAGCTCCCGCGCCGCGTGCCCGCGCGCGTACGCCTGGATCCGCACCGCCGCGTTGCGCGCGGTCCGCAGCGTGCCGCGCGCCAGCATCCCGCGCACGCACGCCTGGATGCGCGTCGCCGCTGCCGTGCGGCGCATCCGCCGCACGAGCTCCCGCGCCGCGTGCCCGCGCGCGTACGCCTGGATCCGCACCGCCGCGTTGCGCGCGGTCCGCAGCGTGCAGCGCGCCAGCATCCCGCACGCACGCACGCCTGGATGCGCGTCGCCGCTGCCGTGCGGCGCATCCGCCGCGCGAGCTCCCGCGCCGCGTGCCCGCGCCACGCCGCCTGGATCCGCACCGCCGCGTTGCGCGCGGTCCGCAGCGTGCCGCGCGCCAGCATCCCGCGCACGCACGCCTGGATGCGCACCACCGCGGCACGTGAGCGCACGAAGTGCGCCCGAGCCTTACAGCCGCGCACGTGCTTCTGGATCACGACGGCCGCGTCCTCCTGGCCCGACGCAGACCCCTCATCAGAATCCCACACCATTGTTTGTTCGAGGTCGCGTTTCGATCGCGAATTCCCCGATCCGGCGCCCGATAACGCGTCGCCCTCCACGTCGGCCTCATTGTCGGACTGGTGCAGCCAAGCCGCTCGGAGCGGCCCGCCGCAGTGTGGGCATGCAGCCTCCGTACCATCTGGCACAGCACCCTCGCTCGCGCGCACATCGTCGAGACGAGTCACCGCCTCGTCCAACCGTCGCTGAAGGAATTCCGCCCTCGCCGCCGTCCGCACGAGCTCCGCGTGCAGCGTCTCCAGCGCCCGCTTGGAGCCGCGATGCGCCTCGACGGCTAGCGAGCGCAGCTCGCCCAGGTGCGCCTCCAGGGCCGAGGCTAGCACCGCTTGCTCGCTCGGCCCCGTCGCCGGACCCCTCATGACTTCTGCGTAGGGCCGCGGCCGTGCTTGGGTCAGGCTGCGCCCTGACGCGTCGACCCGGCGTCAAGAAGCGCATTGCAAGAGATCCCTGCTCGGCAGCAGCGGCAGCGCCCGACGGTGCGGTGAAAGCTCATGGCGCACGGTGCTGAGCGCGTCAAGCATCACGACGGCGCGCTCACGCCGCTAGCGCCCCCTGGCGTCGCTGCGAACGCGGCAGGGAGCGCCCCGCAAAAGAGAGATGCTTCCCGCAGGAACAGTGCGCGCGCCTGAGGGCGCCAGGGGCTGCGATCAATGATTCATCGCGTCAGCCGCGTAGCCGTAGACTCGTCTAAGCTGACAACGACAGCACGCGCCTGTGAGACGCAGAATCGTCCGGGTTCGCAGCTAGGCTACTCCACAGGGTGCGCAGTCACCCAGCGCGCTGCGCGGGAAGGCACGCGGAGTTTTCAGCGCAGCGCCCGCTCACCTGCGTGTCTGCGCCGTCGCGGGACCTCGCTCGCACCGCACAGCGCCCTGCGCCCCCCTGAAAAGCCCAAACACAATCACGCAACCTCAAACAGGTGCCCGGAGGCCCGCCCACCCGCGCACCGCAGTCCCAGGCCTCTGTCGCGGAGCTCACGTGGGCACAAGCTTGGCCGGCCAGCCGGCGCTCGCGCGCCAAATCGGCGACCCGAGGAGCTGCCTGTGTCGGCATGGCGTGTCATACTGGACGTGTCCGACCACAGCGACGGATCGGTTCGCCAGGCGGGCACCCGATGGGAGCGTATGCCTGACAGGACAGCGCGTAGAGTCACAGCCCGCGCGTCCGCGGCGGCGCTACCCCAAGCGCTGTGCCAAAAAGGCAAAGCGCGGCCCGAGCTGCTCGGCGGCGTCCCGCAGCGGCACGCGGATGTCCACGCGCACGTCGTCGTCGATGCAGTCCGCCACCACGAAGCCCGGCGCCACGTCGTCCACGAGGAACGACGTCATCTGGCTCTTGTTCTGGTTCATGGCGCGCCGCAGCTCCTGCTGCACGGGGCGGCTCAGCGACTCCGTGTTGTACTTGTCGTCCCAGTACAGCGTGCTGAGGCGGTATATCTGCTGCACGCTGAGGTTGCAGCACACGTCCTCCGTCAGCATCTTGAAGTCGAGGTTCTGCTTGTTGTGAATGACCAAGAACGACACCGCCTGCTGGAACGGCTCCAGCATGTCGCTCGCCCGCCCGACCGCGGGGCCCATGTCCAGCAGCCACCCGCGCAGCGCCCGCAGCCCGCCCGACAGGTACTCGCCGTTCGAGAACGAGTTGCAGTCCTTTCGTAGCGCGAGCTGGTTGTAGAGCGTCATGTTGACGAACGACAGCACCTGCTCGAACAGCGACGCGCACAGCGCGCGCGGCACGTGCGTGTCCTTCATGACCTGCAGCAGCTGCGCCAGCTCCTCGAGCATGAGGCCCCACGGCGTCGTGGCGTGCTCGTTGACCGCGCCGCTCGCCGTCCGCGAGAAGTCCCCGCTCACGCCGCCGCTCAGGTGCACCGCGTGGCCGGCCTTGGGCGCCAGCATCGCCGACATCAGCAGCGGCTGCAGCGTCTTCTTCACGCCGTCCTTGAGCGCGCCGTACACGTTCTGCAGAATGGTCTCCAGGTTGCTCTTGAAGACCAGCGCGGGGTACTTCGTGTCCACCTGCAGCCCGGCTCCGCGCGCAGCGCTCGCCTCGGGCGCGGGCAGCGCGCGGTTGGAGCGGCCGCTGCGGACAAACATCTTCCCGACGTTGGAGACGAGGCCGCCGACGAGGGGCATGCTGAGGCCGCCGCGCGAGTTGTTCTTCGCCGCGTTGGACAGCACGGGCCGCGTGTGCGTCTTGAAGAGCGCCAGCAGCGACGTGCACACCGACATCCAGTGGCACAGCCCGCGCCGGTCCTCCCCCACGCGGCGCAGCTGCTGCTCGAACACGCCCGTCGTGCGCTCGAAGAGCTTCGTGCCTGCGCGCACCCACACGCGACCACGCGCACATGAGCACACACGACACGCAAACACCCCATAATATACGATATATACGAGATGCATTTCCGGGATTTGCGCCGCCGCACCTGCGTCCTGGAACGCCTTCATGTTGTACGCCGTCCGGAAGATCACCAGCGACGCCGCCGGCACGTTGCCTTCGTACAGCGCCGCGCCCTCCGACTTGAGGTACCGCAGAAGCGCCTCTTCCATCTCCGCGCGCTCCCGCATCTCCGCCTGGTTCGCCTCCAGCTCGATGCGGCTGCGCGAGATCGTCGGCGACATCAGCCCGCGCGACGACGACGGCGACAGCGGCGGCGCCAAGCCCGCCTGCGACGGCCGCGCGCCGGCCAGCGCCGCGCCCTCCGCCGCCGCTGCCGCCCCGCTCCCCCGCGCGAGCTCCAGCTTCTCCACCGCCTTGTCCCGCTCCTGCCTGTACCGCGTCATCCTCCGCGCCAGGTCCTCCTTCTCGCGCTTCCACGCCTCCCGCTCCGCCTCCAGAGCCTCGGTCGCCCGCGTCGACTCCAAACCCTCCTTCCGCATCCCCTCCAGCTGCTCCTTCGAGCTCGCCTCCCGCTCCTGCGCCGCCCTCGCCGCCGCCTCCGCCGCCGCCGCGCGCTCCGCGGCCTCCCCGAGCTGCGCCTCCGCGGCGCCCGCCCTCGCCACCGCCGCTGCGCGGTCCCGCTCGAGCGCCTCCAGCCGCGCGCGCAGGTCCGCGAGCTCCGCCTCGAGCGCCTCCACGCGCGCCGTCTCGGCCTTCCGGCGCTGCTGCTCCTCCTTCAGCACCTTCCGCGCGTGCGCCCGCTGCGCCTGGACCTGCTCCAATGTGTTGGACATCTCCGCGAGTCTCTCTTCGAGGTCCTTCTTGTCCTTGACAAGCTTCTGCGTGCTCCGGGCCTCCGCGCGCCGCTGCACCGCGCGAAACACCGCGTGGCCGTTGGTGTGGCGGCCCCCCGCGCCTCCCGAGCGCAGGACAGGGAGAGTGAGTCGAACCCAGTGGGTACAACGTGGCAGCAGCACGGGAATGCGTAGAGGCCCAGGCTGGCCAGTGCGACCTGCGTGCTTACCTTGAGGTACTCCCGCCGCGCGACCGCCTTCCTCCGCGCCGTCTGCGCCGCCAGCGTCGCCCACTTCACGCGCAGGTACTCCTGCCGCGGCTTGGCCGCGCGCCACGCGGCCTGGATGCGCGTCGCGGCGCGGTCGCGGCGCGTCTCGAGCGCCGTCCGCCGCGCGAGCTCCCCGCGCCACGCCGCCTGGATCCGCACCGCCGCGTTGCGCGCGGTCCGCAGCGTGCCGCGCGCCAGCATCCCGCGCACGCACGCCTGGATGCGCGTCGCCGCTGCCGTGCGGCGCATCCGCCGCACGAGCTCCCGCGCCGCGTGCCCGCGCGCGTACGCCTGAATGCACACCACCGCGGCGCGCGCGCGCGCGTACCGCCTCTGCGCCCGGCAGCGCCGCGCGTGCTTCTGCAGCACCACCGCAGCCTCCTCGCGCACGCGGTGCAGGCGCCGGTCGAGGATCGCCGACTCCCCGGGCCGCAGAAACACCTTGTGCATCCCCATCTGGTAGTGCCGCATGACCTCGAAGTTCATCGTCTGCAGCACGGCGCCCGTGACGCGCTTGCACGCCGCCACGTACTGCGGGTCCGCGTCTGACCGGAAGCGGTCCATCCTCTCCGCGTGGAGCCTGTCCGGCACGATGTGCCAGTACTTGTCCACGAACGCGGCGTACTGCATGCGCGCGGGGTACCCCGCCAGCGCGATGCGGATGGCTTCCAACACCCCCCCGCAGCGCAGCTGCTGCAGCACGGACGGCTCGAGGAACTCCCCGGGGGACTGTTTCTCGTTCGGCTTGATGCAGCGCACGTAGTGCGGCTGCTGCGTCTGCAGGTCGCGCATCAGCGCGCCGAGCTGCTGCACAAAGCGGCCGCCGACCGACTGGAACTTGTACGCGCTGCCACGCGGGCCCTTCGCCGCGGCGCCGTCCGCGGGCGCGCCGTCCGCGGGCGCGAAGAGCTCGGCCACGAGCTCCATGGTCGCGCTGGCCATCAGCTTGACGTGCTCCTCAACCAGGAAATCTCGATTCTTTTCCACAAAGTTCGTGGTCGAGTACGTCACCTGCCCCGCGTAGTGGTCGATCGTGAAGGCCTCCTGGTCCCGCTTCGGCACCTCGTACCGCTCGTGCTTCACCGGCCGCTGCCCGCCGGGCCCCGGCGCGCCCTTTCCGCCAAACTCCTGGTGCAGCCTGTCCGCAAAGTCCTTCGCCTTGAGATTCATGCGCGACGAGTCGTCCAGGAGCGGCACGATGCCGCCCGCGCGGCCCTCGAGCAGGTCGAGCACGTCCTGGTTGTCCTTGAAGTTGATGTACGTCCAGTCGATCTGCTCCCGCTCGTACTCCTGCTGCTCCTGCTTGAACACGTGCATGTTGAAGTGCTGCTGCAGCTTCTCGTTCGCGAGGTTGATGCAGAACTGCTCGAAGTCGTTCCGCTCGAACTGCTCGAAGCCGTAGATGTCGAGGATGCCGATCTTGCTGAACGGGCGCGGGTCCTCGCCGATGCGGTGGTTGATGCGCGCGACGAGCCAGTCGAACAGCCGGCAGTAGATCTGCTTGCACAGCGCGTCGCGGTTCGCCTCGGCCTCCTGGAGCGACAGCGGCGACTTGATCTCGCCCTCCGGCTGCAAACACACACACCACGCACACGCGCAAACGATTTTGGGGTTCTGCTTCCGTTCCGGCGCTCACGCACGGCACTCACGCACGCGCCGTCGAGCACACGCCAGCACGCGGGGCGCGGCGACGCACCAGCTTGCGCGTGCGCTTCGTGAGGGCCTCGGCCAGCGCGTCGGCGTCGACCCCGAGGAGCTTCGCGCACGCGTGCAGCGCGCCCACGGCCCCGCCGGCGACCTCCGAGTCGTCCTGCGAGCCCTTGAACGTCACGTTGCCCAGGTGCAGCACCGCGGCCACCACCTGCATGCACTGCTCCTGGTTGACCCTGTCGATGCCTACCACGTCCATCGCGTGCCGCGTGGCCGCGTAGTCCTCCGCGTCGGACGTGCCGGGCCCGAGGTCGTGGCAGGTGCTGCGCGCGAGCAGCCGGAAGCCCTGCGACGTCGGCGGCAGCTCGAACCGGTCGCGCTCGGACTTTGAGGCGCCCGCACACAGCTGGTAGAAGATGTGGTAGCTCCGCTCCGGGTCGTTGATCGCGACGATGCGGGAGCGTTCCTGCGGGGAGCGGACGGGCGCGGCGGGCGTGTTCGAGCGCGGGCAGCGCGGCGGCGGCGGCGCACGTGTGTGTGTTTGAGGGTGGAGGGGTCATTGGCGGCGTACCAGGAGGTAGGTGCGGATGGCGGCGCCGCTGACGCGTCCGTTCGCGGAGAACTGGATCTCCATGAACTTGCCGAAGCGCGACGAGTTGTTGTTGCGCACGGTCTTGGCGTTGCCAAACGCTTCCAGGAGCGGGTTCGACGACAACACCTGGTCCTCGACGCTCGTGCTGCGGACGTCGTTGTCGCCGTTCGCGGACGCGCCGAGCGCGGGCGTCGCCGGGCCCGCGCCGGACGCCTTGACGGCCATGTGCGCCAAATATGACATCATGAATTTGGAGGTTTCCGTCTTGCCAGCCCCGGACTCGCCGGAGATGAGGATCGACTGCGCCTGGCCCGTCGACATCATCTTCGAGAAGGCGTCGTTCGCGATCGCGTACACGTGCGGCTCGTACTCCCCGAGCTCCGCGGTCCTGCGACCGCGGCAGCACCAGCGGGGCGCTGTTGAGCCCCACACGCGCCGGAAGCGCCGGGGCCGGGCGCTGCGCGCCGCGGCGGGCTCCTCGGACGCTCTGCCGTCGGGCCGCGCGCGCATCGAAGCGCGCGGCGCGCGGGAACGCGCCGCAGGAGGCGGGCCGTTGGTGACAGCGCACTGGAGCAGACACACATCGCGCGGCTGGCGGGCGAGGCGGCGACGTCTCGCGCTCCGGTGCGCGCGGAGCGCAGGCTCGGGGACTGACGGCTGCGTGCGCGCGCGGGGGAGCCCACCTGTAGTTATCCATCATCGCAGGCCCGTAGAGATCCGGGAGCGGGGTGAAGGGATTCACGGCAATGAGGATGGAGCCGGTGTACGTGTAGATCTGGTCCTTGTCGTAGCGAATCCGCAGGTTCTCGAGCACGTTGGGCTCGTTCAGGTACGACAGCGTCGTCATGTCGTCCACGCCGTGCTGGTTTGGTTCGCGCAGACAGCACTTGGCCATTTCCATTTCGCGGTGGGACCCGTCCTCGAGCTGCGAGCGCGACGCCGCGGCCGAGCGGGGCGGTGAGCCGGCGCGGGCGCGGGCGCGCGGGGCCGCGGGGCGGCACGCGCGTGCGCGGGTCAACACCAGCTGCCGGGCAGAGCAGGGGGCGCGGGCCCGGGCGCAGGGGCGCAGCGCGGCGCCGGGGCCCCGGCTGCGCGCCAGAGCACTCGTGGAACGCGCTCCGGCGTCGCACGAGGGCGCGGGGCGCGGAGCGCGGCGCCCGCGCAGCACTCTTGGTGTTTTGGCAGCGGGTGAAGGTGCGCACCCTGCAGGTGAGGCGCTCGGCTGCGGTGTCGAGCGCGAGGACCTCCGCGTCCTTCCATCGGTTCTCCTGCTCCAGGAACCAGATGTGGCCGCCCACGCGGAAGATGGACTGCTCGTCCTCCGCCATGGTGCACCCTCGGGCTCCCCAGCGCCGCTGTTCGCGCTCCCGCCGCTCCGAAGGTCGCTGCGAAGGTTGGCGTGTCACCAGTCAGGGGCGCGCCGGCCGTCCCATGCGCGCGCGGTGAAATCTGCGGCCCGCGCGCGGCGTGCGAGCGATACCAAGGCGAAACTCAGCGCGCCACCGTGGCAGTAGAAACAGACCGGCCCGGCACCGCTGAGGCCCTCGCGCGGGCTCATTCGTCCGCCTCCGATCACATCCCATCAGTAGCCTCCTCGCGGCCATCGCTGAAGTGCGGATTCGTGCGCACGCGACGCAACGCGGCACGCATAGACCTGCGCACGCACGCTGCCGCGTCCGCGCGCCTGACCCTCCGGACCGCAGGAACCGCACCAGCGGCACACCCAGACCCCCAGCACTCCGCCGACGCTCGGGGGCTCCATGCGCGCACAGCCCCTCGCGCGTGCGTGGTGCACACAGCGCTCTTTTGCCGTCCTCTGCGCTGCGGCCGGTCGCTTGCGCGCAGCTTGCCATCAATTAGCCGCTCAGTGCTCACACCATCGTCAGAGCTTCCACCGCTCCGCCTCAGGCCCGCTCGTGTCGAACGCCCGGTCGATCAAACGGACTGCAATCTCCCCACAGACGGGGCAGTCCGAGCCGACCAAGCTGTCGAGCACGCCGCACAGCTCGCGGATCCGCTCGCTCTGCGGCGGCTCCGGCGCCCGCGCCGCGCCGCCCTCGTCGCCGCGCCCCGCATCGCCCTCCGCCGCGCCCAGCAGCCCAACGACCGCCGCGTTCGCGCCCGCCTGCGCCCCGCGCACGTCCGCGGCGAGCGGGCCGTCCTCCATCCACCGCATCATCACGCGCTGCTCCTCGCTCAGCCCCACGACGCGCCCCACGTCGACCAGGCCCTGCACTGTGTCGCGCACCAGAGCCCCCTGCTGCTCCGAGATCAGCGCCGCGACGGCCGCGAGGTTGCACGTGCCGTGGAAGCAGTGCCCGCACGGGTAGATGTAGTACGGGGGCACCGCCGCGCAGAGCTGCGCCTGCGACGGCACCTCGGGTACGTCGAGCTCGCGCGACGACGCCGCCGCGGACGCCGTGGGGGCGAGCGAGGGAGCGCGCGCCGCGGAGGCCGCGTACTTCGCTGGGCCCGAACCGTGCCGGGAGTTCTCGCGGGAGGCCGGGCCGGTGACGTCGGACACCGCGTCAGCGAGGGGGGCCTCCGGGGGACTGATTCCCGGCCAGTTCAGAGCCGGGAGCGGGCTCAGGGAGGGGGGCGTCTGCAGCGCGAGCGTGCAGTGCGCGCAGGGCGAGTTGAGGTCGAGCGTCGCGGTGCGCCGCGCCAGCCGCGCGAGGTCGTCGCGCAGCGCGTGCGCCGACGCGGCCTTGGCGTCCATGTCGCGGCGCAGGTCGTCGATCTGGCGGTTGTAGTCCTCGAGGCTCTCGCAGATCGCGTCTGCGGGGGGGTGGCGGGGCGCATCGGGTCAATGTTACGTCATGAATGTTGTTGCGACGCGGCGGTGGTGTGGGGTCGGACGGCGCGCGCCTTTGAAGTCGTCGATGACCATGAAGTCCGGGAACAGCGGGAGCACGTCCTCGATGCGCAGCGCGCCCCCGCTCTCCGCCAGCAGCTCCAGGACTTGCCGCGTGCCCCCCGCGCCGCCCGCCTGCTTCACGCAGTGCTCCGCGATCGGCACCCACAGTCGCCGCCGCGCCTCGTCCTCCTCCGGGATCTCCGCGACCGTCCGCGCCAAAGACACCCCCCCTATCTCCAGCGCCAGAGTCAGGGCCCGGTCGTACAACCCCAGGTCGCAGTACAGCTGCAGCGCCGCGCGCCGGTGGCCGCGGTCGTGGCAGACCTTCAGCGCCGCCTGCGTATCGTACAGCGCCGCCGCCGACGGCCCCTTCGCCGACAGCAAGAACGCCAGCAACCGAGCCTCGGTCGCCGTCGCCGGCGCACCGACGTCACTCCCCCCCATGGCGTCCGCGGCGACGGCGGCGGCGGCGGCGTCCGACGCGTCCGCAGCGCCCTCGTCCGGGATCGCGAGGAGCGCCACCATGAGGTCGTGGATGCTCTGGTGCTGGCACCGGAGGACGTGAGCACAAAAGTCGAGATACCGCAAGGCATGCTTGCGGCCCTCGGGCGGCGCGCCGTCCTCGGCCATGGGCGCGAGCGCCGGGAGGAGCCGCGTGGGGTCCAGGCGGGACCCGCACTGGATCCACGTGTCCACCGTCGGGCCCGGCGCGAGTTGCATGAGCCCGGGTGCGGCGGCGTAGTGTTGAGCGACGGGCACGGACGGCCGGCGGAGCACCCCGAGGGCCCGCTCAGCGTCGCCCTTCTGCAGGAGGTGCTGCAGGACGAGGGCGTAGTTGCCCCGCAGGATGGCGTAGTGCGCCAGGTCGTCCATGCGCGTATAGGACGAGAGCAGATCCGTGGTGATGGCCTCGTCAAGGTCGTCGCAGTGGTCCTCGAGGAAGAGCCGGAGCTGCGGGGCACGGGGACGGAGCGGCTGGTGCACGGGGCGGCTCGCAAGCAGCGACCGAAGAGCGCGGCAGGTATGTCGTGTCACGAGCGTCGCGTACCTCCCGGCAGGCCTCGTCGTACTCCTGCGACTCGGCGCCGCTGTCGAGGAGCGTCCGGTTCACCCAGTCCAGCAGCAGCTCCGTGAGCCACGTCGCAAGCATCGTGGCCTGCGCGCGCCCGCCGCCCTCGCGCGGCATGAGCCGCAGCCGCGTCGCCAGGTACGTCCGCAGCGCGTCCGGCGCCCCCGCCTCCACGAACCGCAGCGTCACGGCCTCGAACGACTGCTCCGGCGTCGCCATCGACGCAAACGCCTCCGCCGCGGCCTTAAAGTCCCCGGCCTTCATCGCGTCGTCGCCCTGCGCGCTCAGCACCGCGTCGCGCTGCCGGCGCGTCCGGCACAGCCGCATGGCGTCCGCAAAGCGCCCCTGCGCCGTCAGCACGCGCCACATGTCGCGCCCTTCGTCGCGCACGCCCACCTCAAAGAGCTCGTCCGTGCCGACGAGGTAAACCGTGCCCGCGGCGGGGTCGCGGAGGATCGCGATCGGCACGGACTGCGCCATGCGGCCGCGCAGGGACAGCTCTTGCACCACCTGCTGGGTCGTGCGGTTGGTCGCGATGACGCGGCCCGGGTACAACAGCAGGACGTGGTGCTCCGTCTGCTGCAGAGAGACAGGCTGCTCGACGCCCGGCTCCTGCGGCGGCGCGGGGCGGCGACGCAGGAGGGTGCGTGGGTGCGTGCATGTGAGTTTGTGGGTTCGGTGGCGCGTGAGGCGCGGGAGGCGGACCTCGACGGCGCCGTGGGTGAGTTCAGGATACGGCATGAGGCCCTGCGAGGCGATGAAGGCGCTCTCGCGCGTCGGCGGGACTCCCCCCTCCCAGGGCCCGGTCAGGTGGGCCAGGTCCGCGACGTACACCCCCGGGCCCGTGAGCCACGCGCAGCGCGCCGTCGCCCCGTCGCTCGCCAGCTGCACCGAGAGCGCCGACGTCGGGAGCGCCCCGGGCAGCTCGATGAACCCGGGATCCCCCTCCAGGTCCGCGAACAGCCGGTCGAGCGCCGCGGGGCCCAGAAAGAAGTACAGCCGCGAGCTCGTCGCGGCGAGGACCAAGCACCGCTGCGCGTCGTCGCGCCCGGCGGCCCCCACCGGCAGCACCGCGAGCCCATGCAACGGGTCGCGGTCGTCCGGGAGTCGGTACGCGAGGGCGGCGGTGCGCTCGCGCTCCTTGCCGTCGGCCTGCTCGATGGCCGCGAGCCAGATCTCGCCGGCCGCGGTGCCGACGAGGATCTGGCCGGTGGTGGTGCGCGTTTCGCCGCGCGCCGTGCCGGCCCACGCGATGGCGGTGGCTTCGAGGCCCTTGAGCTTCGCGAGCGGCCGCGGCCGCGGCCAGGAGGAGTGCAGGTAGAGGACTTCGTGCACGGCGTCGGCGCCGTCTGCGTGCGCGGGGGCGGGGGTTGTTACGCGATCGCGCATGGCGTTGGCGCTTCGGCGGGTCCGTGCGGCGTCGCGGACGAACGTACCTGTGGCGCTGTCGGCGGTGGCGGAGCCGTGCGTTCCGAAGCCGGGGAGGCCCCGGCGGCGCGGCGGGGGCGGCGGGTGTGACGCGCAGATGAGGGCGTGGGCCGCGGTCGGGGAGAGGAAGACGGAGTCGATGCGCGTCCCCGGGTGCTTCGTTGCCTCGCAGTCGAGCACGGGGGCGGTCCCCGACGAGAAGTCGTAGCGCAGGAGGAACCCGCGAGCAGTGCCCAGGACAACATGGTCGCTCGCGGCGGCCGCTGCGGTGCACTGGCCGCGCCCCTTGGTGGCGCTGCGGTCCAGGGCGTCCAGCGAGAAGACCGGAAGGTCCTGCGATCAAGGGACGGGCGTGACGGGGCTCGCAGCGCGCGGCGGAGTGGCTGTTGGCGCGGAGGGGACGTTCGCTGGTCATGCGTGCCCGTGCGAAGGCACGAGGGCCTGTCCGTCGCGCTGGAGCCTGGTTGGACATCTCAGGACGCGTGATTCGTGCAGAAACGGGGCGTGGAACGCGCTGCGTGCCCGTGACGCCCTCGACTGTGCCTCCGTGGCGTTGCACAGCCCGCTCTGCCGCTCGGGCCGCACGCCGGCGCCAATGCTGCGCTGCTCGCGCACCTGGATGCTATATCCTAGCCTCTCGGAGTCATTCAGCGCCAGATCGACGTCCCCCAGCAAGCTGCCCTGAAGGTTGGTTCCCCCCGGGCTCGGAGGGAGCGGGTCGCCCACGTCCCACGCGTCCAGCATGACGCTCTCTCACCGCCCGCGGATCCACGAACCCTCGGTCAGCGCTCTGGACACGGAACCATGCTCGACACGCGCAACAACGCGTCACGCAACACTCCTGGAACCGTACGTCCAGAGCGCACGCAGCAGCGGCCGCGAAACCCGCGTCACACGGTGCCGGCACCCGCTGTGGTCCCGCGCCACCTCGCGCCCCGCCGTTGGCGCCACGGCCCGCTCGTCCGCGTCCGACGCTCGCTCGCGAGCATGACGTGAAAGATCCCGGGTGACTCGTGACGGGTCCTCACACGCCCCGCGCGGGCGTCAAGGCGGCAGCTCGCGCCTCCCGGCCGATACACCGCTCAGTGCGAGCGCGGAGCGAGAACCAGGCGCGCTGCCATCCCGTAGCGAGCGCACAACGATGACGGCAGCACGGTCCAGCTACAAGCGGCTCGGGGAGTCTGAGCTCAAGGACGCGATCGAGTCGGACCGGCTGCGCAAAGTTCAGGTGAGAACCGGCGCGCGGGGCGCCCGAACCGCTCTCGCGCCGCAGCAGCGGCGGCCTGCGGCTGCCGCGTCCCCACGCAAGAGCGCGAGGCCCTGTCGCGCTCCCCCGCGCGCGGGCGGCGCTCTGCGGACGAGCCAGCCCGGCTCCCGCGTTCCAAGCGAGCCAAACTAGGCGCAGGCCGCGCCGGGAAGCTCCAGCCGCGCTCGGCGCCTCGGCGACGGCGCTCCGTGGGCATGCGCTCGAGCAATTCGCGCCCGCGCCGGCTCCACGCAGGACGAGGCGAAGAAGCGGGCGATGTCGCAGCTGTGCGACTACGACACCTTCAAGAACATGGTCTCCGTCGCGCACCTCGACCCCATCAACGCCCCAAAAACGCAAGCAAGCGCCGCGCCCGCGCCCGCCAAGACGTTTGCGGCGGACGGCACGCTCGTCCCGACGCGCGGGGACGCCACGGCCGCGGTCCCGGCCGCCGCGCTCAGCGCCGACCAGCTCTCCGCGCCGCGGACCGTCCAGGAGTTCGCGCGTGATTGGCGGCGTCACTGCAGCACTGTCACGCAACGCGTGTCCTACCTGCGACTGTGCGCGGGGAGCCCGGGGGGCCTCGCGGGGGTGTTCAAGGTCGAGGTGTCCGCGCAGCACATCGCGGACATCGCCGGGGCGCTCCTAGACGCGGCGCGGGCCGGCGGCAATGGCGACGACGACGGCGCGGCCGCGGGGGAGGATTTCCCGGCGTTCGCGCTCGCGTGCCTGCAGGGCCTGACGCAGGCCGGCCGGTTCAGGTGCGCGAACGGTGCCGCAGCGGCCGGGCCGGCGGCGCGGCGTGCGTGCGTGCGGCGACGTGCGCTGTGTTGTCGTCCTGGGCGCGCAGCGTGGGCGCGGCGGCGCGCGGACCGCTGCTGTGGTTGCGGCTGTGCGGTTGGGAGGCAGACGCGCGGTGTGTGCGGCGGTGCGTGCAGTTTGAGTTGCAAGTTGGTGCCGAGAGCGGGCAAGGAGGTTGTGGACGAGCTGCTGCGGTGGCTGGGCGGGAGCGGGGTGGAGCAGGCGGAGGTGCGCAAGGTGGCGCAGGCGTTCGGGTCGAAGGCGATCGAGAGCTAGCGGCTACGCACGAGCGGTTGATGATGTCATGCGAGTGTAATTGTCGCTGCGCCGAGCCTCTGTGCCCGCATTGTCGACCACCTTGCACCCACGCGGTCGTTCAATATAGCTGGACCGGTTTACGTGGTCTAGGACTCCGAACAGGGCGGCACGGGGGGCCTGACGTGGGCCTCGTACCTCCGAGCCGTCTTCGGGGGACGAGGGCGCGTTCCCGCCGCCGCCGATGGCATTCCAACATTCGACCACATTACGACGAACCTCACAACGATGTCGAGTTCATGCCAGATCGCCGGCGCGGCCATAACCAGGCAAGCTCCTTGACCTTTCCGACCGCGGGCCCAACGCCGCGCGCTCCCGCCACGAACACGCGCGCGGGCGCCGCAGCCGGCCCGTCCCCCCGCGCCCGCGCCGTTCCAACGCAGCCAGCCGCGCTGAGGCCGCCGCGCTGCGCCGGTCCCCGCAATAAGCTGCGCCAGTTGTCCCACCGTTGCGACGCCGGCGCGGCGGCGCCCGCGCCCCGCGCCGAACACTCTCGACGGCATAGTACGCTCGAGGCATGCGGAAGCCGCGCCACACCTCGCCCTCGTTCGCCCCCGCCGCGTCGCAGGCTAGCGGTTGGCAGCGCGGGCGTGCCCGCTGCGCTCCTCCCCGCCACGGTCGCGGCGCTCCGGAAGTTCTCGAGCCTCGCGCCGAACTTCGCCCCGGACTCCATCGTGACCGCGAGCGCGCCGAAGCTGGACGCGCCCGGCGCCCCCGAGAGCGAGCGCCGACCCTTGCCCACCGCAGACAGCTCCGCCGGCCGGGACTGGACGCCGTCCAACATGCAGCGCGTTTCGCGACGCACGTTCCGGCTCCTGGGCCCCCACTCCTGCGCGCGGTCCCGCGCGGAGGACCTGCCCGCGGGCGCGCTCCTGACCGCGCGCCAAGGCAGCCGCTACAGCAGTCAACCTTTGCGCTTCCCGGCGGAACAGGGCGCGACGGGGCACCCTTGCGCGAGCGAAATCGAACAGATGGACATAGGTGAGGCGCACGCCCCCGCACGCGCGCCGGTGTCCGGCCCGGTGTACGCCCGCGGCGGACACGCAGCTGGTGCAGTTTCAATCCTTACTGGCACGTCGTGGAATTGCGCGCGCAGGAGAGGTCACCGAGCTGCCCGGGTACTCCGCGCGCGTGCTCCCGATCACGCTCTCGCAGGGCGCGCAGCTCAAGCTCGCCTTCCCGGGCACCAACGCCATCGTTTTCGTCAAAAAGTCCAGGCACGCAACCGCTGCCGCGCACCCCCGCACGCCGCGCGCGGCCCCGACCCTCGCTCGATGCAAACGCCCCGCCCCGGCCTTCGCTCGCCGCTTGGCAACCTTTCGCGCCGCGCGTCGACCCGTCTCTGGCGCGCGCCTTCGCGGTGCGGGCCCGACCGCCCGCACGCATGCTTGGTAGGCCCACGCGGCGCCGTGCGGCGACCTTGGATGCAGCCGCATGGACCGCGTGGCCGTAGAGGTCCGCTCGCCCGGCCGGGAGACCCACAGCGAGAAGCTCGAGGTCACCGCGGGCGCCACGAAGGTGACGGTGCTGGAACGCAAGGGGGCCAACCTGGGCCGCTCCGGGCTCGTGCAGGCACGAATCCGCGCGCCCCGGGACGCAGCGCCCCCCCTGCACCGCCCCCCGCGCCCGCCGCGCCCCGCACGGCTGTGCACGCGAACCGTCGGTTGCCGCGCGCGCCCACTGGCGCGAGTTTGGGGTGCCGTGGCGCGCAGGTGACGGCCTGGATCCCGGCGGGGTACTGCGGGCTGGACGTGGAGACGGGGGGCGGGGACGTGCACGTGGAGTCGATCAAGGAGGCGGGGCTGACGGTGAAAACGTACGGGGGGGACATCCGGGTGACGGCGATGGACCAGGGGACGCACTGCCACCTGGACGCGGGGTCCGGGAAGATCGGGGGGTCTTTCACGGCGGGCGACGTGAGCGTGGTGACCACGTCGGGCGACGTGCAGCTGTCGCGGGTGATGGGCCGCAAGGTCAACATCCGTAGCGCGTCGGGGCGCGTGCACTGCGCGTTCCTGTACGGCACGACGCTCGACGTCGAGTCCGGCGAGGGCGTGCTCGACATCCTGAACATGCACGGCGAGGACGTGGCGCACGCGCGCACGCACGGGCAGCTGCTGCACCTGGGCGGCGTGGAGGGCCGTGCGGAGGTCGACAGCGGCGGCGGCGACGTGCACATGCTGCTGCACGACACGATCAGCGAGGTCTCGGTGCGGTCCGGCGGCGGGTCGGTGCGGTGCTCCATGGCGCCGTCGGCGTACGCGCACTTCGAGGCGCGGGCGAAGGACGTGAAGTTCGTGACGAAGCAGCTCCTGGACGTCAAGGTCGCGCGGGAGGCCGACGGGTGGTGGCGCGGGTCGATCACCGGGTTCTCGCGCCCGTCGAAGAAGAAGACCCCCGCGCCCGACACGCAGGCGACCGTGCGGATCGATGCGGGCCCGGAGGCCGTCGTGGTGGTGCGCGCGTGATGGGCCCGGGCGTGGTACTCGCGGCGATTTTGCGAGCGCGTTCGCGGCCGTGGGCGTGTGGCTGACGGGGTGTGTTGTTTGGGGGTGTATTGCAGGTAGAACCGAAGAACTGGCTCGAGGCCGTGAAGGACCGCTTTGGACAGAACCAGTGGCGCCCCACGGAGCGCGAGCGCTACAAGGAGGACCGCCCGCCCGCGCCCGCGCCCGAAGCTGGCGCGGCACCGTCGACCTAACGAACGACTCCAATCACACCCCCCCCTCTCTTCCGCGGGCGAACCTGCTGCCGCAGCTTCCGCAGTGAACGCCCTGCATGTTACCAAGCTCGCAGTCCGCCGCGAGCGGCGCCACGCTACGCCGCACCGCCCCACCCGCCGCAGTACGCACCCACCTCTGGCGTGCCGTGTGACCGAGCGCCCGCCGCTTCGATGCGTCGAACTCGCGTGTCACAGCGAGGGGTCGCCGAGCAGTGTTCCGTTCCGCCCTGCCCCGGTGCTGTCCGCGATCCGGGGGTTACCAGCACTTCAAGTCATGTGTCCCGTTGTGCGGCGCACGTGGCCGCGGCCTGCGCGAGATTCGGCCGCCGCGACCCTCTACGCGACAGGCACCCCGCGTGGTCGTGGACGCGTGTGCGCGGGTCGGCCGAACTCCCCCCGGAGCCTCAACCAAAGAGTTCAAGGGTGCGTGTGACGGGGGGCGCGGATGCGGGTACAGGAGAGCTCCGACGTGCCTGTGGGTCTCTGAGGCGTCGCGGCAGCTCGGCGGCCGGCGCACTCTCGTCGCGATGGTCGCAGCACCCTTTGGGGGGGGAGTCAGGGTTGGGTCAGCCACAGAGGCCGCAGCGCTGCGACGTGGGCCGGGGGGCTGGCCGGGCCTTCGTTGGAGGCGCCGCGAGTGCCTCTGCGGTAGTACGTGCTCATCGAGGTCGCTGCTGCGTCAGGAAACGTTCCCGACGGTGTTGTGTGTCGCGTGTGTAGGCATCGCCCTAGTTGTCTGCGGCGGGCCGGTGCTCGCCGTGGCGTTCCCGTTTCTGGAAGGCCTGGTCCGGTAGATTGAGGTTTCGTGTGCGGCGTGGAGTCCAAGCGCGGAGCGGCCGCGTCCCAGGCGTTGGCTGGCAGGGTGGCCCGAGTGCACGACTCGTCGCGGGGCGGCGTCGTTCACGGGCAGGAGGAGCTGTCCGCGTAGTTTCGCGATGACGGAGGTGTTCCTGCACGTTTACGACGTGCAGTCTGACTCGGAAAAGACCAACACGCGTCTGAAGAACTTCAATTGGTTTGTGAAGGACGTCGTGGGCGTCGGGGGGATCTTTCACGGGGCGATCGAGGTGCTGGGATACGAGGTGAGTGCTGTGTTCCCACGCACGTCCCTCGGGGCGATCCGCACGAGCGCGCAGCTGCACGCAGCGGCCCTGGAGCAGGCCCCCGGCGCAACGCAGTGCTGCGGGCAATGCGGCGGTCGACGAGCGCGCTCATCGGTTCCGCCCGCTCGCTGCCGCAGTGGTCGTTCGGGTACTGCGAGGAGGGATCGGGGGTGTATCCGTGTCGCCCGAAAGTGAACCCGATGTACAACTACAAGGAGACGGTCAGTCTGGGGCACACGGCGCTCAGCACGGAGGAAATCAAGGCCATCTTGCGTGATATGCAAGTGAGCGCCCCGAAGCGACCGCCCGCGCGCTCCGAGCTGCACCCCGCGCGCGACGCCCGCCGCGTTTCTACAGCTCAGGCAAGCGCGCCGCCCGTTCCGATGCCCTCGCAGTACCACTGGCCGGGGCAGTCGTACCACATCCTCGACCGCAACTGCAACGGCTTCTGCGAGGAGCTCGCGCGGCGCCTCGGGGTCAAGGTGCCCCCCGGCTGGCTAAATCGCCTGGCGCGCGGGAGCTCGGGCGTCATCGGGGCGTACAACACGGTCTCCGGCGCGTGCAGCAAGATGTACGCGGACATCAAGAGCTGGGTCAACACGAAGCCCGCGAACCCGCCCGTCGGCGGCGAGCCCCTCATACAAGGAGCCGACCAGGGCGGCATGCAGCGACAACCGCGCTACGTGCAGCGGGTCGTGCCGCCCGAGGACGCAGTGGTCCAGCGCTGACCGCGCCAGCTGTGAGACGCCGCTCGCACGCGGACCGAGAGCGCAGCAGCGACGCTGCGCCCGCCGACACTTGATCACGCACAACGCCGCTGCGGGGCCGCGCGCGGGCTCAGTGGCTGCGCTGGCGCTGCGGTCGGCCGCAGAGGCGGCGCCCGTGCTGCCAGGCCTCTCGCGTGCGGCACGCGTCCTGGATTGGTGGCCCTGCGTGCGCGGAGAGATGGATGCATCGCATTGCGAGGCCCACGACGCAGCGCGCGGCGCGCCCTCTTTCTGGAATGCGCGTACCAGCAGCGTCCTCGCTTCACACGGCGCGTCCGCTGCGTTGCGCCCGGTATGACTGACTCAGCTTCGTGGACACTGGTTGAACATCTTCTACCTGTCAGGCCCCCTTCAGCTCCTCCCCCACGTTCTGCGCGCGCATCAGCGACGCGCCCTGCCACGACCCCGCGCCCCTCGCGACCGCCGCGAACGCGCGGCTCAGCTGCGGCAGCGGCCAGGGCGCCCCGCGCGCCTTTCCGTGGTGATGCGCGCGCCGCTGCCCAGCGACGTGCCTGCCGTACCGCCGCGGCGCGAGGCAGCACACGCACAGCGCGGCGATCGCGATCATCGCCACCGCGGTGACCGGCCGGACCCGCTGCTCGCCAACGCCCCCGGGGGTGTGTTCTTGCGCGTGCCCCCCGCCCTTGCGCCCCAGCGGCGCTACTTCGATCGGAAGGACGACCTTCTCCGGCACCGCAGCCCGGCGCGTCCGGGGGCCGGAGGCTGTCGTGGCGGCCGGCGTGGCTCGCGCGGCTACGCCGCCCCCGGCGCGAGGTTCGAGGTTCGATGCCGCGCGATCGGGTGCCGTTCGCGCGGCAGGGGTCCTCTGCGCGACCTCTGGGACGCTGCACTTGGGCGCGCAGGCTCCGGGGGCTTCGTCGTCGCCCGAGCAGCAGTCGCAGACACCGTCGTCAACAAACGCGGACGGAATCTCGCCGCCGCCGGCGCAGGTGAAGCGGCCGTTGGGGCACGCCGACGTCCCGGGCTCGTCGCTGCCGTCCGGGCAGTCGCAGTAATCGTCTGCGCGCGGGAGGGCGCTCGGGAGGGATGTTTGCAGGCAGGGGTGAACGAATGTGACCTGTAACTGGGCGAAGAGGGCGCGGCACGTCAAGGCCGGTCACCGGTGAGCGTGTGAAGTAGTGAGTCATGCGTGTGACGGGCGGATGCGGGAGTTGGGTGGCGTGGACCGTAGGTTTGACGCAAGGTTGGTGCGGGTGGAAAAAACGTCGCGCCACACGCACCGTTGACGCGACGATGGTCGATGGTGATTGACGACGTGATGCACTTGAACTTCCCAGTGCTGAGGGCGGCTCTGTACGGCGAGTCTGTCGTGTCCCACGACGCTGGGTCCACACCCCTGGGCAGCGCCAGAGGCACCTCCGCCAGAGAGTCATCGAGCCTTCTCCGGTGCTGCAATGTCGCCGCGGCGACGCTCTGCGGCAACAGCAAGGCAGCCACGATTGCAGCGGCCGCAACAGCCATCGTTTTTTATCCCCGTGTGCCCGAGAGGAACCCGCAGTGCTCCCCCGGCCCCTCCCACCGCATCACGAGCCCTCAAGCACCGCCCACGATCCCTCGCCCGAACTTCAAATCACACGGCACACGATTCCAGCGCGATGCACGCCGCGTGCGGGTCCCCCATGTTGCCACACACACACGCACGCTCACGGTAGGTCTTTTTCCCTGACTCAGGGCAGCCGCCACGGTGGCAAACGAGCAAACCCCTCGCCCTCGCTCTTGACGATGCGCACGTACCGCTGCTAGCGTCCTGAGCGGACCGGCGTCGCGCACACACACGTGTCACAGCTCCGCAATCGCAATGTTCCGTCGCCGTGACACAGCACACGATGCGACCAGCACCGCCAGTCCGCGGCCGCGCGTCACAGCGAGCCGTCCGCGCTCCGAGCACACCCCCCACCCACCTCCGCGCCCCGTCTGATACAACACCGTCACTTTCCCGCCCTGCCAGCCCCGGCCTTGCCAGCGCTGGCCTTCTTCCGCGCGGCCTTCTTCCCCACGCCCGTCGGCATCCGCCCGTGGCCCTTCTTCTGCGCGCGCTTCAGCCCGCGCAGGTCCGCCAGCATCCGCTTGTCCTTCGGCGGCCCTTTCCTCCCCTTTTCGCGCCCCCTGCCGGTCTTCTTCCCCGCCCCCTTCCCGGGGTCCGCCTTCGCGCGGTTCATGATCTTCGCGACCTCCCGCATGCGCCGCCCCATCGGAATGTCCTCCTGGTCCGCCACCGCGTTCGCCTTGGCGCGCGCCTTCTCCACGCGCGCCAGCGCGCGCTTCTTCTTCCGCGCCTTGGCCTCGAGCAGCTTCTTGATCGGGCGCGCGCTCGCGGCCCGCAGCGCGTCCTTCTCCGCCTCCACCTCCTCCTTCGTCACCATCGGAATCGGCTGCATGAACTTGAGTTCGTCGTTCTCAAACCACTCCGGGAGGTTCTCGTCGTGGAACGCGTACCGGTTGTACGCCGCCTCCATCATGCTGTGCTTCGTCGAGTTACGGATCATCTTCCGCGCCATCGCCATCACCTCCGCCTGCGCGTTCTTCGGCAGAGCGTCGAACTCGTCCTCGCTGTCCGTCTCCTCGCTGTCCGCGTCGCTGTCGCTCCCGCGCCGCCGCGCGCCCGCGGGCTCCTCCGCAGGCACCACCTCGAAGCCCCCCGCGCCGGCCCCGCCCCCGCCGCCAACACCAACACCCCCTGCGCCGCCCGCCGCTTCATCTCGTGGATCTCCAGAGTCTCCTCGTCCTCGCTCGACAGCGCGTCCTCGTCCATCCGCCCGCTGTCCTCCTCGTCCTCCACGTCGTCGTCCTCGAGCACCGCGCCGCTGTCCGACGACGACTCGTCCGCGTCGGCCCTTGCGTGCGCCGCCTCCCGCCGCTGCGCTAGCTCCTCGACGTCCTCCTCCAGCTCCATCTCCTTGAAGATGTCCTGCGAGAACCACCGCTCCGCGATCGACTTCGGGTCGTTCCGCACCCCGATCATCTTCGGGTCGAGCTCCACCACCAACCCCCCCCCCTCCTCCGTCTCCAGGCGCGCCCGCGCCTGCGCCTTCTCGTACCGCCGCCGCGCCAGCTCCTCCGCGCGCGCCACGGCCTTCTCCGACTGAATCACGTCGTCCTCCCCGCCCAGCTCCATCGGCTGATCGCCCTTGAACTTCTTACGCGGAATGTCGTCGATGTGAGGCACCTCGCCCTTGGCCTGCCGCCCGCGCTTGTACTGCTCCCAGCTCCGGTCCACCAGCTCCTCGAGCATCTCCTCGTACTTGCGACGGTCGTCGTCTCCCGAGTCGTCGTCGCTGCTGTCGGTGTCCGACACCAGCAGGTCCGCGTCGTCCTCGTCCGACGACGGCTCCTCGGAGAAGTCCTCCGGCTCCGGGGCCGCGGCGTCCGCCGCGGCGTCGAGGTGCGCGCGCGACTTGAGATCCTTCAGGGAGAAGAGCCCAGACATCATGGCCTGCTCTTCTGCAATCTCCCCCGCGTTGGCCGCCTGCGCGCGCTTGATCTTCTGCTTGCGCTTCAGCAGGCGCTTCTTCTTGCGCTCGCGCCGCTCGCGCGCCTCCATCCGCGCCCTCAGCCGCTCCATCTCCTTGAGCATCTTGGCATCCTGATCCGCCGCCGCCGCGCCCTCCCCCGCTTCTGCCCCCGCGCCGTCCTCCGCCGCCTCCTCCCGCCGCTCCTTCTTCTCCTCCTTCGACATGTCCTTCCGGATCTCCAGCCGCCACTTCAGCAGCTGCTTAAGCTCCCGCCGCCCCAGCACCTGCAGGTCGCCACACAGCTCCCGCACCTCCCGCGTCGTCGCCTCGTGCCCGCGGATCCGCGCCGCCGCCTCGACGTACCGCGCAGCGTCCTCCTCGTCCGTCCCGGCCGGCCGCTCCGCCGCCCCCGGCCCGTCAATCACGATCGCCGTCCGATTCGCCAAGAGCTCCACGGCGTGGTCCGCCAGCACAAACGTCGCGGCCGACATGGGCTTGTGCAGCGTGGACAGGCCGTCCTCGTAGCCCTCGCGGTTCCGCTTCTCCTTGTGGCGCTGCCGGAGGAGCGCGTCCGGCCCCATCGCGCGCGGCGCGTCGCTCACCTCCTGGAACAACACGCGGTGATCGAGCAGCCGGGGATCGATCTTGGCCGGCGCCTTGTACTTCATGCACACGACGAAGATCTCCGCGGACGTGTTCCGCGACGCCACGGGCTTCGTGGCCTCGACCTTCTCAAACAGCTGCTGCAGCGCGTACAACAGGGGGGTGTATTCCTTGCTGCGGAACACCTTGGTGACGAAGGTGCCCTTGGGCGCGAGGAACTCGGTCGCGAGCTTGAGCGAGTCGAGCACGAGCGCCGCCTGCGAGTACGCCTCGGACGCCCACGCGCCGCCGACGTTGGGCGCGCCGTCGTGGATGACCACGTCGAAGAGGGAGCCCTTGGCGGCGGCGCGGATGGCCGCCTTGGACTTGGCCTCGGTGATGTCGCCGACGAGCGTCTTGACGCCGCGGATCGGCTTTATCGGGACGAGGTCGATGCCGATGATGAGCGAGGCCACCGGCATGGTTTTGGCGGCCACTTGCAGCCAGCCGCCCGGCGCCGCGCAGAGGTCCAGGCATGCGCGCGCGGACTCGAGGAAGGCGAACTTCCGGTTGAGCTGAATCAGCTTGTACGCCGCACGCGAGCGGAACCTGCGCGGGGGGGGCGGAGGGCGGAGGTCGCAGGGGCCGCTCGCGGCGTGCCGCGACACCCTACGGCGTGGGGCGCGCCGCTGCGGCAGGCTCACAGGTCGGGCTTGCTGCCCAGGGGCAGGATGGAATCGTCCCGCCGCCAGCGGCCAAGAAACGAGGGCACAAACGAAGAGGGAGATTCCTCGGGTGTTTATTGCGCGTTCGAGGACCCAAGCGATCGCTCCGGGCACAGCATGCAATGGTTAGATCGAGGATCACGCCCGGATCCCGCGAACCGACGTCTTCGGCCACGGACGCGGGCAGACGGGGCTTCTGCCCCCCGCAGGAGAGCTGCTGTGCCTTCTCGGCGCTGCTGGGACCGCGTCAGGGCTGTCGGATCGAAAAATCCGGAGCTGTGAGATCGGTCTCGATATGGGGAACACCGCGGACAGCATCGCGCGCCCCGCACGACGATGCGCTGCACCGTGGCCCCTGGCGGCCTCGCACTCTGTGGCGCCCAGCAGCAAGAGAGGCGCCGGGAGGCTCACCCTGCAGTCTTGGCCAGCTCATACCACTTATCCAACCGCCCCTTCCCCTTCTTCGTCTTCTTACCCATGGTCCCGGCCTAGCTCGCAGCAGACAGACCCACCACGCTCGCACCTCCCGCGGGCGGCTCCTCACTCGTTGCCGTAGCGCGCACGCGGATGCACGAACCCGATCCGCGACGCGCGAGCAGACGAGCCTGGCAGCAGTGGTCCGATGCTCGCGGTCGGCGGCACCTCCGCCCCTCGACGCGGCGCCGTTCGCCCGTCGTGTCCATCACGCCCCCGCCGACACAAACACCCGCCCGACGCAGCGTCCGGCGGACGCGCGCCACGAGCCCGCCGCCCTGCGCTGCCGCATGCACTCTCGTCGGCGCGCTAGGTCCTGCGCTGCGGAGACGGTCGTGGGGCTGGCGGAGAGCGAGCCTAGGTTGCGAGTGCTGTCGGCGGGGAAGAGGGGCTCGTAGGAAGGGTGTCGTTGCCGTCATGGGGTCGGGACGGGACAAGCGAAAGAAGAAGAATCCCAAGGCGCCAGGACAGGTGCGAGTCCCCCCCTGACACCGCAGCTTCTCCAGCGGCACGGCGCAGCAGGGAACCGCCGCGGTGCGCACGCGAGCGGCGCCGCGTCGCGCGGCTGCCGGGACGTCATCGGGCCCTGTGGTGCAAGCTTCGCGATGCGCAGGGGGCGGCGAAGACTGCGGAGAAGACCGCGAAGAACCAGGGGAAGAAGTCGCGGCGCGCGGCGCAGCGGCTCGAGGGCGATGAGGACGACATCGACGCGTTGCTGGAGCAGTTCAAGCTCGCGGACGCGCGGAACAAGACCGCGGTGATCGAGAAGGACGTCCCGCCTCCCTCGCCCAGGCGCGCGCGCCGCCTGCGCACACTCACACTTGGTCGCGAAGTATCTCACGAACTTGGACCAGGTGTGCGCCGGATAGACAGTGAGATCGCCGACCACCACGGGGTGGGCTCGCTCAACGCCTGCCGTAGCCAGCGTACTATGTGCGACGTCGGCGGCACGTTCTTCTTGTCGACACTCCAGCAGCACTGGCTACGGCAGGCGTTGAGCGAGCTCATCCGAGACGCCCACCCCGTGGTGGTCGGCGATCTCACTGTCTATCCGGCGCACACGTGGTCCAAGTTCGCGAAATACTTCGTTAGTTGCTGCGTGCGTTGACGCTGCACGCGCGCGCGCCGCTCACGTCTCACGCGTTTCGGCCCGCGCAGGGTCAACGCGTCGTTCGTGGCGTACGAGACCCAGCGTTCGAAGGAGGTCGTCCTGTACGGCGGCGAGCACATGGACAGCAACGACAAGGCGAGGGTTTATGGGGACCTGTATCGCTACGACGTGGCGCGCAACACGTGGAGCCGCCTGCGGATCCCCGGCGGGCCGAAGCCCCGCAGCGCCCACCAGGCCGTCGTCCACAGGCGAGCACGCCTCCCTGCGTCACGCGCCCCCTGCGTCGCGTCGCGCGACCGTTCGCGTTTCGTGACGTGGCGGGCCCTGCGCGCCGTGACTGCCGCAGGCACTACATGTGGGTGTTCGGGGGCGAGCTCACGTCCCCGAACATGGAGAAGTTCCACCACTTCCGCGACCTGTGGCGCCTGGACCTGCAAAGCAATGTTTGGGAGGAAATGAAGATCAAAGGCGGCCCGTCCGCGCGGTCGGGGCACCGCATGGCCGTGTGGCGCGGCCACCTGGTCCTCTTCGGCGGGTTCTACGACACGGGCGCGGAGCTGAGGTACTACAACGACCTGTGGCTCTTCGACACTGAACATATGGAGTGGCAGCAAGTAGCGAGCGACGCCGGAGCGGGGCCGAGCCCGCGGTCGGCGTGCCAGCTGTGCGTGTACGGGCAGAAGCTGTTCCTCTACGGCGGGTACACGCGGAAGGCGGACGAAGACGATCCGGAAATAGAACGCGCGAAGGTGCACGCGGACATGTGGTGTTTCGATTTTAGCGCGATGCGGTGGGAGAAGATCAAGCGCGCGGGCATGGCGCCCGGCCCGCGAGCGTCCTTCGCGATGGTCCCGCACAAGAAGCGCGCGGTGCTGTTCGGCGGCGTGTCGGACCAGGACGCCGGCCGCGAGGGGGAGTTGATCGTCAGCGAGTTCTACAACGAGGCGTACTCCTTCGCGTTCGAAACGCAGCGGTGGTTCCCGCTCCAGGTCAGTGCCGCGCGCCGCCGAAGCAGACCCCCTCGCAGCAGCCGCACTGCAGCGCCGACAGCTTGCTTGTTGCGCCGTGCGCGCTCTGCAGATCCGGGCGAAGAAGACGCAGGGCGCGCAGGGGGACGGGGGCACGGAGGAAGGCGTTGCTGCGGCGCCCGTGCCGGCCGGCGCGACGGTGGTGCAGCACGAGGGGGATGTGGCGTTCAAGGCAGCGCGACGCATCCAGGCGCACTTCCGGGGATACATCACGCGGAAGGCGTACGTGGCGTACAGGTGCGCGATCGCTGGCGGTGGCGGACGCGCGTACAGCGTGAGGGCGCGCCAGTCACGCTTTATTTGACGTGATGATCAAGCAGCAACCGTTGCTTCTGTTGTTTGACGGAGCTGGCGGTTGAGGGGGCGAGCAGCGCAACCGGACGTCTGTGGCACTGTGCGGGTCGTTGCAGGGTGGGCGGCGTGGTCAGCGAGCTGCTGTACTCGCCGGCCTCCTATGGAGTGGACCCCGGCAGCAGGAACACGCCGAAACCGCGGGCGCGGATCAACGCGGCGATGGCCGTCATCGGCAACGATCTCTGGCTGTACGGAGGTGCGCACGGCACGACGAAACGCGCCAAGCGGCATGCAGCCGGCAAGCACGCGCGCTCCGTTTGCGATCTTCGCTCCGCCGCCCGGCGCCGCAGGGATCGTGGAGGTGGGCCACAAGGGCACGGTGCGTGAGGTGACGCTGGACGACCTGTGGCGGCTCGACCTGGCCAAGCTCGACGGATGGCAGATGGTGGCGGACACCAGCGTAGGCCCTGACGCTTTCAAGGCGGACGGGGAGGAGTCTCCGAGCGAGGACGGCAGCGACGACAGTGAGGACGAGGGGCCCAAGTGGCACGCGTGATGCGCGCGCCCCCGGCGCCCGTGTGAGGCCACGCGGCCCAGCTGCACGTACGACGGCGCCAGGCCCCGCGACGGTGTGCAGTCGTTGACGGCCGCGTGCCCGACGAGCTCGGTGCGTCGCGGCATCCGCGGGCGTCATTTCTTCGCGTGCGAGCCGCTCGGCTGGTCGTTCCAGTTCGCGTCGGACGCAGATGGGGGGGCAGTGTGTGTGTTGCCGCCCGGGGGGTCGACGCACGCCGCACGGGGGCGTCTTTGCAGCGGAGAGGGCCCGTAGAGAGGACAGAAGCATTGAGCTCGGCGATAAACCTCGTGGCACGCACGCAGGCAGCTTCGCGAACGTTCCTTCCCTGAACCACCACCCACTGCGACTATTGGGGCTCTCTGCGAACGATTTTCCGCGTTTTCTCGGCTTAAATTGCGCCCCGTCGTTAGACAGCGGGCTCGCGCGCACGTGTTCTCCAGGCCGCCCGCGCAGAGCAGCCCCTGCGCGCGTGTGGCAACCAGCTGTCATCGCTGCGCGAAAGCCGCGAAGCGGGGAGGAGACGCTGGCCTTGTCTAGCCGCGCAGCTGTACCACCTGCGTGGGAGGGCGCCGCGAGCTGGCGCAGGTAGCGCATTACAACGGGCGCCGGCGCCGGTTGAGGGCGTTTGGTGCTGGTATCAGCTGAGGGCGCAGCGGCCGCGGGGCGCGATGAGCGGCGGGCGAGGGGCTCACGGCGCGGGAGGCGGCCACACATGGCCAGAGGAAATCGCGTCGCTCATGGTGAGCCGCACACCGCGCGCCACGCCGGGAACAGCGCGTCTCTGTGCAGATGGCCGCAGTTGCTCGGCAGGCGTGCGTCGCCCTGGTCCCGCGCGCGACGTACTTCGCGGCATTCCCGCAAAGCGCGTCTCGTTCGCTCCCGAACGGCGCAGGACGGCGAGGGAGCGGTGCCGGGCTCGGGCGGCAGCATCCGGTGGGGCCGGGCTGGCGCTGCGTGGACCGCACCGCCGCACACGCCGCCCGCGGCGCCCCAGCTCGCGGTCACCGCGGCGCCGGGGAGTTTCCCGCACGAGCAGCTGGCGCTGCCGCAGGGCCTGGACGTCGCGGACCTCGCGGCGGGCTGGACGCAGCAGGCGATGGTGCCCCCGGTGATCTCCGCGGAGGAGGACCGCGGCATGGGTGCGGCGCAGCCTTCCCCGACGGAGGATGCGAACGGGAGCGGGCACGGCAACAGCGGGCGGGGCGGGAGCGGGCGGCGGGGGAAGAGCCGGGCTGCGGCAACGGGCGCTGCTCGCGAACGCCAGCTGCAGGCCGCGCGTGAGGCGCAGGCGCGGTACCACAGCCGCAAGAAGAACAAGATGGTCGAGCTCCAGGACGCCGTCGAGGTGAGCTCCGCCGCCACCGCGCCACGCCCGCCTCCGCGCTCTGTTTCTGGTCCCAGCGCCACTGCACACGACACGTCCTCCCGCCCGCCCGCCCGCAGGAGCTCACGAACAAGGTCGAGGGGCTGCGCCACGTCGAGACCCAGCTCGAGAGCGCGAAAGAGGAGCGCGCGCGCCTGTCCACGGAGGTGGCGTACGTCAGTGCGCGCGCCAAGCACCTGTGGATGGACCGGCTGCTGCACGAGGCCTGGGCGCGGGACCGCGTGCCCGTGCCCATCGTCGCGATCCTCGAGGCCCTCGCCGTCGACCTCGGCATCATGACGCAGGAGGAGTGTTCGGTTCCCATGCCCAAGGAAATCACCACCGTCAAGCAGGAGCCGCTCGAGAACACCGAGGTGCGAAGCACCCCGGCTCCCCCGCGCGCGCGTCGCGTCGCGGGCGCGGAGCGGCCCGTCTGACCGCCTCTGTGCGCTGGGGGTGTGTTGCGGTGCAGTACATGGCCCAGCTGGTCGCGGCGGTGCAGTCGGACGACGGTCCGACGGCGGGCATCGGCGTGATACCGAGCAGGCAGTCGGAGAACGGCGAGGACGTCCCGGCGCCCGTGTGGACGCGGCTGGGGCTGGCGCCGCACGACTTTAAGGATCTGACGCAGGAGGGGTTCCCGAAGTCGGTCACGGAGCGCCTGACCACGCTCATGGGCCTCATGCACGACGCGCTCAACAAGAACTGGGAGCGCTGGGGCAGGGAGGTCCCGGGCGGCCCGCGGCCCGCCCCGGAGGCCGCCGTGGTCACGGAGGGGTCTAACATGCCCGGGTACATCTGGCGGTCGATCCGCGGGATCATCCTGATCGTGTTCAACACGTTCACGCACACGACCGCGTCGGTGCCGTCGGACCTCGACCCGCGCACGCTCGTGAGCCCGCAGTTGCTGTGGGAGAAGCTGGGCCCGAAACAGACGCCGGCGGAGACCGCGGAGATGTGGCGGCGGGCGCGGACGGCGGTGGGGCTGTCCCCGGACCAGATCATCTCGGTGCGCGCGGCGCTCGACCACCACGACCGCGCCGCGCACGACATGGCGGCGGCGTGGGGGGACCTGACGAAGGAGCTGATCCGGAAGCTGACGGAGCTGCTGGGGCCGTCGGGGGGGTTCGTGGAGGGGCACATGCGCGAGGTGGAGGTCGCGCGGTGCAAGGAGCGGCTGCAGACGCTGGCGCGGGACCGTGCGCTGGCGGACGCCGAGTTGCTGGGCGTGCTCTTCATTCGGATCATGCAGCCGTACCAGGTGGCGGCGACGATATACCACACGTACCCGCACTACTTCGACGTGCGCATGGTCGCGGTGCAGCTCGCGCAGCTCGAGGGGTCGGTGTAGGGGGTGTTGGGGATGTGTGGGAGCACCGTGCGCGTGTGCGATGTGAGTCGACGGGGAGGCGGTTCGGTGGGCGGGTGCGCGCTGGGTGGGTGCGAGGGTAGCTGCATCGCGTGTTGGGTTGACGGCAAGAGAGGGGAAGTACTACTTGATTACTTCTTCTACTGGTGGTGTGTTATCGGTGGGGCGTTGCGGGCCGGGACTCGTTGCATGCGCGCGGCGGTGGTGGAGACAGAGGAACGCTGGCGTTCGCGGCTGCCGAGGTGTGCGTGTGTCGCGCGGAGAGTCGCCGGACTGTGTGCGCGCTGGAGAGAGCGCGCGCTCGGCGAAGAATCCGACCCGGAAAGCGGACGGCGGCGATCGCACCGGCAAGCTCTAGATTGTCAGCGTTGAAAGAGCGTACGGTGGACGGTCCCGGCATGGAGGGGAGCGGTGGGCTGGCGGTACCAGAGGGCACGGCACAACTGTGGCTCGTGAGGCACGGAGAGACGGAGTGGAACGCCGCGCGGCGGCTCCAAGGACACACGAATGAAGAGTGTCCCCTGAACGACCGTGGGAGGCGGCAGGCGGAGGCGGTAGCCAGCGCGCTCGGGGACTGGCACCGTCTGCTTGGACAGGGTGCGTGTGCCACGTCACGCACTCTCATCTGCGCTTCCGTCGCGCAACGTCCATCACGCGCCACTGTACCGCGAGGCCTCAACCTACTTTGATCTGCCATTCAATCCAAAATCGAGTCTCAATGCTGCCAATCAGCATCCGTCAAGTGCAGGTGGCTTCCGCAAGCTGTACTGCTCCGACCTCGCGCGCGCCCGCTCCACCGCGGATGCCATCGGCGCCGCCACGGGCCTCACGCCCGACCCCGCCTTCTCCCAGGGCCTCCGCGAGCGGTGCATGGGTGCGCACCTGGAGGGCCTGCACATCCATGAGGCGCCTGAAGCCGCGCCGGACGCGTGGAGGGCGTTCCGCGAGGGCCGGCCGATCCCCGGGGGCGGCGAGAGCTCGCGGGAGATGCGGCGCCGCGTGATGACGACGGCGGCGCAGATCGCGGCCACGCACCCTGGCGAGCGCGTCATTGCAGGTGCGGCGCGCACCCACGCCTCGCGACGCAGCTCCGGAGGCCGCAGCACGCCGGGGAGTCCCTGCAATCCGCACGCACGCAGATCGGCCACGTCGGTGCTCTCGCTGGATCTGCACGCGTCGCGCTGATGTTTTGCGGGCGCCCGCTTCGTGCCGCGCAGTGAGCCACGGTGGGCCGATCCACGTCCTGTGTCCGGACACGCGCGCGCACTTCGGCCGCGTGGGGAACTGCACCGTCAGCGTGCTGAACGTCGAGGTGGACAACTACTTTCAAATGGCGATGGGGTCCATGCCGGGGGTGTGCGGGGCGGGCAAGGGGCCGCACTGGGGCTTCGACGCGCACCTGAAGGAGGTCGGCGTGCTCGAGTCCGCGTTCGGGGGCGGGAGGGAGGGGGGCTGCCGTGTACGCTGGGTCTGACGCGTGTAACTGACGCAGCGTGCCGGGGGAGCGTACGGCACTCCGAGATTTTGCTGCACAGGGTCCGGGACAGCGATGTATTTTGCTTTGCGTGCCAGTTGGTCCAGCGTCTTCGAGTGCGGCAGGTGCTTATTGCCCGGACACTTGCTCTCCCGAATAGTCGCGCACCCAGCGGGGACAGGCGCAGACGTCTCCCTCATATTGGCCATTGAGCTCTGAGGTATTGTAGGAGGGGCCGGACACGGAGAGATATTGGGCGCAGGGGCGATGGCGGAGGGTGCTAGTGCGCCCACTGGGCCGCCACCAGACGTCACGCCAGGGGGGAAGCAGAAGCCGACAGTCGTGCTCGTCATAGGTGCGAGCCGCGCCACTGGCCTCGATTCACCATGAAACCGCAGTCGCTGAGTCTTGACGGCCCACGACGTGGCCAGCGCAGTGGGGAACCTCTGCGTGCTCCTGCACCTGCTTCTGTCGCTGTTGCGGGCCTGCGCGGACGATGCATCAAACGCGGCGGCAATGCCATGCAGCTGGCATGCGTTTCGCTCGCGAAATCCCATCGAGGGCCAGCGGCGCTGCTTCCAGCACCTCTTGCAACCACAGCACAGCCAGCGACGCTCGGCGCGCCGCACCGGCCTCGCCTCAATACCCCTTCTCTGTCCCCGTGCTACGTACTCGCCTCCCCCCCGCTGCCCCGCCAACGCTTTTTCGCGAACCTCGCCGCCCCGAGGAGCGAAACACAGGGCGCGCTAACCCTCGGCCCTCGCCCACGTCGCGCCGCGGCACGCCGTGTCCCCGCGCAGGCATGGCGGGCTCGGGCAAGACGACGCTGATGCAGCGGATCAACGCCCACGTCCACCAGCACAAGATCCCGGCCTACATCATCAACCTCGACCCTGCAGTGCACCACCTGCCATACGAGCCGAATATCGACATCAGGCGCGCCCCCGCCGCGACGCGAGCCAGCTGCACCGTGCTGCCAGTGTCGGGGCGCGGCGCGAGCGCCGGAACGCCGCAGGCGGACTGACTCAGCGGCTTGTTTTTACCGGGGGGTGTTTTCTTGCAGGGACACGGTCAACTACAAGAACGTGATGAAGGAGTACAAGCTGGGGCCGAACGGCGCGATTCTGACGTCGATGAACCTGTTCGCGACGCGGTTCGACCAGGTCCTCGCCCTGTGCGAGAAGGAGCGCGACCCGCAGCCCAAGTACATCTTCGTGGACACGCCCGGGCAGATCGAGGTGTTCACGTGGTCGGCGTCCGGCGCGATCATCACCGAGGCGCTCGCGTCCTCGCTCCCGACCATGGTGCTCTTCGTCGTCGACACCCCCCGCTGCACAGGTCAGACACAACAACACACCCCCCCCCGCACCGCGCGGCACGCCCACCCTGCGCCCGCAACGCCGCTGTACGGTTCACCCTGTGCCACGCCGTGCTCTGACACGTCTCCACGTGTTTGTGCGTCGCAGCCCCTCGGACGTTTATGTCGAACATGCTGCAGGCGTGCTCGATCCTGTACAAGTCGCGCCTGCCGCTGCTGGTGGCGTTCAACAAGTCGGACCTCGCGCCGACGGACTTCGCGATCGAGTGGATGCGCGACTACGACGTGTTCTCGGAGGCCCTGGACCGCGACGAGTCGTACGCGGCAACGCTGTCGCGCTCGCTCGCGCTCGTGCTGGACGAGTTCTACTCGCACCTGAACTACGCGTCCGTGAGCGCGCTGACGGGCCTCGGCGTCGACGAGGTGTTCGCGGGGATCGACGCCGCTCGGGGGGAGTACTTTGCCGAGTACGTCCCGGAGCTGCAGAAGCTGCGCGCGCAGAAGGACGAGAGGGAGCGGGAGCGCGTGCGGGCGGAGCTGGAGAAGCTGCGAGCCGACGCGGGAGCGGGCGGCACACCGGCCGGCCCGTCGTAGTGCGCACTTGTTACATCAGCGCACTCGTGGTATCCTCTTTCAGCAAGACTGCGGTGGTGACCCTCGCGAAGATCCGGCTTGCGTCACTTGCGCGAGGACCGCGCACGCTCGCACAGCGGCGTTGCGCGTCCGAGGCACCGTTCATGCGCGTCACACGCCTCAGTTGGCACTTGCGTCCACCTGAGAGCCCGCACGCCGCCTCGTCCCGCCCGTCCAGGCCCCTCGCGCCCCCGTATCACCGACGGCCTACAGGTCCTCGCGACCGGCCTTGGCGGCGGCGTCGGCGGCCGCCTTGGAGTTGAGCTCGACGAACTTGATGAGGTCCTCCTCCGAGCGGTCGCCCTTGTACTCGATCGCGTCGCCCATCTGGGGCACGTAGAGGTAGATGGTGGGGAAGCCCTTGACCTCGAACTTGTCGCTGGGCACGTCGTTCGCGGTCGCGTCCATCTTGGCCACGACGACGCTGTCGTTGTCGGCAAAGTGCTTGCCGACCTCCTCGTACACCGGCGCGAGCTTCTTGCAGTGCCCGCACCACGGCGCGTAGAACTCCACCAGCACCGCCTTGCCCGAGTCGAACACGATCTCGTCGAACTGCTTCGCCACGAGCACCTTGACCGGCCCGCTGTTGTCCGTCGGCGGCTCCTCCGACTTCACGAAGCGGTTCACGCGGCCCGACAGCACGTCGTCGACCCACTCCGCGGCCTTCCCGAGGTTCGCCTTGCGGTCCACGTACTTGGCGTCGCGCTTCACGTCGTGGATCACCAGCGCCGGCAGGTCCGCGCTCCCAATGCCAAAGTACTCCATCGCCGCGTTGTTCTCGTCCGTGTCGACGCCGAGGACGTGCAGCTCGCCGCCGGCGATCTCGTCCGCGAACTGCTCCTGCACCGCCTTGAGCGCGGCCACCACGGGCCCGTTGGCCTTCCACCCGCCGGCCTTGTCCAGCGCCAGCAGCTTCTTCGACTGCGTCGAGAACGCGGCCTCGAGGTGCCGGCGGTACTTCGAGTCGCGCGAGAGCATGATGATCGACGGCTGCGTCGTCTTCTGGATCCACGCCGTCAGCTCCGCCGCGTCCGTCACGTCGCCGCCGTACGCCGCGACGGGCTCGTCGTACTTCTTGACAACCGCCACCGCCGGCGCCGACTTGCACACGGTGCCGTCGGCCTTGCACACCGCGCCCGGCATGTCCTTCGCGGCCTCGACGGTGTGGAACTCCATGTCCGCGCGCATCTGGTTGGCGATGACCTCGACGGTCGACAGCGCCTCCGAGCCCGGGGCGAGCGCGGCGACGACGGCGACGTCGAGGTCCTTGATCGCGGCCTCGAGGTCCTTCTTCGACGCGTGCTTCGTCAGGGCCGGCCCGGCGAGCTTCTTGAGGTAGCCCACGATGCCGTCCGCGTCGCGCGGGCCCTCATACTCCGCGGGCGCGTCCGTGTTGCCCTCGCGGAAGATCTTCAGCGTCGGGTACCCGCGCACGCCGAACTTGGACGCGAGGTCCGACTCCTGGGTCGCGTCGACCTTGGCCAGAGTCACCTGCGCGCGGAGGTCAACTTGAAGCTTGATGGGCGTGGACGGCGCGGGGGCCTCGGGCGGAGAACGGGCGGGCCGAGCGGGGCGGCGTGCGGTGCCGGGGGGCGCGTGCGGCCGCGCGGGGGCGGTTCGAGCGCCTTTGGTGGAGTGCCGGGAGCGCGGGCGACCCCCGGGCGCACGATGCTGGCCGTGATACGGGAGCGCGGAGGCTGAACGGCCACATCGGGGCGAGATCCTGCCCGGGTGGGCGGAAAAGAGGTCCAGATAGCCGGCGAGCGCGCGGCAAACGCGGCCGTCAACAAGCAGCTGCAGGGTTCGACGCCTGCGCGCGCACACGGCGCCGGGGCGGCGGCTCTCCGGTACCAGGCGGAGACGATCCGGCCAAGGTGTCCCGCCCGCGCGGGCGGAGCCGGTCCGTGCGGGCCGCGGTGCGACGCAGAGCGGGGGCCGCCTTCGGTGCAAGGAAGCCCCCTAGCACTTCAGGCCGCATCCCCGGGCTGGTGGGGGCACGAAGCGCCTCGAGACGCGCAGAGCGGACGGCTGTAGATCGTGGGCGCGCGGCGGCCGGCCGGAGGGGGCGCATCGAGGCGCGAGCGACGCGCAAAGGGCGCGGGAGGTCGAAGTGGAGAGGTTGGCCGAGTAGGGCACCACGGCCTGGGCGCCGAGGGGGCGTGGAACGCAGAGCTGGGTGGCTGTGCGCGGTGTTCAGATATCGAGGTTCGAACTAGGATCCGGAACGGGGTTTGTCTGCGGCGTGGCGCGCACCTTGGGCGTCTCGAGCTTGGCCAAGGTCTGGGCGGCCTTCTCGTACTCCGGGGCGAGACGCTTGCAGTGGCCGCACCACGGAGCGTAGAACTCGACGACGATGAACGGGTTCGCCTTGACGACCTCGTCGAAGTTGCCCTTGGTCAGCGTCACGACGGCCTCCTCGGCCTGCACGCCCGAGGGGGCGAACGCCGCCCCGAGGGCGAAGATCGCCAGGATCAAAAACAACGCCCTCCGCATCACGCCTTTTCCTAACAGAATCTGCCCCGCGCGCGCGCTCCCGCGGCCCCTATCCCGCGCGGGGGCCGCTTGATGCCAGCCAACCTATTGTCCCCCCCGCGTCAAGTCCGCGCTCCTTGCCCGCACGCACCGCCGCGCCCCCGCACACGCGCCAGCGCCCCGCACAGCCCGCTACGCGATTCCGCACCCACCCCGCGCCTCACCTGGCAGCTCAGCGGACGCCCTCCCGCCTCCCCACGCACACACGACGACGCCTGCCGCGCGCGGCGGGGGCGGTCGCGGGACGACATGTTCGGGGGATTCTTCGGGGGCCCTGGCGGCGGCGACGGCGTGTTCGAGGCCCGGTACCGCTGCTACCCAGTGAGCTTCTGCGACAAACCAGAACTTGAGGGAGGTGCGTGCGACCCGCGCCCTGCTCCGCGCGCGACGCTGCCTGGAGGACCGCATTGCCAGTGTGGGTGCGTGGCGGGGCCGCGCCGGTCCCGCGCGGCGCCTCGCGGCGCGGCGGAGCCCGTGGGCCGGGTCGCTTCGCGCCGCGTGTGCTGTCGACGCCGCGGCGCGCCGCGGCCCGCCCGCCGAGATCCTGCGCGCTCGCCGTGCGGCTGAGCGTGTCTGCGGCACATCCGCGCGGGCGCTCGCATTCCCGGGCCACGCGGCGATCTGGGAGCGGCGTGTTCGCAACACAAGGAAGACGCGCGTCGGATTGCGCGCGGCTCCCGGCCTCACCGCCGCTCCCGACCCCCGCGTCGCGGGGCTCCATCGCGTGGCTGCACCGTCGGGGCCGCAGCACGGCGTCGCACGGCGCGGCGTCGTCCCACGGAGGCACGACGTGTGTGTCCGTTGCCGCAGGAGACAAGGTGATCCTGCCCACGTCGGCGCTGGACCGGCTCGCGTCCCTGCACATCCAGTACCCGATGCTCTTCGAGATCACGAACGCGAACGCCGGCACGCGGACGCACGGCGGCGTCATGGAGTTCAGCGCCGAGGAAGGAATGGTCTTCATGCCCTACTGGATGATGCAGGCGCGCCCCCGCCCCACAAACGAGCGGCGCGCGCCGCGAGCTAGCTGCTTCCTGCGCCTACGCGCCGGTCGGCGGCGTCCGGGCGCCCGCCGTGCGCTGCGCTGGCCGGCACACGGCCTGCGAGTGCTACGCGAGCCCCAGAGGAGCGGTTTGCGCGGACGGTCGGTGGCTTGCCGTGTGCCGGGCGGCTCGAAGCAGGGCTGGCGTTGTCGTGCTGCGTGCAGAACCTGCTCGTCCAGGAGGGCCAGGTGGTGAAGTTCCGGTCGGCGTCGCTGCGCAAGGGCACTTTCTGCAAGCTGCAGCCGCACACGTCCGACTTCCTCGACATCTCCGACCACAAGGCCGTCCTCGAGACCTGCCTCCGGAACTACTCCTGCCTCACGGTGCGCCGCACACCCCCCACCACCCTCGCGCACACCCCCCAGCGCCGCCGAGCTCCGCCCGCGCCGCGCCCGCCCTCGAAGCACGCCACAACGCGAGCTGCGTGTCCTCCGCCGTCGCTGCGCAGCGTGGCGACACGATCATGATCCCGTATAATGGGAAGAACTTTTACATTGACATCAAGGACACGCGGCCAGACGAAGCCATCTGCGTCATCGAGACGGACGTCCAGGTCGACTTCGAGGCCCCGAAGGACTACAAGGAGCCCGAGCGCAAGCCCCCGGCCGCCGCCGTCGACGACGCTGCGATCGCAGCTGCGCTGGACGCTGCCAAGGCCGCCAACGGCGCCGAGGCCGCGGAGGAGCCCGCGGCCCCGTCGTTCACGCCGTTCGCGGGCGGAGGGTACAAGCTGGGTAGCGGGAAGAAGGTCGAGGGCGTCGCACCGCCGCCGCCGCCGCCGTCGAGCACTGGTGCGGTGGCGGGGTCGAGCGGGGGGCCGTCGCGGGAGGCGAGCACGGGCGCAGCTAGCGTCGGGGGCGTCAAGGCGGGGAAGGTCATCAGCGGGGGGCTCGCGGGGAACCGGTTGGCGGCGATGCGGGCAGCGGCGGAGCGCAGGGCTGCGGGGGGCGGTGCGGCTGCGGCGGCGCCAGCCAAGGAGGAGAAGAAGGAGGAGGAGCCCAAGGTGAAGCCGTTCGCGGGGAAGGGCTACTCGTTGAAGGGGTGAGCGGTCGCTCGCGGCGTGTAGACGTGCGTGTGTGAGCTGGCACGCGCACGGTGTCGTCGAGGGCCGCACATCGGAGGACAGCCAGACGGCCATGACACCGACGGCGGGTAGGATGCGCGTGCGTGGCCCGGCCGCTCTCCCTGGCATGCTGCGGCGCAGGGCCGTGTTGATTGAATTCCGTGATGACTGTTCAAAGTGTTCATGGATGCCCAGGCTTCGGGGTGCGCGACGGCGGATCGCGACGAGCGCGCGAGGTCTCACCGCGCCTTGCAAGATGGGCAGGACAGTGGCATGTCGCGCCCCTGCCCGGAGGCCTCCCCCGCCAGACTGGCGCCGCGCCTCTGTGCCGCTTGGCTCGACGGGCTCGTAGGGCCGCTGCGACGGCTGCGCAGGTGAGTGAGGCGCAGCCTGCGACCGAGTGCCGCGGCACGTCGTTGACGGAAGTCCGTGTTCGAGCACGGGCGGAAAGCCATCGTTGGAGGTTGAGGGGCTGCACATCGCGCGGGGCGCTCCCTGCCTCGAGGAGCGGCGTGGCGGCTCGCAGCGGCGGCGAGGATGTCCTGTCAGCTGCGCGGCGCCGGCTGTCGTCCCCAGCGGTGCGGCCGCACGGCGCCGCGCGTGCGGGGGCAAGCGTCGCGCGCTGCAGCACGGCGCGTTCCGGGAGAGCAGGGCGGTTCCGCGGCCGGCTCGTGCCGCTCTCGACGCTCCGTGGCGCCAACAGCGACCGCGAACGACCAGGACGGGTGCGCGCCCGTCGAGCCCCGCGGCGCGCCCGAGCCTCTGCCCGCTGCCAGCGCCACGACCCCATCGAGCCCGTGCGTCGCTCTGCAGCGTCGGATCGGCGTCGCTGCTGGACGGCGAGGACTTCTACGGCATCCTCGGCGTGAAGCCCACAGCGTCGGCCGCGGAAATCAAGCGCGCGTACTACGGTCTGATGAAGCAGTGCCACCCTGACCGCAGCGTGTCGTCGTCGAGCGACAGCGACGACGACGGGGGGTACACGGACCTCTGCGCGATCCTCAACGAGATCTACGCCGTGCTCTCGGACGAGGAGCAGCGCGCGCAGTACGACCTGCTCGCTGGCTACAGCGGCAACTCCATCAACCCCTTCTTCGACCCCAGCTTCGAGGCCGACCAGGTATAAACCCCGCACAGACAGCCGCGCGGGCCTCGAACCGTCCGTTCCGCCCGATCGGAGGTTTCATTTACAGATTTGAGAGCGTGTAAGGGCTGTGTCCTTTCGCAGGTGTTCGTGGACGAGATTACGTGCATCGGGTGCCGCAACTGCAACAACGTGTGCCCCGCGACGTTCGAGATGGAGCCCGAGTACGGGCGCGCGCGCGTGGCCAAGCAGGACGCCGACGAGCCTGACATCATCCAGGAGGCTATCGACACGTGCCCCGTGTCGTGCATCCACTGGGTGTCCGCGCCGCAGCTCGCGCTCCTGGAGGAGGAGATGCGCAAGATGGAGCGCATCTCGATCGCGGCGCTGCGCACGGGCGGCGGCGGGCGCGTCGGCGCGGACGTGTTCCGGCAGGCGAGCTTCTCGTGGGAGAAGCGCGCCGCGGAGGTGCGGGCCAAGGCGCAGGAGGCCGTCGGGGGCGCGCCGAACGCGTGGGAGTCCGCGGTGGGCGCCGTGGACAGCGCCGCGAACGCGCAGGAGGTACGCCGCCCGGCGCACGATGCGTTGTTCTACCGCGCACGGCGGACTGCAGCGCGCGGTGTTGCCGGGGCGGCGGCGTGAGCGGCGTGCGCGGCGGTGCGCGTGCTGGTGCAGGCGTGGCAGACGGGCGGGAACGATCCGGCGGCCGCGCGGCGGATGGCGAAGACGGCGGCGCGGGCGGCGCGGCAGTGGCGGGAGTACTCGCGGCGGCAGGCGGAGCGGGAGTTCGCGGGGCTGAGTCTGTCGGAGCTGAGCACGGCGTCGCTCGACAGCATCGACATGGACGAGGCCGTCCAGGCCGACCGTTGAGAGGGAGGGGGGTTTGCCTTGTACCTGCGTTGTCCGTCGGGGTTTGGTGAGCGCGTCGTGCGAGCCACGACGTTTTTCCGCGCTCACGTCGACCGAGCCCGACACAGTTTTGCGCCGCGCTGCTCAGCGACGGCGGTCCTTTCACGCTGGGCAGACTCCACAACACACGAAACGAAATATACACTCACAGACATGCAAATACGATCATCTTTGTTTCTCGGGTCCAGAACAAAACGCATGTAACCGTCCAAGCACAAACGCAGCCCCGTCGCGTCTCACTCGAGGACAGCGCGAACCTCCTGCACTAGCGCGGCCAGGAGCGGCGAGGGACCGCGCGCGCCCTCGCCCGCCGCCGCCGCACACGCCAGCGCTTCCTGCAACGCTGCCCGCACGGACGCGTCGGCGGCCGCCTGCTTCCCCGCCGCAGCGACAGCGAGGCGCGCGAGGTGCAGCGGCGCGTCCGCGACGTCGTCGGTCGGCTCGCCCTGCGCAGGGGCTGCCTCGATTGCGAGCGCGACCGATCGCGCGACGAACGCCGGTCCGGCGGCCTCGAGCACGGCCGCGAGGGCCTCCTGGCTGCCGGTGCCGCCCGAGCCGCCGGCGAGCAGGTTCGCCACTGCGAGCGATGCCTGCGCACAGCACACGAGAGGAGGTGTGATTCGGAGACGTTGCATCAACGAGCGACAGGAGCGGAATCGCGCACGATGGGGTGTAGATGCCTACCAGGCGCACTCCAGTGATGCATCCTCGCCGTGCAGCGCGATCCAGGAGGTTCAGCAGCGTCGGCGCCCACGGCAGGTGCGTTGCAAGCAATGCCTGGAACCCGACACCTTGCGGAGCCCCGCACACCGCCGCAATGGCGTGCACGACCTCCGCGGGCGGCGCTTCATCCGCAGCGGCAAGCGCGAGCAGCGCGGCGGCCGCGCGGGTCCCCGCTCCCGCCTCGCTGGCAAGGCGCGCTAGGCGCGACCCTTCGCGCAGTACAGGCGGGGCGTCCGGCGGGCACAGCAGCACGCCGAGCGCTGTCGGCGCAGCTCTGGACATCACGGCAGCGAAGGCGCGTGCAGCCGGGGCCAGGAGCGGCGACGAGCGCGCCGCGCTGGGGGGGAGTGATGCGAGCGCTGTCAGGATGCCCGCACACGCCCCCGTCAGACCCAGCACCGCCAGCCGCTGCGCGTGCTTCGTGTCCGAGCCCGCCAACGCCAGGGAACCCGTCAGCCACGCCACCTCCGCCGCACAGCGCGCGAGTCCGTCGTGTGAGCACGCGGCACCCCCGCACCCCGCACACCCGCACGTTGGCGCCTCCCCGGCGCGTCCCCCGCACGGCACGGCTCGACCGACGTGCCTGAGAAACTGCACGACCGCCTCCGGGAAGCCCTCGATGGCCATGCACGTCTGAACACCCCCCCACTGACCGTCCAGCATGTTCCCCATCGCCCACGCGGCCACCGACGCCACGCGAGCGCTCCCAATGCCACTCGCGGCGCAGTCCGCGCCCTGGCCTGCCGTCTCAGCGGCACAGCAGGCCAGCGAGGCGGCCAGAAGTGCTGCCATTGGCTTCAGCGCATCCAGAGCCCAAAGCTTGCGCTGCGCCACCTCCGACGAGGCGGCCATGTTACCCAGCGCCCAGCACGCGCACTCCGCGATGTTACGGTCGCCAGACAGGTGCACGGTCAGGATCGGCGCGGACACCAGCAGCTGAGTCATGTGCTCCTCGTCGCGCGCGGTGCCCGCCATGTTCGCGGCCATCCACGCGGCGTCGTACGCCGCGGCCTGCGTGGCCGCGAGGTCGCCTGCGAAGAGGCGGACGTTGAGGCTGAGCAGCGGCGTCATGCAGTGCGCCAGGCCTGCCGTGATGGCTGACATCACCAGGTCAGGTTGGCCCTGACTCAGGGCGCGACGGAGTGCGCTGACGCTGCCCGCGATGCGGAGCGCGCGGTCCTGCGCCGTCGCGAAGAGCTCGCGCGTCTGCGGCTCGTCGTCGCCCGACGAGGACGAGTCAGACATTGGCGTAGCCGAGCGGTGACGTTCGTGCTCCGGGGGGCGTCCCGCAACGGCGCGTTTTCGTCCCAGCAGGAGCGTTCGTAGCTGATGCACCTCCTGGGAGACGCTCTCCGGCGTGAGTTGCTGCTCGGACGCGGCGCTGGGGGCTTGGGCACTGGCGGCAATGCTGCCCGCGAGCTTCAGGCGCCTGGAGCTCAGCAAGCGCTGTCGTGCTGCGGCGGTGCTGTCGAGAACGAGCTGCGTCCTGCGCCCCCTCCCGCCCGAAAGGTCCCCGGGCTTGGCGCCCCTTGGCCGTTCCCTCTCCGCCATCCTCCCACTCGTGTCACGCAGGACAAGAGGCTCCTCTGGCTCCGCTACATGTGCACACAGCGAGACTACGACAACAGTGGCGCATCCTTGCCGTCGGTGGTCGATTATAGCGCAGGTTCGCGGCGGATTCGCCCCCGAGGTGTCTTTTTACACCCCATCGAGGCCTGACAGGAGCGTGGTGGGCGCCAGCGGGCGCATTGGGTGCGGGTGCGGCAAGGCGAGACAAAGAACATGCGCGTGGGGCATCGAGCGCCGCAGATGCGTTGCACGACGCAGTCTCCGTTCGATAGGTAGAGGGCGTTTGCACCTGATGGGCGCTACGAGCCTCGAACCGGACCAGCTGAGACTGACTGGGGACAGGCAGTTCGACGATCTGTTCCTGAAGCTCGCGGACAACTTCGCTCTGTTTCGCCTGTCTCTGTCGAACCACACAGCGGGCTTGAAGGACCTCAGCGCTGCCCAGGGCGCGCTGCTCTCGCTGCTCGGGCAGCACGAGTGGGCCGACAGGAAGGAGCCGACGTACGCAGAACGCATGTTCGAGAAGGTTCCGTGGCCGCGACTCAAGGAATATGCCGACCGGCAGCGGAAAACCGGCACCGTCGATCCAGGTGTGTCTCGCACCTCCCAGCCGCCGCCCGGGGGCGGTCCGCGGCACGCCCGCCAGCAGCAGGTCCCCATCGAACCGCCACGTCCCGCGCGGTCGCAGGAGACAACGTGGAGGTCCGCCACAGCAGCGCACACGAGGCCATCAGGATCGCAACGCAGGACTGCGCGGTGCTCGCGCGGTCCCTGCAACGCACCACCGACCAGGCCGAGGCCCTGCTCCTCGACCAGAGCGCTCCGCCGACGGAGGAGCGCGAGCGCCACGGCGGCGGGTCGCGGATTCGATTACAAGGTGGTGTGCGTGCGGCGGAGGTGTGCGTGCTGATGGGCGCTGTCGCGCGCATGGCGCGGACCGAGGCCGAGATGCGCGAGCGAGCGTCGCGGGAGGTCGCGGGCCAGTTGGACGTCGACGTGCACGTGCTGGAGAACATGGCGCGCGCGTGTGCGCTGGACCCGCACGTGGACGAGGACGCGGCGGGGCTGGTGCTGAAGCTCGCCGACGCTGAGCGTCGGCGCAGGAAGGCCGCGGACGAGGAGGCCGCGGCGGCCGCGGCGCGCTCGCCGGCGCGCTAGAGCGCGCAGCGCAGCCTGGAGCGCTTGCGCGTCCGCTGGCGTCGCGCTGAGCGTGCCTCCGCGAGGGGGCACGGAACGCAACGCAGGGCTGCGGAACTGTATGAGTGCGCTCGGTGCAAGTGTCCGCGCGTGCTTGCTTGCTCGCGGGGCCCGGCAGATGAGAGTCACAATGGAGGTTGTCCTGCGGGCCCGTGTGAGCAGTCTAGCTCTTCCCGTGGGCCTTCTCGGCCTCGAGCGCCATCTCCGTCATGCTCCGGAGGTGGCTCGAGATCAGCTCGAACGTCGTGAACGTCAGCGCCGCCGCGGGCGTGGTCCGCAGCAGGTTCGTGGCACACCCCCGGTAGAACCCAACAATACCCTCCTCCTGGAGAATCTTCCGGCACACCGCCTTGAACCCCCCGAACGGCCCGTGCCCCAGCACGTGCATGTGCGAGCGCACCACCTCGTGCGGGTACGTCGCAGTCGAGGCAACCGCCTTGGAGATGGCCGACGCCAGCACGAGCTGCGGCGCCGTCAGACGGCGGTCCGTGCTGTCGCCGTCGAGCCGCAGGATGGTCGTCTTGCACCACTCGTACATGGGGAACTGGATCATCACGTGGGAGAGGCCCACGAGGGAGGGCGCGAGGCCGCTGTACAGGCCGCGGATGCCCTCCTCGCGGGCGATGCGGCCGAGCGCCTCGATGCAGCCCTTGTAGAGCGGGCGCTCGAGGTTCCCGAGGGCCATGTTCTGCGTCTGCAGGCGCGTCTTGACCACCCAGAGTGGGTTGGTGACGGCGACGGTGGCCACGCCGGCGCCGCACGCCGCGGCCATGTGCACCGCGGGGGTGTGCCGCCAGTTGTCGTTCGCGGCGTTGTTGATGCCCGTCTTCAGACGCTCATACGCTGCGGCACAGAGACACCACAGAGCGGTCAGTCAGCACAAACACACAAAACCACAGATAGAAAAACGACATCTGCGGACGAGTGTCTCGCTCTGGTCACGAGCGCGAGCCGCGACACCAGCGCGCAGCTCGTCCAGGCACGCCCAGGCCGGCGCGGCGCACCAGAGAAGTACACCGCCCAGTTGGGCAGCAGCGCCAGCAGCGTCGGCGTGAGCCCGCGGTACAGCGCGCGCGTGCCCTCCTGCCGCACGATCGTCCGCAGCCCGCCCATCACCGTGCCGTAGCGCTGCTCCGTGCCGATGGCCTGCACTTGCAGCCGCGTTTTCAGCACGTCGAGCGGGCAGACAAACACCGCAGTCATCGCGCCGGCAACGGCGCCCGCGACGCCGTTCTGGGCCTCGCGGTCGCGGATGAAGCGCCCCCAGATGTCCATGAGCCTCACGCGCGGGAGCGGCCCGCTGCCGTCGGTCCCGGACCCGTCGCGCGCCGCCCGTCGCCGCCGGCGTCGCTCGTCGCCGCGGCGCGCCGCGTGGGTGCGGGTGCCGCGCCGGAGGTCGTCCTTCGGGTCCTCGCCGCTCGGGTCGACGAGCGGCGCCGGGTTGTAGTCCGTCAGGAGCGGGTGGCTCCTGCTCGCGACCGCGGAGGCAGTGACGGAGGCACACGGGAGGGTGCGTGGTAGCGGGCTGCAGGCGTGGCCGAGGTTGCGCCGTCGGCGCCGCGCTTCGCTAGGTTTGGCCAGGAGCGGTGTGCTCGAGCTACGGTCGCGGGAGAAGCTAGGGCTCGGGCGTGCGTGGCGCGCTGCGTGCCCGTGGCTCCCCTGCAGCAGGGGGCCAGCGGACGGTCCCAGGCGGAGACTCGCGCAGTTGCACCTGCGGGCCAGACGGACAGGGCGGCTTCATGCGTGAGCGCGGGCCCGTGGGCGCCCGGGTGCGCGGCCGTGCGCCCGCGCCGGACACGTTTGGTGCGTGGTGCTGCACGCCGGCCCTCCGAAGACGAGGGCGCACCTTCGGACGGCGTGCTGACTACTTTCCGAAGGGCGGTCCTTGTCCATGTATGCCCGTCACGGGCCGTGTCACTGGAGGCCGCCAGGCAGCCTCCTGCGCAGCTCCAGGGAGCGACTCTGCAGCTCCAGGTGCGGGGCGGGCCGCGAGGATAGGTGTGTTGGTTGCTCCGTGGCGGCACGGCAGCAGTCTCGCAGACGCAACGGAGCCTCGCGCGCCGGGCCGCGGGCGCTCCCGCGACGCGTGGGCGCGAACGGAATCGAGGTGTTGATCGTGCCGTAGCACGTCACGCCTCGTCTTCGAAACGCAGCGATGAGGCTCCGCTGGAGCGCTGTGAGTGTTGGCCGACGCGCGTGCGCGCTGGGGGCCCGGGGCCGTGTCGGTGCGCGCAGCGGAGGGTGCAGTGCAGGCATGAGAGGGTGCCACTGCGCTGGTCGTGGTGGGGCCCGGCGATGGCGGCGACGCGGAAATTCGGAGCTCGTGGGTGTAGGGTACCTGCTGTGAGCGGCGGCAGCCGTGGCTGCGCCGTGGGAGGTGGTGCAGCTCTCGCCACTTGGGATGGATGGCCCAACTGCAGTCCCCCGCTCACCAACGCGAAAGTTCTGCGGCGGCGAGTCACAGCTGAATGAGTGGACCGCGGGCGCGCGGCGCCGGGCCGTCGACGCCACGGGCGCCGCGCAGCGGAACCCCCGGGGCTTGACGAGGCGTTGAAGCGATAATTAGGCCGCGTCCCGGTGGCGTCGCACCCGCACTCTGTCGAATTCGCCACCTTGGACCAGGCCAGCGAAGCCAAACCCGGATACCTGGCCCACGCTGCGCGCCGAGGCGGTCAAGAGAGCTGGGCACGAGCGAGCCTGCTCCCCGCTCTTCCAGGCCGTGAAACGACTCACGCGTCGATCAGAACGTTCTTACATTCGCCGAACTCGAGCCCGCTCCTCCAGACCGCGCGCCCGGGGTGCTGACGAGGCGTCCAGCCGGCCAGGACCACCAGCGAGTGCCCGTTACGCGGCAAGCGCGCGTCGCCATGACTTGTCCCCTGGGCTGCTCGCGCCTCCCTCCCTGCCGCGCCGGCACAATGATGGCCGACAAGGCGCTGCGGGCCCGCCTCGCGCGCGCCACCCCGGCCCCGTTCCCCCGCCCATCCCCCACCCCGGGCCGCGGCGCCCCCGCGCACCACCGGGGCGTCCCCTTCGGCGGCCCCAGGACTTGCCCCCTGCGCATGCGCTCCCCCGCGGGCCGCACAGCGGCCAGCGGCGAGGGCGGCGCGGAGACGGCAACCACCCAAGCAGCGCCGCGCACCGCACCTGGGGCCAGCGTCGCGGGCGACGAGCCCGCCGATGACGTCCTCGTGACGGAACAGGTCGCTGAGATCCTCCAGGACGACTCCAAACCGCTCACGGTGCGCGCCCTCGCCTCCCCACCGCGCCCCCTGCGCCCCCGCCCCCCGTCTGCGGCCCACCTGCACCCTCACCCCCGATGGCGCCCGGCGCGCGCCGATCGCGTCGCCCCGCCGGCCCGCGCGCGTCGCACCGGACGCGACCGCCGCATCGTGGTCGTTCCGCGCCGCAGGAGCGCGTCGGCGGCGCGTGGGACTCGCTGCCCTACAAGCTCCGCCTCCTCCTGGCACTCAGCTCCTGCTTCGTCATCTGCAACATGGACAAGGTCAACATCTCCGTCGCCATCATCCCCATGGCCAAGGACCTCGGCTGGAGCCCCTCGGTCAAGGGCCTCGTGCAGAGCTCCTTCTTCTGGGGCTATATGGTGTCGCAGCTCCCAGGTAGGTAGTAGACTCAACCATCGACGCGCGCGCACGCCGCATAGCGACGCGCACCGCGCCGCCGCGCCCCGGCCCGAGGCGGCCCAGATCCGCCCCCGGCCTCTCAGCGCGCGCGCGCGGTCGCGCCGGTCCGGAAGCGCGCGGAACGCCCCGTATTGACGTCTGTGGGCGAGCGCACAGACGAAACGAGCTCACGTCGCACGGTTGGTGTGTGTCTCGCGTCGCAGGCGGCTTCCTGGCGAACAAGTTCGGCGGGCGCACGGTGCTCCCCGGCGGCGTGTTCCTCTGGTCCGCGGCCACCGCAGCCGTCCCGCTCGCCGCGCAGTCGCTCCCGACGCTGTGCCTGTCGCGCGCCGCAGTCGGGCTCGGCGAGGCCGTCGCGCCGTCGTCCGCGGCGGACCTCGTCGCGCGGTGCATCCCCGCCAACGAGCGCGCGCGCGCCATGTCGTTCATCTTCGGCGGCCTGCACGTGGGCTCCATCACGGGGCTGCTGGTCGCGCCAGGCCTGATCGAGAGCTTCGGGTGGGAGAGCGTGTTCATCGTGTTCGGGGGCCTCGGGCTGCTGTGGACGGCGTGGTGGGAGGCCGAGATGAAGCGCATGCTCCTCGCCGGCGAGGGCCCCGAGGCCGCGCCGCTGTCGCTGCCCAAGAGCGACAGCGACACGGGCGCGCTGCCGTGGCGGGGGTTCCTGCGCTCGCGGCCGCTCCAGGCGCTCGCGTTCACGCACTTCTGCAACAACTGGATGCACTACACGATGCTCGCGTGGCTCCCGACCTACTTCACGGAGACGCTGCACCTCGAACTGAGTCAGGCGGCGCAGGTGTCGCTGCTGCCGCCGCTGGCGGCGATCGCGGTCTCGACCATCGCGGGGCCGTCCGCGGACGGCCTGATCGAGCGCGGCTGGCCCACCTCGCGCGTCCGGAAGACCGCGCAGGCCCTGGCGTTCCTCGGCCCGCTGGGGTGCCTGGTGGCGGTGCCGGCCTTCCAGGACCAGCCCTGGGTCGCGATCGCGCTGATCGCCGGCGCGCTCGGGCTCAACAGCTTCGCGCTCGCGGGGCTGTACTGCAACCACCAGGACCTGTCCCCGCGGTACGCCTCGGTGCTGCTGGGCATGACGAACACGGCAGCGGCGGTGCCAGGGATCTTCGGCGTGACGCTGACCGGGCTCCTGCTCGACCAGACGGACTCGGACTGGGGGCTCTCGCTGTTCTATCCGTCCGCGATGTGGTTCGCGTTCGGCGCGGCGGTGTTCGTCGCGCTGGGCAGCTCGGACAAGCAGGACTTTGACGGCAACAACGCGCCGTTCGCGTGGGAGGCGCGGCTGCCGCCGTGGATCAAGCGGCGGTTCGCGGGCGCGGACGTGCCCAGCGCAGACGCAAACGGCAACGGCAACGGCAACGGCAACGGCAAGGCGGGGTGAGGGCGCGCGACTCTGAGACATCCACCCATGAGCGTCGGCGCCAGCATGCGCGCTGCATTCCTCCCGCCGTGCCCGGCGACGGTCCCCGCGACGCAGCAATAGACTTCTTTCCACGATTCGATGCCGGCGTCCGTCACATGGCGCGCCCCGGCTCTGTTGCATCATCACCCCTGTGAAGCATCTCGCCCCACGTGCGGCCCTGCTCACGGGCCCCGGCCCGGCAGCGCCGCCGCGGCCTGCTGGTGCGACGTCAGGTTGTCCACGCGCGTCGGCTTCGGCGGCGCCATGCTGCTGACCACCTGCCGCGCGTATGCATGTGCGCGCCCGTCCAGCAGCCCATTCTCGGCCATCTGCTCCATCGCCCGCACGCGCGGGTCCCGCATAATCTGCTCCGACGTGTACCCGTGCACCGCGGCCCGTCCGGCCCCCGACCCCTCCCCGGACTCCTCCTCCCGCGCTTTGCTGGCCTCGGTGTCCTGAGTCAGCCGCTCGAAGTCCCGCTCCGCCACGAACTGCCCCGCCACCTGCAGCCGCAGCCGCTCCAGCCGCTCCAGCCGCTTCGCCGCGATCGCCTCGAGGCGCTCCTTCGCCTCCTCGCGCTCCCGCCGCTGAATCTCTGACAGGTCACGCCGGAACCCGACGCGCTCGGCGTTGCGCACCGCCTGCGCCGCGGCCGCCTCGCGCTCGGCCTCCTCCTCCGCGACGCGCCGCTCGAGCTCCTCGAGCTCCGCCGCGGCGCGCTCCGTGCGGTGCTTCGCCAGCAGCGCCTTTTGCTGCGCGTGCTCCGCGAGCCTGCGCTCCTCGCGCGCCCGCCGCTCCGCCTCCGCCGCCGCCGCGCGGCGCTCCTCCTCCAGCGCCGCCTCGCGCTCCCGCGCCTCCCGCAGCGGCCGCAGCGCCTCGAGCTCGCGCTCCAGGCGGTCGCGGATCGCCTGCGTGCGCAGCGCGTCGCCGGCGCGCACCGCCTGCTTCAGCACGTCGCGCCCCGCGCCCTCCAGCGCCGCCTCGACCTCCTGCAGGCACCGCTCGGACTCGCGCGCCCACGCCGTCGCCAGGTCCTCGCGCCGCGTCTCCAGCGCGCGCTGCATCTGGTACACGTCCTCGTGGTGCACGAGATCCCTCCGGGACACCCCCGGCATGAGGCCCTCGAGCTTCCGCAGCAGCAGCGCGGAGCGGTCCGCGCCGCCGAAGCCCCCGCGCCCCCCCGCGCGCGTCTTGTAGCTCGGCCCCAGGAGGGACACCGCGACGGGCCGCTGCCGCAGGAACAGCGCGTGCAGGTGAGGGAACCCCGCCGCCGCCGCCGCGGCCGCCTCGCCGTTGTCGCCGTGCGCGTTCAGCGCCGGGAGCTCCGGGCCGTCGGCGTGCGCCGAGCCACCCCCGGCGTCCGCTGTGTCGTCGCACCCGCCAGCCTCCCCAGGCTCCGGAAGCGGTTCGAGCTCGCAGATCGGGTCGTCGAGCGCGTCGGCGCTCCCGCCGAGGTCCGCGAGCATGCCCATCGCGCGCTGCATCGCGTCGCGGCGCGCGGCGTCGCCCGGCGGCTGCTCGTCACGCAGACTCCTCTCGCTGTCCGCGCGGCGCGGTGCGGCGCGCCCGTGCGTCGACACCGGCGCCGAGGCCGCCGCGAGGTGGCTCCCGCCGCGCCGGGGAACGCGGCCCTGCGCGAGCCGCTCCGCCTCGACCGAGAGCGCACACACGCGCTCCCGGAACACATCCTCGACGTCCTCCACCAGCGCACGGCACCGGTCGACGGCGGCGGCGGGGACGGGCGTGAGCGCGGCGGCGCGCTCGATGGCGAACTCGGCCTTGGTCCGCAGCGACGTTTCGCCCTCGCGGGCCCCGGACAGCACGACGAGGTCCTGGTGGTCGTCGCCGGCGAGGGGTATGGCGGGTCCGCTGCGCGGGTGCGCGCCGCGGACGTCGGCGGCGACGTCGCGCAGGGCGCCGTCGAGCTCGCGGAGCTCGAACGCGAGGTCCTCGGCGAGCAGGCGGGCCTCCTGGAGCGCGTCATCGAGCCCGTACTGGAACCTGCGGGGCGTGGCGGGGCGGGGGGGGGTCGCGGGGTGTGCGTTTGGCTTCGGGTGGGGTGGCTGGCGGTGGGGGGTGGTGTGGGGTGCGGTGGGGGCGAGCGGCGTGTGCGTGCGGCGCCGTGAAAGGCGCACCTGATTTGTCTCAGGGCCACGGCGTGCTCGCGGAGCGGAACGACGGCGTCGAGAACGCCGCTCTGGATGGAGTGCAGATCCTCCGTGCAGCCGCGCATGGCCTCCGCGACAACCTCGTCCGCATACGCGGCCCCGGGCAGAGAGTGCCCAAGCAGGGTGTCGATGCTGGTGCGCAGGGCCCTCTCCGCGCGCGCCTCCTCCTCCTGCGCGCGCCTCGCAGCAGGAGGGATGTGTGAGTACAGAGCGCGTGTAGTGCAGACGGCGTGTGCCTGCGCGCACAGCGGGGAATGCAGCGCTCAGTCCTCGTGGGGCGCAGGGGCGCGCACCTCGAGTTTCTGCTTGGCAGAAACCCACTCGAGCTTGTCATTCTGCGTCTCCGTGCGCTGCTTCTGCTGCTTCACGAAGCCCTTCAGCTTGTTGACCTGCAGGTGGCGAAAGCACCAGCGCGGGCCAGTCGGCGACCGTCGCGCACAGACGCGCCCAGCCGGCCCCGCCGCCCGGCCCGCAGTAGCGACTACGATGCAGCCTCTGCTGACGCGCACTGCCGGCTCACGGCGACCCTCCTGGCCTCTCGAGCGGGCAACGTGGCTGCGTCCCCCATGCACGCCAGCGGCGGTGACCCGCGCCCCACCTTGTCCAAAATCGAAGTGGAGGTGCTCTTCGCCTCGTGCAGCGCCGCCGCCGCGCCGCCCGTCTTCAGCGCCCGGAGCATGCGGTTGTCCGCGCGCCCGCGGCTCATTGCTCAGAGCGCAGCTGCCCTGGGCCCGCGGACCGTGCGGCGACCGCTCCCCCCACCGCCCTCGAAGAACGCGACCGAACTGGGCTGCTTTTCCAGCACATGCGCGGGCACTTCCGGCCGCCCGCGTGCGGGGCGCGCGTCAAACCAGGCGATGCACTCAGCGTGAGTGCTCAGCAGCGTCGCTGGGCCCTGCGTGGCACTGTTGCAGCGCTTGGAACTGCGACCGGGGCCTGTGCGCGCGAGCCGACGTCGTGCCACGCGCTGCGGGGTCCCGGAGCCCCCGCGTCGTCGGCTCCCACTCCCCCTGCCCACCTCAGCGACCCCGCCCGACGAGCACCGGCGCAGGCCGGGGCCCAGGGCCACCGGCGACGCAGCCACAGCGCACCCTCAGCGTGCCGAGAACACGAACGCGTCGTGCGCGATCACGTGGCAGATCTGCGGGACATCTAGGCCCCCTGCACCACCAGCGGGGCGCTGTGTCGCGTGACGGGGCGCTTGTCCCAGACCGGCTTCGCTGTCGGAGGCCAGCCCACTAGGCTGCTCCTTTCCTGGCCGCAGCGCGTCGGGCCGAGGTTTCTGAGCTCGCGGGGGCGAAAGACAGCGAGGGGTGGGAGTGAGGGGTGATGCCGCGCAAGCAGCGCGCCGCCGAGGCCAAGGCCGCTGTCCAGCGTTCTGGTGACAGCGACGCATCCTTCCACAGCGTGCCGCATAGTCAGCAGAGCACCGGATCTCGCCCAATCAGCATCGACCAGGACCAGGGGGCTGTCCTTGCAGCTGCGGTGGCGTCCGCGCGCGACGATCCGGCGACCGTATCGTACGTCAAGCCTCTCCTGGATGGATTCGCTCCAGGCAGCCCCGCGGAAGCGATACGGGAGGCCGCAAGAGAGTTCACGAGACAGGTACGTCCCGCGAGCTGTTGCCGGTCGCCTGGCCGACGCGCCCCGGCCTGTCTGCAGCGGCTGCTCGCACCGCGTGCATGTACAAGCCCGCATCTCGGCGCGTGGGCCCAAACCCTGTCGCATGCGCCGCCCAGCCTCCCGTGGCACGCGGCAGCTGCGCCTGCGCCAGTGCTTCGCCTCTGTGCGCGGCGAAGACCCCCAGCGACCTCACCGCTCCGCCGTCTCGCTCCCATTGCCTTTCACAGACCATGATCGCCGTTCGAAGCGGTCCGCCGGGCCCGCCCGCGCCCGCGGTGGCAGCGCTACAGAGCACACAGCTCTACGAGCTCATCGCTCGGTGGGCCGACCACAAGGACTTCGGACACGACCGCTGCCCGATCAGCGAAGCTATCTACACCTGGGCTCGCTCCACCGTCCCAGCGCTGCGCCTCCTCGCCATCCAGGTCTGCGCTCCCGCACACGCGCACCCCACGCCACGCCGCGCGGTGCCGACGCTCGACCGCGCGCCGCGCCGCACCACGCACGCGGCAACGACGCCGCCCCCACCGGCCCGCTCGCTCCGCGCCCACGCCCCCGCAGGTGTCGCCCATCCTTGTAGGCGTTTACCTTGTACGGCAAAAGGCCGCCACGCTCGCGCTGCATCCGCTGCCGGGCCTCGAGGCCGCGCTGATCGCCCTCTACGAGCTCTCCTCGGAGCGGCGCCCAGGTCCGCCCCGCCCCGCGCCGCCGCCACCGAGCCCGCTGGACGCGCGCACTGCCCGTCCGCGTCTCGATCGAACCGCCCCGTGCGCGTGCGTCGTTGCGTGCAGTGCCGGACGTGCTCGCCCCCGTGGGGGACGGCACCCGCATGGACCCGCAGGCAGTGGCCGCGAGCATGACGGCGGCGTGCCCGCCGCACACCCGCGTGCTGCTCGGTCGCAGCGCCGAGGACGAGGGACACATGCCGAAGACGTTGCGCGGCGTCCGAGGCTGGCAGCGCGAGCCGCTCGCCGCCGCCGTCCTGCGCCTTTTCGCCGCCAATCTCGGCCTGATCGAGGCCGTGGGGCCGCTCGCGGACAGCTGCCGGCGGATCAGGCTTATCGTGTCGATGGGCTGCACGTGGGACGAGTCAGGTGCGCGCGGGGGCTGCGCGTCCCGGGAGGTGCGCGCGCCGGTGCTTGCGGGCGCGCTGACCGCGGCTGCGTGCCTCGTTGCTGCGCTGCAGAGGACGCCGGGAAGCCGCAGACCCTGAACTACGCGAGCAGCTTCGCGCACCGTCGCCGGGGGTCGCGCTCGGCGAGCTTCGACCAGGACCAGCTGATGGACGCGCTGTCGGGAGGGATGTCTTCGAAGCCGCCCCTCCCGCTGCCGCCCGTGCTGGTGTCGGCGATGTGCGAGGTCCTGGGTCACCTCGCGCTGCGCCTCGCGCCGTCCCCGCCGGGCTTCGAGCTGGGCAGCTACGAGCTCGTCAAGGACACGCACCTGTCGGACAGCGAGGTGGCGACGCTCCGGGGGGAGTTGAGCGCGGCGGTGGACGCGGTGCTGATGCGGGCGACGGCGGACGTGGACCCACAGCAGATGGTGATGGCGCTGGCGCTGGCGACGCTCACGCGCGCGCTCAGTCAGGAGCACGTGGTGCCGGAGGGGCGCGCGGCGTGACGGCGCCACCCGACGTCGCGCGCGTGGTGGACCGGGTCAGGGTCACAGGGCAGGTGCAAGGGGCAGGGGGGAGGGGGCGGGAAGGCGGGGGCGGAGGGGGGGGGGGGCAAACAAGTTCGGTTTGCGAGTTCAATTTGATTGCGCTGTGAATGTACGGTGGCTTCACGTCCCCCTGGGACGATCGCAGTCACCAGGCAGTCACCCAAAGGCTTTAGGGGTGTTGGTGAGCCCAGATGCTTGGATTCAGCAAGACTCGCAGGGCAGGCAACGGCCCGCGTGCGCACGCGGACGCAGGGGCACGGTCGGGCCTGAGACGGTGGCGCGCGAGCCTGGGGTCTTATCCCCGGGCGCAGGGCATGAAGCCCAAAGTTAGGTCATTTGCCGGCCGCCGCCCCTGGGGGCTGCAGCGGCGAGGGAGGAACTGTGCAACCACCTCTAGAGGACCAGGGAGATAAGAGAGGGGGGACAAACGCTGCGCTTGGCGTTCGAAGGTTCGTCGACTAGGTTACCCTTTAGTGGTCATCTCTTGCCGTTCTTGACGGCCCTCGGCAGGGCCTCTCGCTTCGCTGGTTGCTCAGCGAGGTAAAGTGGGGTGCGATGGAAGGCATGTAGGGCTCCAGCTTTGCTGGCTGGAGTGCTGGTGCCCATATGCGTGCTAGAATTTTTCTCTCCGCGTTCTGAGCGGGTGAGTGGTCGTGTGTGCTCTCGCAGGCGACGCAGGTGGAGGAGGGGAGCAAGCTAGTACGCGCGCAGGCGGCGTTGTTGCGTCGCATGGCGCGTGCACTGCACTGTGGCGAGAGAAAGATGGACAGGCAAATCATGGTGGGCAACAAAGGGCGAGGCGGGAAGGGAGGGCGGGAAAACGGCCGCCTCGTAGGCCTGTGCGGAATCTGCCGCTGCGGGCGCGCGCGCCCGTTCACTTGCGCGTCAGGAGCTTCCGCAGCGTCCCCTCGGCACCGCTGTCGTCACCCACGGTGCGGAGCGAGTCCGCGGAAACGGACCCCGCGGCCGAAACCTCCCGGCTGCTCCCTCCATGGCAGGACGTGGCCGACCGCGTGTACGGGCCCTTCAGGTCCTCCAGGCATAAGCGAAAAGTGGCCGAGGCCGGATTGATAGCAGCACACGCCGCTGCACCGGCAGGGGGGAAACGGGCCGCACGGTCAGCAGGGTTTGCGTGTATGACTGACAAGGAACGAGTCGCGCGGATGCCCCTCACGTAGCGCAGGCCGTGTCCGTTGCGATTCGCGTCTCAGGATGCAATCTGGACCAGGCGTGCGTGTGCGGCACGCGGCGAATTTCGCCGAATCCACGCAATACACGGGGCTTCATGAGCCAGAGAGGCTTGATTCGTGCGAGATCGGCCCGAACGGATCCCGGGGCACGAGGCGCTCACCAGCATCTTCTAGCGCCTGGGCCGTGCGCCCGAGCTTCTCCCTGATGCGGCAGCGGCGGAAGATGAGCTTCGTCGCGTCGTAGCACTGCTTCTCCAGCAGGACGCAGCGCTCGACGTCGATCTTCGGCGCCTCCTCGTCGTCGCCCGTCGTGTGGTGCTCCAGGCCCGCCAGCTGCAGCCCCTCGGTGCACACCTGCTCGGCCTCCTCGAGCAGCCGCATCGACATCAGCCCCGCGGCTCTGTTGCTGTACACAGCGACGATCTCGTGGACCCACGCCCCCGAACCCTTGGGCGCGGTGGCGCACGCCGCTTCGATTGCCAGTTGGAGGGCACACGCGTTGGAGAGAGAGCGCTCGCTTCCGTCGTCCTCTCTGTGCCCCGCGTCGGAGAAGCGGCGCGTCACTACTACGGCTGACGTCATTGTCGGCCCGTGCTGAGTCGGACAGGCGCGAAACGAGTTGGGCCGCCGAGAGGACCGGGTGGGCGTTTCTACAATTCCAGGCTGCGGCACCAGCAGTGGGTGCGTGAAGTGGGCCGCCGAGGGTGTGTGTTGGGTGGACACGGCCCGTGAGAGTGATGATGTGCGGGGACGGCGCCTCGCCACGCAATGATGGGCCGCAGCGGGCGACGTGCCGCTGGGTCTTATACTCACCCGGCTTCGGTCGGCTTCGACCGCTGCTTACGGCGGCTTACATGGCGGAAACGGTGAGCGTACGTTCGAACTATGAGGCGACTCGTAAGCTGAGACGCTGTTATGCGCGAACGAGGCGCGGCGTAGGAGGGACACGTTGGAGTGTACGTGACCGGGCCGAAGCCCGGTCCGTGACGCATCCAGCGCCCTTCCGCGGCGATGCCCGCCCCCAATGAGCCATGTCGCGCCCCCTGCGACGCCGGTCTGGGCGCGCTCCTCGGGCAGGCGGGCGTTGCGTGGAGAGCATCGCGCCTCGACGACTTCGAGCGACGCGTCAGGTGCGGCGACGGAGCCAGACGATGCCTGGCCCACGAACAGGCGAACCGACGCGCCAGGTTCCGTGGAAACGCGACGCAGTGGACCGCTGCCGTGCCCTCGGGCAACTCAGTGCCGGAAACCTCCTCGTCCGCGCGTATCGACTCGCCGCAGCGCCATCACGGCTCGTCATGGAAGCGACGATACACTTCTCGAGCTCGTATCGAGGATTCGGTGCCTCACGGGACAGATTGACGAGCTCCATCAAGAGCAGACCAACCACCCGGACGCGGCGCCGTGGTGGGCGGACGGCGAGTACGACGAGGCGCGCGCTCGCGCCCTCCACCGCCAGGGCCGCGAGGCCGCCGACCGCTCTGTCTCCGTCGCCTGCCTCGTGGAGGCCGTGCGACTGGACCCTGGCGTGCCCGAGCATCACGCGGATCTCGCGGCGGCCCTGCTCGGCGCGGGAGACGACCTGAACGCTCTGCACGTCGCCGAGCTCGCAGACCGCTTCGCGCCTTCGCCCGCAGCGACGTTGGTGCGCGTGCGCGCCCTGCAGCGCCTGGGCCGCGTCAGCGAGGCGAGCCGCGTCGCGGGGCGCCACTGCGAGTCTGCGCTGGCAGGACACCCGGAGACGGAGGCGATCCGGCGGGTGCGCGACGAGATCGGTCGCTCTGCGAGACCGAGGCCCCACGCCTCGCGCCCCGCGCTGCCTAGGGAGGGGGTGCCGGAGGAGCAGGCTGCCGAACTGCATCTGACCGCGACGCGGATGATGGCGGCCAGCCCTGGACGTTATGACGCCAAGTGCGCGATGGTCGAGGCGCTGGTCCTGTGCCGGCGGTACGAGGACGCGGTGAACGGGTGCGCGGCGCTCCCGGACGGGTGCGACCGTCGTTATTTGACAACCGAGGCGTTGTGGCGCGCGGGCCGCGTGGAAGAGGCCCTTCGCGGCAGCCGCAGACACGTGCACGATGACGAAGCTCGGATGGAAGCGCTTCGCGGCACGCTCGAGCCTCTTGCGGCGCGGCTGGAGGACGCGGAGAGACAACACGAAAGGCTGCGGGGGCGCGCGGAGGCTGGCAGCTCGGAGTGGGCGGCGCTCGGAGACGCGTACGCAGCAGTGCGAAGTAGCGTCGGCTCCGCGATCTACCAGGCAGCGTCAGGCCTGGCGGCGAGACTAGGTCAGCGCGAGGCCTGTTGCCGCATGCAGGGAGGAGACGCGCACACGGCGCGCCGCACGCTGAGCGACGCACTTGCGGCCGAGCCGGAGGACGTCGGCTGCCTCGAGGCGCGTGTCGACGCGTCCTGCGACCTCGAGGACTACGTTGCAGCGATGTCCGACCTCAAGACCCTCGCCATGCTGCGCCCCGCGACTGCGGCAGTCCTGGAGAAAATGCGCCACGTCGCGGCGATGTGCAACGCTGCGCGCGCGGGTCGCTCCCACGCCGGCGCGCCCGGCGGCCCAGGGCGGCGCGAGCGACCCGGCGGCGGGCTGTTGTATGCGGCGCTGGGCCTGGAGCCGCATGCGACGACGCAGGACATCCAGCGGTGCGTACAAGCGATGTCAAGCGCCCGCCGAGAATCGCGCATGTGTCGCGCGCGCTCCGCTGTCCAGAAAGGTCCGTACGCCGCGCGAATGCTCTGCAGGGCCTACCGCAGTTCAGCCCTCAAGTGTCACCCCGACAAGACCGCTGCGCTGGACGCCGAGGCGCGCAGGGAGGCAGAGAGCAGGTTCAAACAGATAGCGCAGGCGTACGCCGTCCTCGCGGACCCGAGCGCGCGCGCACGATACGACGCAGCCTATACCGAATCACACGCCTGACGAATCCACAGAAGCCAACCAACTGTAACTTCCCTCGCAAGAAGTCACGCACCGCCTGATGGCGCGCGGGCTGGGCGCCCGCTCGTCTAGGCCTCGAGGAGCAGGGCACTGCCGGTGAGCAGCCAGCGCCTGCGCGCCTCCTTGTCCGCCACGGGCAGGTCGAGCGTGCACAGCACCGCGGCCCGCGTGCTGTTGTGGTACAGCGGCATCTCCACCGTCGCCTTGTACGCCGGCGGGGCGTTCTTCGGGATCCACGCCAGCGTCGTCGTCGGCAGCTCCGACAGTGTCGGCGCGTCACTGCCCACCTCCGCGAGCCGCCCGCCGTCGAACGTCGCGCCCTCGATCATGATGCCGTCCACCGGAAGCATCAGCTCGCGCGGCACGCTGCCCAGCGCCCCCGCGGTCCACGCCCCGCGCAGCACCAGGTCGTCCATTGGGCACCCGAGCTTGGCCGCCGTCTCCTGCCGCAGCGCGTTCAGGAACGCCCCCGGATTGAACAGCCCGGAGAGGCGGAAGCTGACGCCCGTGACGGCGCCGGAGAACCCGCCGGCGTCAACGAGCGCCTGCACCGCGTCGGCCTTGCGCCCGACAGCGGTCACGTAGCTCAGCGGGTCGCCCGTGCCCTCCCACTCGGCGTCCCACGCGGCGGGGATCTCGTCCGCGACCAGCGCGCGGCCGTCGCGCTCCACGGAGGCCGTCAGCGCCGCGTTCGAGTTCAGCACCCGGTTGAGAGCGCTGATGGCCCCGTGCACCATCTTGACGAGCCGGGCGGCCCCCGCGAGCTCGAGCATCATCATCGACTCGATCGGGGGCTTGCGGTGCCCCTCCGACGACAGCCGCGACGGCAGGCGGCGGACCTGCTTCCCGGACACGAGCTGCTGCAGGTGCGTGCTGCCCGCGACCATGGCGCTCCACGCACGCAGCAGCGGGCCGAGCTTCTCGCGCCAGACCTCCGGGTCGAAGTTCGCGGCGGCCTCCTTGCTCGTCTCCATCGCGCGCATCTGCTGCACGACGCGCGCGCTGGCCACCTGCTCGCGCGTGCGGTTGACGTTGGCCGGGAGGAGGAAGATCGAGGGGGCGTCGTTGGCGTCCAGGGCCGACACGATCGCCTTCATGTCCGCAAGGCTCGCGCTCGCGGGGACGCGCACGGCGCCGCCCGTGCCCGGCAGCGGCGCGACGGTCCCGCCGTCGCCCTGGATGGTGGCGGCGTTGAACACGCTGTCGAGAAGCTCGGCGAGGATGCGGCTGTCGGCCTCGTTGTCGACGCGGCCGCCGTACACGGCCGTCTGGAGCAGGCCGTGGAGGTACTGCCAGTCGACGGGCCGGCCGTCCGCGGTGCCGAGGCTCATGATGTCGGCGCCCGAGCGCAGGTCGGCGTTGCTGAACTCGTACAGCTTGCACCAGCCGAGCGGGACGTAGGCGCGGCGCTCCTGCACGATGGCGTGGAACCACGCGAGCGCGAAGAGCAGCCGCGCGCGCACCACGGGGCCCTGCTGCAGGTACTCGGCGCCCCAGTCGTTGAGCGTGCGCGAGATGTTGTTGCGCAGGCCCGGGGGCGCCTCGTAGGTGACCTTGAAGCAGTGCTCGAGGAGCGACGTCGGGAACGCGGCGTGCGGCTCCGAGGTGAGGAAGAGCCGGAAGTTCGGGTGGACCTGCTCGCCCAGCCCGTAGACCTCTTTTTCCAACTCCGGGAGCCACGACACAACCAGGTGGACGTTCTTCAGGCACAGCCAGCGCCCCTCGCGCGCGCACTCGCGCAGCTGCAGCAGCGCGGCCTCGGCCTGCCCCTGGCCCATCGCGATCTCCTCGTACTGGTTGCTGCGCGTCAAGAGTAGGAGGGGGTGTTTCCACGGGGCTCGGAAACGTCAGCGCGATGCGAGGGGCGGGAACTGGGTCGATCTTTGCGCGGAAGCAATGGTTTTCGCGGACGGAGGCGCGAGGGAGGGGGTTCGGTGAGGTGTCGCACCTGCCGACGGTGCGCGAGGCCACTTCGAGGAGGTTCTGCGAGGGGTCTGCGCCCGGCGTGAGAAGGAAGAGCAGCGGGGAGGTCGCGGAGGCCTTCTCGACGAGGTGCGTCATAGGCACGGCGGGCGGGTCCACCGACTTGATGCCCAGAATGCTGCGCGCGTACGTCGCCATGGCGCTCCGCAGGCGGTCGGGCCGCAGCGCCTGCACGAGCAGCAGGCGGTGGAAGGACGAGATCTTCTTCCCCACGTCCGGCCACGCGCCCTTGTCCTCCGGGTTGGCGCTCGCGAACCAGGGCGCCCACAGCGCTGAGTCGCTCAGACTGTACTCGTACTCCAGGCGCGGCATCGCGGCGACGAGCGCCGCGTACGCCGCCTCCGCGGGGCCCTTGGCCACCCACTGCGGCGTCTGTGCGCCGCGCGGCGCGGCCGCCCCGCCCGCGCGGCTCATGAGCACCTGCCACTCGTTGTACAGCTGATCGAGCTCCGCGAAGCCCTGCCGCATCGAGGGGGACTTCGTGGGCGACCGGAGGTTGGACACGGTGCGCAGGAGGCTCGGCGCGCGCTCCGGCGCGAGGCCGCGCTCCCTGGCGACCTTGCGCACGGCGGTGAGGCGCGTGAGGGCGCGCGCCATGTGCATCGCGAAGGTCAGCCGGTCGTCGTTGAAGAGGCCGCGCGCGACGTCCTCGTACACGTCCGCGAGGAGGACGAGCTGGAGCCGCGTGACGCGCGTGTCGGCCTGCTGCCCGCCGGCCGGCGTCTTCTTCATCGTGCGCTTGAAGATGGTCAGGAAGAAGGGCAGGCTGAACCGGTACATATATGACATGGACGCGAGGTCGCGCAGGACGAAGTAGAGCGCGGACCCGAGCGACGCGAGCTGCTTGTACGCGTTGCGCTGCTTGTCGAGCTCCTGCTGCAGCCGCTGCGACTCCTCCAGCGAGCTGGTCACCGCCTGGCTCTTCTCCTTGGTCTGGTTGAGCGTCTCGAGCAGCTCGCGGTTCTCCAGGATGTTGCCCGTCGACCGCGCGAGCGCCCCGAGCAGGTCCCGCTCCAGGTCCGCCAGCTGCATCGTGAGGTCCTCCTCCGTCTTGAGCAGAGCGCTCTTCTTGTCCTCGAGCTCGGGCAGCTCGTGCTGGATGGCCGCGGCGAGCAGCTGCGCCTCGAGGCCCGCGCGCGTGACGGAGAAGTTGGTGACCGACAGCAGCGCGGCGGCCTGCGGCGGGAGGTGCGGGTCCGAGTTGCGGGTGAAGAGGAAGACGCGGAAGCCGTCGTTGTAGTCGATGGCCTTGTCGCCGACGAGCACCACGGGGCGCGGGCCCTGCTTGAGCATGTCGCGGCGGAGGATCGGGAAGAGGATCGGGTCCACGGAGTCGACGTCGCGCACGATGAGCACCTCGCCGAACCGCACGGCCAGCTCCAGCGAGTTGACAAAGTTGGCCATGTGCGGCGCGGTGACCTTCAGCGCGCCGCCGCGCTTCCGCACGTTCGTCTCCAGCCACCCGAGCGCGCTCGCGGACGGGTCGATGATGAAGGGCGCCTGCGCGGCGTACCCGATCGCGATGGCGTTGTCCACCGACAGGTTGTCCCCGGGCAAGCCCTCGGCCTTCCACCCCAGGGTCTCGCGCTCGCTCGACATGAACCGCCGGAGCTCGAACGCGCCCGGGTCCATGCCCAGGATCTGGCACCACGACTCCATCCACTCCACGCGCACGTCCTCGGGCTCGCGCAGCAGGAAGGTGATGAAGGCCGCCGACGCCAGCGCGCGCATAGGCAGCTCGACCAGCGCGCCGCCGAGGTCGTCCTCCTGCTTCTTCCACCGCCCGCGCTCGTCCTTGAGCATGTCGAGGAGGTGCGTGGCCTTGTCGAGCGTCTCCTTCGCGCGCCGCAGCTCCTCGGACAGCATCGCTGCCTCCCGGTTCTTGCGCTGGCACTCCTCCTTCAGGCCGTCGATCGACGCCTCGAGCTCGCGCATCTCGCGCTCGGCGGCGTCGCGCTTCTCGATCGCCGCGTCGAGGTCCGCCTGGTGCTCCGCGAGCTTCGTCTCCAGGGGCTCGACCTTCTCCAGCACGATGGAGTACTTGATGTTGGCGCGGACCCAGGTGGCCAGCGGGGCGGCGGCGCGGGACACGCGCTGGATGACGGCGGGCTCGAAGGAGTTCTTCGCCTGCATGAGGCGCAGCACGGCCTCGCGGATGTGCGCGTCGATGCGGTGGGCGTCAAAGTTGATGATCTGCTCCTTCATGCCGGAGCGGCCCAGGAAGGCGCGCATGCCGGTCCAGGAGGTGTCGCGCTCGCCGAGGAGGCACATGACGCCCTCCATGACGTCGCGGATGGCGTCGGGCGGCATCTTGAGCGACCGCACTTCGTTCAGGTGGTCCTTCTTGATGCTGTTCACGGCCGCGCGCGCGGCGTCGATCATCGGCTGCACCTCGCTCAGCTCCACCTCGACGCCGCGCTTGCTCTCCTGGATGACCATCTCGTCCGACGCGCACTTCTTGCTCAGCTCGGCCACAATGGTCTTGCGCTTCTCCGCCTCCTTCATCGCCCGCGTGATGTTGTTCAGCGCCGCGTCCGCCTCCGCCTGCTTGGCCTTCAGGACCCCCTCCTTCTCCACCGCGTCGCGCGACAGCTTGTCGACCGTGTCGCCCGCCTCGCGCAGCTTGTCCATCCCGGCGCGCATGTTGCCCAGCTGCTCCCGGAGCTCCGCGCGCCGGCTCGCGAAGATCTTCACGTAGCAGTCCACCAGCGCGCACAGCCGCCGCGGCTCCTGCATGTCCTCCGCCACGTTCCCGAAGAGCGTCAGCGCGCTCTGCACGAGGTCCTCGTCCCTGTCCTCGCTCGACGTGTCCATCGACGACTTGAGACGCGCGACCGCCACCTCCTCCATGCTCGACGGCGCCCACCCGGACACCCAGATGACGTTGCAGCGGCTCAGCAGCGCGGGGTTGCTCGTGCAGCGCGCCTCGAAGCGGGCGTCGGCAGGGTTGGCGCACAGGGCCACGCGGAGGTTGACGCGCACGCGGTGGACGAACATGTCGAGCGGGGACCGGAACTCCCCCTGCATCTCCTTCTCCAGCGGCGCGACGAGGCGCTCGTGGTCCTCCTTCGACAGCAGCCCGAGCACTTCCCCCGAAGACAGCAGTGCGTTCAGGCACTCCAGCATCAGGTCGCTCGTGACCTGCCGGTCCTCGAGCAGCAGCAGCGCGGGCTCGTTGCGCAGCCCCGCCGCCTCCATCGCCGCCTTCAGGTCGTTGTGGAAGTGCCGGATCCCGTAGCCCTTGACCATCTTCGGTTGGAAGACCTGCAGGCGGAGCATGTGCGCCGCGAGCAGCACCGAGAGCTTGCGGCCCGTGCCGGACGCGCCGACGAGCAGCAGCGCGCCGCGCGGCCGCGTGAGCGTGCGCTCCACGGCCGCGACCATGCGCAGGAACTGCTCGAAGAGCACCACGTCGGCGGCCATGACCTCGCGGTCGAAGATGCGCAGCTTCTCCGCGACGAGCGTGCGGTAGCTGCCGAGGTCGAGCCAGCCGAGCGTCTCGTGGCCGCGCCCGGAGAGCGGCGTCCCGCCGAGGGTGAAGACGCCCGAGAGGTCCGGGTCGTGGCGCATGGCGGCGCGGAGGGTCGAGGTGACGATGGACTGCAGCTGGGCCTGCCCCGCGTCGTCGACGATGCAGTCCTGGAACACGCGGCACGCCTCGTACGCGACGGCGTTGGCCGCGGGCACCGTCGACATGTCGTAGTGCAGGAGCGCCTCGGCCCACTGGCTGAGCTGGCGCGGGCTGAACACGTAGTGCCGGCGCTCGTTGGGCGTGAACACCTTCTTCACCTCCTCGTACACCGCGACCATCGCGCCCGCGAGCGTCGTCGGCTCCGGGACGCCCTGCCCACCCTCGCCGCGCAGGTGCGCCACGATGGGCTCCAGCAGCCGCGCGAAGATCTCCTGCAGCTCCGCGCCCGTCGGGTTCGGCATGTACGCGATGCGCATCACCGCGGCGAGGCGCTGCGAGAGCGGGTGCCGCCCGACCGTCGAGGGCGGGTCCATGGTCCCCACAATCTGAATGCGCTCGATCTGGACCCACTCGAGGCCCTCCTCCTCGTCGTAGTACCCGCGGTAGGTCAGGATCTGCTGCAGGAGCGCGACGAGCTGCACGGTGCCGTACCGGTCCGGCTTCGGGAGGTTGACGTCCTTGAGGTGCAGGATGACGCGCCCGGCGCCGCGCGGCGCGAGAACCTTGCCGCGGTTGGTGGTGCGGGGCTTCCCGCAGATGCTCTTGAGCTTCCCAATGACGTTGGCGGCGCTGGTGCTGGCCGAGCACGGCACGCGGGCAACCTCGATCTCGTCGGGGAGGCAGTCCAGCATGCGGTCGAGCAGCGCCGACTTGCCGCACCCGCTCTCACCGCACAAGATGAAGGGCGCGCCGTCGCGCAGCCACGGCGCGATGTCCTGCGCGCTCCGCATGACCGACTCCGTTGGGACCACGCGCTCGGGCGCGTCCTCGCCGCCCGCGGGCGCCAGCTGGTCCGCGGCGTCCGGGCCGAGCATCAGCGTCTCGAAGGTCGCGCCCGCCAGCGCGTGCTCGAGCCCGCGCTCGTTGGCCACCTGCGCGATGTGCTGCGTCAGGCGCGCGCGGTCCTCCTTGGCCACGTTCGACCCGAGGCCGTGCGCGAGCCCGCGCGCGAACTCCGCGCGCGACGTCGCATGCTCCACGTGCGACAGCACGTTGCGCAGCTGCCCGATCGTTGTCGTGGGCACCACGGGCTGGTACTGCACGGCGACCTCCATGCACCGCACGAGCAGCTCGTCGCACCACTTCCGCAGCAAGGCCACGTCCGGCCCCGCGCGCCCGTCCTCGCGGCGCTGCGCGTCCTTCTCCAGGTCCGCGAGCCACTTGGTCACGTCGTTGCTGATGTCGATCGCGTCGTCGGACATGAAGATCATCCCGCAGCGCGACACCGTCGCCGGGGACGCGTACTGCAGCGAGTGGCACTCGAACACGAAGTTCACGTTGTCGCCCAGCTGGATGCGCTCCCCGTTGGGCAGCGTGAGCAGGCGGTTGTCGTCCATCACCGAGTTGAGGCTCTCGATCCACTCCGGGTCCACGTCGCCGTCGCACACGATCCACGACCGCTGGCTCTGCGGCTCCTGCACCACGCGCCGCGCGGCGGCCGTCAGCACGCCGTCGGTCCACTCCCGCGTGTCCATGTCCAGCGACCCCAGCAGCTGCTTGCGGTCCACGGCCTTGGGGTTCATGCGGTGCACGATGACCGGCCGGCCGAGCTCCGCGTACGCCGCCTCGAGCACCGTCCAGAGCGTCGACTTGCCGCACCCGGACGGCCCGACGATGATCACGCCCGTGCGCTGCTGCGTGGCCATGTCCAGCTGCAGGATCTTGCCGACCTGGTCGTCCTGCGGGACGAGCGAGCGCCGCTCGTAGACCTTGCGGATCGCGGCGAGGAGCGTCTCGTTCTCCACGTCGCGCATCTCCGCGCCGCGGAACTGCACCTCGAGCAGCGACAGGAAGCGCTCCAGGTCCGACTGCGTGAGCTTGGGCAGCGTGGTGACGCGCACCGCGCGGATCACCAGCGACATCTCCTGCTCCGCCGTCGGCACCACGCCCGGGTTCGCGGCCTTGGCCTCGCGCAGCAGCTTCCCCGCGATGCCCAGGACGGTCTTGAGCGCACGCAGGCCCCAGTCGTAGTGCTGCTGCTTCGACAGGAGCTGCCGGGACACGCGGAAGAGCGTCACCACGCGCCGCGACAGCGCGCGCGCGCTCCGGAAGCCCTCCGCGAGCAGCATCACCTCGGCGATGAGCTCGTCGTCCGGGACCGACATGGCGATGGGCCGGAACAGGGCCTTCAGGTTGTCGGGGAGCTTCGAGCGGCCGCCGTAGCCCTTCCCGGCGGGGTTCATGGTGACGAAGATCCCGGCGTTGTGGTCCACGGGGATCTCGCGGCCCATGAAGACCATGGTCCTCTCGCGCGCCTTGATCGACGACTGGATCTGCTGGATCTGCTGCGACACCGCCGACAGCACCTCCTGCTCGAGCCGGTTGAACTCGTCGAAGCACCCCCACGCGCCGCACTTGACGAGGCCCACGAAGATGCGCCCCATCGACCGGAAGTCGAACTCCTCGTCGCAGTTGAACACCAACACCTGCCGGGCCAAGTACTGCCCGAGCGCCTTGACCGACTCCGTCTTGCCCGTGCCGGCGGGGCCGTACGGGTTCCCGCCGTTGCCGAGCTTGAGCGCCTGGGTCAGCGTCAGGAAGCACCGGTCCGTCAGGGGGGTGTAGACCAGCTTGGGCGCATTGCCCTGGTACTCAAACGTGTACTCGATCTCGGAGCCGGCCATGCGGCCGTGGCACTGCCCGTCGGGCTGCGCGTAGAAGCGCAGCTGCTTGAACCAGGCCCACTCCGTCGGCGTCTGGCAGCGCTCCCGGATGAGCGACTCGACGACGTCCTTGTAGTGGATGATGTCGAGGATCATGGCCTTGACCTTGAGCTGCATGACGTGGTGCCCCTCGTACGACGCGTCCGTGAGGCCCTGCAGCTCGCCGTCGAGCTCCTGCCGCAGCGTGAGCAGCCCGTTGGACCGGATGGCCTCCTCGGCGCGGCTGGTGAAGCGCACCGCGTCCGAGACGCACAGCACCTGCGACGGCATGTGCTGGAAGTCCTCGGGCGTGAGCTCCGGCCGCAGCGCGCCGCCCTGGAGCGTGCACGCCACGAGGCGCTCCCGCAGCGTGCCCTTCATGCTCGCCGACAGGTCGCTGAGCCACTCCTCGACCGAGTCCGTCACGCGGACGGGCGGCGACAGCGCCACCTCCTCGCCGTCCGCGGAGCACATGTGCGTGATGGTGTGCTCCCGCGGCCCGCTCGCCTTGAGCACCACGCGGTAGATCCCCGCGAAGAGCTTCTTGAGGTGCGCCTGGATGACGTTCGGGTCCTTGCACTGCGAGAGGATCTCGAGCAGGTCGTCGTCGCCGATGAAGTAGAACCGCGGGAACACCGCGCGCCGGTCCTCGAGGAACTCCATCAGGCTCTTCTGGCAGTGCTCCAGCTGGTCGGCCATGGTCTTGAGCTGGGCCTCCAGGCCCGGGCGGTCCGCGAAGGCCTTGACGTGCGGGTCGCGCTGGATCTGGTTCATCAGGCTCACGAAGTCGCGGTCCACGCGCGCGAACCGCGGCTGCTCGTGCGGCAGCGCGCCGCGGCTGAAGATGGGCTCCAAGTACACCCACCGCCGCTGGATGCCGTTGAGCGTGCCCAGCGCGCCCACCAGCGTCGACAGCCGCGCCTCCCACGACAGCGTGTCGTCGCGGATGCCCGAGTCCTGGAAGTAGGGCGACTGCTTCAGTGACCCCACCAGCGCCTGCAGGTCGGCGGCCTCGGACAGCAGGTCCTTCCACTCGCGGATGAGCATCATCGCGCGCCCGCGCCCGTCCTGCCCGCCGCCCGTGGACGTGTGCTCCGCCAGCGTGAACGTCCGGTCGAAGCCCCAGTCCTTGAGCTCCTGCACGGCCTTGCGCAGGCCCGCCTCGGCCTGCGCGCGCGCGTCCATGGCCTTGATGGCCTCGGCGTTCTGCGCGAGCGCGTCGGCGCGGTCGAGGAAGTGCAGGAGCGTGACCTTCGTCGCGTCGATCTTCTTCAGGCCGATCATGCCAAACAGGCGCGACCAGTGCGAGTCGTCCCACGACACGCCCTGGATGTACCGCAGGTGCGGGTCGATCAGCGAGTACTTCTCCAGCTGCTCCATGATGGCGCGGTCGACCGGCCCCTTCTGCTTCTGCTCCTTGAGGTACCCGCGCCACTTCAGCTGGAAGTCCTCCAGCTTGTTGCGCGCCTGCTCGCGCACCGACAGCCACGACGCGTCGAACAGCGAGTCGCGCTCCTCGATGAAGTCCTTGTACCGCTGCCACGCCCCGCGCTCCTCCTCCATCTCCGCGCGCAGCGCCTCCAGCCGCTCCAGGTCTGGCATGTCCGCCGCGCCCACGCCGCAGTTCTCGCAGTCCTTGGCCACCTCCGCCGCGTGCGTCTCCAGCTCCTCGAGCATCTTCAGCTGCTGGTCCATCTGCGCGAAGATCATCGCGGGGTCGCGCCCCTGCACGTTGCCCGGGCGCCGGAGGTCCCACTCGGCCCACGCGCCCTCGATCTTGCCCAGGAGGCCGTCCTTGCGCTTCAGCGCCTGCGCCTGCAGACCCTTCTGCTGCTCCCCGATGTGCAGGTCGAACTGCTGCAGCTTGTCGAAGTTCGTGTCGATCTCCCCCTGCAGGTCGGAGATGTCGACCAGCCCCACGTCCGCGCCGCCGCGCGTGGGCAGCGCGTTCGCCGCGATCATCTGCCGCAGGAGCTTGTTCTTCTCGTCGATCTTGATCTTCAGCTCCCGCACGCGCGTCATCGCGTGCATCAGTTCCTCGGCCTTGTGCTTGTGCGAGCCGATCTCCTCCATGTTGGCCGCCTTCGAGTCCACGAGCTCGCGGACCTGCGCGAGGTACTCCTCGATCTCCGCGCGCTCCGCCCGCGCCGTCCGCGTCAGCGCCCCGTTCATGGAGTCCTGCAGCCGGCGCACCTGGTTGCTGAACTCCTGCTTCACCGGCGCGAGCGAGAGCGTGAAGCACCCGTGCACGACCTCCGAGGGGAGGAAGCGCTCGTCCTCGGCCTGCTTCGACGCCTCCTTGAGCGCCGCGGCGTTGCTCAGGAAGAACCGGGAGAAGGACTGCTGGTCGGTGTCGGCCGACTGGATGTGCAGGTCGACGAACTCGTCCACGCTGCCGACGGACCCGAGCGCGAGCCAGTCGCGCCGCTTCTCGGCCTCCGCGGCGAGCTCGTCCAGCGCGGCCTCGCTCGCGCGGTACGCGTCGCTGATGCCCTCGGCATGCCCGCGCACCACGTCGGCAAAGAACCCGTCGGTCGCCGAGAGGTCCGACACGCCCTTGAGCTTCAGCGGGAGCGCGATGAAGTCCTGCAGGTGCTTGTAGTGCCGCTGCCGCACCTCCTCGAGCGACGGCGTCAGCTGCAGCCGCCCCTGCCGGAACTCCAGCGTCACCTCCTCGCGCGGGAGCGACTCGTGGAGGCGGTCGAGGCCCGACGCGTACTGCAGCGCGACGACCTTCTTGAGCTGCATGTCCCAGTGCCGCCGCCACGCGCGCTGCGCCCCGGCGTCGAACTCCCCCTCGAGGCGCTCGAAGATGCGGCGCATGTCGCGGATGCCCTCCTTCCAGCGGTCCTTGCTCGCGCCGAGGTCGGCGCCGGAGAGTGTGACGACCAGGTCGCGGAGCTCGCGGTGGTAGTGCATGAGCCGGCGCTGCTTCTCCGAGAAGCGCTCCTGGGCGCGCTGCAGCGAGTCGAGGTAGTTCGCCAGCGCCACGTGGCTGTCCCACGTGATCTTCGCGCCGCTGAGGTCCGTGGGGCTCTTCATGAGCTGCTCGAGCTCCTCCGCGGCGCGCAGCAGCATCGGCTTGATGCACGGCAGGATCTGCGACGCCAGGTTGTTGTAGCAGTTGGCGATCTGCTTCAACGTCATCCCCGTCTTGTAAAACTCCCGCGCGCGGTCCATCTCGACCGCGATCTCCCGCGGCACGCGGTACCCCAGGCTCTGCAGCTGCCGCACCTCCCGCAGCAGCCGGAACAGGTGGTCGTTGAACCCGGGGCGGAAGGAGCCGTCCTTGGACGACATCTGCAGCAGCTGCGCGGACCGCTCGTGCCGGATGTCGCTCAGGATCTCCTTCGTCTGGTCCGCCCAGTCGCTCACGGCCGTGCGGCTCAGCAGCTTGACGCGATCCTCGGCCTTCCGCGCGGCGCCCAGGAGGGACTGCACGGCCGGCGACGGCGGCGCGCCCTGCACCACGAGCGCGCGCGCGGCCTGGTCGACCTGCGTGACCTTGAGCTGCGCCTGCGCCGCCCAGCACAGCGCGTCGACGGTCGACGTCGTGTTCAGCCCGCCCTGCGAGGGCGTGGCGCCCTGCCCCGCCGCGCTCTCGCGCTCGTCCGCCTCGCGCCGCAGGAAGTCCAGGTACCGCATGATGCCCTCGGCGAGCGCGTCCACCTCGTCCGCGAGGCCCCCGCCGACGCCCGGGCGCGACAGCAGATGCTTCAGGCCGTGAATCTCGCGCAGCACGTCCTGGGGCCGCATCCCGGAGGCCTCCGCCCCGGACAGCGCGGGCGTGTAGGTCGACGTGAGCAGCTCGCGGATCTTCTGCGACGCGCGGGCCTCGAACGGCTGCAGGCGGGTCTCGAACTCGTGCCGCGCCGCCGTCCACAGGTGCGACGCGTGCGGGCCGACGGAGAGCGGGTCGAGCGGCGCGAACGGCGCGAGGACCTCGCCCGGCGGCACGTCGACGCCGACGAGCATCGTCATCTCCTGGACGGTCTCGCGGAGGCGCACGATCTCGTAGCACCGGTCCTTGAGATGCGTGTACAGGTCGATGCGCGCGAGCGCGGCGGCGTCGCTCTGCAACCAGCGCGCCTCCCCCGCAGAATCGTACGAGGGATTGAACACGGCGCTCTCGAGCTCGTAGCACATCCGCTGCGCCTGCGCCGCGACGTTGAACACCCCCTGCAGCGTCGGGTGGACGGCGTCGAACGGCCCGGTCCACGTGTCCACGCTCTCGACGACCCGCCGCAGACACGACTGCAGGAACGACCCGAGCACGTGCAGCATGTGCGCCATGTGCGCCTGGTCGTACGCGGGGTACGGGCCCACGTTGGCCTTCCACGCCGCCTCCAAACACGAGTTCGCCGCGTCCACGAGCTCCAGGAGCTGCTCTTCGGACGGCGGCGCGGCGTCCGGCGGCGTGGTGCACTCCTGCAGGCGCTGCTTGAGCGGCAGGAGGAGCGCCTGGACGTCGGCGGCGCCCGGGTGGCGCGCGGCGAGGGCAGCCCAGCGCTCGAGCTCCTCGGCGACGGTGGCGACGACGGTGACGGGCGTGGCGTTCGGGTCGACGGTGCCCTCGGGGGGGCCCGACTTGAGGGCGTGCCCGACGGTGTCGCGGAACTCCGCGAGAAGCTTCGCGGCGCCGCGGTCGCCGCCGATCGCGTCGACGACGGGGCCGTACACGTTCACGAGCGACCTGCGCGGGGGGCGGGTGGCGTGGCGGTTCGGACGGGCGCTGCGGGCGGCGCGGTGGGTGCTTGCGCGCGGTGGGGGAGTGTTGGGTTCTCACGCGTAGAGCGCAGCCATCGGGTTGGATCCGATGACGGAGATGGAGATGAGCGTGGCCACGTCGCGGAGCTCCAGGGGCGCCGCGACGGACTTGGCGATGGCCACCTGGTAGGCCGTCTTGCCCGCGTCCTTGAACGGGGTCGGAGAGATGCTCACGCGCCCGGATCCGTCCACCAGCGCGTACACGCCCCGGGCGTCGGGCTTATCCTGCGAGGCGGGCGCGGGACCGCGGAGCGCAGTGGGCGGCGGGCGGTTGCACACGCCCCGGTTCGCGTGCTGTGCTGGTTGCTCGGGCGAACACGCGGCGAGGGCGGGCTCTCATACGCCGGAGCAGATCGTCGGCGCATGATACGAGAATGTCACGCTGTGCGGCGACAGGGGGCCCGCCGGGAGCGACTGGCTGCGCGGGGGCGCGCCACAAAGTGCCCGCCCGGGCCTGTAACGCCCACACGCGGTGGCCTGGGGCGCTGTTCGGCGTGCCCGATTGCAGCTCCAGAGAGCCCGAGGACAGAGCTTTGAATCTCTGGTGCGGGAACCGGCGCCTGGGCACGTGAGCGCGGTGTCTCGCGGTCCCGCAAGTGGCCTCACGTTGGCGCGGCGTGGCGCGCAGCCAGGGGTGGAACGCGCCGGGCCCCACCGGGGACCGATGGCGGATGGCACAGGGTCTCTGCGGGCGCGGACGGGGGCGTACCACGAGAGCCACGATGGGCGCGAGCTGGGCGCCATCTTGCGTGATGGCATTCAACACGGACTCTCGCTGCGCGGGGTCCGTGCCGGCCACGTCGGCGATGAGGCTCGCGACGTACGTCACGCGCGGGTCCGCCATCGTCCGTTCGCCCGGGAAACAGCGGTCCGCTACCGCATGCGATGCGCGGGAGTCGTCGCAACACAAGGGCCCTGCAACGCGGCTAAACGGCGAGGTGCGGTCCGCACTGCCTGGGCGCGTGCGCGGGCGGGTACAGGCCGCTCTGTGCGTCCCTGTACGGCGACGAGAAGCAGGGGTCGGCCCGTAACGAGGGCGCTCTGCAGAAGTGCCGCGTTCCGTGGGTTGGGCTGCTGCAACGCCCGATCTCGCCGCGGATTGGATGCGCGGGCGACGCCGGTTGTTCCGAATTACGGCGAACGACGCGCCCTCGTCGCCGCGGCCGCTCCGGGTCGCCTGCGCGAGACGCAAAGCCAGCTCAGTCGACGTCAGACGTCGTCCGACGCACCCAGAGGCGCGGATAGGGGGCCCGTGCGCGAGGTAGGTGCAGTTTCGAGTACCGGTAGACTTCCTGCCGAGCTGAACGAAGAAAGAAAACAGTTTCAACGATGGGTTTCCTGCGCAGCGTGCTTCTGGGCCAAGGGGGCGAAAAGATGCACCCGACGGGGAGCTTCTCCGACTTCGGGATGCACGTTCAGCTCGACGGTACGCCTTTTCGCGAGTTCATGACGGCTGGGGCGTTCGAACTGCTCCGTGGTGCCCCGCCTCTCCTCTATCGACTGGTCGAGCTCATCGGCCCGCGCGGGCACCCCCGCGTGCTGTTCGCGCCGACGTCGCCGCGACAGTGTCGTTTGAGATCGTTCTCGGGGTTCGCGCCGGCCGCGCGCCCCCAGGGCCGTGCGAGCGCGCGACGCGCGCGGGCCTGCGCTGCAGGCGGTTGCAACTGATTGCGCGATTCCGCACCGATGCGGGGCTGCCACGCTCCGTCTCTCAGCCGAGTGGATTTCCACATTATGTACACAGGCGAGAAGGAGCTCCACGCCCCTCCGGCGCACCTGGTGTCCGGCGCTCGCACGGTAAGGCACCCATGCGCTCGCGGCGCCCTAAAACGCGGCTTGCGGAGCACCGCGTGCCTCGCATCCGCCGATTCCGCCGGACCACGACCTCGCCGCAACCGAACCTCTTTGTCGCAGACGAACGACGCGACGGAGTCGCCCCGCGCGTCCGGCGGGGACCTCTCTCCTGCGTCGAGCCAGAAGCACCTCAACGTGGGCACGGCCAACCCGTGGGAGTCCGTCTTCAACCCCGGGCGCACGCCCAACGTCTCCCAGAAGCGTCTGAACGTCCCCACCCAGTACGACAAGGTGAGCCGCGCCCGCGCGAGGACCAACCACCACCGCAGCCTCAGCCCACCTGGCGCGCCTCACACCGCGCGTACCTCGCCGTCTCGCAGCCCGAGGGCGACTCCCCGAGCGTCTGGGAGTACATCCGCCGCTCGGAGGCCGCCAAGCCCCCCCCGCCCGCGGAGTAGGCAGGGCCTCCTGCTGCCCCCGGGCTCGACGTGCCGGGCGTCGCGGCGCTGCTTCGAGCACGGCCAGCGCGCCGCGACGTCGGAGAGACTGTCTTCCCTTGAGTGCCCCGTTCCCCTGAGACTCCGTGTTGCGACCCGGCAACTGTGCTGGGCTGCTCGTGCGCTGTAGGCTCACACGGTCGACCGCACGTCTGTGCGCCCTCGACCCAGCCCGCGCACGTGTAACGTATGACTCGGCACGCCAGAACTAGCCCGTCGGCTCGCTTCGTCGTAAAACGAAACCCAAGGAGCTCATCGACGACGCCGCATTGGTGCCGTCGTCGTCGCGCATCCGAGCGGCGCACGACCGAACGGAACGCGCTGCCCGCAAACCGCACCACTCCGTCCGCCCTTGGCGCCCGCCCGTCCGACCGGTCCCGCCAGCGCTCGCATCGTGGCCATCACACGATGAGCTGCCCCCCCAAGTCGACGTCTTCGATCATGTCGGGGAACCCGACGTCCTGGTCCTGCTGCTGCCGCGGGTCGGACAGGTTGCCGATGTCGTCCAGCGTCACGGGGGCGTCCTCGCTGTTGGCGTTGCTCTCCTTCCACCCCGGGAGCGTCTTGACCAGCTCCTCGAACGAGCGGAAGTCCGTCTTGACGCCCTTCTGCAAGCCGCGGCACCACGGGGCGCGGCGGCGGTCAGGAAGAGCTCCGTGCGCGCAGGACGGCCTGCAGCACGCGTGCACACGTCGTCTGCGCGGCCTCGAGCGCCCTGGGCGGGGCCGTCGGGCCGCCCGTGCCGCCGTCGGTAGATCCTGCTGGGGCCACGCGGAGGTGCGCGGCGAGCACAGGAAGTGATGCGCGGCGCTTCGAGCAGAGCTTCAACCTGCTCGTCTTGCGCGTACGCTCGGTCGTCAATCAGGCTCGGGAGCGATCGACTGCCGACTGGGCATGACTGATCGGGAGACGCGCAGGCTGAAGCTCTTTTGCGAGGCACTGCGCGCCTAGAGATGCTGCGGTGACCCCAGCAGCCTGAACCGACGACGGCACGGGCGGCCTTGTGCAGAGCAGGCCTCCCTGGCTCGAGGCGCGCGGAGGGGGCGCGTGCGCAGCGCACCTGGACCAGGCGCACGCGCGCGATCTCGATGGCCGCCTCGGTGACCGCGGCCCCCTGCCGCAGGCGCGCGTCGGGCAGCTGGCACATGTGCAGGTAGACCGCAATCATGCCGCCGCACATCTCGACCCAGTCGCGCAGCTGCACCATGCCCGGGAACCCGGCCTGCGAGATGTAGATCCCCTTGAGGCGCTTGAGCAGGCGCCGCCACGCGTCGGGCCCGTCCGGGTGCTTGGGCTGCGAGAGGAGGTGCAGGCAGAAGCTCTGCAGGCCCATCACGCGCAGGTGCCGCAGCCCGAGGAGCGCGGTCAGGCCCGTCGGCACCACCATCGGCATGTCGCTTTCATCGCCGGCGTCCTCGGGGATGCTGAAGCCCTGCACAAACACACACGTGCACGAGCGCGACCTGTGAACAGGCCGTCTGTCCGTGCTCACGGGGAGGCGAGGCGGACGCGAGGGGCGCAGCGGGGGCGTGTCTGTTTGTGTGTGTGCGCACCAGGTCGACGGTGAGGTACTCGAGGAGCGGGAGCTGTCCGAAGAGGGCGAGGGACATGGCGCGGGCGCGAGGGTGGACCTCCGGGGCCGGGCTGAGCTCGAGCCAGTCGTCGAAGGGCACGATTTGGAGCATAAGGACGCGGAGGTTGGTGAGGGGCGTGAGGAAGTTCATGTGCTCGTCCTGCCGGATGCGCAGGTTGGCAAGCATGAGGCACTGCAGCGACTTGAGCGTGCCCAGGCACTCGCAGCGCTCCGCCGTGGGGGCCTCCGCAGCGCTCTCCTCCCAGTGGAAGTCCAGCCCGAGGTGCTTCAGCCCCGACAGCTTCTTCGATATCTGCGGCGGCACCACACGGCAGGCGCGGTCGCACACGTGCACGCACGCACGCAGGGCGCCACCGACACACACGGTGGCAACGCGGGCCGCGGCGCACCTCGATGAGCGACGCGCTCGCGCACTGCACGTGCAGCGTGTCGAGCGCGGCCAGCGTGGGCAGCGGCCGCACGACATGCATGGGAATGACCCAGCCGTGGTCCTCCAGCGACTGCTCCATGTTGATCTCCACGTGCGTCAGACCCTGCACGCAGACCCGCCGAGAGCGGCCGCACTGCTGTCACGCACGCGCACCGCGGCAGAGGGTCATGTGTGGGCGGGGGGAGTCCGCAGCGCACCTTGAGCCACTTGAGGTTCTTTCCGACGCGCTTCCGGGACATTTCGAGGGCGAGGTCGCCTGGGCCGTCCTCGTGCTCCATCATGACGTTCGTCAGCTTGAGCACGCGGAGCTTCTTGAGCTCGCTCAGCGGCTCCAGGTCCGACCAGCACACCATCTCGTCCCTGTGCCGCGACTTGGACACGAACGCGGGGCTGCGCTCCACCTCGAGCAGCTCGAGCTCGGGCAGCCGCGAGAGCGCGGTCCACAGCGCGAGGTCCGGGTGCACGCGCGGCAGGGAGATCTGCAGCGTGCGCAGGCGCTGCAGCAGGGAGACGCTGTAGACCATCTGCGGGGCGGGGCGCACGGGGAGGGGCGGCGGACGCGTGAGTGGCGGGCGCGCGCGCGGGTGCCGTGGGCGCGTGGGCGGCGGTGAGGGCGCTGCCGCGGCGGGGGTCACCTGCGCTGACGCCTGCAGCGGCACGTCCTCGACGTTGGCGATGCGCTTTTCCTCGTGGTTGAGCTTGCAGTTGAAGATGCTGAGCGACTCGAGCTGCGTGGCGTTGATGAGCATGCTCACGAACGACTTCAGCAGGTCCGGGCGCAGCTTGGTCGCTGCACGCACAGCCGGGGGCCGGGGGGGAGTGTTTCGACGGCGCGTGCGGGCGGCGGGCGGCCGTGCACGGCGTGTTCCGCGGGCTCGCGCGCGGGTCGTCGGCGCGTCGGGGCGGGCGGCGCACCGTCGATGTACATCTTCTTCAGGGGGAGTTGGGTGGTGTTGGCGGTCTGGAGGAGCGGGCGGATCGACGCGTTGAGGGGCGGCCCGCACTCGAACACGTCGATCCAGTCGAGGCGCTTCATGATGCGCAGCAGCTCCGTCAGCTTGACGTCGAACTCCTCCTGTGGGCAGGGGGGGTGTCGAGGGTGGGTGGGTGCCGCTGCGCGCGGGCCCACGCGTGGGCTGCTGGCGGGCGCACGGGCCGGAGGAGCGCGCGGGGGCGGGCTGCGAGCGCACCTCGATGGTCAGCGGCACGAAGGCGCGCTCGGTGAGCGGCAGGGAGCTATTGGCCTGGTGGCGCGCGTTGGCGCCGGCCTCGAGCCGCTTGGCGAGGGCCTGCCATACGTCGTCGCATTTCTCGAACGACAGCGCCGACATGTTGGTCCAGATGACCTGGTTCGGCAGCGCCGTCGCCCGGTTGTTTGGCTCCTTGAGCAAGGCCCAGAATCTCGGCTCCCTGATGACATCTGCACCGGAGATGGAGCAATTTCGGTACATCACGGCACCGTCAATCCACGCGTCAGGTCGCGGGCGAGAGCGCAGGCCGTGCGGTCACGCACAGAGCAGCTCGTCCCTACAGCTGCCACAGGACGGGCGGGTGCTTGCCTGCCATGGGCAGAACGAGGCGGGACGTTGGCGGCACCCTCTCCTTGATACTCAGCTCGATCTGCAGGCGCGTCTTGGATGCCCCGACGTCAGCGCCCACGTCTGGGCTCATGTGCTGCGCACTTGGTGCGCGATTGCTCCGCACCTAGGCCGGGCCAAGAGTCGCACATGAGCGCGACGATTGCTGTGATCCACGAGTAACATCGAGCTCGCACAACGCTTGCGCGGCCGGCGTCGTGTGACCGGGCACGCAGCTCGCAGAGGCTGGCAAGAGGTCCGCTGTGCAAGAGGGCCGCTTCGTCTGGCGCGCCCGACGGCCCTGGCATGAGCACGTCGGCTGTCGCGAGTTCGCACCGTGAAGCAGACCGTCAGGAGCCGGCCGATGATGTAGAGGGGCTGCAGGCTGGAGCTGAGCAGCGTGGCCGCAGCTGACGCTCGGCTCATCAGCGCGAAGCTCTCCACGTCGTCGAGGGAGAGGTGCTGAGCGATCCGCGGCAGGAGGTCCGTGTTGTGGAGCACCGGGTGGCACGAGCAGTCGGCGTCTGGCTCCGTCACCGGCGGACTGGGACTCGGCACGGCGCTCGCCGACCGCAGCGAGGACCGGCGCCCGCCAGGCGCCGCGGGCGAGCATTTGTCGCCCGGCACGTTTCTCCTGTCCCGTTTGCCCCCCATCGTGCGCGAATCCGACGCCTGCTCGCAGCCTAGGGCAGAGTGCAGTTGGACGGCGCAGAATCCGCCGTCAGCGCAACGACACCGACACGTGCGTCACGAACTGCCGCTGCGCACCGTGCGCGAGCGGGCCTCGGCGCCGGCCGCGTCCGAGCGCCTCGAATCAGGTCGCCCATGCGTCAGGCAGCCTGGGCGATGCGACACCCCTCCCTGGCTGTTCGCCGGCGGGCCCCGCCAGGGGCTGCGACGGCAGCGTGAGACGCGGCGGCCCGCAGATGCGCGGCCAGGCGCTCTGCGACGATCGCTGGTGCGGGTTCCGGCGCGGCGCGGCGCGCGCGACCGTTTTGGCGCGTTTCGCCGCACCAGCAACAGCGGATGCGAGCGCCATCGTGCCCGAGCATCCTGGGACCCGGCGGGGGAGCGGCCTCGCACGGCCGGCGCAAGGAGACGCGAGCGCGGGGCGGGTCCGGCGGCTGTCTCTTCCTGTCACACGTCGGGGACCGCCTTCGAGCGTTGCGGAGGCGGTGGGAAAACTTCGCAGGACGACCGTGGAAGAGACGGCGAACGTTGGGACGCCGCGGCGGTGGCATTCGTGGCTGCCTCGCCGGGCGCACGTCGCGGGCGGGCGGGCGGGCGGTGGAGGTGTGCAGTTGAGCGAGGCGTGCGAGGCTTGGGGTCGTCAGTCCACCCGGTGCAAACTGGCGCACGTCACGCGCTCATTTCCGAGGGGCAGCAATCCGGTCGGGGTCGCACGCCTCTACCCAACGCAACGAGTCCCCGGGCGGGCGGGGGGGTCGGCGGGGGAACGGGCGGATGGGAGAGGGGGTTGGAGAGTGGGGGGCACGGGGTGGGGGGTGGTGGGGCAGTGGAGGGGTGTTGGGGCCTAGGCGGCGTAGGGGGTGAGGGTAGCTGTAGTAGTAGTAGTAGTAGTAGTGTTGATAGAGGGCACTATGGGTCCGTGAAGAACTGCAGCACACGGACGGAGTGCCGGGGCCGCGCCTGCACTGGCGGCACCGTCGAGGGACTGCGCTGCGATCTTCTGGTTGAGCGCGTGATCCGAGCGGCGGCGGCGGGGGCACTAGAGTGTGGAGCAGGTCCAAACTAGAGGGCAGTGCGCTCACGCACTGGGGTGCTCCCGCCCTTGAGTTGGGGTCAGTCATGGTCCCGCGGACGGCGAGGCGATGACCGTCTGGCCGGCGGGACCGTCTTTCGATGTCGTTTGTGCAGCAGAGGGCTGAAACCGGACCTCCGTTGCACAATGAGGGGGGGGGGAGTCAAAAAGGGGGTGTCGCATGCATGACCGCGCGAAGGGGGCGGGTCGGGCCTCTCTCGGGAGGGTGCCGTAGAGGCAGAGCTAGAGCCGGCGGGCGGGGGCCGCCGGCGCGGGGTCGTTCGTCGTGGGGCGTCAACTCGCGCCAAGCAGTACGGCGTGTACTGCGGAATCGTGCCTGCTTCGCGAGGTGCGGTGGCGCCGCGTTGCGCGCCAGTTGCCACGTCAACAGGCCTTCGTGGTTGGACTATGGAGTCTGCGACTCCGCACTGCGGCTGAATCATCCGAAGCGGGGGGGGCCCGCGCCGGGCGCAACATCGGGGCGCGGGGGCTGCTCCTGCGCCCCGCCGCTGGGCGCGTTGCCGGGCATCGCGCCCTGCAGGGACATGTGCGCAAACTGCGGGAGGGGCGCGGAGCCGCCCGAGGGGCCCGGGGCCTGCACGAGCACCACGGGCTGCGGCGCGCCGCGTCCAGGGGGCTGCACAGCGCCGCCTTGCAGGGGCGGCACCTGCACCAGGTGCACCGCACTGGGGCCGGCACCCTGGGCGAAGAAGTTCCTGCGCGCGCCGGGGGCCCAGGCTGTGCGCGTCACGCGCCTGCATGCGCGTCGGCCAGCAGAGGCACCAGCGGGGCGCGGCGCCGCCCGGGCGCGCGCGGGGCGGGGGGCGCACCCGTAGGCGTATGTGTTGGGCAGAGCGTGGAATCCTGAGGACGTGTAGTGCAGCGGGAGCACGCCGTAGGCGGGGTAGCCCTGTGGAGTGATGGATGAATATGGCGAAAGCTGCGTCGGCGCTGCGTCGGGCCAGCCGGGACCACGTCCGCCCTGGGCAGCTCGTGAATACTGCAGGGAGTCGTCGAGGCGGGCCGCGGGGGGTCGCGAGGGCGCCGCGGGGCGGGAGGCGGCAGCGGTTAGGAACTGGGGTCATTACTGGACCGAGCGCGATGACGGCAGGGGCGACGGGGCCGCGGCGGGGGCGCAGCGAGGCGCGCGGCGGCGTCTCTGGGCGGATATACGCACCTGTGCGCGGTCGAGAGGGGAGAAGGCGCGGTAGCCTGGCGCGCCGGGCGGGGCTTGCATGCGGCCAACCGGGCCGGTGCCCTTGGGCGTCGCGTCCTTGATCTCGACCTTTTTGTCGCCGATTTCCTGGAACCTGCGGGGCGGAGAGCGTCGTGGCGGCGCGCGGGCGGCGTGAGAGGGCGGCGATCCGCGGCTTATCGCGGGGACACATTGGGGGCACAGGTTGGGCGCGGGGCGCCGGGGGGGGGCGGCGCCTGCCGTCGTGCGCGGGATAAGCGCTCGTACGGTACGTAAACAGGGGAATGCGCACCTTCCAGCTTGCTTGCAGGCGGCGACGGAATCCTTCGAGGCGAAGGTGACGAAACAAAAGCCACGGCCCCGGCCGTCGTGGTCCCGGGGTATCTCCGCCGTCTCGACGTCCCCGAACTGGCTGAAGTACTCGATGATATCGTCCTCCGTGATGGCGCCGTCCAAGCCGCCGACAAACACGCGCCGCGGCCGGTGGGGAGGGACGGAGTGGCGGGGCTCGATTTCGCGCCCGTCGATGACGTGCTTGGTGCCCACGATGTCGTCGGCGATGGCCTTGTCCCTCATCGTGACGAAGCCGAAGCCGCAGGGCACCCCGGCCCACGTAGCCTTCACCTCGGCCGACACGACCTCGCCGAAGCTCGCAAAGTATTCGGCGAGCATCTCGGAGGTCGTGGTTCGCGTGAGGCCGCCGAGAAACAGCTTCGTTCCGCTGGGAGAGGCCTCCCTCGCGGGGGAAGTCTCTCTAGCGTCCATCGCGGAGCAGCGTACGCGCCGAGCTGCTGTCACTGGCCACCTCGCCCGGCATCAAGGCCGGGAGGCCGCGCACGGTCAGTAGCGGTGGCGCGTTGCGTCGACGAATGCACTGCGAGGCGCCGCCGCCGCTCCCGGCCCTCGATCGCGCCCGCAGCCCCCTAGGAGGGGGAGTGGCGCCCCAGAATCCAGATATGTTCCCCAGTGCCCCCACGCCGCACGCCGCGCGCAGCCGCCTCGGGCGCGCCGCGAAAGCGCGCCGATGCCACAGTTCGGCCCAGAGGATGCCGCGCCGGGCGCCGCCGCGCGCGCGCGCCCGCCCGGTGCGCCGCGAAGGGCAATCGACAGCGTGGAAAGGCGCCCATGGCCAGTAACCTTGTCAGTGGCGGCAGGGCGAGGTCGCGCAGCCATTGCCCGCGCGGAGCCCGCGGCGCGGCAGAACCGAGAGACTCCACCCGCGAAAGACGATCTGATCGGTGCTGCGGAGCGCCCGTGCCACTGACGCGCGACCTCCGCCGCGGTGGGTGTTGCAGGCGCCCAGCGGCGCGACCTGGGCGGCGCGGCCGGAGCGGCGCGCGGCTGGGCGACTGAGGGCGTCTGGGCGAGGCCGCTGGCCCCGAGCCTGGCTCCGTGAAATCTCGGAACGCACCGCCGGGGGGACGGTCCCGGCGCGCAGCAACAGCGTCGCCCGGGCGGCCTCGTCGAGCGCCTCCGTGCCCCGCCGCGGCGACGGCGGCGATGTCGCAGCCGACGGTGGCCCCGGTGGGGCACCGCGAGCTGCAGCAGCTGAGCGCGTTCCTCGCGAAATCGGACGGGAAGGAGAAGCTGCTAACCGCCATCCAGTACGCGAGCATGTTCATCGCGGCGGGGAGCCCCGGGAACGCGGCGAACGTGCAGAAGTCCGTGGCCGCGGCCAGGAAGGTCATGCACTTCCTCCAGCCCGTGCAGGTCGCGGCGCCGCTCGTGCTGCAGGGCGTCAGAGTGAAGCAGAGCCAGCTCAGCACCGTGGGCGCCAGGTGCGTGCCCGTGACGTGGAAACTCACGGCGCGACCGCAACGCTCAAGAGTCTCGGACGTCGGCCGGGCGCGCAGCGGCCGTTTGACGCCGCGACGCCCGCGGGATTGCGCGCGCAGTGCCGCCAGGCAGCGCCGCGCGCCCAGCGCCCCGTCTCCCGGGCCCGGCTCCCGCGCAGGAAGCTCAGGGCGCTGTTCTTGGCGACGTACTTCGGGTTCGACAACCTCGTGTGGGCCTATCAGGTCGGGCTGCTCAAGGGCGCGGACGCACAGACCCGCGCCCAGCGCCTGTCGTGGTACTTCCTCATGGCCGGCTCGGCGCTCGGGGTCGTCGCGGAGGTGTCGGAAATCCTCGCAGCCGTCTACCAGGCGCTCGCGCGCGCAGCCACCTCCGGCAGCGTGGCCCAGTCCGACGGGACGGTTGCTGGCAAACCCAGCACGCCCTGGGCGCTGCTCCCTTCCATGGACACGGTGACTCCCCGCCGCTCCGTGCGCCACGCCGGGCCGCCTCGACGCCGCGGAGACGCGTGCGCGCGCTTGCGCCCCGCCCTCGGCACCCACGCACCGTCACGCACTGCGCACCCGTCGCGCTGCAGGTGATCGACCGCGCCATCAAGCTCGCCGTCCCCACGTGCCAGACGCTCCTCGGCCTCGGGCTGCTGCAGCTCCTGCCGCTCAAGCCGCGGCGGACGGCCACGTTCGGGTTCGTCGCCGCAGTGCTGAACTGCTACATGTTGATGCCACCAAAGCCCCCGCTGCCGGCGCCGGAGAAGGCGAAGACCAGCTGACCACGCCACGCTCGTGCGCTGCCACGCGTGGGCCGGGCGGCGGGGTGGGAACGCCCTGGGCGGGGGTCCTGTGGCGAGTCATGTTGGAACTTTAAGTTCCAAATTGGTTTTTCGCGCCATGCAGCCGAAGCAGCTGTGACGTCGCGCGGACGCCGTCGCTCCGGGCGCCTCTGCTTGCGCGGGCCTCGCAGAGCACATCCGCGGCCCGCCGCCCGCCGCTGCGCGCCTGTGCGTCGTGCTTGCCGGGGTGCGGCGACTGCGAGCGGCCCGGCGGTCGCGCGCACGAACTGACGTGCTGCGCATCGCCGCATCCTGCCACGTGTGCGGGCGTCGGACTTCGCGCGTCGCTCGGCGACGAATGCCCCGCGTGTAGATGTGAACGTGTGGGGTGTGCTGGCCAGTCAGTCCGGGGGCAGTGACAGCGCGGGGCTCGAGGACGCCCGCTGCGAGCGTTCTCGCGCAGAAACGCGCGCCCAGCGGTGATTACAATGCGACTCAGCGGGGCTCTTGCGGCTCGCAGGGCCGGCGAGCGGGCGTGCGGGGGGCGGTGCGCTGGTGGCAACGACCCCCGATGCCGGGCACGGAACGCCCCACAGGCGGCTCAGACCGCTCAGGAGAGCCATGGTACGTCAGACACTGGACCGTCGTGCTACAAACGCGGCATGACGGCGCGCGACGGGAAGCGCCGGCCGCCCTCTGGTGCTGCTGTTGCGCAGTGACCACGCGAGCGCCTTGCGCCCCGGGGCGGGCTCGAGAACTCGGCACTGCGTCTCCCTCACCGTCGCTGTGCGCCAGCCCAGGCATCGTGGCAATGCGCTGTTGCATCGCAGGGCGGCGAGCTAGCCGGCACATTGCGCGGCGGGCGCTGAGCTCGCCCGTGGGCGGCCCTTCGACGGAGCGTGAAGAGGAGGCGCTGCTGCGCGACAGCGCAGCTGCGGAGATCTACGGCATCCCTCGCTCCGAATGGCTCAAGTTGCAGGCCCCTGCCAGGTGCGCGAGCGTCCGGTTCGGCCCCAGCCACATTCTCTACCACACCGCCCCTCACGGCGCGCTCCGGGCCTGATGCGCGGCCGCTGGGCCACGCCGCGGCAGCCTGTGCGACGGAGCGTCCGCGGATCTGCGCGAGAGAGGGTGGTGTGGTGCGTGCGCGCCGCCGCAGGTATCTCGGGAACGAGTTTGGGGCCATGCACAAGGACTTCGACGCTGCGGAGGTGCGGTGCTCGCTGACGTACCCGGAGGTGTACGAGGTGGGCGCGTCGAACCTCGGCCACATCCTGCTGTACACGCTGCTCAACCGCACCGAGGGCGTCATGTGCGACCGGTCGTACTACCCGGGCGACGACCTGCGCGACCTGCTGGCGAAGTACGACAAGCCGCTCTTCGCGGTCGAGTCCCGCCGCCCGCTGTCGGACTTCGACGTGCTCGGGTTCTCGCTGTCGTACGAGCTCGGCGGCACCAACATCCTGGAGATGCTGCGGCAGAGCAACATCCCCGTGTCCTGGGAGGAGCGCGCGGAGCCGGACGACGAGCCGTGGGACGTGGCCGCGGGGTCCCGCCCGCTGATCTTCGCGGGCGGGCCCACGGCCACCTCCAACCCCGAGCCCTTCTCGGACTTCCTGGACTTCGTGGCGCTCGGGGACGGCGAGGAGCTCCTCCCGGAAATCGCCACGTGCCTCAAGCAGTGCAAGCGCGAGCGTCTGTCCAGGTGCGACGACAACGCCTCCCCGCCTGCGCCCGCTCCACCTGCTGGTGTGCAGCCGCCCACGTTCCGCGCTCCGTCTCGGGCGCGACGTGCAGGTCGGACACGCTGCTGCGTCTCGCGACGACGGTGGCGGGGGTGTACGTCCCCCAGTTCTACCAGAAGATGCAGGGGTGGGGGGGTGCCGTGTTCCCCGCGCGCGAGGGCGTGCCGGCGCGCGTGGAGCGGCGCGTCGCGGACCCGGACCCCACCGCGCAGGTCGGCCTCGTCCCCTTCGTCAGCACCGTCCACGACCGCCTCACCATCGAGATCCGGCGGGGCTGCACGCGCGGGTGCCGCTTCTGCCAGCCGGGGATGCTGACGCGGCCGGCGCGCGACGTGGAGCCGTCCGCGGTGGTCGACGCCGTCGAGGAGGGCATGCGGAAGACCGGGTACAACGAGTTCTCGCTGCTGTCGCTGTCGTGCAGCGACTATCTGTCGCTGCCCAGCGTGGGCCTGCAGATCAAGAACCGCCTGCGGGACGAGCCCGTGTCGCTGTCGCTGCCCTCGCAGCGCGTCGACGCGTTCGACGACAACGTCGCGGACGTGCTCACCGCGGGGAACGCGAAGCGCTCGGGGCTGACGTTTGCGCCCGAGGCCGGGACGCAGCGCCTGCGCAACATCGTGAACAAGACGCTCACGAACGAAGAGCTCCTCGCGGGCGTCAAGAAGGCCTGGTGAGAGACCGTTGCCAGGCGCGGCGCCGTCGCTGGTGCGGCCGTCCAGCGCTCTCTTTCACGCCGCTCGCTGTCGCCTCGTTCGTTCGTGCAGGGACCTGGGGTGGTTCCAGGTGAAGCTGTACTTCATGATCGGGCTGCCGGGCGAGACCGACGAGGACGTCCTGGGCATCCCGGACACCATCGCGTGGCTGCAGCGCGAGTGCCGCCGCGGGTCCATGCACCTCGCCGTCAACGTGACGATCTCGTGCTTCACGCCCAAGCCGCACACGCCCTTCCAGTGGCACAGCGTGAGCACGTCGGAGTTCAAGCGCAAGCAGAACCTCCTCCGCGAGGCCTTCAAAGACTTCCACCAAGTCAAGGTCAACATGACTCCCCCGGAGATCTCCGCGATGGAGGACTTCATCGGGCGCGGGGACCGCTCGATCGGGAAGGTCATCCGCCGGGCGTGGGAGAAGGGCGCGACCAACGACGCGTGGTGGTGCAACATGGACGGCGCCTTCCAGACGTGGGGCGAGGCGATCGAGGAGGCCGGCATGGACTGGAAGTACCGCCAGGTGCTCGACGGGGAGTGGGACGTGATGGAGAAGCAGGGCGACGAGCGGTACCGGAAGCAGGGCGGCGGCGGGAAGGGCCGCATCGACCGCGGCGAGCTGGCGGGTGCGCGCCCCGCGGCCCGCGACGGCCAACAAGCGCGCGTGGCCGCAACGTGCCGCTCACGTGCGTGCTCCCTCCCCTAGCTCGCAACTGCAGACAAGCGGCTGGACATGCCGCTGCCGTGGGACCACATCGACACGGGTGTGTCGAAGTACTGGCTGAAGACGGAGCTGCAGCGCGCCCTCGAGGCCGTCACGACGCCCGACTGCAGCCACTCGGACGTGTGCACCGAGTGCGGGGTGTGCGAGGACGACGAGCCGAAGGAGGGCGAGGCGCGCGGCCGCGGCAGCAACATCGTGTTCCCGTCGCCGCCGATCCCGAAGTACCTCGGGCCGAAGAACGACCGCACCGTGAGGACGCAGCGCCTGCGGTTCAAGGTGGCCAAGGTGCGCTGCCGAGTTCGCGCGCGGACGCTCGCGCCCCCCGTGCCGAGCACCTGCCCACACGATCGTCGGCCGACACAATCCCCGGATCGAACCTGCTTGCAGCGCGGCGACATGGTCTTCGTCGGGCACCTCGACCTGATGTCGGCGATCGAGCGCGCCTGCCGCCGCGCCGCGCTGCCGGTGTCGACGGACGCCTCGCCATACAACGCGCGGCCGCGCATCTCCGTGGCCCTCGCGCTCTCGCTGGGGGCCACCACGGACGCCGACTGGCTGGAGATCGTGTTCTACAAGCGCCTGCCCGTGGCCGAGATCCGCAGGCGCCTGCAGGAGCAGTTTCCGAAGGACCTGCACCTGCTCAGCGCCGAGGAGGTCCCGATCTACCGCCTCGACGGTGCGCTGCCGCTCGCAACCGCGAGTCTGATTGATGCCTGTCTGGGAGGTTGCTGCGAGCTGAGCGCCTGAGTCGCGGGGGTGTGTCGCAGGGGGGTTCACTGACAAGATGTCTGACCTTATGCGGTCCGTGGAGTACTACCTCCTGGTGCGCGCCATCGCGCCGGGGACGATCGATAAGGCCGCGAAGGCCGCCGTCGCCGCGGAGGCCGTGCCGGTCAAGCGCAAGACGAAGCGTGGGAAGAAGAAGAAGATCGATTTGCGGCAAACGTTGATGGATATCGCCGTCGTGGACGACGCCGACAACTCTCCCCTGGGCCGCCACGCCCCGGACATCCTGCGTGAGGCCGTGGACCTCGCGGAGAGCGCGGGCGGCGAGGCGAAGGTCGTGCGCGTGCGCAGCAAGGTGCTGCACAACGGCTACGCCCCGCTGACGCCGGACAGCACCGTGGAGATGCTGAATCTGGTGTCGGAGGGCGCGGGCGTCGAGCTCCTGCACATCCACCGCAGCGACATCGAGCTAGGGGAGCAGAAGCGCGTCAAGCCGAACCAGCAGCGCCTGGCAAGCATCGTGCGCTGGGAGGCCTTCGCCGCCATCGGCAAGGCGCGCGGGCAGGGACCGTGGGCCAAGGGGATGGAGAACCGCCCGGACGACATCGACACCCGGTGGAAACTGGCGTAGACGAGCGTCGCGACGTTTCGAGCGCCGGGCCTGCGCATCAAGGTGGACGCGGAGCGTGGCCCCGCGGTCCGGGCACTCGTTCGCGACAAGTGTGAGACGGCGCCGCTGAGCAGGTTCACATGACAGTCCGTGCGCCCGGGCCTCGGGGCGGGCGGCGCGCGAGCAACTGCGAAGCTACCAGAGGATTCGAGGGCGTTTGGACACGCGCGCGACGCTTCTCTGACCGCTGCATCTTGTTGGCGCTGTGGGAAACGGGCAAGGGGTGGTACATGGAAGGGAGCGGGGCGTGCTCGTCCGCCCGGCAGGTGCGCGGGAGGCGCCCCACCGTGTCCGTGCAGGGAACGAGCAACGCCGCGAAACCAGGCGCGGCACCGCGCGCCGCCAGCCCCGTCGGCTAGTCAATAGTAGCGGTCGAAAGAGGAAGGGAGCCTGTATGGGATCTACAGGGGGTCGGGTGTCTGTCATCAGGGTGCGTTGGGTGTGGGGGGGGGTTCCCGCCACCCGCGGAGATCGCGGGGGCGGGGGCGGGGCCCGCGGCCGCCGCCTCACGCGCTGGCGCCCTTGACGGGCGACACGGGCACGTCCGCGCGTCCCCCGTACTCGGCCCAGGACCCGTCGTACACCGCAACCTGCGGCGCCCCGAGCGTCTCCAGCGCCAGCGCCACCACGCACGCCGTCATGCCCGACCCGCACGTGACCGTCACGGGCTTCTTGATGTCCACGTGCTCGCTCGCGAACAGCCGGACGAGCTCGTCGCTGTTGCGGATCGCCCCGCCGTAGGACAGGCACGAGTCAAAGGGCACGTTGCGCGCGCCGGGCATGTGGCCCGACCGCAGGCCCGGGCGCGGCTCGGGGCTCGAGCCCTGGAAGCGCGACGCGCTGCGGGCGTCCACGATCGTCTCGCTCTTGTCCTCGATGATGCGCAGCACGTCGTCGATCGTGCGCAGGCGCGCCATGTCGAGCGTGGCCGCGTAGCGCGGGAGCGGCGCGTCCGCGTCGGCCTCGACCGCGGCGGCGAGCGCGCCGAGCGCGCCCTCGCGGCTCAGCGGCTCCGCGTCGACCGCGCCCTTCGCGGCGGCCCACGCGGGGAAGCCCCCCTCGAGGACCTTGACGCGCTCGTGGCCGAACGCGCGGAGCATCCACCACAGGCGCGGCGCGGAGAAGATCCCCGAGCGGTCGTACACGACGACGAGCGTGTCGCGCGTCACGCCGAGCGCGTCCATCGCGCGCCCGAACACCTCGGGCGCCGGCAGCATGTGCGGGAGCCCTGACGAGGTGTCCGCGACCAGGTCCACGTCGAAGAACTGCGCGCCGGGGATGCGGTCGCCCATGAAGTCGTCGGCCGCGCCCTTCCCGGTCGTCGGGAGGTGCCAGTTGGCCTCGAGCACCACCACGCCGGGCGTCGTCAGGTGGTCCTTGAGCCACTGCACGCTCACCAGCGGGCTCGGGATGCGCGAGCACAGCGTGTCGAGCTTCAGCGAGTCCACGTCCGACATGTAGGACAGCGCGCGGGCCGCCACCTGCACCGAGCGCGCGGGCGCGGGGCGGGCGGCGCGGAGGTGAGCTGGCAGCCGGCGGTTGGCGCCCGGGGGCCGCGCGCGGCGCCGCCGACCGCTGCGCAGCGCCGGTGCCGCGCGGCGCGCGCTGCGGGGGCCGCGCGCGGGCGTGCGGGCGGGGCGGCGGGCGCGACGGCGCGGTCCGGGCGCGCCGAGGCGCGTGTGAGTGCGTGGCGGCGGAGGACACATGGGGCCCGGTGGCTCACCTTGCGCTCGGGGCCGCGCAGGGCCGCGAGGGGGCTGTGGGCGGGCGTGTGGCGCCTGAGCACGACCCGCGGGGGCACGAAGAAGGCCGGGAGGCGGGCGGCGCCGCCGCGGGAGGCCGCTGCAGTGGGCGCTAGGGGGCACGCAACTGGTGAGGAGGTTCGCCGTGGTTCGGTGGCGGAGCACGGCGACGGGGGCGAGGTTGCGGCGCCGCTGGGTGGGTCACTTCGCGAGGGATGCGGGGGCGGGCGAGCGAGCGCGGGAGGCGGCTCGCTCGCCGCCGGAGGAGGGCGGCTGAGGTGGTAGTAGTGGGCGGGGGCGCGGGCGGGCTGTGCGCCGCGGCGGGCGGCGGGAGCGGGCCCGCAGATCCGTGCGGGATCTGGCGGTCGCGTGGGTGGCGTTCAACGCGGGAATGAGCGGCTTGTAGGCCGCGTTGAGCTTGATGCCGCCATGGAGGTTGGTTTGCGCGCGGGGGGCCGAGCAGGGCCGCGACGCGTTGAATATGCGGGCCAAAAGCATCAGTGATGGAACGACTCCGAGCTGCCGCGCTGGCTCTGCGCCGCGTGCCCGCGTCGAGACGGCTCCGCGGGCACGCCTCGTCGGTAGCCAGGCCTGCATCTGCCGCCTGGCGCCGGCGGCTCTGCCTATCTTTGGTACGTGTGCGCGGGGGGAGGCATTTGTGAACTCACCGCGCACAGTGGCCGTGCACTGTCGCACCGGGACAGACGCGAGGAGCGACATCGTGCGCGTCTGGAGACGCTGGGCGATCGGCTCCGACGGGCCTCACGTAGAGAGGAGAGTGCGCTCGAAGACGACTGTCCACCGCGATGTGACGTGTGGCCCGGCGGCGCGGCCGCCCCGGCCCTCGAGCTGCGCCCCCGGGGCACGTCTCCACTTGATGATCATACGGCTGTGTAGGCCTGACGCGTCGCCACAAGGCCGAAAGGGGAGCCAGTAGCCTGTCGGCCAGAATGTCCTGCCAGCGTGCAGCGATTGTGACACGACTTTCGCGTGTTTTGCGGTTCTTCCAGAGCCGTCTACGGGCTTTTTAATATGAGAGTGGTTGGCCGAGCGCCTCCTGCACGGCGCCCCGCCGCCGCACTCGCTTGCGTCCGCTGAGCTCACATATGTACACTCTAGCCCTTCTGTCTCCGCGAACTGCCGCCCCCCTCCCCGGCGGGGGGTTTCCCGCCTCCAACTGCCACCTCGCCGCCAGCCGGCGCCGGGCGGGACGCCCTCGTGCCCGGCCCCGCGCGCCCAGGGCTCCGCCCGGGCACGCCCGCCTCCGCGGCGCCGTTGGGAGCGCCGGCGGCCGTCTTCAGCTCTGCACACAAGCGCACGCCAACCCTGTGTGTCAACAGCGCACACTGCGACCGCTCCGGCCGCACCACCTCGCCACGCGCGGCAGCATGCGATCGCTCGGACGCGTGCCCGCGCGGGTGTCGCGCACGCCGCCACGGCGCGCAGGTTCGGCGCGGCGCAAATGCAAATGCACGCGCGCACCCGCAGCGTCCGTGTCGGCCTCCCGCAGGCTGCCTGCGAGGGCCGGAGACATCGTGCCGTCCTCCTGCACCGAGATCAGCCGCAGCGTGGGCCCGCCGTCCCCCCCGGCGCGCCCCGAGGTCGTCGGCTGCTGCAGCAGGGCGCTGCCCCCGAGCATGAACGTCCCGCGCCGCGGCCCCACGCCCGCGCTCGATGCGCCCGCGGCCACCACTCTCTGCAGCACGCCCTTGAGCGCCTGCAGCACCGCCAGCTTCGCCTCGGTCGCCGGGTCTGCGCGCCTCGCCGCGCTCCCCCGCGCCGCCCGCGCCCCGCCCGCCGCGGCCCCGCCCGCCTCCGGCGACCCCTCCAGCGTCTCCTCGCCCTCGTCGCACAGCAGGTCGTCGTCCTCGCGCTCCCCCGCCGCCCCCGCCCCGTCACCCCCGCGCTCCTGCACCTCCCCGGCGCCGTTCTCGCCCCGCGCGCCCCCGTTCCCCTCCGCCCCCGCGTCCGCCCCCGCGTCCTCCTCCGCCGCCGCCTCCGCCCCCGCGCGCTGCTTCGCCTCCAGCGTCTTCTCTTGCAGCAGCAGGATGACCTCGTCCAGGAGGCCCGAGCGCGCCCACGCGGTGTGCAGCGCCACGCGGCGCTCCTGGAGCCTCTGGCGTCGCTCGGGGTCCGCGGGCGTCGCGGGCGGGAGCGGGAGCGCGGCCGGCGACGCGCCCGCGTGCACAGGGGTGCGGCCGGCGGCCATGGGCGACGACGCGTGCGCGGCGCGGCCGGGCCCGACGAGCGCGCTGGAGCTGGGCGAGACGGGCGTGGCGGCGGGCCCGGCCGTGCGGGCGCGCTTGAGCGGCGGCGGCGTGGCGGCGTCGGCGGTCTGCGGCGTGGGCACGTGCTGCCGGACGGCCGCGAGCTGCGCGGAGCCGACGAAGTTCTTGCAGTCGACGCACTTGCAGTTCTCGCCGCAGAAGATGCCCGCCTGGAAGCACTCGCAGTACTTCTTCAGGCAGCTCGACTTGCGGCAGTTGCACCCCTTGCTGTGCTTGGCGCGGCGCCCCTGGCCGTCCGCCGCGCCCGCGATCTTCGGGCGGAAGGCGTTCGGGTTGCGCTCGAGGATGACGTCGATCGCGCGCTGCCGCACGGTCTCCGCGTCCTGGTTGTTGCAGCAGTTGACGCAGTTGCACCCGTCGCAATACACCCCCGACGAGAAACAAATGCAGTACAGCTTCAGACACCGCGAGTTCTTGCAGTTGCACGCCTGCCGCGCCACCTGCGGGGGGGGAACGCGCGCGGCCGGGTGGGCGCCGTGCTCGCGCCACACGTCGCCACTCGGCACACGCGGCGGGGCGGCGGGCGGACCTGGACGCGTCCGGGCGTGCCCAGCGCAGCGGGGGACGCGCTCGGCGCGCGCGTCACGCCCGCGAGCGCGTTCGCCGCGGACCCCGGGGTCCCGGCGTGAGCGGCGGTGCCTCGCGCGGCGCCCCCTCCGTGCCGCGCGGGCGACGCGGAGACGCCCGTGAGCATCGACGGCACCGCCGGCGACGCTGGCACCCGCCCGGCCGCCGCGGGCGACGCCGGGGGCAGCTGCCGGCCCACGTCGAGCGCCGGCGGGGGAGGTCGCTTCGGCCTGGACTCCATCTGCGTGCGTGGGGCGCGCGCGGCGCGGGTCACCGCGGAGGGCGCGGCGCTGGAAGTGCGTGTCTTGATCGGCGCGGGGCGGAGGCCGCTGCCCGGGTCCGCGGGGGGCCTGGCGGCGTCTCGGCGGGCGACGCCGTCCGAGCTGTCTCTGGTCCGTGTTCTTGCTGCGGCTCAACGCGCAGCCACAAGGGGTCCGCGGGGCCGCACGCGGCCGCCGGGGAGGCAGGCCGGCGGACAGAAAATTTTCCGCGGCTGCCTGGTGCGATGTGGTCGGGCGGGGCGCACACCTGGGCGCGAACTCTTGCCGAGCGTGGAGGGGCTTGGCGCCCGCTCTCCTCCGCGCCCGCAGCGCCGTCTCCGCGCGCGTTTGCACCTGTCGAAATCGAAGATTCGAATTCGCGGGGGTCAAAGTGGGCAAGCCGCGCTGCGCTGCCGGCACCACCGGCCTTGGATGTTGGCTGTCAATGCCCGTATTCGGCCGCTGGTCCTGCTTGGGCAGCCGCGCACGGCCCCCCTCGACTAACGGGGGTCGAGGAAAGGCAGGTAGCCACGGCGCGGGTGGGACCCGGCCCGGGCGCGTCAGGCAGGCACAGGCGGAGGCTCGCACCCATCGAGGCGCTATTGATCCGCGGCGCGCGGTCCTCAAACCGCCATTACCGCAGCGTTCGCTGTCAGATGCTGTTTGTTGCGCCAGCCGGTCGAGAGACGCGTCCTCGAAACGGCACCAATTCACCCGACCGCAACGAGGCACGCACGAGACAATAGCGATTCGCTCGAACGGCACAGGCCGGCTTTCGGGCCGGCAGCCTCTAGCAAAAGTGTAAGCGGCGGAGCTGGCGAGCGCGCATCGCCGGCGGCTGCGCGCCGGGCCGCTGGCGGACTCAAGGGGTATCAGCTCCCCACCTCCCCCGGAATGAACTGGCGGCCTCGACAGCCCGAGTCGCGCGGCCCCACGCGCACTCCGCGCACACGTGAATGCGCCGCGCGTACCTACGTGCTTAGCAAATCACTGAGAGGCGAGTTTCACCGCTCCTGCTCCTTACAACTCTGCACTCGGGCGCGCCGCGAGAGGCGATCCTGCTCGGTCGCGGAAGCGTCCCGGCAGCCGCGCTCAGACCCGCTCGCGAGCCCCGCCATGCTCGGGTCGTCAGCGGCCCCGCACTGCACGCCGCGGGCAACGGTCCTCGCGCCCGCCTCCTTGCAATGCTCGCGCGCGCGCGCAGCAGCGGCGCCGCGGGGACGGAGCGGCGCGCGCGCGACGGTCGGCCGGGCCGTCGCCGCACGGCGGTTCGGTGGCCCGGATGCGCGCGTGTCCGCGCGGCGCACGACCGCGCGTGGCCTGGGCGATGACAGGGGAGGGGCGAGGGACGGCGAATTCGAGGATGGGTCCGGGATCTCGGGCGACAGCATCACGCAGGACATCCTGGCAGGTGCGGCGGGGTACCCGCTTGCGTCGCGGACGCCCCGTGAGGGCGGCGGTCGCGCAATGCACCGAGGCGCTCGCAAGTGGTTGACGGTCGTGAGGCCCTCTGCGGGGGCGGTCGCGCGCCGAACGCGTGCTCGAGGCGTTCGTTTCCATGTGTAGAACAGCCGCACCGGGGCGACACCGCGTCGTGGCGCGCGAGTATCGCGTCCCGCGCGAACCGCAACAGACTGCGGCACATTCGCGCACCGTGCGCGAAGAACGCGCACGTCCGGACCGCGCTGCAGACATGGTCCAGGTCCAGATCGGCAAGGTGCGCATCAACGAGGCCGCGGACGAGGAGGAGCAGCGGCTGAAGGAGCTCGCGGAGCAGACCAAGCTCGGTGCGCACAGCCCCTAGGGTTCCCGCACCGCCTCCGCGCTCCCACGCCCGCATTGCCGGAGCGGCGCGCGGAGGCATCCCGCAGAGCGCCGCACCTCCCCGCACGCGCGTCCGGCGCGGCCGCGGGGCCTCGCGGCGCGCCCGGGCCCGCGGCCCACACCCTGGCGCTCAGCAGGCGACCACGTCGCGCACGGGGCGCGCGCCACGCTCTCCGTCGACGTGTCCCGCGGAGGACGCCTTCCTCTGTTTCCCGGCGACCACACGGTCGTCGTTCGCTCCTGCTCGGCCACGCCGCGCCCCGCGAGCGCCCCTCTCCCGTGCGGTGGTTGCAGAGATCGAGGAGGCGCACAAGCAGCGCGAGAGCGAGGCGGAGCAGCGCTGGGAGGAGGCGATGAGCAGCATCGACCGCCTGTCCGCGGAGGCAGACGCCGACCTGCGCGCCTGGCGCGAGGAGGTGCGATCCCCCGCGCCATGCCAGCGCGCCCGCTCCCGCGCCGCCCCGCCCGCCAGCGCCCCCCGGACCCGCCGCTGCGACGCGCCCCCACCTCGTCAGCGCCCCACCGCGCTCGTCCCAGCCACCCACCCACCCGCTGCCACCACCCGCCTCTCCCGTCGCAGTCGCGCGCTGCGGCGGAGCAGGACGCGGAGTTCGAGCGCAAGATGCGGCGCGAGCTGTCGCAGTACCAGTTCTTCCAGTCCCTGTACGACCCCGCCGGGTCGATCCTCGGAGGCGACAAGGACCGCCCCGGGGGCAACGTCGACGACCTGGACCAGCTGTCGATGGAGGAGCTGCGCGAGCGGGCCGCGGAGGTGCAGGTGCGCGGGGCGGGGAGAGCGCGCTCGGCATGGGTGGTCGGGTGGTGCGCCGTCGCGGTACTCGCTGCGTGGTGGTCTGTGCGGTGGGGGGGGTGATGGTGATGGGGGGGGTGATGCGCGGAGATGTTGCGTGTCGGTGGTGCGACGCAGGCGAGCATGGACGAGGACTTGCGGTCGCCGACGCGGTCGGCGTACTACGCGTACTTGACGCTGGTGCTGGGGGGGGTGTGTTTGTGGGAGGTGTTTGGGCGCGAGGAGACGTCGTGGTTCCACGTCGGGCTGTACGGACTCATCGGAGTCTTCATGTCGCTGCAGCTGATCAAGGAGAACAAGCACCTGAACAAGAACTCGTGACTGACACCACCAACGCCACGGACAGCTCTGTAGGGACCACGTGCACCATCAGTCCCCCCCCCCGCGCGTCCACCCGGGCTGCACGCGACCGTTCGAACAGCGGCGTCGGCGAGCGCTCGCGGACGCCACGCCGGTGCGCGACCGAGCACTTCGAGGGACGCAGGCTTCCTCAACAGTCCCCCGCGGCAGTGTATTGTGTGACCCCCCCCCATCGACGCCGATCACCGCCAGCGTCAACTCACATCGCAATATCGGGCTGCAGCTCCACGCGCACGGCCCCCGCGCCGCGCCCTCACCGCCACGTCCCCGCGGGCGCTGGTCGCTGCGACGGCGCCCGCGCCACCTCGCCCCGCCCGCTGCTGCCCAGCGCCTCCGCGTCCTTCTTCTTCAGGTGCCCCGTGCCCTGCGACGCCAACCGCCGCCACGCCGGGTCCCGCGACCCCCCCGCACCACCGCCACCCTCCCCCGCGCCCTTCACGGAAGGCGTCCGCATCCCGCCCTGCGACGCCGCCCGCGACGGCGCGCGCTTCGCCTGCGCGCTCACCGGGCCTAGGTACGCCGACGCCGTGGACATGATCTTGCGCCGGCTCGCCCGGTCCATCGCGCGAAGGTTGCAGTGCACCCCTGCCGCGCGCAGCCTCGCCTCCTCGTCGCGCGCCCGCGCCGCCGCGCGCTGCCGCTCCTCGAGGTCCGCGATCCGCGCCTCGACCTCCTCCAGCCGCGCGGCCTTCGCGTCGCGCTCCCCCACGTCCCCGGCGTGCAGGGTGCGCCGCGGGGTGTCGGGCTCCGCCGGCGACGTCCCCTCCGTGCGCCGCGCCGAGCTGCCGCGCGAGCCGTGCGTCCGCTGCGAGCCCCCGGCGCTCGGCGGGGTCGCCAGGACGCGCCCCGACGCCGTCCGCGCCGCGAGGGCCTCCCTGCGCGCCCGCAGCTCGCTCAGCAGGCGGTCCAGCTCCGCCTCCGTGTCCGGCGCCCCGGGGTCTCCGCGGGCGTCCTGGCTCGCTTCGACTGTGAGGGCGCGCGTGAACGCGTTCAGGTCGATGCCTGGTCCGCGGTTCAGCAGCGCTGCGAGGTCGAGAGTGCTGGCGGTGGGACCCTGGTCCGGTGTGGAGACCGCGGCCGCCTGGGAGCTGTCTTCCGCCTCTGGGTCGACGCAGTACCTGCGCGTGTGACGAGGGTGCGCGGCGTGGGGCATTTGCGACGTCGTGGCGCCCGGGCGGCTCGCGGGCGGGCCTGGAGCTGCGCGCTCTGGGTCGGCCCGCGGTCTCAGGCCGCGGGGCCCACCGGGCGCTCCGACGGCGCTTTCCCGCCGCTGGGCCGCGGCGCGCGGCATGCCACGTCGCCGTGGGCACCGGGGCACCGGAGCGCGCGCGACCGACCGCGCGCGCGGCGACGCAGCGTCCCAGCAACAACACACGGGAGAACGGGCCGCGTGCACAGGCCTCGCACCTCTCCAGGTCGTCGATCTCGTCGGTCTGGCAAGCTATGGTGCGCTTCTCCTTCGCGACGCGCTGCGGAGGCGCCGGGCTCTCCGCAGGCGCGGGCACCGGCGCCGGTGCCTCGTCAACATCCACTGGGGACTCGGACGGCGCCCCCGGCTCCGCGTCGTCCGACTCCGCGTCGGATTCGTCGTCTCCGCCCTCCTCGTAGTCTACGTCGTCCTCCAGGTCCGCGTCGGGCTGCGTCCGGGGCGCCTCGAGTGCGGGCGAGGGCGGCGCGAGGTACGTGTCATCAGCGTGCTCCTCCGGGACGCCCTCGAGCTCTGGGGCGGGGTCCGCGTCGAGCGGCGCGTCCGGCATGCCCATGACGTGGCGCGACACCGCGTCGCCCGCCTCCCGCTCGAAGATCGACATCTTGCGGTCGTGTGGTCGGCTGCGGCCCTCTGGGCACCTCTGCGTGGCACACACGGATCGCCTGGTGGTCTCGGGGAGGGCGCAGCGGCTTGGCTGGAATGTGTGTATCTGCCGCGGCACGGGGGCGAGCGCGGCCCTCGACGTCTGGGCGCTGTGCGGCCCGGAGAGGCCCCCGTCTGACGCTAGTCAAAAGCCCCCCCCTGAGCACCGGGCCTGCGGGGCGGCGGGCTCGCCGGCGGGCTGGTGGCCGCGGGGCGTGTGCCGCTCGCGCACATTGTCGTGTCCGGCTCCACGGCGCGTGCATCGTGCGCCGGTCCTGTCCCCAGTACATCACGCACACCTGCAGCCGCGGTCGGGTGGGCATCGCCCGGCACTCGGGCCCGGGCTGCATCGGGCGCCCCGATCTGCGCTGCTCACGTCGGGCGCTCCAACGGACGACGTCGCTCCGCGCACCACGCCGGCGCGTCCCATGGGCGCGCTCAGTGGGTGGAGCAGCGCGCCATGGCGCGGCCGCATATCGAGCGGCCAGATGATGTTTCTCGTGGCCGTTCTGCTGCTGTTTGCGCGGTGCAGCGCGCAGGGTGCGGGCTGGACGCCGCGCTCGTATCCGGACCCCATCAGGCACCCGGAGAAGTGTGGCCGGGAGGGAGTCAAGTCGTGGATCTGCGATCCGGACCGTCTCATCAGCGTCGTCACGTGCGCCCCCTCGTTCACCGCCGCGTCCCCCGGCGCGGAGCCGCACCGCCCGTGCAGGCAGTTGCTCACTGACGCGGCCAGCTCTCTGTCCACTGTGCTGCAGGGCGGACAGAGTCGACGAAGAACTGGACGCAATCAGGCTCGGAATCAAGCCGTACATCAAGGACCCCTGCACGAACGGCGAGGTGCGCACAGGCGCGGCGAGACTCGTTGCACCCATGCACTCGAGCACGCTCGCGCGGCCGCATATCGAGCGCTTCCGGTCCGCTGACGTGGTGCAGTTGGGCTTCCAGACCATGGTGGCGTTGATGTCGTCGATGGATGACAGCGTGCGCGGGTACGACCTCGCGGGGAAGGCCAAGAACTTCGCACGCGCGTTACACGACAACTGGGGGGTCGGGGACCGCAAGTGCAACGACGGCATCCTCATTCTCCTCTCGATCTTCGACCGGCAGATCTACATCTCCACCGGGAAGGGAGCGAAGGGCTTCCTGACAGGTTGGAGCACACACGCACACACGCAGTCGCCCGGCACACGCGCAGCCCGACCGCCCGCCCTCACCGCGGCGCGAGACCCCTCCCGCCGCAGACAGCGAGGTCCAGCACGTGATCGCGACGATGCGCCCGCTGCTCCGTCAGAACCGCCTCGACGACGCCGTCCTGGCTGGCGTGAGGGCGGTCGGGAAGGCGATCGCCGGCGACTACCGGGGACAGAGCAACTGGGCCGCCTTGCTCATCCCCGTCCTCTTCTTCGGCACCATTGGCGCCTGCATCTGCTGCGCCGTCAAGGCGGTGCGCGCCCGTCCCCACAACACACGCGATCGCCCCGGAACCGCCGCCCGCGCACCCTCGCAGCGCGCAGCGACCCCGCGTCGTCGCGCTGTCCGCAGGAGAACCGGCGGCGGCAGGAGTTCGACCGCGTCGGGGAGTTGCTCGGGCGCATCAACCAGGACCGCGAGGCAGCGGCCAACAACCGCTACGTGTCGACCTCGTGCCCGATCTGCCTGGAAGACTACGCCGCGCCGTCCGCGCCGCCGGAACAAGACGAGGCGCGTCGCCCGCGCCCACGCACGCACGTCCGGGCGCCCGCCGTCGTGCCTGCGCATGCTCACGGCCGCGCAGCCCGCACGCGACCCTGCAGGGATCGACGGGCAGCGGGGGCGCGTCCACGGCGCGCACGTCGCCGACCGTGCGCCCCGCCGCGGCGCGGGGCGGCCCTGAGCAGGAGCCGCTGGTTCCGCCGGGGACGCAGGCCAGCGCCGGCCCGGGGGGCGAGACCCTGCCGCCCGTGAGCGCGCGCGGACCCGAGTACGGGCCGTTCTACCTGCCGTGCGGGCACAGCTTCTGCGGGCGGTGCATCTCGCAGACGTTGCGCACCGACCCGCGCTGCCCTATCTGTCGACAGGAGTTCCAGCCAGGCGCGCCGCCCGGGGACTCCCCCGGCCACGACGGGCGGCCACAGGCGCCGCCCGGGGGCGCGCCCCCGCGCGGGCCGCCGCCACCGCCGCCGCCGCCGCCGGCGGGTCCGGACGGCCCAGCGCCGCCGGGCGGGGGCGGGGGCTGGTTCCGGGGCCTGTTCGGCGACGCGGGGGCGGGCCGCCGAGGCTGGGGCGCCCCCAGGCCCCGGTTCGGTCTCGGGTGGGGCGGGCGTCCGCGCTTCGGGTTCGGGCCTGGCGTTGGGTACAACGACTGCTACGTACGTCCCGCGCCCGCGCCCGCGCCCGCATGTAGCTCGCTAGACGTGGAACCGAGCGCCTCCGTCGCGGTCTTTGCGTGCAGGGCGGCGGCATGGGCGGCATGCAGTTCGATCCGTTCGGTGTCCCGGGCTTTGGAGGTTTCGGCAACTTCGGCTGGGGGTACCGGCCGCGGTGGGGCCCGATGGGCGGGTACGGCCCCGGGCTGTTCGGGGGCCGGCCGATGGGGATGCAGGGCTTCATGGACGACTACACGTTCCGGATGAATCGGATGCACCACATGTACCCGCAGTACGTGACGGCGGACATGGCGGGGCGCTGGCAGCAGCAGATGCGGGCGGGGCGGCCCGTGGACATGGCCGGGGAGATGCGCGCGCGGGAGATGGCGCGCCGCGAGGCTGCGGCGGCGCGCGCGCGCACCGCGCACTCCACGCGGTCCGGGTGGAGCACGGGGGGCGGGTCGAGCCGCGGGGGCGGCGGGGGCGGCGGCAGCTGGTAGCAGGCGCTGCGGACGCAGCGGAGGGCCGTGCTGCAGGCCGGATTCTCGCCGTTGTAGTGCAAACAGGGTCGGTTGTAGCACGGGCGTGGACGTACAGACGCCCCCACCGCGCGGGTGTGTGGCACCGCTCCCGCGGCCGCGGGCGAGAGCGTCGGAGTGCAGTACAGCGTCACAGCGGCGCGGCGTCCGTGCGGCACGCAGCGCGGCGCGAGGCCGACCATGTGACTGACTCAGGGGAGGGTGTGTTGGTACATGACCATGGGTCCGGCCACCTCCTTGGCCTTCTCCTCGCCGAACAGCGTCTTCACGAGCGTCAGCGCGAACTCGAACGACGTCCCCGGCCCCCTGCTCGTCGTGACCAGCCCCTGCTGCACCACGCGCTGCTCCACGTCCGCCTTGTCGCTGATCTTGTCCACGAACCCCGGGTGGCACGTCGCGCGCGGGACGTCCTCGAGCAGGCCGTGGTGCTGCAGGACCACCGCGGGCGACGCGCACACCGCGGCGTACGGCTTCCCAGCCGCGCGCTGGTCCCTCAGGATTGACGTCAGCTCGGGGGAGTCCCGCAGGTGCTCGGCGCCCGGCATGCCGCCCGGGAGGACGACGAGGTCGTACGCGTCGCCCACGCAGTCGCCGAGGGGACGGTCAGCGACGAGCTTCACGCCACGCGAGCAGATGACCTCGAGAGAGGGCGCCGCGGACGCCACCGTCACGTTCGCCCCCGCCCTGCATCTCCAGGTGCGTGCCAGAGCGAACAGCATCAGCGAGGAGCGAACTACCGTCGCATGCGAGCGATCGTGCGGCGTGAAGGCTGGCGCGATGAGAGGGCCTCCGGCGTGCCTGCGCAGGACGTCGATGACGATCACCGCCTCCATCTCCTCGCTCCCGTCCGCAATGGGAACCAGCACGGACTTCTCCGCCCCGGTCGCCATCGCTCGCAGGGACGCGCGGTGGTGCCGATGCCTCAGGGAGAGGCCCGTGGACGCACGAGCACCGCCCCTCGTCGCGAGGTGGCGCTTCGAGACACCGGGAGCCTTCGAGTGCCGGACCGAGTGAGCGCTCGAGCCCGGCGCAACTGCCGTGGCCCTCGCGGTCGTCGAGCGCCCGAGCATCTGAGCCTCTCGCGGCGGTTGCCTCCGTGCAAGTCCGAGCGCACGCCGCGTCAGTGATAGCTGCGCGCGTCGATCAGTCGCTGATGTTGCTCTGCGCACGCCCGGGGGACGAGCGCGGCACATTACCGCAAGGGAATCCCTCCGCAACGTCAGGACTCGAGCGCGTCTGTCTGGGCGCGCACACGCTTCCCCGCGCGCCCACCCGATGCCTCGGGGTGCGCCTTGGCCGGCGCACTCCTAAGCGCGGACGAGGGGCGTCTTGGTGGCTGTTGAACACGCGCAGGGCAGCAGCGCGGTGAGACGGAGGAAGAGCACGAGTGTTGCGCGGGATGCGGCCGCGCAACCTGAACCAGGGTGCGCACGGTCAGCAGCGCGCTCGACGCTGCACCTCCGGGTCCATGCGCGGCGTGTGCCGCGGAGCGCTGCCTCGCGGCGGGTGCCCACGTATCGGCCTCTGTGGTTGTTGACCCCACCGACAGACCGCACCACGCGCCCCCGGCACCCGCTCGCGCTCGCGTCGCAACCGTCGAACGATACGAGGAATGACGCGGGGGCGGAGGTCGATCGTGGTATACGCTCGGAGCAGCCCGAAATCCGCGCCGAGCTGCAGAGAGCAACGCTGCCCAGTCACGACCCTCCTGCGTCCGTGTACTGTCCCAGCGAGCATACACACCGCCTGCCCCGTGTCTCCCGTGCTTCCAGAGTCGTGGCAGGGGCGCGCCGGCCGCGAGGGAGCGTCTCCGGAGAACGTGGTCCCTTGCGTGGCACCGAGGCAGGATGCGGGCTCTGACGCACACCCGAGCCCCGGGGACGCGGAGTCGTCCTCGGGCCCAGCGTCACTGGACGTCACGAAGCGCATGGAGCCCTTGGCGAAGGATGCAGCGACGGTGAGCCGCAACACAGCGCGCTTGCACTGCTGACAATGCATCGTTCCGAATGCAGCGCCAGCGCAGCGCGTTCCCGCAGCGTTCCGGCGCCGCTTCCGGCATGTTTGACGGTCGAGCACACCGGGAGAGCGTCCGCAGGAAGTCGCCGGCCAGGTGGAGGGCGCGCAGGCCGCAGGGCACGAGCACTCATCACGCACGCCCGGGCGTGCCGCCGAGCATGCCGCGGAAGGGTCCTCGTCTGGAGGGGAGATCGAAGCGCACGCGTCTCTCGAGGCGTGGGCCGACCACGCCGAGCGTCTTGTCGCGCAGGCCGTTGGCGCGGACCCAGAGCTGGCTGCTGCTGTGCGGGCAGCCGAGGCCGGGCGCGGGCGCTCGGACGGCGCCGCGGAAGGGAAGAAGATCTGGCTGGACGCCAGCGGCCGGCCGAAGGAGGAGGAGGCGGACGTGCCCCGCCGGCGCTCGCTGACGCAGCGCGCAGCGCACTCCGCGGGCGCCAGCCCCGCGCCGGCGCCGGGCTCGCGGAAGCGCGTCATCCAGGACGCGGGGTTCGACGACTTCATGCAGGAGCGCGATGACGCGGTGCGCACGAAGGAGCGCGTCCAGAAAGAGAAGGCGGCGTCGCTGCGTGCGCTGTCGCAGAAGAACATGCAGCCCATGGCGCGGAGGAAGAGCAACCAGTCCGCGAGCGCGTCCGCGCGGCCGAGCACGCAAGAGCTCGACGCCGGGGACCGCAGCGAGCAGGGCCGGCGGCACTCGGCCCAGCAGCAGGCGGATGTTCAGGCCCAGCCCAGGCAGCGGAGCGCGTCGGTTGAGCTGGCGGCGGGCGCGCGCGGAAGCACGGCGGCGGCGCCGTCCAGCCCTGTGCCCGCAGGACCACCGGGGCCCGCAGCGCCGGCGCGGGCGGCGCCGCCGGCGCCGCGACCTCCTGCGCCCCGCACTTCGACCGTCAGGGCGTCCGTCCTGCTCGCGAAGGCGGGCCGGAAGGGCGACGCTGTTCCCCGCGTGGGTGCCGCGGCGGGCGCGCCCGGCGAGAAGCCCGCGGGGGACCCGAGGGACCTGAACACGTGCACGGAGGCGGAGATCCTGCAGGCAGCACACGCGATCGGGCGGCCGCGGGCGAGGGCGCTGCTGCGGCAGCGGCCGTTCAGGTCCTGGAGCGAGGTGCAGGACACGCAGACGATGGACAAGTTCGCCGTGCTGTTGCTCCGCAACGCCGGGTTCGTGCTGGGCGGCAACAAGTCGAAACGCTCCTCGAGCTCGTCGCGCTCGCGCCCCCAGTCGCCGCAGCCCGCGCGTGCGAGCAGCGCCGCCGCGCCGCCGCCCGCGGAACCGCAGCCCGCGCGTGCGAATAGCGCCGCCGCGCCGCCGCCCGCGGAGCCGCGACCCGCCCCCGCCGCAGCGCCTCCACCTGTAGAGGCTGTAGAGCCTCCCGCGCCCGCATCCCCTCGCCAGGAGCCACCACGTCAGGCGAGCGTCGAGCCGCATCAAGCGACGCACGCGCCGCTGGCGTCGGCGCCGCACCAGACGCCGAGCTTGCCCGTGGACGTGCGTCCCAAGCGTCCGCGGCACGTCCCTGCGCCGCCCGACTCGCGCTTGACGCCGCGGTCGCCCGCGACGAAGACCCCGGCGGCGCAGCGGCGAGCGGGCGCCCCGCGGTCCACCCCGCCGTCGGGGCCGTGGCTGGTTGAGCCGGAGACGGCGAACAAGGAGGCTGCGCGCGCAGACGACGCGAGCGCACGACAGCTGCTGGCGACGCTCGCGCGGTCCGAGCAGGACGGCCAGGCGTGGGCGGCGGAGTGCGCGTCGCTGCGCCGCGAGATGAACGACATGCAGGAGAAGGCGGGCCACAGCCGCGAGGCGTTCCGCAGGGCCAAGCAGGGGCTCGTGCGCCACGCGCAGGCGGCGGTGGCGGCGCGCAAGGCCGCGGAGGAGCGCATCGAGCAGCTGGAGGAGCAGCTCGCGGCTGCGAAGAGGCGAGCACGTGTTCCGCAACGGACGTGCGCGTGAATGCGACATCGTTGTTTGTTTGCATGGATTGAACAGCACAGCGCTCGTGCGAGCTCGCAGGGCGGCGCGGGAGCCCACGCCGGGGCCTGGGAGGTCGCCGGAACCGCCGATGGTGTCGGCGCTCCGCGCGGCGCTGAGGAAGCGCGACGACACTATCGAGGAGATGCGCAACAAACACTTCGATGCCACGAAGCAACACAAGGAGGCGCTGGCGGCGGCCCAGGAGGTGCGCTGCGCTGCTATCTCCCGTTCTCAGCCGCGATCCGCGACGCGCGTGCGTCGAAATCGACGTTGTCTCCGCGAGTGCTCCGCAGGAGGCGCTGCGGCTGCGTCGCGCCAGCAACACCGCAAAGGAGCTGGCGCAGTCGTCCTCGCTCGCCGAGTCGTCCGCGTACCTCCTGTCGGGGTCCGTGAGCAGCCTCGGCGACGCGGCCGTGACGCTGATCAACGAGTCGATACCCGCGCTGCTGCAGCGCCTGCAACACGAGATGATGCGCACGCAGTCCCTCGAGCAGGTCAGAGACGCGCCGCTGAGCCCACGCGGTCCCACGGCTGCTGCGCACAGCGCGTGCTGCTCACGTGCGCAGCCAGGTCCCGTCGCGTGCCGTGCAGGAGAACGAACAGCTCAGGATCGATCTGGCGCGCGCGGATGGGGCCAGGCGGGCGGACGACGCCCGGCGGGCGGCGCAGACGCGCGTGCAGGCCGAGGGCGCTGCGGCCGCGGTCTCGCGCGCGCAGGAGGACGCGGCGGCCGCCCGCCACGAGGCGACACTGGCAAAGGCAGAGATTGCAGCGGCACTTGCCATGGCGGAGAGTGCGCGCCGGGACGCAAGCGAGGCCCGGGCGAAGTGCGCGACGACGGAGGCTGCGCTGCAAGAGGCCCTGTCGAACCTCGCAAGCGTGAAAGAGGAGCTCGGGCGGGATGCTTTCGAAGTTGCTGTGCTGCGAGAACAGACCTTTGTGCTGGCAGGCGCGCTGAAGGCGCATGCGGCCGGGTCGAAGCGATGCCAGGCTATACTGGCGGAATATGGCATGGCGTAGCAGTGTGGGCTGTGACAGACGAGTCCTAACAACGATCCTGGGCGATACCGCGTGCTATCATCGCGGGCTACTGGGTCGTCTCGCGCCCACTGTGTTCGATGGACCCGCGCCCGCTGTCCTCGGCGCCCATGCGCGACGACATCCGGCCCCTGAGTCCCTCCACGTGTCCTGCCGTCATTGTGTGCTGCACCTGGCGCGAGCCCGACGCGGCGGGGGGCAGCGACGCGCCTCCAAAGTCGCGCCCAGCGTAGGTGGCCGCTCGGCGGTGCTTTCCCGCGGGGGCGGACTGCCCCTGCATGACCTTGTTCGCCCGCAGGTCGCTCGTGTGCGCTGCGGGTGACGGTTTGCTGGTGCGGAACTGTACGCCGTGCGGCGCAGGCTTCCGCTCCTTGCCTGCACGGGGCGGGGAGGCTCAGTGCGCACATTGAGTCAAGCGCCCGGTGGTTGCAGAGTGATGGCTTGCATGTTGACAGGGGGACGCACCGCTGAAGCTGCCGATGAGGTCATCGAGCTCCCGGTCGAGCACGCTGCTGTGTCCAGTGCCGATGCTGTCCAGGGGCCGCGGCGGGCCGGAAGGCGCCGGATGGATCGATGAGTGCTCGCGGCGGCGCATGGGACCTGCCCCCAGGCTGCTCCGGACTGGGCCGGGCGAACCAGGCCCCGCACCCGTCTCATCGTACAAGTCCTGCGCGTCGGGCCCGCGGCGACGCCGCGGCGCGAGCTTCTCCGGCTCCGAATCCTGCACATCGCATGAAACAACGACGAATGTTCGACTGCCCGCAACTCACCGGAAGATCGCGACGCTGTTACGACTACGCGTGCAGTACCCAGAGCTGCGGGCGCCCCGCGTGCGCGGGCGAGGCGCGCACCTTGCCCGCGCCCTCCCGCTTGAGGCTGCGGCCCAGCGCTTTCAGGAGCTCCTTCGCGCGCCCCTTCCGGTCGCTCATGCCGGGCCCATCGCGCCCGGTGTCGTCTACGTCCGTGCCGTCCTCCGCCGAGTCGTTCATCCCCATGGACGGCGCCTGTGCGGCCGACCACTCCCCTGTTGAAATCTGGTCCATCGGCTCTGCGGACGCCGGCGGCTCCGCGACGGGCCGCTCCTCGTGCGGCTCCTCGACGGGCTCCGCGGGCCGCGCGACCGGGCCCTGGCGCGGCGAGGAGCTGGTGCTGCTCGTGCCCGGTTGGCGTGACACGTACTGATGCAGGGCAGGGATGGTGATCTTGCCGTGCTCGTGCACGCCAGGCTCGGAGGCCTTGCCCTGGGCCGCGCGGTCCGGCTGAACGGCTGACGGCTGCGCCGGGGGGCTTTGGGGCGGGACCTCGACGGGCGAGGCCATGGCGATTGGCGCTGGCCTTGCAGAACCTGCCTGGGGGGTTGTAGCCAGCCGTGGGGGCGTTGAGGACGGCGCCTGCGCAGGCTCCGGCGGCAACGTGGGCTCGCCGGCCGCGGTCGGCGGAGGCCGCCGCACCGGTGGCTTTGCAGGGCCGGAGAGGACGAGGCCATGTTTTTGGCATATCGCGTCCCTGTTCGCCGCCCACCAGCGCGTGGCGTCCGCGGATGTGAACAACTTGCGCGAGAAGCGCGCCTTGTGGACCACGCGCCGCCCGTCGGACGCCTCCCGGATGGTCAAAAACACCCCCGGGACCACCTCCTGCTCGCCTGCGAGCGGGGTGGTCGACGCCCCGGCGTCGCGCGGCGGGCGCGGCGGCGTGCTGACGGCCTGGTCGCCGCCCTCCAGCGCGCGAGCGGGCCGCCGCGGGCCGCCGTTGGCCGGGGCTGCGACGAAGATGGATTCGGGCACGGGGCTGGGCGACCCCGAGTGTACGACGACAGTGCGCCCGGAGCCGGTGACTTCGCCGTTCGGGCTCGACGGAATGCGCACGTGGAGCGGTCCCGCGCCGAACCGGCCGCGGAGGCTGTTTTCGCGGCGCGCCGTCGGAGTGGACCGTGGCGTGATGGAGGGGGGCGCCTGGGGGCTCTCTTCGCCCCTCTGCGCCCTCTCGAGGATGTCCATGGCCCAGGCGATCTGCGACCGCTCCGTCTCGCTCAGGGCCGCGCCGGCTGTCGAGAGGAAGCGCGCGGCCGCCTCGCACACAGTGTTGGTGGCGGTGGCCGCGGAGGACTGCGCGGGCTGCTGGAGCGACGGCGCAGCGTCCGCCGCGGGTCGCCGCGACTTCCACGAGCTCGCCCCGACGATGGCGTTGCTGCGCGGCGGCGATGACGCGAGCGTTGCGTTCAGCTCGCGCTGCGACCCGAGCGAGCCGCGGCCCGATCTTCGCGTGTGCTGCAGCGACGACCGCGCGTCTCGCGGGCGGGAGGTCACGGACTCGCCACGCTCGTCCAGGAGCTCCCGCCCGCTGTACCCCACGGACGACACCGGGGCAGGCACACCGAGCTGGTGCTCCGAGGTGGAGGGGGACTGGCGCTCCGTCGTGGCCACGGGAGCCACGATCTGGTAGCTCCTGGGCGGCGCGCTCGGCTGCTTCGTGTGCAGCGAGGGCTGGCGGCGCATCTGTGCCATGGTGTCCCTGACGTCCCCGCTGCCCTTCCGCGTGCTGAGCACGCGCGACAGCTTCGCACGGAGGCCCATCTGCGGCCGGCTGTTGTCATCCGAGACCGGCGGGCTCGACACGACGTTCTCCTGGGGCGTGCTGTGCACGGCAACCGACACCTGCCGCCGCGACGGGGCGCGGCCGGCGGCGGACCCCGTCTCCGTCGTGGCCACCGCAATTGGGCTGAGGCCCCTGGCCTGGCTCGAGGACACCGACGGCGGGTGGTGCTCCATGCCCTCCCTGTGCTCGATCACCACGAGGGAGTGGTTGCAGCCCGCGCGCACGTCCAGGACGTTCTCGCGCTTGAACTCGTCCAGCCACTGCGGCTCCATGTCCGCGTCTGCCGTCAGCGTCGCGGGGTCGATCCGCCCCAGCTGCCCCTCGCAGCCGCGGCCCCACGACGCCACGCCGTGCCCCTCGACCAGCGCCAGCGCGTGCGAGAGCCCGCACGCCATGCCCGTCACGCGCGCGTCGCGCAGCACTCCGCGGTTCACCACCAGCGGCAGCACCACGCTCGCGCCGCCCTCCACGCCCTGCAGCCCCCACTGGTACACGCGCCCCTGCTCCGTCAACGCCAGCGTCGTGTCCAGCCCGCAGCACACCTGCACGACGCACGCGCCGCGGATGTCGCCCTCCACGCGCCGCGGCACCGCCGTGCTCTCGCGCGTCCCGTCCCCCACCGCGCCGCTCCTGTTGTGGCCCCAGGCGAACAACGCGCCCCCGGGACACGACGGCGGCCACGGACCGCGCGAACCGGTGCCGTGCGGGTCCCTCTCAGGAATGCCCACCGCCGCGAGCGCCTCCCGCGCCTCGTCCTCCGCGCTGCTCTCCAGATGGAAGCTCAGCCGACCCTCCGTCTGCGTCGCCTGGCGCGGCGCCCCCGCGGCGCTCGCGCCGCGCTGGGCTGCGGCCGCGGCGGTGATCTGCGCGGTGTGCGACGGGTAGCTCCCGACGGCGATGTCGCTCGCCGCGGACGGTGCCTCCGCGCTGGGCTCCGGCTCCAGTCCCTGCGTCGCGGGGGCCTCGCTGGGGTCGCCGCCCGTTCGGACGCCGAGCGCGCCGCCCTGCGCGCTGCCCTTCGTGAGGCCGACGAACGACAGCTCCTCGGCGTTGCCGATGGACTGCTTCGCGCGCGTGCGCCGCGGTCCGGGCCCGGGGGTCTTGGAGCCCTGAATGAGGCCGCTGCTCGCGTTGTGTGCCGGGAGGCGCCTGGCCTCGTCCGGACCCTGACGCGCGGCGGGCGTGAGGGGCTGGCTCGGCACTCCGTCGCTCATGTCGCCCTTCGACGGCTGCGCGGCACGGGGGGCAGGAAGGGAGCGGTGTTATCGCTCAAGTGGTGTGTCAAGGTGCACAGTGCGGCGCTCCGCCCGCGCACACGAGCGCCGTAGGTGCGCCTCCTGCCGGCTCACCTCTTCCTTGATGGCGCCAGTCGCCCCCAGGACCGCCGCGAGGTCCTCCGGGAGCGGCGCCGACGGGATGGGCTCGATGGCGTCGGGCGCGGAGGGTTCCAGGGAGCCCACGGGCTGGTCCATGATGGCCGCGGTGTGCCACACGCCGCACGCGACCTGCAGGACGCGGAACTTGTGGAAGAACTGCACCTGCCGCGGAGACAGCGCCTGCTCCTCGTCGCCGTGCCCGAGCTTGCCGCAGAACCCCTCCCCCCACGTGAAGAGCCTGCCGCACTCGGTGACGCAGCCGGCGTGGCGCGCGCCGCACGAGACCTGCGTCACGCGGAGCCCCTCGAGCGCGCCGCGCACGACGCGCGGGACCCACGTGGACCGCACGTTGCCGAGCCCGAGCGCGCCGTGGAGGTTGGAGCCCCACGTGTACATGCGGCCCGTCCACGACAGCGCGACGGTGCCGCCCGCGGTCGTGGCCACCTGCTTGATCTTGATGCCCGCGTCGTACAGGCTGCGCACCATGAGCGGGTTCGGCACGTCCACGGGCGTGCCGTGGCCCAGCGCGCCGTGCAGCCCCTCGCCCCACGAGTACAGGTCGCCCGCCTTGGTGACCAGCAGCGCGTGCCGGTGCCCCACCGCCGAGGAGCGCACGTCCAGACTGCGCACCAGAGCGACGCGCGGGGCGGCTCGGCGGCGCCCGGATGCGAGCGGGGCGCGAACTCGCAGAGATCCGTTGCGCAACCAACGCACACTCATGATTTGATATGATACGGCACGACGCACCTGGTGGTGTTGGGGACGACGAAGGGGCGCCCCTCCTCCTGCCAGCCCTTGGGCGGGCGCTGCGCCGGTCCGACCTGCGCCTGGTCCCCGCCCCCGCGCAGCATGAGCGTCGACCCGAAGAGGAAGGCGTCCCCGGGCTGCTCCGCGTGCGCCAACTTCCGCGGCCACGCCGCCCAGGACTTCCCGCCGAGCGAGGCCATGCGCGACGTGATCCCCTTCATGTCGGACACGAGCGTGTCGTGCTTCTCGTTCGGCCGCCCCGCCTCGCCGGGCTCCGTGCCTACGGCGTCGTCCAGGTCCGCGGGCGCTACGAGCGTGGCGCCGTTGCGCGGTATCGACGACGGCGGTCGCTCCGGCACCGCGCGGCCCGGTGTTGCGTCCCGCGAGAACCGCATCGCGCCGTCGGTCGTCGCCCGCCCAGAGGGGTGCCTGCCTGCCAGCGGGCGCTCGCCCCACTCGTCCCTCCCCGCGGCCTCCGTCCCCTGCGCGCGCGCGCCGTCGCCGTCGCGCGGCGTGCCCGCCATGCGGCTGCCGCGCGACAGCCGCGAGGGCCGCTGCGCCTGCGCCTGCGGGGGGGGTGCGCCGGGGTGCCGGGACGACTCCTGGGCCTGAATCAGGGCGCGCAGGCCGTGGAACCAGAGCTCGTACTCCTCGAAGGTGTTGCACACGATGTCCAGCGTCTGCAGCCGGTCCTTGCGCGTGGGGTCGGCGTAGATGACGCTGAAGCTGCTGGACTCGTACTGCTGGTACTTGCTGGCCAGGCGCTTGAACACCGACGTCGTCTGGCCCTCGCGCACGCCGATCATGTGCTGGATCGGCACCCCGCGCTGCAGCCCCTGCGCCTTCTTCTTCGACTCCCACCGCAGCTCGGAGCCGTCCGGGCTCAGCACGAAGCGCGTCTTGTGCGGGTTGCCCTGCCGGCCGAACTTGAACAGCATCGCGCCCTTGCGCAGCGCCGTGATGTACTCCTCCGCGGGGCGCGCCACGCCGCGCCTGCGCAGTGCCGGGGCGCGGGCGTGTGCGTGTCAAGGAGTGTGTGAGTGGCCACGTGGTGGGGGTGGTGCGGTGGGCGCGACCGCTCGTGCGCGGGGGACGCGGCCGGAGGCGAGGGAGCGGACCTGAGGCGGCGGGACGATCCCTCGACCGCGAGGCCCGCCGCGGAGAAGCCCATTGCGTTGCTGGGTGCCGTGGATATGCCTCCGAAGCCGGAGTCGATCGACGGGGCGCTGGACACCGACGTGTTGGTGCCCAGCATCATTCCTGCGCGCGGGGACACGCCAACGGCCGCGGTTTCGCGCCGTGCGGGCTGGCGCGGCGCCCCGATGTGCACGGGCCAAGCACGGTTGACGGGACGCGGCGACGGCGCAGGGGTACCGGACGCGGGCCAGGGAGCCCCGCGGGCGCAGTCAGCTGTCGGGAAGCCTGCTGTCGCCCGGGCTCGGTGCGGGAGCGGCGCGCGACAGCGGCATCGTGCGCGGGACAGCCAGGCAACGTGGTCGCGTCCACGCGGCAGGACAAGGCCTAGCATCGGGCATCAATGCACCGGTGCGGTCCCCTGAGTCATGTGGGGTACGGAGCGGAGAGTGCCGTGGGGGAAACACGCCACACTCGCAGCAGCTGCCGTCCTCGTGTTGCGCACCTGGAGAAAGGCTCTCGCCCGACATCCGTTCTCGGTCAAAGTCGAGCTCGGTGCCCCCAGGGGACGTCGCCGCTCGATCCATGGCCGCGCCTCTCATCCAGCGCCGTGCCGTTCACTGCTTGACGAGGTACCGGGCACCTGTCCCTCCCTCTGCCAAGCAGCGCGGGCGAGATCCTGCGTCGCGCCGCGAAGGCCGCCGGGGCACCGCGTTCTGAGACAGTCCTATCGCGAGGGATGGCGCGTGATCGGCGGCGTCGTGCAGGCGCTGTGTGGCGCAGTGGTCGGAGCTTCTCACCCAAGGGGCGCTGCCGCCTCACCACCTGGCGACGCATTCCATGTAAGGCATCGCCAGCGGAACCCTTGGGCGATTGAGCAGCCAATGGCCGCGCTGGGATGTGGAACCCGACGCTGGAAGGCGTACGTCGCGAGGTGAGCAAGGCGGTTGCGCTGAGCAGCCAGCCCGAGGAAGTGGAGCGTGCTTGCGAGAGGAAGCCAGCCTTCGACTGTTCGCGGCCGCGTGCGACTGAGCCCGATGAACCGCGGCGCGGGGTCACAGGCCGCACGTCGGAGTAGGAAAACGAGGTATGAGGGTGAACTCGCGTCCTCAGTGCGCTTGTGCGACGCAGTAATGCTCCCGTCAAGGTCCCAGCCGTCCACTTGCATCGTCGGCAACGTCCCATCCCGAACTTGTCCCTGGACTGCGACGGCGACTGGCGCCCAGAGGACCTCTCCTGCAGCGCGCCGTGAGTAGTGGACGAGGCGATGGACGCGATCTCCTCGATCATCCCCAAGCACATCCTGGACGCTCCAGGCAAGTCGCCGAACGCCGCGCGCACCTCACGCAGGGTTTGTCGCGTGTGCGGGTCAGTTTCAAGCCATCACCAGAGCGTGCCTAGTTCGTCATATGCGGGGCCCGCGAGGCGGCCTCCCCGGTCCTTCTCACACGCACAATAACCAGTATACTAAGAAGAGAGCGTGGGACAGGTTCGACGCACGTTTCACCGGGCCGACCGTCCGTGCAGGGTCGGCGCACCCAAGCCTCCTCATGTCTGGGCTGCTCGGGCTGGGGGGAGCCATCGGCTTCCTGAAGAAGCGCAGCGTGCCGAGCCTCGTTGGTGGCCTCACTCTCGGCGCGGCTTTCTTCTACAGCGGCCACCTCATCGCCAGCGGGGAGAGCCCCGCGACCGGGCACGACGTCGCGCTGGCCGCGAGCGTCGTGACGGCCGCGATGATGGGCGCGCGGTTCCGCAAGACGCGCGCCTTCATGCCGGGCGGGGTGCTCATGGTCGCGGGCGGAGGCAGCGCCGTCTACCAGGCGATCAAGTCCGCGGAGTGGCACGGGTTCCTGTGATTGCCAACATGCACCGACTGAGCAGTGCGAGACACGGGCGCGGAAGCCAGCTGGCACAGCCAGGCGCCGCGACGGAACTGACTCGTGGACCGGCGGATCCGTCCACGACAGGGGTGGTGACACGCGCCGCGACGCGAGACGCGGGCCTGCGCGCATGCGAGGTGCTGTTGCGCAGCACGTGTAGCGGGTGGTTCACAGGAGCGGCCCAACTGCGCGGCGGCCGGCCCGCGCGTCACCTGCCGAGCTCGATCTTCTCCTTCATGCGCAGGAACGCGCCGAAGGTGCACTGTCCCCCGGGGTGTGTCCGCGCCCCCTCCTCCCAGGCGCGCGCCGCCACCGCCTCCTCGATCTGCACGCCCGCCGCGTCGCACAGCTCCTTCGCCTCCTCCAGCGAGATCGGCTGCGTCAGGATGTCGTCGCTCACGAACCCCGCCGGGAACAGCAGCGCCGCCGCGTCCGGCTCGTTGCCGTAGTTCTGCGCGTCCGCCACCGACCGCGACCCGGGCTGCGGCATCGGCAGGTCCGTGCGCACCGTCGGCACGCCGAACACCTTGTCCGGGTCCTCCACGATGTTGCGGTACCCCGGCCGCAGCGAGCGGCCCAGGTCCGGGTCCGGCTCGCAGCCGCCGCCGCTGTACTGGTGCCGCAGGAGCACCTCCACGCCGGGCTCCGCGGGCATCTTCGGGTGCAGGCTCGGCACGCCCGCGGCGGTCCCGGACATGACCGTCTCACGGTCGCCGAAGCCCAGGGTGCGCACGCGGCCCAGCTCGGGCTCGTTGCCCAGCTTGTAGTCGGCCAGCGTGCGGCTCACCACGGACGGGCCCTGCGGGTACGACATGATCTTCTTCATCTCCATCGGGTCCTTCTTCGCGCCCGGCCGCCCAAACACGTTGCTGTCAGGGTCCACGCCCCCCCAGTTGTACCCGCGCCGCCGCTGCTCCCCGGGGGCGTAGTCGCCGTGCGTGCGCACGTACATCTGCCGCACCGACTCGTCGTCCTCGCCCGTCTTCGTCGCCTCCATCACCTCGCGCACCTGGCCCTGACGGTCCAGCTCCTTGGCGCCCAGCGGACGCCCGAACGGCACCTCCGACCCCATGCCGTCCGGGAGCTCGTGGCCCCGCACCTGCACACCTCGCGCCGCGGCGGGCGGGCGGTCGGAGGCGGGCGAGCGCGCACGCGCCCCCAAGGGGCGCCAGGAGCGCGGCGGGCGGGCTGTGGCGCAGGGGCCGGGTGCCGCGTGGAAGGGCGGCGGGGGCGTCGCACCATGCTGCGCCCGAGCGGCTCCCGGCGGCGCGTCTCGTAGACGGCCTCGCCGATCTCGTCCTGCACCTGCCCCACCATGCCTTGCCGGCCCTGCTTGATGACGTTGCTCACCGTGTCGTCCGGGTGCTGCTCCGTGTTGACCCCGAAGGGACCCTGCGACGTGAGGCCGGCGGAATGCGCGCCCTGGGCGACGGGGGCTCGCTCCAGGTGTTGTTGCTGGTAGCTTCCTGTCTGTGCGCCCCCGTCCGTCGCCGACAGGGGCGGGCGCGTAGGCCCGCGCAACGAGCACGGAAACACGAACGCAGGGCGGCGCGCGTGCTGCGAGCCAGACCGCGCGGGAGCGGCTGGGCGCCGCACGGCACCGTTGCGCGGCCTGGACGCCGCGAGGCTGCGCAGTGGCCGGGCGGCCTCACCTCCGGGACGCGGTCGAAGAAGGACCCGAAGTGCTTGTACGTGCGGCCGGCCTCCTGCTGCAGGTTGGCGCTCTGGTAGCGCCGCACTTCGTCCGGCACGTCCGGGGCCTCCTCGAAAGTCAAGCACTCCGCCGTGTTGCCCACGTTCTTGCGGCCCGGCTTGCCCGCCTGCAAACGTGAGCCCGCCATCAGCGCGATCGGCCGCGGCCCGAACGGGTCTGTCGGCCAGGCGTCCAGCCCCCCAGGAGGCAACGCGCTGGATTAAGCACATGCCACCACCTGGCACGCGCTCCAGGTCCGCACAGCCCCGCGACGCGCGAAAGGCGACCGCGCACGTCTGCTCAAGGCCCGCATCTGTCCGGTAGGCGGCGCGCCAGCGCGGGCGGGTCCGCGCGAGCGCTGCGGGGGCCGGAGGCAGGGCTGGCCACTGCAAGCGTCTGCGGCGTCGCGCGGGTGCGGGATCCGTACCGGCGGGATGCTCGACGAGTCATAGGGTGCGTATTCTACCCCTGCGCCCCGGAATCCTCCCGTGCCGAGCAGCATGCTGGCGGTGCGTCCGAGTGGCACCAGGGTGCGCTCGGCGCAGACGTTGTTTCCGCGACACGAGCGCGCGACAGAACCCGGCTACGATGTGCTGGACTGCGACGTGCGGGACGCGCGCGCGGGGGTGCGGCAAAGGCCGTGGGAGCGCGCGAGAGAGCCCCCCCCGCCCTGCTGACTGCAGCCGTGGCTTGAAGAACCTCGGATCAGCTTTCCAGCTTCTTCCGAAGACCACTCCCATCAGCTCAGGCTGGGGGCCGCAAGCAGGTCATCGGGCTGGCTGGCTGGCCCGCGGGGGCATCGACGCGTACAGGCTGGTTGCGAGGATCGTGTTTCGGGCAAGGAAGGGCAAGGATGGCCACGAAGCGCATTCAGAAGGTAGGTGCCAGTTGGTCTCAGAGCGGGACCAGGGGTTGGCCCGGGGCGCGCTGGCCCGTCGACTCACCGCGCTCGCCTGCCCGCACCGCGATCGCAGGAGCTGAAGGATCTCCAGAAGGACCCACCGACGACATGCAGGTGCGCGCGCGCACGCCCTGGGCACGCACAAAGTTGGCACCGACGCGCTTGCGGGTCGCGTCGTTCGGCCGGCGCCCCAAACGTCCGCGCGACACCCACACGCTGGCGTTGTATTACCAGCATTCCGTGGCCGCGGTCGTCCATCGGCACGCGTCGAGGTTCGCCGAGCGTTTCGCTGCGTACGCTAGACCGTGGCTGCAACGGGTGTTCCCGGCGAAAACGGCCTACTTTTCGCCGACGTCCGCTGTCAGTACCTCACGTCGGCGGCCTCGAGATTCGTGTTGCGGGCGAGATCGGCCCGCGGGCCCGTATTTCGTCGACTTCGTAGCGAGCCGAGCAATGGGGCGTCGCGTCTGCGGCAGCCCCGGCCGCTTGCGACATCCGCACGCTCCCGTGCTTTCTCCTGACCCGTTCCGCGTCGCACTGCCTGCCGCAGCGCGGGCCCGGCCGTGCCAGATGACCTCTTCCACTGGCAGGCTTCCATCATGGGGCCGCCGGACAGTCCGTACGCGGGTGGCGTCTTCATGGTGCGGATCCACTTCCCCCCGGACTACCCGTTCAAGCCGCCCAAGGTCGCCTTCGTGACCAAGGTAACGCGCATGCGCCCCACCCCTCGTGAGCCTTGCTGCGGACCGCGTGCTCCCGCGCGATCGCCCCGTCCTGCGCCGGCCGGGAGGACGCCCCCCACGCGCTGCTGCGACTGAGGCGCCCGCTGCGCGGCCCCGGACGCGCACGGTGCGGTGCGGGGCCCTCCGGCTTCCGGGTGCTGGCCCCATCGCGCCTCACACTGGCGCCCCCCGCCGGTGCACGGCGCGCAGGTCTACCACCCCAACATCAACAGTAACGGTTCGATCTGCCTGGATATTCTCAAGGACCAGTGGTCCCCTGCCCTGACCATTTCCAAGGTGCGCAGCAACATGGGCACCAGACCGCCACCCGCGCCGCACGACCGCCAACCCGCGCACCTCGCCGCCCAGCCCCCGTGGACGGCGCTTCTGCGTCAGCGCCTGCGGCCCGCCCCGCTGGGCGGCCCCCACCGCGCCGCTCGACGGCCATCGTTCGTATGCTCTGAGAGTGCGCGCAACCGCCGCGTTCGCGCCGAAACCCCGCACGCGCGAGCCGCACGCGCTGCCTTCGGTCGACAGCAGCCCCCGCACCCACCCACCGCGGGCTCGAACCTCGCCTCCGCCCGGGCCGGTGGTCAGGGTGTGCCGTAGTGCTCGATGCGGCGCGCGGCCCCCGGCGCCCGTCTCGCCCTCACCACCGCCCCCGTTGTCCGCGCACTGCAGGTCCTGCTGTCAATCTGCTCGCTGCTCACGGACCCGAACCCGGACGACCCGCTGGTGCCGGACATCGCCCAGCAGTACAAGCAGGAGCGCTCGCGCTACGAGGAGACCGCGCGCCAGTGGACCATGAAGTACGCCTGCGGTGAGCGCCCACCCCTGCGCTGCCGCGGTGCCCCCCGCGCACCTGCGCGGGGCGGACACGCGGTGTGTGTGTGTTTGGCGTGACTGTGCTGGGAGGGCTGCGCGGCGCCGGTGCCGCGCTGCGGGGTCCTGCGGCCCACTGGATGTGTCTTGCGGTGCGCGTGCGCGCAGGTTGAGCGGATGGGGGTGCCGGCGGGCCGGGGGGGCGTCGCAGCGACGCGCCCTGCGTGCCAGGCTGGCGGGTGGGTAGTAGCGGGACGGTGGATACGGTCGCGGCCCAGTTTGAAACTCTAATGCACTATAGCCTTTCGCTGGGCCGCGACGGACGGGGACGGGGTGGGATCGGGCGTTTCGCCAGCGTTGTGTGGTGGTGCCACGCAGCGGCGGGGGACGCGGGGTGCGAACGAGCTGGAAGGAGGCGCGCGGCGTCGTGGAACGGGGGCATACGGGCCCACGGGCATGAAGGACCGTGGTCGGGGCGAGGTTTGGCAGCGCATCGCCACCCGTGGGTCTGACACACCAAAACGTGTGACACTGTACCTAGAGCCGGCCACTGGGCCCGCCGCGACCGTGCGTGGGGATCGAGCACAGCGCGTGCCGTGTCGTCGCCTGCGCTCCTGACGGGTGCGGAACGACCGGGTGGGTGAGCCGCAGCTGCACACAACAGGTCGTAGCGTGAGGCCGCAGCGCAGCTCACACGGTGGCGGCGCGCCTGGGGTAGTTGTGCGGGCTGGGGGCGTTGTGTTCACGCAGAGCCCTGAGTGGACGCTCTCGGGGCGTCGGACCGCACACGGTAGACTGTCTGACCGCCCGGGGGCGGACACGGCCGAGGGCATGGAGGCATTTTGCCGGCTTCATCTGCGCGTCGCCGACACCTTCTCGCGCCAGTGACGGCTCTGTGGCTAGAAGAGTCTCCTGTCGTGCTTCGTGCAACTTTGCGTGCAAGCGGTTTGTTCGCCACCCTCTTCCGACCGCAGCGCTCCTTCTAAGCGTCGAGCACAGCCACACACGTCGCCTACGATGCTCTAGGATACTCTCAGGTGTCGTCATGTGGGTCCTCACCTTCACAGGAGGACGTGGTCACCCGAAGGAGCACCAGCGAACGCACTTCCTGGTACGTAGCCGCACCCGCACGATGTCTGGCGCACTGCTCTGCCCATGTGGGCCGTCTCGACGCCATAATTGATGTCTTCACCGCGAGCTTCCCGGCAGATGATGGCTGTGACTGCCTCGAGCGGCCAAAGCACGCCCAGCAGTGAGTTGGACTGGCGCGCTGCCCCGCGCTGAGCGCGCACGGCTCGCCGTATCGATGATTGCAGACTTCTGGCACGTATATTGTCGGGAGAGACGCGTCCGCTGCTCAAATACACATAAGCAAGGTGAGTCGAGAGGCACTGTCGAGCAGCAGGGCTCGTGTCACTTCGACGCCCGACCGCGCGCCTCGCCAACGCGAACACCGACGCGTCTGCGCGGCGCGGAGAAACGAGAACGCCGCCTCCGCTCTCGCGCGCGCGCTCCATGGTAGTTGCTGCCTGGAGTGATTGCACGTCACTCTCTGTCAACCTGCATGTCACACATTCTGGCACGTTGCAGGAGGAGGACCCGTCGATCAGTCGCAAGCACGGATCCTTCACCATCGGGTCGAGTACGTCGGCGGCTGGGCAGCTCACGTGCACGTACACGGATTTTGGCTCCAAGTATGGCACCCGCATTGGGGGGCGCGAGCTGCGCAAGGGCAGCTCGGCGGAGCTCACGGCGACGATCACCGGCGACTGCGACGTCGTGTTCGGGTCGGACGCGGTGCAGGCGAAGGCCGCGGTGTCTTTGCAGCGGCGCAACGTCACGCTGTGCGTGCGCAAGCCAGCCCTGACCGACGCTGTCCGTCACGCGGCGTCGCTGCTCGGCGCGCGGACGCTCTCGCGCTGGTCCGCGACGTGCACGCATCTGGTCGTCGACGACGACTGTCCGGCGAGCTGGAGGAAGACGGCGCCGGGTAGAAGTCCGGTGCTCCTGCGGTGGCTCCTCAAATCAGTCGTGGAGGACAAAAACTACGGCCTGCTGTTCCCACCGCCGCCCCTCGCGGAACAGGCCCGCGCGCTCGACGGCGGCGGCGAGGGCACGCAGTCGGACACGGACGCGGACGCCACTGATGACGACGTGGAGATGGAGGAGGTCGCTGTAGTGGCGCCCACCCAGCAGCACAAGACCAAGGAGCCCGTCGAAGCAGCGCCCAGGGCAGCGCCCCCACCGAAGGCCGCAGCAGCGCCGGCACCGAAAGCAGCAGCAGCGCCGGCACCGAAGGCGGCAGCAGCGCCGGCACCGAAGGCGGCAGCAGCGCCGTCAGCGGCCCCACGCAACCCACAGAAGCGGAGCCGGCTCATGGCGCTGCTGGAGAGCGACGACGAGGACGAGGGCGACGACGAGGAGAAGCGCCTGCCCGAACAACGCAGGGCGGCTGCGGCCGCGGCCGCGCGGTCCGGCGCATCGCAGCAGCAGGACGTTGCTGGTGCTGCTGCTGCGCCACTCGTCGCGGAGCAGCCGGCTGGTGCGGCGACTGAGCCGCGCGCGCCGGCCAGCCAGCACCGGGCGACGGCACCGGCAGCGCACGCGAGGGACGTGGCGCGTCCGACGCAGGTCACGCAGGCTGTCGGGCGCCCCGAGGACGACGGCACCCCGGAGGAGTGTCGAGCCACGGTGTCCGTCTGTCGGACGCAGGTCGCGGGGTCCGCAGCGCCGCAACCCTCGCGGCCGGGACGCCAGCGCGGGACGAACTACAAGGCGTTCAGGAGGCGCGGGGAGGAGGGCGCCACTGGCAGCAGTGCGCCCAGAATCGTTGCGTCGTACACGACGTGGAACGGGGTCATCACGGACGCAGCGCCGCCAGCGGACGAGCGGGTGCGAGTGCCCCCCGTCAGCCACCTGAGCCACGCGTGGCGCCTCCGCGAGACACCCTTGACATTCGACCATCCCGTTCGCCATGTTCCGCTGTGTGTGCAGGCGGAGGACGACGAGCTGTTCAATGCGACGACGCGACCCACGCGCGTGGTTGGGCGCGGGCGCGGACGAGGGCGCGGAAAGCGCTGATGTAGGGGCACGTGCGTGGGGGCAGGGAGCGTGTAAGGGACCTCGCGGTTGTCGTTGCATGTGGCTTCACGGGGTTCTCCGAGGGCCGGTCTTCAGGCGTATGCGCGAGGCGGAGGCGATGGCCTGCGCGTCACAGGCCAGCCTGTGCAGGTCCCGGGGACTCGTCGGACGCGTGCGGGGGGAGTTTCGCTTGTTGCACTCGGTGGCATCCTCAGCACAAGGGCGGCTGGCGAGGTGCACGCGCGTACACGCAGAAGCACGGAGTGCCGCATCGTCCTGTCCGCGGCTGCCGCTGCGATGAATCGCGTCGCCCGCCAGCTCTCAGGCCTGGCCGCCAGCCACCTGAGGCTGCAGGCAGCGGAGTACGCAGGCTCTGGCGCGGCAACTGCGGTCGGACAGCGCTCCTGGCGCAGTTCCTGCACGGGTGAAGCGCCAGCAAGCGAGTTTGTCCCTTTTCTGTCGCGCGCAACGGCAGCCCAGCGAGATCTCGGCTGTGCGCAGGGAGCCACGGCGATCGCGTGCGTGAGCAGCCACCGACGCAGCCCACAAGGATGCGCATCGTCTATCGACCATCTCGACATGAGCAGGAGCTGGGAGCGCGCTCACGCAGCGTCGCGTACCTTCCGGACCGCGCCTGGGCTTGCAGCTCCACCAGCGGCCGCCTCTGACACGGCGGAGGTGGACGCGAGCGCGGAGGAACCCGCATCACCTGTTCCGAAGAAGTGGGACCACTGGCTGGACGTGACGGGGCGCGTGGACGGCCAGTACGAGGTGGCGAAGCAGCAGTGTTTTGCCATCGTGGAGATCGGGTCCCACCAGTACAAGGTCACTGCGGACGACGTAGTTTACAGGTGGGATCCACGACGAACACGCACGCAGCAGGCCCTGCCCAGGCGCATGGACGCGTCAGTGCAGGCGTGACGCAGGGTGCCGCTCTGGGAGCATCAGTGCCCTGCCGACGCGCTGCGATCCCCCGTCCCCGATGCAGCCTCTACATCCCTGGGCTTGACGTCAATGATAAGGTCAACCTGAAGAGGGTGCTGCTGCTCGGCAACCCCACGGAGACTCGGATAGGGCGGCCAGTCGTCGCCGACGCGCACTGCGAGGCCGTCGTCGAGGAAGTGTTCAAGGACGCGAAGAAACACATCTTCCGCTTCAGAAAGTGCGCCCCGCGCCTCCGTCTGTCGCTCCGCGTCGATGCGCGTCATTAGACAGGTTCACATGTCGACGTAGCAGTCGTCGCAGCTGCGAGATCACGCAAAGTAGTAATTGACGCGACACCGTGCTCCACCACCCGCGCAGGAAATCGCATCGCAAGTACAAAACCGTGCGCCCGCTGTTCACCAAGCTCCGGATCACCAAGGTGCACGGCATCGACGGCTGAGTTGTGTGCTTGCAGCCGAGCTCTTGCCCGGACACGGGTTGCACTGGGGCCCGGCGGCCCGCCGCGCGTGTGAGCGACTGCGTGGCGCGCCAGAGCAGGCCTGATTCACGGCGTGTGCCCGCGAGTTCGGGTCACGAGTGCTACATCCTCTTTCGCCTGTTCCCCACGGCCCCAGCGTCGTACGAGCGAACGAGCGCCCACACGAGGTAGCAGTGCGCGCACAGGAGCAGCAAGCTCCCGATCCACACCACGGGCCGCACCGCTTCCACGCCGCGAAACTCCAGCACGTACGCCCACAGGAGCCAGTGCAGCTGCGCCGCCGCCCAGGTGGCGACGGCGCGCCCCGTAAGGGTCCTGCGGCAGACGGAGTGGGAGCGTCGGTGGGGTCGTGTCACCGCTTCCCTCGGCGCAGCCGTGCTGAGGGACGCTCGGGCTCGTGCGTGTTGGTGCACCGTCGCACCTGTCGGCGATCTTCGGCAGCGCCGCCGGCAGCAAGAGGAACCACCAGACGAAGTACTGCGCGGTGATGACTTTGTTCAGGGCCACGAACACGACTGTCTGCAGCAGCCAGGCCCAGACGAGATCCGAGCGCCAGGCCACGCCCACAGCGGCCGTCGCAGCCAGTTGGGGGAGGAAGGCCCATCTGTCGAGCGCGGGCAGCCACGGCACGTCGGCATTCATCGTCAGCCACGTCGGGTAGAAGTACACGGAGAAGTTGTGCTGGGGGTCTCGCCGCGACGAATGGTAGAAGTACGTGGCATGCAGAAACTCCCCCCCGTACGCCACGTAGCAGCCGAGCGTCGCGCACCCCGCGGCCAGAGCAGCCGCGACGCCGAACACGGCACCCCGCAGGGTCACCAGTCCGAGCACCGCCTTGCCGCGGCGCGCGAAGTACAGCACTGTGGGCAGCGCATAGATCACCGGATACAGCCGCCAGTGCACCGCAAGGCCGTACAACGCGCCGGCGAGCGCCGCGCGCCCCAGCGGCACCCTGTCCGCCGGCGTCGGCCTGCCAGCGCTGGCGGGGAGCAGCAGCGCGAGCGCCCCAGCGAGCATCAGAGCCACGAGGGACTCCGGGGAGCCCCGGGTGGATATGGTGGCCGTGAACGGATTGAACAGCCACGCAATCATCGCCACGTTGCGCCAGAGGGACTGGTCCGCGGCCGACGGCGGCGCGGCGTGGCGGGCCGCGGCTCCCAGGAAGACTGCCGCGCCAAGGTCGGCAGCACACAGTGTGGCCTTGGCGAGGGTGGGGTGCGCGACGGTGGGCGCGAACAGGAGAGCGAGGAGCGGGGTGTAGCGGTACTGCTCCAGGTCGCCCCTCTCCGGCACCCTGCGCGTGCCCGGGAAGTGCGAATCGCCGTTTTGTGTGTTGCGCGGGAATGGGGGTCGAGGGTCCGCGATATGGAGCAAAGATACGGGGGTGTTGATGAGCCGCACCAGGTGTACGGGCTCCCGCCCTTCGCGACGTGGCGTGCACCGTCCATGATGACGTCAAAGTCGATGTCCGTGTATCGGACATCGAGCGTGGCGTCCTGCACGCGCACAGAGGCAGAAGGGGGCTGGTGAGCTCGTTCCCACCGCACGCACCAGATGTTCGCTGCCCCAGCGGCATGCTTCGGACCTGCCATGCACATACGAGCAGGAGAACCGCGCGCAGCAGCGCGCCAGCGACGAGCACGCGGGTGACCGTCAGGCTGCTGGTCAGCTCCGTCAACCGCCGCCATCGATGCCGCGCTTGCTCTGTGCTACTTCGTGTCCTGGGGCGCGACATCGGTTCCGCACGATACTGTCGCCTGCTATGTGTTCGGCGCCAGGCGCCGCTGTCTAGCCCGACCTAAGTGCAGCGGGCTGCAGGCTCCATGCTGCGTCGCGGGAGGGTCCAGGGCTGCCTACGACCGACCAAAATGAATGTGCACTATATGCCTGTTCCGGATGCGTGGAGCATCAGCACCGGACGATGGCACACTAACTGCGAAAGCGTCACTGCAGGTTGCTGAAGCAGGTGGATCTCTGTCGGTGTGAACGGTCGTAATGCTCCCTGCGCGAACGGGCTCGGACACCACAGCGTGTTGTCATGGTGCGACCTTCGCGCCGTGTTTGTGCCGCGATGCGGGGAACCGCCCAGGTGTAATTCATTAAGGCCTCCAGGGACTGCTCCCTGCGCCCGACCGCTACCCTTCAAGGTCAAGCGACGCCGTTCGGGGCAGCACACGACCTGTACGCATTCGCGCTCGATTCCTTGCGCGCACGTATCGCTCTGGCACGCTCGCCGTCCTCTGGCAGTTGATCCGGAACGCTGCGTGGGCGTGTGCGTGCGGAGGGCTTCGTCAGCCATGTGGCGGACAATCCTTGGATTCATGAGCGTGGAAGGGGCGTCGACGGTGGGCGCAGCGGCCGCCATCGCCGGCAGCACGGCGTTTGCGGGTGCACGGGCCAGTGACGCCCCGGGTGCGCTGCACGGCCGTTCGATCGCATCTTCGACGCACGAAAAGCGGCGCCCTGTATAGCTCTCGAAGTTCCAACTGCGTTCGGTGCGTTAATCCGCAGAAACGGAGCCCGGGGTGACCCGTGTGGGGTACTTCAGCGCGGGAGGGCTGGTGTTCAAGGACAACGTCGAGGTACTGGCGGTGCCGGACCCGAAGGTGAAGGGGGTGACGGTCTACCTGTCGTCGATGCAGCGGCCGCTGACCGACCGCATCAAGCGCCTGGATTGGTTTTCAGACCCCACGCAGACGTCGCTGGCGGTGGCGCTGACGGGGCCGATCTCGCTGGACGAGAACATCAGCTACGGGGAGGGCGGCGAGGAGGTCTTCTCGGCGAAGAAGAGCCTCCTGTTCAAGAGTCTGCGCGTGCGGCGCATTTACGACAAGACCAACAAAGCCCTGGTGTACGTGGCGTACTCCACGCGCCTCTCGCAGGACACGAACGAGCAGAACTCGCGCTTCCGAACCTCCGTCGCGGTGCTCCCGCTGCACCGGACCGTAGATGGACACCTGGGCAGTACGCACAGGCAGTGACGCACGCACACGACAACAACAACACAGCTCTGAAGCGCTCGGCGGCCCGCGCCCCCGCACAACGACGTCTCACAACGACCCGCTAGGCCATGCGCAGGATCCCCGCCCGCGCGAGCACGTTGACCTTGCGCATGATCTCCGGGTTGCCCAGGTGCTTTTGCGCCGACTTGGGGTCCTGCCCGAGGTCCTGCAGGACCTGCCGCATCACCGGGTCGCTCATGATGTTCTGGATCTCCGGGTTCGCCATCGCCTTCTCCTGCCGCCGCTTGAGCTCCTCCTCCCCGAGCTGCCCGCTGTTGACCATGGAGATCTGCCGGATGGTGCGGTGCATGCCCTCCTGCAGCTCCGCGTCGCCCTCGTCCACCGCGAGCCCCGCGCGGTACGTCTCGAGCGCCTCGTCGTAGTCCTTCATCAGGAAGAGCAGGTTGGCCTTCCGGATGTAGCCCTTGATGAAGCTCGGCGCCAGCTCGATGCACTTGTCCGCGTCCTTGAGGCCCTCGGACCACGCGCCGAGCTTGGTGTAGCACGCCGCGCGGTTGCTGAAGAGCTTGTGCGCCTCGTCGTTGTGCGACGGCGGCCCGCGCCGCAGCGCCTCGCTGTAGTGGTTGACCGCGGTCGGGAAGTCCTGCTGCTGGAACGCGGCGTTGCCCTTCTCCTTCTCCTCCCTGCACTTGTCCAGGTCCACGTACGCCTCCTCCGCCGCCGTCTTGATCGCGCGCTCGCACTCCTGCAGCTTCTTGAGCGCGTCGGCCGTGCGGTGCTCCGTCAGGGACTTGTTCAGCACCTCGCGCGCGTCCTCCATCCGCCCCGACCGCATCAGCGCCGTGCCCTTCCTCGCCAGCGCGCGCGCGATCAGCTTGTAGTCCGCGCGCAGCTCCCGCCCGCGCTGCACCGCCTCGTCGCTGTCGCGGATGCACGCCTCCAGGTCGCCCGTCTCGAGGTGCACCGCCGCGCGGTTCGTGAGGAAGCTCACGTCCGAGTCGTCCAGCTCCATCGCCTTGGTGTACAGCTCGACCGCCCGCGCGAACTCCCGCTTCTTGTAGCACGCGTTGCCCTCCTCCTTCAGCCCCTGCGCCTCCTGCCGCCGCTTCTTCGCCTCCTTCTGCTCCGGCGTCATGCTCTCCTCCTCCCGCCGCAGCCGCTCCTCCTCCTCCCGCCGCGCCTTCTCCGCGGCCTCCGCCTCCCGCCGCTTGCGCTCCTCCGCCAACTTGGCGTCTCGCTCCGCCTCCTGCCGCATCACGTCCTCCTGCGACATCAGCTTCACGCCCAGGACCTCCTCCAGCACCACGCGCACGCGCGGGTCCGCCGCGTGCTTCGAGAGCGTCTCCGGCTGGTTCTGCACCTCGCGCAGCTTGTCCAGGAAATCCGGCTGCTGCAAAAACGGCCGCGTCTTCGGGTTCGTCACCAGCAGCGCCATCATGTTCGGGTCGCTCAGCATCGCCGCCACGGGCGCCAGGCCGGACTCGTCGCGCGGCGCCGACGCGCCCGCCATGGTCACGCGCAGTTTGATGGCCCGCGACAGGTCCGCCGCCGCCTCCTTCAGCTGCGCGTTCTCCGGGTCCACCTCCAGGCCCTGCGCGTACGCCGCGGCCGCGTCGGCGAGCTTCCCGAGCCCGTGCAGGGCTGCCCCGAGCCGCGAGAAGCCTTTGGCCCACGTCGGGTTCAGCTCCGTGCACTTCCGGGCGTCCGCCAGGGCGTCGTCCCACCTCTTGAGCGCTGCGTTGGACGCCGACCTGCGGTCCACGTCCGGGGGCAGCGCGCGGCGGGGCCGTCAGGGTCCGCGAGGGCGAGGGCGCGCGCCTGGACCAGTGTCTGGAGCGCGGGCGAGGGACGCGGGCTCTGGGCGGGGGCGTGCGGAGAGAGGACCTGGCGGCGGCGGCTGCGGGTGCGGCTGTGCGGTGGCGTTGTCGCGCGGAAATGCGGGGGCCCGGGCGGCGTGGGGTGTGCGCGGCGCGCGGCGTGGTGGCCGCCAAGAGCGCGAGGAGGACTCGCCTGTTGGAGTACAGGACGTGGTTGCTGGGCGCTACATCGATGGCCTGCGAGAACCACTTGATGGCCTCCTCATGCTGCCCAGCTGAGAAGGCTGCGTTGCCTTTCGCCTGCAAACAGGTCGCGACGAGGCCCGAGCGCACTGTGAGACGCTCTCCTCGCGTCGAAAGTGCGGTACGACGAACGTGTTATCCGAAAGTCCCGTGATTGAACTCGTAGCAGTCATCCACGGTGCTCGGCCGCCGGCCTCGAGCGGTACGCGGTCCGGCCCAGCGCCCTCGTTCTAGACAGTTTCGGCACGCTCCCTGGCGCCAAGCGAGCAGCGACATGTAGGACCTTTGCTGGCCATGAGATCGAACAGCCATTTTTCAGCGGCGGTACTGCGCGTGCGCGCAGCAGCAGCAGTTGGCGTGGCCTCCGCGGCGCTGCAGCAACCGACTCGGCCATCAGGAGGCGCGGAGCGCTCACCTTCAGCTCGTCCGCAGACATGGTGACGGACAGGACACCCACGCGCTCAAGCTGTGCACACGATTCTGCCCCGCGCGCGCCGTCCGGCGACCGCTCGTGCGGAGCAGCGGGGGGCGACCGTTCAACGCTGCCGACACCACCCACGCACGGGGGGGGTGTCGCCGGACCGCCCCGACCGGGCCCGGACGCGACCCCCGCAGCACCGCCCCAGCCGGGCACGCCGGCGGCGCGCGGTCTCGACGCGCGCGAGCGTCACAACCCAACCGCCCTCACGTGGCACACACGACAGCCCGCCCGGCGTCAGGCCCCGGCGCCCCGCACCGTCCGGTTCGTCATCCACCCCTCGAGCGCCGTCTTGATCGCCGCCGTCATCTCCTCGCTCGGCATCTCCTCCGCGGCCTTGCAGTAGGCCGGGTCGCCCAGGATGCGGTGCAGCGCCACCAGCGCGCTCGGGGGGCGCGCGTTCGGCGGCGTGACGGGCGTCCCCGCGGCCGGCGAGGCCCCCGTCGCGCGCGGCCCGGACCGCGGCGTCGCGGGCGTCGCGCGGATCCGCTGCGTCAGGCTGTCGAACTGCCCGCGCAGCTCCTCCAGGCGCTCCACCGACTGCCGCCGCAGCTTCTCCTTGGCCTCCAGCCGCTTCTTCAGCTCCGCGTTCTCCCGCTCCAGCGCCTCGCACCGCTCCCGCACGTCGCCCTCGCCCCCCGCCGAGCCCTGCGGCCCCTCGCCCTTGCTCGCCGCGGCCCCGCCCTCCCGCGCGCGCACGTTCGCCAGCGACTCCAGCTCGCTCAGGCTGAACCGGCTGCCATCGATCGTCACGCCGAGGTGCACGCACCCGTCCGGCACCGTCTGCCCGTCCAGGGGGGCTATGGAGTAGAACCGGAGAGCCGACGCCACCACGCCGAACGCCTGCTGACACCGCCGCCGGACCTCCAGCATCAGCTGCTGCGCCGTCGCGCTCGAAGCCTCGTCCTCGGCGGCCTGCGAACGAGGGCGCGGGGGCGAGTGAGGCCCGGGCCGCAGCACTGACAACCCACACATCCGCACACACGCACGTGCGCAGGGCAGGGCTGGCTCGCGCCCGGTCGGCCGCGGTGCGCCCGGCGGCCGGGCGCGCACCTGGATCGCGGGGGACAGCAGGTCGATCCGCGGGACGGAGACGGCGGGCGCCGCGGCTGCTGCGGCGGGTGCGCGGCGGTCCTCCCCTAGGTTGAGCGGCGGGACCTTGAACGACGAGCTCTTCGTGACGCCGCCCTCCGCGGAGGCAGCGGGGCCCTTCCCGAGCTGCAGGCGCGGCACGGCGGGCGGCCCCGCGGCCTTTGCGTTGATGCGCGGGGACTGGGAGGGCACGGGCGCGTCGCCCACGGGGAGGTGCGTGCGCGCCGTGACGATCTTGATGGGGTCGCCGTCCTCGGAGGACTCGTACGAGCTGGAGCTGGACTCCGACGACGCATCTGCGGGCGCGGGGGCGGACATGCGCCCGGTGATGGTTGCTCGAGGACGCGAGCAGGGCGCGCGGCGGGAGCGCTGGCCGTTCGGCGCCGCGCGGTGCGGGGCTCGCGGCGTTCCATGACGTGCCCCGTCGCCTGGCTCGCGCACTCGGCGCAGGGAAGGCCGAAACGGTGCCCTGTTGCCCCCGAATGTTGCGTGGGCCGGGATTCCGTGGAACGTTGAGGGTTCTCGGCCGTCTCGTCCACGCGCAAGCGTGGAAGGATGCGACAAGGAGCACCCGACGGCCTCTATCCGCGCCAGGGAAGGTCGGGGCGTGCGAACGCACCTGTGGAGCTGTAACCTGCCGAAGGCGTTTGTTTTGCAGCGCCTGTTGCGCCCGACATCGCGCCAACTGACTAATTCTAACTCTTCGCCGGCCTTCGCAATGCACCTATCCGCCCCGTGCGCCCCCTGAGCGACTCGTTGGGCCGCGTTCCAACCCGCAGGGCCGGTTCCCGCGTAGCCCGCGCACAGGAGGCTCGACCGCGCGCGTTTCCCGCGGCCCTGCTGCCTCGCGCCGCAGCGGCGCGCGCGCGTCTTCGGGCCTTGTTCTCAGCTGGTGCGCGGGCAATTGAAGGGACGACTCGGGACTGCGCGCACGTGGCGGGAGCTTGTTTTCAGATGAGTGCACGCTCGCGGCGTGCTGCGGGGGCGAACGGGGACGAGGCCGGCGGCGGAGGGATGCCGCGAGCCCGTGTCGTCTCGGGGCGGCGCGCGCGCCCTCCCCGCGACCGGGAACACCGATAACGGCCGCATACGTGTCGCGCGGGTCTGTACCTGCAGCAGAGAAGCGCCGCGGCGGTCCGTTGACTCTGCGGGCAGGCGCGTACCGCGGCGGCGGAGCTCAGCTGCCTGTTGTGCGCGGGCGGGCCCCGGCGCCAGCCGTGCGTGGTCGAGTCGGGTCCAATGACTAGTACTCCCCAAACACGCCCCTTTTCGCGTCCTGGGGCGCTCGAGCGTCCATGCGAGCGCGTCGAGTCGCCGTTTTAAACGGACTCGGGCGGCAGGATGGTCGGCGTCCTATAGCATTGCGTCACGAGCTGCAACGAGCTGCCGCGGCCCTCCTGAACTAGTAGTAGCGCTCGGGGGACGGGGGGGTGCGTTGACCGAGGAGGGACATGCACGCGCCTCGCCTGCTGCCCCTGAAGCAGCTGCTGTCCGGGAACGTCGCGGGCGCGAAGGATGAGGCCCTGCGGGAAGTCTCGTCTCACAGAAACTCCCTGGCAGAGGCCATGGTGCGCGAGATCGCTACGGCACAGGTGCGCTGCCCTCTCAAGTCGCTCCAGATCTGTGCACGCGGCGGGAGAGCATGCGCACGCGGCGAATCGGCGCTGCGAGCGCGCTTGCTGGTTGCGCGCTCACCTGAGGCAGCCGCTCGCTGCTCAGGGTGGGATCTCGCCTGGGATTCGATCGTGAGGGGGCACGTTCCGCGCAATCTGGCGCTGAAGCGCGCACCATCGCCCCGTGATTCGAGGATCCGCCGCAAATATGGCTAGGCTGTTTGTTGGGACATTCTCTGCCTCGAACTGCCGTCCTCCACGCATGCCGACTTCCCGCAGGACCAGTCCGGGGAGCTCGAGTTGTCCCTGACGTCTCTGAACTGGCTCGCCGACCAGTTGGACCGCTACCTGGTCGCCCTGAGCGCCGTGGAGGGCGTCGCGTCCACCGCGGGCCTCTTTCCGTCCCCGGGCTGGCGCGGGGCCTTCCATCCGCGCTCCCGGCACACGTCCCAGGCGCTGGCGACCGAGAGGGCCGTCGCGCTGTACAACCTCGCCGTGGTCAAGCAGAGGATCGGCGTGCTGCTCAGCTGCGGGGCGCCCGAGGCCGGAGTGCGCGGGGCGCCCGAGGCCGGAGTGCGCGTCATGGGGCGCGGCGACGTCATCCAGGGCTGCCAGACCCTCCAGGAAGCAGCGGGCCTCCTGCGCACCTGCCGCGAGGTCAGCGCGGAGGCCGCAGGCGGCGCGGTCGACCCGGACATCTCGGATGACATCCTGCGGTGCGATGCCCACACAGGCCGCGATGCCGACGGAAGAACGGGGCCGCGCGAGACAATGCGCCGCCGACACGCACCGCGGTTCCTCGCTGCGTCCGCAGGTTCGCGGAATGCGTTGTGTTGGGCCAGGCGGCGAGCTGCTGCTTCCACAAGGCAGTGGCGGACGGGAGGACGTCCGGACCGGCGTGCGCGGCGCTGGCGCAGCACGCCGCGGACCTGTACGCGAGCGCGGGCGCCGCTGCGGCGAGCGCGAGAAAGCCGTCCGTGGGGGCGTCCTGGGCGGCGCAGGCGGCCGTGCACGCTGCGCTGTTCGAGGCCCGCGCCGAGATGAGCGACGGCCAGCACCTGCTCGAGCACGGCGGGGCCGGCGCGGCCGTGACGCGGCTGTCCAGGGCCGTGCTCGCCGTCGACGGCGCGCTGGAGCGCACGAAGGACATCCCGCACGTCGACGGCGGCGACATGCTGCGCGCCACGCTGCAGCGGCTCCGGGGCGAGGTGGCGGCGCTCGCGTCGAAGGCGGAGCGCGAGAACGCGCAGGTGTACTGCCAGCCGGTGCCGCACCTGCCGAAGCTGCGCGCGGCGACGCTGGTGCGCGCCATGCCGCCCGCGGCTGGGCGCTGGGAGCACAAGGCGCGCATGCTGCCGCAGGGCCGCCTCCTGCCCGCGCACGGGGAGGGCTCGCAGCGCCTGAGCGAGCTCTCGCAGAGCATGACGCGCCCGTCCGTGGGCAGCATGGACGTCGGGTCGCCCGCGACGCCGGCACGGCAGGGCCACGGGCGCGCGCCGTCGCTGCCGTCGGTGCTCAGCGGCGAGCTGCGCGCCGGCGCGGGGCCGTCCCCGCACCAGCGGCCCACCTACCCGCAGCTCACGCCCTGCACGCCCGACCCCGAGAGCGTGCGCGTGACGGCCCCCGCAGCACCAGGGAGCGAACACCACATGCTCCCGCAGGCCCCGGGCGCCTCGGCACCGGAGGACATGGACGAGGACGTCGACGCCGCGTCGCCGCCGTTCGTCAACCCCCCCCTGTGCAGCGAGCACGGCTTCGGCACGACCTGCATCGATCCCGCGGCGACGGCGGCGCCTCCGCGGCCGCCCGACCCGCCGGAGCCGCGCGGGGGCGCCGCGCTGTACCCCGCGCTGCCGGACCTCGCGGCGTCGCTGTGGTCGTCGCGGGACCCCGCGGGGAACGGCATGTACGCGGAGATCGGGCCGCAGGGCGAGGTGGCGTTGCTGGCGGACGGATACCCGGTGCCGGGCGGGCGGCCGCCGCCGCAGGTGGTCCAGGTGGGGCGCGCGGACAGCGGGAGCGGGCCCGCGGGGGCGGGGGCGCGGCAGGGCATCGGGTCGAAGCTCCGGGGGGTGTTGCTGGGCAGGATTGGGTCGGGGCGCAAGGCGGGGAAGCGCGGGTGGGAGGAGTCGACGAGCGCGCCGACGCTGCGTCCGCTGCCGCACCGCGGCACGTTCGGCGCCTTCCAGGAGATCCGTTTCGAGGACATCACGCGCGAGAAGTGTCTCGGGCGCGGGGCGTACGGCGAGGTGTGGTCGGCGCGGTGGCGGCCGCGGCCGGACGCGGAGGAGATGACGGTGGCGGTCAAGCTGATGCACTTCGACATGGCGCAGATCATGGAGCAGCGCGGGCCGGGCGCGGACGACGACCGCGAGAAGGAGCTGTCCGCGCTGCGCAACGAGCTGCAGCTGCTGGCACAGGTGCGCCCCGCGACACCCGCCGACGCGCGGCGCGCTCCCGCCCGCTTCGCTGCGTGTGCACAGCGACGCGCGCGGCCCGCGTGCCCGCAGATGGACCACCCGCGCATCGTGCGGTGCTACGGCGGCGCGCTGCACCCCAAGCCGTTCATGGTGATGGAGCTCGCGCGCGGGGGGTCGCTGGACGAGCGGCTGCACGGGCGGCACCGCGCGTCCCGCGCGCTCCCGCTCGAGCAGGCGCTGGTCATCGTGCGCGACATCGCGGAGGCGCTGGCGTACCTGCACCCTGGCGGCGTCATCCACCGCGACCTGAAGCCGCACAACATCCTGCTCGAGGAGGACGGGCGCGCGAAGCTGGCGGACTTCGGCATCGCGCGCATCCGCGACCCGGACGCCACGCAGACGGGCATGGTCCTGTCGAAGAACGACGGCACGCCCTACTACATGGCGCCCGAGGTGCTGCAGGCGGGGCGGATCAACGCGAAGTGCGACGTGTACTCGCTCGGCATCGTCGCGTGGGAGTGCCTCAGCGGGGAGCGGCCGTGGCGGTCCCTCGACCAGGTGTTCCAGGTGGTGTGGAAGGTGTGCATGACGCACGAGCGGCCGCCCATGCCGGGCGGCGTGCCGCTCGCCGTGCGCAGGCTGATCGAGGCGTGCTGGGCGCCGGAGCCGGCGGAGCGCCCGACGTGCGCGGAGCTGGTCCGGCAGATCGACGCGCTGCTGGCAGGGGACGCAGGGGTCCTGCGGGGCCAGTTGTGACTGCATGTGACGCTGCGGCCGGGCGAGGCGCAGGGGCAGGGAGCTGCTGCATGCCCTCGGCCAGGCCCTGCGCCAGGTCACCAAACACTCATCCATGTGCGTCATGGTGCCGTTGTGTCGGACGCGACAGACGCAGCCCACGTCCACGGTGGGCGTGGCCAGGCCTCGCCGCACCGGGCCTCGTTGCCTTCGCGCCGCCCTCGTTGCGAGCATATCGTTGCGCGACCGCTCGGGACGCGACGTAGGACGTTGGAACTTCGCGTTTGCCGGCCGTGCTCCTGCTGGCCAGCACAGGCGGCCACTCAGAAGCTGCAGGTGCAGCGCGGGCGTGCTTCTCGCGTTGTCATGACGCCTGAGGACCAGGCCATGGCAGACGCCGGCCCGGGCGCGAACGGCGCGAGCCCTGGGCCCGGGGGCGAGCAGGCAGCCGGCAAGGAGGGTGGGAAGGCCGAGGACGCGGCGCACGCGGACGACAGGGGGCGCAGGTACGCACGGCACAGACGCAGGGACGATTCATCGTCCAATTCTATCCCGAATGAACGCTATCTGCGAGCGTGCCGACGAGCAGGCGCGATGCTGCACACCGCTCACTTTGGGCCGCTCACACCCGCGAAAGCGGGAGCGGCGACGCGGACTGGGCGCACGCGTCGTCAGTACGTGAAGCAGTCGTGCGCCGCCAGCGCTCGCGGTCATGCTTCTGCGCCCGCAAGCCAGCGAGGTCGACGCAGAGGAAGATGCTTGCCGTCCCGCTTGATGTGCTTCGCAGCAAGTCCGAGGACGGACGTGGCGATGCGAGGGGCGACAAGGACGAGGGCAGACGGGGCGATCGGCGGGACGGGCGGCGCAGCAGGGAGCGCAGCCGCGATCGCGGGGGCAGCAGAAGCGACCGGCGGAGGAGCCGGGACCGCGAACGGGACAGAGACAGGGGCAGGGACAGGGACTCGCGCCGCAGGAGTCGCGACCGTAGCAGGGGGCGGGATCGCAGCCCGAGCCGGCGCCACAGGGGCCGTTCCCGCTCCCCGAGGGACCGGCGTTACTCCCGAGACAGGTGCGCGGCCGCCTGCACCGCCCGCGGCGCGCCAGTCCGCCTGACGGCGCCCCACCGCGCCCCACAGCGCATGTCTCCACCGCGCGACCGCGGTCGTTTCGCCCGCGCGTCCCCTGCAGGCACGGTTCGGCCCACCGGCACCACCGGCGCAACACGCCCGAGGTGCGCGACCGGTACGCGCCGCGGTCCCCGGTCCGCCCCCGCCGGCGCACGCCCCCGGCGCCGATCTCCGAGGCGGAGGCCGCGGAGAAGGCGCGCGTCGCGGAGCTGGAGCGGCTCCAGCGCGAGGCGTGCACCATCAACATCTTCAACCTGGCGGTCCGCGCGGACGAGCGCGACGTGTGGCAGTTCTTCTGCCAGGCCGGGACGGTCAAGGACGTGCGCATCATCCGCGACAAGTCGTCCGGGCGCTCGAAGGGCGTCGCGTACGTCGAGCTCGCGTCGCAGCAGGAGTGCCAGCGCGCGCTGATGCTCAACGGATACCCCATCTGCGGCCAGCCCGTGATGATCAAGCCGTCCGAGGCCGAGAAGAACCTGCAGTGGGAGCTCGAGCAGCAGGCCAAGGCGGGCCTCCTCCCGCCGGGCATGGAGGCGCTGCTCACGCCCGCCGAGCCGGAGAAGGCCGCGCCGACGGCGCCGGCCGCGCCCAAGGTCAACGCGATCAAGCTGTACGTGGGCAACGTGCACCCGGCGTGTGGCGCGGAGGAGGTGCGGGCGCTGTTCAGCCCGTTCGGCGACGTGGTGGAGGTGGAGATCCAGAAGATGACGGAGAAGGCCAACGCCGCGCTGGTGACGTACCGGTACGAGCCGGACGGCAAGCGCGCGCACGTGCAACTGCAGAACTTCGAGCTCCTCGAGCGCAGGCTCAGCATCCGGATCTACGGCGTCCTGCCGCCCATCCCGCCGCCGGAGCAGCAGGCCGGCGCGGTCGCCGCCGGCGCGGTCGCGCAGCCGGCCGCGGGGCCGCCGGCGCAGGGCGGCGCGGAGGAGAGCCTCGCGCAGGAGGAGGGCGCGCGCGGCGGGCTGCCGCTGTCGACGGACCGCAAGACGGCGCTGATGCACACGCTGGCGGAGCGCGCGGGCATCAGCCACCTCATCCCCGAGGCCGGCGCGCAGGGCACCGCGACGGTCACCGTCCCCGCGCGCGTGCCGGCCGGCGGCGACGCCATGGCCCTCGAGCAGGGCGTGCTGGGGCCTGCGTCGCCGATCCCGACCCCGTGCCTGCTCCTGAAGAACCTGTTTGACCCCGCAGAGGAGGAGGGCGACGAGTGGGACGTGGAGATCGCCGAGGACGTCAAGGACCGCTGCCAGCACGAGTTCGGACCCGTCCTCCACCACTGGGTGCGCGCCCACACCCGCACCCGTCGCGCAACACGCTGCTCGCGCCGAGCCACGCGCCCGCGCTGACCGCCGCCGCCGCCCCGCCGTGCCCGCGCTTGCAGCTCGACCGGCAGTCGAAGGGGTTCATGTATTTGAAGTTCGGGGACGTCGGGCAGGCCAAGCGGTGCAAGGAGACGCTGCAGGGGACCTTCTTCAACCGGCGGACGATCTACGCGGAGTACTGCTTCGCGCAGGTGTACAACCAGCACTTCGCCGCGTGAGGCGGGCGGGCGGCGCGGGGGGGCGGCGCGCGCGGGCGGCGCGGGCGGGCGGCGAGACGCGGCAGACCCCGACCTCTGTGCTGCGTGTCATGCCAGCGCGCCGATGGGCGCGGCCCCGCGCAGCACCAACGGGGTGTCGAAGAAGGAGGCCGTGAATGGTTCGCGCAGGCTGTCGGAGGCTGACGAGCAGCGTTGTTCGCGTGCGGCCGAGAACGGGCTTGAGTCCACGGGCAGTCGGCGGTGGGCGAAGACGGACGAGGCAGCGAGCGCCGAGGCAGCATGCGTTGGACGCCGATCTCGCTGCGCATGGTGCCGTCTGTCGATCGCGTGAGCATTGACGCCTCAACCCTGTGCTCCACCGCAGATGGCTTCTGGTGCCGGGGCTGAGCGGCAGCGCTCGCGCATCTGGGTTCCCGCATCGCCGGCGCTCGGTGAGCATGGCTGTGACTGGGCGCGTGTAGTGCAGCCTGTTCGCGTCGCACGGACTCGCCTGTGTGCAAATTGTGCCACGCGTGACACCGCGGCTCACTCGAAGACACTGTCGAGCGGCGCGGCCCGTTGACGGTGTACGCAGTGGGCGGTGCTGCCGCTCCGGGCCGTTGGCTCTTCTTTTTGCGGACATAGCAGGCTCAGCATGGGGTAGTGAGAGTTGTACTCAACCGGGGGGGTCCGCAGCGACGGGGCTATTCGACGCGAGGTGGCAGCGCCCGTCGCACACATCAAATACGCCGATCAGGTAGCGCACGAAGAGGCGGATGAGCTGCAGATCACGGCAGGAAACGGCCATGAGACGCGGCGCTTGCCGGTGAACGGAAAGTCCGCGCCCAGAGCACCATGGACGATTTTGAACTGAGCGCCGACGATTTCGCCAGCATTGACAATGTCGTCAATGCGCACATCTCTGGGCCAGGAGCTCCAGGGGCTCGCAGGCCCCCGATGACGGCAGCATGCACAGCAGGCGCTCCCCCGGGGCAGCCCGCCGGCGCTTTCCGGCCCTCGCAGCCGTATCCCGGCTACGGAGCGCAGAGTGTACCGCATCATGCCCCAGCTCACGCGGGTCACGGGCGTCCACCGCCAGTATCGTCCACGGGCGCTGGCCCGAGTGCTAGGTACCCACCCCAGCGCCCGGTGGCTCCAGCTGCGCCGCCGTGGGGCACGAGCCAGGGCGCAATCCGGCCAGGTTTTGAAAATCGCGCCCCGAACCCCACACAGGCGGCCGCTCCTCGACCAACCTGGCAGCGTCCGTTCCCGCCAACCCTGGCCACCGGGCACGGTGCGAGTCCACCGTCACTGGCGACCGGCGGCGGCGTCGCCACGGCACCGCGGCCGTTCGCCGCGCGGCCCCATGCCGGGGGCGTGGCGAGACCCCCTGCGCCACACGCGCCCCCGAGACCGGCGACGGGCTCCCAAGCAGGTGTTGCCGCGCACGCACCCACCACGTCGCCGTCACGGAGGCCCCCGGCGTTCAGGAACCCCGTCATCGAGGAGCTCGAGCGGCGGCGCCGCGAGGGGTCCGCCGTGCAGTCGTCGGCGAACGGCGGCGCCGGCCCCGCCAGGACCGCGACGGGCCCCATCCAGCACCAGCACGGCGGCGTCGCAGCGGCCGGAGCGCGCCCGGCGCCGGCAGCCCCGGGCGGGAGGATACACGCGTACGACGCGGCGCCGGAGCGGCAGCCTGCGCCGGTGTTCGGCGCGGCGGCACGGCAGCACCAGAACGGCGCGACCGCCGCAGTGCCCTGTGCACAGCCCGCTCACCCCGCACCGAGCGGCCTCGTGCCGGGGCAGGGCCCGGTCCTGTCGGTGGCGATGAAGCTGCTCAAGGGCGGCAGGTTCGGGCTGCAGTGCGGGTTCAACCAGGCGGTGTCGGACGCGTGCAGGCGTCTCGGGGGGCGGTTCGAGCAGGGGCCGGGCAAGGGCCGGGCCGCGGGGAAGCTGTGGACGTTCGAGCTCGTGGCGCGCGCGGAGGTCGAGCGGGCGCTGCAGGAGGTGCCGGGGGTCCGCGTGGACCTCGTGGGGCTGCACCCGCTGCCGCTGCGCATGTTGGAGGAGATCGGGGAGCGCACGGACGACTCGGAGCGGTGGAGCGAGGTGCCGGAGTCGATCCGGTCGAAGATGTACGACTTCCAGATCGAGGGCGTGAAGTTCGCGCTGCGTCAGGGCGGCAGGGTGCTGTTCGGGGATGAGATGGGCCTCGGGAAGAGCGTGCAGGCGTGCGCGACGCTCGCCGCGTACAGGTGCGTGCCAGGACCGGTGCGGGTGAGGTGCGCGCGCGGGACGCCGCGCCAACGTGCTCGCGCGGGGCTGCGCCTGCCCACCACGGCACGCTGTTGTTGTCGTTGTTGTTGTGCAGGGACGAGTGGCCGGCGCTGATCATCACGCCGACGTCGCTGCGCGACCAGTGGGTGGAGTCGCTCGAGCAGTGGCTGCACGTCCCCGCGCGCGAGGTCGTCGCGCTGTCGGCGTCGCGGGACGTCGCGCAGATCGCCAGCGCCCACGCGCGCTTCGTGGTGGTCAGCTACGACCTGCTGTCGAAGGAGAGCAAGGCGATGCTGCAGCAGGGGTTCCGCGTCGTGGTGTGCGACGAGGCGCACATGATCAAGTCGCCCACCGCCAAGCGCACGCAGGCCGCGCTGCCCATCCTGCGCAAGGCCAACCGCGTAATCCTGCTCTCCGGCACGCCCACGACGAACCGGCCCATCGAGCTGTACCCGCAGCTCCAGGCGCTGCTCCCGAAGTCCGTGCGGTCGAAGGAGGAGTACGGCGAGCGGTACTGCGCGGGCGGCCGGTTCGGGACCTTCACCGGCGCGTCCCACTCGGACGAACTGCACGCCATCCTGGTGGCGGGCGTCATGATCCGCCGGCTCAAGGAGGACGTCACGAAAGACCTGCCGCCGAAGGTCCGCAGGACCGGTGAGCGACCCCCGCACGCCCCACGGAACCGCACGAGACGCCGTTCAAACACTGCAACATGCGGCAGCCGGCAACTGCGCACGAGCGCGCCCGCGCCGCGCGACGTCCCCGCCACGCGCCTCCCCGACGCGTGCAGTCGAGCTCCGCGTGTCCGACCGCGACATGGCGCCGCTGTATCCCGTGTGGTCGCAACTCGAGGCGGTGGGCGCGCGCCTCAAGGAGATCCAGGCGCGGCGCGGGGTGAGCGCGCGGGAGGACGCGACGGGCCTGGAGATGGAGCAGAAGCGCATCATGAACCAGCTGTACGACATGAGCGCCACGGCGAAGGTCGCGGCCGTCCAGCAGCACCTGGCCTCCCTCCTGGCCGCCAAGCGCAAGTTCATCGTGTTCGCGCACCACCAGACGCTCCTGAACGGCTGCGAGGCCGCGTGCCGCCGCGCGGGCGCGGACTTCATCCGCATCGACGGCCAGACGCCCGCGGACGACCGCGCCGAGAAGGTCCGGCGGTTCCAGGCGGACGCCAACGTGCGTGTCGCCGTGCTGTCCATCCGCGCGGCCGGCGCCGGCATCACGCTCACCGCGGCCGCGCTCGCGGTGTTCGCGGAGCTCTCGTGGACCCCCGGCGAGCACCGGCAGGCCGAGGACCGCGTGCACCGCATCGGTCAGACGCGGCCGGTCGAGGCCTCCTACCTGCTCGCGCCCAAGACCATCGACGACATCATCTGGGAGACGCTGCAGACGAAGCTCGGCAAGGTCGGCCTCGTGCTTGACGGAGCGTCGAACGGCCTGCGCGTCGAGGGACGCGGGTTTCAGGGTGACGCCAGGCAACAGTCCCTGCAGGGGTTCCTCGTCCCGTCAGGGAGCCAGCCCGCGGCGAGCCAGCCCGCGGCCAGCCAGCCCGCGGCGAGCCAGCCGGTGCGCCGCGTGGCCGGGCCGGCCGAGGTGGGGCAGTGGACGTGCGGCCCGTGCGGCACGCGGTGCGGGGAGGATTCGAGCAGCTTCACGCAGTGCCGCGTGTGCAGCGCCCTGCGGCCTGGGCACTGGCAGTGCAACGCTTGCACGCTGATCAACGGACCGGGCGGGACGCTCTGCCGCGCGTGTGGCACTGCAGACTCGCCTCCCGCCAAGAAGGCGCGCGTCGGGCCGCCGCAGTGAGACCCGGCGCCTGAGAGTGTCACACCGCGGCTGCGCGTGCGCGCGTGTATGTGATTATCGCGCTGGTGTCCGTGCGAGCGCGTCCGCTCGCGTCACTGCGCCGCCGCAGCGCTGTTGTCCTGGCTGCGCTTGGCCTTGGGGTCCACGCCGGTGATGGGGCACTTCACGCCCATGATCATGCATCCAATGTGCACCGCCATCTTCGCCCGGTCCGCCGCGGCACCCATCGAGTCCAGGGCCGGCCTCGCGTCGATCCTGCGAACACACAACACACACAGTGCGCGGCGTCTTCAGCCCCGCCCTCCGGCAGCCCTGTCCAGCAGCACGCACGGTGCGCGGGGCGGCACTTACACGAACGCGTCGTGCGCGGGGCGGTTCTCGTCGTAGTAGAAGTCGATGACGTAGCGCACGTGCTCCCCGCACCGGTCGACGATCCAGTCGTGCCGGTCGAACGGCGCCTCCTGCCGCAGGACCGTGCTCTTGAACCACGCCTTGGGCGACAGCTTGTCCGGCCGCCCGAGGAAGCGCAGCAGCTTGGGGCCCTGGCAGTGGTCGGCGTGCAGCGACTCCCACTGCAGGACCTTGCGCCACGTGGCCTCGTTCAGCGTGTTGTGCGCCGCGACCATGACGTCGACGTCCGTCTCCACCACGTCGTCGCCCTTGCCCTTGCGCTTCAGCGCGTTGAAGAACATCTGCGACGACGGGTACGTCCACGTGCCCTCCGTGCCGCCCTTGGGGATCGTCGACTGCTCGCGGGCCGTGGGGAGCGGGACGCGCTGGCCTGGCGCTATGCTCTGGTTGGGCTCTGCGGGTGGGACCGCGGCCGGAAGGGGCTGTGAGCGCTGCGTGGTGTGTCAAAGCGGGTGTCACCGGCGAGGAGGCTGTGCCGCGAGGACAGTGCGCGCGAACGTGTCCGCACCGACTGGCATCATGTTGTTCGGGTCCAGGCGGTTCATGTCGCCGAACACGCGGGCGAGCGGGTCCTGGGACGAGCCTTGGTCGATGCGCTGACTGTACACGTTGAACACAGCACCTGCACGCACGAGACGCGGGGGCAAGGGTCACCGCACGCACACGGACGCCACGAGGTCTGCCGTCGCGCGGAAGACCGAGGTGAGGAAGCTGCGCGCTGGCCGCGTGTGTGCTGATGTCTCGGCATCAGGTGCCTCGCGTGCTGTTGGTCGTGGTGCAAAACAATCCTCTGTTCGACCCCCGCTGCGATGCATTAAACGCATTCGTTCGCCAGGGGAGGTTTGACGGCACTCTCGCGCCCGCGTGCGGCGCCCAGGGGCGCACCAGAGGAGCTGCCCTGTCCGGCCATGGGGCACTTCGCGCTCGACTGCGCCTCCTCGCTCCCACCCCCTGCGCCGCGGTGCTGGCCCGGCATAGTTACAGACAGCTCGCACGGGGACGGCGTCGTGCGACGCCGCGGGGCCAACGCGGGCGGCTGTGCAAGCGCCGTGAGAGGCTGCAGTCCACCGCCGCACCTGACGCCGCCATGGCGGCCCGACCGCCCTCGCACGGGGGAAGGCCACGATTCTGTGAATCTGCCGAGCCCTGTGCAGTTGACTGACTGCTGCCCATCTCGCCTGCTCCCCGGTAACGCCGGAACCCTGCGCGACGAGCTGCAGTACGTGTGCCGTGTCCTTCACCGAGGGCGCCGTGACTCAGCAAGAGCGGGCCAGTGGTACACCCGAGAACTGGGCGCGCAGCGCGAGGCGCCCGGCCTCATGATGGCACGTCTCCAGCGAGCGGCCCGCTGGTCAGCCCTGCTTCAGGCGGGATGTCTTCCGTCGCCCGCGGCCGGCATCTATGGACGACCGACGCCGTGCGATCCAGCAGAGGCACCCCACCTGCGTGCATGTGTTGTCACGAGAGGGCCAGAGATGCGTCTCACGTCGCCTACAGCTAGGCTGTCGCGCGATGGCGCTCGCCCGCTGCATTGCGGGCGCTCGGCGGCGGTGGTCGCCCGCGCGCCCCTGGGCCAGCCGGCTGCGCCAGTCAGTGGCGCACGTCAAACATCGGGCCGCTGCGCGTCGCGATCGGCGTTGAGAGGTCCGCGCGTGGGGCCCTGCCAAGGAACGCGCTCGGCACGGGTCGTCACTGCGGCCGCTGCTCAGTGCGAGTTCAGCGGCATAGTGTTCGACATGGACGGCACGTTGACAGTCAGCAACATCGACTTCAAGACGATGCGCGAGGATGTAGCCATCCCCGAGGGGGACCTGTTTACTGTGATGGAGTCGTGGGACGACGAGGAGCGCATCGCGAAGGCGATGGAACGCATCCTGGAGCTCGAGGCCGAGGCGCAGGGCACGCTGAAGGTGCGCGCCCGCACGGACACTTGGCCGCGCAAGGATGCTCTCATGCCCCGCGTTGCCAGCGCACCGAGTCTCATCCCCGCGCGCCCGCCGCCCTGTTCCGGCGCCGCAGCCCATGCCGGGCCTGGAGGAGCTCCTGCGCTGGTGCAAGTCCTCGGGCCTCAAGGTGGCCGTGGTCACGCGCAACACCCCCACCGCGGTGGCCACCTTCCTGGCGCTGCTCCCCGACGACCTGCGCGACTGCTTCGACACGATCATCACGCGCCACCACCGCTGGGTCAAGCCGGACTACCGCCTCCTCGTCGGCCTCGCGGAGGAGTGGGGCGCCCCGCTCCCGGCCCTGCTCATGGTGGGGGACTCCACAGAGGACGTCGAGGTGGGCAACGCGGCGGGCACCGCGACGGCGCTCATCGCGGGGGGCGGCAACGAGGTCGGGGGCGCGCAGCCGCCGCCGGGGGCGATTCCGACCGTGCGCGTCGAGTCGCTGACCGACCTGTTGCAGCAGCTGCAGGAGGGGCGCATCGCGCAGGGCTGGGGCCGCCCGGGGACGCCCGAGGGCATGGCGAGCCTGTCCGCATCGATCGACGAGGACGGCCCGGAGGCCGCGGCGGGGGCTGCGCCCGGTGCGCCCGCGCCCGGCGTCGACTTTTTGGAGGCGCTGTACAACCGCGGCGCGATCCGGACGGCCGCGGCGAGCTTCCCGCGGATGGGCGCGGCGGCGGGCGGGCTGCAGGCGTCCGTGGACCAGGACGGCGACCGCGTGCTGCACCTCGCGTGCGGCGCGGGCCCGCTCACGAAGCTCCTTGCCAGTCAGGGGCTGGAGGCGGTCGGAGTGGACGCTGACGTGGCGGCGGCGACGAAGCGCGGGCTGTGCTGCGCGCAGTATGACGGCGAACCGCTGGGAGATCTTGCCCTGGAGGGTGCGATGCGCGTTGGTCCGTCGGCTGCGGGGGGGCCTGCGCCGGTTGATGCGGTGGTGCTGTATGCGGCGGCGGCGGACGTGCGCGGGCGTGAGTTGGCGGGGCTGCTCGTGAGCGGGGCTGGCGTGGCCGAGGTGGCGCGCGTGCTGGCGCCGGGCGGGACGCTGTGTCTGCAGGCGCCGTTGACGCGGGAGGAGGAGGCGGCGTTGGTGGGGGCGGTGGAGGGGCGCGGGCTGGAGGTGCGGCGGAGGGAGCGGGTGGGGGCGGCGGGCACGGAGCTGCGGCTGGTCGCGCAGGCCAGCGGGGGGGAGGTGCGCGGTGTCTGACGTGGTGGTTGTGACCAGTGTGAGGTCAGGCGGCCTGAGGCCCAGGGCCGCCCTCGCGACGCGCGGGGGCTTCCCCGGGCTGGTGACGGGCGGACGCTGGCCAGATCACGCGAGACGGGTCGTTGCAGGCCGGCTGGTCGTCGAATCGTCAAGGGGGACGCCCTCCCAGCCGGAGCAGCGCCTTGGACCAGGATGGACCTGTCGTACCGAGAGAGACCTTGCAATGCCGCCGTCTTGTTTCGCAGTAGAAGCAGTAGTAGTCGAACTCCGCACTGGCGACACCCCGCTCGCACAGCGTCCCATGCACGACGGCTCGTGCAAGCGGTGCCGGAAGCTCGAGCCCAGGCACGAGGCGTCGAAACCTCCTTCGTGACGCGTTTATAGCCGGGCTCCGCTCCCTGTTCGAGCGATCGCGACGAAGATGATGCTCCCTCGCCGCTGCAGGGACGCAAGCGCAAGGGCACTGAGCCCCGCGTGAAGGGGACGGTGGTGGAGCGGTCGGCGTTCGACGTCGCTGTGCTGGGGGACACGGCTGAGGCTTACTTATGTGCATATCGGCTCGCGAAGAGCGGCCGTGACGTCGTTATGATCGAGAGGCCGTTCCCAGGATGCCCACCAGACAGCTCCCTCGGGCCCTCACACCGATGCGTGCACATCCCGAACCTGGACCCGGTCCTGGCGCACCTCGGCCAAGAGGTACGGCGGCGCGAAATTCACATTGGCGCTCCGTCCCATCGGGCGACCACGAACGTGACGCCGGGACCTGCACTTGCAACCACTGCTGCATGTGTTCGCGTCACGCAGGCGCTGCCGGTCTGGAAGACGCTGACGTCCACCTCGAAGGCGATAGCCCGTGAGATCCCCTCCGTGGACATTGGCATGGGCAGCCCCCCGCTGGGCGGCTTCGGAGGAGCGCCCGGCGTGATGGGGGGCGTGGCGGAGGATCTCGGAGGCATCGAGGGGCTCATGGACGTCTGCACGACCGCGGGCGTGCCCGTCAGCCTGCTCACGCCGGGCCAGGCGGCCGAGCGGTTTGCGTCGCTGTCCAAGGTGGCAAAGGGGCACCTCTGCCTGCTGAACGAGTCCGGCCTGGTCGTGGACGTGGCGGCCGCCAAGCAGGCCGCGAGGGCGCGGGCGGTGCGGGCGGGCGCGGTCGCGGAGGCCGACCGCGAGCTCCTCGGGTGGGAGGACTGCCGCTCGACGTTCCGCCTGCGAGTCGCGGCGCCGGGCGCGAACGAGGAGGCGCACTTCGAGGTCGAGCAGGTGGTCATCGCGGCAGGTGAGCGACGCGGCCTGTCCCGTGCACCCCCGCGATGTCAGACACCCCCAACAAACACCCCCCTTGTGTCGTCCGGATCTTGGTCTCCCCGCAGGCTCGTTGAGTCACTCCGTCATGTCGGGCTTCGGGGACTCGATCGCTCACACGGTGTCCGCCGACGTGCTGCCCCGCGCGGCCGTCAGGTCCCCGGAGCTGCCGGTGCCCCGCTCGTTGGTCATGTACCACGACCCTTGGGGGTACATCCCGCTCATGGCCCGCGACGTGGACCCGAACGAGGTGCGCGAGAAACCCATGTGCTGTGCACCGACGTGCGAGTGGAGGAGCGCCGGTGACTGTCGCTCCGTGGTGTCCTGGTCCTGCAGACGTCGCGTGCGAGCAGCTTGCGGAAGCAAGTGGGATCCGTGTACGGTTCGCCGAGCGGGCGCGGCTCCACGGAGTCCAGGAACCCGGCGCTGATTGAGTCGGCGCGCAAGGAGGCGCCCAGCGACCAGCCTGGCACCCCCGACATCCCGCACACGATGTACGGCTGGTACATGTCGCCCAACCCGCGCGGGTCGTCGTTGTGCGGCCTCCTCGAGCGGCCGTTCGGCGGCGGCAATCCGGGCAGCCGCGGCAACGCGACGGGCGCGGACTGGTTGACGGACGAGGTGTACAGCAGCACGATGGGCATCATGATGCGGCACGCCAGCACCACAGTGCGCGGCTTCCCGCCCGAGCACAGCCACAAGAGCCGGCGCATGCAGGTGGCGCTGATCAGCCCCGACGGCCGCCCGCTCGTTGCGCCCCACCCGCTGCTGGAGGAGCTGCGCGTGGTGTCCATCGTGCCATGCCAGGCGAGACGCAGCCCCGCCGTTGCACGCTCGCTCACAACCGCTGTGTCCCGCCGCGTCGAAGCGAGGGGGGCTTCGCGCGACGCAATGGCTCGTGGTTCACGCGGACGTTTGTGTCGTACACTGCAGGCACCTGCGTCTCCCCCTGGGACGTCGTTCCACGTCTCGCCGCTGCTGGGCGAGATGGCTGCGCGGATGGTACTGGGAGGCACGATGGGCGTCACCATGCACCGCGTGCTGGGGCGCGAACGCCGCGGCCTGGAGACCGCGTTGGAGAACGAGCCTGTCTTGCCGCCGTACGACGCGTGGGGCACGTACGGGACCAGGGTCAGCGAGGGCGCGAAGGCGATGATCGCTCTCGCTCGCGCGGGGCGAGGTGGCTCGACGCTGGACTCGATGAGCAGCGACACCGAGGGCTCTGGGCGGTCCCTGGACGTGTGGCTCGGAATGTGATCGGACTCTCACACCGCGGTCCGCGCCGCGTCAAGCCGCGTGCCCGTTCCCGTGGTTGTGTCCGCACGCGCTCCTGACCCGCGCCTGTGCCGTGGGAGACAGACCCTCCAGACCACTCTGACCAATGGTGTTGCCCAGCGCCCACCGACCGGACGCGCTCGGCCTGTCGTCCCGCCTCGACAGGTTGCCCACCTGGATCAGGAACTCCCGGATCACGTCGCGCCCTCTGCGGCAGTCAGCGGAACGATCGCAGCTTGGTGAATGAAGGCAATGCTGTGAACAGGCAGCATCCAGGACGGCCCTCGCCGGCGCGGTTTAGTAGCCTGCGAGGCAGTGCAGAGTCGCGGGGTCGCACCGCAACAGGTTGTCCCGCTTCAGGCGCTCGTTCGGGAGGTGTGTCGAGTCTGATGACTGGCCGAATGGGATCAGCAGCGCAGGGGCTCCCAGGATGCGCTCCAGGGTGGACGTGACGGGCATCGTGCCGCCCTCCCGCACGTGCAGCGGCTTCTTGTGCCAGACTTGCTCGATGGCTTGTTCGGCACACCTCATCAGTTCGCTTGACACGTCCGCCTGCCACCAGCCGCCGAAGCTGTGCTCCGTCACGGAGATGTTGTTCGCGGACCGCAGCTTGTGGAACTCGTGGTTGACGTGCGTGCGCAGCGCGTCGATCAGTTCCTGGGCGGACTGCCGCGGAACAAAGCGGATCGACACCTTGCCGACTGCCCGGCAGGGGATGACCGAGAACCGCGTCGGACCGTACTGGTAGTACTCGCCGCCGGACAGGCGCACGTCGACGATGGACAGCGACGGCTGGCCCCACCTCTGCACATCAAGCCACACACAGCGCGTCCGTCAGACAACTGCCTCCTCGGGCCGGTCCCGCGGGGCGCACAGCGCGGGCGCCGCGGCGCGTGCCTCACCTGGAAGAGCATCTCCGCGACGGAGGACGTGATGGAGAGCGCGGGCACCCCGATGGCAGCCTGGTACTCGGCGAGGGAGAACTCCTGGGACTCCTCGACTTCCGCGCCGATGGCCTCGAAGTTGACGGTCTCGACCTTGTCGTAGAAGTGCGGGACGGTGATGTACGAGTGCGAGTCCACCAGCGTGGACAGCACCTTGACCAGGTCGTTCAGGGGCTCGTTGTATGCGCCGCCCTCGTTCCCCGAGTGCAGGTCCTTCTGCGGCCCGTTCACCTCGATCGACGCGGTGATCATGCCGCGCATGCCGCACGTCAGGCACGGGTTGTTCTCCCCGATCCAGAACGTGTTGCTCACCACCACCACCTCCGTGCCGTCAAACCAGTGCTTGGCCTTCTCCACCGCCTGCGTGAATCCGCGCGAGCCGTTCTCCTCCTCGCCCTCGAACACGAACGCCACGTTCGTCGGCAGCGCGTCGACGTTCCCGCCGCAGTCGTCCAGGAGCGACTTAACGGCGTAGAGGAAGCCCAAGATAGGGCCCTTGTTGTCCGACGCGCCCCTCCCGTACAGGTAGCCGTTGACGATCGACATCTCCCACGGGTCCGTGTTCCACCCGTCCTCCCGGCGCGCGGGCTGCACGTCGTAGTGCCCGTAGAACGTCACCGTCGGCACGTCCGTGTTCCGGCCCAGCCGCCCAATCACCACCGGGTTGCAGTCCTCCTGCGGACGCGACAACATCACCTCCGCGCCAAGCTCGGCCTCGAGCAGCCGGGCCAGGAACTTGGCTCCGCGGAAGCTGTCCTCGCGGTGCGCCTCCTCCAGGGACACTGCAGAGCGACCGACGGGGTGTCAGGGGAAGCCATCGGGACGTGAGGTCGCAACGCAGCAACGCGTCGGCGCCGCGGGCCGCTAGCGTCGTTCGCCGCACCTGTCGGGATGCGGATGAAGTTGCGCAGGATGCCCATGATGCGGTGGTCGATCATGTTGGTGGTGAGGCGCATGTCCCCCAGCTTGGGGTCCTTGCGCAGGAGGAGCGCGCTCGGGGTCTTGACGGGCGCGCGCGGCTGGACGGCCTTGAGCGCGGAGGATGAGTGGCCGTTGGTCCCGCTGTGGGACTCGTGCGACGAGGGCGGCTCAGCAGCTGCGAACTCCATGGCCCACAACTGCACGTCGCCGTTCTGGCTGGCTGCACGGAGCGAGGAGCACGGTAGGTCGTTGAGACGGATCGCAACGGCGAGCGGTGATCCGAACATGCGCGCGCGGTCGAAAGCATGTTGTCTTACCCGACACGACGCCCTTGGGGGTCAGTGATGCGGTGATGAACGACGGGGCGCAGCCGTCCTGGTTGACGGTCAGGACCTGCATGCACGTCCAGTCGCGCGCGCTCCAGACGCGGATCGTCCGGTCCGACGACGTGGAGACGAACAGGAGCGACAGGTCGTCAGGGGCCAACCCCCCGGAGCTGTAGTACGTCGGCCCGCCCGCGTGCTCGGACGAGACGTGCTCGTCGGCCTTGACGCGCGTGGCGGGTCCGACTGCGCAGATGGAGAGGATGTCGCTGTTGTGGCCGAGGAGCGTGCGGCGGCAGCACATGGCCTCCATGTCCCACACGCGGATGGCGTTGTCGCGCCCGCCCGACACCACGAGGTGGCCCAGCGTCGCGAGCGCCAGGACCGCGCCCCGGTGGCCGCGCAGGACCTTGACCGGCGCGAGGCCGTGCGCCGTCCAGACCCGCAGCGTGGCGTCGCAGGAGCCGGACACCACGTACTCCTCGCAGATGGTCACCGCCATGACGGCGGAGCAGTGGCCCTGCTCCAGCGCGGCGGTGCAGTCGGGCTCGACCGTCTTGATCTCGGCGGGCTGGTGGTGGATGTCGGTGCACTCGTCGGGCACGCCGTTGGCCGGGAGCGCGAGGGTGAACCTCTGCAGCACGGAGTCGGCCCGCGCTATGTACAGGCAGAGCGAAGGACCCTGGCCGACCGCGGGCAGCGGCGGGCCCGGCACGACGGTCAGGGACATGATGGCCGCGCGCGAGATGTCGTCGACGAGGGAGAGGGCACGGAGGCACGTGAACGAGGAGAGGCACCACACGCGGACGGTGCGGCCGGCGCAGGAGATGAGGTAGGGGTCGCGGATGTGCAGGCAGAGCACTGGCCGCACGTGCCCTATCAGGGTGTGCACGATCGACAGGGTATCCAGGTCCCAGCACTTGATGCTGCAGTGGCGCGCAGGGGGAGGCGGCGCACGTCGTTCAGGCAGACTTGGACCCCGAGGAGGCGCGCGACATGCTCCCAGCGGCGACAGGCGTTCGGCTCCGGGACGAGGTCGCGCTCACCTGTGGTCCATTGACGCGGAGAAGAGATGTCTGCCGTGCTGCGCCAGGGCCTGCACGCACTCCACGTGGCCCTCCAGGACCGCGTCGGGCCGTTCGCAGATTTCCGTCGCCTCGAAGTCCGACACGAAGTGGCCGTTGGCGAACGCCATGCTGCTCCGGGGCCCCAGGCGGCTGGCCTCGGTGGAGCTCTTGATGTCCGCGTCCTGCATGGGCGTCGACGCCCCGCTGTCGGTCGACAGCCGCTTGTGCTTCACGAGGTCCGTCACGCTCGAGGACTTGGCGCTGGTGCGGCGGATGGACGAGGCGCGGTGCAGCGGCGCGCCGTGCCAGTCCTTGGAGGGCACCGAGTTGCACTCGGCGATGGCCTCGAGGCAGCGCATGGCGTCCAGCTGGCGCCCCGTCAGGTCCTGGTCCGTGGACGGCAGCAGCGGGCTGCGCACGATGTTGACGAAGCCCTGCGCGTCGCGGGAGATGACCAGCGCGTGGTTCTTCGGCACCTGCACCCAGTCCGTGGTCGACGCCGTGATGGGCTCCGAGGCCAGGACCGCCATCCGCGAGCAGCGATCGCCGTGCCGCAGCACCGTGTAGTCCGCCTGCTTCACCGCGGCCTGGCGCGCCGCCCCGGCCGTGCACGCCTTGTTCGCGGCCGCCTGGTCGCCCACGTTGCTCGGCATCTGGAAGTCCTCCGCGCGCTCGAACGAGGAGCCCTCCGCGTAGTACAGCGACGCGGGCCGCGCGTGGTCCGGGCTCACGAAGCGCGTGGCCACCATGTTGCTCCCGTCCGCCAGCACGAAGTTGAGCAGGGACACCTCCTCCTCAGACACCCCCCCTTGCCGCTGACAGCGGCGGATGTCCGCGATGGCCAGCTCGACCGCGCGCAGCATCTCCTGCGGTACGAGGGATTCGGAAACGGCTGTGGCGGGTGCGTCGCGGCGCTGGTGCGGGTGGGGAGGCGTGTGCGGCGAGGGAGGCGCACCTGGGGGCTGCGTGGCTCGTGGCAGGAGCCGAGGTGGTGCAGAACCATGGCGAAGGAGACGGCGGAGTCCGAGTGGAAGGACGCGATGCAGTTGTACGCGAAGTCCGACAGGTTCTCCAGGAGCAGGCGCCGGATTTGCAGGAACCCGCCGATGACGCCGTTGTGCATGAACAGGTAGCGGCCCATCTGCACGCGCCGACGCGGACGCAGGGCGAAGGTGTGCGGATGGCTCGAATCTGCCGCCGGACGGCGGGCGCGCCGGGGCGCTGCGTTGGCTGGGGCGGCGGTGGGTGTGTGTGTTGACGTGCCTGGAACGGGTGGCAGTTCTGTTCGCTGACGGGCATCCCTGGGTAGGCCGCTCGCACGTGGGCGAAGACGAGCGGGGAGGTGATCTTGCAGGAGAGCCGCGACAGGTTCTCGTTGTTCCACGCCGGCGTCACCGAGGTGAACACGCACGGCGAGTGGTCCTCGCTCCCGTCCTCCCGCTTCCCCTCCATGTTGCTGCGACGCGGGGCGCGGGCGTGGCCGGTCGAACGCGGCGCTGCGTGTGGTTCGGCGCGCCGGACGGCCGCTCGTCGTGTTGTGGGGGCAGTTGCTGCCTGCTTGTCGCCAGCGCGGAATGTGCGAAACATGGCAGACGAATCAATCCGGGCGAGCCGCAAGTCAACGTATCATGTGGCACATGCGAAGGGGAAACGCTGACGTTGCTCGGCCAGACGGCACGCGCGAGGCGTTTGCAAGCAGCTGGTGCTCCAGCACGAGTGATGTGCACCATTACGACGTGCGCCGCGACCGGGGTCTCACGCCGTGCACCATGAGCGAAACAGACTATGCTGGCTCGAAACGCCACCGCTTCTGAGCTCCAGGTTCCCGGGTGGGGTGGGCCGCGGTGGCTGTTGTGCCCGGGCAGGAACGTGCCATGCCCGGGCCCGCACCCCAGTCGAGAGGGGCGGAATTGGTGGCCGCACCTGTACCAGCCGATTCCGAACCCGTCGCCATTCAGGTTGCCGTGCCCGAGGTGGAACGGCAAGGTCGGGTCAAGCAGCCTCTCACGGGCATCATAACTCTGCTTGATAATGCTCCGCTTCGGCCACAGGACCACGTCTGCGATGACCACGGGGTCTCCTACATATGCCATGAGTCGACACATGGCCGACCTCCCCGCGCCGACCGGCGCGGCGGCCCGCTAGGCGTCGGGTGCCCCTGCAGTGCTCTACTGAGGGTCGGGCCGCGGCTCGATAGCACTCCGGGAGCCTCCCTCAGCGCATTGAACAGGTGTTTTGCTCCCCGCTACACAACGCCACGCAGCGCTCCGGGCGGGTGGCCCGCAGGACGCGCGGTGGCGGCAAGGCTTTGCGAACCGCGACGTTGCCTTCGCCACTGTCGCGCGCGGAACGTGGAACCGTCTGCGTGTTGTTACACAAACATGACGCACGGCCTGGCCTTGGCGGCAGCGCTGCGGGGACTCTACCGGGTATGACTGAATTCCGCTGCACGTTGGTCGAACCTGACCCAGGGGGACGTAGCTCACCAACGCGGATCCACGACGGCCAGCTCGCGCTGTCGATGCGGGCACGCCAAGGTGTCGCCGGCGCGCGCCGTGCGGCGCGGGCTCGGTGCGTGCGCGGCGCGGGCGGTCGAGGTTCCGCGTGCTTGTTGTCACAGACGTGCGTCGGTCCTGTCGCGGTTCACTGCGGTCGGCTGTGATTCACTCGGCGATGGCCAGCCCTTTTCGGCAACTAAATTTGCATGGTGTGACGGCGGCTGTTGCGGCGTTCTTGAACGTCAGACTGGCGGGGCTCGAAACCTTTGCCAACGCCCGTTTGGTTGCTCTGGTCAGCTCGTACGACGCCCACAGCTTGAACGGCATGCTCACGGGCTTGATGGTACCCCTGCAAGACCCGTGGACGCGGCCTACTGGTCTGCGGCGCCTTCGGAGTGGTCCCACGCACTGCCAGCTGTCTGGGCGTGGGGTCCTCCCCTCGACGGGACGCGTGCCGCGAGAGCCCTGGCACACCGGCGGGGCGGCATACGCAGTGCACGTCGCGACATTCGGCGGGTGCGCACCTGAACACGATCGACTCCGCGAGGCTGAGCGTCGCCCGCGCTGTGTCGCGCCGCATCACTGGGAGTCGCTGCAGGAGCTTGTTCGACGCAACGGCGCGCTCAGCCGCTCTCAGTGCGCGAGCGTGCTTGGTCTGTGCACCTGCCGGCAGTCGGCTCACGACGAACTTGGACGGCTGGAGCCTCCAGCACATTGCCCACGCAGCTATTGCAAGAGTGATGCCCGTGGCCTGCGGGCAGGGGACGCATCTCGTGGATGATGTCGGGTCGCGCCCGCTATCTCGCAGTGCACAGCCCCCATCGCGAGCATTGTAGGAGAATGAGCCCGTCCGAGGCCCGCACGCCAGGGGGCCAGGATGTGCGGCAGCCTGGCGCGCAGAGCGGTCTTCCACGGAGGTCGGCCGCGTCGTCGTCAAGTCAGGACAATGTGCTGCTTCGAAGTACGTCGTGCGCGTCGGCGCATCGCGTCATCACGACGGAGCGGGGGCTTCCACAGCAGTGCCGGGCGCCCGGAACAGCCATGCTCGCACCTCGTGGTACACGAACGCCATGGGAATGTCCGATGCCGACAGGCCCTGCTCCTCGAAGTGTCTTCGTATCCGAACGAGCATCGACACGGGCTCCTCCTGCCCGTCTCCTCCATCTTTCCCACCTTCCTTCCGGCCCATACGGCGTGTCTTGTCGAATGCTAGGCAGCGACCTCAGAGCGAGCGAGCCGGGCGCGGTGGGACCCATGTGCAGTGCGGTCGCACGGCGTCGCGGCGATGAGGCCCAGGGCGCGATGGCCGGCGAGGGGGAGCGAGCGCGTGGGACCCAACGGCCCCGGACCCTCACGGACCGGCTGCCAACGCCCCAGCCGGGATCACCAGGCCTTGCCGTCGCACGCAGGTCCAAGTGACGGGGCCACAACTGGTCCGCGCCCTTTCTTTGACGACGACGTCGCGACCAGCGGGTCCTCAACGAGTGCCGCGCGGCGCACACCCTACTGCACCTCCGCGTGAGTGCACGCACGCTCTCGCACAGCCGTGTGCCGAGAAAGAAAGCACATGCGCTGCTCGTAGATAGTTGTGTTGCCGAGAGCTGCCAATCAGCGCCCCGCGAGATGGGCGAGGACGGCCTCCGCAAGGACCAAGGCGAGGGGGAGGCGCGCAGCCCGGGGTCGCCTCGAGGGCGCTCACATTCCAGGTATGTCGCACAAACCCGCGGCTGCTCCTTCGCGCAGGACCAGCCGCGGCCGTCTGCGCCACCACAAGCACGCGACGGCCACCGTTGTGCCCGCCTGTTGCCGAGTACCCGCGCACTCCTGACTTCGCGCCTCGCCGACGACCTCCGTCGCGTTGCGACGTGTCCTCATGATCTATCGCTCGTTCTCAAGGACAGCATGCGCATTTTGTCGGCGGCGCCGGTCACAGCTGAGGTTTTTGGCGGCCCTGTGCTTTCTCAGCGCCTCAGCGCGGCCCTCCGCGCACACCCGTGTGCGTGGTATCTCCAGCACATGACAGCCGGGCGTGACGTGCCCTGAGACCATGTCGCCCGCTCCGCGCTGCCACGCAGGAGCGCGTCCCCGGTGCACCAGCACTCGAGCAGGCGCTCCTCCGGGCAGAGAGACGGGTGCCCATCGTCACGGTCGCCTCCTAGATCCTCTGATAGATCTCGCAGTCGCTCGCCCGGGTCGCCGGGCCGCGGCCGGCGCGACCGCAGGCGCCCATCAACATCCCCGCGCCGGTCACACAGCAGAAGCCGCTCCCCCGCGCGACGCTCGCCCGATGGGCGGCGCTCGGATCGGCGGTACTCCCGATCGCCGGCCCGGCGCAGGGGCTCCCCCGAGAACGGGCACCACCGCCGGCACAGCCCCGTGCGGGGCCGGCGACGCTGGGAGGACGACCGCGGCCGGTACGACAGGGACCTGGACGACGTGCGCAGGATGCAGGGTCGGGAGCGGCACGGGGGCTTCGGCAGGGGCCGCGACCGCGACGGCGGGCGCGGTGACTACCGCCGCGGCGACGACCGCGCTGGGCGCTTTGGCAGGCGCCCCGACGCGGACGGCCCGGACCTGGAGGTGAAGGGGCGCGGGGCGGTGCAGGCCGCGCGGTTCGGCGTCGGGGGCTCGGGGCGGGACAGGCCCCGCGGCGAGGAGAACGGCGGGCGCGGCGCGGGGGGCACGAGGGGCGGCGGGGGGGACCTTGCGGCCCTGCGCGCGGAGAAGGCGGCGAAGGCGGCGGCGGGGCCGGCGGGCGGCGCGTACATTCCGCCGTTCAAGCTGGCGCAGATGATGGCGGAGGTGACGGACAAGCGCGGCGCGGACTACCAGCGCATGACGTGGGACGCGCTGCGCAAGTCGATCAACGGGCTGGTGAACAAGGTCAACTCGACCAACCTGAAGCAGATCCTCCCCGAGTTCTTCCAGGAGAACCTCGTCCGCGGCCGCGGGCTGCTGTGCCGCTCGATCATGAAGAGCCAGCTGGCGTCGCCCAGCTTCACGCCCGTGTACGCCGCGCTCGTCGCGGTCGTCAACACCAAGCTGCCCGAGGTCGGCGAGCTCCTCCTGCACCGCGCCGTCCTCCAGTTCAAGCGCTCCTACCGCCGCAACGACAAGCCGATCTGCACGGCCGCCGTGACGCTGGTGGCGCACCTGGTCAACCAGGCCGTCTGCCACGAGGTGCTGGCGCTCGAGATCCTCATGCTGCTGCTCGAGAACCCGACGGACGACTCGGTCGACCTCGCGGTGGCCTTCACGAAGGAGGTGGGCGCGGCGCTGCAGGACCTGGCGCCGCAGGGGCTGCACGCGGTCTTCGAGCGGTTCCGCGCGATCCTGCACGAGGGCGACATCGGGAAGAAAGTGCAGTACCAGATCGAGGCGCTGTTCGCGCTGCGCAAGAAGGGGTTCGAGGCCGCGGGGCACCCTGCACGCAAGGCGGAGCTGGACCTGGTGGAGGAGGACGACCAGATCACGCACGAGCTGAGCCTGGACGACCCCGTGGACGCCAAGGTGAGGCGGCGGGGAGGCGCGCGTGCGGCGGGGCGGGGGCCGGAGGCGGCGTTTCGTTGCCCGGCGGTGACGCGATGCGTGTTGTGTGTGTCCTGTTGTGCAGACGAAGCTGGACGTGTTCCAGTTCGACGAGGAGTACGACGCGCACGAGGAGGACTGGGGCAAGATGCGCGCGGAGCTGCTCGGGGAGGACTCCGAGGAGGGGTCTGAGAGCGGCGACAGCAGCGGGAGCAGCGAGGAGGAGAGCGAGAGCGAGGAGGAGGGCGGCGCGGGGGGCGCGGGCCCGATCGCGGACCAGACGCAGACGAACATCGTGAACCTGCGGCGCACGATCTACCTGACGATCATGTCGTCGATGGACTTTGAGGAGGCGGGGCACAAGCTGATGAAGATCGGGCTCAAGGACGGGCAGGAGATCGAGCTGGTGACGATGATCATCGAGTGCTGCTCGCAGGAGCGCACGTACCTGCGGTACTACGGCCTCCTCGCGCAGCGCCTGTGCCTCATCAGCCGCACCTACCAGGAGATGTTCGAGGGGTGCTTCGAGCGGCAGTACGCGCTCATCCACCGCCTCGAGACGGTCAAGATCCGCAACGTCGCCAAGCTCTTCGGCCACCTCCTCTCCTCGGACGCGGTGTCCTGGGCGCCCGTCGCCGCGATCCGCCTCACCGAGGAGGACACCACGTCGTCGTCGCGCATCTTCATCAAGTTCCTCTTCCAGGAGCTCTCCGAGGCCATGGGCATCCGCAAGCTCAACGAGCGCCTGCAGGACCCGCAGTGCCTCGAGTGGTTCGGGGGGCTGTTCCCCAAGGACTCCCCCAAGAACGTGCGCTTCTCCATCAACTTCTTCACCTCGATCGGCCTGGGCGGACTCACCGACAACGCCCGCGCGTTCCTCAAGGAACTCCCCGCGCTCATCGCCAAACAGCGCGAACAGATGGCGCTGCAGGTGCGCGCGAACCCGCCCACAGGCACACACACACACACACACCCCTCTGCCGCCGCGACCGCCCCTCACCGCCGGCACCCCCGCCCCCCGCGACGCAGCAACAGCAGCAGCAGTCCTCCAGCTCGACCACCTCGTCGTCCTCGGACACCTCCTCGGACACCTCCTCGGACTCTTCGTCGTCGTCCGGGACCAGCTCCGGCACCTCGTCCGACACGTCGGACAGCTCCAGCAGCTCCTCGGACGCAACGTCCTCGGATAGCGGGTCCTCGTCCGACTCGGAGGACTCGCGGGACAGCAGGCGCAGGCCCCGCTCCCGGAGCACGCGGGACCGGCGCCCCTCGCCGCCGCCACGCAGCCGCGGGGAGCGCGAGGGGTCAGCGCGCTCCGGGCGGAGCGGCCGCCCGCCGCGCTCGCGCTCTCCGGAGCGCAGGCGCAGCCGCAGCAGGGACTCGCGGGGGGACCGGCGGCGTGGCTCGGAGGGCAGGGCGGCGCGGTCGCCCTCCCCTCCACCTGCGCGCTCGAAGCGCCGCGTGGCCTCGACCGTGGTGCCCCACGGGAGCCCCAGAGCCGCGTCTCCGCCGGACAAGAGGCGCCGCCGCGAGTGACGCTGCTCCGACGCATTGAGGTGGCCTGTGTATTGAACATGCAGTGTGACAAACGTGTCACACCGGAGGTCACGTTAACCAGGAAAGGGGTGGCCGAGAGCAACGACGCGGTGGAGTACCCGCACGCAAGATGAGCAAGCTGCAGCAACAGGTGTCGGGGTCCCAGCACCTGCGCACGCAGCTCGAGTGAAGTCTTCGATGAGTGACGAGTCCCGCGGGCGTGCGGGTACTCGTCGGCAAGCCCCACCACGCGTCCCGATGTCGTCGGCCGGCGACCCTGCCCAGGCAAGACATACGCAAGACATCACGCATGTCAGGTGACAGCCCCTCACGTCACCCGCTATTCGGGCCGCTCCTGGAAGCACACGTTGAGCAGCGGGTCCGCGTGGTGGTTGTCAGGGGTGGGGGTGCAGCGCCATGGGTGCTCCTGCGTGTGGTCCGTACTGCAGCATGCCAATGATGTTGTCACTGGGGCTCCAGGGCCGCGGAACACCCGCACGGCCTATCCAGCTGGCCCCGGAGCCACCGGGACATCGGCACCGGGCGTTGACGGGTCGGCAGTCCTTGCTTCCACATAGGCTTGCATGCATCCCCGCGTGCGGGCTCTCACCGGCCGTTGGGAATACGGAGATCGGAAAAGGGCCGGTCAGGTGGCTTCCGGAGCAGGTACCCAGGCCGCCGCGGGATGGATGGGACCACCCGCGGAGGTAGGGCCGTGTCGAGTGGCGCCGGGCCGGGCTCAACTGGCTCGCCGCCCTGCCGCGGGGACCGGCATGTGGCAAACATGAGTCGTGGACCAAGGGGGTGCTCCCCCTTCCGCAAGCGGGCCGAATGCTGTGAACAAGCACGATTAGCAGTCTGCTTCGAGCTGCGAAGCGCACTACGAGCTGTCGGAATGATGGTGCGCGAGGGGGTTGCTGCGATCCCAGTGATCGGCGCAGCATGTGTGCGCGCAGCAGCGGTGGCATGGTCGGACGGAAGACCGTCGGCGTGCCCTTTCAGCGGCCGGCTGCGGCCGTCAGAGGCGGGGCCGACCACCTGGTGCGGCCGCGCAGTCAGACCAGCACTGTTCGTGACGCAGCGCGTGCGCGCGAGCCCGCCTGCCTCCGCGCACGCACATGCCGGGGCCGCAGCGCTGCAGTGCGGCCCGTGCGGGGCGCGCGGCGGGGTGCGTCGAGGCGAGAGTTCACAAGTCTGGGGTGCCGCGCTCACTTCATGGCCGCGCGCGCGCCGAGGGGGACCTCCTCGCCGAGGCGCGCGAACCAGCCCCAGGAGGCGGGGACTTTGACGCCCGCGAAGGGGTCCTTCTGCGCCGTGATGTGGCGGCTGGTGAAGTTGAGGAGGGCGCCCGACGACCTGGGCGGCGGGGCCCACTTCAGCGGCGCCGGCCGGCCCACGTACTGCGCGAGCGTGTTGGACTCCGTCATCATCTCCGACATGATGGCCTTGGGGGCCGTCACGCGCCACGGCTTGGTCGACAGCAGCGCGTTCTTGGCCTTGTCCTGCTGGTCGGCCAGCATCTTCGAGAACGACGGGCCTGCGGGGCGCCGGACGGGCCCGGACGGGAGCGTGGGGCCGGCGACGCGCGGGCGGGGCCGTGGCGTGCGGTGGGGCGCCAGTGCGGGGGCGCGCCGGGTGGCCCAGGGCAGCATCGAGGCGCAGGTGGGCGCTGCAGGGGGGTCAAACGCCCGCGAGGTCGCCGGGGCGAGGATGTCTCAGTCCTGCAGGCACGCACCTGCGAATCTCCGGCCCGTCTCGACGAAGGCAACGAACGTCATCGCCAGCACGAACTCCTCATTCCTGCAGGCCCGAAAAGCGACGCGTCACGGTCACCATGGCGGGACGAGCCGTTCAAACCGGAAAACTAGACCACGTTCATCCGAGAGCTGATAGTTGCATCGCAGCGGGCAGCCCTGGCGCTCCGCGCAACCGGCGGGACGTTGGAAAGGCGAGAGCTACCGCGGGAACGGTCGCGAGCGCGCGTGCCTCGCCCCGGCACGCATGGAAAATGATCCTTCGTCGCGGACGCAGCGACCTGGCACCGCCTGGAGGCCCGGCCAGGGCGAGGGCTCCGATGGAAGCGTCGTGCAGGCGAAAGGGGCCGTCTGCGGCGCGGGCGGGGGTCGCACCATGGCAGGTAGTTCGTGAAGAGACCCGCCAGACCCACCGCCGTCACGGCGGGGTACTTTGCCAACGCGTCCCCGACATTCTTCAGCGCGGTCTGCGCCATGATGCCAAGCACCTGCCTCAGCAGCGACCTGCAAGTGCAGCGTGTGCCTTTGGCCGGTCCCGACGGCGCCGACAGCCCTGCCAGAGTGGCACGCGTAGCCGCAGGCCGCTGCAATCACGGCGCGCAGCTCGTCGAGGCGGACCGGCTGCCAGCTCAGGTGCAAGCACACACCGCACAGGGCCTCGAGGAGCAGGGCAGCGTGATTGGATTGCTGTGCAGGGCGCGGCCAGTGGTGTCCATTCCGGGCTGAAGTTTGCTTGCTCGTCGCGGGCTTGATCGCGAGCACAGCGACTGCTACCTAGAGGCAAGGGTGGCAGCCCGAGGCCTCACAAATCGCCAGCAGCGGTGGCTCCAGTGCGTTCACTCTTGCGCGCAACCATGGCCGTGTCCGTCCGCGGCGGGGCGTGTGCGCGCCTGGCGGCAGGCGGCGCCCAGCCTTCCCAGACCCACTGCAGGGCTGCTCTCGCTCGGCTCCCCGCTCCCGGCGCGCAGCTCCAGCTGCGGTCCGTCAGGCCGTTCGAGAGCGCCGGGGCCAGGCGGCGATCGATCATCGCAGCGGCGTGGGGCGACCCGGTGGAGTGGAAGCCCTGCAAGGCAAGCCTACCACTGCGACGCGCCCTGCCGCGCGAACGTGAGGCGCGCAGCAGTTGCGCGCGATCGCGCACGCGTGAGCCGACCATGCACGTACATCGGGGTGGGGCTCGCTGCCAGCCCGCCCTGCTGCCGGTAGCTCGAGCCAGCAGTGCCGAGCACAACGCCGACATTGGTCGCGGCCAAACGTCGCGCATGCTCCCACGCGACAATGCCCGTCCCCGCACCGTCCGTCCGCCCTGTCGCAGGTGGTGCGTTCGGAGCGCGCGGCGCAGGACCTGACCAGCATCACCCTTGACGTCGGGGAGCGGTCCTCGGGCTACACCACGGCCGGGCAGTTCCTGCAGCTCAAGGTCGGCGACTCCAAGCCCGCCTTCATCGCTGGTAGGACACGCGCCCCCCACTCATCAGCGCGACGGCCAGTGACGCCCCCCCTCACACTGCTCCCCCGCCCCACCGCACCACCTGCCCTGCCCCCGCGCCCCCGCACTGCTACCCCGCGACCCCGCGACCCCGCGACCCCGCGCCCCTTCCCACGCCGCCCGCAGTCGCGTCCCCGCCGCGCCCCTCGTCGGAGATCGACCTCCTGATCAAGTCCCAGGGCGGCACCTCCGACCTGCTGTGCGCGCTCCAGGCCGGCGAGGAGGCCGACGGGAGCGCGATCATGGGCAAGGGGTTCCCCGTCGGCGCCGTGTCGGCCGAGGACGCCCCGACCGTCCTCCTGTTCGCCACCGGGTCCGGGATCAGCCCCATCAAGGCGCTCATCGAGTCGGGCCAGCTGAGCGGCCGCAAAGCGCGCCTGTACTACGGCGCCCGGTGCGCGGACAGCATGGCGTTCCAGGACCTGTTCGACGCGTGGAGGTCCGCGGGCGTGGAGGTCACGCCGGTCTTCTCGAACCCAGCCGACGGGTGGGCGGGGGCCACGGGGTACGTGCAGGACGCCGTGAAGGCGGACCTGGGCGCCATCGACGGAGCGAGCACGGTGGTCGTGCTGTGCGGGCAGAAGGAGATGGTCGAGGGCGTCAAGGAGGTGCTCACCCCCGCGGGGGTGCCCGAGGACCGCTTCCTGCTCAACTTCTGAGCGCCGCGTGTGACGACGATCGATCGCGGCGGGCGGATCGGCTGCCGGAATCGCAGCGCCTCGCGCAGCCCGCCTGAACGCGCCGCGGTGCGTTGGGGTCCCTAACAGGTGTAGTGGAGGGGGGGGGTGCTTGGGGCGCGGTTATCGGCATGCCCGTCTCCAGGAACCGCGCAAAGTCGAGTGCTGTGCTTCCTGGCCCTCTGCGCGGGTGTCAGATCCCCGCAGCGCAGCGCGATGAATCTCGCTGCTGTCCCCTCAAATGTGCTGATCGAAGTGAGCGGTCTACTGGGGAGTGGGCGACAGTTTTGCTTGATCCCGATCGACGTCGCCTCGCCTTCCACGGCGAATATGATGAAGCTCCGTGCGGAACTGAGGGCTAGTATTCGCCAGCAGAGTGCGGTGTGCAACAACTTGGTCGTTGCGAGCGACGACGACCACGTCTGGGTGTTCTGCCTCAAGCAAGATCTCCCAGCAGTGTTTCGTAGCCTGCTTGAGATCGTTCCGACGAGAACCAGCCTGGTGCGCGCGCACAACAAGTGGCACCCTCTGTTTTCGGTCCTTGAACGCGCGCCCCGCCGAACACGCGGCTGCCCATCACCGCGCCTGCGTGGAATATCGACAGATAGCTCGTGTGCCCATGCAACGCAGAGAAAACCGAAGCCGGAAGACATATGCACCACTCTCAGCCCGAGCACCTTGAGCCAAATCGTGATGGCTTCCGTGGTGGAGCAGCTGTCACACAATGACTGTATCTTGATGTCGGACGGGCAGACGTTCCTCTTGGAATCCGCTGATATCATTTCCAGCCCCCAGGAAGGCAGGTTCACGGCGACAACCTTCAAGTTGACCGGCTCCGGCGCGAAAACGTGCTACCTCGCCGTGACGCTCGGACAGGCGACCTTCCGCAAGTTCCCACCTGTGCGGTCTTGTCCGACGATGGAGGACGATGGCGCAATGCTCGGGCGGAGGATGCGTTTCATTCCCGACCTGGAGAACGAGTACGTGCTCATCCGGGAATGCGGCGCCCCGGCGGAGGACCTGATGACCACGATGTACGGAGACGAGCCGGCCTGGGCGCGCGGACTGGACGCGTTCGACCGCGTTTTGGCGATGCGCGACGACGGGAAGGGGGGCGCGTCGAATGTGGTCGCCTTGCCCCTCTCGCTCGCTACGGATGACCAGGGCCTTGATTTCCCCCCCTGGAACAACACAAAGGATGCCGCAAGGATCTCGAGGGCGCGCGAGGTAAGCCGGGCCAGATCGCGAGCGCGACAGACTGTTGTTGTTGTTCGTGTTTGCAGCACCGGCTCCGTGCGCACAGGTCGGCCCAAACGGACAGACCTGTGCACCCTTGCTCCGTGAATGGAGCCTCACTCGCCGGTGCCGTACAATCACGCAGGTCGTCGAGACAGTCGTGTGTGATGCTGTGCGAGCATGCATGGTTTCGCAGCTCGTAGGTGGACTGTCCTGCAAAGTCGTGCGGCCCTCCCAGGGGGTCGAGAGCCCCAAGAACTCCGCTGGACCGTTCGTCGCCGCCACAGTGTACTCTGAGGCCGACCAGGCAGGGAGGTTTTCGCAGGCGCCGCAAGCACGCCAGGACGAGCCCGAACGTGCGCACGACGATGAGCAGCATGCGGCTGTCGAGCGCCTCCTGGCGAATATCGGGCAAACCGGCGCGGGCGGTCCTGCTCAAGTGCGACAGCACGCGGCTCGACTTCCGGTGTTGCGTGGCCGTGGCGCTCATCGTGGCGGACTCGTGCCGCACCTCCCCCGCCGCACAGTCACTGCGGCCCCCGGCCATGGGCACTTGTCTGCTGTACGCGCGCGCACGGGGGGCGCACAGAAGCTCGGAACACAGAACAAGCAGGTGAAAAAGGCTGATGCTCACGGAAGCAAAGCTGCGGCACCACCGGCAGCGCAAGAGACGTCCGTGGACGACGCGGAGCTGCGCAAGCAGATTCTTTCCGGGGTCCTTGCCAAGGCGACAGTGCCAACCTTGAAGTCATACTTGAAGGCCAGGGGCCTGCCGGTTTCTGGCAAGAAGGCAGTGCTGCTGGAGAGGCTGCAGTCCGCTCTGAGCTGAAAATCCCTGCAACACGGAGTGAGGACGCGCTTCCGCAGCCGAGCGATGCGAAGAAGATGAGGAGCGATGCGTAGGTCCGTCAGACCTCGAAGCATCACTTGGCAAGCGACGATACTAGCAAGAAAGCGCCACTGAATTCACTGTGCCTCCGCCGCTGTATTCGAGACCACGTACGCGGGCATGTAGCGAATCGAATCGTGCCAGAATACGTGTGAGGTAACACGATGTCGAGCTCGCCAGCATGGCACGCGGTGCAGTACGCGACGCCACCGGACACGCGAGCCGCATCAGGCGTCGTCCTCGTTCCCGGCCATCTGGTCGTCCAGGACCAGCTTCTCGAGCAGGGCGTCCAGCGGCACCTCTGGGAAGTCCCCGTCGTCACTGTCACTGCCGCCGCCGTCCGCAGCCTGCCGGTTGCGACCGTGGTCGAAGTCCGCCTTCTTGTACATCGCAACGTTCCTCCGCAGCTCCTCGTCCTCCTCGAGCTCTTCCAGGAATCTGCACGCACAAGATCCGTCGCCGCGCACCACCATCATCATCGACTCTTCCGCGCAGACACGCGCTCCAACTCGCACCGGATACGCATGCATGTGCCACGCCAGGTGCTGTCCGGCGCACCTCTCGCGGTCCTGCGCCTCCTGCTCGACGGCGTCCGCCTGCACGCGCCCACGCTTCCTAGACATCTCCTCGTCGTCCGCGTCCATCGCCAGCTTGCGGATCTCCCACGCCCGCTGCCAGCCGCGCTGCCGCCGCCTCTGCCGCTTCTCGCGGTACGACTTGCGCACCAGGACGATGTCGGGCAGCTCGAGCCCCTTGGCAAGGTGCTTGTCCAGCTCCAGGTCAGACAGGACCGTCGTGGAGAGATCGTACCCGACGGCCGTGTCGCCGGGGTTGAGCACGTTGCCGAGGTGCGTGCGCACGATGAACGTGTGGTCGTTCCGGCCGAAGTCAGAGGCCCGGGCCACCTGCACATCTGCCAGGGCGTACTTCTTCGACGCGTGCTGCGCGCCGAACCCGTCGACCGGCTCCACGTCGAGGACCATGAATTCCACGAGGTGCTTCTGGGACAGGAGGACCGAGAACGGGCTCTGCGGGCCAAGCAGGGTGTGGCAGCTGCGTCAGCGTGCATGAGGGCTCAAACGGTGCCGCGCGGCGCGGTGTCGCGCCCGTCGGCGCGCCCATGGGGCCTCACCTGCCAGTACTGCACCGCATTCAAGCTGGACGACTGCAGCGTCTTCGGGCACGTGAGCGTCAGGCCGCTGGTGACGCGCGTGCACAGCACGATGGGCCCCAGCCCCCCGAGGGCCGTGTAGAGCTTCGTCGGCAGGCAGATGATGTCGTCCTTGCAGACGGGCACGATCTCGACGGAGAAGGTGTACTTGTAGTTGTACGCCTGAGTGTGGGTGTCATGCGACACGAGCTGTTTGTCCGACCGGTGCCGGATCGGCACGACGTTCTGCAGGAAGTCGATGAACTTGAGCGCGTGCGACCTGTTCGCGTAGTAGAAGTCGAGCCCCTCGTGCTTGGCCCGGATGTTGATGCAGTTTTGGTCGGCCGAGTGCTTCAGGATGACCTGCTCCAGGTAGAAGAACGTGCGCTTGTGCTCCACGTGCTGCCGCAGCTGCACGTTGGCCTTCCACACGTCCAGGTTCGTGTTCGCGCGGTTGCACTCCAGGCACATGTTGGTCTCGACCACGAACTCCACCACGCACTGCTGCTGCAGGATGGCGCCGTTGAACACCTCCTTCTGCACCGTCAGCTTCACCTTGATGCGCCGCGAGTGCGGCTCCGTCCACACGAACCCCGCGTCGACCAGCTTCACCTCGTTCAGGCCCTTGATCTTCTTCAAGCACATCTGCAGCAGCTCCTGCACCACGTGAGACACCACGACCGCGACGTGAAGCCGATGGCGCCGCGCCCCGCGCGCGACAGCGAGGACGCACGCAGTGAGGCGTCGGCGACTCCAGGCGCACCTTGGACTCGAGCTCCGCGCGCACCCAGTGGCGCGGTGGTTGCAGGTACCGTCCGCAGGACTTGCAGTAAATGATGCTGCCGGAACGCGGAATGTTCTCCGCGATGTCCACCTGGGTGCGGATGCAGTTCACGCACATGTTCGCGGGGTTCGGAGGGATCGCCACTCCGCACATGCAACACAGCCTGCAGCGGTGCGTGGGCCAGGGCAGCCGGGAAAGCGCCTGAGAACGTGCCGCAACCATCGCATGCGGCTCGTGGACATCGAGCAATCATCAACTCGCGCCGCAGGGAGGGGGCGCGCAGCCCCGGCGGTGCTCGTGGTGCGCGCGGCCCCGGTAATTCTTGCGGCGGCTTGGGAGCAGCCGGGTCAGGGGCCTGCTTGAGCTCTCCGGGGGGTGTCATGTGTCGAACTTGTCGTAATCTGGCACAGAAGGCCCTCTCAATGGCATGCTTGCAAAAGTACGCCGTGCCTTGCAATCGCGGGGCGAGGTCTCCCGTGCAAAGAGGTGTGCACCTCAGTGCGCGTTCCTGGGCTGGCTGCGCCCCGGTGCGGTCCCAGACGAGCGCTCCGACGAGAACGAGCATATGAAAGACGGCACTGCGTTGTGCGCCAACGTTCGTCCCCTCAGGGCCGCACACGGCGACGAGGCAGCAAGTGGGGCTTGGCGGCGAGGGACGTACACATGGCCGACCGTCTGTTGCGGGACGAAGGTGCCCGCGGGCTGGAACGCACTGGGCTGGTCCTGCTCCATCCTCGGCTGCGAATCCGTCCTAGTTCTTGTCCACGAGCACTCTGGTTGCCGTGGCTCCTTCGCCAGCACCTCGAGCAGCCGGGCGCCGAGCGCGCTGGCGGGTGAGGCCGTGCGGGACGGACAGCCACGCCAGGTACCCTTTGTCGGATCTGGCTCGGCGGGAGACACCCTCTGATTGCGGGGCGGGCCTCTTCCGGGGAGGGCAGCGCGGTGGCTGGACTCAGCTCGTGCGCGGAGAGAACGCGGTCACGAAGGATGACCTGTGCTCGGGAAGCTCGTACGCGAGTGTGTCTGACGCTCGCGGCGCACGGCGCCTTTACCGCGCTGCCGCCGCCGTTTGCGACCCCCCCACCTGACGCAAGTGCGTGGGGGGAGTGCGACGGCGGCCGTTGCCGCAGGCCGGCCCGCGCCGGAGGCATTCGTGCGTCACGGCGCTGAGGTGAATTGCAACGCACGGTGGGCTCAGGGCATTGGAAGTGCACTGGTGCTGCTGGTTTCTCGTTGCAAAACCTCGAGTGGTGCACGGACGCTGTGGACTGACCCGGATGTTGGACCCTAGGAAAGAGAAGGAGAGGCGATTGGAAGAGTGGCGGAAAAAATGCGAGCAGGCGTTTCTGTATTTCGAGACGAAGGAAGGGACCAACATCATCGAGCAGTCGTGAGTGCCGCAGTCCCGCACGACCGAGTTGACCGAGCGACTGCGGCAGACGCGGCCGCAGGGCCATGCGCGGGCGTGGATTCCGCACCGCGCGCCCCGCGCAAGCGGCCCCTGCTCGCAGGAAGCTGCATGTGGGCGCGCACGAAAGTTGGCGCTTCGCAGCCGCTCGATGCGCGCAACATGGTCCCGCTGACTGATGTTTCCGCGTACATACCTGATGATTCTCGCTAGCACACTTGTTTTCATCGCGTTTCGGCGCTTCCTCGCCGCTGGAGTCGCGAAAGAAGCTTCCCTGCTCATGGCATGCACGCGTCTCAAAGCGCGCCGTGCACGCTGAGCGGCTCTGCAGCTCGCGGCATGATTGCTTTGAACACGGAGTTGCGCGCCTCATGTGAGGCTTTCGCGGCAACGGGACGAACAGCGTCCGCGAGCCGGCAGCGAACCTCCCAGGCTCTCGCTACCTGCTGCAGGGACTTGGGTTCCGTGGTACGGTCCCTGGGGCTGAACCCGACGGAGCAGCAAGTTGACATGATTCTAGGACGCGTCAAGGAGGTCAGCAGGGACCCGGAGGCAGGTTTCGTCCACCTGGACGCTTTCCTCAAGGCAAGGACGCAGCGCGCCGAGTCTCGCGGGCTGGCGGACGCGTGTCGCCGGTGCATGCGTCAGCAACGCCGCCGCCTGCAAGCCTGAGTGGTCTGCGTCCCGGTGCCCCCGCAGGCGCTGCCCAAGATGCTGTTGGAGAACCCGTCACAGTTTGTGCGTGACAGCTACCACAAACTCATGCGGGCGTTCCGCGCGCTCGACAAGGACAACAACGGGTACATCACGTCCGAGCAGCTCGTATCAGCGCTGCGATCAGACGACTTCGGCGGCACGGTGCGCCCGCTCCCCAGCGCAGGCGTGCGCGGCAGCTGCACCTGCTGGCGTGCACCGCACACTCACCGGAGCTCTCTCCGGTGCTCGCAGGGCCTGTCGGACGAGGAGGTGGATCAGGCGCTGCTCGCGGCAGCCGACCCGGAGGACGGCAGGATCTACTACGAGGACTATGCATACCTGTTGGCGTATGACGGGCGGGAACTGTGACAGGGGGCATGGTGGCGCCAGGTGCCCGGTGGACGGCGACGACTCACCTCCTCGCGGACGAGACAGCCGCCTCGTCGGCCCGCGTGCGACCTGGCGCTGCTCACCGCAACAGGCAGCGTGCCCTGCGAGACAGCTGAAACAAGAGCCGCGTTGCACGAAACAACGCGCCACGGTGCGTCGGCGGTGCGGGTCCACGCTCGCAACGCTGCGAGGGCGTGCTTGCGAGGCTGTCCCAGCGCATGTAAGCACACAGGGCGCCTTGTGCACCACGCGGTGCCGTGTCGCGACCCGCGCGGGCGGGACACGAGCGGCACGCACGGGAGGATCGGTGCCACACGTTCGCTGTGGTCCGAGTAGTCTGAGGCGGGCGGCAGGGGCGCAAGCTGACGGAGGCGGGAGCCCGACCGGCCCGGTCCGGGCAGACAGCTCGCAGCAGCTCTTCGGGGCCCCATTGCCTCGCGCGACGGACCCCTCACAGCCAGAGCCGCGCACCTCCGCACGGGGATTTCGAATCGTTTCGTCGTGGAGACTCGACGAAGAGGACCTGTCCCTCTCGCGCGCGGCAGACGAAGGCGCTACGGAAGCCAGGCACGGTTCGTCGCGTCGTCTGTGCGGAGCGGTCGCCGCACGATGGCTGCGGTGATGCCTGGATTAGATAGGCGGGGTGGCGAGCCGCGACCGGTCTCTCGCTCGCGCAGCAGCAGCCGTCCGGCGGTTGACTGTCCCCAGTTCCTCACCAGGCACCGGCCTGCAGCCGCAGGAGGTCCGCCGATTCCGGAAGTGTATGAACGGAAGCGAGTACTCGGCAAGGGCGGGTTCGCGGTGGTTTTCGAGGTCGTGCGGCGGAGTGATGGCACCGCATGGGCATGCAAGGTGAGCTTGTTCAACAACGGCTCGCGCCGTTCCCTGCGAGTCACCAGTAGCTCCCAGACGTGCGGAAACTCTCGAACGTATGCCGAAGCTTCCCGTCGGATGCGCGTTGGGGCTGTATCCCGGCTTGACTTCAAAGCAATCGCGCCCGCTTGTTGCGCTGCAGGTTGTCAACAAGGCCTCCCTCGTGAAGCCGCGGGCGAAGGCCAAACTGAAGACGGAGATCGAGATTCACGAGCAGCTCATTCACACCCACGTGGTGCGGTACGTCGACGCGTGGGACGACGACCAGAACGTGTACATTTTGATGGAGCTCTGCTCTGGCAAGAACTTGGCCGACATCGTCAAGGCGAGGGGCAGGTGAGCGGCGCCACGAGCGCGACGGCGCCACATCGCGTCCTTCAGGCCCAGCGCAATGCCTCTGGGGCGCGAACTCGCGGCGCTGTGCCGCGCTGCGGGCGTCCAGAGAGTGTTGCCCCTGGACGTCCGCGCCGCGCGCTCGCACTGCTGCCCGAGCGACGCACTCGCACGCGAGCCTCGCACCGGCGGCCGTGCGTCGCGCCTGGAGCGCGGCGGCGAGGTGTCTCCTCGTGACGTGCGCTCTGCACGGCCCTTGCGCCGTCGTCGTTGTGCGCGGGCAGTGAGCTGTCGCGCCGCGCCTTTCGAATCCGAGGGGGCCCGCGGCGCCGCGGATCCCACGGGCGGTACGAGTGCGTACTGGGCATGCAGGCTGGACGAGAGGACGGCGGCGGTGTACGTGGAGCAGATCCTGGACGCGATGTACTTTCTCATGAAGAGCAAGGTCATCCACAGGTGCGCGCGCCGGACGCGGCGGCGGCCGACGAGCCCCGCCACGCCGGTGCCTGACCTCCTGTCGCGATCAGCGACCCCGACAGGCACGTATCTGCGCCGTTGACGCTCTCCGGCGCCCGGGGCGGCGCGTGCAGGGACCTGAAGCTCTCCAACCTGTTCCTGGACGAGCGCGGGCGCATCAAGATCGGGGACTTCGGCCTCGCATGCATGCTCAAGTACGACGGCGAGCGCAAGACGACCATCTGCGGGACCCCGAACTACATCGCTCCGGAGGTGCGCGGCGTCGAGCGGTGTGGCGTGTTGCTGCGGGTGCGGGTCGTGCGGCTGGTGCGCTGAGGTCTGCCGTGCGCGCGCGTGCAGGTGCTGGCCGGGCGGGAGGGGCACAGCTACGAGGTGGACGTGTGGTCGCTCGGGGTGATCATCTACGCGATGCTGGTGGGGCGGCCGCCGTTTGAGACGGACGACGTCAAGCGCACGTACCGCCGGATCCGCAACAACGCGTACAGCTTTCCCGACACCGTCTACGTCGCGGAGGACGCGCGCCTGCTCGTCAGCTCCATCCTGCAGCAGAAGCCGTGGATGCGCCCCACGCTCGCCGACATCTACAACTCGGCCTGGCTGCGCCGCGTGCGGGGCGCGCCGCCGCCGCCGGGCCACTGGTCGCACGTGCAGGTCGTGCCGTCGCCCGCGCGCGCCCCCGCCGCGCACGCCCCCGCACGGCACCCCATCGAGGACCTCCTCCGGTCCCCCGCCTCGGTGCGGTCGCCCCTCAAGCCCATCCCCGAGCGCCAACAGTACGGGTGCGACCCCGCGCCGCGCCCGCGCCCGCCCGCACCGCCAACGCGACGCCCGCGCCCGCGCCCCACCCCGCCGCCCTCCCCCGCGTGCTCGCAGCGTGGGCCGGGAGAACAGCGCCAAGCGCAACCTGCTGGGCAGCGGACTGGCGGGCCCGCGCGGCGCGGAGAACGTCGCCCCCGCGGCGTCGGCGTCCACGCAGCGCGTCGAGAGGGCGGCGCTGACGCCGCAGTCGCAGGGCACCGTCGAGCTCCGGCCGGAGTGCAGGCCCACCACTGCCGCGGAGCGCACCCCGCAGAGCACGTTCGCGGGGCTGCCTCCCGCGGGGCTCCCCGGACAGGTTGCGCGGCCCGCCAGCGCGCGCACGCCACGCCACGGGGGCGAGGCTGCGCCGGGGCCGTACGCCGCGGGGGTGTTTTCCCAGCACAACTCCAGGTCGGCCAGCCCGATCCGCGGCGCGCCGGAATCGGCCGCGCCGGTGCAGCTGCAGCAGGCGCAGAAGAACTTCGACGAGGCGTTCGGCGCGGTGCCGTCCGCGAGGACGGATGCGACTGGTTCCCGCGCGCAGGTCCTGCCCTCCGCGCGGGTGGAGAGCAGGTGCCACGTGGTGTCCTGGGTGGACTACTCGAGCAAGTACGGCGTGGGGTACCTCACGAGCGCGGGCGGCATCGGCGTCCTGTTCAACGACGCGTCGCGGATCCTCCTCCTGCCGTCCCGCACACACCTGCAGTACATCCCCCGACGCGGCGCCGCCGCGGAGGACCAGGGGGTGTTCCGCGTCGGCGAGGCGCTGCCGGACGACCGGGACCTGAACAAGAAGGTCACGCTCCTGTGGCACTTCGAGAAGTACCTCCTGCGGCCTGACTCGAGGGGCGTGGCCTACGCCGCGCAGACCAAGGGCCGCGCCGGGGCGGAGCGCGTGCTGGCGGGGCGCGAGACGGCGTCGGGGGCGTCCAGCAAGGCGGACGCGGCGCGGGAGCTGCAGGGCATGGCGCAGGCCAAGAAGTGGCTGCGCACGAAGCACGCGATGATTTTCCGCCTGAACAACAAGACCATCCAGGTGGAGTTCTTCGACGCGTCGGGGCTGGTGCTGGCCTCGGAGGGCGGCGACGTGACGTACACGGACAAGACGGGCAGGACGCAGCACCTGCGGCTGGACCGCCTGCCCGAGGACCCGCATCTGCTCAAGCGCCTGCGGTACTGCAAGGACGTGCTGTCCTCGCTGGTGTCCGCAGCCAGCTGACGGAGATCGGCCTCTCCGCGCACCCGATGTGATCACAGACAAACACGCTACGCTATCGCAGCTTTCGCCCGATGGGCTTCCCCAGGTTTTCCCTTCGTGCTGTCGAGATGATCGCATCCACGATCGCCCCAAGTGGCCGCGGCTTCCCGAACCCTCTGCCGCCCTCCCCGCCGCCGCCCTCTGGCCTGTATAGCACGTCGGCCTGCTCTCCGAAGCTGTACGCGGGCCCACAAGGCTCGTAGTCCACTATCTGCTTGCTCCCAAGGCCTGCGGTGACCACCGGGGGGGGTTGCGTTCGAACGCGCGTGCACCGACCCATCGTCGCTGAGCCAGCACTGTGCCCTCAAAGCGAAGACATTCGACCCGCATCTCACCTGGAGGCGGTGGTCGGGGCGGTCGCCGCGCAGCCATGGTGTGGAAGGGCCCTCTGGGCGGCAGATCGTCCAGGTACGATGGCGGCCGGTTTTCGCCCTCCCTGCTCTTCGCAGGCCGCCCTGCGGCCCCGAACGCGTGCGCCGGCCCGCGTGGTGTGAAGCCTGGGTCGACCTCGCTGAGAGTCCCTGCAGAAAAGGGCGGAGCATTCTACAATCAGCATTCGTTCGATACCGCACCCCGGCGACCAGGCTGCGGTGCGGCTGCACCATCGAGGCCGACATGTGGAAGGGCCAGTTCCGCACCTCCGGCGGGGCGATGTGGTTTTGGCCTGGGCGCCATCGTGTACGACGGGCCCTGCGGCGGGAGGTTCTGCGCGAGGAAGCTGAGCGGTTGGTCCACCTTGTCCGGCGGGAGACGATCGCGCAGACGAGCTCCGAAAGAGATGGCTGGCCCGCTTGGTGGCATTTCGTGGTGATGATCGCCCGGAGCTGGCGACCTGCGCTTGCCCTTGCAGACCTGCAGCAGGTGGCGGGAGGGATCTGAGCATGTGATTTCGTGCTTGAGCTGCATCGCGACGGCGCGGCAAGGGATGGTTCGAGCTGCTCACCTTTTTCTGCTTCGGTCTTCCTTGCATGGTATACGCCGGACCCTTGTCGCTGCCTGGAACGTTGTACGCTCCGGGGCTTGGCGTATCGTTTTGCACGGGCGCCTGCGCGTCCCGGCTGCCCATGCTGAACGCTGGACCTTTCGGGGTGGCATCGATGTTCTGATGTTCGCCTGGTGCTGGTCCTCTGTGTGCAGGCTCGGGTTCGGGAAGCCTGGGAGCCAGCGTGAATGCGGGCCCGGCTTTCGGGGCCGCCACATCGTATGCGGTAGGAGCAGGCGTATCGGAAACTTTGTCTTGGACAGCGTAACGGCCCGCCATCGTGTGTGCAGGTCCTGCAGGGCGCTGTGGAAGCACGTATTCCCATGGCGCGGGTGTGTCTGCCGTCGCCTCCCGGAGCGGGATCCGTCCTCCGATCGTTGGTGCGGGGCCTCGGTCCACAGCGGGCAGGACGTAGGCGTCCGGCCCTGGCACCGGATCTTGAGCGCGCTCTGGTGCTGCGGCGCCGCCCATCGTCCACGCCGGCCCCCTCTCCATGTCCGCCCTCGTGTACCCCGACGCCAGCGGCACCTCGCTCGCCTTCGCCTCCGGCGCGCTCGCCCGCGGAAACGAGAACGCCACCCCCCTCTCCCCAACCTCCACGTGATGCGCTCCCGGCCCGGGAACGTCGCGGGACGGCTCGGGCTGCTCGATGCGGCCGGCGATGGTGAAGGCTGGGCCGCGGGCGGCGTCGGGCAGGTCGTACTGCCCCACGCTCGGACCGTCCTCCTTGGCCGCTGGCTGCGCTCCACGCTCACCCATCGTCCATGCAGGGCCGTCCGGGGCGTCCGTTGCCACCTTGTACGCGCCGGGACCGGGGGCGTCTGAGCTCGCTTCCTTGACGGGTCGCCTGGGCAGGAGCGTGAAGGCCGGGCCGCCTGCCTTGAACGCGCCGTCTTGGTACGCCAGCGGTCGATCTGCCGCGTCGAGCGCAGCGCGGTCCGTCTCCGTGGGGATCTTCGCACCCATCGTCCAAGCGGCACCATCGCGTGGCTGACGGACGTCGTAGTGCGTCGGCCCGGGCGCGTCGTCCTTGGCTGGTTCGGGGTGACGCCCTAGGAACGAAAAGGCGGGGCCACGCGCGCCCGGCCCCGCCTCGTAGTCGCCGGGCCCAGGGACCTCGGTGTCCACGCGGTCCTCGGGGCGGCCCGCGATGGTCCAGCCCGGGCCGGACGGTTGCACAGGCGCGGGGTTGTACGACCACATGTCGGGGCCGTGGGGATCCTGCTTGGGCTGCTTCGCGGGAGCCCCCATCGTGAACGCCGGGCCGGTAACCGCCGCCTCTTGGTAGTAGTCGCCCGGCGCGGGTCCGTCCGCCGCGCGCTTCGGCGCAGCGACGGCGCCGCCCATCGTCCACGCCGGCCCCCTCTCCATGTCCGCCCGCGTGTACCCCGTCGCCAGCGGCACCTCGCTCGCCTTCGCCTCCGGCGCGCTCGCCCGCGGAAACGAGAACGCCACCCCCCTCTCCCCAACCTCCACGTGATGCGCTCCCGGCCCGGGAACGTCGCGGGACGGCTCGGGCTGCTCGATGCGGCCGGCGATGGTGAAGGCTGGGCCGCGGGCGGCGTCGGGCAGGTCGTACTGCCCCACGCTCGGTCCGTCCGCGCGCTGCTTCGGCGCGGGCGGCCGCTGCGCGAGGCTCCACGCCGGCCCCGCGGGCAGGGCGGGCACTTCGTACTCGCCGGGGGCGGGTGCGTCTCCCGGGGCTGCGGGCGCAGGACGACCTGCCACGGTCCAGGCCGGACCGTCGCGCCACGCGCTCCGATCGATCGCCGTGTCCGCCGGGCCCGGCAAGTCGCTCTTCTTCGCCGGCGCCGCGCGGACGCCCATTGACCACGCAGGACCGTCGCGCCAGCCGCTCCGATTGATCTCGTACTCGCCAGGCTCCGGACCGGGGTCGCCCTGCTTCGCTGCAGGCCGACAGCCGATGGTGTGCGCAGGTCCGCCACCGGGCACGCGCACGTCGTAGTCCGTGGGCCCAGGAACGTCGTCAGGTTTCTTCGCGTCCTGTGGCCGCCCCGGCATCGTGAACGCAGGACCGTCGCGCCAGCCGCTCCGGTTGACGTCGTACTGCCCGGGGCACGGCTGCTCCGCCTGTTGTGCGGGCGCCACGCGGCCAGCAATCGTCCACGCAATGCCAGCGTCCCTGTCCCCAACCTCGTAATTCCCCGGGCCCGGAGTGTCCGTAGGGACGCCCACGCGGTGGTCTCGGGTCGGCCGGCCAGCCATCGTGAAGGCAGGCGATCGCCTGCGTGGGAAGCAAGCGCAGCGGCGTGCGAGGTGAGAACAAAGAGCAAGATGCAACGTTCTTGTTGCGGATGTTCGGAGAAAGAACCACGCTTCAGCTCTTCGTCTCCACGATCACTGTCGTACCTGACATCCTCGGGCTCGTATGTTCCGGGTGCGGGAGTCTCTGAGCGGCCTTCTAGGGGAAATGCTCCTCTCACAGCTTGTGGGACCGAGAACGCCGGTCCGGACGGCGGTGCTCTCACCTGCGAGGTGATCGCGGCGTTTATGAATGCGTGAGGTGGGAGTCTGGCGCGTTTGCGGCGGGATCCGAAGTGCGTCGAGTCGAGCGCTTCAAACGATCCATCGGCAGCTCGTGGACCGCATGAGCAGCGCGGTACAAGGCAGCTTTCCGAACGCAAGGGGCCATGACCCACGAATGATGCAGGGACATCCAGACGTGCAGAGGCATCGTGCAGGCCAAGCTCGGCAAGGCCGGGACGGCCAGGCGCAGCGCGACTGAGGAGCGTTGCAGCTGTGGCGCCCGGGCACGCACGTCGTAAGCTCCCGGGCCGGGAGTAGGCTCCTCGCAGTCTGAGGAGCATGAAGAATCGGAGGCGTCTTCCTCCCGCGCGCCCTGCTGTGCGTGCCAGCGGTCCAGCGTGCCTCCCCTCGATGAGCCACCATGGTGCCGCTCGTGCGCCCGCTGACGAGGGCGACGAGGCTGTCTTCCGCCCGCAGTCTGTCGCTGAGCAACAAATCTACGCCAATGCGGATAGTCTGCGCAGGGATGCCCTTCAGAGATAGAGGAAGCCCGAACGTGTTGTTCCCGATGATAGGTGGCTGCTCCTTTGAAGCTAATCTCCTCCCCAAAGCGGAACTGAGATCCCAGCATGTCTACACCATCGCTTGGATCAGGTGGGCGTCCGACCCCGCTACTTCCGCGGCCCGCGGCACATGCTGCGTCCTGTCCCTGTGCGAACCTCACTGACGCTCACCCGTCCAGCTGACGCGCGGGCCAGCGCCTGCTGATCGCCGGGAGGACGTGAAGTGCCGCCGAGTCGCAGCATCGTGGCTCTACGAGCGGTTGACTGTCCCGGACAGTCGGACTGAGTCCGTCAGACGACTCGTCACGACATTGCGTCGCTGCAACTCCCCCCCAGGGCAAGTCCGCAGAGCCCTGGCTCCGGTGGATGCGATTGAGGATCTCTGCGGAGAGAGACCGAGCGGAGTCACATTGCCGCCGGTGTGCTCCTCGACACGGTGACTTGGCAGCACTGTGTCACTGCCGCCCCCCCCGGCCCCTTCGGCCCCTCGCGGCGTTGCGCCCGCCTTGCAGGCTCCGTCCCCGCCCTCTACCGCCCGCCCACCGCTGGTCTGGAGCCCGCTGCTGCGGACCGAGGCAGTCCTCCAGGAGATTGCGCAGGTCACTGCTGCACATGGCACACTCCACTCTCACCGCGTTGTACTGCGGTAGCGCGGGAAAGGGGACACGCAGGTGGGAACGCGACGCCGTCTGTGCGATCTATGGGTCGGCGTGGGCCGCAATCGGGCAGCTGGTGGTCAACATTGCCCATCATCATCATCGCACCTGAGGGGGGACGAGTCGGAACTTGGTTTTGAGGAGATGAACGGGGCCTTTCGGCCCTGAACACCGTTGGCATGTTGACTCCGATGCCGAGGCTTCCTGCATCCATCAACAGCGACGTGGCAGATTGAAATGAGAAGAACAAGCGAGCCTAGAACTCACCTGCACATCCCCGCGATGAACCGCACCTGAAGGGAGCTTGGAAACGTGAGATGGAAGGAGCACGCCGGGTAGGCGCTGCACCTGACCACGCCCTGGTGTCCCGGGCTGGGCAGGTGCAGGCACAGCTGCCCGCCGCACTCAGGCGAGCTGCGGCAGGGGCCCAGGATGACGGCGTTCCCGGCGCCGCCAGGATGTCCTGCGCGATACGGAGCGAGATGGATGAGGGGGCACCGGCGCGATGTGGTGATCCGCCGCACCGCGTTGGAAACAACACGTGCGTGGGCGCACCGTTCGTGTTTTCGGAGCCCTGGAAGAACTTTGCGACGGCCGACATCAGGACATGCTTCTGCTGGTCGAACTGAGCGAAGTTGAGCCGAAACGCTTGCATGGCCTCCGCGAGGACTTGCTGCTTGGTGCGCCGCCCGCCTGCAGCTTGCGTGGGAGGGGGCCGCTCCTCTTGTGCGGCCGTCGCACGAGCGGCAGTGCTGGGCGCTGATGACGCGGGGCGACACACGCACCGGCGATCGCGTCGATGTTGGACTCGATCGTCGCGCGCAGCCCCGGGAGGTACATGTTGTCCAGCCCCATGGTCATGTACCCGTGGACCAGCGCCTCGCCCAGCTTCGTCGGCCAAAACTGCATCGTGCCATCGTCCTTCGTGGCGTACCCCCTGCAGCGAAGAGTCGTCAGTGGGTGTTCGCCCCCGGCGGCAAGTAAGAGCAGCTCTGGCACTGCTTGCAGGAAGTCACTCGCACCTGTCGAGCTGCTTTTTGATGTGGTCAGCGGTGGTGGCATCAGTGCCAATCCCGTGTCGCTCCATCAAGGAGATCAGGTCTCGCTCCGACAACTTCGGCGGAGGTTGCGTCTTCGACTCATCCAAAGAGATTTCTGCGCAGATGTCGGTGCGCGGAACAACTCGGATTGCGGTCGCCCGAGTCGAGTCAAGCCAAGATCCCACGAATTTGCGCTGTGCACCCAGGAGCCATCGACGTGGCATCACCTGATGGGGTGAACACACTGCCTGGCTGAAGTGGCGGCAGCCAGTTCGGTCCTGCGCCCCAGGACGAGTAGGGGTAGACATCCAGCCACGCACGTCGCTGAACCATGAGGCCCTTCGCGGTGAAGACCTCGTTCGCGACGTCGATTCGCATCGTGGTTTCGAAGCCTGCAGACATTGAAATACGGCCGATCAGGGCGCCTGCAGGACGCGAAGCCGGCAATCTAGCGGTCTGACGGGCGCGCACGAAGTGTTTTCTCACCGACTGCTGGCTTGGAGCACGCGGCCAGGAACGATCGCGCCACGAGCTCGTACAGTTTCTTCTTGGTGACAGGCCACCCAGAGTGCTCCGCGTCCGTCGGCGCACGAGTGGGATGAATCGGGGGGTGCGCCTTGTCATCGTTCTGCCCTGCAGTTCCGCCCGACACAGGTTGCGGGTGAAGCGCGCCTCGCGACGGTGTCTGAGGAAGGAGCGCACACAGCATGCAGCGCACCTCTGTCTGGAAACATGAACAGGTCCTGCGCAGGGTCCAGCAGCGCCTGCGCGTACTGACCCCACTCGGGGTTGTGGCTCTGCACGTCGATGATGCCCTGGATGTCCGTTTCCCTCGAGAACCGGTCCGTCTCAGTGCGCGGGTACGAAATGAAGCCCGCCTGGTACAGCTCCTCTGCGACTTTCATGACCTCCGCACCCGGCATCCGCAGCGCACTTGTTGCCTGCACGCAAGACGAATGGTGCGCAATCGGCGCCGAGGGGCTGAAGGCCACATGCTGTTTGTGAGCATGCAAGGGCGGCGCAACTCCCCACGCACCCGTTTCTGGAGCTCAAGGGTGCTAAGTGGAAATGGCGGCCAGTGCTGGCGCTCTCTGCCGTCCACTGAGATGACCCTCGCCGTGCCTTCGGCGACGCAAGCCTCCATGAGCACCGCTGCGACGCCCTTGTCGTACAGCCGTCCGCGCTGCCACTCAAAAACACACCTGCGGCGCACGAACTGAACGGAACGTGGGTGCGCGCCGCTGCCGCTCGTCGCGACGTCGGCCGTCGACCGCCAGGCGGCCGGCGAGCACCCGTGGGTGCACAGGCCCGTTTCAGTCAACGCACAAGGCGTGGCGCACCGTTGCCCCTTCTCCGCGAACAGCACTCGTATAGTCCAGAACGCCTCAGGTACGTGCGCCTGGATCTCCCAAGCTCGCGCGACGATGAAGTACAGTGTTGGGAACTGACACGGCCCGTACGAGATGATCTGCGACTGCCCGTCGTTCGGACGAGCGTGCGCGGGGAGCACCGACCAGTTGAACTTGTCCTGCGGCGTGTGCGAGTCGGGGATGTGAGGTCGGGGCGGGCACACGACGTCAGCTCCCGCATGGATGGATGTGCATGTGCAGTCTCAGCATTCGTCATCATCGGTGGCGCACCCCAAGGAGGAGCGTCTGAGCGCGCGTGAAGATCGCGCCGATCCGCAAGTCGATCTCTTGCCTGGCGGCGACCGCGGCCGCGTCCCTCTCGCGGGGCACGTCCAGGTTCTGCATAGCACGGTGCAGCTCGGCCGGCACGAGCGCCGAGAACCTGCAAACGCGGAGGAGGTCCCAGACGATGGGTACCAGGCGAAACAGCTGTAGTCGACGACATCGGCGCACTGTGCGCATCTCTCACCTCGCTCGTTTGATCTGGATGTTCCAGTTCGTCGTTTTGCAGACGTCTATCACCTCGAACGCGATCGCCTCGCCCTCTCTATCGCAGTCCAGCCACAGGACGAGCAGTGCCGCATCTCGTGCCTGCAAGGACGGGCAGCAGGCAGTCCACGTCGTGCTGTTGCCCAAGGGGCGTGCGTGCTCCACGATGCGCGATCAGGCGCGCGCGGGTTGCTCCTGCCAGGTTCGCCGCCCGCGGATGCGCGCCTACCGCATGACGATATCGCGGCTCCGTGCCGTCTACGGGTTCGTGAGGTATTTTACCTGCTCCTTCAAATTTTGCTCCGCCTCCTTCAGATTACTGGGCACGTTGGAGCACAAATTTGCGTCGAACAAAGCCGGCAAGGTGTCCCACCTCCACTTCTTGACTGACGCGTCGGCGAAGTCGATCTCCTTGAGGTGCCCGGCCACAGAGGTGAAGAGCATACTGCGGAAGGGCGGAGGACGTCGGGCGCTTGAGCGACCTCGACATCACGCAGTCGTGCGGACAGTGTGCGGTGCCGGCCCTCACTTGTAAGTCTGTCCCGCGACGTTGTAGGCGAAGGACCAGTTCCTGTTGAATCTTGCTCCTCCCACGCATTGCGCCGACCCGTTGCTGAGCACGCGAGACACCTCCTTCGCGACGGAGGGCTTCTCAGCGACGTTCAAGACCTTGGGCGCCATGCCTGCTCACGGAGCAGCCCGGGGCCGTCTCCCCGCGCCGGGGGCGAAGCATGCACAGCGCAGCCCGTGCGAGCAGGGCTCACGGCCCGTGAGCGGACATAAATCAGGCTGGCTCCGTCCCAAAGTCGTCTCCAGATAGGGTGCTCGTAGGTCGCCGCACGTTCTCAGCGAGCGGGGGCGCGCAAGCGGGCTGCGGGGGCAGCGAGTTTGCGCGCTCGGTGCTGCAGTCCTGGTTCCGGCCACTGAGGGCCCTCTGCCCGTGATGGCCCGCGGCTGATGACTGACACCGATCGACGCTGCCAGCTGCGTGGACAACCGCGATCTTTGATCCTGCTCTTGCTGGGTGTTGCTCACGACACTGCTGCCTTGCAGTCCTGGCAGTCTTATGTTGGACGTAAAGCCGCAAAACACGCACTCCTTTCACACGTGTACACGGGGCGCGGCGCGCCATTGAGCGCTGGAACATTTCGACGTGTGAGACCACTGGGGGGTTGGCCTTTGGACCTTGGGGCAGTCAAGCCGAACAGCGTCAGTGAGCCCTGACCGGGTCAGGGCTACGAGCCACCGCGCTGAGATGACGCAGTCCGCCCCTGGCAGTGCACTCCCTGCCTCTGCGGGGGCGACGGACTTGCCCCGCAGGCATCGTCCGCGCACGAGGCGGCCCCACAACCTTCATCATGGCGGACGTCAAGGACATCCTCGGGGTGCCCCGAGACGCGGGCTTTGACGGCGCCGTCAAGAAGGAGAAACCGACGGGACCCACGCGGCCGAAGGGTGCGTCGCTTGGCCGAAGCCCGTCTGAGGACATCGCGCTTCTGAGCAGCGTTCATGCCCGGTGGTGAAAGATGCGTGCGTGCCAGCCTGCGAGCGCCGCTCATCACCTCAGGGCGCAGCGATCGTTCACCTTGTCACGCGTGCGGCGCCTCCTCGCCCTGCTCCCGCAGGCATGTCGCGGGAGGCCTTTGCATTGCTGGATGGTAGCCACCCCATCATTCCCTCGCAACTCCTGGGGGTCAAGAAAAACAAAGGCCTGAAGGACAAGCGGAAGGGCCAGAAGGGACAGGTAAGCCGAGACTTTCGGGCCGTGGGATGCAATGCGCGACCGTAGCAGCGTGCTCCCCTCCTGCAGCGCGAAGGGGGCCGCAACGTTTCGCCCGTGCCTGATGGTGCGCAGTCAAAGTGGGCGTGGGAGCCTTTCAAGAACAGTGCGCGCTCGGATGGCCTCCAGCTTTGTCGGTGGCAGCAGCGAGTCTATGACGCCCAGAAGAACTTGGTGAAGGACGTCCCGGACGACTACTTCTACGCCAAGTTCAACAAGAGCGTCGAGGTCGTGCAGTATAATGACGAAGAATACAACTCCCTGCTTCAGGACCCGGACTGGACAAGGGAGGAGACGGACCATCTCCTTGAGGTTGCTCCTGCACACTCTCGTCTCGTTCGCTGCCATGCGTTGCGCCGCGCGTGCCGGGCGAGGTCGTACGTCGTTAAAAATCGCCATGTCATGACCCTGTGCTCTCGTACGAGGAGCGCGACCCCCGGTGTATGCGGTCGCGGTGCCCTGCAGCTGTGTAGACAATTTGGATTGCGCTTCGTGGTGGTTGCCGACCGCTGGGGACTCCAGAGGGCGCGCACCGTGGAGGATCTGAAAGCCCGGTACTACGGGGTGGCGCGTGCCCTCATCGTGGCGCGCCAGGGCGACGACGGGGCGACGAACCAGCAGCTGGTCCGCAACCCGTTCAACGTCCAGCACGAGATCGAGCGGAAACGCGCCCTCGAGGTGCTGTACCAGCGCACGGCGCGGGAGGCGCGGGAGGAGGACGAGCTGCTGAAGAAGGCCAAGGTGCGCGCGGCGGACGATTGATATGCAGAAGTGTTGTTTGTTGCGTGGCGGGACCGGGCGGCCTCACGGGGCCCGCGACGGCGTCGTCTCTGCGCAGGACATCGAGGACCGGCGGCGCGCGGAGCTGCTGTCGCAGTCGCAGCTGGACTCCGCGGCGGGGGCGGGGAACGTGAAGATCATCACGGAGCTGTTCGTGCCGGAGGGGCAGTGCTCGCTGGTCAGCCCGTCGCTGGACTTCAACTGGGTGCCGCCGGGGTCGTACCTGCGCGGCGCGTACACGGCCGGGCTGGCGGGGAAGATGAAGGCCGGGCTGACGGGGGGCGCGCGGGTGCAGAAGATGATGGAGCAGTACATGAACGACCTGGGCATCAACACGGGCGTCAAGTACCCGACGCGGGAGGTGTGCGCGAACTACGTCGCGCTCATCCGGGAAATCACGCAGGTGCTCGAGGCGAAGCGCAGGGCGCCGCAGCAGAGCCTTGCGCAGCAGCAGAGCAGCATCCGGAGAAGCGCGCGGGCGCAGGGGGGCGACACGTGAACCGCATGGGGCCCGACGCTCTAGGGGCTGCGACCGGGGGCGCGACTCGCGGTCCACTCGTTCATATTCATCAAATTACATAACTGCGGCGTGACGCGGAACATGTGAGGGTACGCAGACAATCATCGTGCAGGAGCTAGAATGGACCTGGGGTCCAGCCGGGAGGCGGATCTCTTCCGAAGAACTGCCGCTTGATGAGGCGACGGTGCCGCTCCATCGCCTCGCCCTTGTCAAGGATCCTGTGCGATCCCGGCCCGGCGCCTCGCGTCTCGCCCGAGCTGCGCCCCGTCACCTGCGAGAGAACTTGCAGCCAGCGGGGCGCGGGTCTTGCGTGCACTAAGCACGCCTGCCATGCAGCATGTGGGCTGCAGCTACAAGTGCCGACGCAGGGCCTATCGGCGCGCTGAGCCAGGCGAGGTGCCCAGCCCGTCAATGAACAGCTGCGTCTGCGGCGGCGCAGCCTCGAGACACGCCAACGCACCTGTTCCACCCCACTGTTTCTCACGACCCAGCGACCACCGGTACGCCTCGAGTGGCCCTCGGGGAGCTTGTAGCGCGGAATCTTCATTTCCACGGCCGCCACACGGCCAGTGAGCTGCTTGAGGAAGTCGACCTGCGCGCAGTCCGGACCATGGGCTCTCAGCGACGGGCTGGCGTTCAGGCGAGGGCTGCTAGGACCAGCCAGGAAACGGAGCTCGTCGTGCACACCTGCTTCATCGGGTCCTGTTCTGCTTGATGCTGACGAACCTGTGCCCTTGCATCCTGCACTATCGCGGCGCCCTCGCCTCCGGGAAGCAAGCGAGACAGCCGGAGGAGAGATCGGTACGTGCGCAGCACCGCCTGCGAGTGGGTGCTGCTCGTCATCGGGACATGGGCCCTGATCACGCCCGCTAGGTCGTGTCGGTTCGCGGCATGTACTGGGGGCACCGCGACGGTGGCGCGAGGCCTTGCACGCTCGTGCCGGGCTGACGGCAGCAGGGGGACCAAGCTGACGTGACATCAATGGATGCGCGCATGCGAGACTTTGGACATTGCGCCACAGCGGCGAGAGGCTTGGCCACAGCGCGAGCTCTGAGTCGCTTTTCCAACGCCTGCCGCGTTCTCATCGCCTCCAGAGGCCGGCGCAGCAGTGACAGACGCACTCGCCGTCGTCCCCGCGCGCAATACCCTCACGAACGCTCCCTCCAAGAACGATTCCGTCGCACTCGCCATGATGTCCCGCTAGCCATCGCGCACACGGGAGCATTCGTCCGGGCCAGCGCCACCGGCGCCTCTTTCTGTCCCTTTCCTGGCGGCTCTGTGCGCCGCTGCCCGTCAGAGAGATGACTGCGACGGCGGGCGCTGCGGTGGGCAGTAAATTGGCGTACAATGTCGTCGGCAAGCTCGACGCCTTCTATACGGGCGGTTCGATCCGTGTGTCGGCCGATGGGTCGCTGTTGGCCTGTGCGTGTGCGGATGACATCAAGGTGAGCGCGACGTGCCCCCACCGCCGGCGCGAGACTGCGGGCGTGTGCATGTCGAGCGCCGGGTCGATCGCGGGTGCCGAACGCGGCCCGGACTGTGTTGCAGATCGTGGAGACCTCAACTGGGAGAGTGGTTGCAACACTGGTGGGCGACTCCGAGCCAATCACATCTATATGCTGGCATCCTGATGGGGACAGCGTGTTCGGTGCATCCCGCAGCCTGGTCTTGCGCCGTTGGAACGTGCAATCAGGTGCGGTGTGTATGCCTGAAGTTGCTGAGAGCACGGTTCGTGGCAACAGACCGCAGGGAAACACGCAGCCGCCCTGCTCGGGCACGCTTCTGCAGGGGAGCTGTTGAAGTCCATCAAGGCGCACCAGGCACCTGTGGCGGACATGTCGATCGATCCAACTGGGTCGCTGCTGGCCACCGCCTCCGCCGATCGCACTGTGCGTGTGTGGGACATCGACGGATCGTACTGCACGCACGTCTTCAGGTCCGGCTGGGAATACCACGCGGTCGTCTCAGCTTGCTTTTGCTGGATGTTGTTCGAACCAACGAAAGACGGGATTGCCACTGCTTGACTTTGACCGGATGCAGAGGACACTCGGGCGTGGTCATGAGGGTTGCCTTCTCTCCCTCCACGACGGACATGCTCCTCGCGTCCGCCGGTGACGACGCGGAGGTTCGGATATGGGACCTTCGCTCCAAGTGTTGCGCAGCGAACCTGGCCGGCCATTTCTCTGCCGTCACTGGGCTCGCGTGGCAGGCTGACGGTCGAACGTTGCTCAGCGGAGGTCGTGACAAAACCATTTTTGTCTGGGCAGCTGAAAGAGCTGGCGGCAAGTGGGCGAAGCGAAAAAGTTTCCCTGTTTTTGAAGAGATCGAGGGGCTGGTCGTGGTTCAAGCAGAGTCTGGCTGGCCGGGAGCTGCTTTGAGCGCGAGCGGCGGAGTGGTTTGCGGGGTCGCGGGCGAGCGCGGCCAACTGAGGTGCGTCGCTCGCTCGCGTGTCTGAGCTTGCCAGCGCATCTGCACCAGCGGGTGCGGTACCATCGAGCGCACGCCACTCGATTGTCAACGCACAGGTTTTTTGACGCGGGGAAGGGCGTGTGTGTCTGGGAGGGCGACCGGCCCGCCATCTCGGGAGCCTCCAGTCTGATCACAGAGCTCCTTGCCACAGACGCAGGGACGATCGTAGTCGCGACAGGTGGGGCACCGCTCCGCTGAACACCCGTCGCATGCGTGCCTTCCTGACGCGTGGCAGGCCGCGTGCCTGACCAGCATGGTGTGTTGCAACGCTCTGCCACTTCTCGCAGGCGACCAACGTGTTCTCGTGTACCAGGGAGCTCAGAACGAGCAGCTTGAGCTGACGAGAGAATTTGTCGGCAACAACGGTGAGGTCACGGACGTGTGTCTGCTCGGAGATCCGGCCTCGCCCACACACGTCGCTGTCAGCGTCAATGGAGAGGATGTGCGGATATTCGATCTACAGAATCTGAGTGTCGTGGGCACCTTCCGAGGCCACAAGGACATCGTCCTTGCTCTCGGTGGAACCATGGTGAGTGGCACGCGCGAGCGTGGCACTGCGTCGCAGCAACTGCTCCACATGCCTGGTGCGGCAGAGTGCTGAGACGCGAGTGGGTGTGTGGCTGCAGGTCCCGCGTGACGCATCGCTTGCTGGCGCGGCTGGAGGCGGTCCAGCGTCGTTGCTGTGTTCTGCTGGCAAGGACGCCTCAGTGCGCCTGTGGGACTGCATCACCGGCAGCTGCATCGCAGTTGGCGAGGGTCATGTCGGTTCGGTCGGCGCGCTCGCTGTCTCCGACGTACAGCGGAGCTCGACGTCCCCTGTGGTCGTCAGCGGCGGGACTGACAAGCTGGTCATCTGCTGGGACCTGAAGGCTGTTGTGTCCGGCCTCAAGAGGCCGGATGCTGGCGGCGCGGCGCCCTCCAAACTACCCGTCTTGGCAACAGTTGCGGCACACGATAAGGCGATCAACGCCATCAGCTTGTCGCCCACAGGCGCCCTGGCAGCCTCCGCCTCTCAGGACCGCACTGTCAAGGTCTGGCAGCTCCCGACGCTCCAGCCCGTGATGACGCTCAAGGGGCACAAGCGAGGTGCTTGGGCCGTGGCATTCTCCCCAGTGGAGCAGGTGGGTTGTTCGTCAGCCCTGTGCATCGCGCGCAGAGGAGGGGTTTCCTCAACCCCAGAGCTGGCACCGAGGCAGCTCCCGATCGGTCCACCTGCAGGTGCTGTGCACGGGCTCTGGGGACAGAACGATCAAGCTGTGGTCGCTGAAGGACGGATCTTGCTTGAAGACGCTCGAGGGGCACACCGCCTCAGTTCTGAAAGTCTGCTTCCTCACCCGAGGCACGCAGCTCCTGTCGTGCGGGGCGGACGGCCTGGTCAAGCTGTGGGAGCTGCGGTCGTCGGAGTGTGTCGGAACGTTCGACGACCACGAGGACAAGGTCTGGGCGCTCTCCGTGGGTGGCACAAATGAACGCATGGTGGTGAGAGCGACGCGCCCCAGCCCACACTCAGACCCAGATTGCCCTGCTCCCTACACTCCATCGGCCGCACGTGTGCGTGATGTCATTCGCGAAACTGCCAAGGCTGGACAAACAAACATCAGCATTGCACTCTCAACCCCGTCGTACAGGTCACGGGCTCCGCCGATTCCTCCGTGCGGATTTGGGAAGATCACACTCAGGCTCAGCGTGCAAACCAAGTTCAAGTCGAGGAGGATCTCGTGCTCAGAGAGCAGGGCCTCGCCAACGCACTTCAGGCTGGAAAACATCAAGAGGCCTTCCAACTGGCTTTCGAGCTGAGGCAGCCTGGCAAGCTCCTGCATGTCGTACAGGATATCATGAAGCTTCCTCCTCGCAAAGCCGAAAGAGTCCTCGAGCATTTGGCGGCGGGTTTCGACGCCGATGCACTTCACGACGTCCTCTCCTACTGCCGCGACTGGAACACAAACTCAAAGTTTTGCCACGCGTCTCAGGTAAGCAAGACACAACTTCGTCAGCGCTGCGGCGTGACAGCATGTTGAGCCGGACTCGCAACAGCGAAGCAACGTTCGACCACGCCTTGTTTGTGCAGGCGCTGCTGTCTGCGATCTTCCGCACACACCCTCCACCGGCATTGTCTGAGTTGAACGAGGCGTCCGAACTTCTCAAGGGCATCACCACGTACACAGCGCGGCATATGGCACGCCTCGACCGTCTCTCAAGGGCAGCGTTCCTCCTTGACTTCGTGCTCAAGTCTGGGCACAACGTGCTGCAGGACGATGCTTTGCCGGATGCAGAGGCAGATCAGTCGCCGCAGGGCATGAAGCGACCGCAGCCAGAGGACCCCGCGGAAAAGAGCTTGCACTCTGGTCGAAAACGGTCCAAGAAGAGGCACGCGAAGCGCGTCAAGTAGCGCCAACATCGCGCTGCGAGCGCAAACGTGCCGCGTGAGGCGATTGATGATACTGCCCGGCAGTATGTCGGTTGGTGCTTGACGGACAGTCACTGGTGTGCTCAATTGAGCGCTGCATGCTGCCTCACACGCGTAGGGCAAGTGAGGTTCCTTGCACGAAACAGCGCTGCGCCCTCGACCAGGGCACACTCATGGTGCCTCCCCTGTGACCGCGCATACTCTCGCTGAGGCGCGAGTCGTGCTTCTCGAGGCGAAACGTGCATCACCTCTCCTATGCGGTCTTGCCTTGGGCTTCCTTCGCGTCCATGGCAGCCTTGCCCCACGTTGGCTTGAAGTATGCCACAGTGCGCTTGATGGCTTCGTCCATCGGCACAGGTGCGCGGTATCCCAGGTCCTTCTTCGCGGCGTCGCAGCTGAAGTTCCTGTTGCACGCCGCGAGCTGCACGACACAGGTGGGCGCCGTGCGACCGTGACATGATGTGCATGATGGCGACCTGTCAATTCGGTTGGCGCACCGGGCGAGCGATGAGGGCCCGTGTCACCGGGACGGACGGACCTTGACCCGGAACGTCGTGAAGTCTGTGGAGAGCTGGACAAAAGGACTGAGGATCCAGAATATGAACTGCAAGACGACAGCGATGGCGTAGATGAGGCCGAACGGGAGCTTCCGCGAGGGGCGGCTGTACCCGAGTCCTTCCAGGATGTCACCCATAAATCCCCAGAACGTCCTCGGCTCGTCATTCGTGATGAAGTACGCCTTGCCGGACACCTGCACGTACGCGGCAGGACCCACGATGCGCCGTTGGGCTCCTCCGACTGCCGCGGTCTGCTCAACAATCGGGCTGCAGGCTGGCAGGGGCTGACGGCACCTTCTTCCCCGCGAGCAGGGCCTCGGCCGCGTCGAGGTGCGCCTGCGCGACGTTGCCGACGTACGTCCAGTCGCAGAGGTTCTCGCCGTTCCCGATCATGAACTTCATTTTCCCCTGGCGCGCCTTGGCCACCGTGGTGGGCACCATGAGCATGTCGCGCTCCCCGAAGATGCTGCTCGGACGCAGCGAAACAGTCGCGAGCATGGAGCTGGCAGCGTCGAGCACGATCTTCTCGCCGCGCATCTTCGTTTCCGAGTAGAAATCCAAGAACCTGCGCTGGGTGCAGTGCCGCGTCGCTCGTCATGCGGGCGCAAAGCGCTGCTTCAGGGCGCGTCGTGGAAGCCAGCGGGCTCTTGCGCGGGCCGCGCCGGTCGCACCTGTCCGGGTACGGCTGGGCCTCCGTGCATCCGACGAGGTCCTGGCCATTGAACACAACAGAAGAGGAGGATGTGTACACCAGGGTGCCCACCCCCGCCTTCTTGCAGGCCTCGACGACCGTGCGAGTGCCGTCAACGTTGACCTGGGTCATCAGCTTCTTGTTCCTCGCGTTCGCGCCCGTTGGCGACAAGGTGGCCACGTGGAACACAACATCGACCCCTTGCAGGGCCTTCACCAACTGCGCCTCGTCGTTCAGGTTGCCGACGACGCTCTCCACTTTCGTGAACTCATTCCCCTGCAAATGGTCCGCGTTTGTGGGGTGATGCGAATGCGTCAATCGCGGGTGAGGCTCAACCCAGAGCCGAACGACGATCATGGGCACCGGCCAAGCAACACGCCGTGGACGGCGAGGCCGGCGTTGGTGGCGCGCAAGCTCTGTTCGCGCAAGGTTCGCGGGGCGACAGCGGCCGATTTGCCTCCCGAGTGCATGTCTGTCCACACCACGGCATGCAAGGTCGTGCTCTAACCTGCAGGGGACGCAAATCAAACACCACGACATCCCAGCCCGCGTCTAGAAGCTTCAGCACCAGGTGCTGCCCGACGAACCCCGCGCCGCCCGTGACGAGGCAGCGGCGGTGAGACCTCGTGTGCGGCATCCTGGTGTTCGTCCTCTAAGCCTTGCGATTCTGACGTCCCTTGCCGTCGACGATCTCGTCGACCTTCTCGAGCTGTTCCTGGTAGCTTTCCCTGCGAGGTGGCGGCGGCGTGACGCGCGTGGGTGCGTGACAGGAGCTGCAAGGCCAGGGAAGGGTTGCCCCTCCGGGCAGTCGCCAGAGACCTGAAACGAAGCGCGCGCGCGGGCCCGGCTCCTTCATCATCAAGTGTGTCCGACGTGCGCATCGCGCGGCTTCACACCTGGTGTGCTGAGTCGACGGGTACACAATGTAGCGCTTGGTGTTGGCGAGCCACGCCACACGATCAGGGTCGGCACACCACGCCGTCAACAGCGCGGGGATGGCCAGGTAGACGCCAAACTTGAACACCTGCACGCGAGGCGGCTCACGCGCGATGCCGTTCGTTCGCTTCCTTGGCTGCGCACGACGAGACGGATGCCGGATGGAGACATCCACCACCGATAACGCGCCACGGCGACTCCATCAGGCTCGCACTGGCACGCACCTCGAGGTTCAGGCTGTCGCGGGCAGATCTCATCGGGGGGCGACGGAAGGACCGGGCAGAAAATCCCTTCCTCTCTCTCGAGCTCCTCCCAAGCAGTCGCGCGGTGGATCCGCACGGCCTGGCGATGATGATGATGTGCCGGAAGACGCCGACCATCGCCTGACTTGTCGAGGAACGCCGGAGCCTCGAGGCGGACGGCCGATGGGACCCCACTGCATCAGGCTGTGAGTCCCTCAGCCCGCTGGGGTCGCTGCGGGGCTCTCATGCCGACCGAAGCAGCGACGACATCCAGTTCACGAGTCGAGGGACACTTCTCGAGAGTCGACGAGCTTCCTGCGCGGCCCGGGGAGGCGAGCTCGCGCTGGATCTGAGGGCCTGAGGTTGCACGCGAGGGGAGGCACACGTGGCGGCAGGTTGCACGCAGAGCCGCACGGGCGAGGGGCCGTACTCGTCATGAGCGGCATGGGCCGGACGCGATCCGGGCCGGCGTACAGCACGCGGAGCCAAGGAGCGAGGAAGGGAGGGGAGGGGGAGGGCGGCCAGGAGCAAGACCCGGCCGCTCGCGAGTCGGGGGTGAGCGACACGTGGCACTTTTGGGCCGGCACCTGAGCGCTTGCGTGGCTTGTTATCAACCTGGGGTGCCTGGCAGCAGACGGCGACGTCGTTGCTGTGTGCCAACACGTGCATCGCCGTTCTGCCTTGCCGCGACGAGACCGGGGCTCGTACGGCGCGCTGGAGGCTACGCTCTCAGGTCCACGATCGGTCGCGAGGGTCGCGGGCCACCTTTTCGCGCCCCCGTGGTGCGACGACTGCAGGACGTGCCCGGTGGAGCCGAGGCTGCAACCGTCCACACGGGCACCGAGGACCGCGACGTGGACGTTGCGTCGGAAGGCACGTCTATCGACGACGACGACTTCGACGGGGAAGACGAGCGGACCAGGCACCGGGACTCGACTGAGGACCCTGGAGATGGGCTCCCTCGCGGGTCACGAGCGAACAGGCGCTACGCAGTCCTGGGCCCCGGGGCCTTCCTCATTGCAAGGTCAGCCACGGGCGGTCGGAGATGATGCGTCATCACGCCGCAGGCACCGCAGCGCTGCACGCGCACAGGTTCAGCACATGATTGCTGGCGCGTATTTTCGTGCTCGACGCGGCAGAAGCACGCCGTGTCCCAGGGCAGCGGACTCAGCGATTCCAGTTGTATCCGCTCTTGCAGGGAGGGCGGTTCGGGGGCGCGCGGCGGGTACGGAGCGGCGGACATCGTTGCTGCCATGCTGGGAGAGCAGTTCGACTCCCTCCTCGACCGATACGAGGACATGCAGATGCAGGTGCGCCTGCAGACGCGGCCTCCCGACCCACGTGCACACCGGCCTCGCTCGCCCGCCGACGCGGCAGGGCACGCGGGCACGCGGGTTGTCTGCCCCCCCTGCACGGTTTCGACGCCAGACGGGTGGCGAGCCGGCGCCCCACGCTCACGTCCCTCCCTCCGCAGCCCGTGCGCGCCCCGCACCCACGCGTCCCTCTCCGCACGCCCCCCGCCTCGACGCGCCCTGCGGTGTGCTGTCCGTGTGCAGATGGCGATGCAAATGTCGCTCGCGGAGAACCCGGACGCGTCGCTGGACCTCTCGTACGAGTCGCTGGTTGATCTCGAGGACGTCAAGCGCACCGCGACGCCGGAGCAGGTGTCGAAGATGAAGCGCCACGTGTACAAGGCCAAGACGGGACAGGCGGCTGCCACCGGCAAGTGCCTCATTTGTCAGTCGGAGTACGAGGACAGGGACGCACAGATAGAGCTGCCGTGCGGCCACCGGTGCGTCGCCCCACCCCCGCGCACGGTCCCTCCCCCCCGCGCCCATCACGTATCCCTCTAGCCACACTTTGTTTCCACTTGCACCGTCCCCGACGCGCACGCAGGTTCCACTCGGACTGCGGCTCCCAGTGGCTGAGCGAGTACAGCCGGAACTGCCCCGTCTGCAAGGCTGACGCCGCCGAAGCTGCCGGAGCGGGGAAGGACAAGAGCGCAACGTAGTTCGACAAAGTCGCGCCGGTGCTGTGCGTGCCTCTAGGATGTCGATAGTGTGAGGGCCGCGCGGCGATCCGTTCGCTTCCATTTGGCGGCACCGCCGCGACCCTGCGAATGTCGGAGCGTGATGTTGCAGCGGCACAGAGCTTGTGCACGCGGGCGCACTGTGGGACGCGACAGGTGCGGGCCGCTCCGCACGTCCGCTCAGATGCGGGCTGTCGCAAGGGAGCGGGGGGCCCGGGTGGCTCAAGGGGGCCCTCACGACGCCACGCGAGAGACCCCTTGCTGAGTCTCCAGTTGACGGGGGCCGATTCCGCGTCGGCCGGTGCGCACCGCGGGGCTCGTTGCGTCCGGACGCCGCGAATGGCACGGAACGCTTGCTCGCTGACGTCCGCGGGTGCTATTCACGCACGAAAACCACGCGCGTGCGATTATCCGGGTGCAGCCCAACCGAGCTCTCGCCCTATCCTCGACATGTTGACCGCGCAGCGCGTGCGCTTCCCCGGCGCCGTTACAGGTACGCACCATTCGCCTGCGCGCTCGCTCTCACCGTGCGCCGCGCACCTCCCGGCCCGGTCGATCGCGCAAGCGCACTCCCGGCGCACGCCGTCGCTGACGATCCCTCCGACACCCCTGCCCGCTGATATCGCAGGGATTCGCGCAAAGAAATGCCGTGCGCGGCGGCACCTCCCTATCATCCGCGCGGAGCAGCAGGCAAGCCCGCCTCAACGCCTAGCTGCATTTCTCCGCTCGCCCTCTTGTTGTGCATGCCAGCCGTCCGCCCGCGCACACGCGCACGTGCCGTGACGTCAGCTCCGCGTTCCGGGCTCGCCTCGGTGCGGCTCGACGCATTCCGGCGCTGCCGGAGGCCGGGCTGGCCCGCGTGACAGTGGAGGCCCACCCGCCGCCGACGCACAATGCGCGCGCCGTCAACACGCGCTCGGTGCGCGCCAGGGCGAGCGCCGCCATCCTCCGTGCCGTCATTGGCACGGGCGGCGCAATCGCCCTGGAACTTCCGCGCTCTGCACGAGCACAGTAGCTCCGGATCCAAAGGATCTTCGCGCGTCGCTGGACCAGCCGGGACGGCGCTGGTGACGCTGCCTCTGGCCAGCAGTACATGCGCTGTGCGCTTCCTGGTGCAGCGATGCGCCTGTTTCCCGCGGGACGGGGCGATCCCGCCGTTCTAACTGACTCTCGAGCTCACTCGCAACGCGACACCCGCCGTCCGTCCAGCAGAGCACGGAGACGGAGACGGCCACTAAGAAGCGTTCGGTCGGGGAGATGGAGCAGGAGTTCCTCGAGGCCATGCGCTCGTTCTACTACGACGGCAAGCCCTCCATCAGCAACGAGGAGTTCGACGCCCTCAAGGAGGAGCTCCTGTGGGAGGGCTCGCAGGTGCGCACGCGCGCGCAACGGTCAAGATCCTCCGCGGCCGCCCCCCGCGCACCCGTTTCGCCGCAGCGCGGCCCTCACGGCTCGTCGCGGCCCGCCCCCGTGCAGGTGGTGATCCTCTCGTCCGCGGAGCAGCGCTTCCTGGAGGCGTCGATGGCGTACAACGCGGGCAACCCCATCATGAGCGACGAGGAGTACAAGGCGCTGAAGGACGAGCTCAAGAAGTCGGGCTCGGGCGTCACGAAGCAGGTGCGCCTCGTGCAGCTGCTGCTCGTGCTCGAGGCCGCGCCAGCATCCTCGCTGCGTCCCTGCACGCGACGCGTGTGCGAGACCACGTACCGCTCCGCCGCGCGCGCGCTGCAGGGCCCCAGGTGTTCGATCCGCAGCAAGAAGATGTACAGCGACGCGGGGGTCGACTACCTGAAGATGGGCCTCGTCAACGTGCCGGCGCTGCTCGCGACGCTGTCCAGCGTGTTCGCCCTGGACTACGTGTCGAACTTCGCCGTCACGTGAGTGGGCCACGTCATGCCGGCCTTCCCCCCCCATCGGCCACCCCACACACACTGCTCGCTCACACCCGGGGCCGGTCCCGCGCGCTCGCAGGTACGCGATAGAGCTCCCGTCGCCCTGGGGCTTCCTCTTCACGTGGGTGATCCTCGTCCCCACCATCTACACGATGACGACCGGAATCACGCAGTTCGTCCTCAGGTTCGAACCCGACCGCCGCGTCAGCGCCGCAGCTGCATGTCTGCACCTCTGCAACGCGCCGGCGCGCGCCTTGCCCGCGGCGCCCTCAACTCGGCGCTGTTCCCTTGGAGCGCTGCAGGGACTGGGTCATCTTGAAGTCGCAGTGCCCGAACTGCGGGACCGACCAGAACGCCTACTTCGGCGACATCTTCATCGTCCAGGGCACCCGGGACAGCCTCACCGTCGACTGCCTCGACTGCGGGTCGTCTTTGAAGTGGGACAACAACGAGAGGGTCGTGACCGTCGAGCGGATCGGGCCCAAGCCGGCGCCCGCGAAGAAGGCTGGGAAGAAGAAGGCGCCTGCCGAGTAAAGGGCTGTGACGCGCGCTGAGCGGCCAATGCCGAGCAACTCAACTCGCTGAAGTCATTTGCTGTGCCTTCACCTGCTGCCCTCTACTGTGCGCTGCGACGCCTCTGGCAGCCACACGTGCCCATCGCGGTATCGCGATACGAACTGTGGGCGGCCTGGTCCTGGGGCGCTAGACGACCCACTTCGTGGGAGTGGTAGGTGGCAAGGTGGCCACGCGGCGGCGCCCGGTCTGCGCGGCGTTGTGTGTTCCACCGCAAGCTGTCGCTCTCAGTGCGTCGCCGCGACGAGCTGCCTGTCAGCCCCCTGCCTGCCACTGGCAGCACCGAGATTGCACGTCAGTCGCACCCAGCCTGGGTGTCGGACGCCTGTGTGGCGCCCGACCGGGCGCACCCGTGCTGCCCCTGCGAGCTTTCCACTGGCAGCCGCCGCCGTGGGAGGCTACATGCAGAACTCGTCCCTGCAGCGACGACCGACATATCTGCGCGTCTTGAGCGTCGAGGCCCCGACCGGTCCAAGCAGCTGCGTTTGTAACTCCTCTGTACGCAAGCGGAAAGATGGCGGACGTGGCGAAACGGGGCGGTGGGCAACGGCGAACAGTCCGTATGCATCAGGTACGGTGCGCCGCGCACCACCAGACAGGCCCTTCGCGCTCTGGCCTGCCCGCGACCCGTGCAGCTCTGCCCACTGCTCAACCGCTGCCGTGCTGGCTCGCCTGTGCAGGATAGCTCCCAGATTCAAAACTTCTTGAATCCTGTGACAGGTGAGATCGCAACCCGGCAGTGTTGGAGCGCGACGTTTCCATGAGCACGCATCAGAGCTGTTGCCAGTGCAGGAAGTAGGCAGCTTGGTTGCGCCGCTCTTGGCGCGCAAATAGGGAGTCTCGCGTCTCCGGCGGCCTGTGCGGAGTACCTGTCGGGCACTGGCGCGGAGGCGCGCTCGAGTGCCCGAGGGCGACGGCGCACTGATTTCGCAGCTCAACTGGACCAGCGCACCCGTGCCATGTGCAGGCCTTCGCGACGCTCAAAGACGTGCGGGCGCGAAACCAAGCGACCATTCGCGCAACAATCGACAAGCCGTGAAGGAGCTGTCGGAGCTCAACAGGTGCGGCGCCGCGGACAAATCGAATTGCCATGGCAGGGCGCGCTTCTTGGACGCCGCGGGCGAGCGGCGAGCGCAAGGCCGGGATGAACGAACATGCACCGAAGTGGTGTAAGGCACGCTGCGACCGCGACGCAGGATCATGAAGCTGGAGAAGCAGGCGGAGGCCGACGCCCAGCGCAGACCCAAGCCATCGAAGTCGAGGTGCGTGCAGCCGCACTCGGGGCACGAGTTTTGTTGCCAGGCACTCACATCCGGTGTGGCAGAAAGCAGCGGCAGAAGCGCGCTCGTCGTTCGTGCCCGCAGGTCGCAAAACCCCAAGCAAGTTCCTCCCGGGCAGCGTGACTACATCTCCGAGAACATCCGCGACGCTGCGTGCTCGCGACCCGTCAAGCCAACCTCCGAGGCCGACGACAGCGAGTATCTCATGAAGCCGGACTACGGCCGCGTGCCGATGTACCTGCGTGAACGTCAGGTGGGCCTCGCGCGCCGACGCCGCTGGGCCGCCATTGCGCAGCGAGCTGGCGGCGAAATCGCTGCGCAGTGATGCGCTGGGTGGCCTGCTGGGCTACACCGCGCGTCCGTGCGCCGCACATGCACTCACGGCGTCGGCTTTGGGCACGCGTGTTGCGCAGATAGAACTCGCCGCCGACAAGGCCAGGCGGCTGGCGGCAGCGGAGGCAGAGCAAGTTCCGGAGGGCATGCGTGTGCTGAGTGAGCAGGAGCGGCTCGAGACCCTGCAGCTCCTGCAAGAGGACCACGCGGAGGTGGAGCGCAAGATCCGCGCGCTTCCCTTCATTGTCGAGACGCCGTCGCAGATCAGGCAAGTGTCGCTGCTCAGCCCGTGAGCCGTGTGCCGCGCGCATGCCGAGCACCGGCCCCGAGCCACGACACTGTCTACGTGTGCAGGTACAAGGCCGAGCTGGAAGAGAGGCTCAAAGAAATCGAGGAGGCGGTGACCATGTTCTCGCGTTCGCGAGTCCTTGTGCGGGACGTGTAAAAACGTTCAGTACGGCAACGCCAGGGGTGCAGGGGTGACGGAACTGCATCACCTCAAAGAATGTTGCTAGCTCGCGATGACGGGGCACCGTGGAGTCTTGGCTGCAGCCTCGCTGAGCGTGCAAGCAACCGCTGCGATACACCGCTTCTCGCAGTCGCCTGGTGAACACGTTCGTGACTGACGGAGGTGGCACACACACGTTGCCTTGAGACCCGTCCGATCCAATCGAGACGCCTCTTGGTCCCACGCATCCTCACATCGGACGCTACAGGACGGCTTGCTGCCGCTGCCGGAGCGGGAGCAAGGCGTTTTGAGCCGTCCGGCGCTATAAATGGGACGGAACGCATGCCTGGTCGTCAGTACGGAACACTCGGCTGTCACCTGGGCCCAACAGGCGGCCTGGACGTGCCAAGTGACATCTGATCGAACACGTCTCCGCCACGCCCCGTACCCTCCGGGGACTCCCTGGACCTCCTGCATTCATCGCTCGCACAACATGCCATGGTCGTTGAGCAGGCATGTGGCTGACGTCTATGGCCTGTCCGCAGTGTTCAGTGGGCGCGACGTGCGCGTGGGGCACGTACATGCGACTCATGTACGAGCCCCTGACCATTGACTGCGACAGGGACGCGCTGTAGATGTTCATCGTGGACTTGAACGACGACACGGCGATCGACTGCGACGGACGCAGAACCACGGCCTGCGCAGCATGTGCATCAACGGGAGGTGAGCCGTGCAGACGAGGTGTCGCATGTGCGGAGCGCGGAACCATGGCCTGACATGTGCGGGACGCACCTGGTCCACGTAGCCCTCACGGGACGGGTGCGCGATGCCGATGCCGGCTGACGCGCCTTCCTGCTGTCCGGCCTCGAGGCCGCCGGCTGCATCGTGCCTCGCACCAAGCAAGGCCTCGTTCTCCTGTCCGCGCATGCCGTTCTCCACCATCTGCACCGAGGCACGGCGCACGCAAGAAAGTCAGCGGCACGTCATCCGTCATGCCTGCCCGCGCTGCAGTCATGCTCACCGCGCAGCATCATTTGCGATGGTTGCAGCGGCTCACCTCTTGCACCAGGATGATGTCTCCTCGCGAGTACATGTTCGTTCCGCTGACGAGCACGCAGAATCCCGCCAGCTGGAGCCACGAGTACGGCGTCCAAGGCTCGCCCAGCCCCTGAGCGCCCAGAGGTAGGTAGAAAAGGGCCAAGCCGAGCGCCCAGACGAACAACGTACGCATGGTCTCCAGCACGGTGCGGAAGACGGCGCCGAGGTGGCCAGTCACGGACATGCCTGCGGAGGACGGCGGCTAGTCGACTCGGAGTGAATGCGCTGACGTCAGCGCAGCAGGAGATCATGCGCCCTCCTCTGACACAGGCGCGGTTGTGACGAACGCTCAGGGCTCACCGGTGACGTTGTACGCCAGCAGGGCGAACATGTCCACCAGGACGATTGTGCGGATCAGCGGGCTGTTGACCAGCATGGCCAGTGTGTCCAAGGAGTTCTCGTGAATGCCATCACCCTCGACACCAGGGGCGAACGACACCGCGGGCAGCAGAACTGCAGACACGACACGAGCCCAGGTCAGCGCGAAACCGAAGGACACGCGAGCGCACCGAAGGGCGCGTTAGAGCACGTCCGGCTGACTTGAACGACAACGATCATACCTCCAACCATGCACAGGGTGCCCCACATGCCCTCGTAACCGACGATCATCAGCGGAGCCATGTCGAGGTCGGTCATGAAGAAGTCCTCGAACGTGACCTGCACACCGGCAAGTCGCTCGGATGCGAGGCGTGAGAGAGCTGCAGTCGAGTGTGGGCTCTCGTGTGCGGCACTGCTGAGGAGCTCGCTTGTCACCTGGGCAGCCTGCACGGCCTGCGACACGATGATGAGCACCATGCCCATGAGCGCCTGCTTCGGGCTGACAGCGGCGGGTCCGGACTTGTGGTCCCCAGCATCCCCAGAGTGTGCCAGAGCCGGGGGGGCAGACTCTCCCGAATCGGAGGACAGCATCGTCGACGCGCCGACCATCATGATCCCGACCATGCACAGAAGGATACCCGAGCCGTGAACCTGCAGGGTCGTGGCCCGAGGGGGAGGGCCAGGTCCAGCACTAGCGCACGCGCACGAATTGACAACAACGCAGCGCCCGCTGGCAGCCGATGCGCGACCCGACGCTGCCACAGTGTCGCGCCGCGTCAGCTCGAAGCCACAATCGTCGGGTGGGATATGCGCCGCACCATGTTCAAGTGCCTGCCGAGGAACGTGATTGCAAACAGGGCGGCGAAGAGCAGCTCTGCCCCACGCATCATCTGGTACACCGAGGCGGAGACCGTCAGGAGGCCGATGTTCATGAGCACCGTCGCGACCAGGTCGAACGCCGTGGGAATCAACAGCATCACCACCTGCACGGCGCTTGAAGCAGGTTGTGCGTTTGCAACGCCACCGCTTGACGCGGCGCGCCGTGCTGCTGTGCGCCATCGCTTGTGATGCGAGGACACAGCGATCATGCCGTCAAGCCATTACCTGCTGCCAGTGGCTGTGTGTTGACGCCTCGTCGTCCTCGTCGTCGGGCAGCAACATGTGCTCCTGCTTGCGCTGAGCAGCCAGGTGGCGCTCGTAGTACGCGAGTGGGAGGCAGAGCGACATCCCCATGAACATGACAGTTGTCATCGCCCAAGGCTTGAGGAACAGGTGGACCTGCGAGATACCCTCCGAAAAGCAGCGTCTTCGTCGGCCGTTGAGGGGTGATGCTTGCAACCGGGGAATTCCCCGTCTCGGGGCAACAAGGCCGCACGAACAAAACACACGGCGAGGCCGCTCTCCCAGACCAGAGTGGTCCGCGTCGTTCCGCTGCGTTCGGCTGCCTGCTCGTGCGCCACGGTGGACGAGCAGCACAAGCAGGCGGCAAGCTCGCCAGAGGCGGCCTCGCGCCGGCGTCACTACAATGGCTCCACGCCGTGCCATGGGCATGCTTGCATCTAAAATCGATGCTGCTGGAGGTTCGTTGTGAGTGCTCGCGCACATGCCGACACAGCGGCGGCGGGCAATGGTCTGCTGCCCTGGTGCTGCCCGGGAGGGCGCGCAGGCGCTGTAGCTAGGTAACAATCGCAGCGAGAGAGTCGAGGAGATCTGATGGCGTTCCATGGGGATCATGAACCGGCTCCCAGCGCCTCAAAGCGGTGTGTTGCGCACATGACCATCAGCTCCCTTGCCCTCCAGCTCGTAAACGATTTTCGCGAACAGCGAGGTGGTTGTCCCGAACACCAGCAGCCCCGCGACAGATGCCGTCTTCCCAAGCCGCATTGCGCCGAGCCGCGATCAGCAAGCGACCAGAAAGCTGCTTCCACCCCTCTGCCCTTTTGCTGTCCGCGACAAGGTCTCCGCCCGATTTGATGCGTCAGACGAGGCCAAAAACGGGCCGTGTCAATGTGGACGGCGGCCTCGAGGGGCTCCCCACAAATGGGAGGAACAGGCCGGGTCGGACTCCGAGTCGTTGGTGCTACTGACACAGGTAGCTAGGGCCTTGAGCTGTGTGCGCGCTCCATTGCTGCACCAGTCCAGGGGCCGGAGCGGCAGTCCGCGAATCTCGCGCAGGCAACACAGCGCTGCAGCTGCGAACGGGCTCGCGCTATTCGCAATGTGCACCCTTGCATTGAGCCCAGGGTCGAAAACGAGAATTGTCCCTCCCACTCCGAAAAGTGAGGCGCATGGCCACATCACGATGTCCTGGGCGGCAAGTCCCCGGTTCTGCTCCGGTCTAGGCATCACTCTGGCTCGCATCATCGCCGCGAGAGCGATGGTATGACCCGCGTAGCACCCGTCACCCTCAAGGTGCCCGCTGTGCTCGCGCAGGTGGCCACTGCTGCGTCTGCATTCGCCGCTGCCTGGAAAATAGTGCAGCTGGGCTAGCTTGGCGCGTGCGCTGCGTCGCTGACTCCGTTTCTCACATCGGCCAGTGCTACAAAACAAGGAGCCTCACGGCAGCCCGCGCAGCCGCCCCCGGTGGCGCGGCCATCACCGTGCTCCTGGCTGCTCCGCTGCAGGCATGTCGGACCCACTGTACTTCTCCGAGAGGCCTCCCTGCACGGGATAGTCCATCCAGTGCGGCTCGATGGCTCCAGGTGAGAACGCCAGTCCCGCGCCGGCCTGAAGATCAGGGTTCCGTGGGGGCGGTGGTACTAGACCCGTGGATGCGCCGTGGGCGACCCGGCGATGCATGCCTTGCAGGGCGCGTGCAACAGCAGCCTGTGCCGTCCGAGCCATCCAGTCATCGCCGGGGCGGTCTTGCGGGAACAGCGTCCCAGCAGACAGACTCGCGGGTGCCGGAGAAGAGCGGACATCGAAGCCGAACGTCGCGTGAGGTACGTTGGGGGCTTCGTGCTGCGCCTTGTTCGCCACGGGGAACCCTCCCAAACCGCCTGACGCGTGGGGGGACGGCGCGAGCGGACCGCCGTAATCCAGCGGACGGAACCACTCTTGCGATGTCTGGCCGAGGTTTACCGCGTGCGGCGGCGGCCGGCTGTCCACGGGCTCTGAGAACCCACCCAGGGATGACGCCCCTGGTGGTTGTCTCGTTGCCCACAGGTCGTGCAGTTGAGCCGTCTGACGCGCCCTCGCCTCGTTTGCGGCCTCGACGACGTATGCGTGCAGCACGTTGCGGTCGGAAAACACGTGTGCGAGTGGCGCGCCCGTGCGGTGTGCAGCAGACATGACGGCCTCAAGCACCTGGGGGAGCATCTCAGTGGCCTCAGCTTGAGGGAAGAGGGCACAGAGATGGTCAAACACCATGGCCTGCATGCGCCGATCATCGCTCTGCCCACGCACGTCGGCTTCCTGCGCTTGAACGCCCCCGCCCGGTGTGGCCACGGGGATGTCGACGGTAGATTGCGGCGGGACACGCTCCGCGCGCGGCTTCACCGGAGTTGGATCTGCCCTTGCAATGGCGGCGGAACTGTTGTCCTGTGTAGCGCTGGTGCTGCTCGCATCTGGGCTTGGCGCATGACTCGTGCTGCCATTCGTTGCTGACGCTGCAACTTGACTGACAGCTCGCGAGCTGCCTGGCGCATGCTTGGACGGAGACTCTGGATTGCGCTTTTTCCGAGACGTCGCCGTGTCGGGATTGTCCAGGCGGCTTGCTTCCTGCGCGACAGAGGCTTGCTGCTGAGCAACACCATCCGCTTGCTTGCTGGCAGCGCTCTGTTCACGGGTCCCAGCGCGCTGCGTTGCTGTCTGTCTACCGGAGGCGTCGCCACGTTTCGCTTCAGGGGCTCCGTCTGGACGAGATTTCCTGACAGGTGGCGTCTTTGGGGGCGGGTCCTCCGTAACCTTCGCGCCGACACCTGCTGGCCCCTGCTCGCGAGTCGCCGGCGAAGCACTGGGGACGGACACTGCTGGCCGCGCAGCAGATGCGGAGCCGGCGGTGTTGTCAGGTGCACCAGCCGGCGCTATGACCTTTGGGCTCTTCTTCTCCGCAGCGCGCCCCGCAACCACCTCTGGCGGTGTGTCGGGCTGCACCGGAGACTCCTTCAGCATCTCCCCGTCACCGTCATCATTTGCATGCGCCAGGTCGTCGTCCTCTTTGGCCTGCTCCGCATCTGCCTCTGCCTCAGCTTCAGCTTTGCGTTGCTTCTGACGCTGCTTCTTCTCGCGCTTCTTAGCACGTCTGCTCTCGTCCACTGCCTTCTGATTCTGCTCTGCGGCCTTCTCTTTGTCCAAGAGCTGCAGGAGTTCGGCCATAGCCTGCTCCGACTCCTGTTGTCGCCGCCGTAGGTCGAGCTGCTTTCGCTCCTCTCGGACGCGCGTAGTGATCAGAATCCAGGCGGTCTTCAGGGAGCGAGGATCCAGCATGAAGACCAGAAGCCACGCTGCAACAACAGTGAGTCGGAGGTTGGCTGTCTGTGGCACACGGCAAGGTGATAGGTGCGCGTACTCGTGCCAAGCTTTCGGAGAGCGCACCCGTCGAGAAGGATCGCGTCTGCAGCTTCTCCATAGACACTGCTGCCTCAGCGAGCTGGCGGCCCAGGCGCACCGCCAGAACCTCTCCCTCCGTTTTGCTCGGCTGGGAGGACGTCGGCAACACGGCTGTGAAGCAATGCGTCACTGCAGTACGCGCGGAACGCAGCAGATCGCCTGTCCCAGTCTTCAGGACTTCGAAGAGGAGGCCGTAGTCGCAGGCACTGGTTGAATCTTGAGACTCAGAGAGGCGCTCCTTTGTGCCATCGATGAGACATGCAAACGGCTCGACCTGCGCGGGGCACGAAGGGCAGCTGCTCGGTCTACTTCGTGCCGCGGCCTCGCTCTGCATCGCGGCCGTGTGCGTCAAGAAGACAAGGCCCGGCAGGGCACCCTGCGGGGGCAGTGAGGCGCCTACCTGCTTATCTCTGCTCGTCTCCAGAACAAGGGCTGGCGGCAGTCGGGCTTCCCAAAAGAAGTGGCGCAAAATCCGCCACGCCTCGCGGCTTCCGAGCGACGATGCGCTGTGCTTGCTCTCCACCCTTGCAACGTCCAGGGGGGGCATCGGACACCCAGTCTGCGGAGCGATGCGGGACGCTTGAGTTTCGCCGTGACAAGTCGGGGATGCCGACGCGCGGTTATGGACAGCGGCTGTGGTGGCGTGCAGCAGGCGCCCTGTGTGCATGGTGCCGCGCCTACCTTGCCGAAGTCAACCGCCAGGCGCCCCACGAGAAGTAGCAACGGGATGTCGTCGCTGGAGGAGACCGGCCACTCCTGGCCAGCCGACTCGGCGGCAATGAGAATGTCGACCCAGCGCACCATGACCTTGAGGCGCACTGCAAGGTACCCGTCCGACTCCAGGAGGCTTTGCATGACCTGCATTGGCGGCGAACGGGCAGTGCGCGCCGTCTTCGTGGGTAACAGCGGAGCAGAACGCGGAGCAGCAGCAGAGGGCGACCCGGGGCGAGTCTCAGGGTGGCGTACCGAGCGGCGCGAGGAGTCCCAGTAGAGCTCCGTGCACAGCGTCTCGAGCGCCTCCCTGCGCTTCGAGAACACCGTGCAGCCGCCCGTCCAGCACTCGCGACGCGTCGGGAACTTGTGCCCGCTGGACTCGAGGTTCGCGCGCTTCTCGCGGATGGTCTTCATGAACGCCCCCTGGTCGCCCAGCAGCCCGAGGACGCCGCAAACAGACGCCTTGATTTCGTCGTCCATCGAGAGCTGCTCGATGATGTCGTTGACGACTTCCACCTCGACGACGATCTCCAGGTCCCCCGCATCGGTGAGGAAGCCATCGTGCAGCAGGGTCGACACCGGCACGTCGGCCCAGCCCCAAGAAGTCGAGTCCTTGCTGTTCTTGATGAGGTTCGTGAACAGAGACCCCGGGGCGCACGCCTTGCGCCGAATGTTGTCGTCGTCAGTGTCCTCCTGCAGGTGATGTGTGCACGTCGACCGGTCGGCGCGCTGCTGTGCGGGAGCGAGCGCGCATCGCGGCCGCTGCAGGACAAAGCTGCCACGGGGCGCACCTGGTGCAGGAAGATGAAGACGAATTTGCCCCCGACGTGGAGCAATTTCCGGCCGTCCTTGTAATCCTTGCCCTCGCTGTCGACGAGGTAGAGGTACGCCTTGAGCTTCGCGTCCTCCTGGGCCTTGCCGCGGGACGATCCGTCTCGGGCGTCGCGCGCCTTGGCGACTTTTCGACCCTGCAGTGGCGCAAAGCGGTCTCTGAGAAAACGCGTCCTGCCCGGCACACCAGAGGCGCGTGAGCGCGCCGCAGCAACCTATCGCCAGCGCTCGGCGAGCACCGCGCCGCGGCTGACTCGTGATCGTCAAACGCACCTTGGGTGGCTTCGCTGCAGCGTCGCGGGCTGTTCGTTCGTTCCGTGGCTTCGTGCAGTCCACACGCAGCTGGAAGTGCCATCCCGCGACCTCCCACACATCTGACCGAAAGGTGATCGTGCGCCCCTCCCCCGCTGTCTCCCACTGGTCCCGGAACCGCCGGCAGACCATCTTGTTACTACCTTTGCGCTCGGAGCCCGCATGCGGCGGCGGCAGTGGCGCCCCGCGACAGCTGGGACACCGCCACGCCTGTGAGTCGGCGTCGGACATCTCCGTTGGCGACAGACATAGCCTGCACATGACGTTTGTGCAGCCCTGCTGCTCGCACCCATAACTCCACATTGTGTCCTCGTCGTGGTCCTGCAGGCGGGGCGCGACCAACGCCGCCACCGCACTGAGCATGTACTCGGGCGCACCACGCTGCTCCAAGCACCCAAGCGACGCGTCTTCGGGCACAGCGTCATCATCATCTTCAGAGAGGAGTCGACGGCAAACTCTGCACGCTGCGGGCCCTGCAATCACGCGCGGTCGTGATGCTTGGCGAGGACGTACCTGTGTGTCATCGCACCACATCCCGCACACCATGCACCGATCATCCCAGACGTCGTCCATGCATGGTGAGCTTGGCTGCGAGCTTGGGACTGTGGTTCCCGCCTTCCGGTCTTCCTGCGCGCCCTGACCGGCAAACACGTCCTTATCAGCCTCATTTCGCGATCCGTCGTGCTGGTTCTGGTCCGCGGGAGTGCGCTCCGGCTCCTCGGGCGCAGCCCTGCCCAGCTGGAAATCCACCGCGTTTCCGAGGCTTTCCAGGAGGTCCTTGTCGCCGAAGAGCAGCCTCGCCTCGGGGCTCAGGAGACTCGTTGAGTCTGCAGGAGCCGCGGAGCTCGACGAGCCCGCCGCAGCCTTGAGCGCGTTCGCAACCTGCGCTTTTGCTTCCCGAGGGAGGGCGTTCGCGACGCTGGCAAGCAGCCGAACGACCGCGTTGATGTTGCCCGGCGCGTCGAGGATGAGCTCGCCGTTCCCTGCCACCTTCCACGGGGCGCCATCGAGCCCAAGCACAGCGGCACGGTCGCTCCACCACTGGGAGGTCCCGGGTGCTGGACCTGATCCCGGCAAAGGTTGCGCCTGGGGCGTGGAGGCACCGCCGACGTCGCGCCTCGCACTCTTAGAGCCACTGCTAGCTGCTGGGGTATTGAAAAACCCGCGTCGAAGGCTCGAGCGGCTCCTGTTGGACGTGGCTTGCTCTGGAAGCAGGGCAGCGGTGCCGCCGCTCATCGCTTGCACGAACTCGGGGGTGATGCGTATCACGCCGTCCGAGCCCATGTGTATGCCACTGAGGCGGCTGGACGACGCGGCCAGCGTCTGCCCGCGCGTGCCGGTATCCGGCGCTGGCTGCTCGACCTGGTGTTCGCCCGGGCCAGCCGCGCTCGTCCCGGCCGGCGACGGCGCGGCGCGCTCTGCGCCCTGGCCGTCAGCTGACATGTTGTGCTGGTCTCCGAGGCAGCTCCGGTTCGAGGAGAAGGTGCGCTGTTGGCGGGCACGAGCAGACAGAGGAGCAGCCTTCCCCGTGCAATTGAGATCCTAGCACTGCTTCCGTCAGCTCAAAATGTCACCGTTGCTTGATGGAAGCTCATTGAGGCGGTAGCGCACGCGGACGGCGCTTGTATGCCGTCTCAGTGGCGCAACATTGCCGTGAAGCAAGTGCGCAGGGTGTCGCCGGACGCAGTGGGGCGGAAACTCGTTCGTGCGATCACGTCCAGCCCGGCAGGCCGACTGCGCGCGTCTGACTTGCGGACGCCGCATCGAGCAGCGCCCAGCTCCATCTGTGTGTCGGCCGGCCGGGTGCTCCCGAGGGAGTCCCCTCTGTGGCCGACACTGTCGGACGTCATGGCATGACGTGTCCACCGTGGAGGCTCCACAGGCGGCGGGTGGGCCTGGGGCGGCCCGCGACGAGCTCGCCAGCAAAGGGATGCTGTGCGGCCAGCCGCCAGTGGTGACTCGGAGGGTCCGTCATAGATAGATGCTGCGCGAGCATCCCTGCGCCTTGGGAGTCGGGCAGACGCACGGTTCTTGACGTGGGGGGCGTAAGGGCACTGCCCCGAGACAGCTGCCCGCAGCACGTCCACCGACGCGGGTGGCCACGACGTACTCACACGTACTCGAGGAACAACGCTTGCTGTGTCTCGCCGCTTTGAACGACTCCAGCTTCGAGCAGCGTTTGGCCTGCCTGAGATCTCTCGAACGTCTTGCGAGGAAAGTTCGCTTTGAGGACGTACGGTTCAGGGCCACATCCCGCGCTGTCCGTCCAATGAAACAGCAGCGCGAGGTGTGAGAGTGTCGCAAACCTCCGAGTCAGGCTCTTCCCGCTTGGAAGCCTCAAACGTATTTCCACGCTATCCGGAGCACCGGCTGAGGGCTCCTCGGGCAGACTGGCCTTCCTCGCGGCCATCCAGCGCTGCCTCGCCTCTTCGGACATGGGTGCACTGCTATCTGGAGTGTGCCTGCATCTCTCACGAGCACAGCAGGCGCGCACGTCGCGTCCAGACAAGGTCGCCGCAGGGTCGGTCGATGCATCCACCAGGGCGAACGTGATCGAACCTTGGCGCTCCGGTGGTTTTTGGGGCAGGCGGTGCTGGCCGGGCTGTCAAGTGCGTGTCCGACTCGGGAGCTGCATCCGCGGCCAGCGCCATGTCAACCTGCAGGGCATCTCAGCCAGCGAGTGTGTCATGCTGTCGCAGCGCATCTTCCGGCAGGTAGGCCTCGAGGCAGAGGGCGTACCTCCAAGTCCGTGTCGATGACCGACACAGCTGCGGGATCGGGGCTGAGATCGCTCCCAGCTTCTGGGAGAGCAGCCACGTCCAGCACCCGCACGCTGTGAGACGCGTCCTCCAGTGCGACCGGGAACAGATCGCCCTGCAGAACGAGTGGGCACAGGCAGTGAGGCACCTTGCACGTGTACGGCGGCCCCCGCGAGCCGTGCATGCGGCGGACCAGCCATCGTACCTTCGACAGGCAGCAACACTGCATCAGTGCGGCCACCAGCACGCTCTCAATATCGCCGCCTGTTTCCTGGAACTGTTGCAGCTCCCTGCAGCAGCACTTGTTGATGCGCCGCGCTCAGAGCAGCGCAAGGCGGAGGTCAAATGAGCCCTGAAAAGTCCGGTCAGCCCGTGGAACATACCTGGGCAAGAGCATTCGCGCGGAGTGGCCCTTCAGAAGTCTCCTATACGACACGCTGACCGTCGCGCCTCCTGGCAGACCCCCTCCCTGTGCCCTTGTCGCGGCGGCTGGCTCGCTGCTTTGCTCACGATGACCGCTCGCACCTTCTGTGTGGCACTCGCTCGCGGTGAGGCACGCGGCCACTTTCGAGCCCATCAAACACACACCTTCTGGTGCGGAGAAATCCAGAACTCCGGCACAGGTTCTTCGCACCGCCCCCTGGCTTGTGTATGTCACTTCGAAGAACATGGTGCCCCACCGACCAACAGCACCTTGCGCGTCCAGTGCCGCAAGCGCAGACGGCGGTAGAGATATCTGCGTCAGTGTTGTTTTCACGGCGTGTACACGCGCTTGAGGAAGTCACGCATTCACGAGGCACTTGATCAGAGCCAGCGAATACTGCCCATGCGTGCCAGGTACGTACGTTGAACTCCGAGAGCGCATTTGCGGGGCATGACAGGCGGGAGGTTACCTTGTCAAGATACCGGCGAATGCCCTTCTCACGCAACTTCTCCTCGTCTTGCGGCATCACCCTGCGCGAAGCATCGACGTCAAGCTGCGATCGTCGCCGCGATCGAGCAGCGCGGGACATCGTCGGGGTCGCAAGCGCATCAGTCCCACCTTAGGTTTCCCGTCCAAGTGATGCCGCCATTCCACGCAGATATTTGTGTGGCCCTCTCCTGTTCCTGCCTCTCGAGCAAGGCCGCCTGCGCACGCGTGGCGGCGATATCCTGCACCTCGTGGGGGAAGTTCGGGACGTGATTGCTGGGACGTGGCTCCTCGTGGCCCAATTGCTGGCGCGGGCCAGGCGACAGTGGATGCACAAGCGCGCGAACCTCTTTGATGCGCTTCTGGGCCTCGAGAGCCTTCTCCTTGGCGACCTGCGCGCGCGCATTGCGCTGCTCTTTGGCCTTGCTCTCCTTCGCCGCTTCCTCGCGCAATCTGCGTCTCAATCAAGCGCAGAATGACGTGTACCGCCCGACCGTGAACAAATCGACGGACGTGGGCAGGGCTCGGTACGTCACACATCCGCGGAGAGCCCGAGGAACGCGTGTGCGTCGACAGGTCACAAGTGCCTCACCTGCGTGAGCGCGCTTGCAGTTCGCCGCCGAGCATTCTACTAGCTGCGTGAGGGCGAGTCTGCTCAGCAACAAGTTTGCACCAGCGCACGAGCAGGCTGTACGGCCAGCCAGGGAGGGCGTGCGCAGCTGCAAAAGTGGGTCCCGTGTGCGATTCCAGGGCTGTCGCCACACCAAACGCAACCGACAGGGTTGTTGCAGTGACCACAACGTCGTTGTTCAGCGTCGGTCACGGCGAATGAGGTGTGAGACCGCTGGAGGCGCTCTTTCTGAGCCCCGACTGTTGGCCTTCCCAGTCAGACCCGCGAGTCGCCGCGATCAGGCTGTTCCCGACGCACGGCGAGAGTGAGACTCGACCCCGGGCAAGCCTTGACCGGCCACGGGGACTGGAGACACAGCCGCCTCCCGTGTGCGCCGTCAGTTTCCGCGAGGGCGTTCGTTCCCCCACAGCAACACATACAAGGCAGCGAGGGACCACGTGCCGGGTGCTTGTTTCAAGCGCAAAGGTCTCGTCCGCCGGTTTCACGTGGTTCGGAGAGGTGCGGGTCGTGTGGGCGCGTCGCACGTGAGTCGGCGCGTCACTCCCGCCAATCCCTCCTCCAGACACTGTTGCGCCAGAGCAACAAGCAGCGAATGCCCTCACAGTTGGTCGCCGCACTCCTGGGCCGCGGCAATGAGGCTTTCTTCAACGACCGCTCTAACCCGCAGCAAGTACTCCCGTCGGCTCTCTCTGCAGCATGGACACAGGCCTTGGTTGGAGCCGTGTTGCACATCGCATGGTGACGCTCCACGACAGCTCTGTTGAGGCATGTGTGCACCTGTAAAGCTGGGCGGCCTCGGCGTTCGCCGGCGAGTCGCAGTTTGGATCCGACAGCAGGGACTGGACCGACGTGAGGATCGCGCCGACGTCGTAGATCGGACTCCACTTGTTTTGGAGAATGTCCAGGCAGATGCGGCCATCTGCAAATGCACGAGTCGACACGATGTCGGCTGCTAGTTCGGCCGGAGCAGCGCCGTGAGGCACAGCACTTCGCCCGCGTGCTGCTGCTCACCAGCGTAGATGTTGGGGTGGAATATTTTGGAAGCGAAGCGGACGTTCGGTGCCGTGTTCGGGTAGTCCTCCGTGAATTCTATCGAGAGCTTGAACAGTCCACCGTCCCTGCGTCGCAGGCGAAGATGCCATGTGCGGTGCTGATCACCTTCAGTCGCGTGCAGCCGCAGAAGCGCAGCAACAGATGTCGTGCCGCGCCCTGCTCAGGCCAGTCCGGGCGATGCGGTTCGCGACGTACCACGGCGTTCCTTCGGGACCGAAAATGATCGCATTCCACATCATGAGGTTCGAGGGGTCCGGTGAAGCGTTCACGCCTTGCGGGGGATCAGATTCAAGTTTCTTGAAATCTCTGATCAACCGCTGCAAAGGAGGGCCGCGGGTTTCTCGAACGTCGGACACTCGTTTCGCAGCATGCGCTCGCCACAGCCAGTCAGCAAGCAGCGTGACGGCGCGAGGGTCGGCCGCGGGCCGGTACGCCGCAGACGCCCGCATGCTACTCACTGACTGGAGAGCGACTGTGACAGCATCGGAGTCCGAAGCGCGCGTTAGCAACGCTGCGAGAGCTTCCGTGCTGCCTTGAACGCCCAAGCAGGGCCTCGTGCTCCGCGCTGACGCAGGTGAATTCGCACAGACCGCACAGGGCGGCGTGGTCGCCGCCCACATCTCGATGCTGCTGCGTGCGCACCTTCCGGGCAGACGTGGACATTTTCGTGGGCCGGCTGTGCCGGAATCTTTCTGGCAGGCCTCAGTTTCTCGTCTGAACGCGTGATGTGGATGCGGACGTGGCACGTGAGCGGTCGATGAGGTGTTGATGCCTGCTCGATAAAATGGCACGCGCAGCTCGGAGCGAAGGGATGTGCGGACGACTATGCGCGGGGCGGTTGATGCCGCCCCGGCAAAAGGAACCGCGTCGGGAGGACGCTGCTCCGGGGTGGGCGTTCCGATGCGCACGCAGAGGTCGGGCCCGTGTGCCGCTGGAGCGACGAATGCAAGGATGTGCCAGGCGACGTGAGCGCTAGCGCGAAATAGGCCGGTCGAGTGGCGCGCAGTTCCGCGCCGAGCGGTTGACGACCGTGAGAAACGCTGTTCGCGCCAGCCGAGAGCACTGTGCTGGCACGCCCGTCCCCTGCTGCGCATGACCCCGCGGCCAGCTGCGTGGGAGCGACCGGGCAGTACCGCTGGTCGGACACGACGGTGCCAGCCTGGTGGGAGGGCCCTCTCTCGAGACGCCCCGGTTGTGGCAGCGCCATGTGTCCGCGCACCGCGGCTGCCGTCGAGCAGTTTGCGAGCGCCTTCTGTGCGGAACACACACGCAGAATCCCGCGTCCAGGCAAGCGCTGATCTGCCACCCGAGCGGACCTACAATCATGCTCGCGCGCACTAGGGTTGTTGCGCCTACGGCAGCGCTCCCTGCCGTGCGGCCCCGGACTCGCGCCCAGCAGGTTAGCACATTCCTCGACTCACGTGTCAGCGCCGTCGTTGGCCGAGATGCACCTCGCTGCTGTGCGTGCGTGGGTGTGAGAGGTTGCCAAGCTCCGAGCTCGCCTCGCCCGCCTCCCGATGCTGGACACGACTCCGAGCGCCGCGTCTGTTCTGCAGCCCAAGGTCGTGACGGCGGCGAAGGCTTCGGCCAACAAGGAGGCCCAGGCGCCTGAGAGGCGGAGCCTGTACGAGAGGGCAGGAGCGCACGTTGCAGTGCTCACCGCGTGCGCCATCCTCGCTGGAGCAGTCCTGCCGGAGGAGGCCGAGGCAGCTCGCTCGGGCGGCCGTGCGGGCGGATCCAGCTTTGCTGCTCGCCGGAGCGCGCCGAAGTCGGCTCCGTCCAGGTGCTTCCCCCCTGAAGCCCTCGCCGTCGTGCTGGTCGCCCCACGCGCAGCCTCGTGGGCAGCACCGCGAAAGGGCGATCGCCAGACGCAGTCTCTTGGGTCCCTGGCGTCTGGACGATCGGTCTGAGCCGCTCGGGAGACGAGTCGCGGCCCTGGCCCCGCCTCCTGGAGGACCCAACCGATCGCAGCTCTTGGCGAGCAACCCACAGTCGCCAAGGTCGTCAGCTGCACCGAGTGATTGGTTTCGACTCTCTCGTCTCCTGTCGCGCTGGCCGCGCTTTGCATTCGCACGCGAGGTGCCCTTGACCTCGAACTGCTCCCTGCAGGGCGCGTCTCTCTGACCGAAAGCCCTCTCCTGTCCGACGTAGTCGCAGCGGCGGCGGCGTCAGCGGCGGCGGCGTCGTCGCGGCCCCGCCGGTCGTCGTCGCCCCCTCGTACGGGTTTGGGTTCCCGATGTTCCCAGTGTTCTCGCCGTTCGGGTTCGGCATGGGCATGGGCTTCGGCGGCGGCGGCCTGTTCAGCGCGATCGCCACGTTCATGATGCTGTCGGTCGTCGTGAGCGTCGTCAGCAACGCGGTCTCTTCGCAGGTGCGATGCATGCAAAACGTAACACGCTCTGCGTGAAGTGGCCCCCGCCCTGCGCGTCTCCACCGCCACGACCAGCGGGCCGTCATTTTACAGATCATCACAGCAACTTGCTCATCGACTTGCAGAAGAAGAAGGAGGACGACGACGAGTGGTAATTGTTGAAGCGGGAAGAAGAGGGCGGGACGAAGAAGGCGGGAAGAAGGAGGACGACGACGAGTGGTAATCGTGGAAGCTTTGTGGAAGCGGGCCCCTCGGCGGGCGCGTGTTCTGGTCGGCGCCACCATCTGTGACCGTTGACGGAACCAATCGCTTTTGTCGCGGATGCCAATGGAGCTCCAGCTGCAGACGGGGGCGCGAATCATGTCTAACACGACGTCAGGGCATGCGCACAGCTGAGCCTGAGCGATTCACGCGCGTGCGCTGGCGACCCATAGTTGACGGGGGAGCGGCTGCTTCTGCTGCGCACTTGCAGCACTGGCGGAGAGCCTGGACAAGCGGCTACCTCCCTGCCAGACTCCTGCATGGAGTGGCTCAGGGCATGCTCGGAATGCCGCAGACTGACCTGATCACACTGCATTCTTGCACAGAACGCCTCGTCGAGCACCTTCACAGTTTGCCCGCCCTCACCCACGTGGAGAGCCCCACCAGACAGCCTGCGGCACAGATCGCGAGCTCATGGGTGTTCCACGCGTCACGCCCCGCCGATCGGCGACCGGGGCACGCCCCACGGCTACCGCTGGAGCGCCGAGGCGGACGTCTCGTGCACTGGCGGCCAAGGCTGGAAGACCCAGTTGACGAGCGCCGAGGACCACCGCCAGCCTTCCTTGAGCTCCCGTGAACCCCCCTGTAATGCCTCATACACTATCTCCCGTTCGCGCAGCTGAGTGTCGTTGAGCTTGCCCAGGGAGCGCAGCACGTGACCGTAGTAGAGCTCGGGCTTCTCAATGTGAACGTTGCGGTTCAATTGCTTTTGCTGCGAGACGAGAGTCGAGCACCATGTCGCATCGCGTCACGTGTACAACCGACAGAAACGTGTTTGTCCGTGAAAAAGCATGATGTTGGCGTCCTCACCTGAACCTCGAAATGCACGTTCATGACCCCCCTGAGAGCTGGGTCGACCCTGCGGGACAGGTTCCGGTCGCGTTCGGATGACGGGATGTGGCGATGCGAGGGGTGGTGCGAGTCCGTGGGCGTTCCGTCAGTGTCGGGCGCACCTTGGGTCCTTGATGAGAAATTCAGCAAACCAGCGAGCAACGAGCTCGTATGGGACGTTCGCCGGCAGGTTCAGCAGCGGATTGAAATACGGCATCGGATGCTCATTTCGGATGTGCCCCAAGAGCTGCGAGTTCGCGCCGGGCTGCGATTCGGGGACCCCTTGTTGCGCCATGGGTGCTGCAGCAGGGCCCTGCGGCAATGATCCGGCACGAACGCCCTCCTGGCCGAGTCTGCCGTACGAGGTCGGCACGCCGTTCGGCGCAGCAGCGTGCTCTTGCACGGGCTGCGAGTCCGCGCGACCGTCGCCTGCAACGGGAGCCGTTGCGGGCGCAGACGTCCCATCGCGACCCGTGGTCTGGGGTGCCGGCAAGCTCGGCTCGGGGTCCTCTGCCTTGCTGCGCTTGCTCGCCCACGCGAGGGCCCTCCGCAGCAACTTGTCATTGGGAGCTTCGTTCTGTTCTGTCTCGCCTGGATCCCTCAGGCGCTTGTGCCCGGCTGCTTTGCCGGCATCCTCACGTTTTCCGGCAGCCACTGCGGTGTTCGAAGGACCCTGCATTTCGTTCGCGGGAGACGGTGGACGCGATGTTGGTTGATTGATTGGAGGCCGACGATCTCGCTCCTGCCCTGTCGTTGCCCAGCGGATGTAGCGCCCACAGCGTGACGGTGCTCATCAAAAAGCGTGCGGCGCGCGTCGACGCGTCGGATCACGACGCGAAATAGGGGGCTCGCGAGAGGCAACATGGGTGGTTGGCGTTCGCGCAGAAAATGAGCGGCTACGCTCGGCTTGACCAGCAGGTCGAGTGCTGTGCTTCCACCGTCTCCGGCGAAAGGCCATAGCGCAGCAACAATCGGCGGTTCACGCAGGCGGTACCGGCCACGTACCGTCTCCAAGTCATCAGCTCCGGTCGTTTCTGCGCCGCCTGCGGTCACACAGAACGTCGCGACGCATCGCACTCGATCGGGAGTGACTCGGACATCAGCCCAGCACGGAGACCCAGGCAAATTTCAGACATGAGGGTGCACGGCACAAGAGTTTGCCTGCGTACGAACCTGCCCCGACAAACCTCGCGCTCTTGCCGGGCCCCGGCACTTTCGCAGCTTTGATGCCGAGCAGCATGTCCTCTGGGGATTGATCCTGGCGTTGGTGGCCGCTTGCACGCTCCTGGGTCCCGACAGTGCACCGTGAAAAAACGGCCGTCCCGAAAACAGAGGGCCACGCTGCGCCTCGCGCCCCTAAACACGCACGCGTCGACACAAATGCACCTGGGGCGCCCGGGCGGGATCGCGATGACGTCACTCGATGACGGCCCAGCCGTTCGTGTCCACCGAGGCCTCAACCAGCTCACGCTCAGTCGGTCCGGTCACCGCCAGCTCTGGGCTGCTCGCAGCAGCGGGCATACATTGCGCAGCCTCGCAACCCAATCAGGGAACAACGTGCCGACGAATTGAACCTGCATCGCGTACGTCGTGCACGGGGCGCCGTGTACGAACAGCTTGTCCGGGCTGTTCGTGGGCCCGCAGCGCGTTTTGCCTCAACGTGCTGGCGAGTAGGCTCAAGTCCGTTGCTCCGACCACGCTGGAGATCCGTGCGAGGCCGCTCGGGCGCTCTGCTCTCGCCTCTGTGGCGTAAACCAGAGGGGGAAGGGCAAGATGGAGGAGGCACAGGGCTCGACTGCGCACTTCGCAGTGTTCATGCTGTCCCTGGCGACGATCTTCCTGGTCCCACTCACAATCTGGAAGTTGGTCTTCTACTCGCCAGACGAACAAGCTGATGGAAGCGTTGTGCGGCCCTGGAAGCAGGTGCGCACACCAGCGCTGGTTTGCGCTGCTCTAGGAAGCGTCGGATCCCGGCGTGATCTCTGACCGGGCCTGAAGGCTGCATTTTACGCTCGCCAATGACTCTTGTCGTTGGGTCGGAATCGCTTGCATCTCCTGCGAACCAAAGATTGGCGGTGTGCGTCGCCGTGTGCCAAAGCGAAGAACGAGGGGCGCTCGGATAGCAAAGATGCTGGAACCGGGGCGCTTCGATACGTCCAGTACGCGAGCGTTCGTCTTGCCCGATTTGTTCCTTGCAGGTGCAGGGGCCTGCTCAGGCATCCGCGAAGAAGAGAGGCCCGCTCACCAGAGGCAACCTAGTCCTCTTGCTGCTGTGGGTGGCGTACGTCGGCCTGCTGATGTACACGAGGCAGGCTTCTCTAGCACTGAAACCGTTCGATCCGTTCGAAATTCTAGGCGTGGAGCCCGGCGCGTCCACGAAGGCCGTCCGTTCTGCCTACCGCCGCCTTGCTCTCAAGTTCCACCCCGACAAAAACCCGGACGCATCCGCACACAAGTGAGACCGACGCATGACCCTGTGCGACCAGCCCCCCGCCATGCCGCGACGACGGGTCGATCGATCGATCTTCACGTCGCCAGCAGGAGGTCGTTCCATGTATGTCCACCTCACGTCTGCGCATCGAAAGAGGCTTGCGCGCTGACCCCGCTATCGCCACAGATATTTCACGGAGCAAATCCAGAAGGCGTACAAGGCCTTGACTGACAAGGTGTCGAAGGAGAACTTTGAGAAATATGGCCATCCTGACGGGCCGCAGGGTTTCAGCTTTGGTGTGGCGTTGCCCGAATGGTTCTTCACGAAAGATTCGAAGCAGGTGCGGCTCTGTCGACCTGCCATGACTTGTCGTCGCGTATTGCTGCCGCAAGTGCGGGACCACCAAACAACGCAGCAGCTCATTGCGCGGCTCCCCGCAGGCGCCACTTGTGCTGGCGTTCCTTCTGATCGTCGGTATCGTCGGACCCATGGCGGTGGCACTGGTGTACCTGAGCAAGTCGAACAGCTCGTTGTCCCGAAAGGTGAGCAACAACTGCACATGTCTGGACATATGAAAGCGTGACGTCCACCCGCGCGATCGCGTGCGCGGTCTCGGGTCGCCGCGGATGGGACTCTTCACCGTGCGGCAACTGATTGCTTGAGGCGCGTCTGCAGGTCAGCCAGGAGACATACAAGTCGTTTGCCCGTCCTCCGGGAGGGGTCAGAGAGGCTCAAGGCCTTGGGAGGATTCTGGAGACATTCGTCCTCGCGGAGGAATTTCAGGATCCGTACGTTCCGCTGCCGGACGACGTGCCCGACCGTCTCAAGGTGCGGTTCGAAAAGAACAGAGCGTGCAAGACACGTGATGCGTCTCGAGACAGCGCGCACGTCGAGCACATGCCTGGTTGAAGACCAATGTGTCTGAAAAGCCAGTCCAGACGAACTTGTACTGTGCAGGCGGTTGCCGAGCTCGAGAAGACAATGAAGCGGGAGTATCCGGAGCTATCTTCTCGAAACTTTCTGGCAAAGTGGGGTCCCAGTGAAAAGCGTGCGTTCTTCCTCCTGCTGTGTCACCTACAGAGAAAGGAGGCCATGATTCCGGAGGTGCTGCTAGACGATTTGCACAAGATCTTGAACAGGTTCGATGCCGCTCTCCTGCGACCGTCAGTCGCGTTTGTCGCGTGCGATTTCGATGTTGCACTCGCTGACGTGACGTCACTCGCGCATTCGCAGGTGCCCGGCGGTTCTGAACGCGTTGATGGAGATCGCAACCCTTCCAAGACCGGACAACAGCTATCCCTTCCCGCACGGTTGGATGACTCCGGCGACTGCAGCTGCTGAACTGTCGCAGTGTATCTGTCAAGCCGTCGACCCCAAGCTGCTTGCTACGCGCGCATCGGACGCGTCGCTGCAGCAGATCCCGGGCATCACCGCAGATGCGATCAAGGCACGTATCCTGGTGCACGCCGCCATTTGCCCACGCGCCTGTGCGCCCCGACTGTTGCGTCGCCGCAGCCCTTTGCCATAATTTCAAGTATCAGGGGACGGACTCCCCCTCTCCGGCGACGAACTTCGTGCAGGCGCTGAAGAAGCAGAAGGTCACGTCCCTCAAAGACCTCTCGATGAAGAAGCCTGCGGAGAGGCAGGAACTTCTAGCCCTCGCAGAGCTCGACGCTTCGCACGCGCAGGATGCCGAGCGGATGGCGGTTGCGATTCCTCACGTTTGCATGAAGGCAGACCTCGAGGGCTTTTTCGCGGATGTCGGCATCATCCAAGGCGTCCGGGCAACTTTGTATGCGCGTGTGCTGCTCACGCGGACATGCCATCACGAAGCAATTACGAGTCGCAAGGACCCATTCGTGCCAGGCAAGGGTGAGACTGTGGAGGCGTTCACGCCGTACCTGCCGCAGCCCAAGGAGGAGCGGTGGTGGCTCTTGGTTGGGGACTCCAAAACCAACAAACTGTGGTGCTCGTCCCAGGTGCGCAACGTGCATCTCGATCAAACGGTGCCCGCGTGAACGCACCATGTCGTTTGTCATGTGCTGATTCGACGTGCGAGAGCGCTGCAGGTCAATCTCGAGCAAGCGGAGAGAGAGGGTGTGAAGGTGCTGCGAGCAAGACACGAAAGCGCGAACGCTTGTGTCCCGAGCTGGGTGCTTGATGGCGCGATGCCGGGCTTCGCGGAGACCCCGGTTGACAAGGTGCGGACGTAGACGCGCCGCACGGCTCGAGCCTTCTGACTCGAATCTGTGTGCTCGTCCCCGCGGTCCGTCGGCGCCCTTTCGGGAACGAATGGCCGAATCGAATGCTAAGCGCTTTCGTCTTGCACACGTCGCTTCTGCAGGCGGAGGAGGAGGAGGGTGAAGAAATTGGCATGCAGATCGCCCTGCCGTTCTTTGCGCCGGTGGCGGGCAAGTACGACGTCGTCGTGAGGCTGGTTTCCGACTGCTGGATTGGCGCAGACGTGTCGATGACTGTGCCGATCGTGGTGCTATCAGACAGCGAGCAGACGAAGGCGCAGATGCGAGACGCGGAGCGCAAGATGCGCGAGGAGGTGCAAGTGAGTGTAGCGCGTATTTCGAATCTCGTACGAAAGCGAAGAGGAGGTGTCAGTGAGGAACCTTCCGGCCCCAGTGTTTATACCTTTTGATGTTTTCTGGTCGGACATGCGGCGATGCCCCTCTCTGCGCTGCAGGAGGCCGCTGACAGCGATGACGACCTGTTCGCTGAAGAAGAGGAATACTCGGACGAGGATGGCGGTTCCGAAAGCGGTGACGGCTCGAGCTAGGGCTCCATGTGAGATGCTGGTGCACGGAATTCGACATCTTCTTGCGATCGTACAGACGCAAGAATTGGTCAGGTATTCCACAACGACACGCTGCAGTGTGCTGCAGCTTGCTTAACCTGAGTGCGTGTCCTCTACCGCGTCGTTGCTCTCAGCAACCCCTTTCTTAGGTCGATGTGACCTCCGGTTTCGGACTGATTCATTTTGACATCAGTCCCAAAGCCTTATGGATGACGAAGCGAAGCATGTGACACCTCACCTCACCTCCGCGGGCTGTCGACACTCTGGGTGCTGACCTCGACGTGAGCACGATCGGTGCTTTGGCAGGCGGAAGGTCAGTAGTATTCGCTGACCCATAGGCACCCTCGCGAAAGATCGACATCAGGGCAACGCATCCTTGCTGTCCAGTCCCGCCGGCCGCTTGTCTGCGTGCGCGTTTGAAATTGCTTCAGCAGCGGCGGGCACACGATGTCATACTCACATTCGCAAACAATTGAGAGATGGCTCGCGCAGGCGCTGGTGCGCATGTGTCGGTTGCCATATTTTCGCTTTGTGTCGCAAGGCAGTGCGAGCCAGTGTTTGCTGATCGAAACCCCCGCACCCGAATCTGAAACACCACTTTTTTGACACTGGTCCACGATTGTTGAGAAGCTTTCCGGGGGAGTGCACGTGGCGAACCACGTGTATTCCAAGCGATCCTCACTTCGGACAAGGCGGCCTCATGGTCTCCTGCTCTTGCTTTTCCTCGTTGACACGTCAACAGCTGATACATCACCTGCGCGAGCTGAGCGGGAGTCCTTGGTCGATCGACGCTCGCCTCGCACCAAGAGCGCGAACTGTTCTACACGTGCATGCTTGTCGGTCACGAAACGGCCCGCAGGTATTTCCTGCAACGCGGCGTACCAGGGGCATTGAGCGACAGATTGCCAACAGGTTTTTTTCCCGCGATGCTAGAACATGATTGTCGACTCGCCAGTTGTCACGCCGCGCGACGGCACTCCGAAAGCATTTTTTGTTTTAGTTTTTTGCTCTCCCCGCGTGTGTCTGATCTCTCGAATTGCCAGTTTGTAAATGCAGTGTGCCGGGGGTGGCAGACTTACTTCCCATCGCCCCGCGCTTTCCTCCTTCGGGAGCGAGGTCGCGCCTACCTCCCCAGTTGGCAAGCTCGGATGGCTCTTTCGAAGAAATTGCTTCCCTTTCGTAGACTTCTCGCAACGAGAGCGCGAATTGTTCTACACGTGCATGCTTGCCGGCAACGAAATGGCCTGCAGGTATTTCCTGCAACGCGGCGTACAAGGCGTATTTGAGCGACAGATCGCCAGCAGGTTCCCCGGAATGCTGGAACATGATTATCGACTCGCCAGTTTTCACGCCCTTCCGCGCGACGGCACTCTGAAAGCATTTTTTGTTTTGATTTTGCGCTTGTGGCCGATCTCGCATTGCCGGTTCAGAAGTGCCATGTTTCGGCACATGGCAGGGGTTGCAGACTCACTTCCCATCGCTCCGCACTTTCTCCTTCGGGTACATTCGCACGCGCGCTGCAAAAAGAAACCGCACCATCATCGTGGTGCGTGACGTACAGCACTTGCGCACCGCTTGCGTCCCTAGCCACGAATGCGTGTCGCTTGCCCACATCGTAGATGACAAAAGAGAACGTGCCCTGCAGACAGTCACAACACGGCAGCAAGGGCTCGTGCACCCTTGGGTCCTGCCGATCGCTGAATTGTATTGAACATGCAGTGTGACAAACGGAGGTCACACCGGAGGTCACACCGGAGGTGAATTGTCGCGTGGACGCGGCCGCGAGTCGCGTGACTGCAGTGGCGTGTCAGGGGCGACGAGCGGCGCAACCACACCTGGATGTCGTTCAATATTGTCTCTGGATTGTTACAGTGCCTCACGGTGTAGAGCTGAATTTAAAAATCAGGCCATATGCTGCTTCATGCTTTTTGTTTTGCCTGCATGGGCACGAGGGCGAAAAAATCTTAGTTTGCACTAAGCGAGAAGATATGTTTCTACCGTCCTGTCGACTTGACCTAATCAACTCGCAAGAAGGTCTCCTTCGAGTCCCGAGGGCCCGGGTGTCCGACGCGCACCCCCTGCACGTATTGTGCAGCGCCGCACACTTCCGCGGACTGGCAGAGGCAGGACCACGTCTCGCGATGCATGGCGTCATGCTGCTCTGGAGCGGCGGTGACACTAGTGCGGAAATGCGGGCAACGCAGCCTGCTCACGTGGCGCCACAGGCCACAGTACAAGTGACGCGTGAGTACCTTCGGTGCGCAGAACATTCCAGCTGGAATACCGCTAATCCCCTCGCAACAGTGGAGCGCCTGCGGGCCCGCCTCCTTCGCAGTTTCCTCCTCCCGACCGCCGTCCCCTGTGTTCTCGCCGCAATCTGCGCTCGGACACCTCGACCCCATCCAAATAAGGGTATCCTCCCGTTCCGCCCTTCTGAGTGCAAAGGCAGTCTCATATGATATCGGTGCAGTCCTGAATTGTGCCACCGGCAAAACGCACCGTGCCGGTGACCGTGCCGGCCAGCTGATTTTCAAGACGGCCGCGCGCGAGAGCGGGGCTTGCGGGGCCAGGCCGCCCGCCACGAGCGCCCAAACGGTTCGGGGGCGCGGAACGGACCTCAGTGCGGCTAGCGGCGGTTCACAGTGGGGAGGCGAGCCGCCAGGGAGGATAAGCGCGAAAATGGATGCACCACGGGGCGAACCTCGTAAGAAACTTAGCGCAGGTGGGAAGATGCGGATCGCGGCGCTGAAGACGTCGCCTGTCCTTCAGCAACGGCGAAAGCTTCTAGGCTGCACACTAGCAGCGACGCGTTGCCACTTTGGGCTGTAACGCGGTTCCGAATGACATACCAGTGTGCCGAGCTCCCGTGACACTCGCGATACGGCAGGGGTGCTCTAGAAGGCCTATTTGGCCGCGCACATCCCGGGCCAAGGCTCGGAGCCGCTCCGGCGGGCGCTCGGTTCGGGCGACCCCTGCGAAAGTAGCTGGCTACCGCGGCCACCGGGGCGTCGAGTCAATTCCGTTCCGCGGATGAGGCATCCGGTGAGTCGGGCCGATAATCGCGGCCGGGCCCCCGATCTCAACCAGAGGCTCTCAGTTGCCCTTGCCTCATACTATCAGGGCACGCCCCCCGGGCCGGGGCGGCCCCGACGTGATTACGTGCGTACCCCGCGCTACAACACGCACTCCATCCTCCGATCGATACAGAGGGCAAGGCTGACGCAGGTGCGCTCGCATACACGATCATCGATGCATCGTCGATGATCGGAGCGGTGCGGCCGCTAGCCGCTATAGCGTGCTTAGACGCGTTTGCTGCGCCAGTTATTGATGATAAATGTCCACTCCTGCAATCCGTCGTGCGATCGCGGCTATTGTACGCGCAATCGCGGCCCTTGGAGCTGCAGCGCTGGGGCCACACAGGCCATGCGCCTCGCAAGCTGACACGGCCTGTCGCGGCGATTCACGACCATTGATGTAATATACAGCTGCCCGTGCTCTGCAGAAGCACGGCATCGCGCCGATGACCGAGGCGCGCCATCACGTTGCGCAGCAGAAGCGCTGCAGCGCGGCATTTGTTCTCGCCGTCGCTGCCGCGATCCTGCTGCTCGTGTATCCGGTGCTGGGCGGTGAGACCGTGCCGGGTTCCAGGACCTTGCTGCAGACAACGACAATCACCGAGGAGTCTTTCTCGTCGCGTCCTTGGACCCCTGAACGCTTCGCGGCTGCAGTCGGTGCGCACCCTAGCCCGATTTTTTACCAGAACTGTGCATTTGCATCGCGTAGCTTTTGAAGTCATCGGTCGTGCACCGCTTTACACGTTGCGCTCGGTACTCCACTCTAGAGATCTCCCCTGAACTGAAGTCCCCTGAAACGAAGTGCGCCGCAGAAGATCAGCTGTGTTCCAAGCACATATACTACAGCGCAAGTCGCCAGGACTGCTCCCAGGTACACCCGGACTGCGAAGCGTGCGTTGTGTGGCCCACAGGCGAGTACGCGAGGTGCACCCGATGCGCCACTGGGCACAACCTTTCGGGCGACAGCGAGTCGAAAACACTCTACTATTATGATGGGCCGGCACACGGCGCTGGCCCTGGTGACTACGTCTGCGAGGTCGGGCAGTCGTGCATCGCAACCACGGCTGTTGAATCAACAGGACCTGACTCCGACTCGCCCGCGAACACGAACACCGCTGGACCCGAAAGAGCTGCAACTCAGCAAACTGCTACAGACTTCAGCACGGAGTCGACCATTTTTGCGACTGACGTCCTTTCCAGCGCCGATTTCGGACATGATGTAGTGATGTCGGGTGACACCTTGGCAGTCGGATGTCTCAGACCACTGCATGTGTACGTCTTTGTGCGTAGTAGCGGAACCTGGACGCTGCAGGCGAAGATCCCGCATCCTAATGGGCCACTTGGATTGTCGGGCAACACACTGGTGCTCGGGAGGCCTTTTGATGACTCTGCCAGTGGATCAGTAGCAGTGCATTCGCGGGACAGCGACGGCACCTGGAAGCTGCAGGCCAAGCTTGCGGAACCTGAACCCATCAGCGGCAACAAGTTCGGCTCTGTGGTTGCTGTGTCGGGCGACACCGTGGCGGTCGGGGTGCCTGAAGAACGCGTCGGTACGACGGAGAACGGTGGCGGACTGGTATACGTGTTCGTGCGCGGCGGCGACGGCACCTGGACCCAGCAGGCGAAACTCGTCGATGCTGACCGGTTCGGCTTTGAACTCCTCACCACGGACTTCGGTCACGTACTTGCGCTGTCCGGCGATACGCTAGTGATCGGCGTTCGACGAGCGGGTGTCTCGGAGCTGTTCGTGTACGTGCGTGGCAGCGACGGCGTTTGGAACCAGCAGCCCACGATCACTCACGAGGATGGATTTCGTGGTTTTGGAAGTGTTGCCCTGTCTGGCAACACACTGCTGGCCAGGACAGGTCGCTACAGGAACGAGCGACTCGCAACAGATCCATACACGGT